CGCCTGTTTTATTATTTGTTTTCGTGTTCTTTTGCGTATCACACATTCGTTCCCATTCCTTTTATTGTATGATTTCTTTCTACTCTATCGCTGGCTCCTTTCGTTTGCTCTCACTCTCACTCTGCATCTGTCCCTTTCCTTTCACATGCACTGTTCGCTCCCATTTGTCTTTTTTGGTTGTCGCCTTGCAGCTGCTCTGCTCCTCCTTCCATTCTCGCCCTGCGCCCCTCAGATTCCTTCCTCCACTACCCCCCCCCCCCCGCCATTCTGCTCTTGTTCAGCCTCACCTGCCTGTTTCAGCCCATACCGTAAATTGATTCCTATAATACAAATGCATTCTACATTCAAATAGGAGCATGACGGCAGAGAGGCCTTGCCCCTGGCCCTCCCTCATCGTGTGGCTGCTCCTGCACGCGGTAGTGCTCCGTACTCGGTTCTCTGTGCACATGTGCTCTGTCTGGGCTGCTCTGTAAAGAGAATCGAACTCTGATCTCATGCCCCAAGAGAGACACCTGAATGTGTGCTGAAACACCAACAAAAGTGTCTCAGCGTGTGCACGCTAGCAAACCACTCAACTACCTCTGGCCTCTCTGTTCGCTGCCCGCTTCTCGCTGCTTGCTGCTCGCTCCTCCCTGCCTACTCCTCGATCAACCCCACCTCCCAGTTCATCTTTTGGATTCGCGTGTCCAATGTCCGGTACTCGCCTGCGAGCTTGTCCACCTGCTTTTGCATCTTCCGCACATCAATCACACTCACATACTTGATCTCACTGCGTGTGTATCGATCTTGCGATGTGCTCGCCTTTGTTGCCACGTCGGAATACAGCTTCCGCCGCTTGAGCGCCATGTCTCGGAATGCGATCGCATCTGTAAGTGTGTGCTTGTCATCAAACATGGTTTGTGTGTTGGTCTTGTTGACGCATCGGATGAGCCAGTCCATTCTGTCTAGAATGCCATTGGCGGAGACGAGGAGCTCCTCCGGGTCCTCTACTGGCTCGTCGCCCTCTTGTACTCGCACGACTCGCAGGAGCCGCTGCATCAGCTGCTCATATCGGCGCTGTGCCTCGGCTCGCTCGGCTAATGCCTCAGCTAGCAGCATGAGGAGCCGTGATGGCTCGGGGCGCCTTTTTATAACTTGCGTGTCAAGTCATACGCGCATCGAGTCATAGTATGACTCACGCTATATGAGTGTTTAGAACGAAAGTGATGGGCGCGTGCAGCTGTGTTTTGCATCGTGCTCGGGCCACTCATGATGTGTGTCAGCCAAAATGACTCATCTTCACGTGTCAATGTCTTTTCCCGCTCGCTTGTCACTCGTGCACTTCGTTGCGTGGAATCCCACGAGCACAGAGCTTCAGCCACAGCTGCTGACATCTCTAGGCTAGGCAATGGGTGCAGTCTATATGTGTGGTGCCTTGTTTGCCCTCGATCTCATTCTGCTTTACCACTTTGTCTCCACTTTCATCGTCCCTTTGCCCATATTCGCTCGTCCTTTCGTCGTACTTTCTTCATGGATTCCTCTTCCCTTCTCTGCCTGCCCCCTCTATTGAAGCCTCATCCATTTGCCATTCCCTCCCGCCATCAGGATCGCATTTGGCAATCCAACACTCCCTACCATATATCCATCACTCTTTGTACCATTTTCCATAACATACGAAACTTGAAATCTTTTTCATGCCGCGTTGCTGAAAACTCCCGGTCCCCTTGACAGCCACTAGATGTCTCATACTTAGCACTGGCGCCTTCTTCGACCCAAAAATGGAACGCCAATATGTCCTTCAACTGTCAAATTGCCGATCTCCAATACACCATAGCGCTATTTTCGCTTATTCTCTCCCCCCCCCCCGTCATTCAATGCAAGAACCTGACTTTCACATCATCATCCACTTTGTCATTTTTTACCCGGAACGCTGGGCTGTACTTCACTCCATATTCTTTCGTACCTTGCGTCTTCCCCTTATCATACAGCATAAGCATGCCACAATACACTAGCTTACAAACTTCCTCGGTACTCCTGCCTCCGAAAAAGCCTTCTTATCACGGGCAATGCCGTTGTCATTGCCGTTACCATCATGCTCACCAGAATAGTCTCTTTCTCCTCAGCCTCGTCCATTTTGCGTATATTATGCATGTTTGCTTGATCATACAGGACAAATACTGCATGCTTCCGGTATGATCCAAACGAATCATATCAGCTTGTCGGTTCATGCAGTCTTGGCATCTGCATGTCGCTGTTTGGAAAAATGTTGAGTGGATTTTGTCGTGTAGGTATTGCGACATTCAGATTCTGATCCGAAACTTTAAGTATGCAACGTCAAAACTCAATAAAAGCAGCTTCGGTATCGCACCCCCACACGAGGCAACTTTCGAGTGAATGGTGGTGATCAAGTCATTCGCATTTGCATTCAAAGTCCCACGTCTGACCAGTCCTATTTCTCTCATTTTCAATTTGCTGACGGCGTCCATTCTCTGTATTTGTAGCGTCAATGGCGTTTGTCAGCTCTGCCGATCAACGTGCCACAGCAGAATCTGGAGTCGTGGTTCAAATGGAAATTTTGTATATCGCAGTTCTCCGCACATCTCATGCAGCTGCCCAATTTGTTCCTCCTTTTTTTAATTTCTCCAGTCTTTCCTGCTTCCTTAATCCCACTGTTTCCTCCTTTCTCTCCGCCCCCTTTTCCTCCTCCACTTCCACCCTGTCCGTTCTCTTGTTTCCCCTCTTCGACGTCCTTTCTGTCGATCAGCCCTTCTTTTCGCCTACAGTTTGACGCTTTACGTCTTCCTCTACTCTAGTTCTTTTCATACATGCTTGCTTCGTTGCTCGGTTCATATCCCTTCCTCATCTTCATCATCACCTTGGCCTCATCCATGTCTCCTCCTCGTGCGCCATGTCCTCCACATTCTCTTTCCTTCTCTACTGTCTCCTATCTTATGCCAAGTCCTCTACGTCCTCAAGTCCGACCCATGTATCCTTGTCTTTTGTTACCCTGATCGTATCAAACTTGTATCCATGTGCCCTTTTGGACGTCCATCCACCATACTCTATATGCCCGTCGCCCACGAACGATACTTTCGCCTCGTTCCCTTCTCGCGTCACTGCAAACTCGTCTTCTGGTGCGCATACTTTGCCCATAATCAACGCTGGTTCGTCTTCCGTTCCATTGATCGTGGATGTATATATGCAGTCCCCTGTACTCTCTTCCATCAGGACTCCATAGCTCTTCTCTCCTTTCTTTGCCTGCTCGCATTCCAGGAACCTGAACTTTGTGTGATGATTCACTTTATCTTGCTTCACCACAAATGGTTCATATCGATCGCTTCTCAGTACCTGTGTTCCATGTGTCTGATGGTTTCCATGGAGCACTAGTGTTCCGCGGTATACCGGCTTGCACTTGTCATTAAAATCGTCGAGCGACACTGGCGTCGCTACCGCCACAGCTACTGCCATCATGCTGATAAGGATAGCCACTTTCATTCTGGGAGTGTTCGTTCGTCTCTTCTAAATATCCTTATGCCTATCCCACGCTTTTATATATGCTTTTCCGCCCCCTGCCCCCCTCAGTTCGGGTCCAGCTTTGCAGGGCCGCGCCGTGATTTTTCGTTCTCGGTCCACATGCACACAATCGTAGCAAGCCAGTCCTGTGCCTTTTTGGCATCTTCACAGGCTCCTAATTGGCTGGACCGGTGCCTGCTTATTTTCTCACCCCCGGACTTCCGCGCCAATTTGTGTCAAGTTGAAAATGAAAGCTTGGCACAACCCCGGATGTCCATGTCCAAGCCGTTTCCCACGTTCGGACATGTTAGCATGTCGAACCGAGATGGCGTAGTCAGACCGTGCTCTACTTCCTTCATGTGGCTGGATGCTTCTCTGCTCTGTTTGTCTCGTGCATTTTAAGCAGTAGTTAAACTCTTGTGGCAAGACACCGTAGGCGTGTTACGTTTCTCTCTGTGGCTGTTCGTGTGCTGTACTTTGTCCTTCTCACGTGCTTCTCTAAAAGGCCGGAATCGGTACAGACTCATGCGGATTTGCTCTCATCATATGTTTTACACCATGTCTATGATCGCGTTATGTAGCTCAATGGGATACATTAGTGATCTACCTCCTTACTCTCTGTTTCCTCCAGAGCTGGACACCCCACTTTTTCGTCCGAACCGTCCTTTTCCTAAGAATACATATATGACGGCTCGGTCCATGAAGTATGGCAGGCCACAACAAGCAGACTGTGGCATCTCATACCTATTCCATGAGTACAATCTCCACTCCTCCCTTGCATTGTGACAGTTTGTGTGCCTAGGGCTTGCTTATGCTTACGTGCTATCCATCTGGTCACAATTGGGTTGCGGATTTGTGAGCATGCCGTCGAATCCTGTGAATAGGACTCATCTTGCAGGTTTGTTCCTTCCATCCTTCCCGCCGTGCTCTTCGTGGGCGCCGCTCCACAAGCCGCCCCTCTCTTTTCTCGCTCAACCACACCTGCGTCCTACGTTTTTCGTTTGTCAGCCCATACCGTGTTTACGTCCTATAATACAAGTATTTTCTACATTCAAGTAGGAGTAAGACGGAAGAGAGGCCTTGCCCCTGTCCCTCCCTCATTGAATCGCTGCTCCTGCACGTGGTAGTACTCCATACTCGGTTCTCTGTACGCTTGTGCACTGTCTGGGCTGCACAATAATCGAGTGGATTTCTCATGTCCTAGCCCCGTCCGACGACAGTCCTGCGAGGTGAAACGCCAGTACAAGCGTCTCAGCTTGTGCACGCTAGCAAACGACCCAATTACCACTGGCCTCTCCATACTGCTTACTCCTCAATCAGCTTGACCTCCCAGTTCATCTTTTGGATCCGCGTGTCAAGCTTGCGGTATTCTCCTGATAGCTTGTCCACTCTCTTTTGCATCTCCCGCACGTCAATTACATTCACATACTTGATCTCACTCCGCGTGTATCGGTCTTGAGCTGTACTGGCTTTTGTTGCCACATCCGAGTACAGCTTTCGCCGCTTCAATGCCATGTCTCGAAATGCGATCGCATCTGTCAAAGTATGTTTCTCGTCAAACATGGTCGCCGTATATGTCTTGTTGATGCATCGGATCAGCCAATCCATTCGGTCTATGATGCCATTGGGCGTAGCCAAGAGCACTTCAGGATCTTCCACCGGCTCGTCGCCTTCTTGTACGCGGACGACCCGTAGCAGACGCTGCATTAGCTGCTCATATTGTCGCTGTGCTTCGGCTCGCTCTGCTAATGCCTCAGCCAGCAGCATGAGGGAGGATGCAACCTTGCGGCACCTTTTTATATCTTGAGTGTCGAGTCTTTGACTCATGCACTCTCACCATTCGAAACGAAACCAAAGTTTATGCATGCAGCTCTATCTTCCAAAGCGGCTGGACCACTCATAATGAACCTCAGTCGAAATGCCTCTTTCACGTGACGTTGTTGTTTTTCCCGATCGCGTGCGACTCCTGCCATTTGCCGCATGGACACTCACAAGCCTAGAGTTATAGCCACATGTAACTCAGCCGCGGCTGCGTCCTGGCGACAGAAACTTGTCGTAGTCCTCACTACACTATGCTTAGCAATTGGTGCCAATTACATTGCAGCTGCCTTGCCCACTCTGAAGACGATTATCCTTCAGCACACCTATTACCATGGTCGTCTCATTGACAATGCCAAGTATGGAGTTATGATGTCAGCTTCTACTCTCATCAATACTGTTCTACCCATCTTATCTGGCGTCCTCGTAGACTTGTATGGTCCTGCGCTCATTGCCATCTTTTTCTCGTCCAGCATTGTTGTCGGTTCTCTTCTCTTAGCGCTTGGTGCCTCCAACGGCAACTTCAACTTGATCAATGCTGGCGAAATTCTGCATGGCATTGGCAATGTGACAGTCCACATGTGTCAACTTAAACTTTATGCACATTGGTTTTGTGGATCTGCTGACACCGGTCCTGGGTTACTTGGGCTCCTAACCGGCTTGGATGTCGCCATAGGTCGTGTTTTCGGTCTCATCGGCACACTCACACCCATTCCTCTATCTGAAGCCACCGGCAAGTGGTACTGGGCTTTTTGGCTCGGATTGATCTTCAGTATCTTTGCATGGGCTCTCTCTTTGGTCTACATGTGCTACGAATACACTTTGCCGTCTTCTATGCGTGTCTCCACGGCCCTCGATGCTAAGCGTGATTCTGCCTATCATCGAATCCGCGCCTTTCTGCCCCAACTATGGACCAATACTATCGATCTTCCTGTGGCATTTTGGATCCTTATTTTTCTTCAACTTCTTCAGACCGGCGTTGTCGCCACGTATGGCAGCAACACGGTCGACATCATGGTCCAAACTCGTGGGCATGCCTCTCAAGAAGATGTCAAGCTGTCCGCTTACAAGTATTCCATGCATTATGCCATCCCTATTGTCTTGACGCCCCTTGTTGGCTATGGCTTTGATTTGTGGGGTCATCGAAGCCAAGTCATTATCTTCGGAGCCGCCTTTTATGTCATATCTATGGCCCTCCTCGGGTTTTATCATGTACATCCTGCTGTCCCTCTTCTATTCGACGCTTTCGGATACACCGTCAACAACGTTCCCTTTGTCGCTACTATTCCTTTGCTTGTCAAAAGACCATCGTTGATCGGCACGGCACATGGCTTTTGGAAATCATACAACGCGTCCGGCGAAACGATCATGCAGATTGTCGGCGGTGCTCTTCAAGATCGTGCCGTGTTGAATGGTCTTCCTCAATCGCAAAAATACAACTATATGCTATATTTACTTCTGGCGATGAAGGGCGTCGACTTTTTTTACGGCATGATATATCACTATCTTGACACGCGCTACTTTGGTAGCGTCATGCTCATGTCTGAGAAACAACGCGCAAAACAGGAGGCTAAACTCAACGTGTCTGGTGACGCTCCGCCTGGTACTCTCTGTTCACCCCGCATTGTTTGGACAGTTGCAGGCTGCATCGTTTCTGTTTTGATGATCGCAGCTGCTTACACTATATTTATCGTGTTTTGGATAACTGACCCGGAACATAAGCCGGGTTCAGCCTAGTCTTTGTTCAATGCGCGTTCATTATTTGTACAATACTGTTTCTACTGCTTAATGTATATATTCTTTAATGTACTCCCACTTCATGCCAGAGGCTTTACTGCTGTCACGCGCCTCCTCGACCCATCAAGCTAACCTAGCACGAACACCCCCCATGCCTTGGATCTAAAGTCAGATTTTCGTTCATGTTTAAGAAATGCATTTGATTGATGTTCAGCTGATCTAGTAAAAAGAATCACGTTCAATGCAAGAATCACCTACGATTGGGTGAAAAGTAATTCGATAGCTCCTTGTTGAGTAGGAGCTCTAGTTCAAGCCTTAAGTGGAAAGGCTCTTTTTTGAATCATATCTAAAACTCGTTGCAAATGTAAATAGCCCTTTGCTGCTGGTGATCTGGATGCCTCAGGTTGGTAAAATTCATTGTTGTTCGCACTGACATATGGGCCTGTTCTTGCTTCACGTGAATAGCTCGATCTGTTGGGCTTCATAAGCACATTCATGATCAATCCTTTAGCACATTCTATTGTTACATGATGCAGGTGTTTCTAGAACAACTTCATCCACTCGCCCTTTGGTCTTGTCCCCAACATGCTTCACTTCGCCTTTGATCATCGAGGTCCTCTTATTGGCACATTCCATGAAGGCGCTCTACTACAACGAAACAAACGAAAAATTTCTATGGCCTCCACCCTTTGGACTGTCTCTTCGTCATCATCCTTTCATGGGGACCAAACGTAAGGCCAAGCCTGCTGTGGACTTTAAAAAGACCAAGCCTAAGCTTGGGAAGGGAAAACAACCAGCAAGCAATGCTACAGACACTTCCTTCAAGGCAAAGGCTATTGCCATGCCTCAGCAGTCTATCATGCTCGATCGGTCCCAAACAGCCACCACGCGAAGACGCCAGACCTTAAACGATCTCATCCAGCAAACTCATCATCCTTCATCTGGCGCCCGCAAAGATGCGGTGATGGGCATGCTGGAACTTGTCACCACATACCAAGGATTTTTAGAGCAGAATACCACCTCCCTTATCAATACGGCGTTGCCACTTATCGGAGACGATGACGTCCATGTCCGGGCGGCCATCGCCCGCTATTTTACCAATCTCCTTGCATCCATTCCTGATGATACATTTGCACCTTATGCATCTTCTATGCTTCTCATGACCTCGTCCGCCATGTCTCATATCTCGATGTTTGTTCGGATCGACGCATTGCAAATCCTCTCCCTCCTGTTGGACAAAGTGCCGTCCATTGCCACACAAGACTGGGAGTCTGCGCTTGATGCCAAACATTCATCCGACAGTCATGGTCAGCGCATTCTTCAGGCCTTTTTCGCTATGCTTGGTGTAGCTGCTGGTGCGCAGCGAGCTCGCTCCGGCCTAGTCGCCACTTCCCTGTCGACCACTTCGGTCAATTTAAGTGCCAGTCAGCGCCTTACGGTGCTTCGATCCTTGTACAAGTTTCTTTGTCAAGCAATGCGTGATTCTCAATCACACGGAATGCCGTTGTGGTGCTTCCAGTCTGCCTTTGCTTCTCCCAGCGATCTGGAGCAGTTTGAGCAACTCTTTCATCATTCCAGTCTTGAGGCCCATCCATGGACCATCGCTCATGTCCCGGGTGCATCGACGCATGTCGTATTTGAAAATCTTATGTCGGCTGCGCGAGTTGATCAATCTGTCGACGCAGCGCCCGAGAGCATACATGAACGTTTGGCTCATGTCCTTCATGCTTCTCTATTGTCAACACTTCTCGACTCTTTACCGGCAGCTCTAGCTCCCGACGGTAGCTCTTCCGATGTACATGCTGACCTCGTCATGCACCTTCTTCGTATCTACTTGCTTCTTTGGCGCAGAATCATCACACTGCACATCAAGACTCGCGCCACACAAGGAACGAACGACGTGCCTATCAAGTCTATCACCCAACTTGAGCAACTTCTTGCTCATCTTGGCCCTTATTTTACAGGCTCAATCGATGGTCCACACGTCCGCTTGGAACTTCACGTTATCTATTGTGAACTCGTGTCTCTTTGTACAATGGCTGCACATGAACGCGCGCCCTCCAAGCATCTTCCCTCCGTTCTTGCATTCCTCCAAACGCTTCTCACGCAGAATCACGCTGCTCTCACACACAACTTGTACCAAGCGCTCTTGCCAACGTTCTGGCTCGTGCTTTCAACACCTATCGACGGAAATGTTGACATTCTCTTTGCTCTTCTTGCTCACTTCGACACTGTACAAAATCGGGCACTCCATATGGTTGCCTTCCATTTCCTCGCAAGAATCGCCATGCTGCCGACGTTCCGATCTCTTCAAGTTCAAGTGCTGCCTCTCTATACCCCATCCTTACGTGCAGCTTGGCACACTTGGATCTTGTCTCTCCCCCGCCTTCTCTGGCAGAGCGCCACTTACGCGGTATCCTCGCGTACATCATCATCGTCCGAGGAAGAAGCCCGTGCTGCGCTCACATTGGCTCAGCACATCCTCGAATTCCTTCACTGCACTCTGTTGCCAGCGCGGCACCCGCTTTTTGAGCACGAGGCTCTGGTCACAGAACTTGCCCCGCGCGTCGCTCCTCTATTTCATGTTCACCATCCGAAGCGTGGCATTGTACCAGGTCCATATCGAAAGCTGCCTGTTCCTACACAGCGCATGGCCGAAGCAGTCGTTCAGCTTATCCCGATTTCTCCCCTTAGGTAGTCAGGGTAGTATCATGCGTAATCGGGACTTGTCTCATGCCCTCCAATTTCTCATCTGCGTACTTTGCCGGCAACAAACTCCTTCGTGCTTCTTGGCTCCGGGGCTCCAACGCTTTCCTCAATGCGGCATTAACAAGTGACGCAGCTCGTATCATTCTCCTGGATCATGGCAATCCTCTCGTACACAAAAGTAATGAGCGTCGGAAACAGTTGTTCCTCGCAAAATGGGCTGACATCCGATCAGCTGTGCTGGCCTGTGTAAACGAGCCTGCACATGGCGTCTTTGGATGCGAGCCTTACGGTCTGCAGATGAGCGATAAGAGTGCCAACACCAAAAAATGGTTCACAGGTACAAGCGGCATTGTGTCGCCATTGTTATCCCTCGCGTTCCTTGGTGTAGACGAAACACAACCACATTTCACCATGCCCGCCAATCCAAACACTCATATCCCCGCTGGTACACCATACTTTGCTTTATCGCTTTCGCATCGTCCGCCCAACATCGAATTGCCTACACCTTGCGAAGTTCTTCGTGATACGTTGCTGAAGCGTTATGATGTTCTTGACATGCGCTTCGCCGTCGCCTTTGGCTCCCTCACACAGGATGATGCATCTATACTCGGTCCAGCGCGCTCACTTCTCGACTGGAACGAGCGCTACAAATTTTGTCCAGCCTGCGGCTCCGCGTTATACTCAGCGTGGTCCGGCCATAAGCGTATTTGCAGCTCATTGTTATCTACGCTAGCCAAACCATCTATGTTCGTCCAATTGAGTGGTCAAGTCCCCGCTCACGAATGCATCTCTTGGACTTCAATGCAGAATTACACCTACCCGCGAACGGATCCGGTCGTGCTTGTCGGCGTAGTGAATGCAACCAATGACAAGATCTTGCTCGGTCGCAAAAAAGGTTGGCCTAATGGCTTTTATTCATGCATTGCGTACGTTCATAAAACTTACCACAGTGGATTCGTTGAACAAGGAGAAACGATCGAGGACGCTGCGCGTCGAGAAGCTATGGAAGAGACTGGTCTGGACATTGGCCATGTCACTTATCAATGGTGCGTTACCAAATGACGTGCAAGTTGACAAATACTAGCTCACAACCGTGGCCCTTCCCTGCACAGCTCATGTTCGGCATGTTGGCGCATGTCAAGGCGCCTGATGCTCACATTCGTCTTGACCTCGACAACGAATTGGAAGAAGCCTTCTTCGCCTCTAGGTCAGACGTGCTCTCTATCCTAGAAAACCGCCATAATAAAGAGGGAAATGGATTCCGTCGCCACGGGCACACTGTTACGTACGTGTTTCGAGAACTACCTGCCAAACTAACGTGTCCAGTGTACCAGGCCGTAGAGCTATGGCTCACATGCTCTTGAGCAAGTGGGCCTCTAAGCACGTGGAGGGGTCAGAACAGAGTAAGCTTTGATTGGCGCGTTTGGTCAGCCGTTTTGTCACAGTGCGGCCGTAGTCCCATCTTGTAAAGAACAATTGCCCCGCCGCTTCTACTTCTAGGTTTTTGGTGTTGCCATGTTCCTCTCAGCTGTGCGCGCATCGCGCTCGGCGTGGAAAGGTATGGAGTAAAATCATGCTTAGCTTTTCTAAGAATGGCAAGCTGACAAACTGTCTAGGCCCCTTTTTCGTTCCGTTCCCGAATCTTCAGCAGGCTCTGAAGAACAACGCGCCCATTCGCACGAATGCGCGAAGCTGCACAATCCTGCCAAACTTTGTCGGGTATGTTTTAAGTAATGCATTGACTCCAGACTCAAATTCCTCGTACACAATGGCAAGTTCCATCTTCCCGTCACCATCACCGAGGAAATGGTAGGCCATAAGTTGGGCGAGTTTGCCCCTACGCGTAAGCGCTTTAGCTACCGGTAAGTGACAGGCTGCAAGTGGAATCACGAATACTTACGCGCGACGTCAGCCTCACCAAGAACAAGTAATCGAACTCATATACCATGCTACTTTGAGTCCCTATCCTTGCAGTGCAGTGAATACACGTCATTTCTCCCTCTCATCCGACCATCATCTACTTCCGTTGTCTCTCAGGTAAAATGCTACATTGAAAGCATCATAGAACGTTGCGGACGAAAGTGTGATAAAGCTATGAAGGATAAATTTAAGTAGGTCACATGGTACGAGTAGCAGTTAGCTGGCCCGATAGCTCAGTGGTATGAGTGGCGCTTTCCGGTCCGGAATATGGCGCAGGTCCCGGGTTCGACCCCCGGTCGGGTCTATAGCAGGTTCTTTTTGTATCCTACTTGTCGTGAAGGCCTATTTTTATTTTGTTAGAAATGCATGGATATGATCAGTTGCAGCTAGCGTCACTTGCTTTTTGGTACAATGTTCAACCTCGAGCACTTGTAGATCCCGTAGTGGGCCACCATCTTGTGAAATGAAACCATGTCCGCTTGGAACAATCGGAGCTCCACGTTCTACATCCCCATTTTCAAACATGTGCGAACTCGCTTTCATGTAAGCTGGCCACACAATCTCGTCAAAGTAAAAGGGGGGATCTTCCCATACTTCCCCGTCATCCAATACATAGTTTGCACGCTCCATTCGTCGCTGGTGCATTGTCGCTCTGGATATACGCAAAAATAAACGAACATCCAACAACTTTCGAACGGCAACACTGTAATAAAGCAAGAATCCCTCAACAAGGAGAATTGCAATACGTGGTGCTTGTTGCCCGTCGCGAGATGCTCGAAGCGTCTGTCCATGCAGCTCTTCATGAAACCTTTTTCGTTGCTTGGCAAGTTCAGTTGCGTCGAGTGTGCATGTGTAATTGCTACGTCGATATTCAAAACTCTGGAAATCTGCTGGAAGCTTTTTGTGCACACGCATATATTGAATGACTCGCTCAAGACGAGAATAATCTGACTGTTTCATGCATTAGTTTAGCCGCTATTATGCATACATACAGACCCTTGTGGCGTATCCCAGTCTTGGACCTGCCACTTTTCATTCCATGGTATTTGGTCTTTCGGGGGACAAAAGTCGTCCTGGTGCAGAAGATCCACCGACACGATCGGCGATGCGTCTTCACCCGTCGGATCAAGGATCGCTTTCAAGTTTTTTGCCAATGTGGATTTACCCGAGTTTGTTGGCCCTCTGTTGCGTCAGCCACACTCCAACATGCACATACCCTATTCCGATCACAAGTACTGCCGTATGTTCATCGACCATGATACGAAATGGAAATAATTGAATCAATCTGATCAATAACTTCCGCACCCACTGGATTAAAATTCTCCACCTATATGGTTTCAAGACAGCCTCAATTCTATGTCCGTGGCTTTTTTGGTTTTGGTTTTTCATCTTCTTCGGACACAACTGCGTCGCCATCTTCATCGTCACTCGAAGCTTCGGAGGGGCTTCCACCATCATCCTCTGATTCTGCTTCAAAGTCTTCATCTTCTTCCTCATCGTCATCATCCTCATCGTCACCACGGCCACGCTTGCCAGACGTGACATTTTCATCATCTTCACCAAGCAGCTCGTCCACAGCAGCACCCACACCCATAGCTTCATCAGTAAGTTCGTTCTTGACACGAAGTTTACGCTCAGCAAAAAAGTTGTTGAGGCTATCGAGTTCCTCTCGACTGATGGACTGGAACGTGTGGTCAGTGCCGTGTTGTAGCTCAACACGTAGATCAAATGTCTTTGCCGAAGCAATCGCACCACCGACACGACTAAACACAAATTGATGCACGTCATGGTATGAAATAAGTATGGGCTGCTTTGATACCCAAATGAGGCTCTTGTTTAGTGGGTATAGCATGCCATCATTGGCCTTGACATTGCAGCGCACACTTTCTTGGCCGGTGCTGTTCGTAAAACCTGTGGGCACGTGAACCTTTTGCTGGGAAAATACACGAAATAGGTTCGTGACGATCCGGAACGTCGGCTCTTCATAACGCTTCTTCAACTTGCCTTCGTACTTGGTTTGGATCGTTTCCTCATCAAGATTGAGTTCTGCATCCATTTCCTCCTCGCGTGGGAACTGCAAGACGAGGAAAGGGTACCGTGTTTGACCCTGTCGTACCGGTGGATCTAGTGCCACGATGAACAGGACATGAATGTCGTCAGGTTTGGGTAGAAGGAACAACTGTGTGATAGAACTGTAAAGAATCTTGTAGTCATACGTCTTGCCACGAAGACGCAAAAACGTCGGAAACAGATCAATGTCGTACCGGCCACGTGGAGTGAGAATAAGCACTTCCTTGAGCACAAGGATCCCATCTCCAGCAACTTGGCCAATGTCGGCTTTGGCCTTAATGGCATTGTGGAACGCAAGAGCAGCACTTTCTTCTTCTTCTTCTTCCTCCTCCTCCTCCTCCTCTTCCTCTTCTTCGTCATCTGCTCGCTCGTCTCCATCCTCCCGCTTCGTTGCTTGTTTCGACTCGCCACCACCCGCCGATGGCTCCTTTTTAATATCACTATCTTGACCATTATCGTTCTCGTCTTCGTCATCCTCTTCGCGTCCAGCTTGACCAGGAATGTAAAGACGCATCTCAACAAGTTGATCAGGTCGGTTCTTCTTCGATCCGTGAAATTGGAGACCATCTGCACCAGATGAAGCGCCAGTATTCTGTTCCGGCCGCTGGTCCTTGGGGTTGATGAATTCCATGCTTACTTCCGTGCGCCCTGCGATATTACTATTCGCAATGTTGGCTAGAGGTAGGGAAAATGCCAGCCTGTTTTTCACGTAAAACAACATATCATGCTCACCCACTTCAGCAGAGCCCCAATTCCAGCCGCGTGTGGATATTTCAATCGTCTCCAGGGCCTTGTCGTAGCACTCACGAAGCACTTGCTCCAGTCTAGCATGATCCTCACGCTGGAAGTTCTCAAATGTAGCAACATGTTCGCCCTCTCCATCGCCCTTCATCTTGATTTTTAGCTGAAAATTCCGCGCCACCCGGAGCCATGCGAATGCAGTCATTTGATCGGCAGGAATCGTCACAGTCGACCCTTCGTCCAGCGGCTTCCAGCCTAGACCCGCTTGCGAGAACCTGATCATGCCCAGTGCCTTGCCATTGCCATGATACACATTATCAAATTGTGTCGTAGCCATCGTACGCGAAACCCCACCGACGACGTCGTGACGACACAAACGACGGCTGCTAACGGACGACGCGTCGCGTAACAAGGGGGTTTGCTTAGTCAGCGGAAACAGTCGTGTAACCAGCCCGCACGCCGCTCGGGGCACGTATGTATGATAGGATACTGTCTATGGCAAGTACAAGCGAGAAAAGGCCAGGACAGGCGTGCGGCATGTAGGACACAGCTGAACGGTCCGAGCACGATTCTGCCCGTGAGATAAGATGATCTTTTGCTGGTTCGCCAGAATCTCGCGACATGCATTGCAAAGGGCAAGACAGCGGCATGGCCAGTTGATCACAGTTCTGTACATATTAGTCGGATTGTTGCAAATTACGCGTACGCACCTTTCTTCACAACAGCAAACAACACATAGTCTAGAGCGTTCGTGATCTGGGCGTGAGTTTTTTGAGGCGTCCATTCGTCGCCGCTCTTGCAACAGATGCAAGAGCGCCAGTTGCGTGTTTCGATCTGAGGCTGTTTGGACCGTAGCCAAGTCGGGTCCTGCTGGAAGAGCGAGTAACGCAGCTGCAGATGACCACGCATTTTTCTTCGTGCTATGGTCAATGTCGGAAAGTGCCATATCACGCGCTGGCGCCCGGGATTCATTGTGTATCAATTGCCGATACTCGCGCCGAGTAAGGGGCGGTGCATGGTCAGGTCGCAGCATATGTTTAAGAAGTACGTCTTGAAACATTGGCAAGTCTTCGGCTTCGTTCTCTGCAAGCGAGATCAGTTCAAGAGGATCAAGATCTTCAATCGCTAGCCAGGCAGGCGGAGCATGTATACCTGTTGGTGCCCTTTGGATTTGTCGGTGCAAGAAACGTTCATGGAGAGATGCTAGGCGCTCGTTTCTACGATCGAGCTCAGCTGTGTGTTCTCGTTCGGCCCGCAAGCGCGCCTCACGACGCGCCTCGCCGTTCGTTCCATGCCAAAAGAGACGAACGTACCGTGGTAAATTATGGATGAATCCCGGTACTGGTGGGCAGTAGGGTTCAAGCCGCAGTGCGGCTGCAGACAAGGAATGCTTTACAACTTGTCCCAGAGCACTGACGAATGACCAACACTCCCGTAGCTTATCGCCGCCACGCACAGGCGAACCAAGCTCGGGCGGGTCCTCATTCATCACGACACGGACATTCTTGACCTCAGTCTCGTAGCCATTGATACCATCAGATTCCATTTGCTCGATATCAACGATTCCATGCTGAAGCACCGATCGACCATCAGGATGCAGTTCCACGTAAGTGTGCAAAGGCCTGTCCAGTGTCTTGAGCTCTAGTGAGAAACCCGTGAGCCTCGTTGCATGAAGACATGCGGTGCCGAGCTTGAGAACTGCTATCGTGTAATCATCCGTAGATCTTGGCATATTTGCACTTGTAAACACAAGACGGTTCACCGACACATGCCCATCGGTCATGAAGACTGTCAGCCCGTGAAGACAGAGCGTGAGCAAAATGATCCCAGCCGTAGATGCCTCCAAGAATCGCGTCGTGCTGTGCATGATAGGATATTCGTTCGTGTATAACATCGTATACACGTAGTGCATAGTCATCAGTACGCCCAGTGCAGATGTATAAACAAGACGCGATACGGGTGGGCGTCGCCAGCATTGTAGGACATTGAGCCCCATCAGCTCCAAAACGCGCGAGATGACAATCAGGTATACGTGTGCATTGGGAAGAAATGCACGATTCGTCGAATGCACGTGTAATAAGAATGCAAAACTTGCAAGATTGAACGTTGACGGATCTTCCGCCGATGGTATGTGTTCCAAGCTTCGTGCAGTGATAGACACACATTGCGTAAAACAAGCTCCGATGAACGTAGACCAGAACAACGAGGCATGATTGGTTGTTCCTTCGAGCCATGTGTTGGGAAGGATGATTCGCGCGTATTTCAGCCAATGCTGGGCAGACGGCGTTTCATAATCTTGGCACATACCAATGTACAGTCTGATGAGTGGTTGTGCCAGCATAAGCACAGCGGGGATTCTAAGAATGAGTCGTTTTGTGAGGTTTAAATTGGCTGCGCGACCTGATGGGGCGCAAATATGCTGAATACGGTTCATCACGACCACCTCGAAAGGAACGGTAAGTCTTTGAGTACAGATGAAAGTAGACTGAAACGTACCATGGCAACTAGTACCGCTGCATATCGTGAAAAAAAGAACTGTAGTGGACTTTCTGTTATGGTGCTGAATGTATTCGACATCACCGAAGAGCCAGGATCGATCCCATCTGTCTGTACCATATTGTCTCACCTCGCCAGTTCCATCACAGCAAGGCAAGGATCGATGGGTGTGGAGAAGCGTCTAAGTCGACTACGCGAAATGCATCCTTTTTTCCCCAGAGATTCAAATTGCCACCGTGGAAGTGCAAAGGGACATGACGTTATTGGCGGGGTATAGTATGCGAGCTACGACATGCACTATGAAAGAGCCAAGGGGCAATGCCACATCGAGCGAAGCACGCCATGGGCGATATTACTAGTTCTCACGCCATTGGAAACCACATTCAGTGCGCGTGCACTTATAGAACGTAGTCACTGCCCATGTTAGCCCCAAAGCCGAACCGAATCAAAAACGTACTTGGCTCATCAGCGGAACGAATCTGCAGCTGCATAAAGTAGGCACGACCATTATCGCACTTCGGACAAGTGGCTGATAGGCGTGAGTAGATGGAATGCTAACGTACCATCTGTGCTATCGACATTTTTCCAACTGTCTTCGCCACCCATGACGTCATCCACTTGTTTCCGTTCGAGGTACATGCGAGACGTGACCTGATTAACCATCGGAAATTCAAAAGGGCAGGTAGGGCATGTCCACTTGTTTTCACCCGAGATGGAAGAAGGCAGTACTGTAACTACATTTGCGCAGTTCGGACAAAACAACATGACTAGACCCACAACCCGCCAACCAGAGGAAAAAAGCAACAGAGAGAATAGGTATGCGGGACAAGAGGACAGTAACGTGCAAAACCGTAACCGGAACTATAAATTGGCTCTCCCTGTACGAAGTTTTTAAGGATTGGCTCTCATAGCTCAGCTGGAAGAGCGCAAGACTGAAGCAACCTGCCGCTTCATAAGTGGATGAAACAGTCCTTCTTGAGGTCACCTGTTCGAACCAGGTTGGGAGCAATCTTTTTCGTCTGATTCGCGAATATATTTTGTCGACCGCAACATTTTTGAAAGCGGTGTTTGGAGGATACGCCGAACACTGATGTCACATCTTTCACATCAGTAGGATGCCAGTCACAAGTCGCCCGACACAATTTAATGCAACGTGCTGGATTTGAACTCAATGGTGTTACTACGAAGCAGTACGATCTATGTGCGAACATTTAGCACACGACTTGACCAATACTCATTTGTGGACATTGATATGTCTAGCCATATTTGAAAGGTGCTTTCGTCTACCAGCTCTCATAGCTCAGCTGGAAGAGCGCAAGACTGAAGCAACCTGCCGCTTCACAAGTGGATGAAACAGTCCTTCTTGAGGTCACCTGTTCGAACCAGGTTGGGAGCAAGCTTTTTGCAAAGCTCATCTAATCAACATTTTTTCCAACACCAAATTTAAATAAGCATGAACAACAGCTGCATTTGTGGCCTTATCAATACCATGTGCATAGTGTTTTGGACGGTAAACGATCCCGAGTACAGTTTGTATGTATCCAGAGTTGCATAACAGTAGAGTGTTACTGGGGAATCGTGATGAGTTTTTATTGCGGCCGGCTTCGCGCGCTGCGTGGCGCTCAAGGACACGGGAACACGTTTTAGAAACTGACTTGGTACATGGTAATATATTGTGTGGTGTTGATTTGCTCGCCGGCGGTACTTGGATGGGCATCACGCGTTCAGGATCATTTGCAGCACTTACAAATGTGTATGAAATGCCAGCACCACAGCTCACGCAGGATGGCCGACCTCTACGCTCGCGTGGCGAGCTGGTTATGAAATGGCTGGATGCACAGCACAGTGAGCCAGGCTTATCCGCTTCAGCTATCGATGAAATGTACCTTTCTCGCGGCGATTATGGAAGCTTTAATTTGTTAGTTGGTGACTTGTCAGAGGAGGGTGCACATGTAAGGTACATCTCCAACCGGACATCAGATCATGAATACAATAACGCGATTCGAAGCAACGAAAATCAACGCGTGTGCGGTTTGAGCAATAGTCCTCTTCAAAAGCCATGGCCCAAAGTTGAGCTGGGCGAGAAACTTTTTCAGTCGGTTTTGAGTGAAGAGCGTTCGAGTCAAGCGTGTTTGATCGAGCGCTTGTTCAACGTGCTACAAACGTCATCGTATACAAGACATGTCCCAGTCCCAGAAGCAATGCGGCACACAATCCATGTCTCACCCATGAAGATGCCTAGTAAAGCCGATCAAATGCACCTTTCATCCACTCCCAATCCCGACACGTTCGCCTGGTATGGCACACGCACATCGACAGTTATACTTGTTTCACGGACATCGCCACGTCGTGCCACGTTTGTCGAAAGAGATATGTACAGCTTAAGAGATGGTACTCTTGAACCTATTAGCTTGAATTATCATGACGAGTCGGTTCGCTCTCAACACGAACGAAAGTATGAATGGGAACTTACGAACTAGAGCCTGGATTTGTGAACAGTAAGAATGGCCACGCGACCATCGATAGAAATGTTATGGTTAATCCCTTGCTTTCCTGGACGTAGCAGTCCCTCTTTCCATTCGACTGTAGCTTTCCACGACTGACCGAGAAACCTGCCTCCTTTCGTTGCAGCATGAACCAGCAGATCGCGACCCACATCATAGCCATTGGTTGAAATCGTGTGGCTCTTGGTTACATCTTCCTCCTTCGACACGGCCAAGAACCACGCGCCCGTGTTTGCTAAAGAGCCGTTCTGGCGCCAAGCCCGGAAATGATTGCCACCCGCTAGGCTTTCCCAGCACGCGCCGATCCAAGCACCTGGCGATCTTGGCGAAAAGATACTTCGGTATTCGTACAATTGCGGCACATACCCCTGGCCGTCTCCGAGATTGGCATGCTGTAATCCTCCAGCATGAAGATGCAGGCACTCGAAGGAGAACCCAATTGACCTGGAATAATCCAATAGTCCTTGATCACTCATGAGACTCTGGTCAGATGCGCCTGATATGATCACGTTTATGGGTTCTCGAAACCCATTTCCAACCAAATCGAGCATGGATCCCCCGTGTTCCGCAGGATCGGCCCATCCACGCCGCCACTGTGTGCCTCGATTCTCGTCGGAGCAGAGCTGTACGTGCTTATCCACGCGGTCTGATTCCGGCGTAGTGACTCGCCAGGGTTCCGCTTTAGCTACATGTTGGATTTCGTTTCTTTCAATGGCAGGCACAGAGGCAAGCGCCACTGAGAAAAACACGGCCAGTAGAGCAAAACACTGGGCTGCTGAGATCATGGCAGTGCCGCCTTTCGGATGCAAAGTGGATTGCCGCACCACCCAATTTATGTGTGTGTATGTATAAATACGTGGAGAAACAGGAACAACACACCTTGACTTCATTTTAGCAAGCCGAATAGCAGTGTTACTCACAAACACACAAAACGTGAACATAGAACGCGCTCTACAAGAATCAAGAAACCATGTGTTATCGAATCCCTACGCCACACGGTCGTGTAAATTATCCTTAAGATAGCGGCACTTTGGGTGGACGCGGCGGGTACCCAGACGAGCCAGGCTCACTGGGCTGCGAGCGTGGCACACCCGGTGGGGCCATGTACGAGGGCGCAGGTGTGGGCTCATATGAAGATACAGGCTCTACCTGACGCGCATCAAGCTGAGCGTAATGACTCTGAAGCTTGGACTTTTCTTCCATGGCTTGCGCCTCAGACTTTGTAATATAGGGAGACGACACTTTGTCCTCATCTGGATGACTGGGTGCTTCAGGATTGATCCGAAGTCGTCTCCCTTCTTCAGCGTGACTCGGAACCGACGCGTGCGCTGCAAAAATATTGTTTGGATTCGATGAATTGACGTTGTGCATGGAATAGTCTCCCATTGGCCTATTTTCCCGGGGGAAGGTGACATCCTCACCCATTTCCGATTGATATTGCTCTGCCTCAGCTCGTGCACGCTCAAACAGCTGTACTTTCTCCTGCTCAGCCGTTCGGAATGAGCCAGACGAGACTGCCGCTTGAGGAGGTTTGACTCGCGCAATTGGGCTTGGTGTGGATGTTGCAGCAGGATTCGGTGTGGGTAAGGAATTCATCTGTGACATGCGCGCACTGTTACGAAGCAGAGAAGGGTCTGTCGGGCCGGCAGACACCATCGGCAGTATGTCACCAGGGCGCATGGATATCGAGGGGTCGATAGTAGTGGACGCTCTCCATGCCGAAGTAGGCGTCACAGGTGACGATGTGAAAGAGACAGGGCGGTGCGGTGTAGCTGTGCCCAAGGCAGCAAAATCGCTCGATTCAATGTCAGGCATCGGGACAGCATCGTCTGTGTAAATGGCAGGATCGGGATCCTCTAGTGGCACATGTGACGGCAGAATACTTTCTCCCTCCGGCACAAATACGCTTGTGTGCTCACGCGCCGAGTGTGGATTTGATTCCTGAGTAGCATCCAGCGATGGCACATCTCCGATACGTGTAATTAAAGAGCTACTCGCACTTGGTAGAAATCCCGAGATGAGCACATCAATGCGATCGAATGTGAGCGTAGATTTCTCCAAGTTGATATCAACACGCAGACAGTGTGATATTTCAATATGCTTGGCGGTGTGGATTGACATAATAGCATGGTTCTTTGGGATCACAAGGCTAAGATCCTGCAGGAAGAACTCGCCCTGCATGATCTTTTTCCCCAAGCGCTTAGTTTTTGTTGCCAGCATTTCAGACTTTTGATGGATCGGCTGTGAGCTTGCTCCCTTCTCTGGAAAGAATGTCACCGTCTGACGCACACCGATTGTGATCGATTTAAGCTTCACTGTTTTGGCGGCTTGACTCGAGACGACAAGACGCACATCCATTTGGTCTGTCACTCCATATGCGCATTTGTTTCGGAACAGCTTTGCACTAAAAGGACCTTCCTTTGTTTCAAACTCTTCAGGCTGATTGTAGATCGGCCATGTCGAATGCAACTCATGCTTCTCAAGCACAAGGTCTTGTATGTCTTGCACCGTGGTTTCATACTTCTTCTTCCGCAGCAAACCTTTTTTTAGGCGCACTTTCAGCGTCGCAATAAGTTGGTATTTGATGCCACTTGTTTTGTCAAGACGAAGCGAAGGCGGTAGTTTCTCTGGCACCTCGACTCGAAACGGGAACGCTTGCTGTGGTGGTCAGCGCCTACTGTGTTCATGATACCTACCGATGTCAGGATGTTCCATTCATTTGGCACTTCGCCTGCCTTCCATACATCTATTGGGCCTTCGCCTATAAGCTCTTTCCAAGTCTGACCTCGTGGGAGCGTCTCAATCTTGCACATTTCCACACGGAGCCAAGCTGCTTCAACCCCTTTGGACGATGGCACATGGACCGCTATCGTGCCACTCAAGTGCGCGTCGGGTCGCGTATCTGACGCAGGTATGCCAGGATATCCCTGAACAAATGACTGATTCTCATGCGGCCGAATCTCACTGTCGTTAGCCTCTACTGGCGTACTCACAGCTTGGGTGGTGCCATGTCGTGGCTGGTCAGAACACTTGGCCGTTCGTCTCCACCTCTGGGTCTCAAGGCTCGCACGCGCTTATCGAAGGGCTTATGCAGCAAAGTGGCTGGAAAATATCTTGGCACACCACGTGTTTGGGCACAAGGAAAAAACAACCAATGTACTATTGTATTCCTGTGCTATGCTAACCACAAAGGACTTTGCCGTAGTAGGACGAAGCAACCAAAATCTACGATCATGCAGAAGATATGAGGACGTTCACGCTAAGTAGGGACAAGACGTGCACACCAACTTTTTTATCCTGAACACATTAGACATGCATCTTTATTTTCAAGAGAGCACGCGAGTCGTTCATCCGCTTCTTCTTGACGACGTCGCTGGCGCTCCTGAGCGGCCAGAAAACCTTCATCCTCGGAGGGCTGTCCCGACGCGTCAGCGGCAGGTCGATCCTTTCCGGGCCCATCCTCGGTGACTGTCCCATCAACACCAAGACGTCCAACACCTTGGACCATTGATTCGTATCCGCGATCAACGACGGGACGCGGTTCAGTCACAACAGAGGACGGGGTTGGCGCTTGGGTAGATGCCATCGTCGATGCTGCAGAGGCAGCAGCAGCCCTCTGGGCATTCACAGCTTTCCTTGTAGCCTTGGCCTCAGCAATCTCTTCATTGCTTACGGTAAATTGAATGGCACTGGCTGCCGGACGAGTGCGCAAGTAGTACGAGCCAGTCTTAAGACCCTTCTTCCAGCCGTAAAAGTGCATCGACGTCAGCTGGCCAAAACTCGGCGCACTCAGGTGGATATTCAGACTTTGGCTTTGGCACACAAAGGCGCCACGATCAGCAGCCATATCAATAATCACTTTCTGGCTAATTTCCCACACAGTCTTGTACAGGGCCTTGATGTGGTCGGGAATGCCAGGTATATTCTGGATCGACCCGCCATGTGCAATGATTTTCTGCTTCATCGAATCATTCCAAAGACCAAGTTCCACGAGCTCCCGCAAGAGCCACGGGTTGACGACTTGGAACTCGCCAGCGAGGACACGTCGCATGTAAATGTTGTTAGTGTACGGCTCGAAGCACTCGTTGAACCCAAGGATTTGACTTGTTGAAGCCGTAGGCATTGGTGCAAGAAGCAGCGAGTTGCGAAGGCCATGCTGAGCGATCTTGGCCTTCAGTGATGCCCAATCCCACAAGTCGGTGGGAGTGCGGTTCCACATGTCGTATTGCAAGATGCCTTGAGAAGCCGGACTTCCTTGGTACGTTTCGTACGTGCCATACTGTTCTGCGAGCTCGCATGAACGCTCGAGCGCGGCGTGGTAGATGGTCTCGAAAATCTGCAGGTTCAGACGGCGTGCTTCTTGGCTGTCAAACGGATAGCCCATGATCATGAACGCATCAGCCAGACCCTGTACACCAATTCCAATTGGACGATGGCGCATATTTGAGCGCCGGGCGCTAGGAACTGGGTAGTAGTTGATATCGATGATCCGATTGAGATTCTTGCACACAACTTTAGCGACATCGTGCAACCGCTGGAAGTTGTATATCTTCGAGGCGCCAGTTCCTTCAATAAATGTGGGCAGTGCAATCGAGGCTAGGTTACACACTGCCGTCTCCTCTGGCGAACTGTATTCCATGATTTCGGTACAGAGATTGGAGCTCTTGATCGTGCCGAGGTTCTTCTGATTACTTTTGCGGTTGGCCGCATCTTTGTATAACATGAACGGATTGCCCGTCTCTATTTGAGCCTCCAGAATGGCATACCACAGCTTCTGGGCCTTGACGGATCGTTTTGCACGACCCTCACGCTCATAACGTTCATAAAGCTCTTCGAACTCCTCGCCGTAGCAATCAGCAAGACCTGGTGCTTCAGCTGGACACATAAGAGACCAATCCTCATTCTTCTCAACACGCTTCATGAAAAGGTCTGGCACCCACATGGCCAGGAACAAATCGCGTGCGCGAACCTCGTCCTTTCCATGGTTTTTACGAAGATCCACGAATTCAAACACATCAGGGTGCCACGGCTCCAGATAAATGGCAAACGCACCTGGTCGTTTGTTGCCGCCTTGGTCGACGTAACGAGCCGTGTTGTTGAAAACTCGAAGCATGGGCACAATTCCATTGCTTACTCCATTCGTGCCAGCAATGTATGAGCCTGTACCACGGATATTGTGGATGTTTAGACCGATGCCACCAGCCGTCTTGCTTATCATAGCACACGTCTTGAGAGTGTCGTAAATACCCTCGATAGAGTCTTCTTTCATAGACACCAAGAAGCACGACGACATTTGCGGATTAGGTGTGCCAGCATTAAACAGAGTCGGCGATGCATGTGTGAATGCCTTTTCAGACATGTAGTTGTATGTCTCAATGGCACTTTCTATGTCTTCACCGTGAATGCCAACAGCGACACGCATGAGCATGTGCTGAGGCCGTTCAGCAACTTTTCCATTAATGCGCAAGAGGTAAGAGCGTTCTAGAGTTTTGAAGCCAAAGAAGTTGTAGTGGAAGTCACGCTCATAGATGATAGCGGAGTCCAGAAGTTCGCGATGTTTCATCACAGTATTGAAAGTCTCTTCGGATATCATGGAGCTCGGGCGGCCAGTCTTTGGATTCACATAGTCATGCAAATCCTGAATGACTTGGCTAAAACTTTTCTTGGTCTCCTTGTGAAGATTGCTGATGGCAATCCGCGCTGCCAGTACGGCATAATCTGGGTGTGTCGTGGTCTTGTACGCGGCCGTTTCGGCTGCCAAATTATCGAGCTCAACGGTCGTGACCCCCTCGTAGATACCATCGATAACCTTTCTCGTAATTTCGATGGGATCAACAAAGTTCATGTCCAAACCATAGCACAGTTTAGCCACGCGGGCGGTAACCTTGTCGAAGCGGACTTCTTCCTTGCGACCGTCTACAACACAGTCAGATAAAGACAGACATACCTCTCTTATACACGTAGATCATAGAAAAAAAAGATATATGTGCGACCCAAGGACTGATGTAGAAGGAGGGATAGGGAAGGAATGAGTGGCGGGTTGCAGTAGGTTAAGAGGATGTGGCGAAAGAACCACGCGTTCTAACGTGACCCTGAAAGGCCCAACGGCAATGCGATCAGCACGCGGACCGCGTCGCGTTTTGACTTCGAGAGGGTGGCGCGTATATCAGCGCGTTTCTATCGCGTCGTAACGCGCCACCCATAGACTCGGCCGTGAGAAGAAGGAAAATGTCCGTGATTAACCGAGTCTCGTCATCTCACGAACAAGTACGTAATGACTGCAGCAAGATTTGAACGCCCACGCACGTGACGCGCAGTTCAATTGTGCTGCAAAGAATGCGGACTACATGTGGATTGTTTGCAAACTGAGGGTGTAAATAAGATTGCGGCAAAGAAGGAATTCTGACCTGATCGTTCCAGTGAGAAATAGAAGCCCCAAGCCAGAACTCGTCGCCTTGCAATATATGCGCAGTTGTGGGAATCTTTACCGAACTCGATACTAGAATTCATTGTAATGGAGAGAAATGATAGACAGTTACAACCATAATTTTGGCGAAAAAGAAGTACTGTGTTACTACATAACTGCGACCAAATGACGGGTAGTGTCAAACAACGCCCATCGCTATGGATAGAATGGTGCACAATGCAAACGTATTAAGATCCATAAAAATTCCCTTTGCGAAGGAGCATATGGCCCAAGGGTATGAAAAACTTTCGGTTTGGACTCAGAATGTTCGTGAAAACACAGCCTTTCAACGAAATGGTTCAGGGAGTAATGAAGGGAATGAGGGAAAATCAACAATTAGCGTGGCCTCTCACATGTGGTGAAGCACTAATGAACCCTTAGTGCGCATCAACGAATATTCAGATAAAGATCAAGTCGAGAGACTAAGCTTATGCAAAGCCTTGTTGCACACCGCGGCCGCCACGGAAAGCCTTGAATGCGAGGTAGCAAATAACAGCCAGAAGAGCAGTCAGCTCAATCCAGCCAATCCAGCCGAAAGCGAGAATGGCCTTGAGAGAGTTGCAGTTACGCACAGCATCGTCATTGCCACAAGACTCGTTGCCTACAACATTCGAAAGGGCCGCAGAACCACAGAGCCAGAAGATCCATGTAATCAGCAGAACCACGCCGTGAACAGCGATTGAGGAAGCAACACCGCCGGTGCCAGTGAGGAATAGAACCAACTGAGACTGTTAGCGCATCTGTTGACAGGGGGGGCCCATTTCAGGGCTGCCATTTACACGTACAAAGATTACACCAAAGAGGAAACTCCACCATCCCGTGAACACCATAAAGCGAGTGCTATCACGGGTAACGGTCTTGTCATATCCACCATTAGAGTTGAAGTCAGCAGTAACTGCAGAGGCAATGATAGCCACAACCAGCGAGAAGAAGATGAACAAGCTAAAGGCAATGGGATGGCCGAGACGGATAGCGGAGCTCAATTCCATGATGGTATAGGTCTTCGACAATACCCTGTTGGAGTGATGAAGGCAAGATTATAAACAGTAGCCGACCTCCGTAACCAAAAGGCTGTCAACAGGCAAAAACATGCAGCCGATCCGTTTTCGGAACTATTTGCATTGATCCACTGGCCCGTTCTGGGATAGAAAATAAAGGGCATGAAACCTGCAGCACATGACTGTTTACATCTGTGTGGTTTGAGGCAGACACGAAAAAGGATTGGCCAATTTGGATGTAGTAGGAAAAATAAGTCCATTAGGTGCATGCTGACTAAGTAGTAATTGTGCGATCTGAATGCATTTGGGCGGTATATCAGATGAGACGCCCATATGCGACGTAGATACATATCACAAGATTGAAGCTATCGCATGCGAATTTGTCCTGTTCACGTGATTTCATGATAAGCGTGAAAAAGTTCATGGAACAAAAGCTTGACCCTGCCCGGACTTGAACCGGGGACTTCCACGGTGACACCGCTTCCACGTCGAGATGTTAACGTGGTACTCTAACCAACTGAGTTACAGAGTCGCTTGGCGAGAGAAGATTCTGAGGAGTGTGAATAAGAATGAATGAATTCAAAGTAACTTACTTTGACGAAACCGTGTCTTCTACCTACGTTCACATCGTATGGGTATACTAATTAGCAGCTATAGGTGCTATCACAGGGTTCAGTTTGAGATATTATTCTTCGTCCTCTCCGTAATCCTCATCTTCTTCCTCAACATCCTCGTCATCCATGGATTCATCCAGAGCGGGGTCAGTCCTGTCTTCAGCATCGAATTCAGGTTGGCCCCGAAGCCCTTTCATTTTTTTCACTTGAAGCGTGGACAAGTCTTGGCGACCAAGATGCACACGACCCACCATGTCACCCATGTCATCGGTATCAATATTCTTACGCTTTCCTTTGCCTTGCGTGTTCTTCTGTTCAGCAGTCTTGGGGCGTTTCAACGCTTGCGTCATGCGGTCGGCACTAGCTGCCAATCGTCGACGAAGCTCAAAGTCAAACGATGGACCGCAAGGTTCCAACTCGATATGAGGTGTTTTGCTTCCTGACGCAATCATCTTGATCGTGTAAACACGAAAATGAATCTTGCGCGGTTCGCAACGATGCACGGCAGAGACCCCCGAGGTTTGGGGCGAAACACCTGCAGATCGATATAGGCTGGCTAGATCGTTTTCGCCAGGCGCACTGGCACTTTTGTTCTTGTCTCCGGACGAGGAAGGTGCTACACTAACCGAAATGACATGTTCGAGACCATTCAAAGCAATGTGGTTCGGATGCAGCTCCTCACCTCTGTAAAAGTCCAATAAAAGAGATTTCAAATGTAAGAATGCGCCTTGAGGCTCGGGATCAGCTCCTGCAGCAGCTAAGCGGTCAATTTCCGCGTCACACTCGAACTCTGGGCCAGAAAAATGGAACAGCGGACGCATACCAACGCCAGGCTTGCTTGACTTGAATGCATTCATGCTGTCGCGTGTAAAACACCCATTTCAAGAATATCGAGAACCTGTCCATCGAACAAACGGACCCAGCACAGGTTATCAGGTCGCTTCTTTTGACTGCTTCCGACCACAAACAAACTTGCGTCGTTCTTTTGGCCCCAGAATTCAATACTAGACGCATCTTCGAATGGTAAAACATCGTTTCGCTTGTTAAACGCCACGGCGTCTGGCTTCTTGAGTAATGCCAGCTCCGAGAGTGCCATATTCACCTTTTCTGACGTCTTTGTGCCTTTCACAAAGATAGCCGTTTTTGCATGTTCGAATTCCTTCGATTCGCGCTTCTCGAGCGCACGCTTCGATCGCGCATTCTTCGGCTTCCCTACACGAAGCATGATGAATGCACTCACAGTCGTTTAGCGAGCGACAAACGACGCAGGAGAAATTTTTATTCATAAAAAAAAATGTGGGTGGATACAATTTTTCCTCGGCCGGAGATTGAGAAGGGTCGACAGCCAAATTGTGGCGAAGCATTCGAGGAGGGTCTAATGACAGCCAAACGTACCCAATAGGCGGGTTGCCCCAGTACCCCATCCCATTCTGCGAGGCCAAGCTTCCAGACCAGAACAAGAAAAAAAAAGGAAACATGAACGAAACATGAGCGCGCCCGAAGCAATGAGGCCGCAGTTTGTTTCGCACACTCCACAATTTCAGCATGATTTCCTCGGCTGCTTGGATCGCCCGTGGCATAGCTGCGCGGCATCCAGAGAAGCACCAGCTCGATGATGCAGAACTAGAACGCATCAGCAAGCTAACAAACACGGAGCTGGGAGAGGCCGAGCGGCAATTGGCGCAGGCGCAAGCCGCAGCAGACGACGGATGGGAGGACGTTGATGAAGACGAAGACGAAGACGACGATGATAATGAGGATGAGGCTATGGATGAAGATGATGCTGGTGGCGACCCAAATGATTTGAGCCGATACAAGCTCGATGATTATGATAAGGAGCCAGCACAGAATGTGGCGATGGGTGCACTCAGTGGCATACGAGGCGTGCAGTTTTTCCGGTCGAACGATGATGATCCATACTTGACAATGAAAGAGGACCCAGCAGATGAAGCTGAAGAACGGGAACAGCTTGAAGTGCTTCCTACGGATAACATGCTTCTTACCGCCAAGACAGAAGACGATGTGTCGATGATTGAGGCATACGTATACTCGTCACAAGACCAAAACTTATATGTACACCATGACTTGTTGCTGCCTTCCTTCCCACTGCATTTGGAGTGGCTCGACTATACACCAGCGCCGATGCTAGACGAGTCACAGCAACAGGGACAAGGTGGCCGTGCAGCAGGGGCGCCGGGGAACTTTGTGGCTGTTGGCACGATGGATCCAGAGATTGAAATCTGGAACATGGATACAATTGAGTGCATGTATCCCGACTCGGTGTTGGGCCGCAAGGACTTGACGGCAGCCCTAGACGCTCCCTCAGGCACGGGCAAGAAAAAACGACGTGTGCCCAAGGCACGTGTGCCAAACGACTCCTATCATGTGGACGCCGTGTTGTCGCTTTCGTGGAACCGACGCGTGCGCAACCTGCTGGCTTCTGCTTCAGCTGATACAACAGTCAAGATGTGGGACTTGTCTCGACCCATGTCTGGGACGTCTTCCAGTGCACTGCGCAGCTTCTCTGGCCACACAGACAAGGTGCAAAGCGTAGCGTGGCAGGTGGGCGCGCCTGGCATGGCGTCTGGCACAGAGAATCCTGCTGTCTTGCTGTCAGGTAGCTATGACAAGACGATTCGCGTGTATGACACGCGCATGCCGGAGCAGGCTATGATCGCACGTATTGGCGCTGATGTCGAGGCTGTGAGATGGAACGGATGGAAGGATCACGCATTCCTTGTGGCGCTAGAGTCCGGTACTGTGCATGGCTTTGATGTGCGTGCTTTGTCGCCACAGGGTACAGATGCTGCCCTTTACACGCTTGTGGCGCATGACGGTGCGTGCACGTCGCTGGACATTAGCCCGCATATCCCTGGCTGCCTCTTGACTGCTGGCACAGACCGCCAAGTGAAGCTGTGGAGTATCGATGACGAGGACGCCGACAAGCCACGGAGCATCAATCTTGTGACTGCGCGTGATCTGGGCATCGGCAAGATCTTTACCACGAGCTTCTCGCCCAACGACCCCTTGACCGTGGCAGCTGCTGGCTCGGGTGGAAAGCTGCATATCTGGGACACGTTGGCGAACCCCGGTATGCGACGGACGTTTGGTGACCGCCTTCGTCGCCTCGACCAATATGCGGCAAGACACGCCGTCGATTTGTCGCACGTGCAATTGGATGACCGTGCAGAGCGATCGGCAGACGTGGAAGTGGATGACGATGCCGAGTCAGATGAAGACGATGATGCAGAGATGCAGTAGGATTCGCCAGCCGTGCTCTGGCGCTGTCCCGGCCTTGGCCCCTGCGTTTTCGTAGTGTCTCTGTAGTATACCGCAAGTCACTTGTGCCTTGGCACGAAGGAATAGATGCCATGCACCTGTGGTCCTCCACACACATCGAGTGTGAGCGATATCTTCTCGTGGGCCTCGATCACTCGTCGATGTCGATTAGGATACGCTCCACTAGCTGATGTTCATGGAGTGTGATTTGCGCGCCATCTCAATTCCAGGCATTCGCGCCGTGTGGAGTAGCGCGCTACAAGGCGAGAGGAATCTCCACCGACCCTGCTGAAATACGGCCACATTTCCACGTCTGACACGAGCAGTCCTGCCCTACTAGCACACGTGTGTGAGCTGCACATCAGTCATAATGGATGTGGACGTTTTTGAGGATGCACTTTTCACTGTCTTTGAACATCACCAGCCGGCACGTGGTGATCCAGGAACCACTGGCACGTACACGAACGAGGCCATCCCCCCAGACGCACACGGTAGACGATCGATTACCTACCGAATCCCAGAAGTGAGCAATGAGAACACGCGTCTTTTTGCGCACCATCAATGGGATGCAGGCGTCCACGTCACGGATCTCATAGCGTCCTATGCACCTGTTGACGTGCGCGGAAAACGTGTTATTGAACTAGGCGCCGGCACAGGACTCCCTTCTCTTGCATGTGCCGTGCTTGGTGCGCAACACGTACGTTTTGCCACTCTCCTCCCTCCCCTTTGCCAGGTCCCCATGGAAGACGTGAATGGCCAACTAACGCAGACATACCTTAGTGCGTCGTGACAGACTATCCAGACCCATACATCCTCGCAAGTCTAGAGGCCAATGTCGAAGCGCTTCGCGAGCGCTATAGCACATCGATCCAAGTGGCAGGTCTGGCCTGGGGCGACGAGGCACAGGAAACGTACGTTTAGCCTTTACCAGCAGAGACACATGGACAACATGCTAATGCGCAGCAGACGACTGGGCAAGGAAGCTGGGCCCTTTGACATGGTTGTAGCCGCGGACGTGCTATGGGTATCATCGCAACACGAAAATCTCCTGCATTCTATTTGTGCATTGCTTGCACGTACGCCAACGGCGCGCTTGTTGCTGGTCGCTGGCTTCCACACAGGTCGACCGGCGACAGCTCGGTTCTTTGCAGCCGCGGAAAAAGCGGGGCTGGTCCCCGATCCGCATACTCGGCATGGGGGTATGTATGAGCGCAGCATCTTTGGCGACGAAAAAGCATGGGACCCCACCGAGTCAGACATGGGCGATATTAGCGAGCGCAGCAGATGGGTCGTCGTAGCATGCCTAGGCTGGGCTACGTCTGTGCTTTCTTCTTCGCTGGCCTCGTAGACGATGCATCACCCACCAGTGCCATGAGTCTCGTATGTTCACGCCGTGCAGCCGGATCATCGTACCAAACATGTGTTGTCGACGCGTCAAGCGTCGAGTCAGCGATGGCGCCTGCACCATCGGCCGCCGCAGCCACGGCGTCATTGCTGTGCTCGTGATGATCAGCGCCATCATTGTCCTTGGCCACTGCCCATGGCCCATGGGCATAGTCCGAAAGCCAAGGCGCCGTGGTGGCTGCTGGGATCACGGCGAGATCCGACCCTGTCTCCCTACCTGTATGGGGCAACAAGCCATGATTCGTATGCACATCTGCCATTCCTTCAGTGGCTGAGCGCCTCGGCATTGGTCGCGCACGCTTTCGAGGTGGCACGTCCATGGCAGGTGGACGTAGTGCTTGCTCAAGAAAGTCTGTGCCAATGATGGGTATATGCCACTCCTCGGCCTTTTGTGCTTTGGGGCCCGTCCTTGCCTCGTCTGTACATAGCAAGTGTGTCGACGCATGGCGAGAAAATGTCGTCGTCATAGTAGCGCCCAAAGCTTCGATCGCCGCGCATGTGTGGTGGTAGTCAGGCGTGTACTTGTCCAAACCGGACACGGCAATGCTCCACGCACGGGCCTCAGCCATAGGCAATGATCGCGTCGCGGGACGCAACGCCACATGCATGTGCGGATCGACTAATTTGTCGTCGTATAAGCACCGCTCGATCCAGTGGTGCGTCACATGGACTCGTGCGGGCAGGCATTGCACGGGCTGTGTAAGAGGGCCCACGGCATAATCAGCGGTCACCGATCGATCCGCCAGCACTGCACCACCCGCTCTGCGAACCACGGCAGCGACTCGTCGTGTGCGCGCATCATCTTGCATGTCGATGTGAAACTGGCATGCATGAAAGACACCCGGCGCCGGCGCCTGGAAACTGGCGCTACGTGTATACGACAAGAGCGAGCCTGGCTCGGGCATCCGAGCTCCTGGCACCTGCTGAGACATGGGCTGTGATACAGGAAGCGACGCAGGCAAAGATGCCTTGCTTACGGGCATAGGCGCGGGGCCGGGCGTGGATGTGGACGTAGCCACAAGATCGTGCGACATATCGGTCGACACTGGCACACTTGTCGTGCGTTCAAGTAGGCGTGGCTTCAACGACGCAACACGTTCCGCCCGGCGCGGCTCGGTATCGACTTCTTTCATCGCATCATATGGAGACTCAGGGAGCTGGACACGAGCAGCAAAACAGTCTTCAATCCATGCAGCATGGACGAGTCGGATCCTCACAGCTGCAAGTACATGCGGCAAATCGCACTCTGCCGCAAGCGTGCGATGTGCGAGAACGCGATCAAGTCCTTTCCTCGATCGTCCTTCCATCGGCGGCGCACACACAAGATGCGTGATGGACCCATCCCAGGTAAGTTTCGGTGCGACAATGCCACCCATCATGTCGATGCGCGCAGCGAGCGTTTCCCGCTCATGCGCATCGAAGCCAGTCAAGGCGAGCGTGAGTCCTTCCAGTGGCGGTAGTTGGCATTGCTCAGCGAGCTGCGTAGAGTATGTGTCAGTGGCCGAACTCCACATGGATTCACACGTACACCAGCGAGATCAACAGCATCTTCTCCAGAGAGCCACGCCTCACGCACCAGATAAAGCCATTCAGGCTGCACAATACACATATGGAACTGGATCGCGATTCTGTACTTTTCCGAGCCTGGCGTGCGAGCAACAAGGTGCGTCACCTCACTCGTCAGATCCGCATGCACGCGCGCACCGAGCCTTTCCGCAATATCCACAAGTTCTCTTTTGTCCTCAATACCGGTGAAGCTCAACACCGTGCCCTGAAGTGGCGTTCGTGCATGACCATAGAAATCCGCTGGTGTATGCGCACCGGACGACACGCCGCGATTTCGCGTGCGCCGGAAATGCGCATCATCCTCAGCATCTGCTATCTCTGCCTCTGATACTTCGCGTGCCTGAGGTGGCCGCAATTTGACATGGGGAATCTTGACGGATCGATGGCTTTTTTGCCACCGATTCGTGCTGCTCATACTTGCATGAGACACGAATATGAAAGCAACGCGCGCGCTGCGTCAGCTATTCATCGCGTCACCTTGTGGAGGGCGTACCAGGTTGACATTTACTAAGCCGAGAGCCTTGGTGGTGTGTGAGAATTCGACGTTGACTTCTGCTTGGCCGGCCAGCCCACTGGTTGTTAGCTGGTGTCACAGTGGAGTCACAACTCGCACTCTGGGGTTGGATCCAGGCATTTGTTCTTCATGGTGTGGGCTAGGCCAACTGGTCGCATAGGGCATCGTCCCAACTAGGGAAATCATGAACCTGTTCACACTAGAATCCTTATCGCATCGCAGTCACATGAAATCTGCGTGGAAGCATCTGCTGGAGGTGTGCGCAAAAACTGTCTTGCGCTAACACTTACCTCCGGCAGCCCCCGTGCAAATGCACCAATAAAGCCGTGCGTGTGTGAGACTGGCTCTGGACATATACCGTGCCATAGAAGAAGTTCGAGTAGACGAGACTCTGGATACATGTGCCTATGTCTTTTCACGGGTCGTCTTGAAATACATGCCTGTTCTTTCAATTACGAGTGTGCTCTCTTTGTCGTCGCTTCGTCATGCGCTCCATCTACGCATGCCGTGAGCGAATGTACACATTCGAAAACAGGTGGTCATCGTATACTTCATGTAAGATGCAAAAGAGAAAGACGCATGTCTGGGTGCGGCCATGGAGCAAGTTCTTCTGCTTTGCGTGTAGATTGATAAGCTGCTACTAGACATGCAGTCGTGTTACTTGGGACAAGATTTCGCCGCTTATTGCTGCGCTGCTAAATTACCTCAGGGACAATTTCCCGCCCTATTCATTTTTTTTTTTTTTTTGGACGAGAGGCAATGCATCCATCTTGCTTAGCATGTGAATTGTGCGATTCCTCCTGTCGTCCGAGCAGCCAGCCGTAGCCATAATCAGCAAGAATGTACGCGGGCGAGAGAAAGATCTGGCATACTCACTGCAAGTATCACTGAGCATCTGTAGCGCGCTCCGCGATGCAGGCCAGCTCTGTGCACTTTGTTTGCTCTTCAAGATCACAGGCCTCGCTTCAAGTCTACACACTTTGTGTTGTGATCCCAATCATTTGTCCTAGACCACACCATTATCATGCTGTACATACATGGAGAAAAAAAGGGGATCTGTCCAAATGTGTCAATCCTAATGCGCGCGATGCAAGATGAAACATTTGATCGTAGATATGCCGCGCACATCCAACGCGATCATCAACGTGCTTGGCATCATGGGTTCTCTAGCTCTTTAGACTCTCGCCCACTCGGAACCATCGTTGTTCTGTTGTTGCCTACCGATCCGTACGGATGAATTCCTGCGAAAGTGACGGGAACAACAGGTGATCGTCCGCGGTAGACACATGTATGCTCTTCTAGGTCAGATTATGGGATGACATGAACCAGGTTTGCATGTTCTTACCTCTTAATGCCGCCACATAACGAAGTGGTAAAAATGCACGCACTCGTCTATAGACCATCGTACATAGGCGGTAGGATCTATGGATAGGGCATCTGGCTGCAGAATACATAGCTTTGGATGTGCGTTCCTTGTCTGGTCATGTCATCTGCAGGTCTGGCCTAGGTAGGATCTTATGTCATGCATTGTCCAACGTCGATCGGGGGCTTCTTTCTCCTGCGCTGGGTTCGCAAAATACGGCTAGATTGGTTTTGATTCGGTAGGAACGATTCCGCGTGGGTTTTGACAATGGCTGCCACAGGGTCATCAAATGACCTGCTAAGTCCACATGCGTAATAATTTCATGCATGCACTTGAACGTGCAGTGACCAACGATAGATTGTTTGACACTACGACCAATTTTTTCCTGAGTCAATCGTGACATCCAACGATGACCTGGTCAGGCCGATATCTTTTCGTGTCAAACTCTGACAATGGGCAAACTGCGCCGCTGGTAGCTATTATGCTAGAGCTCGCGAAACGAGGGAACCAGTGCATCATGATGTCTGGCGCATCTGTCCTGCCGCGCGTGCAAAAGATTCAGAAGCTTGGCAGCTACCCCGTTCAAACTGAAGCAAATCCGACAGACAGTATGCTGAAGACGTATCCGATCGTTTTTGTGTCGCTTGGAACGAGTCCTGTCCTGTCATACCTGGATTATGTTGATGAGCAGCCCGAGCGCTTCCACTCTCATTGCTGTGCGAAGCCGGGCAAAGTCATGGGCTGGGTCCAGCTGTACAAGGAAGTGGTGCCAGACTCAACAGATGAGTATCTGCGTATGACGCATCTTGTACGTGACTATGTGGAAAAATTTGATGCGGATATGATCATTGTCGACAACTTTAGTCCATTTGCTGTGGATGGTGTGCGTCTTACGAAGCGTCCCTTTATCGAGACTGCCCCTGGATCCGTGATGGGTGTCGCGAGCCAGGTGAACCCATTCAAGCAACCGTTGCCTATGAGCGGTGGTCGCTCAGGTGAAGGTGGCCTGTTCGTGATCCTCAGCAACTTTATCTTTATTTTCAACTGGCTGTATTTCTATCTGTTTGATCCATGGTCCACACGTCGCCGCAAGTTCCGCAAAGAGGTGCTGAAATTATCGACGCCGAATCCTTTGGATGACGCGATTATGCCGCCTGCCCCTGGCGTGTTGCCGCAGCAGATTTCTACGCTGGCATTCAGTGTAGCGGGCCTGGATATCTACGCATCGAACGCGTACGACAAGTCCGTGTTCTTTGTCGGTCCTTGCTTTGTCCCCAACGCATTGCCTGACACCAATGCAAACGCTCCTACACCAGTCGATGACCCTGTTCTCGCCTGGATGGACGAACTGTATGCGCAGAACAAGCGTGTCGTGTGCATCAATATGGGCACCATCTATTATTACCTTCGTAAGGACTACGACAATCTGCTCCGCGCACTTCACATGCTGCATGAACGGATGCCCAACGTCGCTATCCTGTGGAAGATCCCCGACCGTTCGCAGGACGTTCAGCCGATCCCCAAGGCAGAAGAAGCGAACCTGCCGTCGTTCATTTACCGCGTCGCCTGGATCCCTGACATGTTCAAGGTGATGCAGCACCCGGCCTTGGGTGTTGTCATGCACCATGGCGGTGGCAACTCTCTCAACGAAGCACTAGCCTATGGCGTCCCACAATTCTGTGTGTCCCAGTGGGTCGACACGCACGATATTGGCCTTTGTATTCAGAACTCCGGTGTCGGTTTGTGGGCCGATCATTCACCAGAATTTATCCCCGAAGACGTCAGCTCGAAACTCGCCACGCTGTTGGAGGATAAAGGTCTCGGTTTCCGTCACAGAGCACTCGCTTGGAAGCTGAAGACTCAGCAGGCCGGTGGCACCTCCTTTGCCGCTGACGTCATCCAATCTTACGTCTCTGGCTACACGTTTGAGGGTGGTAACAGCAAGGCTCCTGTGGCGAATGCCATGTAATGGAATTTCATGAATCCCCACCAACTCTGCTTTTTTTCCCCCCCCTACTTTTATTATCGCTGCAACGCCGCGAGCACTACCATGGGTTTATCCCGTGGAACTTGCGTGTATGTAACGGGCAGGCACAGTTTTCTTAGTTTGATAGACTAGACTGGAACGTCGATAGAGTGGCGATGGGATGGTGTAGGACCTAGAATTGGACAAACTTGAAGATTCGGTCTTAAGGGTCTCTCGCCCACAGTCTACAATGACGCATGGAATGAAACACCTGTGCGTCTTATTGATCGGCCTCCACGCACGTCTCCCTCCCTCCTCCGCCTCTTGCTTCGAACTCGTCAGCTCGACCCAACATGCTGGTGCAGGAGCGAGCGAAGCGCGCCAGTGCAGGGAATCGTATGCATGAGCTGCTTGCACAAGAAGACTTCGCGTCAGAGGAAGTGTTTTTAGAGGCGGAAAATGATGCAGATTTCGAAGAACGTGAAGGTATGTTTTGCACATGGATTTAGGGTGTTGATGTGTCAGAGGAGCCGGACGTGGTAGACTCCGATTTTGATGGGAACAGTACAGAGGAAGACAGCTCCGAAGATGCTGAAGCTGAAGCATCTATTGCGCTTGAGGAAAAGCGACAGAAAAAGGTATGGCGTCAGGCATACAGAGACAATGATCGACTCACACGCACCAGACAACAAGTCGTCCGACCGCACGGATCCTTTCCAGCGTGATAACGCCTAAAAAAACAGCGGCAAGTGCTACGGATGCTTCCAAGAATTCTCTATCTCAGGGACCGAAAGTCTCGCGGACCGTGCCGGCCTCTTTCCCTCCTGGCGGCGTGCGTAGCAGCACCCGTCGGTCAACCGTGGAGAACAAATTGGCAACACAGACGAAACTGCAAGAAGCAGAAGCACGGAGAGCAAGTGTTAAAGCGCGCCCTGTCAAGCGAGTGAAGCATATGACGCAGGATGCACTAATTCGTGAGGCACTCGAGATGGAAGAAGAAAATACACGGAGCCTTCTGCACTATTTGGAGCAGGAAGAAGAGCGTAAGACTCGCCAGCGTCAAGCCGGCAAAAAGGAGTTGCAAGGTCCATTCTTGCGCTGGATTAGCGTCGGGCTACTACAAAACAAGTTCGTGTCTCAGGTGGAAGGTACACACGGGCAGGCATCGTCAAAAGGTCAGGAGGTACGAAAAGAAAAAGCAAAGCAAGGCGAATCTAAGCCTGGTCAGGACGCACCTCCGCCTCTGTCGGACGAACAATCCCAAGACACGCCTTCGAGTCATCCATCACACGAATTAGACAAGAAGCATTTCGAGCAACAAGGCATCCTTCCTGTTCAGACACGTTCGAATGAATCCTCTACCCCAACTACTGTACATTCTAATCCACCACCTGACACTCTGACGCTGCAAGATTCGGGCTCAGCCACTCGGTCTGATGTTGGTCTCGCTGCGGACCCACACCCCTCTCCCCATAGCATTGAAGTGCCGACGGAGGGGAACGCTGAAGCATGCCAAGCCATCCAGAGTCAACATGCCCCTGATCCTAATCTCAAGCCTTCAACTTCTTCCTCAGTGCATTCAGACCAAACTCATCCATTTATTCATACCCCGCCAACTCGGCAGTGCACCACGCCGCCGGTCTCTGTTACAACTCAGAGGGAGCCCAACGATACCCAGGATTCGCTTTCCACATCAACGCATGCAGGGACGCCCTCACAGACGCTGGCAGATCCGGCGGCCAATGCCTCTTCCTCAGCACAGTCTCATGGTGACGCACTTTCTCACAATAATGAGGCTTTGGTAAATCAGGACACTCCCGTGGACAATAGCCGTGCCACGCGTCCCGTCGCAGATGAGATCACCGCGCGCACGCTCATATCTCTGCATGGTCTAGAGCCGGATGCCACATGGGTCGACGAGTTTCGGTACCTGCTGGGCGACCATTGCGCATGGGACAGGATACCATTTGTGCCGTCTCGGAACCGCCCTTTCCGACCTCGACAAAGCACGTGTGTCATCACAGGGCTCCCTGCTCGTTATCGCGACCCGCGCACAGGTATACCCTATGCAACAACAGAGGCATTCGCGATGCTCCGACGCATACTGGCCGGTGAGTTTTTATGGACAGGATCACCCCAAAGCGGGGTGGCCTTATCGGCCGGCTGTTATGCGGCTGCGCATGGCGATGGTGGTGCGGGTGGCGTGTTCTTAGACATGTAGTTGCCTGTGGATGTAGTAATGCGCACAAGGAAAACTTTCGATCAAGATATCATCGCGTGCCTCAGGAGGTCGTTGATCCCATCTTTTTGTATGTATGTAAGCTGGTCTAGAGCTACATGTGCTGCATTGGCTACAGATACTTGCGCGTCTGCATGGGTCTATGCCAGGTCCATGGGTTTTCGTTGGACAAAACACGCGTTTAAGTAGCGCGCCGCGTCGCGCGTATCAAGATAGCCGTCTGGTTGGCTGGTTCTGCGACCAGACAGCCAGTCATGTGGGAGATGTGGAATTTATTTGAAGTGGCGCGACACGCCCGTCCCTTGCGATCAATCTTTCGCCGCTACCGCGCGTGAACGGTTTTGCCACATATAAACCGAGCCTCCATCCCTTAACGTTTGTACCCTCAACTTCATCCCAAGGTTCAACGCAGCCCATGTCTGTCAACGCAACTCCATCGAAGCAAGTGGCCGCGGACCTCGCCAAAATTGACATGTGCTCCTCGCCCTCCAAAGCAGCAGCAGCGAAGAAGCACGCTGTGAAGGAGGTGTCGCAGAAGGAGGACGACGACACGGAACCGAGGTCTGCCATCGACAACTACGTGTATGGCAGGTTTGTCGGCGAGGTGGACCTACCAGAGGAGGAAGAACCGATCTTGAAGGAAAACAAGGGTCGCTTCGTCCTGTTCCCAATCCGTTACCATGAAATCTGGCAAATGTACAAGAAGGCAGAAGCATCATTTTGGACGGCTGAGGAAATTGACTTGTCCAAGGACCTGTACGACTGGGACAATCGGATGACGGACCCTGAGCGTCACTTTGTGAGCCATGTACTTGCGTTCTTCGCTGCATCAGATGGTATTGTCAACGAGAATCTGGTCGAGCGGTTCAGTGCCGAAGTCCAGGCCACTGAGGCACGTTGCTTCTATGGCTTCCAGATCATGATGGAAAACATCCACTCCGAAACCTACTCGCTTCTTATTGACACGTACATTCGCGAGCCTGAACGCCGCGACTTTTTGTTCAATGCTATCGAGACTGTGCCAGTCGTCAAGCAGAAGGCTGACTGGGCTCTGCGCTGGATCTCGGACCACCGTGCCTCGTTCTCAGAGCGCCTTGTTGCCTTTGCTGCGGTCGAGGGCATCTTTTTCTCGGGCTCATTCGCTTCCATCTTCTGGCTCAAGAAACGTGGCCTCATGCCTGGTCTGTCGTTCTCCAATGAGCTCATTTCTCGTGACGAAGGCCTTCATACCGACTTTGCATGCCTCTTGTTCAGCCACTTGAAGAAGCGTGCTCACCCCGACACTGTAAACCGCATTATCACAGAGGCCGTTGATATCGAGCAGGACTTCTTGACAGACGCGCTCCCTGTCTCGCTCATTGGTATGAATGCTAGGCTGATGTGCCAATACATTGAGTTTGTTGCGGATCGCCTTCTTGTGGCTCTGGGCAACCCGAAGCACTACAACTCGACAAACCCCTTCGACTTTATGGAGAACATTTCGCTCCAAGGCAAGTCGAATTTCTTTGAGCGGCGAGTGGGCGACTATGCGAAGGCTGGTGTCGCGCGCGCTGATGATGAAACCCCTACGCAAGGAACCAATGAATTCAGTCTTTCTGAAGACTTCTGATTACATTCTGTGCTCCACCTTCCTTATTTCTAGTCGCCTCTATCCACCCCTATTCTTCCTCTTTACGCAGTCTAATGCCATATAAAAATAGATGTACGAACCGAGTAAGTAGATCCCAATGATGTGTTCTTCTTGATACCGTGAATCGCGGACGCTGATGCACACAGCGTTCGAAGAAGCTGAACAAAACAAAAATTAGGTTTCAACATCTGAGTAACGCGAGAAAGCTCAAGGCCCAACGGTCTTATAATCACGTGACTCGACACGCCCTCACGCGTCGATCCACCTGTTGGGTCATACACTCTCCCTTTGTCCGACTCACTTTTCGCGACACTTGCATTGTTTCGTCGCCATGTCGCAGCGGCGCATGACGCTGGCGTCCATCGACACAAACAAACATGCAACACAAGCAAATGGTATTCCAAGAGAGTCTAAAGCGCACGCCCCTTTTGCAGCTGTACGTGCGCGACCGTCGCTGGCGATGCGACGTTCCAGTGTCGCTCCGAATGGAAACATGCCACGGGCAGGCGAGGGATGGCCTCGTGCGAGCATGGTACCAGGGCAAAGAAGATCCGTAGGCATGGGGCGCGTGTCTCTAGCACCTGGTATGCTGCCACCCATGCCCATGCTCAAAGACAGCCGATTGCGGAGCAAGAATGCTCGTGCGGCTATGGAGGCAAATTTAATGGCCTTTCTCGAACGTACTGGGTTTACTATGGCCGGGTGGTCTGCAAAGTTTGTGCACGAACCAACACAATCCGCCTTTGTTAATATGTTCAAGCACATCTACAACACATGTATTGACCCCAGCTACCAAATGGGGGCAGAGGGCAAAAAGTTCGAAGAGGAAGTGATTTTGCTCATGAAAGAGATTCGGTATCCATTCATCGATGACCTGACCAAGACCAAGCTTACCGCGGCAGGAAGCCAACAGAACTGGCCCGCATGCCTTGCAATGCTAGACTGGATTGTGCATCTGGGAATGGCGGTCGGCCCATCGACAAGTGGGCCTATAGGCAGAGACGACGAGAATGAGCTTCACGCGCTGTTTTTCCCATACTTATGGAGATGCTATGAGAAGTTTTGGGAAAACCAGGATACGTACCCCGAGGAGATGGAGGAGCTTGCGCGGAGCTTTGAGAGCAAGAACGCTGCACTTGCCGCCTCTGTCGAGTCACTTGCCGCAGAAAAGACGGAAATAGACGCAGAGCTCACCGCTTTGACGGACAAGCCATCTCCGCTCCAACGCGAACAGCACGAAAACCATGTTCTTCAAGGCGATGTAGCCAAGTTCCTGAAATACCACCATGAAGTGCTTGTACCGAAGCTGGATAAGAGCCGACGAACGATTCAGCGGCTGCATGCGGCACTGGAGGAACACACAGCAGAGTTGCATGAAAAGCAGGCCGAGCGTGAACGCCGGCAAAGACTCGTCGATGCGCAGGACGTGTCGACAGAGGAGTTTGAGCGTATGATGTCGGAGCGAGAATGGCTTGCACGGCAGCTAGATGAACTAGCCGTGCAGAACCGCGAGGCCATCGAGCAGTGCTGGAAGATTGAGCTTGCCCTCAGCAAGTGCCAAGCCGATGTGGAAAAACGGCTCAAAGCCTTCCATATCGGTGAGCGCCGTATTCATCTGCTTCCTTTGTCGCTCCCAAATGGCGTAGAACTCACGGAGTTGGAGCTTGTTCCCGCGCATCCCTCGACCATGCTTGCACCTGGTGTGTCCATGCAGGCGGTGCGTGCGAAGATCGAGAAGCTGCGCGCATCCGAAACACAAAAGTTCCGCGCCCTATCTGATGAACGTGTAGCACTACAGGAGTCATTGGACGAAGTGCTTGAGCAGCTCGATCGTGTGCGTCGCGATGCACGCACTTTGGAGACGCGCCTTGAATCGTTGCGTGAGCAAATCGACGAAGTAGGATGCATCTCCAGCCATGAAGAAGCCGACTCTGCTGCTGAGTACATGCGCCAGGAGAACCTCGTCACCAGCATGGATCATACCAGCTCAATCGCATTGCAGCAAGCAGACACACGTGTCAAGGCACTCCACCTGCAGCTCCAGGAAGCATTAGAGTCTACGGCAGACGAGCGTGCCGCGATGCATGAAGAAATGTGCCGTGCTTTGCATACACTTCTGGATCTCAAAGTACGTGTGTCTGAGGGGCTTGAAGCCGTTGCTACTGCCGTGCAGGGTGCTATGCGTGCCTAGTCATCCTGCACATCCGTATCCCTATCCGCTCGTTATTTCCGCACGCATTTCCATTCACCTGTAGTTTTCATAACCGATGACGTCCGCTCAAATCAACTTTTCAAATGCCTCCACCTGATGAGCCCAAGTGGAGGTTCCCCAGTGAACTAGCCAGCCAGCTATCCAGCCAGCCAACAGGCCGTTGGGGAAGTGGAGGGGTGGAAGGGGACAGGTGAATTGGGCACCTAATGATCCTGTCACCACTATCTTTTGGCTCTGTACCACCGTGACCCCATTGTGCCGTCATGTCATCGGGTATTGGGAACCTCACGACCTTGATCAAGCGGCTTGAAGCCGCAACATCGCGCCTAGAAGACATTGCAATGGCGCAGTCCGCCACAACGTCAGATGGTAGCGCCGCGCCAAGTAGCACGGACGCTGGCACCGCTACTGCCGTTACTGCCAATGCACCTGCATTGTCCTCAGAGGAAACTGCTACACAGCGCAGTGAACTTGATGCGAAGGATGCTGTGGTCATTGATGATGTGCCTGTTGTTCGTGCTTGGGATAATGAGGTCATGTCAGTCTACCAAGAACTTGCAGAGAAAACACATGCATTGGGGCCTGTGATGGGCGAGCAAGTGGGTCTTGTCGGCAAGGCACTGGACGAAGTGCGTACTTTGATAGTGGCCGCAAGTCATTGCCGCAAGCCTGAGCAAGGATTGAATACTGCCGTCGTTGCAGAGTACCTGCAGCCGCTACAAACGGCACTCAAGTCAGTAATCGAGTTCCGTGAAGCGCACCGTGGAGAAAAGACCTTCTTTAATCATTTGTCGACATTGAGTGAGGGTATTTCATCCTTGGGCTGGGTTGCTGTAGAGCCAACGCCTGGCCCTTATATCAGCGAAATGAAAGACAGTGCACAGTTTTATGCAAATCGCGTCATCAAGGACTTTAAGGGCGTGAGCGAAACTCATGTCGATTGGGTGCGCTCTTTCATGGCCCTCCTAGACACAATGAAGTCTTATGTTATGACACACTACCGAACGGGTCTTTCCTGGAACCCCCAGGGCCAAAATCTTTCTACGTACATGAATGCCACCTCATCTAGGTCTGAATCCTCGCCAGCTGTGCCACCTGGATCGGCGCCACCAGCACCAGCGCCGCCAGCGCCACCAGCACCACCAGCAGCAGGCATGCTGGATTCCTCAAGCTCCGCAGTGCCGGGCGGCGGCATGGATGCTGTCTTTAGTGAAATCAACCAAGGTGAAGGCATTACGCGCTCATTGCGCAAAGTCGATAAGAGCGAAATGACGCACAAGAATCCTGGTTTGCGCGAAAATGGCACAGCTTGCATTGACGACAAGACACGCCCGAAGCCGGGTGTAAAGCCAGCAAGTTTGAGTACAAAGAAGCGCGGCCCACCACGGAAGGTCCTGGAAGGTAACAAGTGGACCGTGGAAAACTTCGAAAATGATTCCCACGTCGTGATTGATGGCACCGATCTTGGGCATACTGTTAATATCTTCAACTGTGATAACTCTGTGATTGAAGTCAAGGGCAAAGTCAATGCAGTGTCGCTACTGTCATGCGTCAAGACGAGTGTTTTGTTAGATACCCTCGTGTCGTCCCTTGAAGTGACGCGATGCACATCATTCGCGGCTCAGGTAACAGGCTATACGCCCACTGTGCTCATTGACAACACCGATGGTGGCCAAATGTATCTCTCTGAGCAGGGTCTCAAGACTGACATCATCACCGCCAAGAGCAGCGCCCTCAACGTATGTGTTCCAGCCATGAGCGGTGAGCCTGGTGTCATAGAAGAAATCGCGTTACCTGAACAGCTCAAACATACGCTGACGCGCTCAGGCACACGCACACAAGCTCGTAGTGAAGTTGTCCAGCATGCTGGTTAAGGATCCTTAGTGTGACTCTTCGGGAGTGCACACATAATTCCTACATTCTCGTTCATTCACTCATCCATTCAGTATACCCTACCTCAAGGGATAAAGTTGCCACTACTCTCGCTTACGTCACTTGCCCGATATTTTCGATTTCATCATACATGTCCACCACGATGAAGCGCCGTGCAAGTGATGATGACGGCACCTGTCCACATGTAGAAACGGCTGGGACATCACTTGCACCGCCTTCGTTTTCACAATCCGTGTATAAGGATGATTGCATGTGGTGCTTTGATTCTCCCGTACGTAAAACTTGGTCATCGTCAAATGTATGGATCGTGAAGGTCAAAAGCTGACATCGCCAAAGGATACGGCCTCTGGTGTGTGCGTATGTATGCATTGCTTTCAAGCTGGATGCGTAGGCGACAAAGAGCATTCACATGCTGGCATGCATTACCAAAAGACAGGTCATGCGCTTGCTTTATGGATTCGACGAACACCCAAGCCAGCTGAGCCAGTCACACGACTCGCTGTTGTCGAGAGGGCAGAGGAAGACCAATACAACTATGAGCGCCACCCCGTGTGTCTCGCATGCGATCCCGTACATGGACGTCGTATACAAAACACAGAGGCGGTCCAAGCAGTTGCCAATGGCATTGTGAATGCCACTTCCTCTGCGCACAAAATCGAGGTCCAGGCATGGGAGGAAGACATTGTGCCTTGCCAACACACTCAAGAACTGCGACAGGATATCACATCGCCGCCATTACTCGGAAAAGATGCAGCTTGCTCTCGGTGTGAATTGGATACGAACCTATGGATGTGTTTGCAATGTGGACATCTTGGATGTGGTCGTGCTCAGTTCGGCGGCATTCAGGGACACAGCCATGCCCTTGCGCATTTTGAGCAAACTGGCCACCCGTGCAGTGTCAAGCAGGGTACGATCACACCAGAGGGAACAGGCGATGTCTATTGTTATGCCTGCAATGACGCGCGTATTGACCCTAATCTAAATGCGCACTTACAGCGTCTGGGTGTTCCCGTTGCAACACTGAGCAAGACGGAGAAAAGCATGACAGAACTGCAGCTCGAGCAAAATATCAGCTTTGAATTCAGTATGGTCGATGAGAACGGTAACACCATGAAACCAGCTTATGGCCCTGGTCGCACCGGGATCCAGAATCTTGGCAACAGCTGCTACATGGCCTCGGTATTACAGGCTGTCTGGTCTCTTCCAACTGTTCGCCATCGATATGCAAGTATTGAGTGCCATGCTGTGTCCTGTACTGAACACCCTGCTCAGTGCTTCGAGTGTCAGCTTCGCAAATTAACGTATGGTCTTGTTTCTGGTCGATATGCTACGGGCGAAAAGCCACGGGGGATTAAACCCAGCATGTTCAAGTCGCTTATGGGACAGGGCCATCCCGAGTTTGCAAGCATGCGACAACAGGATGCCGAGGAATTCTTGCAGCATTTGGTCACGCGTCTCGGAAATGAATCTTCCCGCACTCAATCCGAGAATCCAACGCGTGTTTTTAGTTACGTGCTCGAGCATCGCTTGCAGTGCAATTCGTGCCACAAGGTACGATACACAGAAGAACCAGTTGAGGCGTGTGTGGGTCTGCCCGTGCCTGTCAAGGAGACAAGCGAAGCTGGTGTATATGAACCTGTTTCATTTGCAGAAAGCTTGGATGCATACACAGCAGCTGAGACACTCGAATATTCATGTCCATCGTGTGGGACTTGCGTCGAGGCCACGAAACAAACGCGCTTTGCCACTTTGCCAGACGTGCTCGTGGTTCAGGCACAACGATTCCAGCTCATCCACTGGGTCCCTCAAAAGGTCCCAGTCCCATTCAAAGTGCCTCTTTCGCAGTCCATGGACTTATCGGCCTATTTAGGGAAGGGACTCCAGATTGGCGAAGAAGAGTTGCCGGAAGACTCGAATTCCACAGGTGTTAACACAAGGCCTGCCGAGAAAGTTATTGCTCCCGATGCACTCGCCACGCTCGTAAGCTTCGGTTTCAACGAAACTCAAGCTCAGCATGCATGGCAGGCTACAGATGGTGATCTTGAAGCAAGCGCCAATTGGCTCTTTGAGCACGGTGATGAAGTCAACACCATAGAACCACCCGCTGCAACTGCCACAAACCCCGACGTATCAACACTAGAGGACATGGGTTTCACTCGCGCACAGGCGAAAAAGGCTATGAGATTACAGGGCAACGTAGAAATGGCGGTCTCCTGGTTATTCGAGCATCCAGATGACGCAGGTGATTTGGATATCCCCAAAGAGGAAAAACGTCAATCGGGTACTGCGGCTCGTGCAGGCTCTCGGGATGCACCAGCTAATTATGAGCTGACGAGCTTTGTCACGCATCGCGGACCCTCAGTGCACAGCGGTCATTATGTGGCTCATGTGAAAGATGGAAATGACTGGGTCTTCTTCAATGACGAGAAAGTCATGCACGCACCAATACACGGTACGCCATCGAGCGTAGGTGCGTTGTCAGAAATGGCATACTTGTACTTCTTCAGACGCGTGTAAAAACCTAGACCAGCACGCGACGAATCTGTTCTATACCTCCGGGTAGATCTATTTGTGTCACAGGACACACATGCCATTTATCCACATAGTCGGTGGCGCATCTGTAGCAAAAGGCGAAGCCAGTGGGAAGTGCACATGGGTTTTGAATCGGCATAGCGCCACAAAGTGGGCAAGAATTGTGCAATAAGGATGGGATGTCGACAATAATTTCATCATCAGCATCAGTCACATAGGGTGTCTGGTTTTTTGTCTTCAGCACCTTCGGATCACGGTATGACTCATGAGGATTCTCCAAAACGCCACTTGAACTAGGGTGCGATACTACGGGTGGGCCCAAGACTTTTCTTGATTTACTCTCGTCATCATCACCTCGGCGGCGATTATTGGGACTGTACCACCATTCCAGGAACTTGAAGAAGAATATCGATGCTGGTAAAGCATACTTGAGGGCATCCAGAATATGAGCTCCGCCTTTTTGTAGTGAACGAAGCATAAATAGGAGTGGAAAACGTGAGAACTGGGGAAGACGCTTGCTTGCTGCACCAAGTCGCAATGGCGTCTCGTTACCCATGGCGCGCCTAACGTCAACTCGCATAGCTGCCAGCCATGGACGCCAGTATGGAGTGATTCCAAACAAATATTTTATATGGTAAGCGAGCATCCATAGTTGGAGGCCAACCTGAACGAGGGGGAATCCTCGCCGGAAAAGCATCTTGAGTCTGCTACGGATTCGTTGAGCAGGCGCCTCTTGGCGTGATACCGAGCGTTCAAGCCGCACCGTCTCCTCATCGGCAAACAAATCATCACCGCTGTCGCCTTCAATGACCACACCACCACCGAGACGTTCCCAATAATCACTGAGCTTTGCTTCTAAGTAAGGAAGTCCCACAAGAAATAGCAAAGAGACATTCACTTCTCTATCGCGTAGCTGGCGGGTAGCGTGCAACTTATGAGGCGGCACGGAGGCGTCAAGACGTTTGGTAGAAACAGCTGGACGACGACGACGGCGGAGTCCATAGAAATGTTCGGTAAATGAGGCATTCCAGGTTCGTAAGTAATGCCGTTCAACTGCTAGCATTAGCACAGCATACAATTCATCAAACCGATTCACAATTCGTAGGAGATACCTAGGATAGTGCTGCGCCAGTACTGTCAGCACATAACGGATTGCTGGTTTGAGAAGATCGGAAAGTTGCTTCTGCGCAATAAGCTCAAAGAAAGACGGGCGGAACGGATCTGCGGCCGAGCCATCCGACGATGTCGGATCAATATTTGCGAGCACGTCCATCCTAAACCGTGGTGGTTGGTGTCAAACAGCAGAAAATGTGGAGAAGAAAACAAGTTCGATCTCACCCCTGCTGTACTCCATGGCAGTTAGTCGATATGCCTATGTGCGAGACTTTGAGCTAGCCGATTCGGTCCTGCCGCACACATACATGCTTGTGCGGATTGATGGAACAGGATTTCACAAGTGAGTTTTGTTTGTCTTACCAGAGGTTTTCACAGTTACATCATTTTGCCAAGCCAAACGATGCACAGGCCCTGGAATTGATGAACGAAGCAGCACGACGCGTTATGCAAGAATTTAAGGGTCATATCACACTCGCATTCGGTGAAAGTGACGAGTACAGGTACGTTATGCTGTCATGCTAAGATATATGAGCTTTTTAATCGACAAGAATTCCACACTTTATAATCGACGACAAAGGTACGTCAACATCCAAGCACAAAAAAACTAAAATGTAGCAAACTGGTTACACACATTGTATCGTTATTTACTTCGGCGTATGTTTTCTACTGGAATACTTATATGTCCACGCCTCTAAAAGAAGCTCCTTCATTTGATGGTCGTCTGGTGGTATATCCTGGCGAGCAAGAAGTGCGCGACTATTTCTCTTGGCGTCAAGCAGACAGTATGTGATCCATACACTAATGGGACAGCACATATCAATAACCTATATAACACGGTATTCTGGGCTTTGGTCCTAGAGGGGAAAAAGACTGAGCGTGAGGCTCATAACATTCTAAAAGGCACTGTCTCTGCCGACAAGCATGAGATTTTATTCAAAGAGTTTGGTATCAATTATGATAAGTTGCCTGCGTTTTTCCGCAAGGGTACAACTCTAGTCTGGGCTCCTGTGCGTGATCCCAACCGCACAAAACCACGCACAAGACTCTTCACGCTACATGTGGACATTATTGGCGATGACTTCTGGCGAACATCAGGAGAAAGTCTCGCTCCAGTTGAGGCTCGGTGTGAAGGCGAGAGTGTTGATCATTTCTACGAGCAAGCTGAAAGACATTATGGGACTGGATTTGGTTCTAACGTGCTGAGGTTTTGATGTATGCAATTCTTATCATGAATCATACATTTATAATTGCGATTTCCTCCAGGTTATGGTATCATGTGGACCTAAGGATAAGGCAAAACAAGCTGACGCATCAATAAGACCTTAAGTGTAGCAAAAATATTGAGGGATGCACGCATAGAGCAGAAAAAAAGTCAAATCTTGTTCATTTCATGAATGGGAACATGCGCTTTCCTCGCGCCTTCCCTTTTGAAGCCGACATATTGCCCGGAACGGGATGAGCTCTGGTACCGGCTGATGCAAATAGATCTGGTCCCTGTTGCGCTCTCGGCTCACGCTGCGCAGAAGGCATACGGTTTTGGGGCTGCGCTGTAGCCGGCATAGCAGGACTCCGAGGCTGCTGGGATGGTTGTCGAACCGGTTGCATTTGTTGTGCTCTCGGCTCTGATGCGCGCGAAGCCGCACGAACAATTTCTTCGTCAATAAGGTTTAAGGCAGCAAAAATGACGATCCATTCGACCATGTCTTCATTACCTTCACCAAGTGTTTGCCATACAGCCTGCTGTTCGGGCGTGCGACCTGTGATAGTTACGCGCGTACCTGCGCCGCCTCCGTTACTCGCGGTGGCATTTTTTTGGATGCGTCCAAACTCGATACGTTTGGGGGGAATCATGTGGCCGCCATAAGTGAAGTAAAACATCGTCCACCATGTATCGTTGGGATTAGGTTTTGAAATTTGGAACAATGGTTGATCATTCCCAGGCATGTCAGGATTGGGGAGTGTCAATTTGTATACAGGCGCATTAATGCCCGTATTCGTAATGGTCCACTTCAAGTTTCGAGAAGCCTCACAGAACACGGATCGATTAGCTGAAACGGGCACAGGTGGACCACCCAAGCGACGAGATCCGGGAGGCGGGATAGCCTTCGCAACGCAAAGCTCACCCATCATTGAGCTGAAGGTAAGCTACCATATATGTATACTTACGGTGTGAGCAGGTACGATTCATTGTTGTAGTTGGTATGCACATACGAATACCTTATAAGTTAGTTGTGATCAAGAAAAATTGCATACAAGATATGTTGGGGTTGTCCTGAGAGTCAGCCATGCTCCATGAAAACATACCGTAGGGCGTTACAATCAGAGTAGGCAAATGGTACGCTACAAGCGCGTGGTTTGGTGAAGTATATATAGCATAGGAGGCTAATAAATGTCAGTTATTTCGTCAAGCTATCCCATCATACCTGACATGGTCACAGTTATTTCAAGACACACTTGTCGGACTCCAAATACAGTGTCCCGATCTTATCAGTGTCTTCACCAGAGCCGGAGTGTTGTTGACGACGGGCACAAGCCTGGTGATGTTAATCCACGTGAAGGCACGCGTTTATCATGACATAAGCATTACGCCTTCAGGTAGCTTGCAGTGCGCGTTGAATGGCTAGACGCATTCGACAAAGCAGGCGTAAAAACGAAAGCTATGGCAAGGCGTAAAGACGCGTGTACTCTGCGGCTGTGTGATTAAAGAGCGTCAAGTCTTTTTGATACTGCTCCGCTGTCAAGTAAGAAGCACAGGATGTTCCCTTTCGGACGTACCAACTTCGGTTGAGAGCGCATCATCCGGCTGTGGCTCTTGTAGCAATTGAAGGATGGCTTCAATAACTGTGGCTATTAATATATCTGTAACATACTTGCTGAAACTTTAGTCGACGGTTTCCAGGCATCTGACTTCATGATACCGATACACATAGCTGTTGTCAATACTAAGTTAACATACCACCAACATCATCCACATTAGGGTGATGGATTTTACACTTAAAATGTACTGTTGGGCCTTTGAACGGGTACTCCGCTGGAAATTCAAATGCCAGCTAACTGGTGAGAAGTTTTACTTGCACTCACTGGGAAACGTCCACCCTCATAAGGCGTACCAGCCTGTACGATTAGAATTAGGTATAGAAAGAAACTTACAGGCTTTTGTTAGTTCAATACCAGCTGGACTCACCCCCTTTACTACTGCGCTCCAGGTGTAAAGATTGTTGCTGACGAGCATTAGCCGGCTTCTGGCTCAGTACAACATACTCTTGAGCATCCAAGGAAACTGTCATGTCAGCCTCAAGCTAATGTACGCACTCAATCCTGGAATAGATGATTCATGAAGCTCTTTTAGCTCCTGCAATGTGAGTATTAGAATCTGTGTGCATACCTTAATCAGTCGTCGTGACCCGGACATTGATGTATCGAGAGATCGACAGAATTGCTCTTCGATTAGTGGAGATGGGGTATCTATCACAATATTTCTTTTCATGCTATAAGTACGGCAACAATGACGCTCTTCGTGTACGCGCTTTCATCTGAGGTCTTCGAGCTTCCAGAGCAACATCCAAACGTCGGACTTTCCTGCAGACACGCGAAAACTCTGAAGTGCCCGGATTCCTTAGGAAATCAATTTCATCGTCTTCTTGAGAGTAATTGCCATGTTGACCAGATATCTTTGATAGCGTATCACTGTACCTTTGTTGCCGTTTATTTTTTTCCGAACCAACTTGAGAGATCAGTGGTAACGGTACATCATTTCCTTTTATTTCGGAATATTTTCGCATGGTCGGTTGACTACTTTCCGGCGCCACCCATGCATCAATAATGTCATCATAAATATAAGCGGCACTTTTGCCGCCTTTTGCCTTATTTTGGATAGTGACAAGTGCACGATTTTCAGCATCGGCTTGGTGCATAGACAACCACTTGAAGAATTCATCCGTACAAGGCATATTAGATGCCGTCATCCACTCTGAGCACACTGCCAATGCCTGAGCCTCAGGCAGGGCAAGGCCATGCCATTGCATTTGCTTTGCGACCAGCATAAAAGAATGTCCCAAATCAAGTCCTTCATTACTCAATGCACTTAAAGGAGAACTGTCTGGCGAATCTGAGACAGACTGAAGCGTCACCTCTTGTGCACTGTATAACTCTTGAATGAGACAAAGCAATCCTTTGTGTCGATTATGTTCATCGTTCGATACTTTACAATAGATGCACTCTGAATGTCTTAATAGTTGCATCGTAGAAATTGTATCATGCCGGGTTCCAAGGCGAATAATAGTTAAAATTGCCAATTCAATTGCAACAACAATAAGTTGAGGATGCTGCTTTAGTGCGAAACTACTCACACATTTGGTTATTTCGATTAAATAGTCATCAAGTTTCTGCTGACTTGCGATGGATGAATGTAACTTGCTGTGTAGCCAGTAGGTCCGAACTCTTGTTGCAATCGCTCTTGACAACCGATCGTAAAACAGTGGGAGAGGAATGCCTTGAATATGTTCGATGGACATACCATCGATACAGTCAAGCATTCCGTGCATGATCTTTCTTGTACCTCCGACCAAGTCGCTTGGTGCACAGAATGGTTGGTAAAGTCCGTCTGAAAAGAGCTCCAATACATCCGGGTGAAGCCAACAAATAGAGCGCTTAGGATGGTCATACAGCTGAGTTGAGAGTTGGTGTTGTAGAAATTTTAGCGCGAACCGATGAAGCCGGCCAGAATTGATCCTACTTTTTTGTGAGGATAAGTTACGCGTAGAGAATACATGTCCGAACCAATGTTGCAACAACAGCTCCGCCTAAAGTAAGCAAATTCAAAACGTACCTCACAAAAAGCTTCATAACGGACAAAAAAATTGAGTAGATCTGGGCAGAAGGACAACCGTGATACAAATTCATCATCTGAGTCGGTTGGAAACCGTTGGAAAATAAATCGTAATACAATACATGGTAGAATAAGAATTGCATATTGTTGAGGAATCGTATTAATACACAGACGGAACTCATCAACACTTTCATTGAAACTTTCGTAGACTGACTCAGGCACGCAAATGTGTTGTGCTGTAAGGAGGATGCAGCGACCCATCAAGGACTTCGGGGTTTTGGGCCCGCCGCAAGTCGCCCAACAATGTTGACATAACTTGATCACAAATGACAAAAGCGTATCACACGAACGTGTGGAAGACTGGAAGACTGTATTATTGGACCCGTTTGAAGAGAGAACATCGCATACAAGGCGCTCAGATAGCCGTAGCGCAGCAAGGAGCTCATCAACTATCGTAGTCATGCAAAGCTAAGATCTCTACCCCACCGACTAGCGAATAAATCAATTGACATAATAATAAAACCTAAAATTATATACTATATTTATTCAATTTCTACACTAATATGTACTAGTTTTTATTTCACAAATTGCATATTAAAATAAATAATAAATAATAATTATACTTTTTATTTGATATCCATTAACTAATTTTATTATATTGGTTTTTCGGTACGGTTAAATATATTTTCATTTTATCTAATTTTTGAGTTGTTGATCGAAAATTAAATAATAATTAGAAAGTTATAAATGAATTATTCAAATCATATCATTTAGTTTAATTTACTCTAATAATAGTTTTATTTGCTTTTATCCTTTTCTATTTAATATGTATTATGAATCAGTTTATTAGATAATCATGCATATGATTATCTGCGTGGTAGCTGCGTTTTGTGTGTTGAATGCTCCTCCTCTATTCTGAGGGTTGTGACGAATTGTGGACCTTGGGCGACTGCATCTTAAATTAGATTCTGTTTCTCGTCAGGAGTTGTTAGAGTCATCGCATTGACCCCGCGTATTTTTTTCAAGATGTTATTCAGTTTGTATCGCGGTTTAGCTGCTTTGCTGCTAGCTCCAAATGGCGAGGAGATTTCTGTTACATCAATCCAGAATGTACTGCACATGCAACGTTCTTCTTCTGAAAATCCGAAAGATGTTTTAAATAATCGGAAGTTTCTTACCGTGGGCGAAGAGTTAGCAGTTGTTCAACGACTGCAACAACATTTGAATCACGTTCATGCTGGTTATGACAGTATCTACGGTGAAGGTGGTACAGATGGATTTGGTGCTCTTGACTCAAGTCAAACAACATGGGATGTGAAAATTTTCAAGGAGAATGTCCGCCGTGGCGTCGAACAGATTGTTAAAACTGTATTGCGAAGCAGTTTGAATTATATAACTTTACCCGGATCAGGCGAGACACCGCCATCCGCTGAGAACAAGACACGCACACCATCTATGTATGCTGTACAGTCTGACACAATAAGCCGTATGGTTACTGTTCTTGAAGAAGCATATTTTATTATCACGAACGAACCGTCTCTTATATCCTCACATCGCTCCAGTTTTACGACCCAGGCAAATCCCGCTATGAACCAGAGTCTTTCAAGCCACCAGGCATACCCTAGCCTTCAGGCACGTTTTCCTACAGGCCCTCCAACGAATATGGACAAAGATGTTCGCTCAAAGAATGTACACTTTTTCTCTGATGGTTATCAGACTAATGGCGGGTCTTACTCTATGACGACAGGTGCGCCTCTTGAAGGGCCAACCCAATCTAATGCTAAAACTTCAAACCCTACCCAGGATGATGCTGTCCAAAAGACTGTGATGCTTACAGAAGCCTTAAAGCCCAGCAAAGTTTTGAGTCGTATGGATTCAAAGTCTGGTCTTCGTTGGACGAAAACCATTTCTAGACGGAAGTCAAAGAAAGCTCTAAAGCGCTCTATTTCGAATCCATATTTGGTCACCACGACACAAAATCTCGACAACGCGATTGATTTGGGTAATCTTCCCATTGGCCACGTTCCTTACGATCAGGTAGCCTCAGGCCGACTCCGCTCAACATCACCTATCCTTTCAAATGCGCAAGATATTAACGAATCGTCGCCAATGAACAGCCCTTCGTCGAGACCTGGAATTCCTTCATATTTGCTCGCGTCGTCTAAAGACAACAGCAACACGCAGAGTACTCCTCACGTGTCCTTCAACAGCATTGATGGCAACAATGCCCGTATTGCGTTCGCGTCGAACCCAGTACCGTTAAGCGCCACGCTTCAACCTTACACAGAAAAGGTCCCAGAATTCGCTACGACTAGAGGAGAAGAATCGGCACGTTCATCTGCAGATACGCGCTCGTTGAAAATCTCTCCGTCTATTAGGTCCAAGAACCAGGCACTACCACCTTTGCCTAGCGATGGTGTTTCCATACCGGACTCATCTCATGTGTCAACCATTCCTGAAACTTCAATAACTTCGATCCCAGCAGCTTCGTCAACCCCCCGTCGATCTTCGTCTTATCGTGTCCCTGTACAATATCAAACCCCTGAATCCGGTGGCGAAAGGTCGCACCAAATACCCTCTCCAGAATCAAGTTTCAGCAGTGCTCGTTCGCCTGTTGGTCTCACAAGCCTCATGAATGAGCAATCTAGAGAGTCGCTCGACTCACAGGAACCTAAACCAGAGAAGCCTATTGCAACTACTCTGTCACCTGCCGTCCCAAGAGCTCAATTATTGCCATGGCAGACCGAACGCAGTGAATCACCAGAGTCAAACATTCAGCACCGAAGTATCGATTCCAAGAGTACAGTGTCTCCCCGCAGGTTAGATGCATCCTCAACGCACAATAGAACGCCTTCTAAGAGCTCATTAGCACCGAGCTCTCTAAGCGCATCGCCGACTGACCCTCGTTACTCTCATAACAGTGTTGTGCTAACGGGAAATGGCATGAATGATAACTCAAGTAATGTCGACTCAATTTCTACCGTGGACCCCAATACGTTCCCAAGTCCTGCAAAATATGAGCATCACAGGAGCTATGCTAACACCTCGCGCATATCTACAGTCTCGACCTATATTCGCGAGTCACACAATGGCGACATTATTACTTTCCCTTCCGCCACCGATCAAGAAATCGACCAAAGTGACATAATGCCGGGCCATTTTGATGCTGGAGACGAAAGTGGTTTGAAACCTGGACAACGCCAGTCTATACCGAGAAAGCAGGTCAAACCACTCAAGTCACACGGAGACAGTTTATATGACCTTTACTACTCAAAGACACACGACCAAGATGCGCAGGCTCGTCGTCAGCCAGTCACAGACAATCTTAAGAATGAAGTCCATATGGGTTCGAGACCCGTTACTGGTTATGGGTTTACAGATGCCGTCAAATCCAAATCGCGATCACCTCGCATTGGCAGCACTAGCAACCCTATTTGGCAAGTGGTCGCTGGACTGAGTGATCGCACGAGCATTTACAGTGAAATGGATCCACCCAACAAACGTGCCAGTGGGATAAGTGTCGCCTCTCGTATTCCTGATTCGTTTAATGTCGGCAACAGGGATATGACCAGTTTCAGCACCGACCTTGAGAAGCGCGCCTTATTCACTGAAGCTCGCTCGGCCAAAGTAGACGATGTTCCGATGGATAACATATTGATCCCATCGGCCTCTGAGCACATTGTGCATGACCGGGACGACGACTTGGAATCTCTGAGTAGTGAAGGAAGTGACACTGAAGTTCACCGCCAACCGAGTCCTGTTCCTCAAAATGCAGCATCAGAGGAATCAGAACCGTTGCCATCAACGCAAGTGGCACCTGAAGAAAAGGGGAATACAACTTCAACTGTAAATGGCAAGTCCGATTCTGAAGGACAAAATGTCGAAATTAACGATCAGGGCTTACCTGTTCAAATCGTTTACTATGATGATGATGAACTTCCAGACATTATGGACAAAATCGCAAGTGGAAGTAACGCCGCACGCATTGAATTCCGCAGACGCAGCGCATATCCTGAGGTTCAAAAAGAAGTAGGCTCGAGGACGTCTGGAACTGAAGACAACAAACTCAGACTAGAGGATGACTCGAACCTTAGTCGGGTGGAACAAAGCATCCTTTCACTATTACGTCCTACATTTACCTCACTCAAGTTGAATTAGCCGTTGGTAGTTGGGTGCTTGAATCATTGGCATAATGACTTGCTTCTTTGACAATGTCCGCATCTTTAGCTGCCAAATTCAAGAGCCGCTTTTCGTAGGAGAAATATGGCTCCCACTCCCTAGCTCCTTGCTCTGGCTTTATATTGGTTGCTAAGAAGCGCTGTTGCATCGTTGTGTGAATCTTCATCGCATCAGCTGGGAGAAGTGTGGCCAAGAGGTTTGCCATACCTTTAAAGAACACAGGCTCTCGGCCCTTGTTCCCGGTTCCTTCATGAAAATAGCTGATGAATTGTTGAACACCCGCAACATGGAGAGTTGTTATCGCTTTAGGATCCACAGATTGAATGACAGAAAAACCAGGACCTCGAATCATAGTAGCATTGGCTAGTTGTCTTGAAAGTGAAATGTAGTGAGCCTCGGAGGCATCGTCATTGAAGAGGAGGAACAGGCTGAAACTACCCTTGAGGGTTTCAAGAATCGTCTCGCACACAATCCAACCACGGTTTGAATGTAAAGCATCATCTTTCATCACAGCGACTAGCTCATGACAGAGCGCGTCAAAGTCTAGGCTAAAGTATGCATAATACGAAAGCATAGGGGCTGCATAACTTACATTCAAGGCGCCAACACGAATAGCCGCAGCATAAACACCAGCGAGCGTGAAAAGATGCAAATCCGAAGCTAGTAGAGTGGAATCCAATGGCATGAATGTTCCTTTGCGCGGTCGAGATTTGTTGTGCTCATGATAAGATGAGACAAGAGTATGGAGTTCGGTCGCAAACAAAGCAGCGCATCGTTCCTGAATGTGGGATGGACATGTCATATAAAGATAATGTTTCGAGTTATCCTTGCCTGGGATAGAAAAGAAGAGCGTGTACAACAAGAGGGCCACATGCAAAGCGGACGATTGGACACGAGAGGTTCGGTCCAAAAAAGAGTGAATTACGTCCAAGACAGCATTTCGACGAGACAGCAGGGTGTCATCTCGATCCATCTGCTTTGTTTCATTCAGCAAAGCATCTTTTGTGCGCCACATTAGGTATAATGAAAGTGTCTCAAGTGCAAGCGCAACGAACTGGCATTCTTGAGGATAGTTAAGACGACCTCGTAGAGACAATGCTTTGATTTGGTTCCATATCAAGTCATCATCCAGCAATGTGCTCACATCCATTTTTTTTAAGAGGGCATGTAATCGAGCAAGGCTTGCTTGAATATTATGGACATCATCCTCGGAAAATACAGTCGTGTCTAATTGGCGTTGATGCAAGGTGTCTTGAAGCAAACTCAATACGGTCTCCTTCAAGCTCAACAGCCTGTTGTTGGATGTATTTGTGTCCATGGGGGCTAAGGCGAGAAGCTTTATAGCCTCAGCTGCTCGCTGTAAGAGCACTGGCTCGACATGTCGCATAAAATGACCACATAAATCTTCCCATAATGATTCAAATGCATCCATATTTCGTGTCTCATGATATACGTCCAACTTCATGCTCGGAATAATGAAGAGCAAATCGGAAATGCGTGGGGTATCAGCGGAAAACTTGGCCAAAAGTTTCGGGAGAGCGTGAATAAGATATACACTACACTCTTCCCATGCGGTCTCGTCTGAATCTGGATCTGTACGCTCTTTGACCAAATGAACACACATGGCGAGTATCTCGACAGCAACAGCTTCTTCATCAGCCACAAGTTCGTAGTCCCCCTCATCCGGAATAAGAATGTCGATGTATGGCTTCCAAGCGTGTAGCGAATCGGTCGTATCCCATAAAGCCTCAAAAGCTACACTAACGCGCCCGAGTCCAGGCTCAATGAGTGACAGCTTGTCTGAATCCAAATCATCAGTGCCCGCATTTAATTGCTGGGTGTAGTGGGAAAGTAGCTTGACTAGACAATGAACACGAACAATCGACTCATCAGACGTATTGTCTTGCATTTTGGCCGCAACATGATTTTGGAGAAGACCATTTAGAAATGCAGCGGCAGCGGCGCGGATCCGAGATTCCAAATCAAAAATGTGAACCGCCAATGCAGCTCGATCATCATTGCTTAACATATCCAGTTCATTCGCGGACTCCAAAACCGCGAACGCCGTCGTACGTACACCGAGGTCTACATCGTACAAAGCCATGTCGACCATCCGGGACTTGTGTGCTTCGGAGAAGGATACAAGCTGAATTGCATGCTCGGGCACTAAAACGTTTTTGATTGAACGCAATGCATGCAAACGAACAGTTACATCAGGATCCGAGAGTGCGGCACCAACATGACGGAGATAATACTCTTGCAGATATTGAGTAGGAAATTCCTTCATCCAGGAACCAAGTTGATCGACGCAATCCAGGCGCACAAGCGCATCGAAGTCGCGAGATCGGGGAGAGAATACATGTTTAACATAGTCGTCTAGATGTGCGTCCAGCGACTCACGAAGTGAATCCAGCTGCTCCATTTTGTGAGCTGTGTGTACAAGTCTTGTGCGATTCGCACTTTGCCGCTTTGCTTCTGCATCACGTTGTCTAACAGCCACATCATAATTCTCGCGCACTTGCTCAAGCTCATGAGAAAAAGCACCAATGGTCCACATAGCAACGAGACTCGATGTGTGCCTGAAGGAACGGAGTGAAGACACTGACATCGCCAAGAGCCATTGCTGCCATGTATCCAGGAAGTCTTCATCACTCAAAAGCTCCGCCTCAGAGGCATCGGAAAAAATCTTCTTTATCAACAAAGCAGCATGTTTCCGAATGTTCTTTAATGACTTCGAGCGTGACACGATTGGGTATTGGGAATGAAGGTGTTGCGCAAATTCATCCTGAATTCGTTCTAGTACGTCATCCACATGCTCTGAATCCTGCACTTCATCACTTGTTATGGTGGCTGTACACCCGCACAACCTGAAAAGGAACGTCACGAGTTGTGCTAGGGACTCGTGTGGCTCGCCTTGGTACGCGACGATCCAGTTTTCCGAGGCTTCCTCGATTCCATCAGAACGGAGCACAGATTGGAAGAGCTCATTATCTTCCATGTCTAATACATCCACAGAAGGCGCAGCGGCTTTCGTACCGCGCGCTCGTTTCGTCACAGGCTCATCGTCAGAATCAGAAAGGGACGTTAATGATGAATCTGAATCGGGGCTCGTAGGTACTCGCTTTCTACTTTTATTACTTCTTGAACTCAAAGGCCTTTTCCTTGTATATTCACTCGCATGATCAGGCGTGGGCGTTGAAGCCCTTGCTGCGTTCCGTCTTGGACGCGCCATGAGAGCCGTTTAAGATAGGGACGTGAATCATACGCGACACGTCGATGTAACACAACAGAAATGCACTTGTGGAGGTCGCTCGGCCGATGCGTCTCTCAGTCATCGTGGTGGGTGGATGTACCTTCGTACATGCCCATTCGTGGCCGAGGTCGATGGCCGCGAGCACCCGTAGACGAACAGCATCCTGATGGGGTGATCGAAAAGTATGTGGCACTACGAAAACCAGGTTTCGAGCGAGCAATTCGGCTATTGAAGGAAATTGGTCATGCCGTCAAGACGCTCATGCAAGTACATGGATGGAGTGCGTACATGTTGGTAAACTTACAGAAGAACTCGCCGTCCTTGCAGAAATGTATCCACGCAATTCACGACTGTTGGGTTTAAATTACAACCAAGGGGAAAAGATATTCCTGAGACTGCGAGAAAGTACAGATGAGATGGATTTCTTGCCGAGAGAGGCGATTGTGGCAACGTTCGTATTTACAACCATCATAAATGCATATGCGCAAGCTAACATCGCACAACAGCATGTTGCACGAACTAGCGTAGGTTTATTTCTCTTACAGCAGACATAATGTTCGCGGACCCCACGATGATCGATTCTACATAACACTGCAAAAGCTGACGGACGAATATTCGACGGCACAGCGTCTTGGATACTGGCCAGGTGCTGGCTTTCTTACTCGTGGCGAAAGACTTGGTGGATCCAGTCCGGTTGCTATAAGCGCGCATGAACGCCGTCTTCGAGCTGCAGATGCCGCGCAGCGACGGTTAGATCGTGGAAGACGCTTGGGCGGCACGTGCCCACCACCAACCAAGACACTCAGCGTACTAGCGGCTGAAGCAGCTATAAGGAGGCACAGAGACGCACAGACCTGCGCATCAATATCGCAGCATGAGATGGCACAAATCATGTCTCCAACAGAAGCTTCTGGACAAAACACCAACGTTATCGAAATCACTGATAGCGACGACGAAGATACCCCGGCTCAGCAAGCACCGACACGACTGACATCGACGCCTGCTCGAGGCACGCCTGATGACCCCATTATGCTCGACGACGAAGACAGCAGTTCATAGATTTTGTGGAGTTGCTTCGATGTGCCCCTGTTCATGATAGCCGCGTATGTTCGGCCGAACCCCGCCCACGCGCACACTTACTCCAGTTCCGAGCTGCCTGACGAAGGGACGCCTCAGTTCCTTGACACGACACGCTATGATTGCTGCTCCGCTGCGCTCCGCCTGTTTCTCGTCGCTTCGCTCTGCCATGCGTCCTGTTCCTCGCGCTCTTCCGCGTGTGAATATGGTGCGCACGTTCAGGTCGTCTTCGATCACGAACCGTGTCAAGACACTCTACACGCTCGAGCACGAATGGATCAAGTATGATGACGAAACGAACGAGGGAGTGCTTGGCATTACGGACCACGCGCAGAACAGTCTTGGCGATGTCGTATACCTGGAGCTGCCATCAGTGAGCCTCGAGGTGACCAGGGGAGGTGCGTCGTCTTCATTGACTAACATACAGACCAAATTGGCTCGATTGAGTCGGTATGTGTTGGCAAAAGGAACACTCTAAACATCTAACCTTTACAGGTCAAGGCTGCTTCAGACATTTACTCTCCTGTCAGCGGTATTGTCGCGGAGGTGAATGAAAAGCTGAATGACGAAATGTCGCTCGTGAACAAGAGCCCTATGGAGGAAGGTGCGTTATCACACCAAGTTTAAACATGGACGGTAATTTACACATAATCCAGGTTGGCTTGCCAAGATTCGTCTCACGAATCCTAGTGAAGTTGAGGAGCTCCTCTCTGAAGAGGCGTATAAGGCGACGCTGGACAGCTAGGTTGTCCTGCTAAATGAATGTCCAACTTGTGCAATCCTGGCAAAGTGACTCGCGCTGCACGTCTGGTACAGCTTTAAGTCCTTTAGTGCTTGGCCATAGATGCGTCCATATTGATGAGTCACGAAGCACACGCCTGTCCCAGTCCTCACTAAGTAGCTCCGACATCACATATGTGATGCGGTGTGCCATAATTCCGATCGACCATCCCAAGTACTGCACTGTGTCGTACACGATGCTTTGTCCCAAATGGCACTTGGACTCCATCGCAAAGCCCGTCCGGCTGCATATCGACGTCGGACCAACACACTGACCAGTTGCCAGTGAATCGGCCGTGTGATACACATGTGTCACAGGAACCAATGCGTATGCATCGTCGTTCGGCGTGTTAGCGGGAGGAATTGGCACATGAAGACGTGCGGCGGCCATGCGGTCACCAGGCGATTCAAATGCTACAGCCGGCACACCAAATGTAGCACCAAGCAAACTGGCCATCACACCGCCCAGGCTGTGTCCTGTAACCCAAATCTGGCTATTTGGGTACATGTAAGAAATGTTATTATACAAGTCAGTGGCGGCTGGGTAGTACAGTGAATTCTCCAACAGCGCCCGACTTAGACACTCTGTATCACACTGATTCTTCCCTTGGTAGCAATCACAGACGGGTTTCCATGCATTCGTGACTCTTGCACAGCAGCAAGAAAACAACAGATTGTCATTATCCTTGTCTTTTTGACCAGTTTCACCGCCCGGCAGGAAGCTAGCACTTGTGCCCTTTAACGCTACAATGACGAGACGGTCCTTTTCTGTCGCAAACACTTGTCCTCGAAGACCTTCTGACTGCCATCCGAACTTGCCAGACCAGTGCAGGTCAGGCGCATCTGTAATCTTGGTTGGAACATGTTCATAGTACGCCCAGCATGAGAGGCGAGCAAGAATTTTCAACGTGCGTCGATCAGTGACATCTGGCCACGCCGCATCGATGTTTTCCCATGCATCACTTGATGAAAAATTTTCGCTGTTAGCAATCACAGGCACTGTTGTTCGATGCTGGAGAAATGCGCGCACGTCACGAAGACGTCGGATTGGCCGCATTACACTCCGTACGCCATAAACTTCAGGATTCTCGTGGATTGGCATATAAAAGATCCACCATACACCTACCAGAAGCACACATGCCCAAGCAGGCCATGACTGCATGTGGCGTTTAAGACAGGCAGGTGCAAGGTCTGAACAACGTGAGTCTCTTGAACAATCACCAAGAAGATACGCATGATATCCTATGGAAATTGTGGCGGAGACACATGAACTTGCTTATATAATATGATCTGCTAAGCTTAACGCGTCACGTTCTCGTTTCACCCCGGCAGCTCTTCGACGTACAGAGACAACAAGGCATGTGGGCTCGACATGGTATGATGTGTATGCGCGCCGTGACGCGATCATGCGCCCTTCCTGCCCGCGCAGGCACATATGTACCAAAAAGGCAGCCTCTGCGTTTTCTTTTTACATCGGCGCAGCGGTTTGCTTCAGAAGATCCTCGCTCGAATCTCGAACAGGCATTACCACCTGGTTTTGAGAAAGTTGGGCAATCGCCAGATGCTCTTGCAGCGATCAGCAAGCTTGCAGAGGTTTTGGAAAAAAATGGATTTGATTTGTCCGGCTCGCAGAAACCATCTATGATGCAAATGGCCAAGCTTGCCACGAATGCGGAAGTGCGTGAATGGACCGGAAAAGGTATGTTTGCACGTATTTAGATCTGGGCTTTAACATCCAGTCGTCGAAGAAATGCGCAAAGCCGGCGTTGACATGTCTCCAGAAAATCTCAACACTCTCATGAAGGGTATCAATTGATGTGTAAAGCCTCGGACTGATAACATCCCTAGCGTCTGCGCTCTATCGCGTCGTAATGCTTCAAACGCTTGGTCCCATAGAAACGATCAATGGTAGCCATCAATTCTTAGCTATTTGGCCGCTTTAACAACTTATTTTCTATAAAAATTCACTGACCCATTTTCTTAAGTGGCAAGGGCCAAGGGTCTAATTGCGTGCAATAACATAATTTGTGTCGCACATAAAGCTTGATCCTCGGGGCATTAGGCTACGAATATCTACAAGGAATTTCAAATATCTTGAACGACTGCACGCTAGGCCAGTATAAAGATCCGGAACTTGGTACTCCATACTCATATGGTCTGATTGAAGTTCATTAAAAGATAATATGGCGCATGTGACGCGTATAAGCTCACCGTGAGGGACCCTATCCGAATCTAGCACTTCTCCACAAATTTCACTGTCAATGATTTGCACTAGTAATAACGATTCTCAAGCCATCAAGCGGTACACACTGAATACGCCTCCATAATCTTTCCTAGTTTGAAGACCAATCAGGCACGTAATGTCAACGAAGTGAGGCATAAAAATAACATCGGCTTGTTTAAATTTAACCCGGCTTGCGTTGGAAGACCACTTGTCAAAAAATAGCCAATGCAAAAGGCAATGATGTTCAGGCCAACCCAGAAGATTATCGTTATTCTATAGCAAACGATAGTCATTCCAGCATCCCGATATACCACAAGTTCTTGGGGGCATAGCATATTTGATGAAAATTGTAAGATTTGATGATAAGCGTCATTAGACTAATAAACAAATCTGGTGAAAGCTTTTATATGAATCTTGAGTATCCATAATGTCAATATACTGCCGCCGGTACACATAGTCCCACGAAGATGTGCTCAGCAATTGATGCATCAATTCAATTACTATGGGATGATCAAACGGTGGGATTTTGAATAATAGCAAATTGCAATAGCACACTCCTTGATCTTTTACTTGAAAGTGCGGTTTCAACCCTTCAAACTTGCTAATTGGGTTTGTTTTTGCGTGTTCTCCTGCATGCGATTATCATGTAGTTTAGGACTTCGTTACTGTAATACAATTGGTCAGACTCGGTGCCTGTTTTCTTACCCCGGTTATGATTGTCTTGGCAGATTCGTTCCAACCTGGAATTAAGAAATGAAGTCACATGCTGCACGGGCTTCTTGCGTGTGCGCACCGATGACGCAAGTCCTGCGCCGGACCTGATAACCGACCGGGAAAGCGCCTAGTAATGCAACTAACGGTCATTGCTAAGTTTCTACAATATAACCATGCTTGATGAGTTGAATCCAGCCCAATACCTTGCAAAAACAAACACCACTTTCTTGGTTGGTGATGTTACACAAGTTTTGACAGGATGCAATGCACTTGCGTCTGTCCATTTCGGATCGTACATCCCCGGTGAGATGACAGCAAATGTGACGATGGGCTATTTGTCCTATTCAATCCAAGATTTCTTAAACAACATAAAAAATGTTCCTGATATTTTTGCTAATGGAACCGCAACACATCAATGTGTCGCACCAGAAATCCATTTCACAAGACATCAAAACTCCCAATATCCAACGATACACAATAATTTCCACTTGTTCGCTAATGAAAAGTTTGACCCCGAGCTACTCATTATGAATGCTACATGGAGTTTTTTACGGTTCAATGAAGACCAATTTTATGTCGGCGAGCCTCTCTCCGCTGGGCTTTTTGATTGTACGACTGTCCGGTATGACTGGAGGAATGGTGATAAGATACAGAATCGGACCTACGATACACATCATGCGGGCAATGCTACTAAGCAGCTGCTTGAATTAGATGATCCTCAGTCAATCACAAACCTTAGTATTACTTGCCTTGATGTTTTCGAAGCGAAACAACCTTTGCATCAAGATCTCCCCTCTGGATCGATGAGCCAATCAAGCCACTCGCTGGTCCAACTTGTCGCAGTCTTCTTGGCGACTTTGATTGTTACTTTAGCTTAGATTCTCATTTTATAACGTGCAAAAGCGATGCGATAGCCTCTATATGCGTTAACATGCATGTTTATGCCACATTAATTTTACAATCGTTGTTTCTTTGGCAGATCATACATAGTCCGTGTTTCTCGAGCTGGTCCTTCAATTTAAAGACAAGAAAGTTCTTACACTACTTGGTGATGCGGGTTCACCCACAATAGACAAGACACCAATAACGCCTGTAGGCTGTTTGATTTGATTTGTTCATGCGTGTAAACGCTGTTTCATGCGGCCTGTAAGCAGGTTGTACCCCAGGATTATGATGCTATTGGTTGTATCGGTGCCTAATTTTCTCCACCTAGTCACAGCAAAGGCACAAGATCTACCGCGAATGAGAAAATAAACTCATGCTGCACGGACTTGGGTATGTATGCATGAATCAAGTCATGTGCCGGGCCTTTTATCTGACCGGAGGCAGGACTCAGTCGCGCACCTGATGGCCATCCATAACTGCCACAATAGCCATGACGCATCAGATGAATCCAGCCGAATATCTCACTAAGACCAATACCACTTTCTTGGTAGGAGACGTTTTCGGGGTTTTGACAGGGTGTAATACACTTGCCTCAGTTCATGTTGGATCCTACTTTATTGATAACGTCACAGTAGCGAACATGACTATGGGCTACTATTCGCACTCTGTAAAAGAGTTTTTATTCAACATCAAACATGTACCCGATATATTTTTGAATGGGACGGCAACACACCAGTGTGTTCAACCTGAAATTCAATTCGCAAAGTATTCTGAAAGACAGTACCCGACGAGTCATAATGAATCTAGTCGAGGCTGGTGGAAATATTCATATCCTGTATACCACATTATGAATGCAACATTGCAATTTCTACCTTCTCATTCGAATGAGTTTTGGGTCGGAGAACCTATAACGGCAGGGATCTCTCAATGTACGACTGTACGATTTGATTGGAAAATTGGAGATAAAATACAGAGCCAGACACCCACGCCATTTCCTGGGGGAAATGCTACGAAGCAGCTGCTCAACATAAATGACTCTCAGTCGGTAACAAATCTCAGTCTAGCATGCACGGAACTCGGTACAATTGATCCGCCATTGATTCAAGATTCCGGGTCGATAGCAGCCTCGAGTTTTTCGCTCGGTCAGCTTCTTGCTATCTGCTTGGCAGCATCAGTTGTAGCCTTTGCTTAGATCCTTATTTTACAGAGTTCGAACACAAGTTTTGTTCAATAACTCAGTGACGAATATACACACCCGTGGCTGCCACTAGAAATCCAAAGCCTGTTTTTCATGTCTCTTGCTATGCACATGTTTCTCCAGTCGCTCCGATATAGACTACATATTAATGTCTTACACTGATTCCTGTGATTATCCCGTCATTGAGAATGCATGGCTAACTTTGGTATATTTCGAGCGTTTCTACACGAATGTAGTGTTTGAATGATACCCCAAGGCTGAACAAGATGCTAATTTCGTCTGCAAGCTGCTTTTTGGATTCAGCCTTTTGTGTTAGTTCTCCTGCATGTGGCGATCACGCGATTTTGTACCTTCTTTCCGCGATCCTATTGGCTAGTTTCTCGTACCTGTTTCTTACCCCACCTATGATGCTTTTGGTGAGGGTGTTCGAATCTGGAAGTAAGAAATTAACTCACATGCGGCACAGGCTTCCTGCATGTGCGCATCGATGACGCAAGTCTTGGGTCGGTGTTCACTCCCAGTCGGACTTTGCGAGTCGTCACGCATTAAGCGACCATCTCTGCTTGTTACAATATAAATATGATTCCTTCGTTGGATCCAGCTCAATACCTTGCAAAAACAAATACTACCTTTTTGGTTGGTGATATTTCAAAAGTTTTGATAGGATGTAATACACTTGCGTCTGTTCATTTTGGACCAGGCGTCTCTGATGACGGTAAAGCAAAAGCAGTTATGGGATATTTCTCTCACTCAGTAAAAGAGCTTCTATTTAACTTGAAGAACGTGCCTCGTTCATTCGCTAATGGATCAGTGACACATCAATGTGTCGAACCAGAAAACTATTTTACAACATCTCCGAGCTCCCAGTATCCAACGATTCATACCAATTTCCGATCATTCATACACGAACGAACTGAGCCTGAAAAAATCATCACGAATGCAACAAAGATGTTTTTCCCGCGGTATGAAAATCAATTTGCTGTTGGTGAGCCTCTTTTTGCGGGACTATTTGAGTGTACATACGTTCGGTATGACTGGAAGAGTGGTGATAAGATACATAACCAGACGTATCACAAGCAACTTGCGGGAAATACTACAAATGAGCTGCTCAAATTGAATGACTCGGATTCAGTCACAAATCTTAGTATTGCTTGTCTTGAATATTTTGCATGGATGTCGGGTGTGCACGATTCTTCGTCTGAATCGTTCCATCATTTAACTCCTTTACTGGCCCAGCTTCTCGCAGTTCTGATGGCAACATTGGTTGTTATTCTCGTTTAGATCCTTCTACGCCGAGCGACGACGTATTAATGTACAGCTTATGAGTCGACGGTTTCCTCCGCTTAAAGTAGTATGACAACACCATTCTTTACTTTTCATATAATTCTGGTGCTTTTGAGGTTGATAAGTATGTGGTTTACATCGGTTTTAATACTTTTTCTTAACTATATGATTCATGATGGGGTCGCTCGATCATTGTCTAGAAATCATCACTTTGGTCCATACGTGTGCTAACGCTACTACATACTTGGACAAAAGCCCATTGTTAATAGGAGCGCCAGAAAGGCTATATTGTTCATGGTGCACACCATGTTCTCACTTGATGATAAGGAATCCATACTACTGGTTTTATTTTTGAAATGCATTTGTAGTCCGAACAGACAGGCAGAGGAATGTGACAATCAGCTATTCCTGGCAATTTTTTCCTGAATCTATTTGTTTGAATAGGTCAGTTCAGTAACCTGCTTCGCAAAGAGCCTTCTCACTATTTTGTGATCATGGCTTCAAGTTTGTACGAGAGTTTGCTTAATTGGTCCCGTCCACATTTATATGAATCCTCAAGAGACGAGTGTAACAAGTTGAACACAAAGAGCTGATCGGCGATCCCAATTCCTGCTTGTCGATTCGTCAGGTACAAGTGCAGTATTCGCATGGCCCCACATTGTAACTCCACAATAAAGGTGCCAGGACAGTTCCGCGATTTAAATCTAGATGTGCCGAATATTGTCGACACAAGCTGCAAGATCATTCTGGGGTCTTTCGTGGCATAGATATTCTATACTTAGATCTGAAAAGAATGAGTCATGTCTAATGTACATATTTGCTAGAGAAAAGAAAAACGAAATGAGAAGGATTTAGATAGACGAAATGTTTCGTGCCTTCCTACAAAGGTTCAGCCACGGAACGTGGCTGTCATTATATATGCGATGGCTGCGCAATCACGCCGAAAAGTACTTTTAAAAGATACTGATACTGGGCTGCATGTATTTCAAAGAAAAAAATCCTCAGAGGCCTATACGTCTCTAAGCACATGAAAATGGATGCATAAAGGAATCCAACCATGACAATTTACGCAATAACGCTGCTGGCAGGTACATTCGACCTGTCGTAATACCAATGATTCGTCTACCATAGTGCGTAAACTGAACATAGTGGCTCTCTTTTATGTGTGAATAAGCAAGTATCAGGACCTTTGCCATGATATAAGATGATGCATAAAGAATGAAAAGATCATGCCATCGCTCTATCCACGGAATAAAAGGAAATGCAGGGTATCAAGGTCTCGAGCATTATGCGTCAGGTGTATAATACCTCGGTCGCCGGCGTTCCTGCGGCGTTCGAAGCCGCATACGAAGAGGCGAGACTGGTGACGACCGGCGAGAACGTTTCCGTTCTGTCTCTTGCTCCTTTTCATCGGAGCGCATCCACTGCTCCGCCATGCTCTTGGGCAAAACATACACATCTTCCAGCATGCTTGGACCAACAATTCGGCATAGCTTATGGTAGACAGGTTCTGGTAGAGCATCAGCATCGAGTGGCTGCATCTCGAGGCTATCCAAGAGAACATCATGCTGTTCAGCGCCCTCTTCCTCCAAGACCTGTGGATCCAGCGTGCATGAGCGGACAAGGAAGGTTGGTGTACCTGTACACTGTGTGAGAGTAAGGCGTTGCAATGGACAATGCGAGCGTGTGCAATGTGGGCTTTTCGATTGAGTAATGGGAAGCTCCATACTCGAGTCAGCCACATCCTGTGAGGCTTCGTGCTGTACATGTGAGGAAGCAACTGGGTTTTCAGCACGCCATCCCTCTAGAGTGGATTCATGCGAAGGAGAGACATCAGTCTTCGCCTTAGAAGCAGAAGACGCTTTCTGTGTGTCGGGACTTTCTGTGGGTCCACTGGCTCCATGAGAGCTCTCAGGAAGATCCTGATGCGATTCTGTCAAGGATTCTGTCTCTCTCCCATCATCCGTCTTTGTTCCTTCTTTTATCTTGTTTTCCTCCCATCTCTCTCCCTCATCTTTGTCTTTCTCTTCTTTCTTTTTGTCGGCTGCTGTATTTGCATGATGCATCGAGTCTTTTTGAGACTCTGCTTTTGGACTTGTTTCCGTACATTTTGACTCTTGCGCTGAATCACCATCAGCATCTTCGTTGCCCATGTGATGCCGCTCTGTTGATTCGCGTACATGAGCATCGAACGCTGTGTCTTGTTCGTAGCTTGAATAGTCTGGGGCTTGTTTCAGCGGCTCATTCAATGATGCTTCGAGCGACTCGGTGTGCAACGGCTGTTGTGTCCTTCTTCCAGGTTCTTCGTCGCATTCATGAGTTGAACCTTTCACATCCACGTTTGATGATTTGAGCATTGACGCGTCTGCATGAGATAGATTCGATGATGATACATCTACGCTTGCAATTTTATCCGTTGCATTCGGACGGTTTCGGGCTGGAGCTTGGTTAAAACGATCCATCGTCCTTATATCATCAGCATTTTGCTGCCCAGTCTCTTCATCTCGATTTGGCGAGAACGAAGCAGCATCCATAGTGTTCAAGTGCACCGACTCGGGTATATGATCACTATCATGTGTGGAGCTTTTCGACAGCGGGGGCTGTGGCTGCACATGGTTCTCTGCAGATAGTTGATCAACAGCAGTAGCCTCTGTGCGGGGCTCGATTTTCATGTCCGTGTGCACTGGACCATCTGGGGAATTTGTATGTCCGTAGTCCACACTCGCATAGGCAGACTTATTGAGTTCAGTCTCTGGCGCACGTCCATCGAAATGTTGCACGTCCAGATGTTCTTCTTGTGGCTCATTCTCTTCGGACTCATTTTCGTCAAAGGCAGCATGCTCTTCTTCGCCTTGTGTAGAGGGCGCATGGAGCTCGTCTTCTTCGACGAAGTCATCCCAATCTTCAACGTTGTCGGACAAACTAGCTTCTCCATCCACCTGCCTAGGCTCGTGACCCATTGGTATACTAGATAGAATGGGACCACTGTCCTCATCACTGTCAGAGAGTACAACGATCGGCGCATGAGAGTCCATTAATAGTCTTGTTGCGACTGGATTGGTCAGTTGAGAAGACGCCGATGCTAACATGGACGGCATTTCAGGTGAATAAGACAGGTTTTCATACGCTGAATCAGTCGAAAGGAGCGAGTCAGCAAGAGCCGGTGCATGCCTTTCGGTATCCAAATCATGCGTATGAACTACGCATTTGTCATGATGCGAAACAAATGGATCGCTCGAATGAGAAGCATGAATGCCCGAGATAGAAAAGACATCCTGATGAGCAAGATGATGAAAGAGGGATACGGAGTCACTCTCGGCCTCAGGAGGCGTGTCACGGTTGTCATGAGAGAAATAAATCAGGTTGTCGTGATGGGTCACCTCGCTCACAGGTGGATCAACTGAATGCGTGTTGTCCGTCACATCGCCGAATCTCGCCTTGCCTTTTGCCCGGCCTTTTTCCTGCTCAGGATCGACCGCTTGATTACCTGTGCCCTGTTCCTCGTCTTTGTTCACATTCGCAACTTCAAGTGCCTTTTGAGCGCTCGAGTCATTAGCATCGCCAGTCTTTTCTTCTCCATCGAGATCATCGTCTATATCACTTTCCTCTTCTGCTTCATCCTGGTCGTCATCGTCGACTTCCTCCTCGAGCACATCCTCATCATCTCGCTCAGTGTCTTGATCCACCTCGGACTCTTGATCTGAAGATGCGCTCCCCGATTCCGTGGCATTCTGGTTAGAATCCAGCACTTCAATGATGCGCTTTGGTGTCTTTGTAGGACTGGCACGCGAACGAAGCAACGCATCGACGTCTACGATACCAGTCTTGGCATTCATGAAGGACGAAAACAAAGAGGACGCCGATCCATGCGCTGGAGATGATACTTCATTCGGCGGCTTATCAACGCGCCACACTTGTTCTGCAAATCCGTCCAAGTGCACAGGACCTTGCTGCTCGTCATCTACAACACCGCCAAGAGACAGGAGCTCTTCAAGTGCCTGGGCAGTGCGATGAAAGTGGCTTTTGGCGCGCACGTCTTCCTCGACAGGTGGCTCTTCCTCTTCCTCCTCCTCCTCTTCTCCTTCAGAAGATGATGAAAGTGTCAAGATGCGGCGCCGTTTTTGTGCGCGCACGAAAGGGACGTCCGCGGTGTCTGCATCTTCTGTAGCGTGCGCGACGTAAGCGGAGTGCGGGCTTGACGGCGCAGATCGATGCAGCAAGGCACTGCGCAAGTTCTCTCGAACACCATCGAGCCAGCACGACTCGTCAAAGTTTTCAAATGCGGAGCGCCGCGGCGTTCGGGCATGCCATGTCGTGGGCCGATCGCTGTGGCTCCGTCGACCCCAGGACATGGTGGCAAAAGACAAGTGGAGGTCCAGCAGATGTGCCCCCCGCTGGTTTTGGGACAAAGAAAGGTCGCGAGAGAAAAAGTGGTAAACGGCGGCACGGCCAAGTATAGCCACAGCCAGCTCAGAAGCCCTCAATCCAAGCACCAAGTAGTCCTTGTGTGTAGCCTGGTCGTCTGCTTGCCCGGAATTCTGCGCTAGACGTTGCCGAGCTGGTCATGCCGACAGCTGCATTGCAAGAGGCTGTTGATACACAGCTTTACGAATCCAATGCATTGAAGCGCGACATTGCCAAGCGAGCACAGACGCTCAATGATACTTCTCGTGCGTGTCACTAACAAATCATGGCATGTGTATATATGTGTGTGTGTTTGTGTACTAATGCAGCAGTGCGTGCGTGCGCGTCCAGCGTAACCCCCATCAAGCACCTATCGCTTCGGAAGCGTGCCGTGCTCAAGTGCCAGTCGCCCAAAGTCGTCGCTCTCGACTGGTCGCCAGACTCGCGCCACGTTATGACAGCCTCACATGATGGCCACTTGCTTGTGTGGAATGCTCAGCAGGGCTACAAGGTCCAGGCCATCACGCTGCCAGTCTCGTGGGTTATGTGCTGCGCATACTCGCCATCAGGCCAGTACGTGGCATCTGGCGGCCTCGATAATACTTGCACCATATACAATCTAGCAGCGCGGACGAGCCCAATGGATGTACCTGTATCGCACTCGCTCATACAGCATTCTGGCTACATTAGTGCGTGCAAGTTTCTGCACCGTGACAAGGAGATCCTTACAGCGTCCGGCGATGGATCCGTCGTGCATTGGGACGTTCAAACAGAGCGGTGTTTGTCCATCATGGAGGCCCATCGTGGCGATGTGCTATGTCTCGCGACGTCGCCGACAGACCCGAACGTGTTCGTCTCAGGTGGCTCAGATGCGCGTCTCCATGTGTGGGACAAGCGCACGACCGGTGCAGTGCAGACCTTTTCATCACATCAGACCGACATCAATGCTGTCGATATGTTCCCTGACGGCTATGCGATTGGCTCCGCCTCGGATGATTCGACGTGCCGCTTATTCGATATGCGTGCCGATCGTGATCTCATGGCATTGGAGATGGGCGCTGACGTCTCTTCACCGGCGACGTCCGTGTCGTTCTCCAAGTCGGGTCGGCTCTTGTTTAGTGGGTATGAGTCGAACAAGATCATCGTCTGGGACACACTGCGTGGCGAACGTGTCAGCGTCTTGTCAGGTCACGGCGCGCGTATCGCCTGCACACGCACAAGTCCTAACGGGGCGCATCTCGCTACAGCCGCATGGGATGGAAAAGCTATGGTATGGGGTATCTAGACGGTAATGGGATATATGGTGGATACATAGCAGTTAGAACCGGCGCGTTACTGGACTAGGTGTCGGAGTCCAGCGGGGTGTGCCTCGGCTGCTGGACGGCGTAGCCGTCGATGCTGATGACGCTGCTGTGGACGATGGCATCCGATACAGCGAAGAGGCACTCCGGCTCGTTCGATGCAGAAGTGATCGGGCCGCTGGGCTTAAATCATGCAAGCGCCGAGTCGACGGTGTACGAGGCGCAGCACCTGAGGACCGTCTAGGCGTCGCCGATGGCATGTGCGAAGGTGTTCGGCTTGGCGTTTGGCTTGGCGTTTGACTCGCAAGAGGCGTCACATCTGTCATGACGGAGCTTGGCGTCGGTGGCTCTGGCGTGTCGAGTCTACGGGGCGTCGCGGCTAGTTGACCCCATGTCATCAGCTGCTCAAGGCGCCGTTCACTCATGTGCTCGGCCCGCGGAGTCGATGTAGCGCTAACAAAGTTGTAGCCATGAATTCGGGGTGTGCTGGACGCATTCATCGCCCGATCCAATACGCTGCTGCTGGGTGTCGAAGGCTCAGATGTCTCGCTCGCCTCTTGCGCAGGCAGCCGGGTATTTGCATGCAGTACACGCGGAGCTGCGTTCTGTGACGACGATGATGACGACGTGCGTGCCTCGATACGCTTTCGACTTGGCGGTGGCGGCGGTGGCATCATGGAGACAGAGTCCGATGTAGTCGATGTCGCTGACACGGACGAGGCTGCCGAATTTGACACAGCTCTGCTGGGAGTACCTGCATGGCTCACTCGTGCCGATGCTGGCGCATCTATCAGCAAGCGCTCCGGCATCGCAAGTTGTCGACCCTGCTCAGCTTCAGAGCGAGCAGAGTCGATCCGAGCAACACGCTTGGCTTGTTCAACATGCGCGGCGTCATACGCCCACTGGTACTTGTCGCGCCGCCGTTTGCGATCTAGATCCATCAGCTGCGCGAAAGATGCATTGTCCTCTGTCGTATAACGAGTTTGGTATTCGTCCATGCTCATGAGTAAAAGTGGAAACCGTCGCTTTTTGCCATGTGATGGCCATGGCATCGAGCCGTCGGTCGAGCCGTCCGCACCTGCATCGGCAAAAGGTGTGCTAGTGGCCGAATGGCCTGGCTCAGTCAGATCGAGATCCAGATCAGAAAAGCCAGTATCTGACATGGGCGTGGCATCGCCACCCATTGCCACAGGGGTGAGTGTGTTGCCAGCCTCGCCACGCCTTGTCATGTCTTCGAGTACGCCAGCACGAGCTTCCTCACGGACGAGTGCTCGTGCACACGACTCGATCGAGCCGACATCGCCTTCTTCCAGTGCATGCAAGTACGCATTCTGTGCACGTAATCGTGGTAGGTCAGGGAAAAAGTCTCGCTGAATGATCTGCGAGAGACCGCGCGTGTATGTTTCTTCGTCCAGCACCGTTTGCCGACGAGCCGTGCGCTCTCCTACGCGCGGCGGCACAATCACTTGCCCGCGTGTGTTGCCCTGCTCTGTCTCTGGCAACGACACAGGCAGGTCGGCCATCGCTTCTACGAGTTCCACGGTGGCGTGACGAGACCGTCGGACATGTGTGGAGGCCCTGCCTTAAAACGTCGTGCGGGTGGTGGGGCGTGGTCTGCCTTGGTGCTTGCTACCCAGCGCCGAATCGATGCAGGACAGGAACATGGAATCCTCGTCGGTGTCAAAGCACATTCAGATACACAAGAGTGCCAGAGACATGCGTGATGAAAAAAAAAAAAAAAAAGACCGGGGTTCCTCGAACTCGCACACAACGCAACGCACCCATGGTCACAATGTACATTAGCCAACTATAGAATAGGAGCCCGCAGCCGTGCCTCCTGGTCATGGTATCTTGTATATAGAGCTTCATGTGTTGGACTCGTGACTCCACAGACGCAATGCCTCCTCCAGATCTGTCCGACTCTGCTTGCGTGTTGACCGTGCCTCGTCGTCAAGGGACGCCATGATAGCTCGGCGTCGTTTCGGCGCACGACTCGAGACGCGCTTCGATACGCGACCTGTTGTGCGTGACTCGTATTGTGCATCCGGACCCAAATACATGTGCTCCGAAAACGCTTGCTCGGCAGGACTCTTGACGTCGGCGGCATCAGCGACTGGCGGCTGTGGTGCGTCGTTCGTTGTCTCGGCTTCCCTGGGCACCGCCATGGCATCTGAGTTGTGCGCGGGATGCGCGCCCTCTCGGATCTGCGCCGAGTCTTTGCTGCTGCCGTCGCCCGCCGGCTAAACGGCGCTCGAATACTAACAGTCGCACGGCTCCCATCCTGCATGTGCGCATACAGTTCGCCGTGGAGTGCTTTTCGTGCATCCTGGTACGCCTGGCGCCCAGCGGATTTCGGCATGGTGAAGCGCCGTATATCCCCAGTTGCACAGCATGCGTCCATCGTGACATGACCGCCCTTTTTCAGCGGCGGTCGGATGAGCCGTGGCCATGCATATGCATCTGTCTGCATCACACGACGTTCATCCACACCCATGGACGTTAACGCGGACGTACATGCATCGATATCCGTTCCGCTCTGCTGTGTATGATGCTGATGGTCCCCATCGATCTCGTGCTCGTCCCTGTCCACAGACACCACAACTCGCTGTTGGCTTCCTCCACGGATCTGATCCAGCACGCCGGTCCGTGCGGACTGAAGGAGCGCTTCTACACCATCTTGCGTAGAGCGCGCAAGGTGTTTCGGCATGGCGTGCGCCCATGTATGCGTAGCTGACGCTAACGATGGACGCGGACCTCGCTGCACTATGAGGTAGCAGTACTGCGACACAGCATCGCCACGAAGGAGCCGCAATGTCGCACGCATGAATGGCGGCACCTGATACATTTGCGCGTACGAACAAACTTCGATGCCCTTCGTCCTTCGAGGCATGTCCGACGACGACGCGTGAAGCAACGGGCACGCTTGGTCATGTGGACAGGGTGCAACGACATGGCATGTCCTGTCTGGCGAGCGACGCCCCAGCTCAAGGAGCTGCGAGCGCGCTGCGGCAATGCAGGCAAATCCCCGTGGCGTCGCATCTTCAATGAAAACAAGCACATCGGCATCGCTTTTCCACGTACGCAATACGTCCCGTTCTCTCGCGACATCTGATGATAAAGAGCTGAGCCCAAACGCATGGACACCGATCGTGGTGCCAGACATGGGCTGCGTTGTTGGCGGGTGCGTCAAGGACGAATCTTGTACGGACGCAAGCGGCACATCCCTGTATACATGCGGCTTATCGCCCCGAACGCGGAACGTCGTTCGCATGTGTTTCCAACAGTCGTCATCTTGCAAATCGACATGCGCCTTGAGCATCGTGCCAGATCGCGCTTCTGCCACATACTCATGCAATGCCTCCGGACCAAACACATGTGCACACGCCCAGAGTGCCTCGGATGTGTGCGAAGAAAAGTCCACGAGCCGTGATGGGCGCCAACCATCTGGTCGGTCCGAGAAGAGTCGCCGCCGAGCCTCATCGAACACGCGCACAAGGATGGCATAGCGTGCCGCGAAGTGCGTGGCTACGTACAGAGGCACAGCGCGCTGTCGCGGAAGTGCATGGACAAAGTGCTGTGAATGCCTAGGCAGGAGTCCCGTCTTGTCATGATGCGCACGATCCAGCGCCGATACATGCATTGCGTCACGGCGCAGCTGGTCCTTGTTGCTTGCAAGCACGAGAGCCTCGAGCTTCGTGCGCAGCCCTTCAGGCAGCGACACAATCGCATTCCCGTCGACCTTGCTACTGCCCAGCCGAGCAGCCGGCGACATGCGCTGTGTCGCTGAAGATGCACTCGTGTCATCCGAGTGTCGCAGAAAGGCATACCGAAGCGACGTGTCAGCAGGACTCGCTGACCCAAGAGCTTCACTCATCTCTGCTGCATGCTCGAGACGTGCGACTTTTCGTGGACGCCATGTGGCTGGCACATGAGCCGCCACACGCCACACAAACGAACGATGCATGGTGCAAAAGAACTGTGGAAGTGCGGGACGAATGGACGTTCCTATCCAATACAGTCAAGTGCTGGCTTGCCTTGGCGCCACCTGATGAGGTCGAGAAGCACGAAAAGAAAATTGCATGCATGCATGCACTATAGGACACACTCCTCCCTGACTGACTCGCTGCGCTCCGCAAATCAACACACGCGCACTTTCCTATGATTGGCACAGACACTTGATTTTTACGCTCGCAGGCAATCGCCCTCACGATCGGGCGTTGCGACGCGCGTCCCTCTCACAGACGCCGCTCTCCTCCACACTTACGCTCGCTTAGAGTCACACACATCAGGTCCGATCACGCTTGGGGCCTGTCCATTCACACTGGGGCAGTTGTATCATGCGCCGCGCATGGAACTGGCGCAGAGGAAAGACAGCTGAAGCAACGTGTCATTTCTGCGGGACCAAGTCGATTCTCGTGCCGCCGTATGGCGATGCTTGCACGGCACGCGTTGCCCAAACATCAAGCCCCGTACGCTTGTCGTCAGGCACTCGTGCACGCTGGTTCTGCTCCGCGTGTGAGTCTTGGAACCATACAGATGCTCAAGGGCACATTATGGACCTGTATGAGCGGCCGATGTGGGATGCCTCGGTGAATCGGAGCCAGCTTGCGACGACGCCTACCAGGACAACGAGCATGAACGCCGATGAGCCGGTATTTTGCCGGAAATGCCTGGCTAACCAGACCCTTGTTACCAACTTGCTTGCTAGCTACTTGCCTGATGACGATGGCAATGGCAATGGCAGTCAAGACTCTGTGGCTGACGATGAGCGCATGCGAGCCTTTCCCTCCTACAAGCGCTCATTGGAAGAACGGTATCCAATGGTCTGTGCCACATGCAGCGCGCGTGCCAAGTCCATTATTCAAGCAAAGGATCAGCAAATCCAACGCGCATCTCTCGATGAATGGCTCGTCAGACGCCATGTGCCCGCCACTCCTGTATATACTCCCCGTGGCGTGTGGCGCTGGCGCTGCGAACAGAGTTGGTGGTTTCTTGCCCACTCACTAGGCCTCTGTATACCCTTATGTACGAATGACCTGATGGTCGCAGCTCTCTCATGTCTTCCACCAGGACCGTATGACCCTTGCTGGCTCCGCGCACAGCTGTATCGTGCACGCGATGTGCGGATGTACTCACATGGAACATGGCGCTGGACAGTACGTATCACTCGCACCTCTCGACTCACACATGTCCGCTTATGCAGCTTGTAAATATCAGTGTTTGGCTCGCGCGCATCGCTCAATATGTCGGCACCATGCGCACAAACTCTTGTGCATTCTTGGCCTGGGCATCCAGTGGGACGCAAGTCATCGTACGTGATCGTCGCTTTCTCTCTCTCTCTCTCTCTCTCTCTCTCCTCCACCGCAACATGACTTACCAACGACAGGCTCTTTGTTATGCATATCATGTTCGGCACGTCACGACGGAAGCGCCCATTAGCTTGGTTTCGCATGATGTGCCAACACAACATGGCGATACTCGAAAGGATCCCCTCGCTGCCATGTCTCTCAGTGACGATCGATGCCCACAGGCGCCACTTGACTCGCTCCTTGAACACACCAAAGTGCCTGATACTGAGGCGATGGACGTTGAGCCCATGGACATCCCGACGATCGAGATGGGACCCCAGCGCTTTGGTGGTGGACGCATGGCTAGTGGACTCGAAGACCTCTTTGGATCGGCTCTCTCTCTCGCAACGACCGAGACCGGTTCACACGGTGCGGTACAGGACTCTTCGGACTCGAAGAAACAAAGTCTCATTGTGCTTGGTATGATCTTGGGTGCGGCAGTCGTGACCGGAGTCCTCGCCATTGTTATCGCCATTCAAGGCCATGTGCCATGGAAGCGCGGCTTGGACGCTAGGCTGGGCTCAACGTAGCTCAGCGACTATAAACACATCGATATCCACTGCATCATTCTATGCATATGCTCCATGGGTGGTTGTCTATCGATGTCGACTTCCTTTTTTCACTCCGTTTTTTTTTTCATGCCGCCTGTGTATAACAGAACACTATGCCTCGTTCTTCGATGTCTCCCGAGGTGCCATGATACCTGTGAGTGTTGCTACTTGGCCAACGGATCAACTCGATTATGACCTAAGTAACCAGCACCTGCAAAGAGCACAGCTGGACCGCTCATACGGTTGTGATAAGGACGCTCGTCTCAAAGCCGCTGACCGCGGGCTCTCTGCTGCCTGCCGCCCCCTATGCCCATATGCCCCCGTCCTGTCCTCTTTCCTACGCACAATGCGCTCTTGACCACAATGGCACCCTTCGTTAGGACAGCATGGATTTGGCGATGCGACTCGCAAGCATACAAGCGAACCCAGGATGAACGCCTTGCCCTGATGCAAGAGCAGACCACCACACTACCAGAGCATCACATTCGCTATGAGGTATCCCGTACCAAACGCTATTCCATAGCCACTCAGCTTATCCTCTGACGCACGCTTCTGTCCATAGCGACGCCTGCACGCCAGCCGTTGACTGCTATTGTTCTTCGCTGGTCACCAACCTACTTGGGGTCATCTACGTCGAAAGCTCGAGACTCTCCAGCTTGCTCACTCCCTCTCTCTGTCTCTCTCTCTTTCTCGCTCTTCCGTCACCTCTATACACGACATGTGGCTACTCCTCCATTACTTCGGCGGGTCGTTCGGTCCGATCATGAGCTCAGGACGCACTTGCTCGTCAAACTCTTCCGCTGTCAAGAGGCCAAGACCCACAGTCGACTCCTTGAGCGTGAGGCCCTCGTGGTGCGCCTTCTTCGCCGCCTTGGCGACGTTGTCGTAGCCGACACGCGAGTTCAAGGCTGTCGCAAGCATAAGCGACTCGTTCAGCAGCTGATCAATGCGCTTCTTGTTCGCCTGGATGCCCACGACACAGTGGTCCGTGAACGAGTTCGCGCCGTCAGCGAGCAGACGAATGCTCGAGAGCAGGTTCTTTGCAATCACAGGCTTGAAGACGTTCAGCTCAAACTGGCCGTACGAGCCACCGACCGTCACGGCCACATGGTTGCCCATGACCTGCGCGGCGACCATCGTCAGAGCCTCACACTGCGTCGGGTTCACCTTGCCCGGCATGATCGACGAGCCAGGCTCGTTCTCAGGCAGCGCCAGCTCACCAAGACCACAGCGTGGACCCGAGCCGAGGTACCGAATGTCGTTGGCAATTTTCATGAGCGACACGGCCACCGTGTTCATCGCGCCCGACGCCTCGACCATGGCATCGTGCGAGGCAAGCGCCTCGAACTTGTTGGGCGCCGTCTCAAATGTCTCACCTGTGATCTGTGAAATCTCAGCTGCGACCCTCACGTCAAAGCCCTTGAACGTGTTCAAACCCGTGCCGACGGCCGTACCGCCCTGCGCAAGCTTGCGGAGACGCGGCAGCACGTCCTGCACGCGAACAATCGAGTTCGACACTTGCTGCACGTAGCCGCTGAACTCCTGGCCAAGTGTCAGGGGCGTCGCATCCTGCAGATGCGTGCGGCCGATCTTGATGATATCAGCAAACTCATCCTCCTTCGCCCTGAGCGCCTTGTGCAGATGGCGCAGGGCAGGCAGGAGCTCCTTTGTGATCTCCAGCACGGACGCAATGTGCATGGCCGTTGGGAATGTGTCGTTGCTACTCTGACTGCGGTTCACGTGGTCGTTCGGGTGCACGGGCTTCTTCGAGCCGAGTTCGCCACCGAGCATCTCAATGGCACGGTTGGAAATGACCTCGTTCACATTCATGTTCGACTGCGTACCAGAGCCCGTCTGGAAGACGACGAGCGGGAAGTGGTCATGCAGCTTGCCCGAGATGACCTCGTCGGCCGCCGCACAAATCGCATCGGCAATCTTGGGGTCCAGGCCGTACTGCTTGTTCACTGTGGCAGCAGCCTTCTTCAGCACACCAAAGGCCGAGATGATCGGCTCTGGCATGCGTTCCATCTTACCGCCAATCTTGAAGTTCATCGAGGAGCGCTGCGTCTGAGCACCCCAGTACCGGTCTGATGGCACCTGCAAGTCACCAAACGTATCACGCTCCGTGCGGAATGAGCCGTTGCTTCCCTCTGCGACAGCACGCGTCGTCGACAGTGCACGCACCGGCATGCGCATCGAGCCGACCATGCGCGCTGGCATGCGAAGAGCTGCGCTCTTTGGCATGGCATGAACGACAGAACGAGCAACAATCATGATGCTGGGGATGGAGGTGGATTAGAGTAGAAAGAAACGACGCACTGTCAATCGACGCCAATGTGGGAAATGCAGGCGTAGCCGGGATGTCCCGGAGCAGCCAACCAGAAAGCGATTGAAGCCTATGAACGAGGTGGCCGCCCTCCCCATCCACATCTCGCACAGGCCCCCTCCGCTCTCCCACCCAACTCCACCAACAGCAACACTATCTACCTACCAGTGCATTGGTGCCACGTGGCAGTACCTGCGACCGTTAGGCCAGCACGCCTTGTGGTGAAAACGTAGGAGACAGGACGGAAGCCTTGGGTATGATGATGATGATGATGATGATGATAACGATGATAATGATGACCTCGATGACGAACAAGACGAAGCGTGTGGGATGCCCATGACCAAAGATGCCCGTATGCCGCACACTATGCACGAGCGAATGACACTTTGAGATGCTCGCCTGTGGGGAATGCATAGCCATTCGTAGCCTCGCGTGCGGCGACACTGGAAGGAATATCGTGAAACTCGACGAACGCAATATCGGTGCGGCCAGGGATCGTACGCACTTGGTATAGATTGGGCAGGTGACCAAAGATCCGTGTCAGCTCTTCGTGCGTCACAGTTGCGGGCATTTGCTGCAAAAAGAGAATCCGGTTCGGCGGCACATACTCGTCTGGCAGCTGGTTCGCTTGTGTGCGAGCCGTGGATGAGCGCTTGGTTGGTAGTACACTTGGCACTTCGCCTCGTGCCATAGCCTCTTGTTGTGCCTTTTTCCGCTCCCACATGCGCTGCCGAATTACGTTTCGTCGCCTCTGTGTGGGTTTATGTGCGAGGCGTGCTGACTTGTGCTCTTGAAGCGCCGATGCCGCTTCATTCGAGCCTGGTGCGCCGCCCTGGTATTCCACCACACTGTCGGACTTGGTCCGTGCATAGGATATGCGCTACGCATGTTACCTTTTCGTTCAGCCTCAACGTACCATGCTCTTCCCATACAACGGAAACCCATTTACTTCCTGCAGAGCTTTGGACGACGTGGAAACGTCTTGGAAACTCACAAATGCTTGTCCACGCATGCGCAGGTTACGATGTGCAACGACGGACAGGACTGGTCCATAGTTCGAAAAGAGGGCTTCTAACGACTGCTTCATCACTATCGCGCGCAACGTTAGATGTCTGAACGCGGGGGAGTTGCGAGCGCGAGAAACGCTGTTTTTTTTTATTCCTTCACTCCCCTCTTGCATATACGTACCGGGCACGGTCACACTTTCATTCAGATTCTGAATGTACAGCGTCTCGTTCGGCTCAGGCGCTTGGCTCTGCGGCATCGTTGCAAGCTCGCTGCACGTCACGAACCTGACACTCACTCGTCGCGCGTCGTTCGACAGCCAGCCGTTGATCTCCACGGGTGAGATGTCCTTGCGTTAGGAACATCTCGCTGACAAATCGGTGCATGTACATCGTTTGCTACATCCATCCACCCACCCGCTTGGCCAGTCAGCGACGCCGACCCGATCTGGCGGCCCCGATCACTCCCTTTCTTCGATCCGCCCAGCTTCGTGCCTGTGGGACCGCACCACATACGCCTTGGGTTCTACGTACATACATACTACAGCGAGAGAGACATACTGTCCGTGGTGGCAGCTCTCTATGGCTTCTTGTTCTTTGACAAAGCGCGCTTCTTGGCCTCCAAGCGCATCTTTTCCTCCTTCTTCTTTCCTGTAGCCTGGCCCATTCGTGTGTAGAGCTTGCGCTGCTTGTTCGATAGCAGCGTCTTGGCCATGTCACGCGCCTCAGCTTCTTCTGATAGCTGTGGCGATTGCGTCGTCGACGTCCGCTTCTTCTTTTTGTGCGACTTGAGTGATGCTGCGTGCTTCGCGCGCAAGTCAAGCAGAGCATCCTCGCCACCCGTTGCTTCAGCCTCGAGCTCAGCTGCTTCAAGCAGACCCGCCCCCGTGGGATCAGCCAGGAGTGCTTCGAGTGCTGGTCGTGCTGGCGTCTTGTCGTGTTTCTCCACGGCATCCTGCTCTCTCGCGGCCACGTTCTTATCATCGCCACGTCCGCTGCCAGCTTTGTCCTCATCCTCATCCTCGTCTTCGTCTTCGTCCTCATCCTCGTCAGCTCCGCCCACATACTCGGCTTCCAAGCCGAGCTTCTCTCTCGCTTCCTCAGGCACATAGCCGCCCTTCCGTGCCACTTCGCGGTCGTCCACGAATGGACTGAGATGCGGCGGAAGCGTCTGGCCCGGGCGATACGGATCCGTCGGCAGGATCTGACGCGCATTCACGCAATCAACGACCCACTGCGGCTGGATGTACACACGATGGCCAGCATGGTCTAACGACATGCCATCGACTGGCCGGTCAAGAATATGATGCGTGACGCGCTCATCATCAACTGCCACCTGACTCCCAGCTCCAGCAACAGGATCCCAACCGACATTGCTCGGCGACGCACCGAACGAGCGCAGGATAAACTCAAACACAGTTCGCGGTACTTCCCGCGATATATAAAACACATACCGGCTGAACAGCATCGGCAGTGGATCCTCTCCTGCCTGTTTTTGCAGATCCCTCAGCGTCGTCAGTTGGTCGGCGCCTGCGCCTTGGGTCTTGGACGCATGAGCGACGAAAGCATCAGCGGCACCAGCCTCGTCATCTGCCTCCTCATCGCTGTCCTGATCCTGCATCGTCGCATCAAGAGCGGGCATCGATTCGTCGTCTTCAGGTTCGTGCTCTGCCTTGTCTTCCGAGCGCGTGAGCTGCGCAATCTGGCGCTTTACATCCCGCGTCGAGAGCTTCTTTCCATCCTTGCGTGTAATGGCATTTGAGCTTGCTTCTGCCGCTGCTGCATCGTCCATGGGCCGCAGACTATGTTTGCCAGTAAGGACATCCGCGTCCGCTGCCATCAGCATAAGCGAGCCAAAGCCAGCACCTTGATTGTCGAGGCTCTCGTCCAGTTTCGGCGGGTACACAAGATTCTCATCCGTGTACAGCTTGAACAGGACAAAGCCCATCAGCGTCTGGTACAATTCCAAGAACGTCATCATGACACGGAAGTCGACATCCGTAGGAATCGTTTGCGTGAACATGTATGGCACGAGCCACGTAATTTCCTGCCCGTGCACGACCGCCTGGAAGTAGATGCCCTTGATGCTCAGAAACACCTTGCTAAGGCAGTGCGTGCGCATCACATACAGCTGCCACTCGGCACACAGTCGCGCACAGTGTGCGGTGATCTCGGGCGCCATGCTCTTTTGCGACGGAATATTGGCGAACAAGAAGAGCGTAGAAAGTGCATCATCTAGATCACGCAGTGAGTCGACAAACGTCGGGTACCGTTCCTTGATAATGTGGTCAAGGCGGTACTTGGGCCGATTCTCATCGAGGTTCTTCGCTGCATGCCATTCCCGACGTGCAATCGCTCGATTCACCTTCTTTGCAAATGCCTTGTGGTCGCGGAATGCCTGCAACACCGGCTCGTGCTGCAAGTACGCAATGTCCTTCGTATAGTAAAACGTCGTCGGCGCTGTCGACCCCTTGTTCGCTCGCTTCACATGCCGAGGCTGCCGAGGAAAGATCCCCTTGAGAATACACAGCCTCCGGAACTCGGCGAGTGTGATCTGCAGCTTCTTGAGCGACTGGTTCCGTGTGATATAGTTCTTCGCCGCGCCGGACTCGCCTCTCTTCTTGATCCGCGCCATCGTGGCTAGAAAGTTCGGTGGATCGATCGATCCATCACACACTGGCTTGGCGTCGCTGCCAGTGAGGAGCAAAATTTTCAGCGTCACGTGTGTGTGCCATCCACATAAAAAATTTTTTTTGTTTTCTAACCAAATTTCGCCGTCCGCCCATTTTTATGCACGAGCGACATACTCAAACGCCAACCGTGCACGTTGGAGAACAGGCAGAGCGTGTGAACGGTGGTTGTTGTTGGCTGCCGTGCGGACGTTCGCGGCACGCACAAGAAACATGAATTCGACAGAGAGTGGTTCATCTGCGTCCACTTCGTCGAATCACACAGCTGTGGACGAGAAACGCGTCCGGGCCAAATTCGTACGTACGGCGGGGACAAATGACTCATGTGTCATAGCATCATACGATCAAAGTCGCACAATCAGCGACGAAAAAAGCCAAGCAACACGAGCTGCAACGACATGTGCGCCGTCTGAAGCAGAGCGAAGGCTCTGAACGTGCGGAGCTTGAGCAGGATCTCACACACCTCAAATCACTCGACACGCATTCCTTGTCACTGCGTGCACTTTCCTCGAAGCTTGTGAAAAGCAAACTCCTCCCAAAGGCAAGTCAGTCTGGCACGGAAGCAAGTATGGAGCGTTTCCCACTTCTTCCCTTTGCGAGAGAAGCCCGTATCGATGCCATCTCTCTCGAGTCTCTGGAAGTGTCCCACGACAAGACTCACGAACGTGTCGCGCACCAGGTGCTGAGCTCCAAAGTCCTCGCTGCTGAGCTGGCTGCATGCATCCGCTCTTTGATACCCCTGATCATGCCAGCTTCAGACATACCAGCGTCTTTGGACACTGCACATTCTAATGATCCCACACCCAAGTCTGACTCGAAAGCACATGCCCATGCCCCTGAGGAGACATCCAAGCACGAGACCAAGGCGAAAGAGACGCCCAGGTCCGTCAGTGCCACTTTGTCATCTCGACCCAGGAGCACAAAGACACGTAGTGAAACTGGTGCTGCTGCTGCTGCAGACGAGTACGAGAGCGACGATGGAATGGGGAACACGGACATGACATGGGACCGAGCCAATCTAGACGCCATGGTAGCTTCAGGCAGCGACACAGAAAGTGACTCGGACAGTGATTCGCAGGACCATGCGCGGAAGAAGCGGCCGCGTGACTCTGATGATGATGGCGACGACGACATTGAGACAGACCACCAAGATGCTTTTCTTCCTAGTCTCAACACAGGGTTTATCCCCGCTGCGGATGGCGATGACTGGAGTGACGCCGAGGCTGACTATGCAGATACAGGCGGCAAGGGACCAGCCAAGTCGCAACGCAAGAACCGTCGGGGCCAGCGAGAGCGCCGAGCGATCTGGGAGAAAAAGTACGGCCGCCATGCAAATCACCTGAAGCTACGTGAAAAAGAACCACGCAAAGCTACGAAGCGCACACCGAGAGACTCGGTGCGCGAAGTCGAGTCCCGACGTGATACACGCACCACCCACCATGACCTGGTGTCAACTCCGTCGCACGCGCGTGCCAAGCGAGAGGAACGAACCCGAACGAAAGATGAATCGCAACCAGGGATGCAAGCCGCGCGAGCAGCTAGCTCTGCCCACTCACACCACGTCCCACCGGCTGTCCATCCCAGTTGGGAAGCCAAGCAACGAGCCAAAGAGGCCCAACAAACGGCCAAACCGCAAGGCACGAAAATAGTCTTTGATTAGCCAAGTTTTGTATTTTTTTTTTTTTTTTTGATCCATGTTCCTCGTTCTTCCCACCTGTCTCAAGAGGAGGAGGGGAATGGGTAGATTTCCATCCTCCCCACAGCCGCCTACGAAGAGGAAAGAAGGGCTTCTGTGGTGTGCGGTGCTCCACAGGACCAGCAGCCTGCAGCCGAAAGAACAATTCCGGCCGGCTACGAGCTAGACAAGCAGCGTGAAATCGATCGATCGAAACCCGATCCGATCAAACAAGTACGACAAGAGATCGAATCGGACTCTGAGGAGCCAGGTCTACCCTCTCCCCTCTCACCTACCCTCGGAGTGGATCATCGCACGGTTTGCGAGCCATGGAAGGATACCCTACCAAGGCTCCTCCAGGTGTCCAACTAGTGAACGACCCCGTCAACCTGTCGGACATCCCCACGGAGTACCATGACTGTGTGTGCATTGGCGGTGGCCTGAGTGGCGTTAGCATTGCCTGCAAGCTCAAGAACAAGTACCAGAAAGTGCCTGACATGGCGATCCTCGAGCGTCTCGAGGGTCCAGCCGGGACATGGGAGGCCAATACGTATCCAGGCTGTGCTTGTGACATTCCTGCACCGCTGTACAGCCTGAGTTTTCGCCAGAAGAGCGACTGGAGTGGCCTCTTCCCTCGACAGCCCGAGATCCGTGAGTACGTGCGCACGGTGGTAGCCGAGTACGGTATCGGGCACCTGTTCCGCTTTCATACTGTGGCGCTCGAGGCGCGCTATGACGACGCAACGCATCTCTGGCACATTCTCTCTGCCACGTTCGATCCCAAGAACCCGTGCGCACCTCGAAAGCACACTCACTACGTGTGCAAGCTCATGATCCAGGCGGTCGGCGGCTTGTCGGAACCAAACAAGTGTGACATCCCGGGGCACGAGTCGTTCCAAGGTGCGTTGTTCCACTCAGCTAGCTGGGATCATTCTGTCGACCTGAAAAACAAGCATGTGATCGTCGTCGGCAACGGATGCTCAGCCACGCAGATTGTCCCTGAAGTGGCCAAAGAAGCAAAGCATGTGACGCAATTTGTGCGCTCCAAGCATTGGTACGCGCCATTGCCAGATGCTGCGTTTGCAAAGACGGACTGGTTCCGCTGGCTGTTGACGAACGTGCCATGGCTCATGTGGCTGCTGCGCGCCTATATATGGTATATGCTAGAGTCGGATTTCTGCATGGCCACAGGCTCCAAGAGGGGCCAGGAGAAACGTGAGGAATGGGAAAGGGTCTGTCGCGACTACGTCACTCGCACGGCCCCGGAAAAGTACCATGAGCAGCTGATCCCCAGCAACAATGAGCTCATGGTGGCTTGCCGCCGCCGCATTCTCGACAACGCGTATCTGCCATGTCTGAACTGGGAGAATGTGGATCTTGAAACTACCCAACTTGTGCGCATCGAGCCTGACGCTGTGGTGACCGCTGACGGCCGTCGCATTCCCGCCGACGTCATTGTCATGAGCAATGGATTCTCTGTCAAGGCAGCAGGTGCGCCACTGCAAGTCCGTGGTGCCACTATGACGCAACAGGAACACTATGACAGGTACGGGTTCGGTTCGCGACTCGCGTACCGCACATCGTTCCTCGCTGGCTTCCCCAACATGGCGATGCTGATCGGCCCCAATGCAGGCACCGGCCACATGTCGATCATCTATACGTCCGAGCGTGAGCAGGAGCTGTTGATGAGCGTGGCGGCACACGTACTGACGTCGCCCGCACCCAGCCATGAGGCCGTGGCTCATGTGCCTGGTACGCCATACAAAGCTGCTGGTGCGCCAGTCCCGACGTTTGACGTGAAGCTGGACGCTGAGCTCCTCGAGCGAAACTGGATCGACACCAAGATGGAGTCGACCGTGTTTAGTACATGTGACTCCTGGTACCGTGATCCCAAGTCGGGCCGCGTGTCGGCCGTGTACCCTGACTGGCAGTGGAAGTTCGCCCTGCGCTGCTGGTTCCCTGTGTGGAAGGACTTTGCGTTTACGGGTCTTGCCAAAGGACAGTCGCACCCTGTATCGACGATCTGGCAGAAAATCGGCTGTGCGCTTGGCCTCGGCACCATTCCGTATGTGCCGTCGCCGCCAGCATGGGTCGTCGAGCGCAATGCATCCTGCGTCTCTTGATGGCCATTCTCATGTTTCTTTTTGTTCTCGTTTCTGCAACTCCTCATCGATGATCTGCATTCTTTATTTCTTCCTTCACTTTCNACATAGTTTTTTTTTTTTTTTACGTTGTCACTCATACATGCTTTCATGCTTTAGCTACACCGTCTCTACATCTGCCTGTTCTGTCGACAGCCTGTCTTTAGCGTCGCACGGCAAGCCCATCACATAGCAGTTTGCACCCAAGCGACCGCGCAGTCAAGATGCACGTTTCTGCCACGTCAAGCTCAGGAAATAAGTGTGAGTCATATGTGCAGCGCAGGGCCAGGCCTATAGAATTTTCCATCGAAGCATCACGGCGCTTCGCGACCAGCGAAACGCCCGATGTCGCCGCTACTTGCTTCTCCACGGAGCACATGCACACACCGCCACTGTAAGCCGTGGGGCATGGGCATTGTGGAGACAAGCACTCTGTGGCAAAGAAGACGACCGATCCCGCCATGCTTAGTCACCCGCCCGGAGCTCGAATACACATAAAAGCGGGGGAACCGAAGCAGCTACCAGCTGCTCCTTCACTTCTCTACATTGAGACACACAATACATTAGCTAGGATGGGTGTGCAAGTGATTTCCTCCTACGACCAGTTCAAGCAGGTGACCGGCGGTGACAAGGTCGTTGTGATCGACTTTTGGGCTACATGGTGTGGTCCCTGCAAGATGATCGGCCCGATCTTTGAGAAGATCTCCGAGACGCCTGCTGGCGAGAAGATCGGCTTCTACAAGGTCGATGTCGATGAGCAGAGCCAGATCTCGTCGGAGGTCGGTATCCGTGCTATGCCCAGCTTTGTCTTTTTCAAGAACGGCGAAAAGGTCGAGACGGTCGTTGGCGCTGACCCATCGAAGCTCCAGGTATGTATACAAAGCACGCGAGCGTGGTTGTGGGAAGAGACAGCGCCGCACCGGCACGGACAGGACTGACGCATAAATCCAGGCCGCCATTAGCAAGTTTGCTGCTTAAGTGTATGTAGACCTTTCTATGGTAAAATTGTACATGAGGCAACGCTTGGATGTGAATAGAAAAGGGCATGCCTTGTGGTGGTGCTGGTGCTGGTGCTGGTGCTGGTCGTCCTAGTGCTGGCGGTAATCGCCACTGCATAGGTGACGACGTCGGTGACGGCGTCGGTGCCACTGCCGTTCCTCTTGCCCTTGCCCTTGCCCTTGCCCTTGCCGTGGCCAATGGCCAATGGTTGCAGATGCACTGCGCATGTGTGCAGCATGGGTACCATCTGCGATAGACTAGGACCCCACGCCCCAAAGACAACGTCTCGCTGGCTGGGCTTGGCTGGGGCGAGCTCATCCACGTCCCCCATCACACATGTGTCTCGGCGACAACGGAGGCTACAACATAGTCGCCATCATGCGACACACTCGTGTGGAATCGCAGAGCATTCGCGAGTGCGATCGCACAGAACCCATCTGCATCTCGATACGCCCGCTCCCGCGTGAGGACAAGCGATGGCTTCCTGCCGGTGTCGCGAAGCAGCGACAGATCCTTCGCGTACAGGTAGATGTGGGGGTAGGTGGCCTTGAAAGCAGCTTCCTTGCATGCCCACCTGTAGAGCCGATGTGGTCAGTGCCTGCAGTGGCCTGCGTACCGAGTAGCGAGGAACCGCAGGCGCTCGTCGTGCGTGAGACACGGTGCGCTGACAAACGAGTCCCATTCCTTTTGAGAAAGAGTGCGGCGCGCGAAATGCTGTGCAGCCATGCGCAACGAGAGAGATGCAGATACAGTGTCGGACGAAGACGTCGACGCCAAAGGCCCATCGTCGGTGGGAGTGCGAGACGCTCGCATCCAGGACGGCGCCGCAGCAGCGAGTGGCTCGAAGGAAAGGGCATGCACTCGGCGTGCATGCCGGGCGACGAGCTGTCGCATGCGCGGCACATGCACCAAGTCAACGCCGACGCCAAGAATCGCAAGTTGCGCTGCAAGGGACGGGTCTACACCATGTTCATGGGACTCGTCAGCCGCGGGTATGTGGTAGCCATGCAGTAAGCTGCCCTTTTCAAGTGACATGCGTGCATGTACATCGCCCCTGTATGCAGCGAGGCGGTACTCGAGCGCATCAAACACACGCTCAACGACCGTCTCGACAGGGTCGTCAAAGACGATCGGCAAGAGCGGCACAACAAGGAGGCCAGCGGCCGTCGGTCCGGCGACTCGCACGCGCGACGACTTGAACTTGGCAAATAGGTGCGCTGAGTGCTTGACGACGCTGTGGATCGTGACGGCCGGCAGGACTAGCGATGCAAGTGACTGGAATGCGCCGCGACGCGCAGCGATCCACGCAATGTCAGAAGCCAGCGTGGGAGAGTCGCGGTCTTGGAGCTTCGCAGCCTGCCAGCATGTCCATCCCACGTCTGTGAAAATGTACGCCCAACTGATGGCATATGCACTTGTCACGACGATCGGCCGCGTCAGAGGCCGAAATGCCTCGCCGACGTCCGACGTGTACGCAATGTACCGAGACACTGACGTCACGAGCGTCTTAAGCCGCATCGTGTATGCGGAATACCGTCCAAGACTCTCGTCCACGTGCGCACTGCGCTCATGATGCTCCTGCACGAGATCAATGCCATCTGCGTCGCTCATCGTCCTCGGCGCCTCGCCTCCCTCCGCTACGACCTGGAGCAATGAGTTGTTGCGACGCGTGGTTGTTGTTGATGCGTGCGAGGAAGCATGGGGTGGGTGAGTTGTTGGCGATTCTTTGGCCCCTGTCCTTGTTGGTCCCCCACCCCTCCTCCACTATACGCTGATGTGGCCGCTGAACCTTGGACCCATGGAGGGGCAGGGTGTGTGATAGGGACCTGACATTGCCGCTGCCGCCGCTGCCGCCGCGACCGAACGATGTGATGGGATTCTCCACATCCCTTCATACACACAAGGTCGGCACTTGGATCGTCGTAGACTTTGTGTGTGTGTGTGTGTGTGGTTGGGTAGTTGATCACGCGAGTACTCACATTACGCTGCTCAACCAAATGCCAGCGACCAAGCTGTCATCACGAGCACGGACCGACTTGACGCTCAAGTCGGCGACGCCGCCGATCTCGCACCTCATGACGTTGTATCAGCGGTACGATTCTCTGCGCAACTCCATTGCTCTATTGCGCGAACAAACACTCCATACACCCGGCATCGAAGACTGGCCGTCCGTGCAAACCCACTATGCGAACCTGCTCTCGCACACGTTTTCGATCGCCGCCGCTTTGCAGTCAGCCACACCCCACTTTCTGACGTCGCAGCTCGCGACGCTCCACTCGTTCTTCGAGAACGAGGCGCAGGACGCCAACCTGTTTGGCGAGGACACCACCAGAATGGATACCCTGCTGACTCGCGACAACCAAGGCGCTTGGCCGCCTATCGAAGACAAAGATCCGCAAAGTCAGCTCCCGGCCTTGGCCGTGCATCCGTGCCAGCCAATCCCCGATGCCAAGCTCAACTGGCTCGGTTCCCTGCTCAGTACTGTGCCGGAGATGGACATCGCCACGATGGAGGCGGCTCGGATCGCCGAGTATGACCAGTCGCACAAGGCACACCCTCCTGACTCCACGGCGGACGATGCCTCACGCCAAGACACATCGTCCGACGCTCACACGGCCGCCGCTGCCTCTCTCGTCGCGACGGAAATCCATGCGCACGATACACGTTGTCTACAGGCGATGCGCTCCTGGTACCACATGTTGTATGCGCCAGACGAGCACGGCGACACGTACGACTTTGCGATGCGCGTCGCTGACGAGTCGCAACCACAACCACCGCCAGAGTCGGACGACGTGATAGATCTATCGACTACCAACGACCCTGTACATAGTACCAGCCTACTGTTGTAAGAAGAAGCAGCTCCGCGACGGCCACGTACAGATGTCCATGGCCGAGCAAGAGCAAGCACGACCACGCATACCCAACGAGCCGGTCCAGCACGACGCCGACCAAGCGCCATGTGCGCCAGTTGGGATGCAGCGCGTACGGCACGGGCAGAAAGTCCGAGAGCGGATGCAGATGATGCGGCAGCTGCACGATCGCCGTGATTGGCTTGTGGTCGGAGCTCGTGTACCGCATCAGACTCCGGTACAGCTCACACCGCAGCGTGCCGCTGGCGGCATACGACGCATCACTCGTGCCCCACAGCAAGCGATCCGGCCACCCAGGCAGGCGCTTCTTGCTCAGCTGCTCCATCTCACCGCGTGCCTTGTACTTGTACGTCGGCGGAATCCCATACTGCGCCATGTCTGGCACATGGAGTCCATGAAGCGTGCGTGGCGTCGGCGCATACCTTTCCAACAGGAGCTGGTCGTACGGCACGAGCGACGCCCACCGGTCCGACTGGAATGACCGCGCCACCTCATGCACATCGCTCTTGGTGATGGGCGGGTACTTGCCAGGCACGGTTCGCTGTCCCCGGGGCGACACGCCGTCGACGCCTGTCGCTACGCGATAATTCAAGTCGCCCATGACAAACAGATGGTGCGTATCGTAGAGCGAGTACTCGTTATCGTCGGCTGCGTCGGCATTGCTCTGCATCTCAGGAGCGCATCCACGCATCGTCGGCACTGACGCGACATGAACACCACGACCGCCGCCATGGCCGTTTCCGTCGCCGTTTCCGTAGCCGTTCCCACCGTGCTTCTCGTCGCCGTCATCGCCAGCGAGACTCGGCGGCTCCTGTAACACCGGCAGCAGCTGCACACTCATCAAATCAAACACCATCCGCTCACAAATAGAGCGCCATTCGGCATTCCGGCGTGCCACGTTGTGGTCATGCGCAGCGAGATGCGCGCCTACAAACGTAAGGACCTCGTCCCGTCCTCCAGGCACCGCTGACGCCAGCACAACTCGTGCGCCCACCGCGCCCTTGTTGCCCATGACCATGCCGAGCCCGGTGCCGACGAACGAGGCACGCACCTCCTTCACCCGGTGCGCTGCACTGATCTGTGTGCCATGAGCACGCTGCGGCGCTCGTTCGCGCGCATATACAAACAACACGAGTCCCGCATGGTTGATGTCGGCTATTTTGGCATAGTTCTCTGGCCCGCCTCCGAGCTCAAGAGGATCGTACATCTTGTCATCCCGCACAATCGATTGGTGATGACGCACAGATCGACGGATCGCCAGGTCGGCCTGCGTTCGCGCTTGCGACACTGTGCCGGACAGTGCCTTGTGCAGTGGCGCAAACTCCTGGAATGCTACTGCATAGATATCAGGCGCTTCGCGTGGACCAAGCGACATGGCAGTCAGTTCGCGGCCCTCGTCCGTCGTCATGTATCCGCTTCGCCGGCTCTCGTTCACTGTGGGAACAAGCCATTCCCGCATATCCGGCACGCCCGTGCCATCGAACATCTGGTTCGCATTGAACGAAGCCAGCTGGACCCGAAGTCCCGTTGGCATACTCATCACGTTCAAGCCGTCTCGCTCAACTCTCTCTCTCTCTCTCTCTCTCTCTCTCTCTCTCTCTCTCTTTGGGCGCTTGATTTTTCTTTTTTGCCTGGAATGTCAGTCCGCTCCACCACTCCTCCCAACTCACTCACTACGATAGGCCCTTGTATACACTCACTCCTCTCTCGTACTTCGTTGGGGCGCGCTTGTCGTGTGCTGTGTGCCCCGCGAGTCGAGGATGTACGCCCGTCATCGCCCCCCGCCCTGCGCAGCTGACGCGTCGCGTGTCACACGCGTACGCAATGCAAAAATTCCCCGGTCCGTGCAGAGAGGCAGGCCAAGCCACGAACGAACTAGGGTCTACGCTACATGATTCGCGCGTGGCCCGTCCATCGCGGCGCCGACCCATTCGGCGCCTGTTCAGCATGGCTTATGTAAGTGCATCGACAAGGCTGGGGCGATGCAAGAACGGCCACCCCCCTTCCGATAACAGTGCTCTCTGATCTGTCAGGGAGAGCGAAGCGTGGCGTCGTCGGACACGAGCGCCTCCATCGGTCTTTTTTTATATTTTGTTGATCTAGTGGAAAGCCCAGCATGTACGTGTGGGGGCACATTGCCTACGTGTTGTGTTGCTTATACCCAACAGGTCGATGGAGAGCTCCAACCTCGTGCAAAGACTCAATAAGCCAGAGCATGACGAAGTGCGCCGCCTCATTGCGCAGGATGCCGAAAGTCGGGGTGGCAAAAGTTCGACATTCACATTAGACGGGTGAGTACTTGGTTGTTTGTTCTTCTCCGTCGCCTCATCTCTGTGCTAACAAGTTGACAGTGAGCGTGGTGTACCATCGTCGAAGCTGTGCCGCGTGCTCCCTAATGGACAAGAACAGTGTGCAAAGATCTCGCTCGAATGTACGTATGCATCATCGCATACCTTCTGACACGGTCCCTACCATCCCAGCGCGTGAACTATTCCAGACTATGCAGTCTATGGGCTTCTTTTGCATTCTACCCCACGATCCGAGCAAGACGTTCATTCGATGTGAACGTATTCCACACTAAACCTAGGCAAACGGTTTGATACTGGGTTGGTTAGTTATTCATGCATCACTCAGGTCTTGGTGGCCAGCAAAATACATAGCTGGGCGATGAACGTCGGTGACATCATCGCTTTCGCCATTGCGCCCCTCCCCACCCCCATCACCACCTGGTCGACGTAACACGTACCCTGCGGCAAGTTAGTGTCGTTGCGTCTCGGCGCGAACTCTCACGTACCTGTCCAAATAGTAGCAACACCACATGTCAGATCCTCCCATGCGCCGCCGCCCACCAGGCGCGGCAGGCCCATCGACGACGACGCAGCTGTGCCTGGGAGCAAGAACCCAGCCTCAGCGACCATGCGTGCAAACTCGGCCTGTGTCGGGAACCGCTCAATCGATTCCACCAGATACTGGTACGAGTCGCGATCGCCCACAAGCAGTTCACCGAGCGGAGGAATCACATGGAACGAGTATTGCCGGTACAGCTGCGCCAGCAGCGGCACAGATACCTTGCCAAACTCGAGGCATGCAAAGATACCACCCGGCTTCAGCACACGGAACGCCTCGGCAATCACCCGATCAATGTGTGTGCAGTTCCGGATCCCAAACGCAATCGTATACAAGTCAAGAGACTCACTCGCGATCGGCTCACTCACGAGCGGCGGCAAAATCGGATTCCGTCGCGTGCTCGCTGGCGGGTTCTTTCGCTCCGGCACCGGCATCACTTGGTCCAATGCCTCTGCATTGCCGAGCTGAAATCGCACCTGCGGCGTGTTCCAGTACATGCTTTCCTTCACGCGTTTCTGGCCCTCGATCAACATGCTCGCATTGATGTCGAGAATCGTCACCTGCACCTCACGGTCCAGATGCTTCGTCCGTGCGTGATCCAGAAGCCGCAGCGCAATGTCGCCTGTGCCTCCTGCTACGTCCAGGCACCGGATTCCTCCGCGTGGATCAAGCATGTCGACGAACCGGTTCTTCCACAGCCTGTGGATGCCCATAGACATGGCATCATTCATCATGTCGTATGATGACGCGACAGAGGAAAACACGCCACCCACAAGTCCTTCTTTCAGTGCCGTGTCAACAGTCTGGAACCCAAAGTGCGTCGTACGCTCTTCTTTGCCCTCCATGCGCACGACCGACGTGCTGAGCCGTCTTCCTCCAGCAGATACATGCGGCAGCTGCGTGCTTCCCCGTGCGTACTGTGTGCTTGCACGAAGAACGTGCATCGGTTGATTGCACCTTATCGCCATCACGTCACCTTATACAGCTGGGTGATCTGCTCCAAGATTCACGCCGCTCCCTCTTCCTCCCACGACGCTTCGTCCGCCCAATCCCTTATTTCACGTCGATTCCGCCACTTTTGCCCAGTCAACCAATACACCTACCTCACCCCCCTCCACCAGTGTCCTTCTGCCTAGCGATGTGTCGCTAAATTCGGCCCAATTTCTCGTGTCCATCCAGCACGTCGGTTCTTTGGTTCTCAACACGGCCAGCCCCCATCCCTGATCACTGGCATCCAGAACTTTGTACACGTCTGCCCCCTCCCTCTGAACGAACGCGGGTAGTGACATCCCTTTTCACACACACACACACACTCTCCCTTTCCCCAACCCATTTATCCTCGCCACTTGTCTCCATTCCGCTCAGGACACAGTCTATCGTCATGGCCACTGCCGCCATTTCATGCTCGTTGCCAGCCTACGCACAAAGAATACCGTGCCGACTTGTACGTGCGCCTGCGCCCGCACGTCTAATCGGCGCATGGCAGCGGCAGCGCTTGTACAGCTCGCGCGCCTGGCCCGGCTCCTTCGCGTGCGACGCTGCACCCGCTCTCGATGAACATGGCCACATCCCATCGGCACCGTACGATGCCGAGCCACTCACAGGCACGCTGCCTCACACAGACGCACACCTCGTGCTGCATCCCGCGCAGTATTCGAGGCCGCCTACGACATGGCCATCCCACGTAGAGTCGTCATGTGCCCTGCTCAGTGAGCTTGCAAGTCGCACGCGTGAGCACGGCTCTTTGGCTGGCTTTCGAGTGAATCTTTCTAGCGGCGATGCCGCTCTTGCCGAGCCACCCTCTGGCGCATGGGATCCTTCTCGCTCAACGGCTATGCGCATGCCACCGAATCATGCGCAGGAAGACGAGATGTTCTGGCTGTACGCATATACCACATCCGGACGCTACGTTCGCTGGCCAGAGCCCATCTCACTCCGCACGCTGCCGTCCGGCACGGAGCTCCGCACCCAACTCCAGGCGATGTGGTCGCGTGCGCACGATACCTTAGAGAGCCACATCTATGTATGCACACATGGCATGCGTGATTGCCGATGTGGCGTCGCCGGCACTGCCGTCTATGATGCACTGCAACGTGCCGTCACGAATCATACTGCACAGTGTGCGCAGGACGGTGCGAAGCCGGCGCGTACCATCCGAGTTTTCCCCATCAGCCATGTCGGCGGACACAAGTGGGCCGCGTGTGCGCTGGTCTATCCGCATGGCGACTGGTACGGCAATCTGCGTGTGTCGGATGTGCCTCTTCTTCTTCGTACAGCTCTGGCCCCATCGTCTTCACGGCATGATCTCGATGATCTCCGTGAGCGCCTCGTCGTTTGGCCTCGGTGGCGTGGCCGTCTCGGCATGTCTCAGTCGGAGCAGCGAGACCACAGAGACGTGTGGGGCCCACCCATCGTGCACACCGCTCACATCACACCCGCACGTCGCTCTCGCTCTCACTCTCGCTCTCCCACTCCTTCGCCCCCAGCGGCCGTCGACACGCGAACGACAGTGCCGTTGCGCTTTCACGCACATGATGGCACTTGGTACAATGTCGACGGCCACATTGGCGAGTCCCTTATGGAAGTGGCCAAAAGACACAATCTGCCTAGCATTGAAGCTACATGTGGCGGCGAATTGGAATGTGCTACATGCCATGCGTACTTGTGTGACGCAAGTGACGGCAGCGATCCCGCCACTCGCGGCGACATTAATTGTGCGCCAAGCTGGAGTGCTGCTGCCGTCTCGGACGAGGAAGACGATATGCTCGAGTATGCACCCTTCCGCAAAGCATCGAGTCGTCTCACGTGCCAAGTACGAGTGTCTCAGGCCCTCTCGGACTGGATGCAACGTGGCGGCCGCATTGAACTGGATCGCTTCTAGATGACCGCGTTTCCGAACCAACCCATGTCTGTCGGCATCGCTCTCCATCCAACAAATCTTTGATAGGTGTTCATAACCTTTCTGTGCTATACGTCTGTATGATCAACTGGATCGACATCGAGTCACGTCGCCTCGCGTAGACAGGATCCTCCATGCATGTGCGTCTCGCACTATGCACGCGCAACTGATCACTTTTCCCCGCGTTTCTCCCTCCTCCCGCACCAGGTCTGGCCTTTGCTCTCCTCTATGCCTCACTCGCACTCGTACTCGTACTCACACTTGCACTCTCTTACTCCTTCTCCTACTCCTACTCCCAATCTGCTTCACGCTCCACGCTCTACGCTCCTCCAACGCTCGTGTGCATTGTGGAGCCTCGGCCGAGTCGCGACGCGGCCGTTGCACAGCGCCCTGCGCTGCACGCGCGGTGACGGGTGATGGGTCGGCGACGCGGACGCGTTTCGCCTTGACACCAACGTTCCCCTTTTGTCCAGCTGCCGCCTCTCTGTGACAAGCTGTTACCATCATGTTCTTCGGTACCGCCCTCCGCTCCGTTCCTCGCTCCCTCACGACTCGTGTACGTGCCGCCCACATCCCTAACGCCTAGGCATTTTCTTCTACGCCTGCCTCAGCCCTCTCGCGTGTTACTTTGATTGGCCGCCTTGTGGCTCCACCTGAAGTGCGCGAGAGCCGCCATGGCAAAGAGTACCTGCGCTACACGCTCGCTACCAACGACTTGCCTGGCCCGCCCAATGAAGACGGCACACCTGCGCCACCGACATCGTCGTTCCACTCCATTTTTGCCTTTGGCGAAAACACCGTGTCTCGTCTACGTGATGTGCCCAAGGGCACGCTGATGTACGTTGAGGGTGACTTCCGTGTCGTGCGTACGCCCGGTGACGATACTATGCCACCACAGGAACAATGGCTCGTGCAGCACCGCAACTACCGTGTGCTGATGCGCCCGCGAAACCCGTAGAAGATCTCTTCATCTCCCGTAGAATCATATATATATATATATATATATACACACACAGCAGCGCTGCATTGTAGGCTCCATGTTCTCGCTATGCACGACTACACAGTCCCATACTACGGTCAGCATGGATCTCTAAAACGAGGCAATGGCCTGTCCATCGATTGCGCTCACGCATGTCGCGACTAAACAATTGATAACTCGGCAGATATCTGCATTGGCATTGGTGCACAGCACAGTCACGAGCACGTGTGAGTAGTCGACTTGGATGGTTCTAAGCTCACATACCTTTTGACAAACGCATACACCTGTTCGTCAGTCATACCTCGCCCGCCATTCGTTCGCTTCATCTTGTGCTCTGCCTCAAGACGCCACGGGTATATAAGCGACCAGGGACTGGCTCCGTCTTGTGCCACAGGCACAAACTGCACGAATACGTCAAGAAGTGGATACCAAATCTGCTCCCATCCTTGCAGCTGTTCATTCACGAAACGCAGCTCATCAAGTCCACACGCTGTGAATTCTGCTCGATCTTTCGCGTCCTCTTCACGCATCTCGCTAAACCTGCTCTTTCCTTCCTCGTACATTTGCGCCAGTTCTGTCTCTGAAAGCGATCGAAAACCTAGACACCAGCCTTCAAATAACACCACATCCACCGGTCTGTTGACACACTTCCATACGGCCCGTCTGTCGCCTGCCCCTCCATGTGCACTTTTATCATACACAGGTAGCGACACTGTATCATTTGCATCAGTACGAAACGCTCGAAGAATCCGCTCTCCCACCTGCACGTCATGCGTGCCTGGTTGTCCTCGTCCTTGAAGAAGCGAATACGTCGGGTGTGCTCGTCCCAAAGCGGTCATGGCCTCATGCGGTAGGTACAAGTCTGTGTGGGCAAGCGTGAGTCGTGCTGAACCAATCAGCCGCGCGGCATAGCAGAGTTTGAATCAGCCTCAGACACGCGTGTGTCGTCCGATTCCTTGCCGTCCCGACGTCATCCAGTCCTTTTCCTACGTACCATCCAGCGAAAGGACCGCGGCATGGACTGGCGGATCTTGTTTTCCAAGACGCTCAATGATCCGCTCACATGTATACGACTTGCCTATCCGATGATCGATGTATCAGCACAAGTCCCGTCCTAGCACGTACCACTGCCCTGAGGACCCTGAAGGCCCACGATCATCGGGCCCTTCGCGACTCTCTTGTGCTCAACAAGCTCCTTGTTCAAAAAATCGCAAATCCGTGCTTCTTTCGGTCGTGCTGATGTCATGTCCCGCTGGCCTTACACACACTCACGAGAAGCACCCAGAGCAACACGCGATGGGTTTGTCTGCCACGCTCGGACCAACAGCTTCGGACCTATCCTTCCACTAGCCCATGTGGGGTGGGGGCGTGGCGCCTGAAGCGGGGGAGGGGGCACTCACTCGGCACGTGGCTTGGGTCGTACGAGACCACCTGGGATCTATACATGCATATATGCTACGTGGGACTGCAAAGATGCCACTGATGATGACGGTCGCGGTCGGGCGAGAGAGGAAGAAAATCTTGCTTTTTTGCTTGGGCGATAAAAGCATTCACGATTATGTCAGAACATGGCATGTTTTCCTGCTTGGCCCGATCGCTGCCGCATATCGTTGGGCTTCTGTAGACGCTCCATTGGATCAAGATTCCCCGAGCAGACGGATGCATCGGGTTCGGTCGAAACTCCTACAAGCTCTTCTTACATTTTTCCTCTACCCCATCACGACCATGTCGAACGTGCAACAAGCTAAGAACCACGCCAATCAGGCTGCCAACAACGCCAACCAAGCCGCCAACCAGGCTGTCAACAACACTAACCAGGCTGTCAACAAGGCTGCCAACAAGGCTGAGAAGGTCTCGAAGTACGTATCTTGTTGTCTCTAGCGAAGCTCCGTCTCTCGTTCCAAACTTACACCACCCACAGCGAGGCCAACGAGAAGGCTGAGCACTTTTACGATGAGGCCAAGGCCACGGCCGGTAAGGTTGGCGAGTACATCTCCAAGGAGGCCGAGGAGCTCGAGGACCGTGCCAAGGAGGCCCAGAAGAGGTACGTTCCGCGCAGCCGCTTGTGATTGTTGTCGTGGACTTGGACTTACCACGCACTCTTTCAGTCTGTGTGCCAGTGTGAACTCTGGCATGAAGAAGTTCCAGGCTGGCTGGAACGACTTCTCGAGCAACCCCAAGTACTGGCTCACCACGCTTAGTGTCGGTACGTATGGAAAGATGCACAGTTCGCCTGTGGTCGTTGTCGACAGCTTTTTCTAACACAATGTAGTCCACGTTGCCGTGCTGGGTGCCGCTGGTTACTTTGGCTACCAGAACCGCCGGGAAATTCAGACCTGGGACAGGAAGCTGCTCTCGGCTGTCGCCGTGGGTGTCGCTGCCTTCTTCGGTGCTGAGGGGTACGTGTTATTTTTTTTTTCTCTCTTTCTGGCAAGTCCGACACTAACATGCTCTTTCCCAGCTTCTTCGTGTCGAAGAATGCTAAGAAGCAGCTCAAGTAAGATGCTAATGGAATGCGGAACTGAGGGGTCTCAATGGCACGACCTTTTTTACATTGATTCCACACTTGTCATGTAGATAGTCGCCAGTTGCATGCAGAATCCCTCTCGCTTCTCTTTTGTCCAGCAATATATACATTAGAGCCTTGAGACTGCGGAAGATCTGGATGCGATCGTGTGTCGATCCGTTCACGTACGGGAAGGAAGCGCGTCGCTCACTGTCGTGTCAGTCGAATGTGGGTGAGCATACGAAAGTCGATACTGGTTGGAATCACTCGCGTCGACTGAAAAAAAGCTCGGCGTGGCGTGGACCATTGTCGACGCAGCTCGTCCTTCCCATTCTTTTTGTGCACAGAGGGCGTGGAGGTCACGTCCCTTGGTGTTGTCTCTTCGCACTGCGTGGCGCCGCGGGTTCCAACCCGGGCAAGGTCCACTCGCGCATGTAGGTGTGTATCCCACAAGGCTGGTCCCCCGATCCACTGGGCCCTGATCTGCTTATCGGTCTATTTTTCATCGTTGGCCACGCCACCGAGACGTAATCGACGTTCTCCTCAACCTCTTCTCTCTTTGTCGTTGCCCTCGTGTGCCTGGTTTCCTTGCTATTCTTACGTGCACACAAAGAAACGATGAACGCAGCTACCAACTTCTTGTCAAGATTCGCTGGTATGTACACATCCCCTCTCCGCGAAGCTCCTTGGTGGCTTCTCTTTCTCTTTCTCTCCTGTCTTGACTGGTTCGCTAACGCATGCGTCCAGTGCCCCTTGGTATGAGCGCCTTGCTCGTACAGGCTAGCATGTACGATGTTCCCGGCGGCTATCGAGCCGTGATGTTCGACCGGTTCACCGGTGTAAAAGAGAGGGTACGTCGACACATCTTCGCACGGTTGCGCCGCTAACGCGCACACACTCAGGCCACCCACGAAGGTACCCACTTCCTGATCCCATGGCTCCAGCGTGCAATTCTGTACGATGTTCGCATCAAGCCTCGCACCATTTCGACGACCACCGGCTCTAAGGATTTGCAGATGGTCACTCTTTCGCTGCGTGTGCTGTCGCGCCCAGATGTAACGCATCTATCCAAGATTTACCAGTCCCTTGGCCTCGACTACGACGAGCGTGTCCTCCCATCGATCGGAAACGAAGTCCTCAAAGCTATCGTTGCCCAGTTTGATGCGGCCGAGCTTATTACCCAGCGAGAGGTCGTCAGTGCTCGCATTCGCGAGGACTTGCTCACTCGCGCGCGTGAATTCAACATCGTTCTAGAAGATGTCTCTATCACTCACCTTACTTTCGGTCAGGAGTTTACCAAGGCCGTCGAGCAAAAGCAGATCGCTCAGCAAGATGCAGAGCGTGCCAAGTTTGTCGTTGAAAAGGCCGAGCAGGAGCGTCAAGCGTCCGTTATTCGTGCCGAGGGTGAGGCGGAAGGCGCTGCGCTGATTACCAAGGCGCTTGACAAAGCAGGCGATGGCCTGCTGACAGTGCGTCGCATCGAAACATCGCAGCAAATCGCCAAGACATTGAGCCAGGCACAAAATGTGACGTACTTGCCGACCAGTGGAAATATCCTGTACGTATGCCATTGTCCAGACCATTGTGACTTACCTCTTCCCTCTTTCTCCTTCTTGCAGCCTCGGTGTCAATCAGCAACAGTAAGCAACCATTGCCTATCAAAACCCCTCCTTCCTTCCATAGTTGAAGTTGGCTCATGCACACGATCCCATAAACATGTACTGTTTTCCGTCGGTATCTGGCCGCGACAATTCGTCCTTGGCTTGTCCTCCCATTTGTGGAGGATCTTCGTACTTCGGGGCCATGGCTGAAACACACCTTTGACACAGCTTCCCTCGCTAGCGCGTGTGCGTGCGTGTGTGCTCTTTGCATTGATCTACTTCTATGTTGTGCAACACGACCACTATCTTGCGAGGCAGCCGCACCGTCCTTGTACCTTACCGCCCAGAGCATGTATGTCCTATCCACTTACCCCCATCCCCCAGGTAGCGACATATCATGAATGGATGCAGGATCCAGTGCTCCAGGAACAAACAGCATCGGAACCACTCACACTCGATGCAGAATACGAAATGCAGCGCAGCTGGCGCAACGATAAAGACAGTGTGTATGGCAATATGAGCCGCAGGCTTGCCACGATCTAACAGGCAGAATTGACGTTCATCCTCTTGGCCATGGAGCGTCCAGTGCCAAAGGACGCCAACATTGCCACGTTGCTTGCTTCATGCTCCATGGCTGGCGACGTGAATGCTTTCTTGTCGGAGCGGTATGACGAAGAACAGCTCCATGACGAGGCTGATGCTGTAAATGACCTAGCGGATGCGCCGCCGTCTGTATGGGCCGAGCTTGAGGTCATGATCGCTGAGCCCCGCTGGCGGCGTCAGGGCCTTGCTCGCGAAGCTCTTCAAATGCTCCTCTACTTCCTAACGGCTGACCCGACGCCTTGCGCTTCCTCAGATACGCCCCACCGTTCCACTGCCTTGCCCATCGCAAAATCCCGGCTGTTTGCGCGTATATCTATGTACAATGCACCATCGATCGCACTATTTGAGCAACTTGGGTTTGTCCGGGGAAAAGAATATACCGTGTTTGAAGAAGTCGAATTGAGCGTGACGGATGAGTCTCGTATCCAGTGCACAAAGCCTCTGGCAGTGCTTGAATGGCCCGAGCCCGGCGCCGTCTAGTGCACGGTAGCGGCGTCGGCGTCGGCGTCGGCTACGAGGACGTCGATGACGCATCATTCGGTGATGACGAATGTGCATTGGTTGGATCAAACAGGTTCGTAGTGGCAAGCTTGAGCTCATACAGCTGGTACAGCTGCTCGTGCGAGAAGCGGTCCAACAGATCGGGATCCAGACTCTGTCCACGAGCGAGCCCTTCATTCTGCTGTGCATCTCGCGTAATTGCATCCAAGTACATCTTCCACTGTGAGCAGAAGCCCACAATATGTAGAGGATTTTCAATCTTCTGGTGCCGCCGAAATTCCGCCTTCACGTAGGTCGTCACCCAACGAGCGCATCTCGTGCGGCAATCGCCTGTGGGCACGCAGCACGGCACGGTACAATGGAATAGGTGGTAGAAGCATGTCGGACGCGGCATGCACCTGCGGACTGATGCTAGCTTGGTTGGTAGCCATGACACGCATTGTGTGGCGCAAAGGCACTAGTCTCGACGCCTGCATCGCGTGTATCACAATAACCGCCACTTAAATTTGATAGATGGCCTGCTTGTTCGGCAGGTTCGATCTCTCTAGCCGCCGACGCCCCACCCCACCTGGTGTCGGTCTGTCAGCTCGGTATGGCGCTGCGCTTTCCAAATCTCGAATGTGGCCTCGACTCAGTGCCTCCTACCACGTGCACTGGTTATTGCTGTGCCTTTGGTGCCTGCCGATGCAAGTGACACGAAAAGAGGTCACTGAATTTTTGTCTGGACCTGGGAAATAGATGCGCAGTTGGCACAAATTCCAGGCGCCGATGCCGATGATGCAAGACCGATCCACGGCAGCCCCCCCACCTAGATCAGTTCCCCGATTCATTTTCACTCGCTCGCTCACTTGCTCACTTGCTCACTTGCTCACTTGCTCGCCCAACTGTTTCTAGTGTTATCCCTCCACCACAAAAGCCATCATGACATCGGAGCTTGATTCATCCCATGTGCCCGTGCTCAAAGAACGCATATTTGACGTGCTCAAAGAGTCGGACCTGTCGTCGGTGTCTGCCAAAAAGGTCCGTATGGCTTTGGCGGACATGCCAGAGGGCAGCCTGCCCAGTGGCATAGACCTCAGTGCCCAGAAAAAGGCCATTGATAGCTTGATTCGCGTCTGCTACGACGAAGTCACACAGAAGAAGCCCTCATCCAAGGTATCCAATGCTGAGAAGAAGACAACTAAGTCGACAAACTCTTCCTCGTCGTCGACAAAGAAGAGCTCCTCCAAGAAGCGCTCCAAGAAGGACGACGACAACGATGACGAAAGCCAAGAGCCTAAGAAGAAGCGCGCACCAAACGCCAACAATCCACTCAACAGACCGCTTCGCCTATCCTCTGACATGGCCGAGGTGTGTGGTGGCTCAGAAATGCCGCGCTTTGAAGTCGTGAAAAAACTTTGGGTGTATATTAAAGACCATAATCTACAGAATGAGAGCAACAAGCGCCAGGTATGTCACCATGCTCACTTCATGAAGCATACCAGCTACTTACACGTCCACCTCCAGATCATGTGTGACGACAAGCTGACCGGCTTGTTCGGCAAATCGTCCGTCGAGTACGTATTTACGCGTGTTTGCACGCTTGCACACTTTGTCTCTTCTCTTCCTTTCCCCTTTTCAAACCAACAGCACACTGACACATGTTTTTTCTCAAGCTCGTTTGAAATGTCCAAGGTATGTATGTGCACGTCGCATTCTAGTCCACATCGATATTGACTTTCTCAGCTCATTGGGCGACACCTACAGAAGATCGACCCACCACCGAATCCGTAGACAGTGTTCTGTTCGTTTCTTTTTTTTTTTTGTTTTCATCATATAATTTTTCAGTCAGATCATTCCCATCCTTTCGCGTACAACTCACCAGTCATGCTGTCGTGCATCAACACATGCTATCTTGTCCTGACCCGCTTCCACTTACCGTCAATTGGACCCTAACGCGACGACGCATCATCGATGCTTCTTGGCTCCGACGCGTCGTGTGGAGAAGATACATTGTTAAACGCGCACCTACGAGGGTCGAAGCCGCGAATGCGTAACACACGGGCACTTCCTCATAGGCGGAATTGTAATAGTACATGTCCCTTCCTCAACTGGTGACGACGACGAGGACGAAGACGACTACGGGGACGGTGCAGACGACAAAGTTCGTGTACATATACCAACAAGCAGCGACGGGATCGTTATCTAGGTAATCATAACCGGACGATCTTGGACAGCTATGTCGTTCTACACACATGAGCAAGCTATGCGATCGTCAGGTGACGCCATGTCGCTCCAGGGTTCCTCCGATGCATCCAAAGCACATGACGCCGACTCGCTTAATGCAATGCATGAAGATCACTCCAACATTCATCCTGCAAAGCGACTTGGCTCTCTTATCCAGCAGTATTCGAGGAATCCGTCGCAATTCCAACGCCAGTTTTGGCGGCATCAAATGAACCTTGTCGAAAACGGCTTCGATTCCGACGGTAAGGCCATCGACTTTTTCAATCTTGGCTCAGCACCTAGCGGAAACAGCAGTGCGTTGCCTCTTGCCCGCATCAAAAAAGTCATGAAGAACGACGACGAGGTTAAGGTACGCATGAACAACATTATCGCATGAGCATGTCATCTAACTTTTGGCAGATGATCTCGGCAGAAGCACCTATCTTATTCTCAAGAGCATGTGAAAGTACGTCTCTACTTCTTAGTACGCTGCTTCTCTAACAATATTTCTAAAGTCTTCATTGCCGACCTTACTTGCCGTGCTTTCATGGTCGCCGAGGAGAACAAGCGTCGTACCATCCAGCGTTCTGACATTGCGAATGCGATTGCTCGCTCCGACCTGTTCGACTTTCTTATTGATATTGTGCCCCGTTCTGAAATGATGCGCCATCGTGGCTCCAGTGTTCCCATCCGGAATACTATGCCCACACCCTCGCTACCATCGCCATTCCCAAGTGCGGACGTTGTACCACGTCTCAATATGGGCGAAGCACCAGGACAGCCGACAAACTTCCTCCCTTTGCGTCCTTCACAGCCTGATGTGCGGGCGCGCATTGATCCTATGGAAGCATCTCTTGGTCTTGGATCCGCCCAGCCACTCAAAGGCTTGTCGAAGGCTCCCATGCCCAATGAATGGTACCCTTTCCCTACGGCGCCTATGGGTGATGCACGCATGCATCCCGGTGCAAGCTTAAGTTTATCCTCAGCAGCACCGACCGCCCCGCCAAGTGCTCGTCCTATGATGGGCCGCGGTGGTGTTGATGCGACTGCACCTTTCATGGATGCTAACGCATCCCTTCCGATGCCGCCGCCTCATCCGCGTGGCTCATTATTAAACATGATGCCATACTCTATAGATGAGGCTGCATCAAAGGCACATGGCAACTCTAACGAGTAGCAGCCTTACTGCTCATACCCATCGTGTTTGTATAGGGATTTCATTCTGTACGCTGGCCTACTTTTAGGAGGCTCTGGTTTGTGTTGTGTTTTCTTTGTTTTTGCCTTCGTCCGATTGGTCTCAAGACTCTGATAGCTACTGGTTAGGTATCTGTAATCAAAAGCATTTATCTTTGCCACAGAGCCACGAGGGACTTATTTCTTTTGCACCTCTGAATGCATCCAGCTAAGCTGAATGACATTGCGCAACATAAAATTGCTCTCTCTAGGGTCTAAGGACTCGACGGTGTCTCACCGCAATGGTTTAACGTCGTTTCTTTAATTACATTTCGTGACGAGGCACTGATGGATCCCTATTTTTTTTGGAGGGGGGGGGGGTTCCGCATGCATGAGCGTGCAGCCGAAAGCAAAGCTTACAAGTTTTGGTGACTAGATAGCGAGTATGCAATTTCTTCAGGTCATTTGCAATGAGACTGATGCTTAATTGTGCGACAGGTCTCTTGACGATGAAGTCAGGTTTTTTTATGAGTTGAAAAACATCGTTGGAATCTCATGAGCCAAGCACAGATGCCAATGAAATCCTTCTGCCATCCGTCAGCTTGCGTAGCACGCACTATGTTCGCCAGATACAAAGCGAAAAAAACTGTTGTACATATCCACAAGCCACCCACAGGAGATCAAGTCTGCATTATTTGCTTAAAGGATTGCTTGCATATTGTCTCTAAGCGCACTGTTGAGACAAATAAATGCCAATCTGTGTCACAATCTTCATGACCCTTTGTTTCCTTTATAGTAGTGGTGAAGCCACACTTGTCTTGAATACGCCTCAATGCTAGCCGACAAGTTCATCTGCAACTTTCATTATGCATGCAAAACGGCTACAAGATCCATTGACGTAAATCGTCGCAATAGGGTACCACAATCAGACCAAGCTCTTTGTCCAGTGTGTTTGTTTAGCCGCGACAATGACCTACTAGAAAACCTCCTTTCATGCGCGTTAGCATAGTCTTGTATAGAATTGCTCAGAAAAAGCCGCATCCGTGACAGGAACGAGGTCTGGGCAATCTGAGCCAGAGGTGCCAAGAAGTCCACGCAACGTCAAGTCGTACAAGATCTCTTCCAGGCGCTTGACATCATACTTGATAGAGTCAAAGCGTTTCCGAAGAGAGTCATTCTTCAGATTTAGCTCTTTAAATGTCGAATGAATTTGATTCACATTCGATGCGATACGCTCAGGCGCATTATAGTTTCCTTTGATCACAAGGTACATGGAAAGACGTGGAAGCTCATTCACCAAACTTATCATGCCATGCAAATATTCGTCGGTCGTTAGACACATTCGATTTGCTGGAAGGTTGTCGATTCCCAATACGTGTGCCACCGCCTCCTTTGATAAAAGACGCCCCGTTACGACGTAAAATACGAGAAGCACGACAAACACGCTGCCCTTCATACAACCGGACCACACGTCGATCCATTTGTAGAATTCATTCGACGGTACATGTTCACTTAGCGCCTTGATGGCCGAGCGCATTTCAGCCATGGAATTCGAGATACTCTGAATCACCTCTCCCGCTACTCCCAATGTATGAGTATATGTGTTGTCGATTTTCTTGATCACGTACCCTTTGCGCTGTCCGAAGTGCGAAGCTGGTTTTCTTGCATCACGGCAATGCGTTGCACACGCTCCCATTCTTTTACATGTTCGCGAAGCGTCTGTCATGTTGGCCAAACATCTTTCTTTGCACTTTCAAGACATACCTCATGCGTTTCTCGTTCTTTGACAACGTCACGAACAACTTGTTCTAGCGAGGCTTGATCCTGCGGATCCATCACAGCGTACAAGTCAGTGCGCTCAACGTGTGTGGAGGAAGTCAGCAAAGTGACCGGTGGTGTTATATGCGTCTGAAATAGCGTTGCGTTCTTCAAGGCCTGGGAGTCCGGGGCTGGTTTCTCAAGTCGTCATGATCAAGCTTGGGCAAGGCATTTTCGAACGTACAACGCGACAACATTCTACGTCCATAGAATGCTTCTACAAAAAGCTACTTGAAGACTGAAGATTCATTTTGCAGAATTGTGCATGGACAGAATGCACAACCTCGAGCGTACAGGAAATGCACGACCTGCTTGCGAGAGTCGAACAAGTATGCTCTTCCTTTTAGCCTAGTACGATATTTTTCTACTCGGTGATTTGATACATGTACAGCTCAGTTGTAAGCGATATCTCACCGTCTTGAGGTTTTGTCTGCTGTGTCCTGCTGCATCGAATCAATGTCCCCCAGGCGGCGGAGAGATGCCACATTATATCTGCGTCGTAAGTCGCAAAGTCGCACAAGAATAAAAGATAAAAGTTTTGAGCGGCATATACATGTTGCATAGCGCGAACAAGCTGATCGAATGGTTTCTTTGCGCAGGTAAATACATCGGTTATATATAGACTGACATGCATATGAGAAAAATATGTATGGGCACAGGATGGCTCTGGACGAATGAATTAGTTTCTAGATGAGTGCTTGACACATTCTTGCAAGGGCCGTAGGCTGAAAATGATCAGGTAGTGATGGGATTTTTTATTTGGTGGTTCGTGATAATGCTTTGACATGAACGAAGTCAACTGTCTAGGTGCTCATATTGGTGCGTATTGCTACGAGGCCTGACTACCGTTTTCCTATTCGTATTCACGATACAGAGTTTGGGCCAACTACAGTTCTCAACTCCATATGTATATAAGCCTAGAGGCAAGTTTTTTTCCCAAATACTTTCAAGCGTTGCATATCTCTAGTCGCTTTCAAGTCTCTTGTGCCAAAACGGGGTGGCCAATGATGCACGCACGCCCTCCGTCTTTGGGCGCTTGTTCGCACCGTACGCTAACGACGCTTATGCTTGGTGCGAGTAGCAAATACCTTGATGCCATGGATCACTGCCGTATTTGCATTAAGGGATAGCTTTATTGAGTCCTTGGCGCCTGCTGTTCCTCACACATGTGCAGAGAGCAGCGCTCTTGGTCTTTCACGTCGCGCAGCCGATGCATGTGTCAATGTGGAGAACTTCGCACAGATGTTCTCTCTCATATCCATGGAGACGTGCCCCACAGCAGGTATCTATCTATATCCATCTTTAGCACCTGTGACCTTGTAAACGGGCAACGAGTGCTTGCCAAGTTCCAAAAAGCGTTCACTTTGTAAAATAATTGCACCATGTCTGAGGACTATTCGGCAGCGGTACTGATGATGCAGGACGCTGTGGCGCCCACATTACCCTCAAGCATCAAGCCTGTTCCTGCTTCCCTGTTTGCCTCCTTTATGGCTTGGTGGGGCTTGTCACGACAACAGACGGCAGATGCAGAGTTGTTCCTTTACAAAAAGACTGGGTTCTTTCGGTCTGCTCAAGTTGCAAACGCATCCAAGGTAAACGATGATGGGCCAAACAGCATAGCTGAAGCTTTCGCGATGCAGACGACAACATCATCCACCTCATCGGCACTGCAGGCATCATCAGCATCATCAGGTCTACGAAACACTTCACCCACATTACAAGGAAACGAATTCGCTACGATAGCGACACAACTGGGCCCACATGGCAAGGTCGGGTACATGCACAGTGTGAACCTGTCTGACGGGAAACACAGCCCATGGTCATGGAAACGTCGTACACCCACACAGCGTTACATTCACACAGTTGAAATTGGAACGCCGAAGCGAAAAGAGGAGCGTCCTGACAATGAGGTATCGATTGTGCTTGTGCATGGTTATGGTGCGGGAAGTGCGTTCTTTTTTCGGAATCTAGGCGCCCTTGCCAAGATACCCAACACACGTTTGTATGCACTCGACTGGCTTGGCATGGGTCGGTCGTCTCGCCCATCGTACTCGTTAGGAGGCAAGCCACGCTCTATGGAACGTGTGGAAGCCAGTGAGTCATTTTTCCTCGATGCCCTGGAGGAGTGGCGTACGAAGATGCACATCGACAGGATGGTACTTGTTGGGCACAGCTTGGGAGGATACTTGTCAACCGCGTACGCGCTGCGGTTTCCTGAGCGAGTGTCGAAACTAATTCTCGTTTCTCCCGTTGGCTTTCATGAGGGTTCCCTACAGGACATGATGAAACACAATCCTGACAAACGAGCACCTCGGTTCGGACCACGCACGATCCAGTTCATGAGCTGGCTTTGGGACAAAAATGTGAGCCCCTTTAGTATCTTGCGCTTCTCTACTGTGCTTGGTCCATTGCTGATGGGTGGCTACACGCGAAGACGGTTTGGATCCCTCGCACAAGATGAGCTCCAGAGTTTGCATGCCTATTGCCACGGCATTTTCACCGATCACTCAAGCAGCGAGCACTGCCTTGCCGATATCCTAGCGCCAGGTGCCTTTGCTCGACGGCCTATGGCGCAGCGCGTAGCGCCTCTCAAGATACCCATCGTATTTCTGTATGGAGATCATGACTGGATGGATACATGTGGTGCGTACCAAGCAAGAGAGGTCCTTCATGAGGCTGGCAACAATGACGTACGCATTCACACGGTGAAGAATGCTGGACATCACCTGTACCTAGACAATCCGTCTGAATTTAACGAGCTCTTAGAGCAAGGGCCATGGTAGTTATGTCAATCTAGGATGAACGCGAGCATCCTTTGCAACTATGCCATCTACGTAGTTACCCACAGTACCGTCCATATCGGGGGTCAGGCTTCGAACTATCCTGGTCGATGGTTGTATGAGCAAGTTGGTCTGTCCTTCTCTCCACATTGTCTCTCTTCTACCCACGAGGTGGGTGGGTCAGTGTTTGATTTACTGTGGAGCCACGCCACAAGTGTGAAAGAGTTTCTTCTCCCCTGTCCGTCGAGAGGTAAATGGTACGTGTGTGTGTGTGTGTGTGTGTGATTGCGTGAGAAGATGAGGGATGCTGACGATGGCAGTTGGTGCGCGTACGCACAAAGGATGGACAGCTTCGATGCACAGTCCAGCCGAGTGATGACATATCTGTGCTAGTGTCACAGGTTCTCACGGCCACCAAGGCTGAGCCGTCCACCTTGACGTTCTCTGACACACCCCAGGGACAGGGACAGTTTGTGAGTACATGGCAGGGACAGAGCCTTTCGTCGCTTGGGATAAAGCACGGAGACTTGCTGTTTGCTTCATACAAGGATGCAGCGTCGCACGAGGAGGGGGCACTCGTTGCGTCTGGCAAGTCTTCCGCCACCGAAAACGCTGCTGCCAGCGGCGGCAATACGAAGCAACCGGCAGCAGTCAACGAAGATCCCGTTGATCAGTACTGGGCTAAGGAGCGTGGGCTGATCAAGCGGCCGCACGATCCCCAGTTCTGTCGGCATGGAGCCAAAGGCATGTGTGACTATTGCATGCCGATCGAACCGTTCGATATGGCATTCCACGCTGAGCATGGCATCAAGCATTTGTCTTTTCACGCGTACCTGCGGCATCAAAACATTGGGGTGCCATCGTCTTCTGCATCATCGTCGTCCTCTACGTACGTGCCGCCCCTGGAGGAAGTCTCGTACCGCGTCAAGACCCCATGCCCATCAGGACACCATGCGCCGTGGCCCGCTGGCATCTGCACCAAGTGCCAGCCATCCGCCATCACACTTCAGCGGCAGCCGTACCGCATGGTAGATCATGTCGAGTTCGTGCACTCGTCGCTCATTGACCATGTGTTGGACATATGGCGCAAGACAGCGACGCAGCGATTTGGATTCCTACTAGGCCATTATGAGCCGTATGAAAAAGTGCCTATGGGCATCAAGGCGGTCATCGAAGCGATCCACGAGCCGCCGCAGGCGGGCGAGATCGATGGCATCGAGCTGGGCTTGCCCTGGGACGACGAGCCTCGGATTACATCGCTCGCTGCACAGTGTGGCATGAGCATCGTCGGCATGATCTACACGGATTTGGAGGTGGCGGACCCATCGCACACGGATGCATCGCTCGCCGGTCTTGTGGCATGCAAGCGGCATGCGGACAGTTTCTTCCTGAGTGGCCAGGAGGCGATCTTTGCCGCTCAACTGCAGGCGCAGCACAAGAATGCATGCCGCTGGACCGAGAGCGGCTCGTTCAACAGCAAGTTTGTCACATGTGTGCTGAGTGGGAATCCCGAGGGCGACATTGATGTGTCGGCCTACCAGGTGAGTGAACAGGTCATGGGCATGGTCGATGCCGATATGATCGAGGCGAGCGTGCATCCCACGACGATCCGCGTCAAGCCGAATGACGAGAGCCGGTACGTGCCGGATGTCTTTTTCCGCTACACGAACAAGTATGGCATCGACATCAAGGAAAATGCATCGCCGACCTTCCCAGTCGAATACCTGCTCGTGACATGCACGCACGGTTTTCCAACTGAGCCGAAGCCCGCGCTTCTTGTCGTCCACCTTCCCGATCGAGAATCGCCCGGGCCTGCAGGACCAGACGCTCGAGCTTGTCTTGCATGGTCTTCGCACACTCCTAACGCATCCTGATGGCACCTTCGACGAAGATATGCACCACTTGGACCATGCCCGCTTCGTCCGCTGGCTTAGTGACTGGCACTTGCTCGCGTTTTTGGATCACACAAGTCTCTTGTCGCATGACGAAATGCGGCATGCGTGTCGAACGGCCGTGTCGCATGACGATGTGCAAGCCTTGACCGCGTTGCTCATGTCTCCTGGATGGCGTACCCTGGTGGCGCTTGCCCGTGAGACGGCGCCGCCTCCGTCTTCGCCGCCATCAGCGGGCACCAGTGCGCGAGACTCGTCGTCCGCGGCGGCAGGCACGGATCCAGCACCAACCGACAGCATCGTGGACGCACCGACGGTATCTGCCGATGCGGGTGTCTCCTCTTCTGCGGCTGACGGCGTCGCATGTCCGCACTGCACGTTCCTCAATGCACCAGGCAGCACGGACTGTGACGTGTGTGGACTACCGTTGTGACACGCCCAGCAACGCGCCCAACGACTTGTGTGAGTCTTTTCATGGACACCATCTACCTACCATGTTATCCGCATCTACGCAGGACTCTTTTATGCATGCTGGTTTGCAGGCGATGTGGCCGTGGCGGCGGCGGCAGTAGCAGTAGCAGCAGCACGCCGACGAGTTCGTTGTTTCTTCGACGCACGCGCATTCCGACGTGCATTCCGCGCATACTCAGCATCGCTCCAGCGCTCCATGTGCCATGGCACCCATGTATCGCATAGCCTTTGCATGCCTTCCCATAGCCGCTGGACATACGTAGCATGCGCCGCCAAGGAAGACAGCATTCCATCCGCTTGCACCTGTGCTTGAGCGTGCTGGAGGAGTGTGTGCTCGGCCGAGAGAAGCACCGCCGCCATGTCTGCTCGGCTGTGGAGCCAGGCCAGTTGGCCCAGCGAGCGCTTTTGGTACGTGGACGCGAGGATCGGACGCAGCATGGCGTACGAAACGCGCACATTCGGCGGGACAAAGACCGGCTCTGATGGCGATGACGACAGCACGTCCTGCGCGCGATCCTTCTCGGAACTGGGGGGCAGATGGGTGCCGCTCTTGTCGTCGACGGCCTCGTCACTCAGCGCTGCTTCTTTTTCCATGCTCGCGAGCCACCTCTTCGACATCGATTCCATGCCCTGCTCACCGACCATGCCAGCGTCACGGCGCTCATTCTCACGCGCATGCACGGCCTCGATACTGTCGTGTAGGACCGACGGACGCGGCATGCGCAGCTGCACTGCCATGCGGCTCAGCTGCTCCGCATACATCCGCAGGGCATCGTCCACATACGCGCGTGCAAGTGCCAAATACGCACCCCGGCAGCGCGCTTGCACCTCGGCATCGCGCTGCTCGGCTGTGTGAATACCTATGGTCGGCAGGCCCTGCGGACCAGCCGACAGGCGCGAGAGAATAGCACGTGCCGTCGTCGATTGCACGGACGCATTCGAGACGAGCAACGTGGGCGGGGCCGAGCATGCATGCCGCACAAGCAGTTTGAACGTCGTTGTGTTCGGCAGCACAGGCCAGCGTTGCGTGTCATGTGCATGTGAGAGCGGCTGTGTCATGACTTCGAACGCCACGGCCATATCGGGCATCCGCGCCAGCTCGCCCAGAGCCATGAGCGTCGTGTTCAGGGTATGTGTCGTGGGCGTGCACAGAGCCGGCACACTGGCATCTGGGTATTGCAGGTCCAGACCAAAGCCGGAACGAAGCAGGTGCAGGAACTCTGGTAGACGGCCCGTCAGTCGCAGCACACGTGCAGCAAGATCAAGCGTCAGCACACGCGGCAGCGTGCCCTGCTTTTGGATGTCCAGCAGCAGCATTGACACGGTATGCGCGGCCTGCAGTGCGGCTGCTTGCACATGTTCCGCTGCCGCCGCCGTCCGATGTGCTGGTGGCACGGGCGATGAGGAGGGTGGCTGTGGCTGAGCGCGGCGTACGTGCCGAGCCGACGTGAGCAGCTCACGCTCGTAGCGCGTCTTGTAGCGCTGTAGCTTCTGCTCAAAGTTGCGCACGAGACCGACCATCATGTAGTGGCACGTGTCCTGGTTTGGCGCCGCTTGGACATGCCCTGTCTCTCGCACACGGAGCATATCGTTCCACAGATCACGCATGTACCGGTATCTGCCGCCATGTGACAGCACACGAAGCACGTCGTTGTAAGCGGCTGCAGTCCGCTCCGCAGGTGCGATCTCCAAGAGGACTTGCCGCGTGCGCCGTGCAAATGTACGTGCATTCTTGCCACCCATGCCACGGACGGGCGGCACTGGCGCAAGAGTGTCTGGTGTCGACAGGTCGAGTGGCGTGCAGGAAGGCAACAGCGCTTCGTCGTCCGACGCATGCACATCGCGGCGCAGCGAAGCGATGCGCTGCCGTTCACGCACGTAGTGCACGTACTTGTCCTGTGCGGGGAGGAGCAGCTGAAGCACTCGTTGGTGGTGCCTGGCCTCCAGCTTCGGCGGCACACGCACAGAGCCATCCGGCAGCTTCTGCGGCCGCTCATTCAGCGCACATTCATACAGACTCCATAGCTGTTCAGGCGGGATCCGCTCCGACGACTCCAGCATGCGTACAAGGACCGCCCCAGCGCCCTGTTCGTGAACGTGGGTCGCGATCGATGTGGGTATCGAGGAGGAAAAGAACGTCGCTGTTGCTATGTCGGACGATGATGCCGGCGATCCAGACGCTCGTGACGCCGCCGCTTCATGTGGCGCAGCTCTTCGTGACACAACCGGCGCATCTGGAATGGTGATTGTGCTGAATGCTACTCGCACACCACACACACCGCTTCGTGCCAAGCGAGCACGCGGCGCTAGCATACGCGTGTATGCGAGCTGAGTCGCCGCCGCTCGCTGCATCTCGCACGTACGAAATACCAAGTTGTGCTGCCAAGAAGGAGAAAAAGACTAACGCCAATGTCGTGGCACAACCTCTTTCGGTTTCGATCGTCGCTGGACGGATGGGTGTAGGCGCTTGAATTGCCTACACGATCTCTTCGATGATTTGCTTTACTCCTTTGCTTCGCATCGCTTGCTTGCCTGCCTGCCTGCTTTTCGCCCTTTCTTCCAGTGGCCTACGAGTGCATCGTGACACATCACGTGAACAATCAGCGTGAGCCGACGCTGTGCGCATCGTCTCTCGACCCTCCACCGCGAAGGTGGAGGACCAGTGCGTGCGCCCGACAACGCTCGATTCCTTTCCCTAGGGTGCGCGCTGCCTCCGGGTGTTGTGTTGGTGCATATGTGGAATTAATCATCCGAGATCTGAGCTCAGACACACACACACACACTTATCCACATCCACACACAGACGACGCCAGCCCAGATACTCACATCAGCTGCCCCAAGCTTCGGTGCAGAGGGTCGTCAACCAACTATCGTGATGGAGGACCGTGCGGCAAAAGCGGAGCGTGCACGCAAACAACTGTATAGGCACCGTGAGATCCAACGTCGGAAACGCCAATCATTGCTTCTCGAACCTGCACCCAGCGCCGCTGAATCAAACGCGGTTTCATCCCATGCGCCTGCGTCTCCCAAGGCAGCCACACACGAAACTTTGATATCACATCCCAAGCCGCAGACACAGCTGCAGCCGCAGCCAGCTGTGGAGGCGCCAACGAGTTCTCATGTCGAGAATCCGCCGTCTGAACCTGCATGTGAACCTGCTCACTTTGCGTCTGAACTATGGTCATCCGATCAGCCATTGGAACAAACGGCTGCTTTCGATTTCGTACAACCAGAAGAGACGGATGCGTCACACGGGATAAAGAATCAGCACCAGATACCACACCCGACCGAGCCCGCATACACAGAGCCGTTCAATGCACCCTATTCCGCCGATGATCGCTCGCTGCCTGCAGACGATTACGATAAACCTGCGGCACAGCTCACAGACGAGCCTGAGACTGTGCAGGAGGCTGAGCCAGCCACGGGGCTTTTTTCGTCGGCGTACGAGCCAGCCACGGACTCGGACTTTCTCTCATCGACACGCCATTCGTCCCTGGACTTGTTCCATGCCAATCCACACCTGCGAAATCTGTACGCACCCAGTCCACAGCGCCCTAAATCCATGGACAATTTCGCCGAAAGCTTCGAGGCTTCTGTTGACGAGCCGACCGTGCATGACACACAAGATGAACAGCCCAACCATGCTGCCTCTTCTTTGTTTGCGACGGCCGACTCCGACAAATCTGGCACACCAGCCACCACTCTCGACTATGCTCCTGCCGTGAATGAGTCTGCGCAGCGCGAGCAGGCATACTCAAACGACGCATACACGTATGATGATGCCTATTTGCAAGATGATGTGTATGACCACAATAATGCCTATGGAAAGGATGGCGCATTTGAATTGGACGATCCATACGAGCAAGACTATGCGTATGGACACGACGATGCGTACGGCCAAAACCATGTCGATGCACATGAGTATTATGCCCCGCATAATTATGGTCATGACGAGCCTTACACATCTGCGTACACCCAGGACTATGCGCACGATGTGTATGAAGCAACCGCTGACCCCAGCTCCGAGTATCACTCCGATGGCCACTTCGATGATCCCGCCACATTTGAGCTGCATGATCCACACGATGCGTTGCCTACTGCACAGGACTTTGATCCCGAGCACATGCTCGAGCCCATTTCCGAACAGAGCCAAGAGTCCAATACCACACCACCGTCTTCATCGTCGCCGAAACTTCAACACCCAAACACCGATACCAAGGATGCGCAGCATGGCTCTGCTGATGCATCTGGTGCACCACTTGGCAGTGGGGCAGCATCCGCTGACCACTTATTTGACCAGCCATTGTCGTCAAGTAACGACGCTCTCTTTGAAATGCCTGCCTCATCCACGGCACCAGGTGATCCGCCTCACGTGGCAGATCAACTCTTTGCCGAGAACGATATGCCCTCATGGGATGACGATTCAGATGATAAGAACGTGCCGTCTGTAGCCCAAGAGGATCCAGCATATGCTACCTCCGAGCCGTGCACCAAACGATCCGCCACGGCCGACTCTGCATCAGAGCCTGTCGCAACGGCATCTGCGCCTGCCTCTTCATCACACCTTGACGAGCTTTGCACACAACTCTCCAACCTGCAGCTTGCTCATGACGCCACGCAGACCCAGCTGACGTCCGTGCAGGCAGAGTACAAGTCCTGTACAGACCAGCTCCACACCGTCACGGCCAAGCTCGAGGCATTGCAAGCGGATTACGCAACCCTTCTTGCCGCACACACCTCGTTAAAAGCGGAGCGCGATGATCTATCCCAGCAATCTGCTACCGCTGCAAAGGAGCATAACGACCAAGTGGCGCATCTTGAGACAGAGCTTGCCAAGCTCCAAGAGGCGTCTAACGCGTCACGTGAGAGGGAGTCGCAATACATTCAGACCATCCAAGCCTTTGAGGAGGAACAGCAGCGGCGGCAGTCCGAGAATACGTTGGTGCCCGTCTCAGCAGCGGCAGACCAAGGCCTACCGAGCCGCATCGATGAAGCACGGCGCAGCCTATCGGGTACACATGGACGAACGCACAAACGCAGTGCAACGACATCAGCAGCAGCGCCACGCCTTCCTCCTCTCGCGGAGCAAGAGCTCAGTGTGCAACTTCCTCGGCGACAGCCAACCGACAAGCCGCGAATGCGCCGTAATCCCGATATGCCAGCGAGTCAGCAGCACCAGCGGAAGACGAGTCTCTCCATGCTTCGTGCACGCATGTCGTCAGATGCCTCAGACGCCACTCCCTTTACGCCCTCACTCCCCACGCGGAAACTATCCATCGTGCAGACGGGTGACGACAACGTCGCGAGCTCTGTGCAGAACCGTGTCGACATGGCACGGACACAGTCCAATCAGTTTTCTCAAGATGCGCTCTTGTTCTGCAGTTCGTGCAAGGGCGATTTGATCATTGTCTAATCGTCACGATAGCTAAAACACTACAACAACGCAGTCTCTTCAACCGTCCGTGCCATCGCCCTGTACATAGGGAAGTAGAAGATACGCCTGGTTTGGTCAGGTTGGTGAATTATACGACGGCAATATACGATAGCGACAGCATAATTTCCTTGTCACAAAATATACAATGATATAAATCGACAACAGCAGGAGCAAGAAAAAAAAAGACAACGCCAAACAGATGACCAAGGTACAACAATAGGTCCCATGGCGGCAGTGTAGATGTCGATGATAATAATATTGTGAGGAAGGGCAACAGAAAGACGGTGATGTGAATCGTGACGATGCAAATGTTGATGATGAACCGAGAAAAGAAGAAGAAAAAAAAAACAAAACAACCAAGAAAGAAAAGAGGGGGGGAAGAGCGATACAAAGACACCATCACTAACATCAAGTGTCTTGTCTCCATATCATCCTGTACCCTTCCTCCCCCTAGAACAAATATCATCGTTCCTCGACGCTATAGAACCAAGCAGTTGCTTGCTTTCCTTCGCTTGACAGGTGCGGGCGACAGTACACATCGAATAGCTTCATCAAATACACCTTTGAGCCCTTTCTGCGTTAGGGCCGAGCATTCCAGATATCGTACAGCCCGAATTTCCTTCGCCATCTGGACTGCCTGGCTGTACGTGATGGGGGCCATACGTCGGTCACGCAAGCGCGCATTCATCTCAGGGTCCTCCCGCAAATCCAACTTCGTGCCAACGAGGAGAATGGGGGTATCGGGTGCGTGGTGCGACACCTCCGGCCACCACTTGGTCTTGGCGTTCTCAAAACTCGAAGGACTCACAATTGAGAAACATATGAGAAAGACGTCTGTCTGCGGATACGAAAGCGGACGCAACCGATCATAATCCTCTTGTCCAGCGGTATCCCAGAGTCCTATTCATACCAACAGCAAATCATACACAAATGTGCATGCGTTAGTTCTGATCATATTGCACGAAAAGTATACACATACCTAGATTCACTGGCCGTCCATCCACCATCACGCTAGCCGTGTAGTTGTCAAATACCGTCGGGACGTATTCGCTCTGTATTCATGTTAGTTCTGAACGTATTATCGTTTCGAGACCCGAAGCCGCATGCCCTTCACATACGACTGCTTCCCTATAACAACCACATACAGGAAAAGCATTCGTGGTGTACGAAATCAGTAAGCACGTCTTGCCGACGGCACCATATGCCAACCACCACGCCTGCCTCATAAGTACAAACTGATCCTGCCATTCATGCCACGTACACTTGATATTACGCATTCTGCCAACAACTAGCGGGCTTCCCTGCACACCAATGGGGGGGAGGAGGCCACACAGAACAATCTGTTCTCGCTGGAGCGAAAAGCCGTTCGTCGACCTGGTCAATTCGGTTGGACGGTCGGTCCCTCCTTCACGGCCTCTTCCCCTTCCAAGGCCGGCCGAGACATGCGCACAATGTACAACGGCGCGCGTTGGTCTACTTCTCTAGGCGAGGGCAAAACAAAATTGCCTCGAGGCAGCCACCCCTGGTTACGTAACAACCAAGATGACGGCTCCATCATCTCGGCCGACGTCCAATGTCCTTAGTCCCCACTTAGTTCTACACCCTGCAGCATGCGCACGGATAACATCCAACCTGTGCACATAGGTGATGAGCTTGCGACGCGCAAGTATATAGGCTGTCCCCCTTCACAAGAGGCATAGATCTGAAAGAGAACTCGTGCCATATCTGTTGGCCCTTTGCATCTCCTTACGAACACTGTCCATCCTCCTCCCCCACCCTTATCCCCTGATCCCATACGTGGCCTGGTGCTGCGATAAGTCCACATATCCAGTTTGGTTTGACGAGCGTCCTCTTTGACTAGGTCACCGTCAACTCTTTCCATTGGCTTCCCTTCTTTCCGTTTCACCTATTGAAGAATTCCTCATCTATCAACTTGCTTATCCCTTGACCCACCCTCCTTTTCACGTCTTCTTCACACCTTTCCCCATCCTCTCGTCCCTTCTTCCATCTTCATTTTTCCTTACTACCCTGACTTGATCCGTGCTTCAGGCTGGTCCTGAGCTTCTTGGTCATTCTTTTTATCACACCTGATTCTTTGTTGATCATCTCACATTCCCTTTCCCCCTCCCCCAGCTTTTCTCCAGTTCCAATCCTCAACCTGACTTTCTATTGCATTCATCCCTACTCCCCCGCAGTTATACCGTTCGTCTTTTGGCGCAAACTTACGCACTTGCACGCAAGATAAGCCTGGCGTGTCACGAATTTCTTCTTTTCTTACTTTCACTCGTGTGCGTTGCCTTCCCTTACGTACGCACGCACTTCTTCAGTATGATGGCATGGTCAAATGCGTCCATATACAACATGAGCACGAATAAGGTGCAGGAGAAAAATGATCTCTTTCCTTCCGCTCTTGGACTCTCGGTCCTTCCACGTACTTTGAAGCCGGTATGTGGCATCGTCAGTACCGAGAATTCGGACAGTTCCGAAAGCTCAGAGTCAGATTCGGACAACGACGATGTTAATGTATCCACGCCATCGCAAGACTCGAGCATCGATGGAACACCCATCACTTTACCACAGCGTCCCGATGTTGCCCTGACACGGGATGTGCATTGGTTTTGTCCACGGGATACACTTCCCATGCGCCAGTCTATGCAACCCAAGCATGTGCCACCTTCGCACTTGACACTCATCACGAACCATGGCTTGACATTGGCATCAAGAGGTAGACCCACCGAACATCGTCCGTCAGTTTCTTTTTCGCCGAGATCCGAGCACCGCGCTGCAGCTGCTCAGAGGATGTTTTATGCTCTGGCACACTCAAGTCGACGCGATCGCGGAATCCATCAGCGGCAGCAGCAGCAGCATGAAGGCCTCTCCACGACAAATGGATCTTCTCGTCCTCGTGTCTCCCTGCTGCAGGGTCTTTCTGCACAGGCCCGTCGTCGACATAACCGCGCTGAGCATGATCCATCTCGCGATGAGGTAAAGTTCTCACCTACTATGCATGGAACACAACATTGTGTCATTGCCATGCAGTCCAGCACCTTTGAGCTGGTTGTCTCACCGCCCACGCCTAGGGCTGATGAACATGAATGGCAGTACGGATCAGCCGTGACGGGCGTAAGTATCACATCACACAAGATGCCTCATGCCACGCCACCACGTCCCCCATCGCCTTCGCTTCAGCCACCGCCTTTCGAGCTTGCACCTGGACGAGCGATGCAGATTGCTCAGCGCAAAAAACTCGCGACTGCACAACACGCCAAAGCTGCAGCTTCAGCTGCCGCACAATCTGCCGTGCTGCAGAAGCGGCGCGCAAACTTTCACATGAATCAGAGCATGCCAGCTTCATCCACCATGTCAGCTACCTTTTCATCGGCACCGACGCCTTCGTTCTCGGTCACGGCACGTGCGCAGCCATCGTTTCGTGGTCCTGCACCAGACGTTGTCTCTCACAAAATGGCACAGCGACCTACTAACGAAGTTGCCAGATACATTCCACCCAGTCGACGTCGAATGACAACCGTCGCTTCCGCCATCGCCCAGCGTCACTTGGTCCCTGCAGCGCACTGACTGATCTAGATTGCGTTTGACATCAAGAGCAAATTCGACTGGCGTATTCTCCACATTTATGCACCACTACTGATATCTGATAGAGTTCATACCTCACGATATAATGCAGCGCGTCATGACACACTTATCCCCGGTTTCGTCGTTAACGACCTCCACATTTACACGTGATTCACTTGACTAGTTTTGGACTGAGGGTCACGTGTCTTTATCCCATGAGCCGCGAATCTCAAGCGCCTTGATTCCCTCAGCCTCTGTCCTGTCCAAACCTACCTCTTTACGAGAGTCGTCGCTGTCATGGTACGTCGTCGCAATGACAGGTGCACTTGTCTCTTGTGTCGCATATCATGATCCGCTAGGGCCTTTTTGGCATCGCTATAAGTGATATTGCATATGTGCGCAAGACCCACACGCGCTTGTCTGTCATATTGTCGCTCAAGTACTAACGCAATCGGCGCAGGCCAAGGTTCGCACTCAAGATCTCCAGAACAAGTCGAAGGCGGACCTTCTGAACCAAGTGGCTGAGCTGCGCAAGGAGCTGCTTCAGCTCCGAGTTCAGAAGGTGGCCGGTGGTGCCTCGAGTAAGCTCGCTCGCATGTACGTATACACCGATGCTTGAATTTTGTCTCGTTATGGAACTTGGCAAAACTGACTTCTCAGCCACACCGTCCGCAAGAACATTGCGCGTGTTCTTACTGTTATCAACCTCAAGCAGCGTGCGAACATGCGTGAGTTCTACAAGGGCAAGAAGTTCCAGCCGCTTGACCTCCGTCCAAAGAAGACCCGCGCTCTTCGCAGGAAGATGACGAAGTACGAGGTCTCGCAAAGGACCGAGCGCAAGCATAAGAAGGATGTTCACTTCGGTGTCCGTCGTTACGTTCTCAAGGCGTAAATGACGCATGACTCATGAGTTTTTATTTGGGCTATGAACATGTGTGACACCTGTGCTTACTATTATGTGACTGGCGGCGTGTACATGCAGTATTGTTTGTATTAAGCCATCACGTTGCCTCTGTAGCTCTTGCTACCTGCTCCCCCTACCAAAACCAAAAGGAATATAGAGTCGCGCATTTGCGCATGTACTTTCCCATGTGACGTAAGCCTTGTAGCTAACAAGATCATGGTGTGCAATGACAGTGTGCTTCTATCCAACTTAAGAGTGTCAGAACGGGCTAGTAAGATTCACGAGAGGAGGTTTCGGAAAGTACAAGCCTCTTCATACTCGAATGCTACCGGACATTCGCATGTGCTCGAAGAGGCTTCCGAAACACGAATGTATCATTATTGCAATATCCGAAAGGACAGTGTCGTCTTCCACTATTGGAATGATTGATTTAGGCGCTGCTTCTGCAAGGTAAGAAAGCAACATAGAAATACGTACACAAGCTGTGAAAGAGAAAACGTAACCGATAGAGAAACACGAATGCAAGTCCATGTGGACCGAGCACGAGTGTGAGGCGTAAGTTTATATCACTCACGTTGTGTGTTATTATGCGCACGTACAATATTGTTGATGGGAATATGAATCAGCTTTACAAGATAGCCAATAAAGCCCATAATCACGAACCCGGTGCCAACAGCGCGACAGATCTGAATGAATTCTAGCGCGTGTCAGATTCTCACTTTTTCGTCACAGAGGAAGCGCGAAATGAGATCTAAACATACCCTTGCGTCCTGGCTTCGTGCAACGGTTCAAAAACTGTGTACCTTCATTTAAGAAAGCGACAGGCTCCTGTGCTAGCTCACGAATCCGCTCCGACATGATCGCAATTGTTTCGACTGACGTTCGTAGAGCGCGACGCAGTGCCAGGTCCCAGTACGAATCGAGAGGCACTCGTGGATCACGTGATTCCGTCGACACCCTCGCTGGGTGTGCTCGTCGTGTGTGTCTGGCTGATTTCTTGAATGAACCCGCAGCGAAGGACACGCAGGTCACACGCGCATTCGACGAGGAAATACGCCTGATCCCAGAATTTCAGCTTTCCTGTCACAATCCAGCAACACCATGTTCAGGCTAGCAGCGGCTCGAGGGCTGCCTGTGGTTGAACGATCAGTCGCGCGCGTGCCCGCTTATGTGCAAAGTAGCCGGTGCGAAAGCACTGTGGCAGACCACACATTATCAGACACGCCGCAAGCTTCGATGCCAAAATCAATTCGATACCCATACTTTGTATCACGTGTAGGTATGGCAGGAACAAGCTTGCCGGTGTACACTGATATTCGACATGGTGGATCGAAATGGATCACTCAGATTCGTAAAGTGGAAGGAGATGTATCGGTACGTTACAAAGTCGAGAATCACACCGCAAGAAGCAGACAACTTACACAATCTCGAAGGCTTTGTGTCATGACTTGTTTGATGACATGGGTTGGGGAAACCCTTACGATAAATGCAATCCGAACGCACGCATGCTCTTGCGAGTAACGAATAATGCTGGCCCCAAGACAGTGCACCTACGTTCGAATGTATCGAGAGAAGTCAAGGCTTGGCTAGAGAGCCGTGGCTTTTAAAGCTCTTGCTCTTCAATTCGATTGTCTACACTAAATACCCATTCCCCAACTTTTTGTATCCCTACACACCCACAAGCTGACGATCAAATTGATGTTTCGCTATCCATCATTGTGTGAGCAAGATTCTCAAAAACCCCATTTCGACGTCTGCACCCGAGTGGCTACCCCATAGGCCGTCAAGAGCATGGTCACAGTGGACAAGACGACTAGAACAAAACCGCCAGTTCGGTACATCCATTTAACTTCCCAGAATGCCAGAAGTAATTCGGCCATTAGCAATGAACACAATGTGTAGCCAAACATGCTAGGATAAGTCAATCATGCTGGAAGTTCTACAATAATACATACCGATGGTACTTCCACATGGCTTTAGCCCGTGATTCCGTGCCATAGAAGTAGGATTTCCAATAGACGGTCGTCGCACCGAATGCGGCTTGTGTCCAAATCAGAACAATAATGGCGCAGCCTAGCATGCCGTGCCAAGAAATGAAATGCTTCTGTCCGGGAAGGTCATGTAAATACCAAACAACCCATGCGCCCAGTGTGATGAGGGGTAATCCCAGATACAAGACGATCGTCTTGTGCCAATTGAGACCAGCTTGCTTTTCAGCAGGCGTCTTGGTAGGCTGGACGACAAGAATGCTCTGAATCAAACAAAATAGGCCAAGTGTGACTAGGATAGGGTGCCAAGCAAAGAAAGAAAAAGATCCATCCCATACTTTGTAGATGCCGGTACCTATCACACAGAGGACAAAAGAAGAAACTGCTACTTGTGCAAGAACGGCTCCTGGCCCATTGTTCTGCCAAAGCAACGAGCCTGGATGTGACATTGTCACGGCGATTCAGGTTACTCCACATCGCCGACAACGGCGTCCTTATATCATGGACATGGGCTTTACGCACATCGTCATTGCCCGAACGGCAAGCATCAGAAACTAGAAATGAAAGTGGGTCTTTCGACGCAGGTGATCCAAAACTAAGGCCGATATGCCTGAATGTGAAACCATGCGACTCACACCTTGCATTCAGTAAAAGATCGTGACGAGTCGCTCATTGACACCAACGTTGAATGAATCCCGCAAAACTACATGACTTGCTATGACGCTTTGTACCGAATGAACGAAGTAGGTGAAGTGATATGACATCTTAGGGCATAGACGCAAGTCGGTGTCGGTTTGTTCCACGGCGTTGATTCGGTGTAACATTTACGGCGATTCGCGCCAAGGTTGTGTGGTAGATTTGAAATATTCTTCGATGCGATTCGTGGAAAGGCGGGTCAAGCACGTGCCGCTGGTTTTTGTCCTGAGGCGGGCGGCTAAATCTCTCTCCTCATCCTGTAACACCCGAGAACAGAGACTAATGTCGTTCCTTCGCAGCAGCATTGCTTCGACCCTTCGCGCTCCTCTGCGTTCAGCAACGGCCCCACGCGTCGCTGTCCGTGCTATTTCTACTTCGCCTCTGCGTTTCTCAGAGCATCAGGCTCCGATCATCCAAGGTGAGGGTCCTAAGCCTGGTGAGATTGCATCGGATGAGCAGCAGAGCACAGGTCTTGAGCGCTTTGAACTGATGGGCCGTCTCCAGGGTGTCGACGTGTTCGACATGAGCCCACTGGATGCTTCCCGTCAGGGAACCGTCGCCAACCCAATCAAGGTCCGGAGTATGGTATGTTTGGTCTATGATTAGACACCGCTGTCAGATGCCAGAGCTGACATTTTGCTACAGGCTAAGGAGCAAGTGATTGGCAGCACCGGCTACCCAGCCGACTCGTTCGACACGGTGTGGATGAAGCTTGATTTCGAGCACCCACGGGCTCGTTGCCCCCTCAGTGGTAACGGTATGTATACGGCTTCTGCTTGTTTTTTTTTGTATTCAGAAGAAACGCTTGAAGGTACTAACACACACACAGTGTACGAACTGGAGTACATCGGCCCTGAGGACCACGCTCACTAAACGCTTTACACGCCCTGTGATGAAGTTGTGGTCGTTTTTGTGAGAATATTCTTATGTAGTCCTTAACGCACACACTCATACACACATATATATATCAATTGAAACCGCTCCCAATCGGACACAACTACACCGAAGTACTCGTGCGTATGCAAGGGTTCCTGTGTAAGCGCTTAAAGACATCCTTTGGCATTACATCTATAGAAAAACCTAAGTATGAGGGGGCTTGGTCTTCGCGTTCCTTAGCACCGCTAATCAGCATAGTGACCGTGTCCCTAATACCCTGGTATTATCATCCAAAAAAACGGATACAAAATGCATGGCTCCGCGCCATGATTGCGAACGTGTACGATGCAGATCGCAGCGCAGGAACCTCACTATCTCTCTCTCTCTCTTCCTCACCGTAAACAGAAAACGAAGCAAGCAGTAAGCAAATGATGATTACTTAAATCAAACGAAGGTAGTTGCTGGGGACGATGCCGAGCTCACCGTTCGGGCGCTGGGCTTGCCACCATTTGCCTGAACTGTCGACAATCTGCAATATATCGCCCTTGGTAAATGAGATCTCCGTTGGGTCGTCTTCGCTGGCTTTGTATGAATATAGAGCCTCGGCTCGTTGAACAGAGCCCATGCCCGTTTCCAGAGGAGCAGATGACGCAGGTGCCGAGCCATCCACACCAACAGCACCTGCACCAACGCCGGCACTGCCGAAGTTAGAGGTGGTGATCGGTGGTGCGAGGTTGCTTCCATTGACACCCCCACCGTTGGGCACCATAGAGGCGAACGTCGTCGACTGCGACGCTGGTGCAGCCGTCGCAGCAGATGCATCCGCAGGCTCACCATGGTTGCCGCCAGCACGGGCAGCGCTACCGTTCGAAGCCATGTTGATTGAAACATCTTCTGGTTGCTGCGAGTAGCCACCAGAAAGTGGATCAGCGCCAAGTGCGGATGGTGTACCCAGGTTTGGTGACCTAAGACCCGCCTCTGACGAGTACATATTGTTGTCGCCAATGGTGTCCATGGCCCTGTTCTCAGACATCTTAGAATTGTCAGGGCCACTGAAAGTATTGCCGCCACCGTTGCGGTTACGCAAGCCACTTCCTGAGAAAGTACCAATAATTCCATCCATACCACTGGCATTACCCTTGCCGCTCATTGTGTTGTCTGTGTACATCAAGTTATTACGGCCCATCGAAGACGACTGCACACCCGTGCAAGCCATGTGGTCCATCTCGTACTTGATGGCAAAGTAAATCAGACATAACAAATTTCCGATAGCAAGGATCAAGTAGCCAGCACCCAATGCCTCGAGATCACCGTGGTCCGAGTAGATGCCGAAGTCGGTGTGCAAGACGGAAAGAAGTGTACCAATCCCGAACATGATGGAAGTCATTAGTACAATAGGCGTGCCCATAAAAATGATTAGGAATACGGCACAGCACAAGAACAGCTCGAGGAATGTCGTGAACCACACCGTCCGGCCAAGCAGGACGCTGAGATGGCTATGATTTTGTGCGTAACACTGAGAGATGAAGCTGATAAACCAACCGCAAATGTTGAGAGCCTCGCCGAACCAGAGGCAGCTGTTTGCTACGCCCATACTAAGAGGTCAGAGAATATACTGCTTCGCTTCTGACCATACGTACACGGCGTTCATCTTTGGAAGACCACCCGGCATTGCCAAATGGAAGAGTCAAGGATGAGGACAAATCTCACTCACGCACGTCGGATCCCTCTCCGTCAGGCGGCCCAGCCAGAGCGAAGCCTAAAACGTAGGCACTGACATGTGCGGAAATATTTCTCGAGTCCTCTGGCGCGTACGGCATCCCAAACTGGAAATGGTTCAACCAAAAAGTGCCACCCGCATGCAGGTTTCATTCCCTCCCTGACTGGAACGCTGAGAAATATGCGGCAGAATTACATGTTCTACTATGTCATTGGTGTAAAGATGCATTATGCATATATTGTGCATGACAAATTCTACCCCTTCCCAAGTGGAGCTCTTACCCTATGAGCTCCGCTTGCCACTTTGGGCGAAAGATTAGTAGTTTGTTTCTTAGTATGGCAGATCGACGTGCTTTACAAGCCGCGCTGCAGGAACGCTATGGAAACCAAGACGCGCTCAGTAGCGCGACTTCCGCCGCCGAGGCAACGACGGTCGCGTCCGCACGAAAGAAACGCGAGCACATGCGTCGAGCGGCTGTAGCCGCGCTGTCGAGTGTACCTTCAGAGGATGAAGACGGTTACATACCCCTGACGGGATCGCGCCCGCAGCACACCCGTAGACACGAATCACGTCTTCCACGTGAGGAGGATGAGCTTGACAATGGCGAAGACGAGCATGCACAACACACAGCTGCGAGCGAACGCATCGCTCTGGGTCCCAGTGCCGAACGACAGCGCAAGCTGGACCGGCGTCGCCACCTTCGTTCGTTTTTGGCGTCTGCAAAAAGCGGTGTAGATGCGAATGATGCTAGTCGCAATCGTAACACCAACAGCGATGATGTCGATGACATTGAGATCATCGTGCGCCGGCCACGAGCAACTGCCAAGTCAGTCCAGCCCTCTCCGGCACAGATTCACGAGGAAGATGCTTTTGCTATGAGCGAAGATGCTATGTCGATGTACAGGGGAGCTGATGTATGTGGTGCTTCCAATGCCATCAACGTAATGAGCTCATCTCGCGCTGCCATGGATGTTGACGATATGGACGAAGATGAGAGTGAAGCACAAGAGGCGTGGGAACAGGCCCAGATGCGCCGCGTGCATGTGGCGCATGATGCACCTTCTGAAGGATCACCGACAAAGTTTGAAGAGGCCCATGTTCCGGCCGCTGTGCCTCTTGTATCAGCACTGCCGACGCCAAATTCATGTATGACACGCTTGGAGCAGCGTCTGGTGCATTTAGAACAAAGCGCAGCGGACCACCAGCAGCATGCCGAAGACACTCAAACTACGTTGCGAACATTGGCCGAGGAAGAATCGACATTGAAAGTGGAGGCAGACGCTCTCGAACGAAAAGCTGCTTGGTTCACGGATATGAAGAAGTATGTCGATGCTTTGGCAGGTTTCTTAGATACGAAAATGCCCATGCTCGAGACACTTGAGCACAATGCACTTGCGTTGCTTGTTGACCGCTGCCTTACGCGGCAACGAGCACGCGCTCTAGCATGGGAAGACGATATTGCTTTGGTGCATGGTGCCTCTGGTGCTTCGCTATGGATCGCTCGACCAGGAACATCGGAAGAGTTGCGTCGGCTTGATTCTGACGGCGCTTGGAATAGTGCCATCCGTGCGGACCGGCGCAGACGTATACAAGAAGGCGTCACGGATTCGAGTGCACAATGGCTGGACGATGATGAAAAAGCACATTTCAACGACGGTCACCAACAACTGTGTCTCGAGCATGAACAAGTCATGAAAGACGTCCAAGCACTGGCATTCCGTGCTCCAGATGCGTGTGTACCGGACTCGATGGTGTCGCGCTTCGATGTATGGCGTAAGACCTTCCCAGACGAATACCACATGGCATGGGGCGGCTTGGCACTCGCAAATGCATGGGAATTTTATGCTCGGTATGAGCTGGTATTGTGGGATGCATTGTGGTGCCCGACGACGAGTGCGGGTGACGTGTGCCTGGGCGGATCGCCCGAGGGGATCCCAGGCTTTGCATGGGAGCAAGCCGTGTCAAAATATGTGGAAGCAGGGCATGCAGGAAGCGCAAATCACTGCGATAAAGGACAAACGGTTCAAGGTGTCAGCAGCAGTGGTACTGGAGGAGATGACGAAATCACATCGACACTTGTGGCCAAGACCGTAGTGCCAAAACTCATGGCATTGGCTCAGAACGGTGCATATGATCCGTTTAGTGCGGCAGAGACACAAGCTGCTCTGGACGTCATCGAGCAAGTCTCATACGTATTGGAGCCGACGCACTGGCAGTTCCAAGCCCTGGTCCAGGCTTTTCGGAATGCGGTGACGCCACACGTGCATGTTTTGGCGAATGCGTTGCGTGCCACTCCTACGTTCGCTGGTGCGCCGATGCATCCTGATGGACCGCCAGCACGGATACGGCTAGTCAAAGCCATCACGACCCTCACATGCCACATCTTCCGCTGGTCAACCTACTGGGTAGGACCGCATGCTCTTCCCTGGAATGACGCCAGTGAAGTGGCGGAGATGGAGGCATTAGCAACCGAAGCTGTCACCTGTGCTTGGAGCCAAATAGAGCAAGCAGCGGCACTGCAGCCCGTGGCCGACATCGCCCAAACCCTGCTGCATGTATGGCCCACCACAGTGGCGATCGATCTGCGACATGCATGTGAGGCATACGTACAGACCGTTCGTCGGTAAACTCCGGTCCCGGCTCGCTTCTGCGCTGGATGGCTGACTAGCTTGAGATGTTGTTGACTCAAAAGAACACGTGGCTGGAGACTCGACGTCGATCGGCCCCTTCAACACGTGCTTCCGGATGTCGTTTTGCTTGTATATATGCATACATTGATATGTATTTTGTTGTACAATAGATACCCAGTAGAAATTAGAGATACCCATGCAACAGGATGACGCAGTTGCTCGATGATTTGAACAAGATCGGAGGATCATCCCTACATGCACTTGATCACTACACAAAATGATACGACGCATTCATGCCTGTAAGCATGTGACGCGCTTGCTGAGCACCAGCAATTCGCTCAAGTCGTAGCAGGTCGTACTTGCAAAAAAGTGTCCACACCTGCAAATCGCCGGCATCGACGACGGCCTGTGTCTCATAGCGACTTGTCAGCGGTGCATTTGTCAGCTCGGCATAAAATGTCGCGTGTTCAGGCGGCGCATAGAAAATCACAGTCATCGCACCACGCACAATGTAGCGCCTGTAGTAGTGAAAGCGCTCAGACAAGAGAAGCACACTTTTCTTGCCAGAGAAAAAAGCTTCTCGAGCACGAGAGATATCACGCGTCGAGGAGTACTCAGAGAGCGTCGTGTACGAGATGGGAGGATCGAGTTTCCGGAAATAATCTTCCACACGCACAAAATCGAAGAAGGATGGGACGACAATCATTGTGTGAGATGTCGTAACGGCAGACTTCTTAAGCAGAGACATGATGCGATCCTTGAACGCAAGGAGACGCAGGTCAGCTTCACTCTGCGCGCTAGAGCACTCGAAGCGGAAGAACGTCTGCCGAACGCCCGGCGTCACTAACGACATACTGGGCACATGATGTTCATCCAGCGAGGTCGTTCGAAGGCGCCCGCCGACATTTTGAAGTGAATGGAACAGATGCCGAAATTCAGGCGCATCCAACGACGAAAACAGGATGCTCTGCCGCAGCAAAGGTGCCTGACCGTCCAAGTACCAGGGTTTGACGCGTGAAAAGTCAGTGTCATGTGCCTCTTTCGGAATGACACTCAATCGTTCCCATACAAACTTGACATGTTCCCAGTTCTGCATGAGCATCACATCAAGCTGATCGGCTATGACGATTTCCAGCGATGACAGGTAGTCTGAATCGTGATCTTTTTCGATTAGCAGTCGTAGACCCAAGGGACTTGTCATGATTAGATCGCTCTCGTAAAATGCACTGTACAGTCTGAGTGTCTTGCGTGTGAGCTTGACGCCCAGCTTAAAATTGTCGTCAATATTGCCTTGGAACGTGTGTCGATGATCTTCGGGGTATCGGTGTGCCGACTCAGGATCCGCCAGTTTGTCGATGGAACCCGGCGGCAGACTAAATTCTCTTTCAAATCGAGCCTTTTGTTCAACTTGCTCACATCCGGAACAAGCAATCATCGATTCGATCCAGACCTTCGCCGTGTGTCGAAACGGCGCCAGCACAAGCACTTTGGGTCGCGTAAACCCCTGGTCGCGGAACTCAGGCAGCTCGTCGTCACCGACACTGTCTTGATCGGCTTTGTCATTCTCGACCTGCGCGGCTACTGCTTTCGCAAGTCGTTCATTATCCTTAAGAATCCGCTGCCGTGTTTTGGCCAGATGGCTCATAGCATGCATCGCCGTTACCTGCCGCAGAGGCGCATGCTCCGGAATCGTTACGCGAGAGTGCCAAACATCCATGTACTCTCCCAAGTACTGTAAGAATTCGATCTGCAACGCTGTCGGCTCAGTTTTGCCGCTGAACGCGCGCCAAATACGCGCATGTGGTCGTGATACGGGACGAGAATGTGGTACTTGGGAAGACGCTTCTCGATGGATGCGCACGAGTTGTGCACCTCCAAACTGAGGGACTGGTTCAGGCTGGCCCCATACCAAGTGTTCAGGATCTATTCCTTGAAGTGCCTTAGACTCGGCATCGAAGTGCCAGTGGAACGCATCTTGTTGATCTGAAACTTGTATAGAAGCATTTTCATTGCTGTTGTCTTGGCTTTTAAGACGGCTTGGCCCATGGTTCTCGTCGCCGTCGTCGTCATCTTCTTCTTCATTAGCAACTATCACGGGGATCATACGTTGCTGGTGCAGCTCCGACGCATGTGACGCGGTGCCCTGTTCTGCTTTGGTGTGCTTTTCTGCTGGTGCTGACACCGGTGCAGCATCGCGCTTACGCTTCGACAATGACGAGGCACCCTGCTTTGGATACACATGCGCACGCTCAGCGGCCTTCGGACGATCCTCCTCACGAGGGTGCACATTTTTCACATTCAGCAGTGTCATAAGACGAACATGAGCGACATTGTCTCCCGCACTCATGTTACGTCGTGTGCCGCGTGGACTTGAACTTGAATAGGCGCCAACTCAAGCAAGAGACGTCAAAGAAGAGAAAATTTGTCAAGATGTCGTCGACGTAGTGAAGTGGCCGTGAGAGTGAATCTTGCCCTCCACACGTGATTCGTCGGTGGCGAAAAAATGTTGTCTTTCATAAAGTGCGCGCCTGTGAATTTGTAGGAAAATAGCACTCGCCGCGAACAAATGTTCAGGTAGAGTCCTTTCTAGCGAACGCCACACGGATCAAGCCTCACCGTCACACCCCCTCCCCTTCCTACCCTATTCCTGTTGACATCTCAAGATGCCGCTCCCACAGTCTAAAAACCGTGTCGGTTTAGGACACGCCATTATCAACCGACGTGCAAAAGAAGCGCGCGACCCAAAATCGTCCGAATTTCACACCACCGACACACATTTCGGTCAGCCGAAATGGAAACAGCTGCAGTCTGTCACACATGAAGGTGATTTGGAAGAGTTCCTAAATACAGCAGAAATGGCCGACGCAGACTTCACTGCCGAGCGGCGTGGCGTGAAAGTCATCGACACGAGCGGATCGCGCACGCGCCACAACCCGTACTTGTTGACGCCTCAGCAAGAAGCTGAAGTGCTAGAGAACCAGCGCGCCAACAAAGATCGTTTGCGCGTACCCAGACGTCCACGATGGAACGAAAGGACGACACCTGCGCAACTTGAGCGCGCAGAAAAGGATGCGTTTCTTACGTGGCGTCGTGGCCTCGCTGAACTTCAAGATGGAATCGGGTTCGTCCTGACACCCTTTGAACGTAACTTGGAAGTTTGGCGTCAGCTATGGCGTGTGATTGAGCGTAGCCAGCTGGTTGTTCAAATTGTCGATGCGCGCAATCCTCTCCGATTCCGCTGTGAAGATTTAGAACGATACGTCCACAGCATGCCGGCAAATCCCGCTGACATGTCAGCCATTCCTCCGGACGACGCAAAGCATTATCGCGGTCCTCGCAATACCCTCCTGCTGATTAACAAGGCAGATCTTCTCGACAACGAGCAGCGCCGCCTATGGGCGAAGCACTTCCAGGACCACGGTGTCATGTTTGCCTTTTTCAGTGCGATGGATGAAACGGCGCGGCAACTCGCAAAGCAGCAGCGTGCCGAGCAGTTTGAGGCTGTGCGTATCCAAAAAGACAGCGAGAATGTTGAACATGAAGAGAAACAAGGGATCGAGGGCACGGACAACACGAGCGAGGACGAACAATCGCAGGCTCCCCATCATACGGAGAGTGTCAAAGACGCCGACACCGCTAACACTACCCCTGATGTGAAGCCTTTAGATGACTCACGCACCCCTGAGGCAACAGCTGATGCTGTCGAAAGTACCCTGTCTCTCCAAGATGACCCAGCACGAATCTTGAGTGTGCTTGAGCTGGAGGACCTGTTCTTGCATTGTGCGCCAGATCTGACGCTCTTCCGTCGTCCTGGCACAGACCTGCCGAACGATGGTGTGCCCGAGAAACTAACGGTTGGGTTTGTAGGCTACCCGAACGTCGGTAAATCATCCACTATCAACGCGCTCCTGGGCGAGAAGAAAGTCTCTGTTAGTGCTACACCCGGCAAGACGAAACATTTCCAAACGATTCATCTCAGTCCCACGACCATCATTTGCGACTGTCCAGGACTTGTCTTTCCGCAATTCTCTACGTCGCCGGCTGATCTTGTGTGCGATGGCATTCTTCCCATTGATCAAATGCGCGAATACACAGCGCCTGCCGAGCTTGTGGCGCAGCGCATCCCAAAGGACATCCTATGCCGAACGTACAACATGGATATCCCTACTCTCAGTAAAGAGGAAGGTGGTCTCGGCCGCCCAACAGGCATGGAAATACTCACAGCGTTTGCCATTGCGCGTGGACTGGCACGACAAGGCCAGGGCAATCCGGACGAGTCGCGTGCTGCTCGCTATGTCCTCAAGGATTATGTGAATGCCCGCCTATTGTACGCACATCCCCCCCCAGGTGTCGATGCCCACACCTTTAATGCAGGTCGTCAAGAGAAACTGCGACAAGAACTGCCTGAGCGCCGGCCTGCTTCGACGCCGTCGTCGTCATCGTCGTCGACTACGCCAGTCACTCCACATATGCATGGCGGACGAGCGTCAGTGGCTGACTCGTCGAAGACAGCATCGATTGACCAAGCCTTTTTTGGTGACTCTGCCACCTCGAGTATCATGACGAAGGCCGAAGACGCATGCCGCCTGTCGGCCGTCTGAGTATGGAGCAAACGGGTGCGCCTGGTCTCGGTAGTAAAAAGCACAACAAAGGAAATAAACGGCGCAAGCAGCGATCAGCTCAAGACTAATAGTGCTAGTGCAGTGACACGCTTAGCACACGCAACATAATTTCACTTACGACATATCTACGACAGTTGACTATGGTCGCTGCACTATACAGTGCCCAGTCACGTAGCTTGCCTATCTGGGATTGTGGGATCAAAAATGGGCGAGCCCAGGAGACGCGCGCCCTTTCATTCTAGCTGGTCAATGATCACGACATGACATACGCACAGAATTTCATTTCTCCAATTAAAATTATAAATAGGTTCCACATTCATCCACACAGACCCAAGACCCAGCGGTACACGGTTCGTTTCTAGGAACGCTGTATGCCCCCCGCTATTGCTCGTCTTTGTCGACCTGTGTTGCGTGTTCCGATCCTGCTGCAAAAAAGGACGATGACAGCATACAAGCACGATTGGTCGCCGGCTGCGTACCCGTACCCGGCAGCACGTCGCTCAGATGCATCGACGCAGTATCGAAGCGCTGCACATGGCCATGTGACGGTGCCAGAACCGTACGACTGGCTCGAAACGCCACCGTCACAAAGCTCTGAAACGGCCGCGTGGACACAGGCGCAGGCTGCATACACGTCGCAGTTCGTGGCTCAGTGTCCTGACAAGGCTATGCTCCAAGCGCGTCTGAAGCAGAACTGGGACTACAGCCGTACAAGTGCGCCATCACTGAAGCCCGATGGCCGCTACTACTACTCGTACAATGCGGGCCTCGCTCCTCAAAGCCAAATCTTCCGTGCGACTCGCGCACAAATTGACGAGGCGCAGCGCACGCCACCAAAAGGCAAAGAGCCAGTAGGCGAGTTGTTTTTCGACACGAATGTCTTGAGTACTGACGGCACCGTCGCACTCAAGTGGACATCCTTCTCACACTCTGGCAAGTACATGGCATATGGCATTTCACGCAGTGGCTCCGACTGGTTCAAGATCTTCTTGCGCACGACTGACTCGCCCATGCTGTCGTGCAGCGAGGGCAGCGATGAGGGTGGCGATGAACGATTGCCGGATGTGCTGGAGCACATCAAGTTTTCGGGCATTACATGGACGCACGATGACCGCGGCTTCTTTTACCAGCGGTTCCCCGCGACGGAGCACGAAGACAAGGGCACAGAAACGGATGCGAATCAGGATGCACAGCTGTACTACCACCGCCTCGGCACACCACAGTCAGACGACATCCTTGTCGTCGACAGTGACCCAGAGACACGCAGCTCCATGTGGCACTGCGATGTGACGGACGATGGCGCGTGGTGTATCCTGTCGAACTCGAAGGACACGGACAACAAGCATCGCTACTACATAGCGTCGCTGGACCAGGGTGTGTCGTCCCGCATGGCATGGATTCCGATTTCTTCGCAGTTCCTGTTCATGCTCGACTACATCGCGAACGATGGCACGCGTTTCTATATGCTGACGAACAAGGATGCGCCCAACTATCGGATCGTGTCGTTTGACGTCGACCCACGAGCTGCTCAAACTGTCGAGCACGTGTGCATGCTGACAGGCGGTATCGAGACGTATCAAGACGTGGTGCCAGAAGACAAGGACGGTGCGATCCTGACGACTGCCGCTGTCATTGATCAGAACAAACTCCTCGCCGTGTATTCGCGTGACGTGAAAGATGAGTTGTGGGTGTTTGATCTAACGACCGGTGAACGGGTGACGCGCCTATTCCCAGAGCTGGTAGGCACAATCAGCCAGCTCACAGGGCGCCGTGACCACAAGGAGTCGTTCGTTGCGTCGGTCTCGTTCGCGAATCCAGGACGCGTTGACCGAGTGTCCTGGGAGGGTGTCAACAGCGAACGAGCCGTGCCGCCAGCATCCATCACAGAGTATGCAACGACCCACGTCGCTGGCATCCGAGCGCAGGACTATGTGTCGACACAGGTGTTTGTCACCAGCAAAGACGGCACCCGTATTCCTATGTTTCTGACGCATGCCAAGGACACGCCCATAGACGGCACGGCTCCTGCCCTCGTGTACTTTTACGGCGGCTTCAACATTCCCATCACGCGTACGTACTTACTCCCACACGACGATGCAAAGACTCGGGATGACTGACGGATGTATAGCGGTGTTCTCGCCATCGATGATGACGTGGGTCGCATCGTACCGTGGCGTGTTAGCGTTTGTAAATGCACGTGGCGGCGGCGAGTATGGCGACAAGTGGCATGATGCAGGTCGCCTCTTCCACAAGCAGAATGTGTTTGACGATGTTCTTGCAGCGTGCAAATGGCTGCATGAGTCGCAGTATGCACAAAAAGGCCGCATCACGATCTGCGGTGGAAGTAATGGCGGCATGGGTGTCGGCGCTGTCGTGAATCAGTGTACAGACGAGCATGGTATTGGTGCAGCCATTGCCGACGTGGGTGTGCATGATATGATCAAGTTCCCTCTCTGGACGATTGGTAAGGCATGGGCAGCTGACTACGGCAACCCGCAAGAGGACGGCGCAGCTCTTGACTACAACTTGACATACTCGCCACTGCACACTGTTCGCACTGACAAGACATACCCAACGGTCATTTTGGCATGCGCTGATCACGATGACCGCGTAGTCCCGGCGCACTCATTCAAGCTCGCAGCAGAAATGCAGCACAAGCTCGCGAAGAATGAAAACCCCATCTTGTTGCGTGTTGACTTGCAAGCTGGACACGGCGAAGGAAAGAGCACACAGAAACGCATGGAAGAGGCTGCAGAGAAGTACGCGATTGTGGCGCGTGTTCTGGGTCTTTCGCTTACGGCGTGAGCCAAAGCCTGGAAACCTGACATGGCGCAAGGGACAGGACAACTCTTGCATATAATTCGAGGAAGAAATGCGAGACAGAGAGAGTAACGTAAAGATTCGAGGGGGGGGGGGCAAGAGGTGGGGATGCCGCGGCAGCTAAAACAGCCTGTTGGTCCGACACGTCTTGTTCTGACAGAATGATAGGTACATGGGGTATATATGTATCTATCTAGGCGAGACCTCCCTTTGAGCAAATCACCCACAGATCATCTCCCAGGTAGTGGATATTGTCGATCGCATTTCCCTTGCCCTGCGTTCGGATCTCTTCCGTGTCGACCTGCAAAATGCCGATGGCCACCTCATACTCCTTCCCTTGCGCTTTGATAGCAACAGGTGTATCTTTTGCGAGGGGTTTTTCTCCTCGGCTTGGATCCGGCAGTCGACCACCAGCAGATGTAAGTCCTGGCGCCATTACATTCGCGCCTGACAACAGAAACTTGATCGCTCCTCGATCCACTTGGACAGTTGGGAGCAACACAGGGTACTGGTGCAAGAGATGAAGCGTCGGAATGTACGGTCCGTCGTAGTGCTGGAAAAAGATCGGGAGATTCTTCAATAAAATGATCTGAATATGCTCGCGCTTGAATTTGGCAGAGGTGACAGATTCCTTTTTCGGCCAGATCTTCTCCAGCAAGGCTCCGTCATTGGCTCCGAGCGTATCGGCATATTGCTCCATGAGCTTCGTTCGAATGCTTCGTTGAACAGACGACTTCAGCGACGACGGCGTGCCCAAGTCTGTCTTGGGATCGAGTTTCTTGAAAAAAGACATGGTTCCTCGCACTCGACTTGGAGCGTGCGTGGTCGATCCCAAAATGGAATAGCAAGCGAAGTCGACTCGTGTTGAGTGCTCGTGTCTCTTTCGCCCTCCTCACCACCTCGTCCTCTCCGCCGCACACGAGACTCACGCTTTCATACACACCTCCATAGATTCTCATCACCCGCCCTGCAGGCAGGCAACCAGGGGCTTACCCCGACGCAGCGAGCCCTCCCTCCCTTTTCGACGTCACGTGTGTGGAAATATGCGCGCATCGCCCAAAGATCCCAGGTACCTACGCCCCACGCCCCTGCCTGATGCCTGGAGGCGCCACATACGCACGTGGGGTGGCTTGGAAACCAATGTGGCAGTTGGCTTGCTTTGGCAGGCCTGGGAAAACGCCAAGCTCACTCAATCAGCCGAGACGCAGCATGTCAGGGGGCGGCCTTTGGCGAACAGCAAACTCAGTAACTACTGCGGCCAACGCTGTTACCGCTGCTGTCCCTGCCACCGCGTCAAGGTATCCATGGCGACCACGAGCCTTGCACAATGAACGACCATGGTCGCCTGCGAGGCGATCGCTGACGCAAGCACGGACGTATGCTGCGCAGCGCGACTCTATGCTTTCGTATGCATCGAAAGTCTTATCTGACCCGGTTGTCGAGACGGTGGTCATTGCGTCACGCATCACGCGGATTCTCATCGGGTCTGCCCTGGTCGTTGGCGGCATCACATTCGGTGCATGGGAAGGCATGCATCAGTACGTTGAGCATGTGTCGATGCCTGAACGCTCGCGTCTCTCGCGTTTGGCACTTTATAATACACCCGAGGATCTCTACGGCTTTGCCACTGACGAAGCGCTATACGATTGGACACACTGCTCTTGCACCGACTCTAGGCTCGGCATGTATGGCCGTCACATTGTTCGTGCAGCATGGATGGCTCAGCATTGGGGCAGTGGCATCGAGCCCTCTGTCATGCTAAGCCACAGATCAGGAAACAGCGCGACAAGAGCTAGTACACCTAATGATCTGCCAGCAGCTACGGAGAACCAGGGTCTTCATATGGCTGAACAGTTCTTGTGCACTGCGTTGCATATTGCAGAAAATCGACACTTGGTCGTGCCTGACGAAGTGACATCAGATTCTCATGCACCGGACCCAGCTGCAGTGCGCCTAGAACTTTGGCTCGCTTCTATCCGCGAGCAGCTTGGCACGCCACTTGCGATCCACCAAGCCGCGCTTACGTGTGAGAAAATGTATGATGTTGTACCAGACCCGGCACTTCGTACGCTCGTCGCGACCCGCCTTGGCACCCAATGCGGACTTTTGGGCAAGACTCAGCGAGGTGAGGAATGGCTCGATCGAGCTATGCAACTGGGCGGCATGCACATCCCAATGCGCGATGCCGTGCATCTGCTTTTGAGTCGTAAAACGAACCCGTACATCACGCCACGGAACGAGCGAACTACGGTCTCGATCCTCCAAGCATGGTCGGCCCTATGTGCACATCAAGTGTCTCATAATGACGCAAAGCAGTCGCTGCATCAGGCGCAGGCGCAGCCAAAGGAGCAGTTGAAGGAGCAGGAGCGAGATTCTTGGCTCATGCAGGCTTTCAGAGCACAGCTTGCTGCTCTTGTGCTCACGGAAACCATCCTAACGCGTGTCAACAAGGAGCCTGCTATGCCTATGGAGGGCGACAAACTCTTGCACAAGCTGTGGGCCGAGCAGAAACAAGGCGTCATGGCCGTTCACATGGCCGAAACACTGTATGCATTGCAAACGCACAAGAAGTCTAGCGTCTGGATGACACTAGGCCGCCTCCTACATATGTGGACATCGCTTACGGATGCGTATCCGTCGCAGTATGTGCACAGTATCCCAATCACCAGCATACAGCAGGGATCCTTTGCCCAAAGCCAAGCATGGCTTACGTTGGCATGCCAACGAGCGGCAAGGGTAAAAGAGCAATTGGCTAACGATAGGCACCGCGGCGATATTTGTGCACAGAGCATCCTCGCAGATGCAAATGAGCTGGAACAAGAAGCCAACAAGCTCCTACGTGCCCTGGAGCGGCGATGAAGAGTTTTTTTTTCTGGATGATGCGCGGCTCCTTTTACACACTTTGGCTCAGCGCTACGACGGAAAATTGGACCTGATCCGGATCAACAGCCATGTAATCCTGCTGAATAACGTGTGCTGTCCTGGATAGCAGCTCATTGCGCTCAATGTATGGAACGCGCTCAACAGGACCATCCTGACGACCATCTAGCTCAACAAGCGCACCAGTCGAACTGCGTACAAAGGCAACAAAGTGCAAATCGACGTCATCTTCCGCCGTCGGTGCGGCTGTTTGGCCCTGCGCAGCGGTGGATGCGTGAGCTGATCGAAGGTCTTCACATTGAAGCAAAAGATTAGCTCGTTCAGCAGGAGGAACAGATCGCGCCCTAGCAAGCAGGTGCGCTAATACCGACTCTGGTCGAATCGCTTGAGCTGCCGCCGAGTTGGCAATAGCGTGCAGCAGACCTATGGTGCCGCATGCATTGCCGATCGTCTGTGGAAACCAAAGAAGCTCGCTTTTTTCATCAGCCTTCTTTTGTAGTCCGCTTCGATGCGCTTCGATGCGCGATGTCAGTGGAAATAGAAATAGGACCGCTTCCACAGGCTGAGGCACCATCGCCAAGAGCTCATCGTCAAGACCAAACACATCATAGAATGCATACTTCGACGTATCGAGGCCTAATGTCTCGCACCACGTGCTAAACAAGTCTGGATTCGCCTCGAGCGGCACCCATGATGTCGGTGCACTGGCCGTCGTCATTGTTGTGAGCGTAGCACTATGTCTTACCCACTCACTACTTTCTAGTCTGAACCGCCACTGTCTTGAGCCTCTTCCTTTCACACTCCGTAATTCTTTTTTTTTCCACGCTCGGACCATGCGAAGGCGTACTGGGCGGGCACGTGGCCAAGAGCGCGACACGACGCGACGCGACGCGTCACGTTGCGTCACGTCCCTTGGCTCTCCTCGCGCATGCGACTTATTCTTCCGCGTGCGTGGCGACCAGGTACACTGAGAATGAGCACGCCCACTTCCAAGAGACAGCGCTCACCCAGTGCAGATGACTTTGATGAATTTGATACGAGTGCAGAAGACTTGATTCGCGCCGTACAGGAGTCCGAGACACCCAAGAAGGCGCGTGTGATGCAACAGCCGAAGTCCGAGAGCTCGTTGCCGACAGAAACATTATCCCAACCATCGACTGAGTCTGTCTCTCAGCCAGCCTCACAACCTTCCTCTCAGCCTTCTTCTCAGCCTTCTTCTCAACCGACGCGCTCTCAGCCCTCCAGCTCAGCATCGCCTAGCACAAAAGTGCCGACGTACACATATCCCTATTCGGGCACAAAAGAAGATCCACTTCTCCTGGAGCGCATGACCATGAACAAGGAATGGTTCCAACGCCTAGAGCCTGCAATGCGGCAGGAATCATTCAAGAAACTCAAAGCATTCTTGGACTCAGAGAAAAGCGCCGGCAAGACCATCTATCCGCCGCCGCACCTTATACACAGCTGGTCACGAACGACTCCATTGGAGCAGGTCAAGGTCGTGATCGTGGGCCAAGATCCATATCATCAGCCAGGCCAGGCATGTGGCCACTCATTTTCTGTGCCCATGGGAAAGGCTATTCCCGCCAGTCTACAGAATATCTACAAAGAGCTCAAGGCCGAGTTCCCAAACGACTTTGTCCCACCTCGTCACGGGTACGTACGCGGCGTGACTATATCATGCCATCGTCTCCGCTTTCATACTCACACACACGCTAGCTGCCTAGACGGCTGGGCTCGTCAGGGCGTCTTGCTTCTCAATGCATGCTTGGTATGTCAAATATACTTACCGCTCTAGGTGCTAACAACGCAGACGGTGAATGCCGGTGCGGCAGGCTCACATCACAACCATGGTTGGGAGCCGTTCACTCGCGAAATTCTCAAGACCATCCTCAAATCTACATCCGGTGCAGGAAGCGGCCCACTGGCTTCTATGTTTGCACACCAGAGCGCCCAAAGCAAGACACAAGACGGCGGCGCCAAGAAAGGCGTTGTCTTTCTTGCTTGGGGTTTGCCGGCTGCCAAAACACTAGCTGAAGCTGGCATTACCGAGGTATGTAACTGACAGGGCTTATGACTCTCTATGCGCCCTTCTTCTTTCTCCCCTCGCGTCGTTCTCTTTCTGACCCAGGCAGAAAACACCACATGTGCTTCTGCTAAAATCAGCGCATCCATCGCCACTGAGCGCACACCGCGGCTTTATAGGCAACGGCCACTTCGCCAAAGCGAATGCCTGGCTCGAAGACCCCTTGCGATACGGCAAAGGCGGCGGCATCCGCTGGGGCGATCTGTAGTGAATCCCATGTTGTCTCCTTTCACATTAGTTTGTGCTTTGCTTCTTCTCCTCGTTCAACGGGGGCGGAGGGACCGAGACATTGAGGTCAAACAAGCGATTGTCATGCAGGTTATGAATCCAGCCATGGATGGTAACACGCGGGTTCACCTTGCCGTTCAAGGGCGATACACGCTGGTTCCAGTTGTCCTGGATCACAGGGTGCTCTACAATGTTTTGGATTTGTCGACGCACGCTCGCCTCGGTCAGCAGAGGGACGAGCCGCTCTTGCATCGACTTGCCAGACATGATATTGCGTTCGCGCACTCGCACTCGGAAATAGCGTGCGAGCTCAGTCAGCGACGACAAGTGCCTCGCTAGCGCTGACGACGGCGGTGGCTCATAGTCATCTTCCTGCTCTTTGAGCGCCTGTTTCACCGCTGCCGCTACACCACCGCAGCTCGTGTGTCCGACGACAATGACGTGCTCGACGCCAAGTGCTTGCACAGCAAACGTCAACGCACTTACCGCGCTGTCGTCGTGCAAATGGAATTGATTCGCTACGTTGCGCAAGACGAACAGCTCACCAGGACGTGCATTGCAAACCACACTTTCAGGGACACGAGAGTCACTGCATCCAATCCAAAATACCTTTGGGTGCTGACCCTCTCGGAGCGCACAAGCTAGATCCGGCTGATGCGTGATAAAGTCTTTGGACCAGGACGCGTTGCGATCGAGCAACGAGTCCACCACCTCACGAGAAATGGGCAGCATGTGAGACGACGTATTGTGTGTGCGACGACTAACAAGGATGCTCTTAAGCACAGAGCGCTTCGTGCAAGAACGAAGCAAGGTCGAATAGGATGGCCCTAGCACGTTTAAAATTGAGGGAGAACACCACACACGGCCTTCACAATGAGACTGACCAAGGTATGTCGCGGGTGCCGTGGTCACTACTTTTGTGCCCGCCAAAATATATCGATGGAGGTATGTCCGAACCAATAGGAGAAACCCAGGTCCACGGACATAAGCCCATTCAAATTAGCCCCATGCTCGGTATTTGCTGGCAAGAGCTACCACCTGTCACGATGCCCGTTCGTTTCCTTCGCATACAAGGTAGCATGCACATAGGCACTAGCGGTAGTAGATTGCCACGCAATAGATCTATTTAGAATGGCTTATCAGAGTCGGGCGTCTTGTCTGCAACGTTAGAGAAAACGACTTGCCTCTCAACCCGCACACGTACCTTCGTAGTACCAAGCCTGTAGTCAAGAAAAAAAAAAGAATGAAAGCATTATGCGACATGATCATGAAACATTCGTCAAATCATACAAGAACATCGTGGCGTCGAAAAAGAAGTAGGTATCGCAGATGAGTCACAAGAAAGTGTCGGAAACAATGACAAAGCATTGGTGCAGTACGCATGACACACAGACACAGATAGGGAGCAAAGGAGGGGACAGCAAAGAAGCATCGGAAAATCGAGCTTGTTAGCAGACGCGAAACACGTATTCAAAACACTCTCTAGACGTACCAGGGGCGTCTTGTTTAGCACGTCCATCTTGAAAAGGGGCACGCCACTCAGCGCGATGGTCACGAGCACGCCACTCGTAGCTCCCCAGAACATGAGGGATGGGACCCACCTGTTTGTGTTAGAAGCATGTGCACGATCCATCGGAGGTTGTTACGCACTTCAGAGCGTATTGCGGGCTACTACTCGTCGTTAGCAAATACAGACAGGAACGAGCGTTGAACGTACACGGAGCCGACGTGCGGTTGGAACGATGGCTTGATCCAAGCAGCACGCGATGTGGCACGGAATGCGCTCAAGGCAGCAGGTGTGGGGCGGAACATGGCAGCTTTCTTGTAATCTCAACGAACGACAAAGAGGCAAGCTGTGGTCTGCCTGCGTACGTCTAGGAGCGGCGTCCACCACGCACCTCGTCCCTCGGCCGAACTCATCCGGAGTGGGCCGGGGCATGAACGAGAGGATGTCATGAACGCAGAATAGCATTACTAAGGCAAGGAACTCTCCGTCGCGTCAGGCGGCGCCAGTGCTGTCTACCTAGAGTTAACGTCAAGGTCCTGCTGGAGAACAAAACGGTATCGAACTGCGCATGGTGTGAGTGCATCGCCTCTACTACATCGTATACGCACCATCGCCCTTTTCGAGGCGCTCAATCGCTTTAGAGCACTCCTTCATGTCCATCACTTCCACCCACGGAGTAATGCGATTCTCTGCGGCCAAATCGAGCATGCGGAGGGCCTCGACCTTGGACCCAATGTGACTGCTAGAAATAGACGCTCCTCTGTTGCAAAGCTCCATCAATGGAAGATGCATGTCGCTTTGGGAAGCGCCAGGCACACCAGTCGACCTTCGACTCTAAGGCACGATACGATGGCTGTAAGCTCGACGGCCGACGAGGCAGCAGTGATCAAGATGAGATCTAACGGCATCTCTTGAAATGTCGCGGCCCATTCACGCTCTTCTTTCATCAAGACAAAGTCTGTCGCGCCCATCTTGAGGGCATCGTCTCTCTTCGAGGCCGTGTGAGAAATAGCAACGACGGCGTCGGCACCCATGGCCCGTGCAAACATAATGCCGAAATGACCGAGGCCACCGATTCCTACGATTCCCACGCGGCTACCAGGTCCAACTTTGTGTCGATAGAGAGGACTGAAGACCGTCAGGCCTGCGCACAGCATGGGCGCTGCGTGCTTAGACTCAATGCTTTCCGGGATCGGAAATACAAATTGCTTGTGCGCGCGAATGGCAGTAGAGTAGCCGCCTTGTGCAATGCTGCCATCTGGCCAGCGGCAGTTGTACGTATCGATCATATATCCATACCCATCACCCACACAATAGCTCTCATTATCGTGCTTGCATGCGTGACAGTTCATGCACGATCCAACCTGCGCGCCAATGCCCACTCGGTCACCGACCTTGATATCAAGTACATTTCTGCCCACTTCTGTGCATGCATTAGTGTCGCGTGCATCTCGCGCTACGCACTCGTGACTCTGCCAACGATCTCATGTCCTGGAATCACGGCCGGCACTTGCAGCGGGCCCCTTTATGGCGTGTAAGCACATGGATGATGGAACACGCAGAAGCATGGCGCATGTGCGCCGCTTTACGCACCAGTCGCCACGTATCGTGTGCAGATCTGAACCACATATGCCGCAGTGTGTGATGGACACGTCAACATCATCATCGCCGGGCGTCTACCATCAGTCCCTGTTCCCTATACGATTTGTTCGTCACATACTTTCAGGCCGAATTCAACCCGATGAAAATCGCTCCAGCGGTGTATATCGCGAATCGCATACCCTTCTGGCATGCTGCTCGTGTGTCTGTGTCCGTTTCCACACGCACGCTCTCTCGCATTTTGTCTGTCTCTATTCACCAACCCCCACTCCGCTAAAGACTCGCGCCATTTTCGTGGCACATGACGCACGCGGTCACTCGCAACACATGGTGTGGGCAGGTACAGGCGCGCGTGCGTGTGTGATGATGTCGTGCTGAGTAAAGCCAGGACAACGCCTCGGTTTCACACGCGTCGTCGTGGTCCGTAGACAGTGTGAGCGCGAGCACGGAATGCTTCGATCATGCGTGAGGACAGTGACTCAAACACTTGACCGACCAATGCCGCGTATAGCTGACTAGAAAATGCAAACGCCAGTGTAAATGAAACCTGTGTCCGTGGAGTGCTCGATGTGACTTGTGCACCTAGCTGTCCGGTGCTTTGTGTAGTGGTGGACGGTGATAGTGGTGGTAATGCCTTAAATTGCCACGTCGTGTGCAGCTCATGGAACAAGGGTGATGGCTTCGCTTGTGCCCGGACCCATTCATAGGGACGCATGGATACCTCGCTTATATAGCTTTCGTGCACGGCTGAAAACCCTATGGTGAGCTCGGCATCGACAATCTTGTTGGCGTTTTCTTGGTTTGCTTGTGCGCGTACACTTCGTGAGGGCCCTAGGACGCGCGATTTTTGGCAGTATGGTAAAAATTGACTGTAGGAGTCCACGTCAGACACAATTGCATACAGTTCTTGCTGAGTGTATGGGAGAATCACCGTTTCTTGGTACCTTTTTGTCGATGGTGTCGATCCACCGCCTCCAAGGGGTCCTTGTCCAAGGAAGCTTCCAACATTAAAAAACGAGCGCCTGTGAGGGCGCCATGGATGTTGCGGCTTTTTCGTCGTGTGTTTGCTCTGCAGATACGCAGGCACCGCAGTCATCTTCGTGCGAGTGTGCGTACATGTCATGTGTGCAGCTCTTATTCCTCGTGCGCATTCAGCATGTCTGGCTCGAAAGGATTGTATTCCGTACATCATGTGGTGGCGTACGTTCCTACCTTTCGATAGCACCCAATGGCACTAGCGGTCCCTGTTGAATTCAGGTGCCTGCTTATGTCTTCGCAAGTATTCATGTCCACATTCGCCCACGCACTCTCTCCAGTTCGTCTTGCCCAATCTGGTCCTGCCGCGAAAATGTGCCCTATTTTCTCTACCCGATATGGACAGTCCATCGGCACTCGCTCTCGTTCGTGCACTGTCCCAACCTTTTTTTTTTTCCTCCTTGCGAAAGTCGTGGCCTACGTCAATAATTCGCCGTCCATAGCAGCGTGTTCGCTCCCCTCCACTTTCTACACGCACAGCACGTCGTGCCTCGCGTCACTATGCCTCTCAATACGGCACAATACTTGACGAAGCATGGGTGGGAAGGCCACGGAAAACCACTGGACGGAGAACGCGGGCGCGGGTTAAAAAAGCCGCTGATGATCCCCAAAAAACGCAATCTAGGAGGAATTGGCCAGGATCGTGATCGTGCGGTCGAATGGTGGGACGACGTATTCGCAGTACGTACGATATGCTCTCTCTAACAGACGCAGGCCAGCGCAAGAGCACTCGCGTCGGGTGGAGGAGGAAAGGACCAGAGAGCTGCGGGATGCGGCGAACCCAACGTGCCACGAAGATCCTTGTCAACGCTCGCTAAACAGGAGCATGCGCGCCGAGTACTCATGAATGGCTTTCGACGAGGAGAGGTGCTCGGTGGGTCGGTTTTTGACGAACAGCAAGAAGCACGTGTCCAACTTACATTTAAAAGCGAACAAACAGCAGAGGCGGTCGCACCTATGGGCGCTACGTTAATGGTTTTGAATGGGGACACTCACACACCACAACAATCTGAGGAAAAGATACACAAAAAGGAACGAAAGTCAAGGTCTGACGGTGACAGCAGGCGCGACTCTAAGAAGTCGAAAAAGAAAAAGAAAGGCCCCGATGAGGACTACGAAAAGAAAGAGACACACGAGGAACACAAACGCACTCAAAAAGCAGACAAAAAGAAACGAAAAGAAGCCAAAAAGGCGAAGAAGCATATGCTGAGTGAGCACGATGCACTGGAAGCGATACCAGCACACAAGGCATCAAATTCTACGCGCAAATCTGAAACAGATACTACATATATACCCCAATCTGAAGCAAGAGACACATCTAGTCGGCACACAAATAAGCGAAGCACACGCGATGAGGATGATAAGGACAGCAAACGTTCCAAGCAAACCAAGAAGCGCCTGAAAACGTAGGGTTCTTGCATAGGATTTTTTTAGGCGTGTCTATAATTGGACGAGGCCTGTGGAGAGACACTGTGTGAAGCGAACCTCCACAGTAGTTATGAGTTTCTGCTCTTCCGATTTGGGGTGAAGGGGTTTGGGATTCCAGGCGTGGCTATATCCGAACAGCGAACCGTCGTGCATGGCATGGTGCACGGAGGCAGGCAGGTAGCAGGCCCAGCTACAGAGAACAAGACAGAAGATGGATCAGAGGGTGTAGAAAATCGTGCAGGTAGCAAATTGCCTGCAAAACACATGGCCTATGCTTGGCTAGTGTCCGCGTGGGATCGGGCCATATCGTTTATCCTGCAGCAAACCATGTACTCATTGTCAACAGGGCCTCTCCCTCGTCATATTGCCTTTATCATGGACGGAAACAGGCGCTGGTCGCGCGCTCACAATATGCGTGTTCAGGAAGGGCATCTCAAGGGATTCGAAGCACTGAAACGTGTGTTGGACCTGTGCTTGTCTTTGCAGCGGATCGAAGTCGTCACTGTATATGCGTTTGCTATTGACAACTTCAAGCGCGATCCAGATGAAGTGCATGCCTTAATGGAACTCGCACGGACCCGGCTGCTTGAACTCTACGAGCACAGCGACTTTGTGGCGCGGCATTCAATCTGCATCCGTGTCGTAGGGCATCGCGAGTACTTGCCGCCCAGTGTGCAGGAGACAGCACGCCGCGTCGAAGAAGCAACACAGCACAATACAGGGTATGTTGTCTATGCCAGTCTGTATATGCGACTGACGCCAGACCCACTCTCAATATCTGCATGCCATATGCATCACAGGCCGAAATCTGTCATGCCGCACAGCAAGCCACTAAAAATTCACAGCAGCTCACACCAGCATCACTCTCGTCGCACCTGATGGTGCCAGACGATCCACCTGTTGACATACTCGTGCGCACATCGCGTGTATCGCGATTGAGCGACTTTTTGCTCTGGCAATCAAATGAACACACACAGATGCACTTTGTCGATCAGTACTGGCCCATGTTTGGGGCATGTGATTTGATTCCCATCCTACTTGAGTACCAGCGTGCACAGACACACCGTGGATAAACCATGTTCATCAGTACGCGCTTGAATTCATTCGAACGAATTGTCGGAAGCTATATGGCCAACGTGTCCTTGATGCAATCTCGCGCTGGCAAAGTGATGCTATCCGTTACTCTTGGCCATGCATGAAGATGCAGCTGTGTGGACATGTCCTTCAAAAACAAGCACAGCAACACCGATGAATAGGCCTAAAAAGACATTTTCTTACCGCTGACGCGCGATTCACCGTGCTTCTGGAACAAAGCGCAACATGCTGTTCATGCCTAGGAGCGGCGATCACTTTTGGCAGGTACCACTAAAACCCACCACGATGCAATACCCCTCCCCTCCTCATACTTCCCCTGTTCATGTGTCCCATAGTCAAACCAATGTTATTACCCATTACCTCGAGGGAAACAATATGGAACAAGTCTATTCTGTACAAAGTAAGTGCCAATTTCGTAGCCACGAGCCTGAGCTCAACCACGCAGGGACTAACTAAACAACGCTAGTCTGTCATGAAATGTGCAAATAAACAGTGCTGCCAATGCATGCATTCACCACATGCCGCCGCAGCGAGGCTCGGAACCAATGGAGAACAAAAATCGAGCCATGCACTTGTGCTTGTCACATGCGCAGGATCATTCTGCATGCACCATAGCTGCTATCCGAAGTGACAAGCACACTTGCGCAGAACTGTGATATGATTGCACGCGTTGGGTCGAGCTCTTTGCACTCGATAGCAAGAAGAGAAAATGCGATCGTAAGAGCGCCACCAGAATACAAGACACAAACTCCGCCCGGATTTTCGGCTATACATGCTGACTAAGATTACCGTGACTCTTCGCCTGCTCCTAGAATTTATGTACGGATAGATACACTTGAGAGAGTTCCAGGCAGCTCATGCGTGCCTTCTCGGTACAGCAGAGCACAGCTTCCTAGGATAGAGACAAACAAGACCAAGGCAGTGCCAAGGAACAAGAGCATCTCAGGCGCCCAGTCTTGCTTTTCACACGCAGAGCCAGACCAGGAACGGGTCATGCCTTGCTCAGTCGTCCTCATGCATTTGCATCGCCAGCACAAACGGCCACCTTTTGCTGACTGCACAGCGACTCCATGTCCATTACAGTGATTTGTCATATTGCTCAACTCCTGCTCCGACGCCGGGCATGTCGATCCGGCTACGGAAGCGGCAGCGCCTTGCATCGTGGTCACATGGCCAACGGGGCGGAATGCATGAAGCGGGTCGAACGCTTCCGACAACGACCCTGCTGCACCTGGTGGTGGTGGTGGTGGTGATGCTCCATAGTACAGAGGCGAAGATGCATGTGATGACGCCGGTGTGGTCAGGGGCGATGACGTCCCAACATTGTATTGTGGCACGGCACGTCGCCTATGCGAGTCTGCGCCTGACGTGTGCACAACTGCGACGCCCGCGCCTGCCAAGTCCTTAACACGCTCAACGAGATGCTCTAGAGTCTCCTTAACCTGCTGCTTTGCCTCCCTGTATGTGGAGCTTTGCGCACCAAATTCTTGCTTTACATCATCCAATGCCAGGATTCGTGCGCTTGTGAGAGCATCAAGGTCAATGAATTCGGAATTAGCCAAACCGACAATGTCTGCCAGTTCAGCGCGCAGGCGCTCAACAGATGAAACCATACCTTCTTTGGCACCATCCCATGCTTTGTGAACGCCATTCGCAGTCTTTTCGTAGAGCGCCGCAAGAGCATCAAAACTCTCACGCGAAGGTGACGTATGCGATGGAATGGAATGCGTATGTGTGAGGGAGTCGGGGAACAAATCAGATGGAAGTTTGGAATTTCCATCATCTTCTACTGCTCCGTGCAGAATCACCATGACATTTCCGCGGCGTGGCGCTTCTGGCTCAAATAGTCTCGACGCATCGTAATGCGCCTGGTCCACAGGCAGGTGATGCCAAAGATCCTCGTGCTCGGCAGTATGCAAGCGTACATCCGGAAGTGCATTCGATCCCACCTGCAAGTGATGCGTCAGCACGCGATGTGCGTCTGATGGCGAAATCATCACAGGCTCCTTCGCCGCGTCCTGCATGGGCTGGGTACTCAGGAGCAGATTCGTGTGCGCATGCGTTAGTGAGAATGCAGCGGACGCAAGTGCCGCAAGTGCATACGTGAACGAACGGCACATGGTGCACACGGAGAAAATTTGGTGTCTTTTGACGAAACGCGTCTCTTGGGAGAAGCAACCGTGTAACGACGACGACTGCTTGGGTGGCTTGCGTATGGCCTGGTGGGATGTGTCCGGGCCATAATTCGTGTCGGCCGACACACACACACACACGCTCACTTGCCTATTCATTCGTGCATGCATTTAAACACCTAGAATGACCTCCACTTGCCAAACGTCGTACCTGGGTGTCGTTCTTTCACTTCGCAAGATTGCTACTTTTCACGATTCACGCAGCGTGGCGTCAAGTACATCAGGAAAGTTCTCACACAGTGTGCAGGTGTGAGTGTGAGATTGTCGACGTGAGCCATCGTCCCCAGCGATGACTACACAGACAACTCGCGCTGATGCAGATCCTTCTGTAACAACAACTCATCGCCAGCTAAGTCGAGCCACAAAAGACTTGATATTTGGCTCAGTGGCAGGCATGGTTAGTAAGGTGTTTGAGCATCCATTGTACGTGGACCCAACGTGTATGGCTCACAGAGCTCTAGCGACTTGGTCAAAGTGCGACTACAGACACAGCCACATGATATACCACATTATACGGGTGCCCTTGACTGTTTCCGAAAGACTATCCAGCACGAAGGATTTCGTGGTCTCTTTCGTGTACGTTTTCTCGTTCTGCTTGATGCAATCTGTGTCTTGGACGGGTGGAAATGCTAACTAGTTCGGTGACAGGGTGTCTCAATGCCGCTATGGGGTGCCACGTTGGAGGATGCAGCTTTGTTTCTGACATACAATCAAGTACAGCGTACTCTGCGTTGGACGCGCGGACTCCCCGAGTCTTCCTCGCTGCCGATGACCGACCTGGCTGTCGCTGCCGCTGCATCTGGTGCCATGGCAGGCCTTGTGCTGACCCCGGTGGAGCTGATCAAATGCAAAATGCAGGTCCAGATGATGGGCACAGCGCATACGGCACCACCAGCCGCCAATGCATTGGCTCTGATCACAGAGACGGTCCGCAAGGAAGGTGTACCTGGTCTATGGCATGGGCTCTCCGGCACTCTTGTCCGCGAGGTCGGTGGTGGCATTGCTTGGTTTCTGACATTTGAGCTTGCGACGCAAGAGTTTCTTCGCATGCGTGGTGTGTCAATGCCTGGTCGTTCAGCTACAAAGTCAGATCTTGGCAGTCTAGAACTTGCAGCGAGTGGCGCGCTCGCTGGCATCAGCTACAATGTCAGTCTATTTCCTGCAGACTGTGTCAAGTCATCCATGCAGACAGAGCGAGAATTGCGTTCTCAGGCCGGCTTGGCACTAGGTACGCCATCAGGATTCTGGAAGACGTTTCATCACATTTATCGCACGCGGGGCATCCCTGGACTGTATGCGGGCGTGGGCGTAACGTGCCTTCGGAGTGCACCCAGCAGCGGTATGTACGGCTGTTCACTGACACCTTGCAGCGATTGTATTGTATGTATTGTCATCCAATGAAGACACCCCCCTTCCACTCACACATTGTCCTCCAGCCTCGTGTACAACAAAATGGAGCAAGCAGCACAGCGTTATGGTTGGTAGAAAGATGGGTACGCCACGTGCGCATGTACCAAAGTGTCTATCTGTATGTAGTCATCTTTACGATACGACGCCGTGGCTTCCCCGGCCCGTTTATTCACCCCCCACATCTCCACGGACGTTGCAACTCCTCCACAAAACGACCATATGGAGTTTTCTCACCCAAATAGGTAGAATCGGATTTCCGTTTATCAGCGCCCACAGCCTTTATATGCACGTGCAAGCATATGACGCGCATTTTTATTTGTTGGGTTGTATAAGCAGCGGGCACACGCCAACAATGCAGATTGGAGCTAGAGTTGATTGACTGGTCGGAGCCGTTTGCCTCCTGACGCATGTTTGCTCATTGGGGAAAACCGATTCGTAACCTGGTCCAACGAGCACCAGTATCATCTGCTTCGTCGGTTTCTCGCGTTTCCCAACTAGCCACTATGTCTACCAGTACGTTGTAACCAAGTCATGTTGATCTAATGCGCCTGCAGTGTCGAAAATTAAAGTGTCGAACCCAGTGGTAGAGCTCGATGGCGATGAGATGACGGTATGTACTGCTGCTGCAACGAGCTGGCGACGAGAAGGAGAAGGAAATGGGAGAGATGGGGATAGCGTTCTGAATATTGTGGCTAACTCTGCATAGCGAATTATCTGGAAAAAGATCCGTGAGGATGTATGTTATGCGTTGATGATGTGACACGATGCTAACCTGACAGCTCATTCTTCCATTCCTTGACCTAGAGCTCAAGTACTATGACCTCGGGATCGAAAACCGTGACAAGACAGACGACAAGGTGACTGTAGAGTCGGCAGAAGCGATCAAGCAGTACAAGGTCGGTGTCAAGTGCGCGACGATTACGCCAGATGAGGCACGTGTGAAGGAATTCAACCTCAAGAAAATGTGGCTGTCGCCCAATGGCACGATCCGCAATATCCTGGGCGGTACTGTGTTCCGTGAGCCGATCATTCTGGAAAAGATCCCACGCCCTGTTCCTGGTTGGACGAAGCCCATCTGCATTGGCCGCCATGCCTTCGGCGACCAGTACCGCTGCCAGAACTTTGTTGCGCCAGGCGCCGGCAAGCTGACCATCTCGTTCACGCCAACGGATCCGAACGGTGAGAAGATTAGCATGGACGTATTCGACTTCCCAGAAAATGGCGGTGTAGCTATGGCCATGTACAACACGAAGGACTCGATCACCGGCTTTGCCCACTCTTGCTTCCGTGTGGCCATTGACAAAAAGATGCCTCTTTACATGAGCACGAAGAACACTATTCTCAAGAAATATGATGGCATGTTCAAGGATGTTTTCCAGGACCTGTATGACAAGACCTACAAGCCTGAGTTTGAGAAGCTTGGCATCTGGTACGAGCACCGCCTTATCGATGATATGGTCGCCCAAGCGATCAAGGGCAATGGTGGGTTTGTGTGGGCGTGCAAGAATTACGACGGAGATGTCCAGTCCGATGTGCTTGCACAGGGCTTTGGCTCTCTTGGCATGATGACGTCGGAGCTTATCACGCCCGATGGCGACATGATTGAGAGTGAGGCCGCACACGGCACAGTCACGCGTCACTACCGTGAGCACCAAAAGGGCAATGAGACTAGCACCAACTCTGTCGCTTCTATCTACGCATGGACGCGCGGTCTGATCTTCCGTGGCAAGGTCGACCAGAACAATGATCTGATTGCCTTTGCTCGCACTCTTGAAGACGCCTGTGTGCACAGCATCGACGTCGACGGTGTGATGACCAAGGATCTTGCTCTCTCAATCCATGGAAAGAACATGAAGCGTGAACACTATGTGAACACGTTCGAGTTTCTTGACCACATCAAGTCGGTGTTGATGAAGAAGCTCGAAGAACAAGGCATTCTTTCTCGCCTCTAAGTAAGAAACAGATAGTTGGTCCGATCGCTACGCGGCACGATGAACACCGATTGATTAGGCTTTGCATACGAACAAACTGGCAAGCCCAGTAGGGCGATGTCATGCGTCGATGTTAGGGAATAAGCATTTCATCCGGAGAGCGGTGTGCAGATTCGCTCAGATCTTGCGCGAGGGTTGTGCAGATGCACTGCTCAATGCGAGCTCGCGAGGACGGGCAACTCTCATGCATGTTTCCACGGCTGACGTATGGATGTGATTCATTGTATCTCGACGAAATGTTATGGTCAGGGAGGTTCTTACAAGCTAAACCAGGGAATGAAGCAGGAAACGAAGGAAAAAATGAAGCAACGAACAGGGTGCATGCAGGATGAACAAGGAAGAAGAAGAAGAAGAACAGCAGCAGCAACAGCAACAGCAACAACAACAACAACAATAACAACATTATCGTCATTCACATAATTGTTATAGTCGACAACGTAGCTCTCTTCTTCCACGCTAGATACTCAGTGCATTGACTAAGCCAATCAGCGTTAGGATGGCGGCCGAGAACCATGATATACTTGGCAAGTCATGAGACGGCCATGCGCTTGATGATTTGTCCGAAACATTCAAGGGACCGGTTGAGCCTGTCACATTGTTGGCGTGATAGTCGCGACGGGCGGCAGCCATCAAAATCAGAAACGCTAGACTCTCCGTTGATGTGGCGCCAGCTTCGTTTGATTGCATCTCATTCACAGTCTGAATCCCATTCGTAAATTGACTGAGGCTGTTGAGCGACTTGGACAGAGTTTGATATGCCTTTTCCGCCATATCGACATGCTTCTTTCGACCCTGGTCCATGCTAGCAAGCCGAAACACTGCGTACGAGAGCAGTGCGGAGCCTGATCCATCGAGGAACGTGCTGGGATCATCAATCGCATTTAGCAAGAGGCCCGTTCCCGGATCAACGAATTGGTACGCGGCTGTAATGATGTCGTCGGCCCACTGCACCAGTTGGTCGTGCTGCGCCTGCATCTTGTCGGCCCAGGGGCTGTGTGAGATGATCGCAGCAACTCGCAGCATCCCTGCAGCGGCCCAACCATTCCCTGTGAGCCATACACGTGCATCGATTGCACGTGTCGCCTTTGTGTGGTTTGGAAATTCGATGATGTGGCGCCACAGATGCCTCCCTGGGTCCTGTGGTCGGTGCAGAGCCGATCGTTGCAGCTTCAGCTCGTCGAATGCCATCTGGACGAGTGATTGATTCTGCGTGACCCAGCCGTAATAGGCAAGGAACGGTGGGCCCATGTAGGCGGAATCAGACCACAATTGGACCTGCTTCGGTGAGGCTCGCTGGCTGATGGCGCCTGTCGGTGTGCGCGACACGTTTTTCAGCAGGTACCGCAGCTGCTTCGCAGCAGCCGGTCCGTAGTACCCATGTGGATCTGGCGCTTGATTCGGAAACCCTTCATACACCCACGCTGCCAGCAGGACACCTTCTCCGCAGCTGGCCGAGTCCATCGACGCACCCTGACCCATATCTTCGTCACCGGTAATCACGGTAGCCAGGCGACCTTGCCGGTCCTGGCCATCCACACTCGACTGCGCCAGCTTAATGAGGTCGTTCGGCACCTGATCGGACGGCACTGACTTGGCTGGTGGAAACAGATCGCCATGGTCCGAACGCTTGAACATAGACCATTGCGGATACGAGTATTCAATCATGGCAGATTGCAAAACTCCGTGTTCCCATGACGCACGTTGCATGGCCATAATACCCTGGAATGCCAAATTTACCATCGTCGTATTTGTTTTGGGATCTGTGTCATCCTTCGCTCGGCGGCTTAGCATATGCATGCGTGGCTCATGGTGCAACGGCGCCATGATCATCATATGGCGCGCATCAACGCAGCCAACGAGGAAGAGCAGCATGGCCAACATGGCGGGTGCGCTTGAGGCGATTCGTGCTCCTGACGTGCGCCTAGGTGGCATGCCGCTGCTCGCGTTGTCCCTGAAGCGCTGAGCCAGCAAATTGCTTGCTTCTGTACTTGTCATGGTATTTGGCATCACACCTGCTTCTTTGGCACCATGCGGCGCTATCACGACAAAGGTACCGTTTGTGCGCACGAGTGCAACGTCGCCTGTCGCATGCCACGGTGAGATGGTCGTATCGTCGTGTCCTGTCTGCGAGACAGTATATCCACGCACGTACACCTCTCCAATGGGGTCATCATGGTTGCCATCCTCACGCAGGCGCTGGATCACACTCGAGTGCGCACGAACGGCTGGCGTGTCGTCGACCAGCTTGATTTCCAATGACACAGACGGCGGTCCCACATGTGCTGGGAGGCAGCGAGCCGAGTCATCATGCACGAGCTGTGGGGCAAATGCCTGCAAGTCATACAGGTTCGACGTGCACACGGGCGCTGTTACGAGACTAGGCTGGTGATGGCACTCCATCCGCTGCGGCACGTACGAATGCATCACAGGCACGCCCAGATAAAGGCGCAGGGAGTCGACCAGCGACTGCTCAGCCGCACTACCGTCGCCAGCAACTATGGTTGCTCGCACTTGGTCCATACCGAGCGTGTCACGCACGCGTTTGCAAACAAGTTTGTCGAGGAGCTTGTCTTTCGGAAAAATGCCGTTCCGAATCAAGTCCATGTTCATCCGACGCATTAGGGGCCAGAGCAACGAGCCCACACTCGGCATCCACACACTCTGTTCCAGGTACTGAGCGCCGGACGTGCCCACGTACAGCAGCGTTGGGTGTAGTGTCTTGATCGTAGAAACAAGGTCCACCGACGGCTCCATAGCAAGTCCCGCTCCCGTGTACAGGCCAGCGAGCAGCAGCGTCACATACACGGGTGCCGGCACCGCGCGTGCGTACATGAGGTCCGTCAACATGACGTCGCCCTTCTGTGGAATCGCATCGACAGGGAACTGGCTCAACCACGCTGTGACCCCCGACGTCATGGACGTCTCTGTCACCTGGACCCATGCATTCCGTGCATCCCAAAAACTGGCAAACACACTTGTCCCCAGGCGGTCCAGCTCCGCGTTGGATAGACGTGTCGTGTCTAGGACGGGCGGGGCCTGATCCACTGTTGCTTGGCCCAGCACGTCGTCCCATCCGACACACTTGGTGCCGTGCAAGTCGGAGTTCTCGTTCGCAATCACCAATCCTGCACGTGTAAGCATAGGAAGCAACGGTGCATCCAAGCAAACGACGGCAGTCTTGCTGAGATTGACGTCCGACGGCATTGACGATGGGGGCTCTCCTGGTGGTACTACGTATGTTTGTGTGCCACCACCATAGTTGCTTTGACTGCCCACCAATGCAGAAGCCAAGAGCGCTGTCAACGAGCGCGACGAGTTGATAAAGCCACACACAACGATCGTGGGCCTATCTGTCTGCAGCATGACTTGCACGCCACTCAAGAACAAAGCTGCCTGCGTGCGGATTTCTTCATTACTCAATGATGCATCCAAGACGCGGCGGGTCAACGCAGAAGTACCTTCTTCCACACCGCGAGCAAGCATCGTCGCAATTGTGGGCGCATTACGATGTGGGCGCATGGCCAAATCAAGTCCTAGCGGCGCATTCACATTTCGATACGACGGTGACTCTTTGGGCATACGCACTGTCGACGCATCTGACTGTCGCTGCAGAATGAGTGGATGCAGAAGCGGCTGATTGTACTGTCGATGGAACTTGGCATACAATAGCAACACAGCTAACAGGCCGATCAGCACGACTGATGTGCTATCGACATGAAAAGTGGAGCTGCTCATGGTCGTCGCTGCAAACGGGCGAGTGCCACTGCCACACACACACACACACAATGCTCGTGTTTGGCAGAGCAGATGGTGATCGGTCAAGTGGTGTGTTATCCGACGCACTGACAGCCTGGCCAAACAGCCAGCCACTCACAGCATTTCGCGCGTGCGCTCTGACTCGTTCTTCTCTCCGTGGCGCGTCCTTGCGCAAAAATCGGGCTGCACGGCGCGCTCCCCTGCAGATAATGGCCACCGTAGCAAATTATCAGTGCTCCCAGTACCTCGGTGCCTCATTTTTCGCATCTCCACACTGCTTTCTACTTTCGCAAATTTCTTGCGCGTGTGTCGAGCTATGGACACATGGGACGCGCGTGTCGATCAACGCGCAGCTCTCAAGGCTCAGCGCCGTGAAACCCAAGATGTGTGGAGTCGTATAGCGAGTATTTCACATGTATGTATGAGCGGGCGTGTCTCTACATCGCGACCATGACACTGACGGAGCACCGGGATTCACTCCTGCGAACAAAAGGATGCACGCTATGTTGATGAAGTTCGTGCCGCCTGCTATCCGTTGCCGGTTGTAGGTATGTATGCGGATGCTCCTTGGGTCTGACACTCATAGCAAATTTGCGATGTGGCGCTTGGTATACGAATCCCGAATGGCTCGAGTCGACATCGTACTTCAAATCGACGGACGGTCACATGCACCAATGGGATTTTAGTATGAAGCGCGCGAATCTACACCTCATCCCGTTGATCCAACCGCACCATCAGCAGCAGCCGCAAGATGACGAAGCGAGTGTGGACCAGGCTGGTTCCGGCGCCACCACCGAGCTGACGGGATGCGTACTGATTGATTCTACTCGCCGAGGGAAGCGGTATCCAGATGCTTTGTCCAAGACCGTGCCGATCTGGTGTGCTGTTCTGAATCGTGCATCTCATCGAACTTTTGGCACACCAAGCGATCCACCTCCCTTGCAGATACCTACAGATACTGTATCACTCAGTGAAGCGGCACAAATCGAAGCTCGCTTGGATATGTGGGTCCACAAATTTTGTGCGTCTGACTTGGCTGTTCCGTGTCTTGAGAAGCCTCTTTGTCCCGTGTTCGTCCATGCACCACATATACCCACCTTGCCCACTTGTGCTATGCAACACCACATCGTGCTGGTGAGTGTCTCGCCAAGTGAGACACCCAAGGCATTTCACACCATGCATGCGTCTTACGTTCAGGGTGCGGGTGATGATCACGAAGCTTGGGCTCACGGACTCACACCTGCTTTGTTCTGGCGTCATCATCGGGAACTTCTTGCGCCTCATTTGCAGCGTGAAGATCGTGTTAAACTCGTGCACAAGCTCGTGCGAGAGGAGCGCGGGCGTTCTGGCCAAGTCCCGTGGCTAGCGACGGACAACTCAGCGACTCGAATCGACGGCACGTGCCTCTTTATCGCTGCACGCCCTCTCGCCCACTCATTTTCTCATCATGAGCGCTCTCGCTATGCATTCATTGTGCACTGTTCCCAATCTGAGCGGGAGCCATCGACAACACCTGCGACACAACAACAGCCGTGTACATCGGAGACTCCACCTGTCTTACGCCTTGGCATAGATGCGTCAAAGCGTGGCCTCGGGTCCTTTTCCCGAGCGTTGCCTCTCGTCGTTGACGCTGTTACAGATGCATTAATATGGGAAACACGGAACAAGGAGCATCCACGTGGCGTGCTTGTGTGTTGTAGTGACGGTTGCCAGCTTAGCGGTGCTGTGGCCGTGGCAATACTGGCTGCATCATACGACCAGCACCGTCAGTTTCTCGGCACTGGTACAGATGCTCATCAAAAACTCACAAAGCATCGCAAGCGTATTTCCAAAGATGATACTCAGCGGCGACTTCAGTGGATCACCGGCTCTGTTCATTCGGTGAGCCAGACTTCTCCCAGTCGTGCGCATCTGCAGCGTGTGAATGCATACCTTATGGGTCCTCTACGTCAAGTACGTTTATGGGAGTAACGATACAAAGTTATTCTGTTTCTGAAAATTCCATAGCATTCCTTTTTCAGAATATTCACTCGGTACAGATGGTCGTCGACGTGGTGCACAAGGCTCGCACCAAAAAGGCCGTCCGTGCGAAACGCTGTAAGCTTGGTCGTAAGGCGACGCGCAAGCTTACTCACATTACGTAATCACATATAATTATCGGCCATGTTCGCGTGGGCATGAATCGGGATGATGGCGCTTGCATCTGCCAGCTTGTTCTACCTTGGAGTGACAGCTGAGCAACTAGGGAAAAGCCAGCAGTTATATTTCGGTCCGAGAAATTCACGAACTGATCGTGCGCCATTATGTCACTGTCTGGTGGATGGGAAGTTCGGTTCAGCAATTCGCGGCGGCTCCCTTACTTTTATAACCCCACGACTCGTGCGTCTATGTGGGAATTGCCTGACGGGATCACGGAGGAACAGGCGCGCGCGTTGCCAGGCGGTCAGCTGCTTGGAGAAGCGTCGCAGAGCAACCGTCCGGCCCAGGTACGCGCAAGCCATTTGCTGGTAAAGCATCGAGATAGTCGTCGTCCTAGCAGCTGGCGCGAGGTATGTGTTTGCTGAAGTGATGAAATAAAACAGAGCTATGAAAGAATACTGACACATGCGCCTAGCCTACCATCACACGCACAAAGGACGAAGCAATTACACAGCTTCGTGAGTTCCAGCAACAGCTTGGATCACAGCCAAATGTGCAAACATTCTCGCAGCTGGCCGGCCAGTATTCGTGCGTATTACGGCTTGCCTACGTTGTGCTCACACTCATTATAGAGATTGCTCATCAGCGCGCTCAGGAGGCGACCTCGGCTCGTTTTCACGCGGCCAAATGCAGCGCCCCTTCGAAGACGCAGCGTTCGGCCTATCTGTGGGTGAAATGAGCGATATCGTCGAGACAGATAGTGGTGTGCATCTAATTCTCCGCACTGCTTGAGTGTGCGTGGGATGTCTTGGCTCACGACTGCTTCCCAAAATTTTGTGAACCCTTGACCCACTCATGAAATGAACTATATCACACTCTCGCCTATGCATGCCTAACACATCAACCCTTGTAATTTCATTTGTGGTCCACGCACCAACTCTTTTATTATAGGTGCTCCTTTCCCTTCACCCGCGGCACGACACATCACGTGACATATCTTGCGTACATGCCAACGAGCGGTGGCGTAAGGTAGGCACGCGCGCATGTAGACAAATGGCGAGCGTCGGTGGCCTAAGGGCGCGCCGAGCGTGCAAAAAAAGCTGGCGTGTCGTCCGCGAGAATTCCGTTCGGCTACGCTTAGCGTTATCTGTCTATTTTTGGCTCGCTCAAAGTCCACGACTACCACCCAAGTTTCCGGAGCCGGCAATCGAGTGGAATGGCCGCCGCTGCGACAATGCCTCCGCCGACGATGCGGCGCGAGTCCCACGCAACCGTCACGACGGGGTACAGTGCAGTGAGTTTCGTGCCGACAGAGTATGTCCAAACGGCCGTTAGCACGTACGAAGACCATGTTGTGATCGATATGTTGATCCCGCCCATGCGGTACCTTCCACCGACTCTGACAGTCTCGCAGCTAACAAGTCAAATCCAAGATGATCTCGTACGTGAGCTTGAGAAGTTAGGCTTAGGCCTTGGCTCGCGCATTGCATCTGTAGCGCATCCCCGGAGCCAATACGCTGAAGCTGAGCAGTTCATTCGTGATGCGTCTGGACACTTGATTGATCCAGCTCTTCTCCCGCAGAACCATACAGAGTTCCAACGTGCGCGTCTTGGCATCCGCAGCTTGCGTGGCGAGCCACTGCTCACGTACTTCCCTAGTCCAGCGCCGGCTAACTCCAAGGTTGTGAATGGCGTCCCGACAACGTGCCCATGTGTGTGTTGCAGGAGTGGATGTTCAGGCGCAGATCCACGCACACGCAAACTTGCTGTGATCCCAGAGGCTCTTGCAAAAGATGTTCACGGCCGTACTATCGTCAATGTGTCTCCAGAGTCAGCCGCTCCCTCGTGGGACAAGACGCTACCGTCCACATCAAAGCCCTTGTCCTCCACGCTCCTAGGCGAGCCATTTACTGAGGCGAAAAAACCCGCTGTTTCAAAGGCCCCACTGTCGTCTTCGAAGCAGCCAGCTTCATTGTCGACGTCTCGATCGACGTCCAAGCCACAGCCCCAGCTCAAGCCACAGGCCAAGTCACAGTCACAGTCTCATCTGCTCTCGCGTCCGCAGCCACAGCCGCAGCGGCGGCCGACTTTGACGAAAATTAAGCCGGCCAAGTCGCTGAATGATCTTCGCCGCGCTGACAACACATCATGGACGCCGTCGCTTATTTCAACGGACTTGGACCCGACACCGCCCGTTCCGGCCGTTCCCACTGATTATCTGGGCAGCTCGGTCAGCAGTCGTGACTTGAAGGTGCCGTCGACGCACAAGCACTCCCGTGTCATTCTCCGCCCCGGAGCTCCATCGCGTAATGCAGCAGCCAGTGCAGCAACGCCAGCACCTGAGACGAGTGGCTCATCAACTGACTCGCAGCTTCGCGCGCAAAAAGGCATGAGTGTTTTCGCTCCGCTACAGATGTCCGACGAGCTGCGTGCTGCGTTGACGCTGACTGACCTTGGGCCTCCGTATATCTCGCCCGATTTGAATCGACGCACGCCGCCGCTCTCGAGCCCATCGTCGTTAGGGTCTACACCACGTGTCAGAGATACGTGGCGCCAAGACTTGTCGCTCTCGCCGCCGGACACGAACATTGATGCAGCGATTACTCCAATCGCTGCGCGCTACAGCCGCTCTATGTCCAACTTGCGGCAGAAGGCTCACCGTGATCAGGAAATACCGCCGATCCCATCCATTCCTCATGATCTTGCGCTTCATCCGTCGCCTGACCTGCACCATTCCCAAGGCTCTGTGTATCCCGGCACAGGCGCACGCATGCGGATCATTTCTGGTCAAGTGCCGTATCATCGGCGCGAAGGCGGCGGCGTATTTCCCATTGCATAACTGAAGCTTATCATGAGGAGCGACTGGATCTTAGGTTTTTCAATGCATCCACTATAAGACAAATCCACATACGACCAAGCACATTCCTTTTTTTTTCTTATCTCATTCTTGCTTCGTTCTTCCTCTCTTTTTCGTCGGTAGTAAGTAGTCTAGTAGAACCGCGTACGATCCATGAATGCTATAAAGATAGACATCCCGGTGCTTCATCTCTTAGTACACACTCTGGTAGTTCTTGCCTCGGTTCGGGCGAGGCAACAAGTTGCCGTGCGACTCGACACCCTCGATACGGTGTGTTGCGTTAAGATTCTTGGTGACGGTAATTTGGAAGAGACTCGAGCCGCCCTCGCGAGCAATGATGACCGAGCTTGCGAGGAAAAAGTGCCAGAGGCGGTATAGCTTATCACCGTACTTGGCCTTGACCTTGGCCTCGTTCTTTTTCCAGTTCTTGAGCCAGCGGTCAATCGTAGCAGAATAATGGATGCCAACGACGTCGCACGATCGCACTTCAAAGCCAGCATACTCCAGCTGGCCAATGACCCAGTGAAGAGGACAGGAAGCATCGGCACCAGGGAAAATGTATTTGTTCATGAAGAGACCCCAGATCAGGTCCCAGTACTGCCAGCGAGGGCGCAGACCAGCGACCTGGAATACCATCACACCATCGTCATCCAGTAGGTTGTACACATTCTTCAGGAACTTAGCGTAGTGTCGGATGCCCACATGCTCAGCCATCTCCAACGACACGATCTTGTTGTAGTGGCCCGGCTGCACAGGAATGTCTCGGTAGTCTTGGCACAGGATCCGAGCCTGGTCTTCCGAAATGCCATTCTTCTGCAGTCGCTCATTGCCGAATGCCGCTTGCTCCCGTGCAAGCGTCACGCCCGTAACATTCGCGCCATAGTTCTTGGCAGCAAAGGCTGCGAGCGTACCCCAGCCACAGCCAATGTCCAGCACACGATCGTTCGGCTTCAGAGCTAGCTTCGAGCACACGAGGTTCATCTTGTTGTCCTGCAGTTCTTCGAGCGTCTCCTCCCGATTCGGATCCGAAATTAGGCCCGAAGTGTAGACCATCTGGGGGCCAAGGAACCACTCATGGAAGTCGTTGCCTCGATCGTAGTTGTCCCGGATCTGCTCCTCGTCTTGCCGTGAGCTGTGCATCAATACATCCGGTAACATCTTAAATAAGACGTAGCGGAACAGTTCAGGCGTGAAGTGCATCGCTGCCCAGTCCCAGCGGTATTCTAGTACATCAAGCAGATCTCCCTTCACCTCGATTTTGCCATCAATGTACGCATCCCAAAAGATCTGCATGGGGATCTTGTTATAGCCTGTGTACTTACGGCGGAGCGACTCGTCTTGGATGTCGAGATAGTCTTCGATCGGCCGGTTCGGCAGCGTCACTTTCTCGTTGATTCGCGGTCCAGTCATGCTCATGATGGTCCAGTACGCAATCGTGAGTGGGACACCAAGCACAGCCACAAGCAAAATGTAAGACCTCCAGCCAAACCAGCTGGCCTTTACAAATGGAATCAAACGAAGTAGCACAGCCGGGCCCAGCAGCACCAGCAATGCCAGGTGCATGTTGTTGAAGCTTCCGTTCCCTTCCGCTGGCAGCACGGCATTCTTGATCGTCGGGTAGTTGGTCAAACGCACCTTGCCACCAGGTGCCATTCTTGGCTGGGAGGTCGAAGAGGCAGACGCCGAGTTCGATACGAATGGCATCGTAGTCGACTCTGTGGCGTGCGCTGTCCTCGTTGGAAGATTCATTGCCGCCTCAGCAGATGGCATGCTCGTGGCCGTATAAGCCGCAGGCTTCTCTGACGCACTCTGTCCACTACGAACAGCAGCAGGCTCCGTCGGCAGAGTCTGGTCAAGCCCAGTGGATGACACGTTCGTCACCGTGGACGCTGAGGCCGGGTCCACCAGGCCATGGCCTTCGAGCACGGTTGTCTCCTGTACAGGAGCAGGAGCGAATGAAGCTGTTGGCGCATGCAACGTGCTGTCAACCTCGGTGCTGGGCTGCACACCTGTCGTGACAGATCCACCTTCGTGCGCCACAGGCGCTGCTGCGTTTGCACTCACACTTTCTTCATGCAACTGGTCGGACTCCTTCGCATTGATATTCCGCAGGTCATCTGCACGGCGATCGAGTGACGACGAAAACCTCTCCGCAGCCTCACTCGTCTTGTGCGAGAGCTTCTCCGTCGCACGGGCCGTCTTGCCTGTCAAAGAGTCCTGGGCACCCGTCGATTCAGCCTTTTCAGACAGTTGTTGCGCACGTTCAGACGTCTTATTCGCAAGGTTCCGAGCCTCCTCTTGCATCTTTGAAGCAACGGTATTGGCAGCGTCAGCTGTCTTTGCACGAATTTCCGACATGTCCATGTTGCAAGAACGATGTGGTGGAGTCGGTCGGTGGATAGGGAGCTAAACTGATCACGCGGGTTACCACGGACGTGGGCCAGTGCCACTTTTCTTCGTTTGCGGTGGGCCCACCTATCACGCTCGAGTATTCTGCGCGCATATTTCCTGTCCACTTGTCCCATACGTCATGCCACGCGATTCAGCTAGGGCCAGACAGGTGGGCCTCCATTTGGGCGGGCCTATCGAAATTCCATCCACTCTGCGAAACCAGCAAGCGAAGATAGGAACAGAAGGTGGACGGGTTACGGGGGTCTCTCCACACAGCACACCATCTTTTTCATGATTCCTGTGCCATGGCCACGTCGTTCTGGGCTCAGGCACATGGGCCAATTTTAACGCTTCTTTTCCGGGACACGCGTACGCAGCACGCGTGTCTTGCTCGCGTAGAGTCCTACTATGAATCAGAAAAACATGCCGGCAAGTACTTGACATGGGACGAAGCACACCGTGAGCGACTTTGCAAAGGGTACGAGGCATTTAATTTACCACTAAGCACGGTGGCAGAGTGGCTTGCTTCTATGCGAGCGCAAGTAGAAAAGCCAAAGGAAGTGCTCGGCAAAGAGGCAGCAAGTACTAAACAGAAGACAAGCTCAGACCCAATTCATGATCCCGACGAGCCTTTCTGGCATGCTCATTGCTCCGCACAGGAGCGTGAGCTAATTGCCGAACTTACACGTCGAGGCATCCTTGATGGTTGTGGAACACTCGCATCTAGTGCACCCTGCATGTACCTAATCTCCGCGACTCTCACACAAGCAGACGCGGCCCTAGCTCACGAGCGTCTTCACGCATTATACTATTTTTCGCCAAAGTATCGCGATCTGCTTGCAATCCAATGGAACTCGTTACCGCGTGCTATTGCCTCCGCTATTGAGCTCGATCTGAAAATGCGGGGATACAAGCCATCCGTGTGGCAGGATGAGCTGGGCGCCTACCTTGGCATACGGGTAAACGGCACATCTAGTCGCCGTAGTGATCCTAGCAGTGAGTTTGGAAATAAGAGTGCTGCCACATGTGCTGAAATTCGGCAAGTCCTTTTACAGCAAATTCCTCAATGCTGGAAGCAAGATGTTGGCATGGACGAAGCTGGTGTAACGCTTACGAGACAGGATTTGGAGTGTGCGAAACATGCATTTAGCAATGCGTAATGACGCCTCTAGTAAAGCACGCAATCTGGTGATGAAAAAGTGACAACACTTCCGCGCCCTTCATAGTCTCGGAGATTACACGCAACTATTGCATCATTCCGATGATCATTGGAAAAAATTTTGCAGCCCAACATCGATCTGAGTGGCGGCCTTCGAGGCAACCCTTTTGCCAGTGACTTCCTGGTCCACGTGGACGTCCCTAGCTTTTCTCCAACCCAGGTTGCCGGGGAGGAAAGATGTGCGAAAATAGAAATTTATTTTTCTTTGGAGAAAGAGAAGCCCTGGAAAACGAGTGGCAAGTAAGAGCGCGTAAGGGAAAAAAAAAAGTATTTCTCGTTGTGACGCAGAAGATTTGGGTTTGAACGATCGTGTAGCTGCTTGAGCGGCTTAAGAACAGCAACTTATATGACACGATGAAACGCAAGGTATGTGAAGCTTCGAGGAACTGTACTCGTTGAGGTCGCTTTCCGGAGAATATGTGAGTGCTAATGCCACATGATAGATCTTGTTGATGGGCAAGTCTGGAACCGGGAAAACGTCTATGCGATCATTTATTTTTTCGTCCTATCGACCTGAGGATACGAAACGACTTGGCAGCACAATTGAAGTAGAGCATTCGCATGTGCGTTTTCCAGGTAATCTTGTGCTAAATTTATGGGATTGCGGCGGGCAGACATCGTATATGGAAAATTATATGACCGCGCAACGGAACCAGGTATTCAGTTCCGTTTGCGCGTTGGTGTATGTGGTGGATGTTGTTGGAACAGATGTCGACGGAGGGAGCGATGCAAGTGACTGGGAGACGGATCTTCGGTACTTCCGTGATTCTCTCTCGGCTTTGCAAACACATACGCCTGATGCTGAGGTTTTTTGTTTGCTGCACAAGATGGACCTTATTGAGCCATCTCGACGGAAGAATATCTACATGAATCGTGTTGCCGACCTGCGAAAAAAAGCTCGTGAAGTCTTAAATGAACATGCGTCATCATCGCCTCATGCGGCCCATGCAATCCATCTGCGCTGCTATGCCACGAGTATTTGGGATGCGACACTGTACAAGGCGTGGTCGAATATTGTGCATACCATTGTGCCAGATGTCCGGCACTTCGAGGCGAGTCTGTCAGAGCTGGCTGATATGTGTTCAGCGACTGAAGTTGTGTTGTTTGAGAAGGCCACTTTTTTGGTCATGTCGCATTACAGCCGGCTAGATGCGAATGAGACAGATGCAACAAAACACAGTAAAATGATGGATACCAGCTCCGTTGTGCGGATAGATGATCCGCAGGACTCGAAAGAAGTGCTGCTAGCAGGACTCTCGTCGTCGATGTTGCCACACTCGGAGAATATGAATGACACTGCTGAACGCCATGTTGTTATGTCTGACGACAGATTTGAGCGTGTAAGTGAGCTTGTGAAGCAGTTTAAATTGTCGTGTCTGTACGTATGATGTTATCGTGAAAACTGACGCTCATGAAGTGGTTCGCGGGACCACATGCAAGCATTTGAGCTGCGAACGCCGACATTTCTTGCGTACATGGATGCACTCACGTCCAACACGTGCTTGCTTGTGATTGTGTCCGACCCTCGCATTCACATCCGGGCGATCAAGAACAATGTCGAGGTCTGCCGACAGCAGCTGGACGGGATGAACCCTGTCTCACAGACGAAAATGAAAAACTAAGATAACGTGCAAGCAGTGCCACAGTTTTCGTGCTGCATCTCTTGGAATTACTTGTATACACATACTATGAGGATACCCATACCCATCTGATCAATACTTGGGCGTTTTGAAACTCCAAATACACAGCTACATAAAATTCATTCCAATCTCCACTTTTCTATTCCATGCCCGTTGTGATTGGGACTGCCAACAAAGTAGCGAGTCGTGATTTTTTATCGCCAATTATTTGATCCCCAGTCGCCCACCTCCGCTTCGTTGGATTCATCGCCTCTCACACCTGGCCTACGAATTGGATCTAACTCGCAACTGGCTCCGAAATGCGGATGCTTTGGAGCGTGCCACGTATTCTGCGTGTAGGTCATCCAGCTCTTCCATCTGTTTGGATGCAGGCAAGGTTCATGCCCGTGCGGTATGCGCATTTTGATTCAAATGCATTCGTCCAGCGACTTGAGCAAGCGGGTATTACCCGTCAACAGGCAGATGTGCTTGTGACTGCACTGACAGACGTAATCAATGAGAGTATACAGAATTTTGCGCATAGTCTTGTGCGTCGTGATGAGGCAGAGAGTCACAGCTACACTCAAAAGGTACGCCATACACACATGCATTCACTAGCGCGTGCGTCTGGGGAATGCCAGGCAGATGAGCACGAAGGCGTTTACTAACTCTTGGGTGAAAAGGTCGACTTTGCGAAGCTCAAGTCGGAGATCCAGCTCTTGGAGCGTAGTGACTTTGTGCTGATGAAGTCCGAGAATGAGCGTCTCATGGCGGACGTTGAAAAGCTGAAGCAGCGTCTTCGTGAAGAAATTGCCCGGACTATGGCAGGTGTGCGTTTGGATTTGAACCTCGAAAAGGGTACGTTTATGGACTTTATGTGTTCCTTCATGCTTTCTCACACTTTGCAATAGGGCGTATTCGCGATGAGTCTTCTGTACATGCATCCAAAATCAAGGAAGTCGATACACGTATCGAGTCGGAAATCGCAGGTGTACGGACTAGTATCCAGAGTGCCAAGTTCAATGTGTTACAGTACTTGGTCGGTGTGGCTACTGGTGCTGGTGCCTTGCTGCTTGCGTATCTTCGGATGTTCCGTTAGGAAGCCCTTGCACCCAAGTTGGCCTTCTTATGTATCCAACATGTTGAACTTCTAGCTGCTAAAGTTGCCAAGTTGTTTTCCGGGACCGTGTTGATTGTCTCACAAGTTGTCTTTCACAGTTGATGAGATTTTGAACAAAAAATAAGCCTTCTGGCCACCGTCTAGACCTGCTTGTCTATCTCTGGTTTTCTATTCGCACTTTGCTGCATCTTTATCACACGCATACCAACACACACACACACACACACACACACACACACGCAAGATGCCTCTAGAATGAGTATTTTTGCTTTTTCTTTGTTCGTACCTTTCCTGTACATGTTATAGCTACTACCATGTTGGTGGACCCGGCCTTCTTATTCGTCTTCAAGCCAACAAGGGCTGGGCCTTGGAGAGGCATATATTGTGCCTGGTAGACAAATCGACTTCATGGCCCGTGATTGGCAGGTCATACATAATTCCACTATCTAGTGTGTCCTTGCCACCAAACGGATTCATCTTCGCTACCTGCGCTTGCAATCGCAATCCTGGTCCATACAGACTCTGTTCTCGACCCTTATCCGACACAAAGCTCCCTACTCGTGCATTACCATGCTGGTCAACCCTGGTGGGACACAAATCACGTCGCATCATCAATACCACACTGATGGATTGGATGCGTCTGAACTTGAGCCCACGCCCATGGCAATGTTTCAAAAATGGTTTCAAGCTGCCGTTGATGCAGGCGTGACTGAGCCTGAGGCTATGACTCTGTCGACGACGGCTTTACCAGACGTTCCAGGACCCGCGGATGCGTCGTCTCCCACTGACAAATCCCGGTGGCGCGTACAGGCGCCTCGCCCCAGCTCTCGAACAGTTTTGCTAAAAGGTGCTGACGAGCGTGGCTTCTTCTTCTACTCAAACTATGCATCGCGCAAAGGTGACGAACTTGCTGCAAATCCATGGGTGCTCTCTTTCGTTCTACTGGCCACAAATGCATCGGGCCATTCGTGTGCTCGGATGGGCGGAGCGTGTGCCGCGCAGTGTATCCCAGGCCTACTTTGATACTCGACCCGTCGGCAGCCGGATTGGTGCGTGGGCAAGTCCACAAAGCCAGGTGATCCCGTCGCGCGAGTCGCTCGAGTCACTTATTGCAGCATGCCAACGCAACTTTGATAATCCGACCTCAGACGACGCGCACATTCCTGTACCCGACCATTGGGGTGGGTACATTGTGGTGCCTGATGAGATTGAGTTTTGGATCGGACGGACGAATCGCTTGCACGGACCGGTGTCGGTACTCGCGCAATCCCAACACCACGCTGCCTGTCTCGGATGCATCGTCTTGGGTGCTTGAACGCCTTGCCCCGTGATCCATCCTAGAACGACCAAAGTGCGTGCGCGCAGCGCGCGGCTTGGAGCTGTAGCAGGCGTTAGCCACGAGTCGACACACTCGCTCCGCTCACATCGATATGATGTGCATTCATGCCTGATTCGTCGCGGCATGTACAACAGCGCACACAGCCTCTCGGCTGTATTCACCCGCTGACGTCTCGAGCGAGTGCCAGACCGTGTATGCTTGGCGTACAGTAAGCCAGTGGAGCCAGGCTCCCAACAACACACAGACATGGAAGATCTGGTGGGAGGCGCCAATGTAATCGAACGTGTAAGGTGACCAGCGCTCGGGGATGTGTGCCACGTAGATCAGAGCGCCTCCAATGTACACGGCGCCGCTGAGCATGAGGAACCGCGCTCCCAACACGTGTGTGACAAAGAACCAGTCACGCGCAATCAGAAAGCCATGGACAACCGGCAAGACCGCACTGAGGCCCAGCGCGATGAAGATCATTGCTCGCAACGTCTTGTACTTGGGCACAGTGAACTTTGGCTGCGTCACGATGTACAGTGCAATGGTGCCCCAAATTGTGACCAGTGTCGTATACAGTGTGCGCAGATGTGGGTGGCAATGGAAGCCGAAATGCAGGGCAGGCACGTTACTGCCGACAATGAGCAAGACAATGCCAGCGTAGTCGAGGCGGTTGTAGCTTAGGGCCGTGCGTTCTGAATGGCAAGCGACTGTGTGGTATGTAGCACTACAGCCCAAACATGCCATAGCAGAGAGCAAGAACACGGAGAGAAAGGCCAAGTCATCTGGTGGTGCACGCACGTATCCCAAACGCTGTGTCTGAGCATCGGCCTGTGCAATTCTGAGTCCCAAGCCTGGGTATCGCTCGAGAATGTCAGGAGACGGAAGAGTGTGTAGCGAGAAAATCGGCCATGGGCCACCAGGGAGCCATTCGTGCAGATCTGCGAGCTGCAAGAAGAGCAGCAGGATGGCAATGACTGCCCCCCACATGTGTGTGTGAATATTTACCGTTTCGTTGTGCCAGTAGCACCAGACACTTTTCCAGCATTTGTAAAAAGTATCGTGCAGATAGTGTGTCTGTTCCTTCTTCTCGTCGACATGATCAACAGAGCTGGTGTTTTTGCTGGTGGGTTTATCGACGCACGCATCGCCGGGACGACGGTAGCCGCTTTGTATGTACGGCACGTGCTTGGCTTTCTGTTAGATCAGGCAGGCTTAGACACGTACACCAAGGAGGCAGCTCTTCGTACGAAACAAGGTAGCGAGACGATGACGGTCGTGCGTGCGTTGCCGACATGGCTGGGCGTCACGACGCAATGTCGGGTGTGAAAGTGCAAGGCATCCTACTGCGCCCGTTCTTTTCCACATGCTTTCAGACACACGCGGCTGCCAGTGCTCGAAGCCCCGCCGTCCCCTTCGTCCCACCCATGCACAAGTGTGGAGGGCACCAGGGAACAGGGGCTCCACTTGCACATTGACAGATAGGCGTGTGTGTTGGTGAGCGGTGTATGTCCACGATTCAGTGATATTGATCGCCACCAACCATTAGGAGACGTTCGCGCGCACCGCACGCATCATGGAGGATAGCTCTTTGCGTGGCGTGGAAGTGCAGACAAGCGCGACGGCGGGATTCATTGGCTATGCAGGGACATACACATTCGCAGCTGCCTTGCGCGCGCCCTTGCGTGTAGTTGTGTATGTGGGACTGGCGTTATGCTTTGCACACACTGTATGCGCAGAATGTCTAGGTCCAGAATGTGGTCGCAAATCGTATGTGCCACCAAGACCGGTTCCGCCGTGGCATGATGACACGTCGGATGCAGGCTTCGTCGGAGCACGAGAGCAAGAGCCTGTTGTAATGGTGACAACGCCGTGGACTGAATTCACCACTATGCCGTTCAAATTCCTCTACTTTGTGGGGGTATGGCTCCTCACCCAACTACACACTGTGCTGCAGCTTTTATACAACCTGTTTTTCGTGTGGCCTTACCAGACCGTCCGCCCAGTCATGGAGGCTTGTGGACATATGCTCTTGATTATCTTTGCACCTATTGTTTCTTTATGGAAAGTTATGTATACAGTGCTGATTGTGTGGCCAACACATACATTTCAGTCCATGTCACTATGGTTGTACCAGCTATACGTGGTGATGGGGATCGGCGTCTGCTTTGGCGTCGCGATTGGTCTTATGAGCGTTGGATGGCTGTATTTAGAGCGTCAATTGTACATAGCACGAGCGCCTCGCACCGTCATAATCAAGCCTAAGTAAGTCTTACGTAGCCAAGATAACTACGTTTTCATGCAGGGGCCATGTACTGACTTTGGTCGGCTGATCACTCGTTATCAACGATGCGCGGTCGCGTGCCTATAGACGTTTTGTAGTGCAGGCAACCATCATCAGTAAGGGTACGAGTGGAAGGCAGCTGAGGCTGTATGAGAGTCTTGGAACGCTTCCACGTGACCACTTCATGTGCGTGGCAGCAGCGGCGGCGGCATTGGTGGTGGAGGGCGTGTGACGCGTCTTAGTCGGTGGATTGGCATTCTAGTTCGTCCACGACAAAGGCTGGACGAAAGAGAAAGCGAGAGAGAGAGAGAGAGAGGGAGAGAGTGAGAAAGTGTGCGTGTGTGTTTGTGTCTGTGTACAAGGGTGCGAGTGTGAACGTTTGCTTGTACCGGATACATCATGTCGTCCTCTACTGGAAAAGCACAGGCGCCAGGATACGAGCTGCCTTGGTATGTGTGTGCGCGAAAAGAGGGTCGCTATGTGTACTAACAGAGCCTTAGGGTAGAAAAGTACCGGCCGCGGTACCTTCGTGATGTTGTCGGAAATAGCGCGACAGTGGAAAGGTTGCGGGCTATTGAGGAACATGGAAATTGTCCACACTTGCTGTTGTCGGGGCTACCAGGCATAGGAAAGACGACGAGTGTGCATTGTCTGGCGCACGCATTGCTGGGCGACGCCTACAAGGAAGCTGTCCTGGAGCTAAATGCGTCGGATGATCGCGGTATTGATGTGGTGCGAAGTAAGATCAAAGCATTTGCCCAGAAAAAAGTGTCGCTGCCGCCGGGGCGGCATAAGATCATTGTGCTGGATGAGGCTGATAGCATGACGCCCGGTGCACAGCAAGCGTTACGGCGCACGATGGAGATCTATGCGCCAACGACGCGGTTTTGTTTTGCATGCAATCAGTCGAATAAGATCATTGAGCCGATTCAGAGTCGCTGTGCGATCCTGCGCTTTGGGCGTATTTCCGATGAAGAACTGCTGCGTCGGCTTCTCCAGATCTGTGAGGCAGAACATGTCAAGTATTCGGACGAGGGACTCGCCGCTGTTGTCTTTACGGCAGAGGGCGATATGCGACAGGCTGTGAACAATCTGCAGTCGACTTGGACAGGCATGGGCTATGTGAGTCCGGACAATGTGTTCAAGGTGTGTGACCAGCCGCACCCGCTCGTGGTCCGCGACGTGTTGGATAAGTGTTATGCTGGTCGAGTTGATAGTGCGCTGGATCAGCTTGAGAGTCTCTGGTCGTTGGGGTACTCGAGTCTGGACATTGTCACGACGCTCTTCCGTGTGGTGCGGACGATGGACAGTTTGCCAGAGGCCGTGAAGCTGGAGTATATTCGCGAGATTGGTTGGACGCATATGCGGACGTTGGAGGGAGTCGCGACATTGTTGCAACTAAGCGCTTTGGTTGCTCGACTTGCCAAGCTGGTGCGTATGCGAGTGGGCGCGATGCACCCGAGTACTAACGAACACGTCGCAGGCCATGGACCCTCAGCTATTTGTGCTGAAGTAGAGTGTGGAAGCGAACATCCATCCATGCACACGCAGAGACACACGGGCTGAAGCTGTTGGCAAGGCGCAGAATGCGCGCCCCCCCGCGCTACCTCCATGTCTCAAGCCGGCCCACTCGTGTCGTTACTGACGCCTTCACTCGGACTTTTCTTGTCCTTCCAACCATGTAGATATGTATGCATTAGGAACTACGGAATGAATGCGGCGTTTGACCAGCCAACGCGCGCAACTCGGCATTGTCGTGCCGCAGCTTAAGATGCTCCTCCTTCAGTCGCCGCAGCATGTTTTCTGTATTGCGCACGAATTGTACGGCCGTCAGGTAATCGTTTTCCAGCTGGGAAGTGCGTGACTCGTGCTCCTCTGTGGCCTCGATGAGGCGGCGCTCTGCCTGCTCAGCACGCAGCCGAAGCGACTCGAGCTCCTGCCGAGAGCTTGCGCCCTGGCGAAGGCGGACCTCCCACTCTTGGTTCATGTGATGCAGCTGATCCTGCGCGCGTTGCAGATCCATCGCATTCAGCTCCGCCGCGCGCTTCTGCGCATCGAGCTCGCGCTGGAGCTCCAGCACACGCCGGCTCTGCATAAACTCTGGGCGCGCAAGCGTGTCGTCGTCAGGCACATCGACCTTGTGCTCGTGGAGCATCTGCTTCAGCGCCTGGTTCCGATCTGCGCAGCTTCGAGCGCGCGTGAGTGTTGCTCGTCCTCGGCTCGTGATGCGTGGCTCTTGTCACGCAGTGTCGAGAGCTCATGCAGGGCGGATGCCAACTGCTTTCGCTGCGAGGGGATCTCGGCGAACAGCTTGTTGTTGGTGCGCTGCAGCTGCGTGCTGCGATCGGTCGCCTGCTGCAGGGTTGTGGCCATGCTCGCGAGTGACGCACGCGACTCTTCATGCAACTGCCGGAGAGCCTGCGTCTCGTCTTGCAGGGCCTGGACGTGCGATTGATGTGACACGTTTGTTTCTCGTGTCCCATCGGCCGATGCATCGTGCAGACCTCCTGCTGCCTGCTGGTGCTGCTGCATCGCGAGCAGCTGTGCCAGGCCACCAGTCGCAGCCTCCCGATGCTTCTGCGCTTCTCGCTGCAGCGTTTGAACCATGGACTCCAGCTCCGTGACACTGCTCGACTGCTGCTCCAGCTGCTCGCTCTTCATCTCCAGCTCAGCTGTCTTGGCCTGCAAGTCGTTACGCAGTTGCAGGATCTGCTGGGTCTGTGCGTCATGCTGCCGCTGCTGCTCACTGTGCTGCCTTTCATGGTCCGAGACACGTGCATGTGCGGCGGCCAGCGCCTCTTGGAACTGCGTCAGCATGGATCGGTTGGTATCAATCGTGCGTGTCGCAGACGAGAGGCGCTCATCGAGCGTATCGCGCTCAACCTGCTGCGCTGCGAGTCGGGACGTGAGGGTGGAAATCTGGGCCGCATGATCACGCAGCATTGCCTCTGTCTCGTATGTGTGTTTCTGGAGCGCCGAGTACTCTTCATACACCTTCAGCTGCGACTCCTCGGCGGAGAGCGCGCGCTTCGTGGTCTCGCTCAACCGATCCTCTGCGAGCTGGCGAAGCCGTGCTTCCAACTTGGTCTGGTCCACGAGCATGGATACTTTGCGCTCCAGCTCGCCGTGCTCGCGCGTAATGTGTCCCACGAGCTTCTCGAGCTGGATGATCCGCTGCCGATCCAGCCGTGCACGCTCGTCGGTGAGCCCGCTCTCGTTCGCCGCCAGCTTGGCACGGTAAAACGCTGCCTCCTGCAGCGCAGCGACGCGTGCTCGCTCTTGAGCAGCGACGCGTTCTTCTTCGTTCCGCATCTGCTTGTTGAGATCGGCTCGCAACCCCGTCGCTTGCAGCTTGAGCGAGAGCATGGACTTGATGAGCGCTTCTTTCATCGAGTTGTCTGGCCCCGTATCGACTCGCTCAATGTCGAGGCCCTCGTCCACCGACGGCACACGTGCCGGCGGCACAAAGCCCTGCTTGACGGCGAGTGCCAGCGTCGATGCGAGCCAGATCTCTCGATTAGATGGGAAGCTCAGCATGCTGTCGTCTTCGCGAAACAGCTGGCGCGGCTGCACGGCTGGCCGCTCTCGCTGCCAGTCCGATGCGTCCATAGGAACTGACGATGTCGCCATGTTCGCTGGGCTGTGGGACGACGGCGGCACTGCCGATGGGACGGGGCCTGATGGCGGGTACGATGGTGGTGGCACGGGCTGGTGCTGCTTCGACAGTGGATCGAGTCCTGTAGGTTGTTGCGCCCGTTGGTCATAGGGCAAAGCAGCGCCTGGCCCATTCGTCTGCTCAGGCGGGTGATTCGACGCCGCTGGCATCATGCGACTGGTCGCATTCGGTACGGCGCCCATGCCCGAGTACACGGACGAGGCACCTGGCGGGAACGTGGATGCAGTCGTCGTGGGTGTGCCAATGCTGCCGCCGGCCGCTGGTGGAACATGTGGTGACCACGACTCGGACGCTGCGCCTCTGGGCTGCGGCGCCACAGAGGCAGCGGTTCCGCCCAAGGTAGCAGCGGGCGACGCAGGGGTCACTCCGTCCGGCCGATCGATGCCCTCCATACCATACGCTTGCGTCGCAGGCACCATGCCGGATGGCTGTGGAGGTTGTGAGGACGACGAAAAGGGTGCGTAAGGGAGGGCAGGTGTGGGTGGTCCATAGGGCATTGTGCTCGATGACACATTCCGCACAGCGGCCGGCGCTGTTGAATACGTGGAGGATGGAGTGGAAGACGACATGGGTGCGGCAGCGACGGCATCGGACGTCGCAGGGGCCGAGGAGTCCGGCATCGATGATGGTTGTGCATCATTCTCAGGCGACCTCGTCAGCCCATTCGACTCCTTCTCGCGCAGCAATGGCGTCACAGACACGGGTGTACGCTCGTGAGCGTTGTTCATCGTTGTCATAGGCGTCTGTCCCGGTGTCGATGGCGTGAGCGGTGCAGGTATCTGGGCAGAGCCGGGTGTAGCGGGAGCCGGCGGAGCACCAGCACCTGTCGATGGGACGGCCGCGGCTCCCGCCGTCGACAGCGCAGATTCCATCTGCCGAGTGTGGATCCGAATGGCGCATGGCCTCGGCTCCATGTGCAACATCCGAGGAGTGCTCTGGATTTGTCGGATGCGCGGATTCAGGCGTCGGTGGCTGTGGTTGCAGCTGTGGTTGCAGCTGTGGTTGCAGTTGCGACTGCGACTGCGGCTGCGACTGCGGCTGCGGCTGTGGCTGTGGCTGCGGCTGCAGCTGTGACTGTAGCTGTGACTGTGACTGTGGCGGTGGCTGCATCGCTGCTTCGTCCGACGTAGACGATTTCGAGAGACTACCTCCTGACCGCTCTGTCTTGATGGGATACTTGATTTTCGACGTATCAAGCACATGCAGACCAGTCGGCTCGTCCTGTGCTTCACCCGTAAAGGACTCGCCACCAATCACCAGCACACGATTCTGTACACTCACCATGGTGTGGCCTGAGCGGCCAAATGGCGCTGGGCCCATGTGTGCAAACATGAACCAGCGGTGACTTGAGATCTTGAAGCTCGCCAAATCGCCGAGGTCGTTGCCGTCCGCGCCACGACCACCGAAAATGTACATAATATCATCCACCATACACGCTGCATGGCCTTCGCGTGGCGTCGGGATATACCCCACACATTTGAGCTCAGACCACGTCATAGACGCAAAGTCAAAGCACCACGTATCATTATAGTGGTACTGCCCATCCGTACCGCCAAAAATATACAGGCGCTCCTTGTATACGACGGCCGAGTGTCCTGCACGCCGCGGTGGACCGCCTGTTGGCGTCTGCACATGCTGCCATACAGGCGTGTCTTTGAGCGTGTTGAGATCAAAGCGCCACAGCTCATCATAGTACTCATCGTCGACTTGTCCACCGTACACGAACAGATTGGAGCCAATGATCGAAAGCGTATGTCCGTGGCGCCCAACCGGTCCCGGCGCTCCTTGCACGCCAGGCGCAAGAACGCGTGTCCACTCCCGGTTGTTCAAGTTCAGCAGGTATAGGGCTTCATCCTGGGGATCTTCTGCACGCATTTTGGTATCACCTCCCCATAGAATAAACACATTCGATACAAGTACAGCAGCGTGTCCTACTCGCGGCAGAGGTGCGTGCCCCGACGTCTGAACAAGTGTGGCATTCAGTGCGATGTCCATCTTGATGCCACTGGATCGCTGGATTTGCACAGGCTCAATGCGCATAATGTACATATCGTTCTTCACACTGTCTCGTACGAGACCACCAAAGATGTACACCTCGTGATTCGACCCTGTAGCTTGGTTCGTCGCGTGCCCATAACGTGGGAATGGCGGTGGACTCAGTACACCTGGTGGCGGTCTTCGCGTCTCGTCTAGAAAGCGCGGTGGATTCATCGTCACATACTTTTTGCCCCACGGATACACCACATTCGCTTGTCGCATCCGCTCCGGCGTTGACGGCGCTGGTGGCGTCGTCATAGCTGGTCCCANCCCTGCTGCTGCGCCAGCTCCTGCAACAGGCGGCGTTCGTGCTGGCATAGGCATTGAGCCATTTGGCAATTCACCTGTCATAGGCATCGGAGCCTGCTGCTGTCGTTGTGCGAGAGCTGCTGCGGCTGCGGCTGCGGCTGCTGTTGTCGGTTGTGATGATGATCTTGAGCCGTCATCCATGGACGGCCGTAGTACGCCTGCTGCACCTGCCGTCATGGGTGTACCATACACACCGCCAGGACTTGTGAGGCCCGTGGCAGCAGCTATACCCGGACTTGGATGACCTATCGATCCCGAAGGCATTGCCATAGTTCCACCTCCGGTATGAGATAATGATGAGACGTGAGCGGTCTGCAACCGCCCAGGCGAGCGTATGCTAGAGTCCGTCACCATATGTGACATCAAGCTCGTGTCTTCGAAGGATTCGCGGGGGTCATTAGCACTGCGTGGGTTCGATCCAATACGCGACACGAAGCCCGTTCGGCCGCCTTGTTGTTGTTGTTGTTGTTGTTGTTGTTGTTGTTGTTGTTGCTGTTGCTGCGGAGTATGCGAAGGGAGTCGAAGTCCTAGTGTCGGCGCATTCGCATGGATTTGGTTGGGATCCGTCACGATCGCACCAGGCGCGTCAGATGACCCCTGTTTGGCTGTGCGGTCCTTGTCAGACCGCTTTTTCCCAAATATAGCCATACTGTCCCTCCGCTAAACGGCTCCTCACGAGCAACGAGGCGTGGGCTACGCGGCTCGTGTCCCTAAAAAAAAGGATAAGCGGATGGAGGCGACGTATGTGGACTTGGCTGGCTTGTCTCACAGCTGGAGGGCCGACGTCCGTCCCCGTCTGTCGGCTGCGTAGCTTGGCCCACCCCGTTGGGTGCTACCTACAACCGACAATCCACCAGATGTTTTTCACTTTCTACACTGGACGCAGGTGTCTGCACAATGGAGCGAATCAAACTCCGTACAATATGCGCATGAGATATATCCACGTGGTCCTCCACCCCCCTCGTCCGCGATGCTCAAGTGCGTCGTTGCCATAGCAGCCAAGGCGTAAGAGCCGTAGGAGCCAGCCGCGCTGGAATACGCCCCCTCCCTCCCTCTGCAGAGCGCGTTATGACATGGACAGATCGTTTGAACATCATTGCTAGTGCTATAAACATCATATGCACGGGGTGTTGTGTACCATGGCTTGCTGTGCTTACGACGGTCCTCGTTCTTGGCTGCAACCTCACAGGTGCGGCCAGAGTCACTCCAACAGCACGCTCCCTGTCGCACATATCCACAGCAGTTCCAACAGCCCCACTAGCTGTACGTGCTGACGATGACAACAACAGATTACCTGCTGGTGGCTTGTCTATAACAGAGCCAGCTCAGACAGCGCAAGCCTCCTACTACAAGATCGCTCCACATGAAACCATCACGTTTGGCTGGGAATTCACCTCTCTCACAGCGACGCCGTCGCGCCTGTACGTTGTAGCGTCATGTTCCAAAAATGGCAACACGTACCCCATTGCGCCATCGCCAAGTGGGATCCCAGGCGATGCCAAGTCCGTCACTTGGTATCCGTATGGCTACCGCATGGATGCCCAGAAGCACGGGGGCCCAGATCTTGTCGCTGACAAGTATCGGCTCATTATCTATGATGATAAGGGTCCTACAGGCGTCGCGAAAGGCGGCGAGTTCCAGGCAAACAATATGGCCGAGTTCTCCATGTATTTTCCCAAAAAATATACCCCCTTGTCCGGTACGTCGCACAACAACCGCACGACGCCATACTCATACACTCGACCCGCTAGAATGGACATGCAATTCGTGCAACGGTGCTTCGCGCTCTTCGCCACCACTCCCCAGCTCTGCCTTGCTGATCACGCTCGGCGCCTTGGCGTTTGCAGCGGCCGGCGGCTTCGCATGTTTATAGTCACGTGATATGACACGAGGCCGAGTGTTGTTGTTATTGTTGTTGTGATTGTTATTTATGTTGTGTGTTGTTATTTGAAATTCGTGAACAAGCGCACAGTTGGCTACCGATTTCTGGGTATCTGTAGCGTTGCTCAGTTAGGACTGGGCTTGTCTTGCTACGCCGTTGCCCACGTCGTCAGCGTCATCGCCGCTGGTTCTGGCACTGGTGCTGCTGACGCTGTTGCAACAGCCAGTGCGGCCGTCTTTTCTGGCCTGACGTCCCTGTCTCGTTCACACACGCCCTCGTTCAGCCCACTTTCCCGCCCAGTCGAGAGTGCCGCGTACATGTTATCGATGACATCGCTGGAAGCACCTTCCAGCACCAGTCGCGATGTGCCTGCGTGGCTCTGGGCCTCAGGAATCCCGCCAGCTGCTCCTGCCGCCCCCAGTGGCGGCGCTGGTACTTCGCCCGCCTTGTATTGGGACATGGGACTCTCTTTGCACGAACGCCCGATCCACAGTCAATCTCCCTCGCGCTGCATGATGTATCGAAATGACTCCGGTGCTGAGCACGGTATGTTTCCACCACATTCTCTCATACCACCGCCTGTACCAGCGGGAACTAGTGCCGCCGGCACTGGCAATACCACAGGAGCAGGTACAGCGGCTAGTGCGACGACGCCTGAATCCACGCATGCACATCTACCGCCGCCCCATGCGATGTACCCGCCATCAACTGCTTTTCATGTCCCGATGCATCCCGAGCCAGCGCCCGGTTACTCTTCTGTGCTGTCCTTTGGCCCTGGTAGCACGTACCCGTTCTTTGATGCCCAAGGCTTCCCGATGCTCATGCATGTGCCGCCTGGCATGGCGCCGTCGTATCCTATGGCGCAGCAACAGGAACATATTCCCTCGTTGATCGAGTCGTCGCGCGCCGACTCTTTCTCAGACACATGGAGCACCCTGTCGTCCGTCACGTCAGATGCACCGTCATCTATGCATCCTCAGGCGCAAAGTACCACAACAAGCATGGATGATCTTTTGGCGCTCTCTCGCCAAGCGCAAAATGACGGCGAAGGCGGGCAGAATCCCAACATATTCGTGTGCCCACACTGTGAGAAACGATACACAGGCAAACATGCACGCAGTATTTGGCGCAGGCATCTCCAGGACAAACATGCGATCCCGCTAAGTGTGCAGCCACGTCGCACTCGTTGGGACCGTGATATGAACCGGCCTCGCAACGCTGCTGAGCGTCGGGAACGCATGCTCGAGAGTAAGCGCCGCTGGGCCCGGAAAAAACGTGAACAGGAACGGCGCGTAGCTGCAGCGAATCGCGGGGCGTCTGTCGCCACCGACACTGCCACGCCGACGCCCAGCGATCCCGACGTCGATCAATTCGATGCACTCTCGAAAGAAATGGCTAGCACTATGCACAGTGTGACCAAGCCATCCCTTCCGCCTTCTTCTTCAAGCATGCACATGCCAATACACCTTCCACCGCCAGCACCACCACCAGCATCAGCATCAGCATCATCAGCAGCGCCAGCAGTGACCTCTTCGTCGTCGAGTGCGCCAAATCGAACGGCCCTCGCTCCTCGAGATATCAACATCCCCTCGAGTCAGAACTGGCGTACAGACGCAGGTGCGGGCATCGTCAAGTCTCCTGGCTTCCTCGATAGCAAGCTTTTCATGCCCTCACCGCTGCAGTCAACACCACTGCGCAGTGCATTATCGAATCCACCCTCGTTGTACGGTACAATGCACAGCCCCTCTGACTCTCGGACCGCGCCAGATTCGGCGCGTCGGTTCTTACCCTTCCCGCATCCTCCGTCGTCGTTGACAAAGCGCACACCCTCTGAGCGTTCCAAGTTCGCCGCATTCACACGCATCGAGCCGTCACCACGCAAACTCGGCCTCGGTGGTCAGGCTTCGCGTGCAGATGCACCGGCGAGTCCGTCTGTGCGATCCGTTCGTGCATCGCGCGGCGATCAGTTCTCAAGTCCACAGCACCTGAACCTTACGCAGAGTCTGGGTCTTGCACCACATTCTGCTACGAAGGGAGGTGGCACAGGATTCACACCCTCATTCTCATCGAACGTCCATATGACACCCTTGGGCGCAGGTGGCGGCACGCCATTCAGTCGCATGCCTTTGGGCCTTACACCGAGCATTCATGGTTTCTTGCGCGGAACAGGTGGTGGGTTAGGTGGCTTGAGTGCATCCGCGACAGGCAGTGGTGGTGGCGACATGTCGGGTAGTGGTTTGTTGGGCGGCGGCGATTTCAGTGGATACATGATGGGTCTTACAACCTTGGACTCACCCCACATCCTGCGGAGCGCAAGCCGTCCTTCTCCACTGCGTACAGGTGTGTCGTTCCACTCGAGTTCCGAGCGCGACGAGGATGATGACCTTGACCATGAAGGTGAAATGCGCATCATATCGCCATCGCTTCGTCAGCGCGTCCGTGGAAATGCTAAGGCGTCACCACTTGGTCAAGATACACCCTCCAAAGTGGGTTCGCCGCTACGTGGTCCTGGAAGCTTTTCGTTTGGTTTGCGTCGTACTCCGCACCGTGCGCCCAAGCTCCGGTAATACGTCCTGTCATCGGTGCGTACACTGCATTCCAGCATCCGGACTCTGCTATGCATCCCTGTTCTACATCCGTTCGTCCCGACAGTGGGCACATACTGTTTCTTTTTTTTCACCAACATTCACGAAACCCTTCCACACCTTGTCTTTCTTTTTCTGTCTCCCTTTGCCCCGTTTCCCTGTCTTCCCGCCTTCTCATAATCCCTCTTGTTGTTGCACTACCCCCGTATCTGGTTGCTAGTATAAAATTATTCATGCATATTACTATCATCCACCTCATGTGGAGGAGGGCGCGTCATCCTTTCTCGAAACAGCTCATTTACGTATCATGAGCTCGTTAAGTTCGTTCGACGCCCACCCACCAATCCTAACTCTGTAAATGGCTTGGGCTCCCATATGGCATAGGTTTCTCGATGCAACTCCACAACTATGCCTGGACCTTCGTGACCATGAACAGTTCAGCAACGGGCACATTTCTCATGCCGTATGTATAGAAGGACTAGACGCGCTACGCACGCGATTCAGCACTCTACCTGCACGACATGTACCATTTCTCATTGTCTGTAATGCCTCTTGCGCTACGCATGTGCGCAGCGCATTTGTGCCGCCAGAACGATGGGCTATTATTGGGATTCTGGGAGTCTACAAGCATGAGCATGTATCCACTTCATCCATCTCAGGTGAGGAGACATTCCTAAACGGCGAGCTTCAGCATCTGGTGGATCTGCCGCACCCCCTGGCATTCATCACCCTAGATCAGCTTGCCACTGCCGCAACAGCTGCGCACATATGGACGCCTATGGGCACTAAAGATCTGCCGGATCTGCTATTTTCGCCTGCCCCTGTCATTGCTCGCGTTGTCCAACATTGCGTGAATGCATCGGAGACAGAGCCTATTGCGCTACTAGATCTCGGCTGTGGCGCTGGACGAGATGTCACTTATGCTCTTGTTCATGCTCAGCGCACATCTACGCGTGCTTGGCACGCGACATGTGTGGACCGATGGCGCGCCGCGCTAGATCGTGCGGCCCAACTTCTCCAAGACCATGCACTTTGGGATCCATCGCCATCAAGCAAAAAATGTGCGTGCAATGCCATGGCAGTAGCTGATATCACCGATGACGGTTTCGTCCGGGCACTCGGCTCACGTGGGACAAACCCTTCCGATGCTATGTCTCTCGACACGTGGGCTGCAGCACATTTACCCCATTCGCACTACGATATCGTGTGGCTCATCCGCTTCTGGCCTCGCGCATGTCTAAGGAACCTGCCGCGCATCGTAGCGGAGCATGGACTCATTGTGCTGAGCCACTTTGTGCATGAACCTGACGCCAATATTCCTCGTCGAAATCTGTCGGCCCTATCAACAACATATAACTCACCTCCTGTGGCTGCACGAATCCAGCCTGGCGAAATTAGTGCTCTCCTAAAGCATTGGCAGTCCGCTTATGGGGCTGCAAGTGAAGTACTGGACGAGTGTGTGGAACCCGTGGAAGATGGCCGTCCAGTACATAGTCTCGTCGTGAGACTTTGCGGCCACACACTGAAAAGATGAAGCAATACCTGTCTGTGTGATGTCTGCATATGGAGAGTGAACGAAAGTGGCGAACGAAAGTGACCGCGTTTATGCTCTTCCAGCTTTCTGTGGCGAAGGGGGTCGGGGCAAAGTCGAAACAAACGATGGGCGGACAGACTAGTTAGGCACCTGTCGCAAAACGGAAAGCCCGTGTGGCATCTGTGTGCCCAATCAACCTATGGTACCTGTGCTCGGGAAGTCATACCCGGGATTCATTCATGTACATACATATATGAAAGGGCCTGTCCAGCAGACTGCTTTCTCTTGCTAGATAGGATTGGCCCATGGATCATAGCATAGCATTCCTGTATCTATGTGCGTAAAATCTCGTACGAATCAACATGGTTAGTGCAGTTATGCCAACACGCCGTACACGCTGTGCACACTGGCCGGCTGCTCTGGCCATGATGCACATGTCCAGGCCGTAGTTCTGCATATTGGTTCTCCACATTGGCCGCGTTGCCGCTTGATACACTGCTACGACGTCGTACAGGCCTTACGTCCGTATCCTTTCGGTAATACACGAATCATGACACGCCTTACCGTGTCGACATGCTCACTAAATCAGTGGGCCTTGGATTTCGATGGAAATCGCGATCGGATTGTGCGTTCCATTGAGCTTGCCAAGTCAGCTGGTAGCACATTGAGGATCGGTCCTGAGCTCGAGATCCCAGGATATGGCTGCTACGATCACTTTCTCGAGAGCGATACAGAACTGCACTCGTGGCAAGTGCTTGCAGAAATTCTTCAATCCGACGTGACCAATGGCATTCTATGTGATCTCGGCATGCCTGTCAGCCACGGCTCCGTCCTATACAATTGCCGCATTGCCGTGATGAACCGACGTGTTTTGCACATAAGACCAAAGATATGGCTTGCGAACGATGGAAATTACCGGGAAATGCGTTTCTTCAGCCCATGGATGCGCTTAGGACACACAGAGTCTCATAAATTGCCATCTTTCATCACAGACATCACCGGCCAAACGCACGTGCCTATTGGTGATGCGCTCCTCGCTACCTGCGACACGGTGCTGGGCGTCGAACTTTGCGAAGAACTGTTCACAGCAGCATCACCACACATCACGCACGCTCTTTCTGGTGCAGAGATCATCTTGAACTCCAGCGGGAGTCACCATGAGTTGCGAAAACTTCATCGCCGCGTCGAACTGATCCGCGAAGCTACACTCAAGCTTGGTGGCGTGTACTTGTATGCGAACCAACGTGGTTGTGACGGAGACCGTCTGTACTATGATGGATGTGCCCTCATTGCCGTGAATGGCGATATTGTTGCACAAGGCGACCAGTTTGGCCTGGACGACGTCGACGTCGTTACTGCGACGGTCGACTTGGCAGATGTCCGCGCGCATCGCACGTCCAAGAGCCGCGGAATGCAGGCTTGCGCTCTGGCTGCTGGGAACTCGGCTCTGCACATGGGTCATGGTGGTCCTGCTCGCGTAGATGTGCCGATGAAGATGACGCACGGGCTAATCGACAAGCCGTCACTGACGTTGTCGAAGCCTCTCGATGTCCACTATTACAAGCCTGAGGAGGAAATAGCTTTGGGTCCTGCGTGCTGGCTCTGGGACTATGTGCGTCGCTCACGCACACAAGGGTTCTTGCTGCCCTTATCGGGCGGTATTGACTCGTGTGCGACGGCTGTTATCGTGCACAGTATGTGCCGACTTGTGCATGCGGCATGTGAAAAAGGGAATGACCAGGTCATCAAGGATATGCGACAAGTAACTGGAACATCTGAGCCATGGCTACCTTCTTCGCCACAGGCATTGGCCGAACGCCTATTTGTAACTTGCTACATGGGGACGACCAACTCAAGTCAAGCTACGCGCGGTCGTGCATCTGAACTTGCGAAAGCAATCGGCTCGTATCACTATGCCTTTGACATTGACTCAGTCGTCACTGCCCTATTGAATCTGTTCTCGTTTGTGACAAAGCGCACACCGCGTTTCAAAATTCATGGCGGCACGACGGCGGAAAACTTGGCATTGCAAAACATCCAAGCACGTTCGCGTATGGTCCTGGCATATCTGTTTGCACAACTCGCACCTTGGGTCCAGGGACGAACTGGCGGACTTCTTGTCCTCGGAAGTGCAAATGTGGATGAAAGTTTGCGCGGGTATTTGACCAAGTACGACAACTCCGCGGCCGATCTCAACCCCATCGGAAGCATCTCGAAAAACGATTTGCGCAGCTTTATTGGTTATGCAGAGAAGGCGATGGGGTTGCCTGTGCTTGCATCGTTCCTCTCTGCCCCCCCTACTGCTGAGCTTGAGCCAATCACTGCTGAGTATGTGCAGAGTGACGAGGCTGATATGGGCATGACATACGACGAGCTGTCCATCATGGGTCGCCTGCGAAAAATGAACAAGTGTGGACCGTATAGCATGTGTGTCAAATTGTTCTCCATGTGGCCTACTTTGGCGCCCGATGCCATAGCCGCGAAAGTCAAGCTCTTCTTTTTCGAGTATGCGCGCAACCGGCACAAAATGACTACATTGACACCCGCATACCATGCAGAATCTTACAGTCCGGACGACAACCGCTTTGACTTGCGCCCGTTCTTGTATCCCGTACATTTTACCTACCAGTTCCGACGCGTCTATGAACTCATCAGTCGTCTTCGCACATAAACCATGTAGATGCCGTAACGCTGACCTGTTGCTAGTACATGCTCGTTAGCGATGGCCTACTGTGACTTTTCCAGGCGCTGTGCCTTGCGGATGGCGCGTCGGCGCGTGTCCAAGCTCACGTCGTACGCTTGACGTAAGAGCCACCAGCGCGGAACAAAGTGCTCCACAGCCCAGTCGAGCCATGCATGCGATGGAAACGGTGTGAGCGTGAAAGGACGACCCAAAGCGCCAGAAGAACGGCCAATGCGTGAGAGAGCAGAGCGTACAAAGTTCTTCGGCGTCGGAACCATCATCGATGGCTTGCGCACCTTTGACATGCTGCTTACAACGAAGTAGGTGTTAAGGAGCTGAACATCCACGTGTGAGCGGCGCATCTCCTCGCCGAGTGCCTGCGTCCATGCTATCAGGAAGGCTTTCGAGCCAGCATACGTCGCCAAAAGTGGTGTAGACCACTGTCCCGAAAACGACCCAAGATTCAGAATCAGTCCACGTCCGCGCCTTACAAGGTGTGGCGCTACAACACGGGTCACTTGCATTGTAGCAACAATATTCACCTGGCAGATCGAGGCTAATTCTCGCCCATCCATCTCGAGGAAATTCACTGGCATCGTGTGTGACAGGCCGACATTGTTAACCAGAACAGCAATGTCCAAGTGCCGAATCAATTGCTCTAAGCCCTCGTATTCAGCATTGCCTGCACTTAAAAAGTCCATCGCATAATAGCAGGTTTTTATGCCAGGCATTGTGCTTTCGATCTCCTTGCTGAGGATGGCAAGTTTCTCCGCTGTGCGGCTTACAGCCACAATATTGAATCCACGCGCGGCGAGCTGCATCGCAAACTCACGCCCAATACCGTCCGTTGCACCTGTGACGAGCGCCCAGCTTCCCGCACCTCGCAGCTTGGGATTTGCTCCGTACGTGGTGAGCGAGCGGCCAGGAAACACGTGGACCTCAAGAGCCACATACACCACATAAGCGATGCATGTCACGATAAAGATGCCGCCGACCCAGCAGAGGCAAGTCTCGATCATTTTTGGCACAAAAAATGAATGTCCCTACCCCGCAAAAATCACGGCGTCCTTGAACGTTAGGTGATGCGTGGTCAATGGAATGGAGTGTTTGCCTATCAACAGCCCAGTGGAGATGGAAGGACAAATCTCGCGTGGCCAACAGACAGACACACCGAGCGAGTCGAATGGCCTCCGGCGCCATGAAGAACGGGAAATATGACTATGTAAAGACATAGCCACGCAGGGCCATCGCACAAATTAGGTACACCTTTCCCTTTGCAAGCTGTCACTGGCTTGCATCTCACCCGTATAACATGCATGGCCTGTGTGCAGATGACTAAGCACAAGAAGGTTAAAAGCATTAGCTGCTTGGCGACGAGCGAGGGACAGCAAAATTAGCGAGCGATTCTTGCGTTGGATGAGAGAAGGCTACGTGTTGATTTGACGTTCCTAAAGCGACCTTGGCTCGCTGTCACACTCTGAGAACAAGAACGGTTGGAAGAACAAATCAGGTCCAGGCGCTTGAGATCAAGTTAGAGAACGAGTGTTTGTGTGTGTGTGTGTGACTGCTGCCAATGGCGACTGTTACAATGTTGTCATCGCCCGCAAATATTTCTCCCGTGGTATCTGAGGCAACGATATCGACGGCTCTATCACCGCACGATGCCACTAGTTCTCGGGTCGCATCGGAAGTACTTCTTGTGTGCCTTATCCACGATAGTCCTCAACTGCGTCTTGCCCTCGATGACGTGTTTTCACACACGCTAGAACCGCTCCTGCGCTCAATGTCCAAGCTGTACAGAACATCCAATTTCCTTGTGGGCGGTGTCGTGTATCGTTCGATGGATGCTGATGCCCTAGCGCAACCGCTACGCTCACTTGATGCAGTGACATGTGTACCATTCCTCACAATTCGCCATTTCCTTTCACGTGTGCAAGAAACTCTTCGTGATACCAGCATATATGACATGGCACAGCTCGACGACTCGCCACGACAGTCTTCGCTGGTAGATGCGCTTGCAGCTGCGATGGACCTAGTAGATGCACGCGAAAAGCCATCGATTACCGTTCCATTTGCTCGTTCAGCGGTCCGCGGAAAAGACCCGGTGATACTTGCTCGACATATCATGCAGATTATCGCTTTGGACTCGAACGCGGCGGCCACACCCATCGGACAAAGTGTGCCACAGCAACTTCCCGTATCGCCAGCGAATCTGCGGCCGCTCATGCATCGACAAGCAAGCCTCGATGCCTGTACGTTTCCAGAGCTTGTACAAGAACTAAATAAGCGTCGCTTCAACATTGGCACGGTCATCTACAGCAGCCACAAAGACGAAACGGGTCTTCAGACACGTGCTGCGCTCGCACAAACAGCGCATGATACCCTTTGTCTGCCGCGTGCATCTGACGAGCAGGTGTCTCCTTCAGACCTGCTGGATAGCCCCAAGAAACTCCCATCGAGTGTCTCTGTACTGCTGACGGGATCCGATGTCGCGCGCCTCTTACGAAAGCGTCCGCGTCTTGATCTCGCGGCTGACTCGCCAAACAAACGTGCTCGACAGCCTCCGACACCTACCACCCCCACCTTCAAGCTGGACCAGGCGTCGCTCAACCGCATCATGCTCATACAGCAGCAGCAGGCAACCATGCTCAAGAACCTTGCCCGCTATGTTGCTACGAATGTGAAGCCGAACGGGACCGTTCATGTGCCGCCGCAGTACTACGAAAAGATTCGCCAACGCATTGTTGGCCAGCAAATGGCGCTGAAGCAGCAAGCGGAGCGCCTGCGTGTGGGCAAGGTGCCCGATCTGAATTCAATCCTGCAGGCACTTTCAAATATTGATGCTGAGGCCAAAGAGGCTGGTGTGAAACTCGGTGGACCTAGCAATGTGCGACCTACATCTACCAGCGACAAGATGCCGAACATGGGAGCTGCATATCTTCCGCCCGCGACGGCGGCGGCAGCGGCGGGCAACGTGACTCCATCCCCCACAGCCCAAATGGCTGTGCCAGCGGCCATGGCGTCTCGCCCGCAAATGCCTTCATCCGATGAATCGTCACGACCGCAACTAGCTTGGCAGGGCATTATTAAATGGTCGACGTCGCCGCAAATGGATCCTCTTTTTACACTCGTAACGGCCACATGTGGCGGCATGTACGTCAAACAGCAACTGGCGTTGCCATGGCCCAATGTGATGAACATCGATGGATTCGTGCCGATCGATTCAGCACAGCTCCAGCAGCACATTTCAGCACATCGTTTGCCTTGTGCTCTTTTAACACTTCGTGCTTTTCCACAGAACCTGATCATTAAAGGTTCAGAGCACAATGCCACAAACTACCAAATGCTCACGACAATGCTTGAGCAGAGCCGAAGAGCTGCGTTCATCCAGCACGGCCATGCTGGATGTGGCATCTTAATTGTCGCGCTGACAGGTTCACGACTCCCTCCAACGCAAGCGGGACTTGCACCTCGTCTTATGGCAGTTGTGTTTTCGTCGCCCGTTCCGTTCCCACAGCTCAGTGCATCCACGGCACCCACGGCCTCTAATACCCGCGGGATGATTCCTTTGCCAGCGACAGCAAACTCGATGCCAAACGCCGCGAGCGTCGCAAACGCTACTGTTCCAAGCACGACCAGTACAACCGCTGGTGGCGCCGCGGGGATAAGTCCTATGGCTGGCATGGGCCCAGCAACAATGCCACCATCCATACAACCAACGGCAGCTCTGACAAATCCCGCAGCGATGAACCACTCGATGCTCAATATGGCGCAGGTTTTCCAGCCACAGACGATGATGCCGTCGACAATGCGCACACCCATGAATGGCTTCATACCGAATTTGGGTCAAACAACCACAAACAATCAGCCTATGCAAAACCATCCGATGGCTTCTGGATTTCCCTCAGGCATGAATGCGGATATACCATCATCGTTAGCTTCTAGTATGACTCCCGGCATTCCTTCGAGCATGGTACCTGGAATGCCGTCTGGTATGCCTGCTGGTCTGACGTCCAACATGTCGTCAGTCATGCCATCTCCGATGCCATCCTCGATATCCTCAGGCATGCCCTCTGGTATGCCTGCATCCAACATGAGCCACACATCCATGATGCAGCCTATGATGCCCAACATGACGCAGCCGTCCGTGTACCCATCTACCAACCAGACCACGGACTTATTCTCTGCCAATGCTCTATCTTCGTTAGGTCTTCCCCCACGATAGCTTAGGCTGTCACTGTATTTTTTTTTCCCTTCTTGTTCACATTTTTGTCAAGTATCATCGTTCATAAATACATGACTACTTATTCCTTTGTAGTTTTTTTTTTTGGTCAACCAGGAATTGGGCATGTGCGCACACTTTCTCAGTGCAAGTGTCATGGCTGCAAGCTCGTCCACATATAGAAAAATTTGACAGCTCGATGTAACGATGATGTACACACCTCCATTGATGCTTCCACCTACGCCCTGTTATTTCCCACATTTTAGTTAGTCGCCGTGCAGCGCTAATTTTGGGGGCTCTCCGTATCGGGTCGATCGTGTGACACACTTTCCACTCCCCCCGCATGCCACCATCATCGACGACTGAGCAAGCGCGCCAGATTCGGCACAAGCGCATGTCGCTTTTCGCGCGCACTACGTCGAAGGACGATGAGGTATGGCATGGATACGAACGGATCGTCGGATTCGACACTATGCCCGATGCTCTAGACACGGTGAGCGGCAATGCCTCGTATACGCTGCAAGTGAAGGCGAAAGGATATGCACGCACAAAGCATACTCGTACATTCATGTGTGCAGTTGATGCGACAGAAAGCAGGTTCGTATAGAGAGACACTCGGAAGCCGGGGCGTTTGCCTCGAGGAAGGGTGCAAATCCCGCTCCCACCCCCCCCCTTTCCCTCCCCTTTTATCAATCTCAGCTAAGTAGACTAACGACATACTACAGTGAGCGTGCACTCGAGTGGATCATGGAAAACCTTGTAGATGATGGTGATGAACTTGTCGCAGCGCGAGTGATTGATTGGGACCAGGATCGTACGTTCCCACCTTGAGAAGCAAGTGACTTATGCCCGCAGATATCGACCAAAAAATGGCGCGCGAAGGCGCACATAGTCTTCTCTCTTCCATTGTCGATCTGAATCGTGTATTGAATAACCAGCGCAAGGTACGCTTGAGGAGCCCGCACGTCAAACTGAATGCATCGTACTTACGCGAATAGATATCTATCACCGTCGAATTCCTCAAAGGCTCGATCAAGTCGACTATTCTGGAGCTCGTGCGCATGTACCGGCCAGAGAGCCTCACAATTGGCACACGAGGTAAACAGGTGTCGGCCTTGGAGAAAATGTTAGGTGCCACGCCTCTTGGCAACCTAAGCAAGGCGCTTATTTGGCAATCACCTGTGCCTGTGATTATTGTCAGGCCTGAGGATCGCATTCAGAAGCACTTGTTCAAACGACTCGCAGATCCACGCCGCCAAAACTACCTGGATTTCGTGAAGGACAACGACGTCCTTCCTCTCTCCCGGCCTACTAAAAGTTAGGGCTGGTCTTGTGTCTGTACAATTTCTCTGCCAACATTCTTGCTCGTACAAATTTCTGTACGTATGATCACGCGCATGTCAATGTCGTAGAAATGTCTATTTTTATATGTGAGCTCAGGCAACTATTCCTATCGTGTGCTGTGGATTTCGGTTGGTAGACTGAGACGCACAACGCACCATAGAAGCATCCAAGATTGGATGCGAGCCGCACGACAAACCAAGTCCAGTCAGGAGTCCAACGCACCGTGTGACCTCCACTCGCCCAACGACCCAACCCCGGATGCTCGATCCATCACCAGGACATTCCTGACGTCCCTGGTTCGTCTAACCATATACCCAGCCCCGTCAGCATGAGCAAGCGGCTTATCGTTGTGTCTAATCGGCTTCCGGTCACTATTACAAAAGATGCATCTGTGCCTGGTGGCTATTTGTTCAAGCACTCGTCAGGTGGACTTGTATCAGCGTTGAGCGGTGCCAAAAAACTCATGAGCTTTACATGGATTGGATGGCCCGGCGTGAATGTACCCGAGAGCAGTGTCCCATACATTGAAGCAACTCTAGAACGTCAATACCAGTGTAAGCCTGTATGGCTGCCGGACGACGTCGGGGAGCGACACTACAACGGTTTTTCTAATTCAATCCTGTGGCCGCTTTTCCACTACCATCCAGGAGAAATGAATTTCGACGAGGACAACTGGCGCGCATATCGAGAGGCAAACTTGCGCTTTGCACAGACGGTGAGGCGTGTTTTACAACCGGGAGACTGTGTCTGGGTGCAAGACTACCACCTGATGCTCTTGCCCTTGATGTTGACGGCCCTTCTCGAGCATGGCGACATTGAGCGGCTCGTGCCAAGTGACTGCTCTAATATCGATGTAACCAACTCCATGGGACTTGAAACGCTTGATGTGATGTCATTCTTCAACTCGGAACGTGCCGCAAAATCGCCTCTTCGTCGTCGCGATATACAACTGGGCTTTTTTCTCCATACACCTTTTCCTAGCAGTGAAGTGTATCGGATCTTGCCTGTGCGTCGAGAAATCCTACTAGGCATTCTATTTTCTGACCTGATCGGTTTTCATACATATGACTATGTGCGTCACTTTCTCTCATCATGCGTCCGTATGCTCGGATTACCGACGTTCCCCAACGGTGCTGATTTCGCCGGCCGCCGCATTCAGGTGCGGACGTATCCGATTGGCATTGATCCCAATCAGTTCGAGACAGCTCTTAAGCAATCCGTTGTCCAGGAACGCATACGTACATTAGCCCGACGATTTGAAGGTGTGAAGATCATCGTGGGCATCGATCGACTCGACTATATCAAGGGCATACCACAGAAACTTCAAGGACTCGAGACGTTTTTGGAGGAGCACCCTGAATGGATTGGCAAAGTCGTGCTTGTTCAGATCGCCGTCCCATCACGCCAAGATGTGGAAGAGTATCAGAACCTGCGTGCGACGGTCAATGAGGCGGTTGGCCGCATCAACGGCCACTTTGGCACTGTGGAAAGCATGCCGATTCACTTGCTCCATCGCTCAGTCGACTTTAACGAGCTGTGTGCACTGTATGCAGCAAGCGACGTATGTCTTGTGACGAGCACGCGCGATGGAATGAACCTCGTTTCGTACGAATATGTCGCATGCCAGCAGGAGCGTAATGGAGTCATGATTCTGTCAGAGTTTGCCGGCGCAGCGCAGTCATTGAACGGCTCGTTGATTGTAAATCCTTGGGACCGATTTGCGGTGGCCGATGCCATCCACACCGCACTTACGATGGACCATGAAACACGCAAGGCGAACTCTGAGAAGCTATGGTGCTATGTGAAAAAGCACACATCTGCCTGGTGGGGTCGCAGTTTTATTGATGATTTAGAACTTGCTGGGAGTGAGGCACCTGCGACAGCGTTTAAACATGCATAGACTTGGGAAGACGATAGATCTGTGACCTGGCTCTCTCTCTTTCTCTTTACGACTTCGATGAACAGCACGCTGACTGCTCGCGAGCGAGTTCCTCAGGTGTTTTGAGGCGCAGGCTGAGTGCGTGCAGCCCACGATCAAACTCGGATGCTAGCAGTGAGTTGACAGCACGGTGTCGAGCTATATGCGGTTTTCCTTCAAATGCTTTAGAGACCAACTCGACGAAAAAATCTGCATATCAGTGCGCCTGACGCACTTGTACATACGAGTCTCGCCACTTCCTCCGCCTTGCGCGACCATCGCTGCGTGGTGCGCATGCTTCGATGAGCTAGTTGGTCAGATTCACTCACGTAACGAAAGGCCTCGTCATTTCTTCACATACTCGTTTCTGATGAACAGATGCACAGGTTCAAATGCACCTGTCAATTTTTGCCGCATTGTCTCTTCAACGGACATGACTTTCGTCGCAAAGTGTCGCAGGCCTTTCGAGCGAAGAGAACTTGTACGCAGAAATACCCACACCATGCAAAATAGTTGCAACGGGTATCGCTCGCAGCGCTAAAGTGTGCGGACTCTGGACACCAGAGCCAGGGCTTACCAGATGCTGCGTGTGCTTTTCGTGTGAGAGCTGAGAATGCCAAGGCCCCCCAATTCTGCTTAGTCAGCGTCACCTGAAGCTCCGCCAGAGCCCCTGATACGACACTGGCACGCGTACGGCTCCTTGGTCACCCGGCATTGGACTGCTTCCCGGTCCTATGAGCACATGAATGAATCATATCCTACGGTACGTATTGAAGTACGTGTGATTTACTGGGGAATCGCATAGGCTTTCTTGGGGTCAGTGCCAGCAAGCCCTTTGACGGACTGGCCCAGACCAAAGCGCTTGAGACGGATCGACTGCACAGCAATGAAGCCAGACGTCTCCTCTGGCTCGAATCCACCCAGCTCATCCATCGAGGTGAACTTCTCGTCGTACAGCAGCTCATCGGAACTACGGCCATCAATAGAAACATGGCCCTTGAACAGACTCAGCTTCACAGTGCCGTTGACTGTGAGCTGACTGGGAGGAATACAGCTACGCACGTACTGGCTTTCGGGGCTGAAGAAGAAGCCGTAGTACAAGATCTCCGACAGCTTTGTCGTCACGATCTGGTCGCGGATGCGGCGCACTTCCCTGTCAAGTGTCAAGCCCTCCAAATCGATGTGTGCGGCACGCAGAATTGTAGCACCTGGAGACTCGTAACATCCACGCGACTTGACACCGATAAATCGGTTCTCGACAATGTCGACACGGCCAATGCCATGTTTCCGAGCAAGCGTGTTCAGTTGAAGGAACAGGTCACACGCGTCCGTGTAAACGTTGCCAGTGGCATGTACCGTGAGGCGCGTCGGAATGCCCTTCGTGAACTCGATGGAGATCTTCTCTGGCTCGTTCGGCGCATTCTGTGGCGATTGTGTCAGCTTCCACATGTCCTCTGGAGGCGTCGTGTTGGGGTCTTCCAGAATACCCGCCTCGTACGAGATGTGGAACAGGTTCTCATCCGTCGACCATGGCTTGGCCTTCGTCTGCGCCACAGGGATTCCCTTAGAAGCCGCGTACTCGAGCAGATCGCTGCGGCCTGCGAAACGCTGGTAGAATTTCGGGATGCGCCATGGTGCAATAACCTTGATGTCCGGCTTCAGGCCATAGAAAGCAAGCTCAAAGCGCACCTGATCATTCCCCTTACCGGTACACCCGTGTGACACATATTCACACTTCATCTTTTCAGCCGTCTCAATCATGCCACGCGCAATCACAGGACGTGCAAGCGACGTGCCCAACAGGTAGACATCCTCATAGATCGCATTCGCTTGCACAGCAGGGAATATCAACTCTTCAACGAATTCCCGGCGCACATCCTGTCCGAATCGTCAGTTCCCATGTCCACATCATCGGCAGGAGTGTTCGAGTTGCACATACATCTAGAATAAATTCCTTCGCGCCGCACTTTAGCGCCTTTTCTCGCACGCTATCAAAGTCTTCTTCCTGACCCACATTGGCCATATAGGCAATCACTTCATAGCCCTCATCAATGAGCCACGCAAGAATAGTCGAGGTGTCAAGACCACCAGAGTAAGCTAGGAGAACACGTCCGTTGCTAGTTGTCGACATGATCGATGTGGGGAAGAACGAAGAAGGACCGGAGCATCACGGCCCATTTACTGATAAGAACGAACACAGAATATGACTCAGCACATGATGTGAGATGTGCCACATGGCAATCAATTCATGAAACACAAAGTCGCAGCGTCGCCAAGAATGAGAAACCAAAGCGTCCAGACCTTGATGCGCCTGGACCTCGACTGGCCTCCACATAGCTTTTTTTTTCTACGTGACGCACGCCGCTTTGTTTCTATTCGTACTGCATCGTGTGTGATGGGCTCGGCAGATCGCCGGCGGCAGCGCGCGCCAAAGCGCAGCAAACGCAGAGAGATGCAAGAAAATATAAATGAATCGAATGTCGACACATATGAAACCTCACAGTATGAAGCTGAACAGCACGAAGACGACCCAGCATGGGTCACGACGCAGGATGTCAATACGCCATTTGGATTTGTGCCGGCGCAGATGCAATCGTACTTCAAAGAAATGAATGGCCAGCTGACAGAGAAGATGCAGTCAGAAGATCCAGAGGATGCACAAATGCTGCTGCAAGCAGCGCTATCAGAAATGGATGGCTACGAGCTGGCCCTAGCGACAGATCCATCGTGCTCGCTTGTGCTGGAGAACATGGCATCCATGCTGCAGGAAAAGCCATTGCGCGTGCTTCTTGATCGTATGACAGGCAATTTTACTACTCTTGCGCGTCATCGATATGGATCGCACGTACTTCAAGCACTATTCACCGCTATCCAACGCATCGTCCATACGGGATGCGAATCTCTTTCAGCACGGACCGATCAGGGCGTCCTGCGTACATTGGCTGAAATTGTGCATGACATGTATGAAGAGATCGGCCCTTGCTTGAGCGCAATGATCTCTGAACCTTTTGCGAGCCATACGCTGCGTAGCATAGTGGCGCTTTTGGCTGGTGTGCCGATGACTCAGTTGACCGACTTGCGATCGAAGCGCAGCGCAAAGTACCGTTCGAAGGAGCACAGAAAAACCGCCATGGTCGAATACGACAATAATCTGCTCTCTTCATCGACGGCGACGAACGAGCCCTTGCACGTCGATCCAATGTTCCATTCTCTTCTTCGCCGACTCTACGACTCTTTACACTCCACACTCACGACAGAACGACTGCATGCGCTAGTACCGGAGCCAACCGCTGCGCCGACGTTGAGCATGCTTCTTCAGCTCGAATCGAGTTTGCCAGACGGGGCCGCGTATATGTCCTGGCGTCACGACTCATTGACATCGCGTGTGTTGGGGCCGCTTCCTGAGCACGGTGGCTTTAGGACCGATATGATGGAAGCTGCATTGCGCGATGCAGTAGCGACGCATGTCTTGCAAAGTGCATTGCAAGGAGCATCACCCACTTCGCTCATCCAATTCTGGCGCATCTACCTCGAAGGCCGCATCGTGAAGCTCGGAGCTCACCCTTGTGCGAACTTTGTCGTGGCCACTGTGTTGCGTCTCTTGCATATTGATGCTGATGTTGATGCTGATCCTGATGCTGCCAAATCGACACCATTCTCACTCTCTCTTCAAGAGCTTGCTCTTGACGGCGAACAGCTCGTCAAGAAGCAGGTCTGCGGCGTGCTCCAGACGATTGTCGAGCGAAGCATCGAGACCGAAGCCTATGAAGCTCAAGTTATGCGTGTGATCAAGAGTGCTTTCCGCTTTGGCAACGACACATCATCGTCGTCAGCACCCAGCGCGGATGTAGTGGCCAAGTTTGTACCTGTCGTGCTGAGTCTACATACACTTCGTGCTTATACGCATTTGATGCAGGACCAAGACGCACCAACATCGTCCTCGTCTACCAAACCTTCTGCGCCAGCGAAACGCAAGCGTGGTGACATCGGATTTAATCCTTACACCACACAAGGCAGCGTATTGCTACAGCGCATCGCGCAACTTCGTGAACCAAATCAGACATGGCTGTACGAAAGTCTATGCACGGAACCGCTGGGCACTTGGTGCCGTTCATCCACAGCTGTGCATGTCGTCTTAGCAGCCCTCACGTCCCGGACTGCTTCATTTGCCCAGCGGCGCATGCTGGTTCGTGCGCTTCTTCCTAAGCTGTTGGACCTCTGTGATGATGCATGGGGCAGTCGCGTGGCCGACGCGCTATGGCTCAGCGCAGATGGATTCACGAAAGAAAAAATTGCTCAGTCAGCTGTCCAGCATGAAAAGCGCCTGTTGGCGTCAGCGTACGGCCGCTTTTTTGTACGTCGACTTCGTTTAGGCCTGTACAGGAAAGACGTGGACGAATGGAAGGCTTGGGCCGTCCATGACCAAACGCTGCGTAACAGCGACCTCAACAGCAAAGATTCAGATACACTTGAATGGTCCGATAAGTCAACAAGGTCCAGCATCCAGAATCCATTCGTGTTCCTGCGCCACTCTATGAGAGCACAGCAGCAGCCATCGAACGTATCTCATACGCATCGCCGTGCAGAAGCCGAGCTGAACCGTATATTTTCTCAGGTAGAAGATGCTACATGATGCACATAAATGCGCCTGTATAAGGTCTACCTATTTCTTTTTGTTCTTTCTGCCTCTATAGACTCAGATTCCAGACTTCCAGGAAGACACATTTCAGATGTGCAGCCTGTGAATCTAGGCTACAGAGCCCGCGTGCATGCACACACACACGCAGCGCCGCACATACTGGGTCGTATAGCACGATTTCTACGTCCCAACGAGCGCCCGCAATCCCCAGGGGAAGGTGTGCTTTGCACAGGGAGCGAGTGACTCTAAAGCCAGGACGTCAATGACATTGTATAAAGAAAAAGAACTCTGTGACCAATTCGAGACGGATTTTTTTTCTTTGCGTCCACCAGAACTTCCCATGTGGCACGCACAACGCACCTCCAACCAACATGCGTCTCTATGCGCATCACTCCACACGGCCTGCTGCGGAAAATCACGTGCTATGACAATGCACAGACCACACTTAGCCTTGGCTGGACTGAACGAGTCTAGAGGACACTGGACTGGAGTGACTGGCACGTCAGGGCAGTCAGCCATAAGACGGTGCTCCTGACGACATTTTACTAGCACAAAGATCGTTGTGAGCATTGTTATTATGGTCCCCCACGTACGAAATGCGCGCAAGTTCAAGGCATTTCGTTCGATTCAATGCAAGCCCAGCACACATGCCAATTGCGAGATCATTGTGAGAATGACCCCTTGGAACCCATCAATGAGTAAGATGGGCAGCTCGTCACGAGCCGAAATGTTTGCACTGATCAACGATCGATACCCTGGTGCACCTGGCACCGCGCTCGCCAAGGCTGAAGAGGCTGACGCACGCGCCAAGCAGGCCCAGCGACGCGATCAGCTACGACGGAGTGCAGCAAGCGCAGAACTCGAGCACCTGGGTGTCAAGAATCTATCGAAGCGGCGAAAAAGCTCTAGTCCATACGCAAATACGATCGGTACAAATGGTGACACTGGCAAAGCGAATACAAGTGACGCAGAAGATAAGACACAGAGCCATAGCGCTACCAGCAATGCTGCACGCGGTAACGGCTCACGGGGGCGTCGTGTTTCGTCACGAAATACTTCTCCGATGCCATCGACCACGACAGGCGCATCGGTCACCGTGCCAATTTTTGCAAGTGCTTCCGCCTCTACTGTGTCTACACGTCGGGCGCCGCATGTGCCGAATCCCATCCGCAATGCACCAGTTCACCCCAGCCCTTTGGCTACTCATGCCATGGCCGCAGACGATCTAAAGTAGGGCCTTCGATGTCTTTCTACGAATGATGTGGGTTTTCTCATCCCTAGGACTTGATCAGAGGTGCGGCAAAGCAGCAAGTGCATTGATTGTGACTCTCTCCTTCCGGCCAAGGCGATTCACCGAGCACACCCACTTGTACGACACGTTCAAACACATGATCAACCACACCGGATAATTCATCGCCCGACTGCGCGAAATCAGGTTGCTGGCATAAGTAACAAACACTTTCTGGCGTTGTTCCTCTCCCACCGCCTTTATGTATACATACCGCATTCACTTCCAAGAGCCACGTACGCAGTGACGCTGGGTCAAGATTTCCATCCGCATTACCCTCACATCCAACAAGGAGATCCACTCCAAATACTTCAAAGGCATTTGGCCACAGTTGCCAGTGGATCGATGCCTCTCGGGCCACTGCCTCCATCGTTCGCCCAATGCACACAGCCGCGCATTTGCGCACGGCATCGATGTGGGCTGATGTCAGTTCCACAGGCTCACTACGACCTGGCACATAGGCTGGACGACCAATGAGGTCCTGCCAGCGAAAAACGTTGCCGTCTTTCATGTCGGTGGGTGCTGTATGCCGAGCGCCAAAGCACGTGTTACTAAGGTGTGCACGTAGATCCCTCGGTGCTGTGACATTAGGAGGCTGATAAGCCGTGCTGGCAAAGAGAGCAAGCATGTCATCATGCATATACACTTGGAGCCCTCCGACACATATCACATAGACACGCAAGTGGAATTTGCGCGGTGGTGCTTCTGGATTGCCAGGTGCAACGAGGAGTGGCGTTGACACGTACTCTTGTATGACAAAGTGACGCAACTGGCTTGCCACGACAGCATTCGTGCTTTCCTCGTTGCTACTATTCTCATCGTCCTTGTCTTCAAACTCTTCAAAAATATCTCGTAACTGCTGTACAGAAGAGAACAGACGGATCCCATTTGCCTGATCAGCCATGCCCGGCTTGAGAATAAACCATGCTTTTCCATCGCCTTCTTCTAATAGATCGCGCAGGTCATACAAATCGTCAGCTAGCAGTTCATCCAATTCGTCAGCAAATTGAATGTCTAGTGTCCAGGTGCGTGGACACGGTGACTTGTTGCATGGCAACGAATGCTTCACAGAATATGCGTGTAATATCTTCGCAAGATGATGTTTTCGTATTAGTGCTTTTCGAATCACATAGCTACTGCACCGTTGACTTGAGCCCAATAATATGTCAAATGGAAGAAGGTCGTAGTCTGCCAAATAGGCATCCACATGTGTCGGAACATCGACGCTATCTGAGCGTTCTTTCGAATCTGCATCAATTACACTCCATTGCAATGGTTCCAGAACTCGTCGAGCTGCTTGCACCGCCGCGCGGTGGGTGTATGGCGCGCCAGGATAACACACCCATATTGACGGCATGACAGCGTGCAGAAGCTTTCATGAAGTGGAGAGTTCGGCGGATTTACATGTGACTGGCGCTGGCGGCTGATTTGGCATAAGTCAGCGCACCGAGTGGAGACTCAAGTCCTTACGAAAGGGGGCGTGAGGATTTTTGACGACTCGTGAAGGAGGACATGCACACCTCCACAACTTTCACGCACGTAGACAACTACGGCAGCGGCGGACCGTGTGTGGCGTTTTTCCACTTGTTAGTTTCATCAACCTTGTATTTACGATGGTGTCTGTGCTCATAGAGGAGGTTGGAGACTCTGGACTGCCTTCGCGTATGTGTTGAATGGTACTAATGGGATAGTTGTTTCGATTTCCCCATCATCTGTGCTAGAAAATGACGACCCGAGTTCTTGGCTCTATTTGCTTGACTCCGCTGACGCACAGACCGAGGAGGACCAGCTTGACGCTTTGCTGGATGATGACATGTTTGCCACAACAATGGGACAGCGCATGCTTGCAGTTTCGGGTCATGATGTAGATGATGGTCTTTTATCCTTGCAACAACTTCTGCTGGGCAGACCATCGACGTCGACACTGCGAGAGTTCCGTGCGCAACACCCACGCCGATTTACGTTATATCGTCGCAGGGGAGAAACTTACATGCTCCCGCAGCTCCGGCACTGGGATCTAACACCTTCGGGATCCTCGTCAGAGCATTCTACATACCATGTGCTGCCTGGAGGATACGTGTCAGCTGTGGGATACGCGGATGCGGGTGAGAACGAACAAGTGGGAAACGAAACAGACCGAAGAGCTGCCGAGGAAGACATTGAGATCGACGAAGATGATGAGAGCCAGGACGACGTTGATTCTGACGATTCAGAGGATCTGATTCTACAAGGTGATGACGACTATATGGACTGGCTCGGAGTTCAGTTGCTCAACCGGAAACTTGGAGCGCCTTTGTGGGTGATTGATGCTGTGCACGAATCACCAGAAGAGGATGACGACGATACTCAGTATACATTATGGGAAGCTAGTGCGTTCGTGTCTAAGGATTTGTTGGTGTATACTGACACTCAGATGATGATGATGATGATGATGGCCACGACGACGACGACGATACGGTGTATTCACATATTGCAATTCGGTACGATATTGACGAGAACGACGGTGAATTTGAAGCCGCCACATCTGGAACACACATGGGATCGTCCCCCAATGAGCGTCCACGAAAGACCATCAAGATGCGTGCTCCATAGTTTCATTGCTCCCGTCTCACAATGACCCGTGTATTCCTTGACATGATTGTTGTATCCCGGCATCCAATTTTTAGGATCCTGGTGGCTCTGGTAGTGGTTCGTGGCCGGGGTGGTTCGTGCGTCGGCACGTGATGTGCTTGGCGAACGGTTCACATTGATGCTATTGTATTTTGACACTGTCACAATTTGGTCAACGAGCGCCTTCGAGCCAGTACACTCGTGTGCGCCAGGCCTGTGGCGTGAGTCGCCGCAGGAATAGGAGTAGGGAGGCCGATTGAGACTTGTTAATCCCTAGGTGTGCGGTGCCATAGAGAATCATCGACATGCCGTGTGGAATGAACAAGGAGTCATACGACATCTCGTCCATGTCGCCGCAGCGCCTCGTATGGGATTCGCCTACGCACCAACAGAAACGAGAGAATAATGTGAACGATGAATGGGATGTAGCTTCTTTGTTTATCACTGACCATCATCGCACACGTCGCCCAACTTGGTGCGACACACTGGATATATCCCATCATGTTACGATGAAAACAGATGGCTCGTTAGACATGTATGATTCTAGGATAAATGACGTTATGCATGACAATCATTCGGGCTCTCAAACCAACAGGACACGAATTTTATCTTCATATTCAGTGCGTCCCGGTGCGCCAATACCAGTCATTTCGACAAAGCCGGCGTCACCATCACCGATTCGTGCTGAGTTGGCGTCAGCCCTCACAATATCCAATGAATCATTGCCAAGTGAACTTCCGATCCTAGCGCTCACTGATGAGACGCCTGAGAGCCTAAGTCGGCGCCTATACCAACATACGAAAGCGATCCCGGATCTTTCTGGGCATACAGCCCGCTTCCTAAGCATGTCGTCGTCGACATTTTTACGCGATGCCTTGGCCTGCTACTTAGCGCGTTTCCATTTTGAAGACTATCCCATTGATATGGCTTTACGCTATTTCCTTGCGCTCGAGCACCTGCCAAGTGAATCGCAACAAATTGATCGTGTCCTCCATGCATTTTCGCAGCGATACACAACTTGTAATTCCACCATTCTCGATGCCGATACGGCTTACCTACTGACATTTTCTCTTCTTTTGCTACATACAGATTTATATGGCCGGCATGGACGCACCAGACTTACGAAAGCATCATTCGTGTCACTCGCAGGTGCGAGTCAAGTGCCTGCCGTCATTCTCGAGTACCTGTACGATAACACGAGTCTTGTTGAATTCGTGTCTATCCGCGACGCCTTGATGCCTTTACGAAAAACACGCTCCATTAGAAATCAACAAGATGCCTTGTACAAGTTGATATACACTGGTCGGATTCTTGACTTGCAGCAGTGGCGTGGCATGTTGTATGAATACACCCGATTTCCATTCTCGTATGTATCGCATGAATGGGCTGAGCATGATATCGAAACCACCGTGTCACATGCGCCGCAGGCGCGTGTATGGTTCCCAGTACGACAAGTACGGCGCTGGGTCCCATTCCCGGGTGTCACACCGAAAGAGCCGGTCGCCCCCCATCACGTTCGTTTCTTGTACATGGGCACGGTGCGCCGATACCGAGGCAATAGCGATATGGAACGAGATACTATGCCACTTGCTGGAACAGGACATTGGAAGACATGGGGCTTGATTCTCACAGGCTCGACGCTCTTTTGGTGCAAAGACGCGTCTGTAATAGCAACGTTGCAGCACCAGATCTACTCACACGAGCGGCATTGGTCGCTCAAAGTCGATGAAGTGATGCCGCTCGCGGATGCTTTTTGTGTGCAGGACCACGCTGCACCGCGCTTCCTACGCTTACGCGTCCAGCAGCAGTGGCTCATTCTGGAGCCTGAGGCACACTCGCTCACAACTTGGCTGGACCAGATCAATCACATCGCAAGTATCGGCGCATGCAAACACGTATGGGACGATGCCATATGGGTACCATCAGGCACGACACTCGCATACAAAAATATACCAGGTACGAATGTGGGGCCACTACGTACAGGTGCACTTTGTCATCGGCATTGGATTTGCGACACATACATGGAGTGCGCGCGTGATGCACACATGGGACGCGCACAGAGCATGCTGGCCATGACACAGTACATTGTGAAGCAAGAACAACGGCAAGCTGCGCTCATAAAAGAGCATGATCAGAGCGTGCAGTACGCTCGCCACTTGGGTATATTGACGCCACTGCGAAAAACAATGCGCGATCAGATCGAAGAGACGATTCGCGACGTATCTCGCGCGTTGCGAAGCATGCAATTTGAGCTCGCATTTGTCTCGTGCCGCCTTGTCTTTTTGCGTGCACAACAACGGCTCTTGAAGCGACAGCTGGACCAGCATGTCTACGATATGTATGCGTCTGTAGGATAGGACGAGGAGGGGAAAAATTGTCTTGCTAGGATAGGCAGAAGTAACATACACTTGTATGCACGTAGACCTACGATCAACCATGTGTTCATAGCTCAGTTCGTAGGCGTTTCAGTACACGTGGCGCAGGGAGCTGTGCGATATCGTTTTCTGGCATCACACTGCGCAGCTCAGCATCACTTAGTTCTATGCCATGCACGCTTGCTAGATGTCGTTGCACATCATACAGACGAGCGAACTTTTTCGGGCATGGCTCAAGACCCAGAGGTTCCTCGGCTTGGGAATCATCCTGGTGTGCGTTCCTTTCGCACACGACGTGCCACGGACACGATAAAATCCGCTCACGACGCGCTCGCTTGCGTCCCATGCCCATAAGCCGCACAAGGTGCGAAGGCCCGTGGGAGCACGTGTGTGCACGCCCTGCGTCCAGGCTTGTTTGCATCGAAGACGCATGGTCATGGGAGAGAAGCTCCGGGCGTAGCTCAAGCCCTGTATCAGCTTTGGATTCTGTTTCTGCAGCAACTTTCGACTCATGCATGCGCATTTGATGCCGTCGCAGCAGGTGTTTGTATCCGAACGACTGTCCACACACATCACATTGGAATGGCTTGTCTCCGAAATGCACGCGCGATACATGGACCTGCAGTGCATAGCGACTCAGAAATACATGCTCGCATCCATTCCAGGGACACGTCCATTCAGCCACATCGATCGACTCGGCGGTCGACAAAGAGGAGCTGGTGGCATCGTGCACAACAGCATGCCGCTTGAGCTGATCGCGAGAGGCATATGATCGACTACACACGCTGCATGTAGGTGGGTGGCACAAACGCATGTGCCGTTGCAGGTGTGTCCAGGTCGAGAAAGACCAGCCCGGCATATCACATTGGACCGTATAAGGAGGGTGGTTTGGTGGCGGCGGCATGGAATGTGGCAGAATGCACCTGTACCGCCCTTCTTCATGAATCCGTGCATGGTGTCTGCGCTTGGCGTTTGTCGCGAACCTTTGGCTACATCCCTCATGCTCGCACACGAAGGGGTATTCTGAGCAGTTCGAGTCGGCATGCACTTCACGGACATGCTGCCGAAGGTACTTGCGCTTGAAGAAGAGTAAATCACAACCTGGGCTCTCACATCGATAAAGGCCAGAGAGTGGTTGCCCTCGTTCAACGCCTAGCATATCGTGCGCATGTTGGGCAGATACAGCATGTTGGCCAGGGTCCATGGTGTGGCACGACAGGACATGTCGTCGTACATGCTGCTGCGTCCAGAATCGTTTTTCACAGCCCGCGTGCGGACATCTATACGGTCGCATCGAGTCGTCCATGTGAGAGCGCGAATGAGCAGTCAAATGTGTAGACCGCATGTACGAAGCACCGCATCCCGGATGTTCACAAACAAAGGGGCGCTCACCCGTATGGGATCGTTGATGCTCAATGAGTCTAGCCTCTTTTGTGTACGCCTTGCCACATCCGTCTACGTCGCATACCCAGCGCCGCCGCGTGGCGTCCGCCTTCCTGCTTGCACACAAGGATGGTGGTTCATGTTCGCACATGCCACCATCTGCTCAATCTTACACGACCCAATGTTTCGTGGTGGAGCTCTACACGTTTCCAGCGTGGGGTTACACAACACGTTTGATGGTGCTGATGGCAAGTGACTAAACTCGGACGCACGCTCAATTCAATCTCCAGATCTCATCTATGAACAGCGGTCACTGAACGCACGCGCGCCCCACGCTCCCTTTCAATTGACAGAAGACGAAAATGGCCCCTTTTCTTCTCTGTCCCCTGACCTGCCTTGGTGCTATCTCAGGGCGATCACGTGCACAGACTCAATGCACACCAGCTTTCGCTCGGGCAAATGCTTCTGGGATGCTGGCAGAGTGTTAGTATGTCACGTCATGAAGAGGAGGATGCATGGGACTAAGATACGTACAAGCTGGCTTCCACACGCTTTCCACCGAAGAAGCGGCCCTGCAGACTCGCGCGTGCACGCTGCGCATCGTCCGTGGTCGCGAAGCACACATAGACCTCGCCATCGCGGCTTGAGGTGTCGACGAAGACCGACTCCACAGTGCCGTGTCGCTCACATTCTGCACGCACATCTTCGCGGAGATCAACGTGCCAATGAGGCTCTGTCTCTTCAGCTGGGTCAAACATGTGACGAAGTAGGATCGCCGCACTTGTTGCTTCGGGGATGGATGCTGGCCTTCTTTGAGCATGGTTCTCAGGGTCTGTGCGAGCGAGTTTTTCCATCAGGGCGAAACGCTTATCTGACGCGCTGCCACTACTTTCGCCACTTCCACCAGTAGGCGGTGGCATCGGCACTGCATCATGGTCGCTGTCGGGAACGTCGTAGCGACCGGATCCTGAACGTTCTGAGCTTCCTTGACCTCGAGCATTCACAGGACCCACACGCATCGCACGTCCCGCAAGCTCAAAGCCATTTAATTGCTCCATAGCCTGCTTCGCTTCGTGCACGTTGCGGAATTGTACAAACGCGAATCCTTTACTTTTCCCTGTCATGTGGTTGTAGCAGACTTCCACCTCATCCAGGTGGCCGAATGGTTCGAACACAACACGCACATGCTGTGACGTAATGTCATAATGCAGATTCCCCACATATAGTCGGGCCTCAGGGTCCGCTGTTACTGCTGATGCGCCCATCGCATCCCCACCAGATACGGTCGCACCAGAATGCGCTGAAGGCGGCATAATAGGTCCTGTTGGCGCAGAAACAGACGAGGATGACGACACGAAAGCCGTCTCCGACAATGATGGAGACGATGTGCTGGGAATCGCGGCCGTAGATGTCGGTCCTGTTGACCTAGGGGGCTCGTACATAGTAACAATGGGATTTTTGCGAGCTGCATCAGCTGGCTGCACGGCGATGGGCCAGCCAAACATACGCTTTCCCGAAAGCTCAAGAGCGCGAGGAACTAGCTCAGCACTTGCTAATTCCACGTACCCGATTCCTAGAGATGTGCCCGTTCGATCATCCGACCCAAGTTGTGCATCCACTACGGTCCCTGGACCCAAGTTGCTCTCGAAAAAGTCGCCCAAGTCAAACTGTCCTACTCGCGAGTCCAGCTCGCTGCAGAACACAGACTTGACCTCATACTCTGCACCATAAGGAGGTAAGCGTGATCCACGTGCTCCTGGCGGACTTCGACTTCGTCGTCGTGATCTAACCGCATCGTCTGCATACTCATGCCGACGTCCACCGCGGCGGTGGCGTGGTCCTGTTGACGGGGATAGAGCTCGCCCTCCTGCATCTTCGCGCCAGTGACCATCGGTACTAGTATATCCTCTGGGTGCCCGATACGAATACCTTTCATCGTCATAATCATCACCACGCCTCCGCGATGCACGTCGTGTATCAGGTGATGAAGATGGCGCGTATGTATCATACATTCCCGTGGGATCACGCGGATCACGTCGCGAGTCTGCTGCGCGCCGGCGTAGTTCTTCCTGTAATTGACGCTCGCGTTCTTCTGCTGTCACAGTCGGTGGCGGTACCGCAATCTCCGACACTTGGGAGCGCCGTAATGCCTCTTCACGATCTGCGTACATGCCAATAGGTATATAATCCCACTATTGCTGGGAGAGATTTTGTACGCGGGAAAAAAGCCCAGTAAGAAGTGTTCCCTACTACAGCAAGCGACACTTTGCGAGATCCACTTTTGTATGACAAAAGTGGAAAAATGACTCCTGTGCTGACCTCTATTTTTTCCTTATAGGAACTCTTTCACTCACACGGCGATTTCTGGTGCTGCCATGAACAAAGACCGAGAAAAAAAAAGAAAATCAGACAATGAGGAAAAAAGTGGACGCGACGGGATTTGAACCCGCGACCTACCGCTCGTACAAGAATTGTGTATGCAAAGCGGACGTGGTAACCACTCCACCACGCGCCCCTGAATTCTGTAAGCCTCAGAAATCTATCCGTATATGAGCGTATCTCAGTAAGAACCGAGGTTCATTTTATCTTGATCATCCGTCGCTCCCTGCGAGACTTCCGTTTTTCTTTGCTCGTTGAGATCATCGTCATTGCCATCATAGTTAGGTGCGGACACAACACAGCAGAATGTGCGTGCATCCGCAAGCAGCATTGTTTTCCCATCAGGCGAGCATGCGATGTGGGTTGCAGAGAAGTGCTCATTCGGTATAGCCACGGCTTCGCAACACTGAGTATGATCACTCATGTTCATGGTCCAGCAAATAACAGAAGATTGTCCTGTCACCAGCGCGAGACTGGAGAGATGGCCAAGGCGCCACATGATGGATGTGATAGGCGACGACAGAATAATGACCGCGATAGCGCGTATATGTGCATCGACACTACGCTCTTCAATACCCACGAACTCGTACAAGAGAACAACAGAGGGCGTGAGCTCATTTCGAAGCGCTAGGAGAGACCCATCCTGATTCCATGCCATCCAGCACGTGCCTGACTGGAGTGGTTCGTGAGCCTGACTGGGCTGTAGGGGCACATCCACAGGAATGGTCATACTGAAGTTGAGCGGTACAATCCCCCGGCCATTTGTCGCCTCAAACCACCTGTACGGTTCTTGCCACACACTCAATGAAGCAGGACTTGCATCGCGAAGGGATGCTACGTTCGTATCCAGCAAGTACACCAAAGACCAGTCATAACGACTCAGAATGTGGACATGGTCATCGTATGCACCGACAGCAAGAAACTCGCTAGATGGATGCCATGCAACAACTCGCACGCCTAGACCATGCGTTTTCAAGTGTTTTGGATCACCTGAATAGCTTGAGCGATGCTTCGTTAATGATGTCGACATACTGGACATGCGGGACGCGCTCGCAGTTGAGGAAAATACAGGCACGCGCCTCGCTCTCCCTGAGTCCGTGGGAGACGTCAACGTAGCGCGGCACTCAGCCGCGGATATCGGCACTGCGACGTGGGGTATAAGATCTTCTTGCATTGTCACCGCAGCCTGAGGCGTGCCAAAAATTGTGTAAGCAAAAAGTTTGTACTCGAGCATATGTTCCCAAACAGCGAATATCGATCCATCGGGACTCCATGCAGCGCCACTGATCTCGTTTGTGTGCAGACGAACAGCACGCCATAGATTCCACTCCACAGGTTGCTCGAGCGAAGGGGCATTGGTTTGATGCGGGGTATAGAGACACAAATAATCCTGCTCCTTGTGTCGTTGTACAGTAGCAAAATGTTCTGGCCACATGGCATGAGAAAACACACAGGGCAAAACAGTGGCAGGCAGGACGGTAAGTGCTTGGTCCGCAAGAGAGTATATGACAGCACCGGTGTGAAAGGGTGCAAACTGGATCACAGCGGGGATGCGACGTAGGGGCAGCCACGTCGCGTACAACAAACCATGAACGGCTGTGATCCTTGCAACCCAACCGCGGTCGTCGTCCGATCCGTCAGTCACTGCGACGTCTGGATCTAGAGGTAGCACGAATGAAACGCCTTTCTCAAGCCCATATGCGCTAGCCAGCAGGTACAGGCCGTCTTTTGACCACTCGAGCGCGTCGAGACGCGCATCCAGCTGCCAAGAGCGAACGACCTGCAAAGTGCCGACCACACGCACAAACACCTGGGTGCGTGAACGACCCGAGACGTAGGCAAGAAACGTTGATCCTGGAGAAAATACCACGCTATCCCATGACGCGTAGCTATACGTGGACGTGAAGTCCATCCGCGATCTGCACAATATGAGATCCGGACGCGCGCGCACGCGTCGTCTGCGTGTTGGGAGGGGGCGTGCTGTCGTACGGTTTCCCACGTGACACCGCAAACAACGAGTGAGAGAAAGAGAGAGTGGAGGATATGATGGCCACTCTTTCCTGTCGATGAAACCGCACCGCCGCCGATTGGGCCAAGGTGGTTTTCAAGCGAAATTCGAGTGAACCAAACCCGCGAACGTGCGCTGTACACGTGGACCCCGTGTTAGTCAGCTGTCCCTTGTGACACGCACGTTCCCAACAACCACAGCGCCTTAATCGCGTGTTACCACTGACAGTCGGTGGGTGGGTTGGAGATAGGCAGTTGCATGTGAGAGCGTGCCAGGTTCCAAAAGAGTAGGGAGCCTTATTTCTTGTATTGTCGTACATTCAGCTTGCCTCCTTTCTCGTGCCGTGCAGTTGGACTCTTGCGGGCTTCCAAAGACTCGTGTGCCACAACCAATTCCCCATCAAGTCAAACGCTGTTCACCTCCGAAAGAATGGCCATGACGAAACAAATCGATCCTATCTTGGAGGCGGTATCTTACCCGTATCCCATTGACCAGAAACGGCGCAAGTTGCGCGTAGCCATCGTGACAGGTACGCATCGCGTGTGTGGGTTTGTGTTTATCGTGGGACGAGAGATATCTAACATACAGAAAACTTTTTGCCCAAGATTGATGGTGTCACCCGCACACTTGGCCGCCTGCTCGAGCATCTGCACTCGGAAGGCCACGAGGCGTTAGTGCTGGGTCCTGACACAGGCCTGAAAGAATACCTCGGGCACCCGGTCGTTGGCACCTTCGGCATACCGATCCTCGTTTATCCTGGTCTGAAACTGAATTTTGCCCGTTTGAGATTTATCCGCCGCTTGCAGCAATTCCGCCCAGATGTTGTTCATTTCGTCGATCCCATTTGGCTCGGTGCACAGATGATCTTTCTTTGCAAGAGATACTTACCAAATGTGCCCCGAGTTTCGTCGTATCACACGAACTTGCCGACGTACTCATCTCTCTTTGGAATGGGCTTCCTGGAAGCGCCCATGTGGTGGCTCACGCGTCTGCTTCACGAGCAGTGCGAAGTAGTGTTTTGCCCGAGCGAGAGCACACGCCGGATGCTCCAGGCACGCGGTATCCAGAGAATCGCCATCTGGGGCCGTGGTGTTGATACCGAGATGTTTCATCCACAAGCCCGAGATGAGAACCTGCGCGCTGGCTGGGGCTGCAAACCGAAATCGCAGGAACTTCTCAACACACTCCATGATCAAGCCATGTCGTCTCTGGAGCAAAGCAAGGGACTTTCGGCTGAAGAGGCCTTTATACGCACGCCTGACACATTCCCAGTGTCGGAGTTTAGTCCACCACCTGCCTATGAGAGCGTGTGTGATGTGCCGCCCTTGCCTGGTGCGCACTTTGCTCTTCCACCGCCTGTCGTAGCGGGTCCTAGTATGGCCGAGACTCCCAAACTGTCTGGCGTCGATAACGACAGCAAGGCAGTTGTTCTTTTTGTCGGTCGGATCAGTTGGGAAAAAAACATTCGTCTTTTGGTCGAGGCATTCCGCTTGCTTCCCGCAAGTGTGAAGGAGAATGCCAAGCTTGTCGTCGTGGGCGATGGACCTGCACGCGCTGAGCTCACTCGACTTTGTCAGAAATACGGTTTGGATGCTGCGTTTATGGGCCACCAGAAGGGTCAGCGCCTTGCATCCATGTACGCAAGCAGTAGCATCTTTGCCTTCCCGTCATTCACTGAAACATTCGGCCAGGTCGTCCTCGAAGCGCTTGCGTCTGGGTTGCCCGTCGTTGGCTTGCACGCAGAAGGCACCTCGGACCTTATATGTCATGGAATCACCGGACTCTTGATGGATACAATTCGTGCAACGTCCACGAACCAAACCAAGTCAAAGGGTGTCTCTGGTATGTCGTCTGCCACGGCGGCTGCCGCAGCGGCGGCGGCGGCGGCGGCCTCTGCAGCCACTGCGACGGCTGCGGCAGCAGCAGCTGCCGTGTCGTCCTCGACGTCCTCGGCGTCGTCAGCTTCGTCGCAACCGCCCGTAACAGGTTCTTCACGGCATGCATCACTCACGAATCGACTGCGTGAAAGCACTGCTTCCAACGACTGCTTGCCCCTGTCTGCATCTAGTGGCCGTGCCGTGCCTATGGCAGCCTCCAGCACACTTAAGCCTGGCTTACCTTCGCCTATCCCATCTGTGAAAGAATTTGCTTCTCTCATGTCTGTCGGAACACAGACATTTCACCAGTGCGCACAAGCATACAGCATCTTGCTCGAGCGTCTGATCCGTGATCGGACTCTTCGTGCGACCATGGGCCAGCGTGCACAACAGTATGCATCCAACAAGACATGGTGGGATGCTATGGAGGCACCCGTGCGTGGTTATGAAGAGGCAATTGCTCGCGCTGGACAGACGAATCTGACGGATGCTGAGTTAGAGGCGCTTCGAAATGCTCAGCGCAAGATTGCGCCGCTTTCTGGTCCGATTGTAACGACGATCGTCATCTTGTACTTGGCTTTCTTCGTTTTACTTTGGACGTATTTGCTATGATGTAGTGCATGCTTCAAGTTTCGAGACGTATTGTTCTGTTAAGGGATGTGTAGGAGAAAAGTGCCTTCAAACCAGAAATCGAACAATGCCCGCTTTTCTCTCAATCAAGAACTAGCCTATGGAATCCCCCCGGCTCTCCGAGATCTGGACCGTAGGTGGTATCTTCTCCGCTCTTGTTCACAATAAATGATCCGCCCGCACACAACGTAACACTTTCTATACGCACATACGCTTTGTTTTATATGTACTTCTGTGTAGACCTGATTTTGTCTCGTTCTTGTGCAAGTACCAATTCTGCCTTCTTCTATCTTCTCTCTATCCCCGCGAGCTAGCTACCTCCGAGGTCCACGATTCCGGGCAAATACATCCAGAGCACTTGGCTCCTTCATAGGAGCTGGTTGTTGCTCTTCGCGTCTGCGAGCCTTTTCCCGTTGGTACTTCTCACGAAGGGCTATCGTGTTGGCGTCCACAACATTCTGGCGTTTTTTGCGCAAGTAACGCTTCATCGAACTGTTTCGGCCACGAGCGCGCTTCTTTTCCTTCGTCGTGCCTTTTGCTGGTACGACTGGTGCCCGATTCTCATGTCCAACCGAACTATCTTCTTCAGCTCGCACAAACGCATCGTCACCATTGTCATCACCATTGCCACTCAAGGCAAGTCGCTGAACACGCGACAAGCGTGCGTACGGCGTCCCGTCAGCAGCTCGCGGAACTGAGCCGGGACGGTCTGTTCTTGCCGCGGGCACGATACCTTCAGACAAGCGCGATGCTCGTGTGTCAAGTTGACCCATCGTATCGGGGTCCAGAGTGATCATATCAGGTTGGATCTTGTCCAGCAAACTGTGTACTTCACGCTCACGACGACGTGCCTTGGTCTCGTACGGATCAGCTTCACTCGTATCAAAGTTCGGTTCACCTGCACCTGGTACCAATAAACTCGTAAAGCCTTGCGCATGTCCCACACCCAGAACGTCTTCAAATGGGCAGAAACGTAGCTGAAGTGGGGTGCATTGTGGTAGGCCGTGCGTCATATATGGACCAGGTGGGGCATTGCCTAATGCAGCCTCCGTGTGGTACAGGCTTACATGGGCACCCCAGGCGACACCGAGCAATCCCCGCTGAGAGTAAGCAACATCACTAGCAGCACGTCGGCTTGTCCATTCACGCCGGGGACCTTTGCCCAACATGCGCATATCCCAGACTTTGATAGTGCCGTCCAGACCACAGGTGGCCATTTCGCGCCCATTTCGGTGCGAATCAATCGTTAAGCCCGTCACAGGGCCACGATGCGTGAGCACCTTTAGTGCGGGCGTCGACATGTTCGGTGTCCACAGTGTGACGGTGCCGTTGGCGTGACCAAGATGAATGACTGCGTTCAAGGGATTTTGTGCCATAGTTGCGCAAGAACCAAGACCTGTGCGATGTGATGCGACCATCATGCCGGTAGATGTGTCCTGGTATTTGAGATAGCCAGGCTTTCCGATCGTAGCTAGCAAGAAGTGGTAGGGAAGAAATTCCATGCGCTGCACTTCAATGTGGTCTTTGAGCCGGTGGATCTCGATGCCATTTTGGTCATATATGTAGGTATACTTTTTCTGGGCAGCAGCAAAAAAGGTGTTGTTGTGCAACCAGCGCACATCTCGGACAGTTTCGCGGACTTGAATCTCGCAAGACAGTTTGCCACTTTGCCAGTCGAATGCAGCAAGGTGACCTTTTCGTCCACCAAGCAAGAGATGTCGACCATTACGTGTGTAATCACATCGGTAGGGACCAAGGCCGACTTGGTCTTTACCGCCAAGCTTGAGCTCGAATGACTTGCGCGCAGTGTCGACACCGACCTGATCCTTGATTTGCGCTTGTGTAACACGAGCTGTGCGTTCCATCTCATCATCAACTTCAATCATACCAGCATCTTCTCCTGGCACAGTCCCATGCAGATACTCATCTGCAAGCTTAGCATGATTTGCGGCGCGTTTTTGCGATAAGTATTGCCTTGAAAGCTCTGAACGCAATTTCTTGTCTTTAATTTTCGACAGCGATCTTGGCGGCCGCATACCAAGAGTGTCTGCCGGTGTAGACTGCTGCAGTGACACAGGAATACGTGTGTTGCGCGCAATACTATCAGCCTGCCGCTTGAGGGCTTCATCAGCGTGTTTTCCGCCACGCCGAGGATCACGCTGTGACATCGTTTCTTTTTTGTTGCGCGTAACACGAAAGACGGAGTATGTGTGGAGCGGTATGAAAAAAAAATTAAAGGACTTCGACGCCGCACGCGATTATCATGGGTAGCGTTTTCTTTCACACATCCTATGACACATCCTGTCTAAGGTATGAATGCAACTCAATGCTAGGTTCCCAGCTTATAGAAAGATCAGCAATTCACGAATTCAAAAACTATTGCGCGTTTTGATGCCTTGTTAAGCACCACAGTGCGCTTGCACTGCAACAAGCCCAAATTGATTATATGATGAGTTGAAAACATAAAAAATTGACCGAGACCCGATTCGAACGGATAACCTTCAGGAAACGCTAGCCAGGAACATCTGGCAGATTCCGCTAGCTGGAATCTGACGCGCTACCGTTGCGCCACTCAGTCAGAACTGTCCCTGAACTCAGTGACTAAAGTATATATTCTATGTACAATACTAGTTTTGGGCACGTCGGTGCCTTGTTTAGGTGCGATTCTCGCCTTTCGTGTCGCAGCGGTCAGAATTCTTGTTTTACGGTTTGACCGACGGTGTAATCTTAAGGTCTGAATGCCCAAATTTAAGCGCGCTGGCAGAAGGGAGGGAAGGGTAGAGTAAAAAGTTTGACCGAGACCCGATTCGAACGGATAACCTTCAGGAAACGCTAGCCAGGAACATCCGGCAGATTCCGCTAGCTGGAATCTGACGCGCTACCGTTGCGCCACTCAGTCGCCATAGCTCCTCACTAGGTAGGAGAAAATCTAAATCCTAAACTTGCAGTGTACGTTGACTGTCGAATAGCATCAACACGCAGGACGTGCAAGTACTACATGTCACGATTAGATTTTGGGTTTCTTTCACGATCGGTCTACGTTGTATAGTTCGAATAATAGTCGTACTGACTAAAGAACTTCTTGGCATCCTTTGTTTCTTCAGCCGGAAGTCGACCTGCGCGCCCGCGCTTCACGCCGCGACTTTGTTCGTATTGGTCACGTAGAATGCGATCTTCTCGCAGCCACGCAAGTGCCAAAGAAAGCAGTGTTAGTGGATAAGTGACTTGCGGATTCATCGATGCCACGTCTTGCTGGATATTGGCAGGTAGGGATGCAAGGATCTCTGAAGGTAAATGTGAGTCAAGACGCAAGGGCCAGGGTATGGGTGCATGAGTTGTAGTACGTCCTAGCTGCATGTGCACCAAATGCGTAGGGAATTCATGAATTCCGTCGAAAATGTGCGTCGCGTAAACAATCGTAGAGCCGCGTGACTCGCTTTCTTTACGCAAGAAGTCAAGCAAGTCGCAGCGGACTTGGACGTCCAAGTCCACGGTCACTTCGTCAAGGAGCAACAAATCCCATGGCTCCATAAGCCCCATGCATAGCTGTACACGACGCCGTTCGCCGTCACTGATCATATGCATGCGCCATGACAGGTCGACGTCCAGCAGGTCCAGCAAGTGGTCACGTCGTTCGCTGAATCGAAACCCGCCCACTGAATTCAAAAAGTCATGCACAGATATGTCACTGCGCACAACAGGGTTCATTGCCCACTCAGTACCCAGGTAAGTGATGCCGCGTGGTGGCGCACGGAATACATCTTGACCAAACACACGAATGTTTGCCTCGCACAAACGCTTGCCAGCGAGCAAGCGAAGTAGAGTGCTTTTCCCAGCGCCATTTGCACCTATAAGCAAGCAACGTGACCCCCGCTCAAGAATAAGATCGCATCCTTCGAGTGCAGGCGCAGGACTTGTCGCAAAACTGTAGCATAAGTTGTGGACCTCAACGGCCGGTGGCGCGTGCGTTGTCGCCATGTTTGACAACAGTGGAGTTTGAAACCAGACGAGCCACGTTCATCTTTAAAGCGGAGCTACAGGCATTTAGCCCCACTTTTTCAAGCATCATCCTCCACGTGCAGTGAATGAGGCAGCCAAATTGTTTCGGAATTTCATACAGGAGCTGGGACCATGGTAGCATTGAAAACGTGTCTAACATGCAAGATCCCGACAGCGTGCACAGAAAGTGCCAGATTGATCACGCGACCCCATTAACAAAGCCATGTGCGAGCCAGCCCCCCCAAAAAAAAAACCGCATACGTAGACTGTACAGATCCTATGCATGAAGAGATGCTATAGATGGAGAGCCTTGCTGTAAAGCATGCTGCTGTTCTTGCTGTTGAAGTAGACTTCTTCGCTTGGTTTTTGCCATTTCTTTCTTGAGCGAAGGACCGTCGAGCGGCTTGAGGAGCTCAAAGGCACAGAGTAGATCCTCTGACACACTCATGACAGCGCCAAAGTTATCAAACTCACCGCAGTAGTTGGGCGCACTGAAAATCGTAACGAGAGTGCGCTCGTTCCAGAACTCGTAGCCATCTTCAACCACCATATGGGCACGGCATATAAGATCAAAGTCATACTGACCAAGAAACTGCTGGATGACAGCCTTACCGAAACAGTAGCTCACACCACGTTCATTGTCCTCCCAGTCAAGAGCTGTGTCGCTTGGATCGCTCCAGAGCAAATCATTTAGCAGACCATAATCTGGTACACCTGTTGGACGCTCGATCCTGCGAATGTCATCCATGCTAGACAAAGAGGGGGAGAGGCCACCGTGGACACAAAAGATTTTGGACGCAACAATGGCGGCGATAGGAAGCGTGTTAAACACATCAATGAACGTCTTCCACACCTTAATGTTCAAGCGACGCTTGCATTCGTCATAAAAACCATACACACGAGTCACATTTGCACATTCGTGGTTTCCGCGGAGCAAGAAAAAGTTTTCCGGATACTTGATTTTGTAGCAAAGAAGAAGAAGAATCGTTTCTAGTGACTGCTTGCCACGGTCAACGTAATCTCCCAAGAACAGGTAGTTTGCCGCTGGGGGGAAACCACACATCTCGAAGAGACGAAGCAGGTCTTGGTATTGTCCATGCGTATCGCCGACAATCTTCACAGGAGGGCTGAGCTCGATGAGCGTGGGCTGGCTCAGAAACACCTCGCGAGCAGCTTGACAAATGGCCATAATTTCTGGCACTTTCAGCGCCGGCTTCGGTATCTTCGACGTATAACCAGCGTCGATCAGACGGGTAATCATGTCGTCAATATCAAATGTCTTGACCCCGTCGGTGCTTGTCATACTGGTCGACAAGGGCGATGCGCTGGCCAGCACACCAGGCGCTGGCGAGCCCATGAGGCGCTCCCCCGGTGCTGGTGCTTCGAGACCTCCAGACGTGTGCTGTCGAGCCGATCTGTTCTTGCCATTGCTGCTGCCACTGGCAATGGGCATCGGCTCATGCAGAGGGTTAGCCGGTGGCGCAGGCGCAGATGTGTGAGCCGATGCCGATCCTCCTGACTCTGCTGTCGGGGCTGGACCTCTAGACTGGTCTTCTACGGTAGAAATTTGTGCCGTAGGAGCTTCATGAGTGACTTCGGCGCTCTCGTCAGCGACAGGTGTGTCATCGGTCGTGCGGCCTTTATTGCGCCGCGACACCCCACTCACCATCCGCCCAAATGAGCGAAACATGGTTAATGCAACTGGCGCGCGTCGTATACAGTGAGGGACAAGTCCCGAAAGTTCACGAGCTCACCCTTAACGCTCGTTGGCGTACGACGTCGTATAGGCAATTTGAGCGAATCACTCCAAACGGTTAGAGCAGTTTCACCGGCACGCTTCCACGCGTCCTTTGCAGACGAGTGCAACCAATCATGATGCTGTGGGGTAAGTGAAAGACCTCCACTAGAAACGTGCAAAACGTCACATCAACACGCATACTCCTTGCAAGTCGAGCTGGGCTCTACTTCAGGGCAAACAAAACCAACACGAAAGGCAAACACATCCATCTGCATGTTTGCGACTGAAAAATCTACACCGGCACCGGAACATGGTAATAAGAAGCACATAGACATCTTATTTTAAAACTATTCATGTATAGGCAAGAGCATGCGCGTGAACAAACATACACGCCCGCTATGTGCCCCAGAATCGATCGCCCATCTGACCACAGCCTGGCATGATGGCAAATGCTACACGCTCGTTCGATTCGTGCGAGTGCCTGCCGATATCGATAGGGGTATTGGCTTGCTGTATGGGACCATGATGATGGCTATCAATTGAGGACAAGGTCGTTAGCGGCGTAGCATGTGTCGGCACTTCATTGTGGACATGCTCCAGAGGAGACTTCCACGCAAATCGCTGTAGTCCAGGATCCACGCTTGCGGTGATAATGACAATGCGTGGAAAAGCATGGTATAAAGACCAAAGGCCGCCACGCGCTGAAGCGAGTAGCGTCAGTAAAATGATATGGTCCTCAGGCACGCCATGATCCAACAAGACACGCACAGCCATAAAGGCCGCTGCTCCCGTACCGACCTGTGCATCTGTCAGCAGGACCCACGTATGCTCGGCCCGTTTTCGATCCCTCACAAAGGAGGGGAGGGCTACTGAGTAAAGCAGCGGTCGGTAGTTGGAATCGGAGCTTTGAATCAGGACGGAGCCCAATGAAAGCGCTGGCAAAGCACGGCGCAATGGAAGCTCAAGAATCGCGCCGGACCGCAAAATCGATACGCCACAAATGTGCTGAACATCGAGTTCCAAGCCCTGATACGACTCACCCTGGGGTGTATCGACGCATCGCTGGCGGTATGGCAAAAGGGACATGGCTTCTTCCACCACGAAAGTACCGACCCGCTTGCATGCCCATGCAAATTCGCCTGCAGGCGTATCAGCATTGTGCATGATCGTCAGCAGAGCGAGTAGCTGAGCGCCAGGCCGAACAACACACACGTTCGGCGGAAGCGGGAGGATCTGGTCGATGAAGTTTAACGCATGTTGAGAACCAGGCGGTTCATGGCGGGCATCCCCGCAGACGTCGGAAAACGGCTCGTGCTCGACGATATGCGCAGGTGTGCCGTCAGCTGCATGACCGACAAGAACACGGGCACGTGGAAAGATATGCCGAGGTGAGCGAGAGAGGGTTTGAGCTTTCGAGGACAAGACATACTCTGCTTCCATCATTAACTGCAGGTCCCGAGTTCGTGTGAGATGCTTGCTGATGTGCTGGCTGATTACATCGATGGCGACATGATTATTCATGCCGGGGACGATGATATCGGCGTAGCGCGCAGAGGGACTCACAAAAGTGTCGAAGGAAGGCTTGACGAACCGCAGGTACTGGTCCAGGACACCCTCGACGGAGCGACCGCGGTCGACGATATCGCGGCGAATGCGCCTAGCGAGCATGATGTCAGGGTCTGTCTGCACAAAAATTTTGAGGTCGAGTAACTCGCGAAGCGCGGGATCCTGTAAAACAAAGATGCCTTCGACGACAACGACAGCATGCCCATAGAGATAGGTAGACTCAGAGGTCCGCTGGTGTTGTGTGAAGCTGTACACGGGGATATGAACGGCACGGGAGGCCTTGAGATCTTTGACACACTGCACGAGAAGCTCCTGATCAATAGCATGAGGGTGATCAAAGTCATAGTTCTGTTCAAAAGCTAGCTTCGTCTGCGCAGGTGACAGCGGTCTGTAAAATGCATCCTGACTCACAATCGCGACCCATGGGATTTTGGGCAACAGGCGGATTACTTCTTTAGCAATAGACGTCTTGCCACTAGCACTACCACCAGCCACGCCGACAATGTACGGCGAGATCGGTCGGCCATCCGCATCATACCATGGCTGGCGGCCGGCCTCAGTCATGACGGTTCTGTGTCGTCAGCACGTCCGAGTGGAACAGCAGGCACATACGTCCGACTGTACGAGCGGCGGGGATTGGATGTCACTGCATACTGACTGTCCAGTGGCGTAGAGACATGTGAGCGAATAGCTGCTTTTCCGCGAAGTTCAGCCCCTGGCGTCGAAACTCGTGAAGACGAGGACGTCGACGCCATGCGGTACAAGCCGTTCCTTGCGAAGGTGTGGCAGCTGCGCGAGTGGAGGAGCTGTGCGGTTGCCTCTGGGCGTCAGAGACAAGGGACAACGGCCAAGCTTTCAAGCAAGTCCACCCACCGTCTTCGAGCGTCGGCCGTCCTGTGCAACAGAAGAGCTACGGAACCATGCCAATCGCGAACGACATCATCTAGTCCCCTCTTGAGATGCGCTAGATACGTGCCAGACGTACATGCATGTGACCCGCAATGGTCCGTCCAAAGCTTAACTTGGAAAGCCTAGAGGCGGAGCGAGTCACAGTCATCGACTCACGTCTTCGGAAAACATATCACATTATTGTACAACATCGGCTACGTCTGACGTAGCAGCTTCTATCTTACAATTCGCCATATCACCAACGTCGAGGATGGTCGAGCGCCGATCTTTCTGCCCCGACATAAGACCAGACTCAGCAAGCCTCGCGGCTTTGCGGCGCTTGCGATCCATACGCTGAATCGCTTGCTCCTCGAGGGCCAGCTTGACGCGCCGCTGTACGACCTCTGTCTTGCGGGTGCGTTTGCCACCTTGCCAGATGAGGATTCCTGCGATTGCATTGCACGAGAGCGAGCAACTAATGATCGTAGCTGTGAGGGCCGTCGGCCTGTGCTCGTATCGAATCCCCCAAGTCGTCCCTGCAAGACATGCCTGAAGAAATGAGTATACATCCAGGAGGACTACAATGGTCATCATGAGCCAGAGCGGGAAGGGACGGTGAGTCGCAGTCTCACGATACCGGTAGAACGTGTGGGAGGAATGGAAGCAGTGCTGATGGTGCTGGAGCTGCGCTTGCTCAGATGGCGTGAGCACACTGACTTCATGCGTGTTCTTTTCCACCCAGGACTGGATCGATGGCGTACGTTTCAGCCGTGCCTTCTCGATCTCTTCGACTGTCTGATGCGTGGAACCCGGCAGGCCTGGCAACGGCCGTAAGAGCTGCTCAAAGTGGTACGGTTGTGTGCGAACATGGTCGACGTTTTTGACGCCGATCGACTCCAGGTCCCTGACGGGGTCCTGCAGCTCCATGTCTTTGCTTGCATTCGCGGTTGCAGCCTCTTCACTGTCACGCTCGTCACGGCTACGCGTCCTACGACTGCGCTTGCGGCCGGATCCAGGCGTGCGCTCAGGTGCGCTGTTGGGGCCGGTGACACTTTCGAGTCGGTCGCGTGTGTAGCGAGGAAGCTCGTTCTTGTTCTGAAGCTCAGGCAAGTGGAGCAACCTGCGGCGTCGGTACGTCAGGAAGTGCAGGTGTGCAATATGCGCCATGTGGTACGTATCGACCATGCGGAACGGCATAAAGCCGACACCACGCAGAACAAACAGCGCACAAAGCACCTGGTCACACACTTCGATCCACACCCGCCGGCGATGGTATGGCTCGACATGGACCCAGTTGACGATCAGGAGGAAAATAACGACGCCCCAGGAGAATATGAGGAAGATGTAGGTCGTGAGAATAAAGCCCATGGGTGTGCAGACAAAGTTGACAAAGCCGCGGAGCATGCGCCGGGTCTTGGACTTCCGTGTGAGCAGATACCGGACGTGGGCCTCGAGCTCTTCGCGCTCCTCTTTGTCCATAGCCCAGTACCGCTCAGTGTGTGGATCGTCGTTCTCTTTGGCATCTGTGCGCATTGATCCTTTCCCCGCCCCTGACGATGGCACCGCCTCGACAGTCTCGCTGGTATCTTTGCGGCTCAAGCTGTCTCGATCGGTGCTCCAATTCCCAAAGGTGCCGTCAGAGTTTGCTCGCTCACGCTCATTCACATATTCGTCCGGCATGTTGACCACGACTGCGTCACTTGGATGCGGCTGAGGCTGTGACGAGGGAGTCTCGACGGGATCCGCTGGTGGGAGTGTCAGCGGCGGAGGCTGTAACAACGTCTCATCCCCCGCTGCCGCGGCCGGCCTAAATGAAGTCGAAGCATTGCCGCGCTTGAGGTCGAATGAATCGGGCGACATAGGCGTTTGTTCCTCCTTCAGACGCTGGATCTCATTCTGGGGGACAACCTGATTCAGCCGGAGAGTCGGCCGTCGATTGTAAAGCCACGGCAAGTTCGGCAGCATCGCACTATTACCGTAGTCTTGCAACGTATTAAAGAAGCCGACGGCAGGGTCCAGTACGTCCAAGTAGTCGACCATTTCATCCGAGTGCAAAACGGCTGGGTGCTGCTCTTCTCGAGGTGTTTTGCGATTTGGCGTTCCTGCACCATTCCGACTGCCACTGCGGCTCATCCCATTTGAATTGCCAACCACTTCATATTCGGCAAGTTGCGGATGTGGCGACTGTTGGTGCCTCAGCTGCTCATCAGCATGGTGGCGGGAGTCGGACTCATCCTGGTGACTACCGGGCCACAATGACGTGATTCTCGGCACAATACTGCCAAGTATCGAACCTGAGGTATGCTGGTTGTCTGGCACTGGATTTTCCGGTAGAAAACTGGCATCGTAAGCCATGTCAGAAATGTCCCGGGTGGTATCAATGTCCTTGTTGTCATCATCGTATGTATCATGATCAGCATAGTTATTGTCCATAAAGACAACGTGCGATTGAGGCAGCGATTCACCGCCTTCATTTTTATCAATGTGGATCAGCGGGATGTCGTTTTGACTCCTGCTACTTGGCGACAAGAGGCCGTTCATGTTGGCAATATCTGTTGGAGTGCCGTTGCCTTTCCTGAAAAAGTTGAAATTAGCAGGCGAAGACGACGACTGAGCCATGTACGGTCCTTCGTCCAGCGTACCTGGGCCAAACTCAGAGTATGGTGGTGCGGGAGGCTCTTTCAAACTTTCGCGCACGATGTCTTTGCCACCACCCGAAACACGTTGTGAGGGCAGCAAGGTCGGTTCTGAGGTTGTGTCGCATTGTTCGCCATCTTCAATGGCCGCGTTATTTGTTGTTGTATTTGACCTCGAGAACAGGCGATTCAAGTCGAGGCGCGACGGCCCCGACGTGTTGCCACCAGCAGGTCTACTGCTGCTACTCGAAGTCGGATCGTTTGCATTCTCGTAGGGATGGGACATGAAACGCGGTTGTGCGATGTCATCTACGATAACATTGGTTTCTCGACGTACTTCATGGTCGCGTCCCTCAACGACACTTTTGCCCCGTCGACGCGTAGTGTTAGACGCTCCACTTTCAGCAGCCGATGGTTGTGACTTGCTTCGAAGCAGCGAGTTGTCTAATGCATTCGTTTTGGAGCTCGGATTACGCTGAATGCGTAACGTCGGAGGCGGGAAAAAAGAATCACTAGGACTCATGCTTTAAGCGGAATCGCGTGGTCGGCCCTGCCGACAAGATCCGCAGCTCTTGCTAAAATCCAATGCGTGAGAGACAAGAGTGTCGCACGTAGCTAGCGGTAGTGTCGTGAATATTGTCTGGTTTAGATGGCCCACTCGTCCTTGGCCAAGAGCGTGTGAGTGAGTTACGCTTAGTTGGATGGGTAGAAAGTCTTTCGTCTGTCCGTACGTTCAGCAGCCGTCCTGCAGGCTAGTTGGCTCTACGGGGTTTTTGTCTAGCAGATCCAATCATTTTCATAGAAAAGCGATCATGCATGTGCACGCCATGAGGTGCTCCACCCGGCGTGTGGCTCACCTGCATGCACGACTTTCGTTAAAGTTTTCTTTTTTTTGCTCCCTATCATTGTCGCTCCATAGTACTGCGAAGACGTAAATGACCTGATTTCATTTATTTCCCCATCAACGACTTGGCCAACTCACCGCGTTGCTGCTGCATATTGGTGCAACGCAGCTTCATGAGCAATGATCTCCGCGGCAGCTTGCTCGGCCTCATGCAACACGCGCTGAGAAGCGCGCTGCATTTCTCTTCTCATATTGCATCGAATCCCTTTGATCTAGGCGTAGACCCATCACGCGTGTCGCTGTACGTTTTCGTCTTCCCACCCATCTACGTTCTAGCGCCGCCGCTGGAGGTAGGCCTGTTCGTGACGTACGACGCGTGCTCTTCACCTGCTCTTACGTACAAAGTCCCATAGTGCACGCCTCATCCATATATATGTATATATATATATATATCGTCCAGCTACAGTGCGGGCAACTTGGTCCATCAACGATGCAGGCTCAACGACACATGGTCACATACCAACCCCACAGCCTACTGCTATGCACTCAAGGCTTATGAGACAAGCCATGTTCTTCCTATCTCCAACATCCCTTTCTCATATCATCTAGGTAGAATCTATGGCGAAGCAGATGCGGTCGCATACTTTTCCTGGAACGAAGGTGTCTTCAGCACGAACGCCTGGACACACTTGGCCATCGTCGGCGACGCACGCGATACTGGGTCCGTCTGGTAGAAGTTATCAATAGGAAGGTGTAGTGGCAAGCCTGTCGCTGACGATGCAGCAGGAGACGACGCCAGCTGCTCCAGGCCAAGCGCCGCCGTCTCAGCACTTGTGCTTTCGCATGCGTCGTAACGCACAAGCGCCGGCGAAATATCAAACATGCGGTCGCGCACGGCCGTCACATCATCATATGGCAGCGTGTGTCCCATAACCTCTGAGAGCGCACGAAGGATCTTCCAGTCCTCCCGCGCAGCACCAGCACCCGACACAGCTGCACGCGTCATCTGCGTCCTGCCCTCGGTATTCATATATGTGGTGCTCTTCTCCGTGTACGCAAGGCCTGGAAGACAGACATCTGCAAACTGCGCGCCAACGTCACCGTGGTGGCCTTGGTACACGACAAAGGCGTCCTGAGGAATCTTGGTCGCAGAAATGTCGTCAGCATTGAGCAGGTACATGAACTTTGGAGTGCGTGCGCCTTCAGCCGCTGCGCCCTGGATACCCATCTCGCGGGCAGCCATGCGCGATGCAGCACGGTGAAGGAAGTTGAAGCCGTTCCACTCCGATGTCAAGAACTTGTTCTTGTTCGACAGGACAAGCTGAGCCACACTCTTCAGCACCGCCGCGCCGTCTGGGTGGTCGGCTACACCGCTGCCGACAATGACGAGGGGCTTCTGGGCCGTCTTCAGCCGCTCCGCACCACGGCCCTTGCCAGCGGCCAGGTCAGCCACAGCCTGCGCGTCCGTGCCGAGGTGGTCGTATTCGTATGTGAGATCGATTTTCTCGCCAATGACGGCCAGGTCTAGGCCATTGTGCAGGTAGCCCTTGCGCAAGCGAGTGTTGATGATGGTGGCTTCGTGGCGTGGGTTTGTACCGATCATAATCACGTAGTCAGCCTCATCCAGGCCAGCAATGCCTGTGTTAAATGCAAAGTTCGAGCGGATATCCACGCCATTGACAGGGGCCTTGTCGCCAAGGGGCTCGTCCGTCACGAGGTTCTCGGAGCCCAAGCGGTGCAGAAGTTCACGCAGCATCGTCATCGACTCGGCATCGGCCAGCGCACCGACAACACCCTGAATCTCATGGCCGCTAGCACCGCTGGCTTCGAGGCCACGCGCAATTGCCTGAAGCGCCTCAGGCCATGACGCCGGTACGAAGCGGTCGTCCTGGCGGATCAGAGGCACTGTAAGACGCTGGTACTTAAGACCATCACACGCGTAGCGTGTCTTGTCATTGATCCACTCTTCATTCACATCGTCGTTCGTGCGTGGCAGCACCCGCATGACCTGCAGATCGCGGGCATCCACACGGATGTTGCTGCCAACAGCGTCAAGCACGTCAATCGACTCAATCTTCTTCAACTCCCAAGGACGTGCCTGGAAGGCATTGGGGCGCGACGTAAGTGCGCCAACGGGGCACAGGTCGACCATGTTGCCGGACATCTCTGAATCGAACATCTTCTCGACGTACATGCCGATCTGCATCTGATTGCCTCGACCAGTTGTACCGAGGTCCTGCACTCCAGCCACTTCGTTTGCATACCGCACACAGCGCGTGCACTGAATGCAACGGGTCATCACTGTCTTGACGAGGGGGCCCAGGTACTTGTCTTCTACAGCGCGCTTCCCGGACGTCTCGTGGAATCGCGAGCGGTCCTTGCCATAGCGCATCGATTGGTCCTGCAGGTCACACTCACCACCCCAGTCGCAAATGGGGCAATCCAATGGATGGTTCATCAGCAAGAACTCCATCACACCCTCGCGAGCCTTCGCCACTACCGGCGACTCCGTAAAGATCTGCTGGCCTGGCATGGCTGGGAATGCACATGAAGCTAGTGGCTTCGGCGCACCCTTACTTTCCACCAGACACATACGGCAGTTTCCTGCCACATTCAGCCGCTCATGGTAGCAGAAGCGCGGGATCTGGTAGCCTGCTTTCTCACAAGCTTGAATGAGAGCCGTTCTGTATGCGCGCGTTAGTTTCTTCATCCAGTACCCTTTCCCATCGGGATCGCGTGCGTGGGAAAGGACAGCGCAGAATCGCCGCACACGAGCCTGACTTCCTTCGCCCACTTGAACACGCCTATACATACCCTTGCTCGACCTCGACCTCCTTGCCGTTGATGGTCAGCTTGACCATTTTGGGCGGCTCAGGTGCGGGCGTCGCCTGGCGGCGAGCCGCGCTCGTCGACAGCTGTGCTGTGCGCAACATTGCTGCCGACATCTTGGTTGTGGATCCTGCCACCATGCGCGATGGCGGCACGCTCATCCGGGCTGCCCTCAACGAGCACAGCATCGTTGTCACGGTTTTTCTGAAACAGACGGAGCTCAGTTCGTTCGCCGCCAGACTCGTTTCTTTGCCACGCGCACCTGCCCGTGTTCCTCCAGCCAATCATCCGTGCCCTATTGGAACACACTCATCCTACATATTCACGTGATGTCCACGCACGCACACATGCAGCCAAGCCTTCACACAACACGCACCGTACACGCCGCCAGGGCACACGCTGGCGCGATTGACCCCAAATTGTACCGCGCGTCGAGGCGGCAACACAGAGTTCATTTAGCTAAGACCTTGTCGGTGGCTTGAAGCGCTCGATCCGTGCCAGACGTCATTTCTCACGTCCTATTGATACGGGACAGGCGCTACTTTCATCAGTCTTGCGCCGTTCAGACTCTGTGCAACTTTTTCCTGATTCTCTCCCATGTACCATTTGGTAGCTGGACTGTACAGTGCGTAGCTCGTGCGAAGGATGGCTTCTTACGTGTAGATGAACTTACACGCAAACCTACTTACAATATTCTGCTGATTGGGTTCAACCAATCCGGCAAGACATGGCTTCTCGAGCAGCTCAGGCACACGTATCTCAAGGGACGTGCACCATCGGACCGCATCGCTTCCACTGTCGGACAAAACGTGCTGGATTTACCATATCAGAAAAGTGTGCTGCATTTTTGGGACTTGGGTGGTGCTCCATCGATGCGTGAGCTTTGGCAGCAATATTTGCCAGATGCACACACCATTGTGTGGGTCTTGGACGGAAAGCAGTGGGCTCTTGATACACCTGTGCAACAAGAGACGGCAACGTCATATCAGACTGCGGTGCTTGACCAATTGTTTCCTATTGCAATGGACGCTGCCCTACGTGGCCAAACAGTTCTTGTGCTTGTGAACAAAATGGATGCCATGGACCCACAGGATGTGTGTGAGGATATGCGTCCACCGCATGTACTTGAACATGTTGAAGCGACAGTGTTGAAGCATTGGGCGCGCTTTATGGATAGCCACGCGTCGAAAGACATCATAACGCCTCATTGGTCGTTTCATGGTGTGAGTGCTGTGACTGGGTATGTACAGAGACTTGCATCGTCCGAACAAGCACTGACAAACATATTCCAGCGAGGGCCTCGCCGATGTGCTTGCGGCCATGTTGGCGACAGCCAAAGCCTGTAAATCTGCAACATGAGTGCGTCACTCACATTTGCGGCTTAGCATGTCATGAGTCTCTTGGCTCAGTCGCAGGTCCGGTCGCATGCTCGTGCTATGTGCATATACCCCCCTTCCAGTTTCGATGAGAATGTTGAACTATAATACAGGATCGATACTTGAAGCTACTACTTACTCAAAAATCACATCGTCCGCCTTGCTGAGGAGTAATTCGATACCCCACATGCCAAGTGTGAAGGAGACAGCGAGCATGCGCCAGTAGATCTGGTGATTCTGATCCAGTACTGTGTATGTGTTAGTATATCATGTGTATGACCAGCCGTCAACGTACACAAAAGATGACTGTACACGGTGATGAGAATAAAACGCGAGTACCGCACGAAGAACATCCCGATGGATGATGGCCGCATGTCCATTTTTCTCTCCTCTTCCTTGTCATCACTCGTCTCCGGCATAGGCCGGCTGCTCAAGTAGTCAGGGGCATCTTTGGTCTCATTGGGTGAATCAGGCTCTTTGGCTTTGTGCAGCAGCTCTGAGAGCTTCTCTGACTCAACCTGCTGAGACAGAGACTGTGGCGGATTTTCCGGCACACGGACCCGCCGCTTGGTTTGGAGCTGGAACAGAACCAACACGCGCGTCGCAAGGTACATAATTGCTAAGCGGTAGACGAGGCTCACGATCACCGTGGGCGGCAGTGTTTCAAGGGCCACGGTCAAAACACGCAAGCCATTTTCCAACGCACGCACGATACGATCAAGCAGCGCCACAGTGTGGCCATGGATCAGTAAGGCTGGGAACCGGGCGCTGCGGAAGGATTGAAGCAGATCAAGTGGATCTGAACCGAGTACGAGCGTCGTACTGAGCTGGTACACGTTGAAGACGACGTAGGAAAACATGAGACTGGTTTCGACGATGTTGGCTTTTCGAAACGCGAGAGCGAAGCCGGAAATCCACAGCGTCGACGCAATGGACGCGCCGATGGCTGCCGATGTCAGTGCACGACCATTTGTTACGCCTTCGAAGCTCATACTTAAGCCTACTGCCGAGCACACATAGACCGTCGCCGAGAGTAGAAGAAAGACGAGCTGCCATGCCTCTGAAGCCTCAATGCCAAGTTGCAGAAGCCGGCGGATCAGCAAGCTGCTGCTCATTTTGCGGGTGCGATTTCCGAGGGGATCTTGGATTCTGTAACGTTAGTCATGTCAAGCGCAATAACGACACGGATGCTGTCAAATTGTATCGCCGGCATCAAATACGTACAACCATTGTGAGAAACGTGCCACGCACTGGACAACCAAGAGGCTCGCAATCCCTTCCAACAACGAAAAGACAGGGCTCATGTAGAGCAAGAACGAGTACCATACACCTGGCACGTGCGATAAAACGTACTGGCAGCCCTTCTGGACAGACTCTAGCAGGTGTGAGGCACCTTCAGAGCGGATCACCGTCTCTGAAGGTGGACGCCATGTGAATGGTGCACGAGACATGAGCCATTCTTTGGCAATGGAGGCTGATTGAAGCCATGGAACAGAGCGGGGAGACAACTCTTCAATCGAATCTGGCATGTATAAACGTGCGCACATAAAGAGTGTTAAGGGAATAATCAAGTTTTGTATTAGCACCAAGAAACGCGCGATCGGAGCGAGTGACGTATTCGTCGTAGCCCAACGAAGTGTCGTGATCGTGAAGTAAAACGTGGCCATTAGCGCTGAAAATGTGAGAAATGTTTCCTGGCTGTGTTCTAGCGAGAGCGGGAGAAACACGATCAGCTGGAGGATCGACAATAGGATCGCTGCCAGCTTAAGTGTGTGCAAGCAACGCCAGCACCACTTTCTCAACATTCTTCTCATTTTTTTCGTCTTCTTCGTCTTCGTCGTCACTGCCGTCGTCAATGCGCTTGCTGTATGATCGCTGTCGCCACGGCCCCCCAGTTTCGTGGTCTTGCTCTTGTTTCGTTCGTGCCCTTCTGACAAACCCCGCCTGCCTCAACTTGAAGCGCGATCCGATTTGCTCTCCGCAGCCTCGCCTTCCAACCATCGCCCCCCAGCCCCCGGTTAGGACAGGAGGTTTTATCACGTGATACACCTGTTCTGCGCGTGGCAAAACTTTTTTTTTTCTTCTTTATGCTCTCCCTGGAGCTTACTTCCCAAACTTGCATGCGTCTAAACGTGTGAGCCCAGCACAATTTTTTGTCGTCGACCATGAACGCGGCCAATGTGAGCACGGCGGTTGAGCAGGGCGAGATGCCTCTGCAGCTCGATACAGGCCTGCTGGCTTCGGTCGATGTGAATCCCATGGATATTCGAAAGTACATGAAGGACACGGAAGCGCTGCTCCAGGCTCGCACACGTAATTCGACACAGCACTTGATCAACACTATATTTCAGCTGCCTATTGAACGACATGCTACGTACGGACCACTGGCTAGCCTGCCGGAGTTTGTGACGCAGCTTCCGCGTGAAAAGCCATTGCCGAAACCGAAACCACTGACGAAGTGGGAGAAGTTTGCGCGCGCAAAGGGCATTGTCAAGCGTAAGAAAGATCGGCTCGTCTTTGACGAAGAGCGACAAGAATGGGTGCCTCGCTGGGGCTTTCAGGGCAAGAATAAGGATCTCGAGAACCAGTGGCTTGTTGAAGTGCCGAGCAATGCCGATGATGATTTCCGTCCCGACAAAGCCGCGGCCAAAGAACGCCTGGATAGGCGTAAGAAGAACGAACAACAGCACGAGCGCAACTTGGCTCGTCAGTCTGGTGCTGCGGCCGCTATCCCATCCGGATCAACCAAGGGAAAAAGTGAGCTGGGCTCTGGCAAAGCGTCTATGTCATCGCGGCGTCGCGCTGAGCTCGAATCTGAGATCTTGCGTGCACGTAACAGCACTGCATCGATGGGTCGTTTCGACAAGCATCTTGAAGGCGAGACGAAGCCACGCGGGGTGAAACGGACATTCCAGCCGAACGAGATAGATGCTCGGCAAGAACGAGCTGCGAATTTGTCGGTGCTGGCCAGGCTTGATAAAGGCAGTACTGACTCCGAGATGAATATGCGCAAAGCTATCAAGTACGCTAGCCAGGCCCAGGGCTCGAAAGCTCTCGCTCAAAAGGCCGCGGGTAAGCGGCGGAAGTAAATGGATGATCCTGTTTCTGTACGATAGTGTATCTCAAATACCATGTACCTACACACCCTAGAAGGACGCTGGGAGAAAATAGCAAGGGATAAACATACAGTATACATCGGGCGTGTCCGTCCGCCACAGTCCCGTATTTTCGCTCACGTCCATAATTTGATAAGTCCATCCCAGGAACCCGTAAGAACTTTGGACTGGTCCGTGTTAGCGTTGCTCGTCGTGCCAGTGGTGTGCGTACCGTCTCATGAGGAAGCCACTCATGCGCAATGACAACATCCTTGTGGGTGTGTAAACGCTTAAGCTGTTTTCCCGACTTCCAGTCCCAGAATACGAGATCACCTTGACTATCGCCAGACGACAGGAATCGACCATCTGGACTGAATCCAACTTGACATGCAAATCCCGCTGTCGTGTGGCCACGGAACGCTTTCTTCCGTGGTTTGAAGTTCTCTGCAGAATACACTGTAATCGAATTATTCATTGCCTGACAGGCAAGCCAGCGTTGCGTTGGATGTAGCGTCACGGCCGGCATCGAATGCATAAGTGGATCAGCCACGAGCTTGATTGGTACCGGAATATCGTAGTCCCACGCACGCAGGCTTTTATCGTCACTTGTTGACACAAAGCGGCGGTTATGATCGACGAATGTGATGGTATTGACGGGTCCTTGGTGCTCGTTGTACTCCTGCGTGATTTCGTCAGCGCGCAAATCATACTGAACGATGCGTCTATCGTTCGTGCCAACCAGGAACATGTGCTGTTTGTCCTCGTCTGGGTGGAATCGTACACAGATCGGCACATCACCAAAGCTCTTTGCTGCAACACAAGCACCGGTTTCCGCATCCCAAAGCTTGACCTGTCCGTCGTAGCTGGCCGACAAAAACCGATGACCATCATTGGAAAATGTAACGTCACGGATCGCATTCGAGTGGCCCAAAAATGTTCGCAGACACTTGCGCTCGTGGTATACGTCCCACAGCTTGATCTTTGTATCCATACTGGCACTAAGAGCCAAATGCCCACTTTGTGGGAACAGACGAAGCACTGTGATCCCTTTCGTGTGCCCTGTAAAGGTGTGAATGCAGTATTCAGGAAGGAACGACTCGCTGCTCCCTGGCTCGCCACGCAGGTTCACATCCGTGTCTGTAGGAATGTGCAAGTATGTTCGTCCTTGATAGTCGTACAAAGACTCGCCGTGGAAAATGCTCTTTTCCGTCCCATGCGACACATCGAGCAGTCGGCGCCGCTCCAGTGCCGCCGCGTCTTTCCGCCGCTTCTCGGCGGCTGCATGCGCAGCTCGTAGCTCTTCTTCTGTCGGTCCGATATGCGTGTTTGGTGCAGGAACAAACTCCGTGCGGGGTGCTTCGTCTTCCCAGCCACCCCATGGTCCAACGTATGCTCCGTCGCCATCGACAATCGATGCATTGCCCGTACGCCCCTTGCGCTTACGTCGCATCTGACGTGATGCATGTCGTGTATCTGCCGTGGTGCCACGCAGCTCCGCCGCCGTCGCACCACCCATACTCTGTGCTGCTGCGCGATCGCCAACAAATGCTTGGGAGTTCGTGCTGGCAGTGCCCGCAGCCGACTCACTCGGATTGCGGGCATAACCAAACAACTCAAATGTGCGATGCTGATTTCGGAAGTCAAAGTCGGAGATCGTTGTCGATTCTACCGTACCTGATAACGTTTTGGTTGCCGCAGGCGTGTGGCTCAAGGGCTCGCTAGCTGGCTGTTGGGTCACCGCGGACGTGTGCTCAGTCACAATAGGCGCTGTATCTGTGGCATCGAGCGCACGCTCAGGCACTCGAGTTGTGCGCTCTGAATCTAGCGTGTTCTTTAGCCCAAATGCATCGTTCGAATCAGGCAGGTCATCATCGTCATCGTCGTCGTCACCAACACTATCATCATCATCCTTCCTTCTATCCACGGCATGCATGTTGGCACTGTCTTGTGTTTTTGGAAATTGCCATGGCCTTGTTGGGATTGGGCCCTTCAACCTTTTCCACTTGGTTCCGGGAAACCTTGGATTAACCGCCAACCCAGGTTGGCCGGTTCCAATTCGGCCGGCCCAGGTTTGGTTGGTAAGGGTTTTCCAAACCGCCAACCCTTGCGGCCCAAAAACTAAGCCGCCCCTTTTTTACCGGTAATTTCCAACCGGCGGTTTAACAACCGAAAAGCCGGTTGGTCTTGGCTTTTGGAATTGGTTTTTGCCGTGGTTACGAATCCGAACGGTTGCCTCCGCGGTGCCGGTGAACTTGGTTTGACAATCACGCCCGCAACATGGCGTTTGCTCAGAAAGGGCATATCACGTGCTACCACGAGGTGATTTCGTTTTCTTACGTAGACCTTATTTGCTAACCTGCCCCGCTTTTTTTTGTCCGGTTCCTAGCGTGCATGCATAGATTATCACTCAAGTGCCCAAGATCTCAAGCTCTCTTGGGACAATAAAAAAGAAACAGGAAAAACCATGCCGTCGGTCAAAGTGGCGCCTAGCTTGTTGGCTTCTGACCTGGGAAATCTCAGCTACGAATGTAATCGCATGATACGTTGTGGTGCTGACTGGCTCCATATGGGTATGTATGTGGCACCAAGGGCCGAATGCATGCTGATAACAAACGGTAGATGTAATGGATGGGCATTTCGTTTCAAGTATTGTGATGGGACCGCCAGCCATTGAATCTGTGCGAAAGCATGTACCTGAAGCATTTATGGACTGCCACATGATGGTGTCTGAGCCACTCAAGGTTCGCACGAAGCGTGTCACAGCTGACATGTTAGTGGATCCAACCCATCGCTAATGCAGGAGGCTCTTCCTACACATTCCACTTGGAATCTACCAGTATGTTGCCTCTCATCGGTATTTGCCTCTCCTGTATGACTGACGTACATGAAAAAAAATATAGATGATCCAGTCGAGGTCATACGGCAAATCAAAGCGTCTGGCATGCGAGCGTCAATTGCCATCAACCCAGGCACACCAGCAACGGAAATTTCTGATGAAATTGCCCATGCTGTAGACATGATCCTCGTTATGACTGTATGGCCTGGCGCGGGTGGTCAGAAGTTCATTGCAGAGTGTGTGCCGAAGGTGGCTGAGCTCCGTGCACGATATCCTGAACTGGATGTTGAAGTCGATGGCGGCGTTGGTCCCAAGACGATTTGTGCGTGCGCAAATGCAGGTGCCAATGTCATTGTTGCTGGTACAGCCGTTTTTCGCGATTCCAAGCCTGATGCTGTGATCCAGTACCTTCGAGAGCAGTGTGAACAGGCACAAGAACGCATTCGCACTGAGCGTGAACAAATTCTTCGAGGGGAAAATATCGCAGGTGCCGGAATCGCACACTCTATGACGTATTTATCTGGTGACAAGGACGCGTGGAATTACCCACGTGCTTATATGTCGACGCCTAAGTAGTATGCTACGAGCGGCCGACTCATGTCAGGCGAAACAGGCACACAGTGTCTCACGCACGAAAATGAAAAGGATACTAAAAATAGAACCATGTCTGACGTAAATCTCGATTGCATCCGCCTTGTGGTGGGCTTAAGTATATATACACACCTCCATTTTCGGGGCTCGTGCCTGGTCTTGGGGATGCGGCGAACCAAGAGGACACGAATCCGTTCAAGACGCGTTACGCGACACGAAAGCTTCCAGTGTGTGACACGAGCGATATCTGGTGGCTCTTGACAATGAACTCATCTTTGTTCCTTGCGTACGGAGTACTGCTCACAGCAGCATCAGGCATCGTGTATCTTGGAAGTATGGCATCTCTGCACACGCCAGTATCGACAAAAGCGCTGCGAAAGCAGCAGGGACTCAAAGAGACGGACGACGAGGAGGACGACTTGTCTCAGGGCGTGTCGTCTGAAGGTGCATGGGTATTTCCACTATTAGGAAGTAGTGTACTCGTGACACTTTTTCTTGCGTTCAAATATCTTGACAAGGACAAAATTGTCCTGCTTGTCAATGGATACTTTGCGCTAGCTGGTAGCTTGGTGATCCCGTCTGTGCTAATCCATCTGTATAAGATGGGTCGCGGAGCGCACTCGCTCGATGCGTGGACAAACCAGGTGCTCTCATGTAACCTGGACCTTTCCTGGAAAGGCAATGCAAAGTCCACATCCCTGATTGACTTCCACATGAAATGGAATCGGATGATGCTGTACTTACTGGGTGTCGTAATTGCACTCATGGCTGTCTATCTGTACACGAAGCACTGGATTCTTGCGAATGTCATTGCTTTCTGCTTTGCTATCCAGGGCATGATGCTCATTTCTCTTGACACATTCAAGACAGGTGTAATTCTTTTGGGTGGTTTGTTTCTCTATGACATATTCTGGGTGTTTGGCAGTTCTAAATTCGCTGGACAGTCTGTCATGGTTCATGTAGCGACAAACTTTGATGGGCCGATCAAGATCCTTTTCCCCCGCAATGCATTAGAGGTCTGGTCTGACATGTCACAGCACGGATTTTCAAGTGAGGTCGCATTCAAATTCTCATTACTTGGTCTGGGCGACATTGTTGTTCCAGGTGTTTTTGCAGCTCTTGCACTCGCGTTCGATCAGCACCATGCCTCTATGAAATCTCCCTCACTCTCGTTCGATCGTTTTAACTATCGATTCAACAAACCATATTTCAACGCCTGCTTCGCTGGATATGTGCTGGGTCTTATGATGACGATGGGCATTATGCATGTTTTCGAGACGGGTCAACCTGCACTGCTTTACCTTTCGCCCTCATGTTCGCTGTCTGTTCTGCTCGTTGCATGGTGTCGAGGCGAGTGGAACGAGCTTTGGTCTTGGGTCAACCCGGCCTCACAGGAACCGGAGAAGCCTGTATCCAGTGAAGCTGTGAAAAAGCAAGACTAACTCCTCTCGATGTATAGCATCCTTATGAATAGGCATTTCATGACACCTCGTACTTTTGCAATCTACGGCTATCATTTGCCTCCTCCACTTTTGACCAACCCATCATTTTTGTCTGGCCAGAGAGACTTTTCTTGAACCCCGTCAGTGGCCTTGCATTTGTCCGCAAGCCGCGCGTCTCTATCATGGTGCGTGGACGCGATATAGCGCGCTCGACGACACGGCTACCCGCGGCTCTCAGAGAGGAGTTAGGGATTGCTGAAGCGAACCATCGTTCTCATCGACATGCGAAGAAACCGCGACTTAATTCCATAAGCACACGCAAAGCTGCCCGCAAAGAAAAGCGTCAATCCAAACATGCGTCTCGAGCGCCGAAGCCCAAATCAGTGCCGCTTGCACCACCTGCATCCAAGACTGTAGAAAAGACTCATGTGGATGTGACGTCTTCTACGCGTCCAACAAAGACTTCGAAACCGGGACGAGTCTTTGAGGGATCTGCCCCTTCGGCTACACGTGTGGTCATGGACCCTTTTACCGGGCAAATGGCGTCATCGTCAAAACTATCTGCATCTTCGACGAAGGCGCCTACGAAACTGGAACTCATGATGCGAGAGCATGGCGATACGTCCGCACGAGAGTCTGCGCGAAAGCCCACGCGAGCTCTTTCGATGGCAGAGCAGCAAGAAGAAGATGAGATTGCTTGGCTCGAACATCAGCTATATGGACGCAAGCGAAAGCACCATATCGAAGGAGATGATGTGGATGATTTACTAGATGATCTTGATCAGTTTCATCCTGGCATGTATGATGAAGACGAAGGTGACCATACCGATCTAGCTGGGCTTGACTCAGACGCCAATGTCAATGAAGATAGCGAAGCAGAGAATGAAGAAGAGATCACAGGAGATAAAGAAGAGCAAGAGGACGATGAAAAAGTGGAAGATGCTGAGGAGGAAGAGATGGAGAGCGAAGACTTCCGTGCAGATGACGAGCAAGTAAAAAGCCACATGGACGAACGTCCGGAAAATGTTCAGGCGACATCTTCACAAGCCGGTACTACACCTAAGTATGTACCGCCTGCACTTCGGCACCAAGTCAATAAAAGCGAATCACTATCAGTCGAGCAGCAAAAGCTACGACGCCATGTCAATGGCCAACTGAACAGGCTAGCCGAGGGCAATCTTGATACCATTGTCTCGGAGCTCGAAGGACTGTACCGTATATTTGCACGAAGTGATGTAACATCAACGATCACGGAGCTTTGTCTCGATACAATAGCAGCGCGAACAAACCTGAGCGAGAGCATTGTGGTATTATATGCTGCACTCATCACCTCTCTGCACCGCCTTGTTGGTGCAGAGTTTGGCGCGAATGTACTGCAATCTTGTGTATCGCGCTTTCTTACTTCATACAGTCAAATGATGGCAAGATCCAACAGTACAGAGCAAGGTGATGAATCTATGTCGGCTTGGAGCCGTGAGTGTGCAAACCTGATCATGCTTCTTTGCCACTTGTTCAACCTCAAAATGCTTTCTGCGATCATCCTCTATGACATGGTGCGCTTGCTTCTCGGGCAGAGTTTTTTACACATGGTTTCTGGCGTTGATGAGCAGAAGCCCATCACAGAGGTAGATATTGAGCTTCTCTTGCGGATCGTACAAAGCAGCGGACAACAGCTCCGTCATGCCGATGGAGAGTCACTCAAAGCCATTGTCGAACTCACGCAGCAATGTATGCGAGATGCGCCTGCCTCCGCTGCCACTGTCGCACAGTCGAGTCGTGCGCGCTTCATGCTCGAGTCACTAGCGCATCTTCGACAGAAGGGTCGGCACCTGGGCCGTGAATCGTCGGCTACAGCTGAAAGTTTGCAGCGCTTGTCAAAATACGTATCCTCTTTGGAACGCAAACGGACTGTACGCGCGCATTCCGCGCTTCAGGTTGGATTGCAGGACTTGCAAGATGCTGAGAAACGTGGCCGTTGGTGGCTTGTTGGAGCTGCGTGGACTGGCAAAGATAACTCTGAGCCAGCACCAGATGCGGTAGCAGGGGTGCCTATTTCATCTACCGCGGCGGCAGCAGCAGCTCCCAAGTCTCAGGGCGCTGATCTCGACGCATCTGATGATGAGTCGACGATAGATCTTACGCGCCTCGCACGAACGCAAGGTATGAATACTGACGCTCGGCGAATGGTGTTTTCGACCCTTATGTCTAGTCTGGATTATATGGATGCAGCACACAACCTAATGCAGCTCAAACTAAATGACGTGCAACGTCGCGAAGTGATTCGTGTTCTAGTGCACTGCCTTTCAAATGTACGTATGCGTGTATCACGACCTATTCATTCATTTTTTTTTTGTTCGGTTCATGTACTCACACTTTATGCGTAGGAGCGCGCATACAATCCATACTATGCGTTGATTGGCCAACAGCTCGCGCAAGACCAAGTCGGTATGCGTGTCACGATGCAATACGTGCTATGGGACTACTTCCGTGAGCTGGGCGAAAAGCACGTGGGTGGTCAGAAAGTGGTTCACGACGAGGGCGATGACGATGACGTCCATGGCATCGATTACACTACTATGCTTGACGAGCCTGATCGCATGCGCAAACTCATCCACATAGCACGAGCGTATGCTTTCTGGCTGGCCAAAGGCAGCCTGAGTCTGGTGGTACTCAAGACGGTCGACTTTACCGCCATCCATGCGCCAGCGGACCTTTTTCTCCAGCACCTGTTGCTTCATACGTTCCTGATCGTGCAAAGCAAAGTGCCACTCCTCACACCAAGAGCGCGAGAGGCTCTGGCGCGTTCACCAACCAAGCTGGAGCAAGAGCGAGTCGAGCAGGTACTTGTCAAGGGCACAGTCGGCCAGCCAAAACTGGCACAGGGACTGTTGGTATTTTGCCATATGCACATGCAACGCGAAGCACTGGTCAACTTGCTGGGCGAGACCGAGGCATGCGTTCTCACACGGCTTGAATGGGCTGTACGTGTAGCACGCGAGACACTGGGTGTTGGAGCGGCATCTGCTGAGGGTATTTCAGACGCTACGACGGGGGCATTGGACTCTTAGCCTGGGGCTTAGATTTTTGCCGTCGCTTGCTCGCCTGGACCATATCACGCTGCCGATTCGCAAGACGCCGACCAAAAGATGTGCTGCCTGATGCTGCACGCACGTCCTTACGTTGGACGGGCTTCTTTCGCAGCTGCTTCTTCAGCATATTGGACGGCTTTGGAAGTTTGAGCATCCACTCTGGCACATCACAGCCTGACTGCCGCATTACATTTACGACAGATTTCAGGTAGGGGGCATCGTCCTTTGTAAAGTACGTGATAGCCTTTCCTTGCTTACCGGCACGGCCCGTACGCCCAATCCGGTGAATATAGCTCTGCACTGTCTGGGGAAAGTCGTAATTGATAACCAGGTTGACGCCATGAAAGTCAATACCGCGGGCCATGAGTTCTGTACAAATAAGAAGCCAAATATCACCGCGACGAAATGCTTGAATCACAGCTTCTCGCTGTGCTTTGGGCCGCTCACTGTGGATGACGTCCACGTGCAAGCCATCGTACACGAGCTCGTGAAACAGTTCGCGTGCGCGCTGGATTGACTGCACAAAGAGAAGGACCGGTGGCTGCATGCCTCCTGCCTGGATCAGGGCTCGCAGTGCATGCAGTTTTCCATCCTCCGAGCCTGTGAACTCGAGGCGTTGTTCAATGGTGGCAGTAGCACTATCTTTTTGTCCCACGAGCACACGGCATTCATCCACCATGAATGTCTTAGCGAGTTCTTCCACGCCTGCTGGAAGTGTGGCACTGAAAAGAGCTTTGCGCAAACTTGGATTCGTGCAAGCAGCGAGGATTGCATCTGTCTGCTCGAGGAATCCCAGCTCCAACAAACGGTCCGCCTCGTCTAATACAAGCAATTCCACCTGGCTCAGGTCTAACTCCTCATGCTCAATCGAGTGCACAAGACGCAACGGCGTCGTGATGAGGATATCGAACTTCTTCTTCTTGATTGAATCACTTGTGGCTTTTGTCACATTTGTTAGTAGGCAAGTGCGAAACGCCTCCCCGTCGGCCAGAAGCTGCAGCTGACTGAAAATCTGTTGTGCAAGCTCACGGGTGGGGCTTACAATCACTGCGCGGAATCCATGCTTCTGGTGCCGCTTGAGCAGCTGCAGTGTGGGTAGCACGAATGCTAAGGTCTTTCCTGAGCCTGTCGGCGCGCCTGCCAGCAGGTCACGTCGATCAAGCATGACACTCATCGCGCCACACTGGATAGGCGTTGGCTCTTTCCAGGGCCCTTTCAACAGATTCTTGTATAGCCATGGCTCGATGTGCCAGCGTGTTTCGAGATCATGCCAAGTTTTGAGAGGAAGCGGGACATCGGTTCCTGTGAGTTTGAGCTGGCGTTCCCGGAGGAAAGCAGGTAGCTCTGAGCGCTGAAGCGGTAGGTTGTTCTGCGTCGTTACGCGCTGTCTATGCTTCGAAGCATCCTCTGCTGCTCCTGCCTCAGCCTCAGCCACTGCACGCTCGTCCTTGTGACTCCCAAAAAAGTCCAACGAAGCTGGGAGAGCCGCTCCAGCACTTTGCTCAGGCGCACGGGCATGTTCGTTCTCATCGCGCTTGCGCGATTCTTGGAACAGTGATATGTCTCGTGAGAACCGCTTCTTATCGAAGCGTGTCCCCCCTGCCGTGAGCGCACTAAACAGGTCCATGTTGGTCGGGGTTGAAGTACCCTTTGTGCTGTCGTCGTGGGTCGCTCGTTGTTGGGCCACCTGCCTGTTATTGCGAGTTTCTTATGCATCTCTCGCATGACTTTTCCAAAAAAAAAAAATGAAAATTTCTCTCTCTGATTACAGGCACTCTGGAAAGCCGAATCTCTTACTGACTAATGAATATGTAGGTGCATTTGGACCGGCTTCGCCGCTATTTCGTATCATGTATCGTGTCGTGTCATATCATCTCGTCCACAGCCGCCGGCCTAGGCGTCCATCACAGTCTGCGCATTCGTGATGGCATAAACAAGTGCATTTGGCGAACGGGGGTCCTTGATAAGGGCACTTCGAATCATGTGCGTCATGGTATTGACGTCCATGTGGCCATACACAAGTTCCACATGCACATGTTCAGGCGTGATCGGCGAGGTCAGCGCCAGGTCCATGTCGACGTGAACATGAACCTTGGCTTGTGCATGCTCCAACAGCACGGGTGCAACAACGTCAAGTGCTGTGTCATGCACATCGTCCCGGCTCGGTGTCACTAGGACAGGCACATGCAAGCGCAATCGATCGACCTGAGCGCGTGCCTGCAAGTATACGTGCCAGAGCGTGCGGTCGTTCGTAGCACATCCGGCACACAAGCAGGCGTGTGTGCTTCTAAATGCGAGCGGATTACGCAGATGGCTGCCATGTGCATAGGTGACGCTTCCACGGGCCGCGCTGGCGATATGGCGACGCGCTTCACTGTACCACTATGGCCACCACGGCGCCCGTCGAGCTCAATAGCCACGTTTAGTGTGCGTGCAAATACGAGCTGCAGTAATGTTGAGGTCTTGTTTGTCAGCGACCATTGTAAGAGGGTTTCTAGCTGCCGGATGCGTCGGCCAAGACGAACGGCCTCCCCTGGCGTGCATCCATGGATCTGGTCACTCACGACACGTGCAGCACGAATGAGTTCTTCCGTTTGTTCGCGCTTGGCATAGGACTCATCAACTCTCGATCGCACGCGAGCTAGTTGATCGGCAACGTCGCGCTGTTTTGCACGCATCGTTTGCAACACATGGTCTTGTTCATCAATGGATGCATGCAACTGCTTGAGCTCTTCTGGATCGCATTGTCGAATTGCTTCTTGTCGTGCGCGAGCCTCGTCGACGCGTTGCTTGAGCTCTGCGTGTCGTTCTCTTAAAGTTGGAAGAAGCTCATCCTCCAACGTCGCGCGCTTGCCGAGAACACGCTCTTGGTCAGCCCGCAATGCATCACGATGCTGTACCAGTGCGAGCACCATGTCATCGTCATACTGCATATCTGTGCGCCAGCCGTAATAGTCGTGCATCGCAGCGGCTCGCGCTGCTTGCTTGTGGACGTTTAGCTGGCCTTTCATACTCCGTCGCATGTCGTCGTCCTCCAGCTGGCCCCACTCCTGGACGAAGGCAGGTGGTCGGGCATAAAAGTCCTGCTCCATCGCATGCAGTCGCACACGCCCGTCTTCCACATGCTGCTTTAGTTCTTGACATGCATTGCGCAAGGCTTGAAGCATCGGTGCCGCTGCGCCAGCCATTTTTGCATACTGCAAAGCGGTTGTAGGATGCATCGTTCCGCCTGCCGCTGCTGCTTCTCTTGGTCGCTCTGCATGTGTGCGTGATGCGGTCATGTCCTCATGGAACTTGAGGCCGATCACGCTCAGAAAGTCCGCCAGTTGCATGTGGAACGACGTCTCCTCGTCTCGATCTGTGAGATCGCCGTCTGAACGCGGCGACACGTTCGATTGCGACATACGCCCACCGCGCTGCCGAAGCAACGAATGAATGAACGGCGATCGCGGCCAAGCAGCTTGCTGCGAATAGGCGTCCGACATCCGGAATTGTGCGGCACCGCGTATGGGCGGCGATAAGGGTGTGGGAGACATGTCCCTGTCTGTCGCTGCAGAGCGCGCAGGACTGCCGATCGGGGGTGTCGTAAGCGCACGGCGCGGTGGTGAGTGCTGATACGATGGAGAAGGAACGCCTCCGCGTAGCGATTGTCGGAATCTCGTTGGTGTGCTGGGTGTGCTGGGCATCGACTCCCATGCAGGAGGTATAGAAGCCGCACGCTTCTCAGCCTTCGGCGTACTGCCAGCTGAGCCCGTGCGAGCCGATCGATCTGGCGAGAGAAACATGGTCTGTCGACGCACAGGAGAGCGTTTGGGCGACGTCGGTGATGGTGAACGAGGCACGGAAACCACAGGAGGAGGAGCGGCTACAGTAGCAGCAGCAGCCTCAGCAGCCTCACGTTTCCGTGTCGCATCCTCGGCAAAGCGACCCCACATTTCTGTCATTTCCATCGCCGAGCGCTCTGCGTCACTATCCAGCGTCGTGTCGGAGGACTCGCTCGCATCACTAGCAGGCGAAAATGCCATAGTGAGATCCATAGTTTGCGTAGTGTCACTACCCATGGATGAGCGCGGCTTTCTGGGCGAGGCACTAGACTTGTTGAATGAGACCTGAGGAGTGCCAAGCGAAGGGCGCGTCTTGCTAAGAGGTGAGCGAGGCGCGATAGGCGGTGGTGATAGCGACTTGAGGGACGATGCTCGAGGAGCGTTGAGAGCGGGGCGGCTCTTGCTTGGAGATGCGTCGGGCTGTTTGGCCGAGAGGATCGATTGATGAGATATACTAAAGGGATTGTAGGGGGATGGGAGAGTCTTGAGGGGGGACACAACCGACTTGTGAGGAGGTGCGATGCCGTGCTTTTCGGGCGACGCATGAGGCTTGCGAGGCGATGTAGACATGTTGATCGATGATACGTGGGAAGTATTGAGCAACATACTAGTATCCCGTGCAGTGCTATCGTTTACCGCACTAAATCGTCCAGTCAGCTCCATGTCCACTGACTCTTCGCCCGCACTCTCGTCTTTGAAATCCTGATGGTCATATAGCTCCAGTTCCTGTTCTTGTTCTTGAGTTCCACGCATGTTCCATGTTGTTGTCATTTCCATGCCACTTTGGTCTGAATCGAGACTCATAGAGACCTCACTGTCGTCCATATCCGACGACGCCGACGACATGGCCTGAGTAGGCGATGATGATGATGCATTCGGTACCGGCGATCCACGCTCAACAAGCGCATTGCGGTCGTGTACCTGCGCAGGACGAATGCTCATCGTGGGCTCATCCTGTTCAAAGTCCCTGAAAAAAAAGTAAGTTCCTACATGTAAGAACGTACGTACGTTTGTTCCTGATATGCGCTAAAAGTGACGCGACGGCGCTTTCGATCGGCCTCCATAGGCTGTTTGGCTGGTACAGATATTGTGTGTGCTTCGTTTTTGGCGGGTGACGCGCTCGATGGTCGGAACAAGGCCGTAAAGGGGTTGGGAAGTCCTGGCGAACGAAGCCGCTCGTCCAAAAGGTCATTCAAGCCGTCTTGCTCTGTTTTCGCGACAACGTTTTGCATGTCTTGACCTGGCATGCGAATGTGTTCGTGTTCAGGATTGGGCTCGAGATTGGTAGGACTTTGGAACACTTGAGGTGTTGCACGAATGGCGCTTTTTCTTGGCGCCGCACGCTCCTTGGACTTGGGCGACACACCCCCCACGGTACCGCCACTTGCGCCACCGCCAAAGCTTTTGGCTTTCTTTCGCTTCAAACCATCTTGCTTCCGTGGTGATTTGCGTACCAATGGCGGCACGTTTTCCTTGCCGAGCTCTGGTAGCGACGAGCGCGCCCGCAATGGCGACGGCATAAGGAAACAACAACAACAACACTTTGTGCTCGCGTGGCTTGCGACTTTCGAGTGAAATTGGGTGACGCGTCCTTCTCGTGTTGATGCGGAGTATCACGTGATCTATCTCACACAGTGGGAATGAGGCTCTGACATGACGCTGTGCCGACCGCTGTTAGGACGCCCTTCATAGCACGCGGGCGGACAAAAGCGTTGGAACCATACCCCAAGATGACAGACGCGGGCGAAGCCACGGGGTCGCGCTCGTGGTACAGCTACGTAGCTGCACCTATGGTCGGGCAGTCGGATCTAGCTTTTCGTCTCACTGCTGTCCAGTATGGAGCCACAGCGACGTGGACGTACGTTACATGCGCGCTCTTATGTGCATAGGCAAATGTACCATACAGAAGATATCTTATATCACAATGAAACATATGAAAAGGCACTGCGCGCGCTGGAAATGGGAAGTGCAGCTCGAGAGAATTGCGATATTGTAACTGGAGAAAGAGCGCCTCAAATCGTTCAACTGGCTGGCGATGATCCCGAGCAATTCGTTCAAGCAGCACGGCGTTTCCTACCTATCGCTGATGCAATAGATTTGAACCTTGGCTGCCCACAAGCCCGAGCGCGTGACGGCCATTATGGCGGTTATCTACTAAAGCGACGTGAATGGCCCTTACTCGAACGAATCGTGCAAGCGTTATGCAAATCTTGTGACGTGCCTATCACGACAAAAATCCGGCTGTGCGATACGGCATCCGATACGTACGAGCTTGGGCAACGACTTGCGCTTGCAGGCTCATCGGTTATCACTTTGCACGCTCGGCATGTAGCGCCGAATCGACGTCGTGCTGGTATGGCTAAACTTGAACATGTACGTGGCTTGGTCGATGCTCTAGGTGCAGAACGACGCACACGCGTGCTAAGCAATGGCAATGTGCGCTCATGGGCCGACATCCCCACGAACATGGCGTATACACATGCGGATGGAGTCATGGTCGGCGAGCCGTTGCTAGTCAATCCTGATCTTTTTACGCCCTCAGCGGCTTGTTCTCATCACCAGCACCATCCAGCTCAGTGTGCCTTATCCGACTCGCAGTGCCAATGGTCTGGGTCACCGATCGTGACATACTTGAACATGTGTGAACGATACCCTATTGATGCACCCATGTCGTGCATTCAGCAGCACATCCAATCCATGATGCGAGGCTTGCCACCCAGCCGTGAGACGCGTGCCCTGCACGATGCACTACGAGAGGCAGGCGACGTGCAAACGATGCTGCATCTAGCTAGGTCGTCCTCTGTACTTCAGCTGCAAGCAGGTGCTGTGCATAAGGATGATCCAAAATAGCTGGGCGATTCTGCTTGAAAGATTCGACAGCGCTAGGTTCCTGCTCATGCAGCTGCTCCCACTTTCGAGCGAGTGTGCAGATAGCATCCTTGCGCAGTCCAATTGCATCATGACGCAGCTTGTCGATTTCTGGCTCAAACGTCACCAGACATACGTATATCAATTTCCAAGCATACTCCAGTGCCGGGACGGATGATGCAATGCGAACGCCTGATGACGGGCGTGACTGCGCGTGTCGCGGTGGCCACGCACATGGCTCCCAGGTAACCCGCAATGGCTCCGTGGGCGACACGTGATCAAAGCCGATAGCTACTTCTTCCTCTTCGAGGCCAAACCATGCGATGCGCTGGAGCCAGTGCTCGAGCTTGTACACAGGCGCTGTGGGAGTGCGCCGTGGGAGGCGTGGCAGCTCCAGGATGGTAGTGTGCACCACCGGCTCCTGTGATGCAATAGGCCCAAGACGTGAAGACGATGTCTCTTGCACCGTGTCACTAGGAGTGGCAGTGGCAGTCGCTCGTGGTGCGGCCGAGGGTGTTGGTGCAGGTGGCTCTGTGGGCGCCCGCTCAGAGAGCCGGCGCTTCATATGAAAAAGGCCTGCAATAGACAGGAAAGCAACGAACAAGGCGCCCATGATACGTGGGTATAGTACGACGTAGTCAAGAAAAAACATGAGTACGGTCATGCCAATGCGCCAAGTCAAGCTCAGAAGGTAGCGAGCTAACGACATCCAGTCTTCATATGTGATTCGGGCTTGTTGCTGTTGTTGCTGCTGTTGTTGCCGCGGCGGGTGCGCTAGTTCGGATTCAGAGGATGCGCGTGTCGCACTCGATACCGCAGTTCTTTGTTCAATACTATAGGCATAGAACTGGACATACAGTTTCATGAGTGCATGGATCCGCTTGTCCAATGTTGAAAGAAGCTCCATCACGGAGCGCGGTGGTATCGGTTTGTTCGTGCACAGTAAGAAAGGAAGACCCTCTATCCATACGGGTTCATAATATTGTTGAGTTGTGTGCGCGTCATTCTGGCAGGCTCGATCACATTCGGCAAAGAGGGATGTCCACTGCATGACATACGAGTCCACTATTTTGATTGCTTCAGTCTGCATCTGTGCGTCTGTACGCAGCATTGAGGCATGATCACCCGCGTGTACCTCGATCGGGAGCCTGGCCTCGGCGCTCGGGTCCAACGTTTGCTGTATCTTGTGCATGAACGTGCAGTAAGATGCGTATGTAATGTACAGCGCCAATAGCATGCTCTTATGCTCGTGCCTGGGAAGCTCCATGAGCCGCTGCATACATGGATCAGGGTGTGTTACCTGTGACATACGTGCAGATGCTGGAGTATGCGTGAGCGGTGACGTTGTTGGTTTTGGAGGAAATGGTGAAGAGGAGGCATCTGTCGAGGAGGAGGAAGAAGATGAGGAAGATGAAGGCAAAGATGAAGACAAGGAAGGTGCACGGTTCTTTGCGTCATGTTGCACGGTCGAAGATGAAGGCAGCTCAGGAGGCGAATATGGTGTCCAGGCCTCTGGCTGCACGACGATATGAATGACCACGGGCTGTGATTCACCCAGCTGAAGTACCTCAAGCTTTGAATCATTAGAAAGGATTGAACCGCGATAAATACATCGGATCGCATGGGGTTGAGGCCATCCGTCGGCAGCGCATTTGGTATGGCGCACGTGCTCAGAAATTTTGCGCTTGACATCTTCCACTGTCATGGAAGTATCAGCCTCTACGAGTGCATTTGCATGAAAAGAGGTATTTCGCACGTCAAGCAACATGTGCTTTGGACTGTTGGACGGAACCACGGACGGCGGGTCCCCGGACATGGTGGTAATCGATGTTGATGATGTCGTTTGCGAAACAATGGAGGGTGTAGAAGGATTTAAGCGTGTCTAGTTCAATGCGGAGTCGCGGGTCCGCCACCACAAGTCCACGTGGTCATCTCCACGCTTTTATCACACAGATCAAGTCGTGACACACGCACGTATCGACTTTCGGACAAGCGCTTGCGTGGCACGAGATTCACGCGCTGCGTCTGAAGGCGTTGTGCGAAAAGTGTGAGCGGCACTATTTGCAGCACGAATCTGGCAAAGGATCGGCATGAACGTATATGAAGTACGTGAGGGAATGCAGTTCCGAGTTTGCGTGTCTAATGACAGGAACAAAAATTATACCATACAAGTCAGGATCGCGAGCGGTACGAGACGATGGCGACCTTGTTCAGTCTCATCACATGCCTGGACTACTTGGAACGTGCTTATGTGCGTGGGGCGGTGCATGAAGAAGCATACGCGACGCAATGCTCGCGACTCTTGGGGCAGTATAAGACTGTGATCAAGCTGATCACGGACCCAAGTCAGCCTCCTGCCTATCGGTTCCACGATGTGCATGCATTTATGCAGCACTTCCACATGGATCACCCAGCGGCAGCACACCGACTCGCACTTGGCATTCCTGCGACGATCGAGCACGGAGGTAATGAAACTACGGGCCCAGCATCTCAGGGCGTAGGGGCGCAAATTGTCGCCGAGACAACACAAAACTTTATCACATTGATGGACGCGCTCAAGCTCCAAATGCGAGCGAAAGATCAACTGCACCCTCTATTGAGTGATGTGCTGAGTGCATACACGAAAGCAGGCACGAACTCGGGCGAGTCGCGTGAGAAGCTTCTTGAATGGTGCGTAGGCACATGCAGCTGCTCGATGTGTGACGATCGACTCACACACCATATACAGGCTCATTCGGTTAAATCGACTCAGTGCGAGTGAAGAGGTGGATGAATCGCAAGCGCGCGAAATGTTGTTTGACGTTGAGCAGGCATACACGGCATGGTTCAAAGGTCTATCGTAAGGGGATGAATGGGTCCGAGGTATTTTACGAAGAGCCAAGGGGGATCATGGACGTAAGGAAAATGCCACTCAGTGGCAGCACGATATTATCATTCTGCTCAGACAAGCCCTCAACCATTGCGAGCAAGACCATGACCACGGTAAAGGGAACCATGCGGAATGCCTCGACAAGGCCAAATATACGCAGGAATGTAACAGATGTTATCATGCTCGCGACAAAGCCAAACGTGCCTTCGACTGTCTTATTGGAAAGTGGCCAATGGATACGTCCGTACTGCCGGCCAACAATGGACGCGACAGCGTCGCCGACGCCCAGCGCTAGGACGCCCAGCTGTTGTGTGATGCGACTCTGACTCTCGACCCACAGTCCTGCCGCGCAGCCAGACAGGAGGTATCCATGGCTCAGGATCACCAGCCCACTGTCTTTGCTGTCGAGGAACTGACTCAAGAAGAAGTGCAGCGTCGCTCCCACAGGGTACACGGCACAGTACCGCAGGTATTCACAGAGAACAAATACAGCCAGCGCTCCACTGAAGGCAAGGTGCATGAACGCCGGATCCCATGCGATGCCCGGCACAAATAGTAGGACAGCTAGTGCATGGAAGAACTTTCGTCGCCCATTGACACTCACAGCGACACGTGGTCCAAGAGACGTGCTCTCCTCCTGCTCACCACGCTCTGAAAACTGCGTTGCAGCCAGCGTACTAGCACGCTCAGTCGCAGTGAGTGCAGTGCGTCCATGCATGGACATTTGGGAGATGCGTCCATGGCTGCTGCCAGCGCCGGCGCCACTGCCGCCGATAGCACTACTGCCAACGCTGCTGATGCCACTGGCAACGCCGCTCGCATTGCTAGTGCCGCTTCCACTGTTGGGCCGATATCGAGGCTGTTTCTTGACCTGATCTCCCACCGTTGCATATTGCCACATGCGATTGACCATGAGCTGGATGCTCAGCAACGCAATGTTGCATAGCGCGCCCCAGTACGCAAGAAGTGCGAAACGGAACCACCAGTACGGTCCTTGCAGCATGAAGCGTGCCAAGTAGAACCAGGCACTGCGCTTGCGCAGCTGCCAACCAAGCCATGGGGCTAGCACACCTAGCACAAGAGCAAGCGAAAACACAAAGAATGCGAGTGCGAGGAGTCGGCGATGCAAGTTGCGCTTCAGCGGCCAGCGCAGGCGATGCGTCGGTCGCTGGGCCAAGTTGCGCGATAGGACAAGCAACGGGCTCAAGACATAACCTATTAGGAACATACCGACAATAAGAGCCAGCTGACAGTACATAATGGCCGATGGCTCACGGAAGAAATACTTCGCGTACGGTGGCACAAGACGGGCCATAGTGACGATCACAGCTTCGTGGAACAAGGCTGTGCCAACAGCACAGATGATACTGAGCTCGCCCAACGTACAGTTCTGACGCGCTACGCGCGTCACCATATACAGCTGATTCTGGAATAGGAGTGCAGTCGTGAATGTCATCCATGTGGGCATGCTTGCTAGTAGCCAATGGGCATGACCCGTCGCACGGCATACAATCTGCACACTCATGCAGACACTGCTGAGGATCAATGCAAAAGCATGGAAGATGAGGAAGGATTTGCCTGGCGGCAGGCTCTTCCAGTGATGTGCGCGGCGCTTGCAGTACGCTCGCACACACGACGAAACACATATATGGATACCAAGGATCAGCGCGCACAGTACATGCAGATCAAGCAACGTGCTGCGTCCTTGCACAGGATCAGTCTGCTCAGGCAGTCGCTCGACACGCCAAGCTCCCTTCATGCCCAGGCCCATGCGTGGTGGGGCCAGGGGGCCTGGTGGCTGCGTGGTGGGAGCGACGTCCAGTAGCTGCGCACATGCGACCAAAGGCAGAAGAAACACGTACAAGGGATCGCTTGGATCGGCTTTTCGTAAGTATGTCACGCGCGTCACCCAGATGGTACATGCGTGTTGTAGGTGTAGGAAAAAACACACAAGTAGGACCATGCCCACAACCAGCATCTCGAATGCCTTGTCCCGTACGTCCGGCGTACTTCGCAAGAGACGTCCAAGCACGACCATCCATGCAGTAACAAACAATGCGCATTCCAACAAGGGTCGGATGATCGATGTAGGGGCTGGCGATGGCCGCGACGTCGCCGGCACGGAGCGCGTGCGACTTGAGCCGCGCGTGCGCCGCTTGCCTTGAATGAATGATGTATCTTCAGAGTCCACGTCCATGTGGTGTAGTGCATGCGTGGGTCCATGCTGACCACGAGGACGTGCCTGGATGAGCGTTTCTGAGCTCGCTTCATCGTCGTAATGGTCGCTGTCGCCTGGCAGTACATGTGCGCCGCGGGCTGGCATGAGTGGAATGCCCTGGGAATTTACGCGTGTCGACGAGCGAATTCGATGGTATGGACTCCTTGCGCCGACTGTAGACGCATCGGAATCGCTTGCTTTGGTCATCCCAGCGTGCAGGCGGCCAGGGAGATGCGAAGGGGGGATGAGAGGGTGGGCGGGGACAGGAAGAGGAACGAGTGTTAAATTATCGGGCTTCGAATATGTTTCCGAAATTCGCACTGGCTCTAGACGTGCCGTTCGTCCGACAAGGGTTTATTTGTGACTTGACCGATGAAATTCTCAGCTAATTTGTACTATACGGTGAATTGTCAGAAGTATTCTGATGTCTCTATCAAGTCCCTTGACACTGACATGTTACTGGTCTTTGCATTGAGGGCGAAGTCACGGATAAGATAGTTAGAAAAGAGTTCTACCGATACAAATAGATGCATAAAACATCTGAAAGGAAAAAAAAAAAATGAAAATAAAATAAAAACAAGAAGATCTAGCCTAGTAGCGCATACGCTTTGGCGCGCGATCTTCGTAAGAACGTGCAGGACCCGGTGCGCCGTACGATAAAGATCCAGATGCATCATGGAGTCCATCTCGATCGCGGTAGCTATGATCGCGAGGCCGACTGAAGCGGTCGCCGCCGCGATCACGGAAGCTGCTTCCGCGGTCGCGGAATCCACCGCCCGCGCCGCCACGGCCACCACCTCGAAACCCGCCGCGTCCACCACGGAAGCCACCACCACGGCCGCCGCCGCCGCCGCCGCCGGCAGGGCCAAATCCACCACGACCACCCACAACGCCACGGAAAGAATCAGGCCGGACTTTTTGTTTCGGCTTGCGCGATTGGCCGCCCAAGCCACCACCGAGCCTTGCTGGCTTCCAGTCAGGCACTGTGCGGCCGCGCTCGACATCGACAAGGATGCGGCGTCCATCAATACGCACACCTTCTGACCGTGCATATGCAGCTACAAGTAAGTCCATGTACCAGGTGAAACAAAAAAAAAGGCAAGTTGAAATACGTACTGCGTTGATCGCGTTCTCGATCAAAGAGGAGAAACGCATATCCACGGCTCTTGCCGTCAGGTCCACGCACTAGATGGATGTCTTCAATGCGCCCGTACCGCTCAAACTCACGCGCCAACTCGCGCTCCGTGGTATCGTACGACAGGCGCGCGACAAACAGGGTTCTGTATGGGTCGCCTGCAGCATGGGTATTTTCATGGGGCCGGTACGTGTCCAACATACGCTGGCGCGTATCTGCGCGTTCCTTTGCGCGCTCTTCTCGACGCACTTCCGTCTGTGTGACGATCGCATCTGTCTCATCAGCAGCGTCGGTGGGATGTTGGCTGATCTCTTGTCTTGCTCGTTCGAGAAACGCCGCCATGCCCTCCAAGGGTCGAATCTTGCGCTGCTCAACCTGCTTTGCGGTGCGGGGAGCTGGCCGTGCATTGGGATCTTTGTCTCCCGGCAACGGGCGCAGGTATTCAGGCGGCGGCCGAGGAGCAAAGAGGCGCAGGAGCTGGGGTGGTAACAAGTGTGTCATCGTAATGCGAGCACGCGTAGCTAGTGGAGCCACAAAACTCAAGCGCTTGCAAGATCACGCGCTCAAACACACACGCTCACGAAAGAGAGAGAAAGACCAGCTATGTCGTTCGGAAATGCGCTCGCAACGACACAGCGTCTGCTTCCAGAGGCTGCCGTGGGGGAGAGAGAGGGACGTCACAGAGCTCTCTAAGTCTGCCGAGCGAAGGATGTCGATAACAAGGGCCGCCGCACACATCCACACGAGCGAAACACGAAGCGAGGTTCACTCGGCCGAGTAAGCAAGTGGCGCCTGGCCAAGTGATCGGTGAGGAGGGGAGGAAGGAAGGGATGACGACAACGACGCGTGGAGCTCTGTTGTCCGTCTTTCTGGACGATCGAAGCGACACACAGACTCACTTTCCGGGCACGGTCGTTTGAGTACCATGGCGTCGCAGGGAACAGGCTACGACCTGTCTGCAAGCACATATTCGCCAGATGGGCGCATCTTCCAAATTGAGTATGCGACCAAAGCGGTGGAAAATGCCGGCACAGCCATCGGTGTGCGGACAAAAGATGGCGTCGTGCTGGGCGTTGAGAACCTGATTCACTCCAAGCTACTCGTCCCTGGTTCGAACAAGCGAATTTTTGGCGTAGACAAGCACATCGCCTTGACGTCAGCTGGTCTTACCGCCGATGGCAAGCACTTGGCTGGGCGTGCGCGTGAAGAAGCCGCGAACTTTTTCGACAACTACAAGCAAAAGACACCTGTCAAGTCGCTCGCAGAGCGGATTGCACTGTACATGCAGGCATTTACACTGTACTCATCTGTGCGCCCATTTGGCGCCGCTGCGATCCTTGGTGGCGTCGACGAAATGCACGGTCCACAGCTCTTTCTCGTGGAGCCGTCCGGCATGTTTTGGGGTTACCACGGCTGTGCCGTAGGTAAAGGCAAGCAATTTGCAAAGACTGAGATCGAGAAACTTGAACTTGACCAGATGTCCATGGAAGAGGCCGTCATTGAGGTCGCGCGCATGTACGTATCGTTCCGCCCACTTCCCTCCTTCACGCGCCCTTCCCTTTCTCCCCTTTACTTCCGCATGGATACTGACAGCGCGCTACAGCATCTACAAAGCACATGACGATGCCAAGGACAAGGACTTTGAGCTTGAGCTCTCGTGGATTGGCCCAGATGGCCGGCATACGGCCGTGCCTGCCTCGCTGCGCGACGAGGCTGTTCGCAAGGCGCTTCAGTCGCTCGAGGAAGACATGGAAGACTAAAGGACATCTAGCGTTGGATTCTTTGCATGATAGCTAGCAGAAGGCTCAATCCGAGCTGTGTGTATACGAGAAGCAGCTCTAGACACGTGGCCACTACCACGTCCATGTGCCATAGAGCGACGGTTGGCATCGTTATCGTAACGACGTGTACATCCCAAGCCCACCGCTGATGCGGCGCAGCGATGTGCGTGACGTCATTCGTAGGGGTATATTGGGCGAGCAACGAGTGCATACCTCTGAGTACAAACGCTGGGTACCAACGAAGCACGGCATTGGCTCGCTCTTGTCCAGCTAGCGACTCGGTTTCATGCAGCGCATTCGACACTATGTCTCGTGCGCGTGTCATGAGCTGACCATAGATCCCAGGGGACATGCGAGTATTTCGAGATAACCAGGGCGCGTGGAACTCGATCAACACGCGCCACGTCCACAACCATGGGCGAAACAGACTCATTGCACGTGCATGGTGCACGACGACCGGCGAGCTAGCGCCGCTGCGTGCCTGGTACGTAACCAACTCCTGCACTGGCTCTCGATTCCATCGTGCACTGGCTCCTTCAATCTGCGACTGCAGCTGTTGAATGAACGAGTCCATGTACTGCCGCGTCTCAGCCATATGCCCGTGCAGATTCGGCCGTCGAGCCGTGCGCGTCTCGTATTGGTACGGGCGTGCGGTCTCATGACGAAGAAAGGTGCGCTCATCAAAACATACGCGCTTGTTCTCTTTGGAGGGATCTGTCGCTTGTGTGGGTGACACGTCATCAGGAAGTCCAGTCGCTGCCATCCCTGCGTCCATGTGCAGTCGCTGCTGCTGTGCATCATGCTCCAGCGACGCATGCAAGAGTTTCTCGACATGTTCCAACTTGTCCGAGCTACCAGCTGGTGTTACTTGTGAACTTGGCCCTGGCTCGCTCGTGCTTGGCTCGGTGTTTGTGTGCGGATAAGAAGATTTGGCCAAGTCTGGTGACAAAGCCTGACGACCCATGTCCGGCTCTGCTACCACATTTGACGACAAAGGCGCAACTGGGTGCTGCACAAGTCGAAGGAGATCAGGTTGACGTCGTGGCGACATAGAAGGCGACATGGACCGCGCAGATCTTGTCGACTTGACTGAGGGTGAGGTCGGCTCTATCATCGTGTCGTTGGTGAGCTGAGCAGAAACAGGCCGCTGCTGGTGACGCTGCTGCTGTTGCTTACCACACGCACGGATGCACGCACTCACACGTACGCACTTCTACTCACACGCGCAAGCAAGAGTTGGGGAAGAAAGAGTGTGTGTACGAACAATGGAAGAATTCCCTGGCGCCCACATAAAGAGTGTGCACTTGCAACGTCGGGTCCACTAACGAGATTGGATGTGTCCTTACTCATTGCTACATGCGGATGGATATATGCAAGGCCCGATGCCGGCGCGTGCGTGCGCATCGCCGCCTCCGGCCAAATAAACGTGTAGTGGAGGAAGCTCGCGAGAGAAATACGATCAAAATCGAGCGCGCTCTGCGAGGAGGGTAAGACGCTTAGAAAGTAATGCATTGTGCGGCCCATGCGCGCGCATGTCTTCCATGAGGCACAGACGCCGTGTGAACGTCATGGTCGGCATGCTCGTGGTTAGTGCCGTCGGCACTATCGGTGCTGTTGATATCATTTGTCGTTGTGTCGTTGTGGTGCTGCTCTGAGTTGGCAAGTCGGCTTTCATCCAATTGTTGGCCGCCACGGATCTCAGCACGTTCCACAGGCACAACGCCCATCCATTCCCACACACGTTGCCATTCACCATGCCACTGTGCTTGACGTGTGCGTACATTTGCATTGCGCTCGACAACTTTGGCCACATGCTGCCAGAGCTGGCGCCGCACCTGAGGATTGGGCTCCGCTTGCAGGATCGTGTCGCGGAGATGTGGCACAGGAATGCCACGTGGTACGACACGGCTCGAGCCCGCCTCCATGGCCGCCATGTGAGCAAGCACCTGTTTCTGCAGCTGCTCAAACACCCGTTGAGTATGCGTCGATACCACATGCTGACGGATCCGTGAACGCTGCACACGGCGCGAGAGAGTGAATGTGCCCACGAGAGCAAGGAACGTGCATAACAGCGCAAGGCGGTGGCGCCATGCCCAGTCAAGTACGTATAAGCGCAGCCGACATGTCACCGGCATGGTCTTGCGTGGCGACACGAGCCATCGATCAACGACCGATCCATGCCGAATCGATCTTGCATCCTTGTTTTGCACAATAGCCTGCATGTCGGCGTGTGCATGCTCAAGAAGCCCGTCGATTACCATGCGCCATAGAACGTCATACGTATGCGCGTCGACCGTGTCCACCGTACGCGCTTGCAGAAGCGTCTTCACTTCGGTTTCTGGCAAGGCATACATACCCAATGGTGCTTCGACTGGTGCATTCTCATGTGCCTGTTGCCGGCCGCACCGAACCTGTCCATGGAAGTGCGCTAGATAGTCGACGAGAGCATCGGCCAATTCGGAAGCCAGCACGAGCTTGTATGTGTCAGGTACACAGCGCCTGGCGCGCCATCCTAGGGGCACGAGCTGTGCAAGGAGGGGGATCTGAGCTAAAGCTGGCTCTTCTATCGTGTAGTCAGACGAATCGCATGCAACAAGTTGGCCGCCAACACAAACCCCATGTTCTGGGCATGGCGTGCACACTGGTGTGACGACCACCTGCAGCGCTTGCCATACATTGGTGGGTCGCTCAGGCACCGGTGGCTGTGTGCCTGAGAGGCAGTACCCTTCCAATCGCGATTGCCAGCAGAACCAAATCCATGCAAGTACACTGAACCAGGCAGTCCAACGGACCAGTGTCGCCCGCCAGTGTATGCGGATTTGCTGCGTGATCGACAGTGACTGATTTTCCTTTGGCAAGAGCGGGAACCCATGTGTTGGTCCATCGGCAGATTGGTCAGCAGAGTCACTGTCAGACATCTCGATTGCTTGGCCAGGCACATGTAGCTCGTGCGACGCAGCCATGGCTATTTGGCGCACCTTGTCTGGCGTGCGGGTATATGGAGATGTTGTGTGTGGCATGTGGCTCATCGCCTTCGACACGGGCGTCGACTTGGCTTTCGCCGACGATGTGGGCGTCAGGGGTTTTGCCACTGGCGTCGATAAACGCTGGGCTTTTTTCCGTGATGGCGTGGGGGTCACAGCAGGACGTTGAAATGGGTTTTCGTCAGAAAATCGGATATCCATGCTGGCCGGTGGCGATGCTTTCAAAGAGGCGCCTGGCTGTTCTTGTGAGACGAAGCGCATACCTGGCGTTCCAATTCCCATTGACGGAGGGGTGCTTTCTTTCTTTGGTTGTGTAGACAACGCAGACGATGCCGCTGATGGGTGAGTTGCTGGCATTGCTGGCATTGCTGGCGTTGCTGGCGTCACTGGCGCTGCTTCTGGTACAGCTTGCATGCTCTCCGCTTTCACAAGATGAGGCCGCACATGCTCTTCAAAGGCAGCTACAAGTGCAGCTTTGCGTGCATGCCCCGGCATCATGATGCCATGTGCTTGCAAGATTGTGCGCAGCTGTGCAACTCGCAGTGTGGATGCATCCACATCAGGAGCGACATCGAACGGCATCGACATCTACGCTGCCGGTGACAAACGCTGCACACACTATTGAGGTGATTTTCTCGCGAGATTAGCGCTGAAGAGAAGCCAGTCAAGCCCGTCGGCGCACTTGAAGACGTTTTGTAAGGGGGCTGGGCTGACGAGCCGCTGGGTGGCTGAGGTCGTCTAGCACATAAGGATTTAATTACATTGAAACGAGTGGCTATGGAGGCGTGTATGCAAGGTGAATTAGGATATCTTGGCATTGGGTGGGGCGTACAGAGGGGACGCAGGAACCGATTCATTCGGTATCTCGTGAACAGGAAGAGACGTTGATGGAAATGACGTCAAGGCCAGCCCATGTGGCCGGACAAGGGCGAAGGATGTAAACGTTGGGCGGCCCAGCACTTGGAGCGCGTTCCGCGATGGGTTTTTGTGCTGGAAGGGAGCGCGCGTCCGCCGCATCTGTCTTGTGCGATTGCGCGACAAAGACGGCGGCTCGAATGCCGTCAGTGGCGTAGCAAACTCCTTGGGTACGACAACGTTCCGAATCTTAGCAGAGCAAGCTGCCATGCCTCGTACACACGCACCACTGTCGAATAGATCAGTCGAGTACGGGCGATGAACGTCATATAGTCGGGATGTAGACTCGAGTCGGATTTGCTCGACCGTGGTGCGATTCTGATGCAGAAGCCATGTATGATATGTCCATAAGCACACCACAGGGATCGACCATACCGTAGCGAGAAAGAAAAACACGGCACTTTCCGGCGTCTTTTTCAGCGCGTGCACGAACCCACGCGTCGTTTTGTTCCCGTCAGCTCGTACCTGAGCCACTGTTGTCGGAGCTGCAATATAATACAGTTTTAGTATACAGCCGACAACCCCAACGAGCAACATGGCCATCGTATGGCACAAAAACGCATAAAATGTCGTGTAGTTTCGCCGCCCAATGCATGCATTCAAAAATATGCAGTGATGATCCAGTGTGTCGACACAGTTGTTGCATGAGCGGCAATGGCTACATCGCGGCGGGCGGTACACATGACATGTCTCACACCAGACGCTGGGTATACTGGCTATTGTGCCAAGCGATGGATCACCACCGTCGTCCACGCGCTCTAACGCAATGGAACGGTCTTTTGGTCTACTCATAGGCCCTTCAATATCGAAGGGCATGTGTGGCGACGGCGGTTCTTGCCAGTCCGGTTCGGGATCCAATTCTCGTGGCAAGATGCCCGGATCTGTCAGCGCCGTCTTCAGCATGCTTGCGACGCTATTAATCCAGAAATAGGCGAAAAGAACGACAGGTGCCACGCTCACTCCTTGCGAAAGGTAAGGTGCTTCGAATGCGATCCAGCATGCTGGACCTGCAATCAACAGCGTGCCTGTGATGCCAATAGCCCACGGCGCATCTTTTGATATCAGCAGCCTGCCATTCCAAAAATACAGCGTATTGCTGGGAGACGATGCGCGGCTTGTCCCACGCCCGACTTGGGGACGAGCGGACATCGTCCGTAGGGCACGAATCGAAGAACGGCTCACTGGCCTTTTTTTTCTCATCCAACGTTGCGTGCCTATATAACCCTTCCTCTCTCTCCAATGGCAACGCTCCAGTGCGCACATACTCGTGGTGGCGCTTGCCTCCTCCACACATACACCCTTCATTCCCACTCCTACTATGCCTCCTTCGCGCGTCGCGTCTCCGCAATGGAGGCGTGCTCACTCGACGGTTGTCTGACTTGTGCCACTGGGACGCTAAATAACCTGTGAATCAGCTACGATGCGGGCCTTATTATGCTTGGCTTTTCCACCGCCATGCCGCCGGCCTATTTTGGTCGCCTGCGACTTGCGTCCATGATGCTTGAACGATCGGCGCTGTGCCTGTGCACGCGACGCAGCTGTGCGTGAACTAACATACGACATGTCCACCTGGCCGGGCTGCATGTCATGTTTGCGTCTTATGGATTCCATTTTCCCTTTCTTTATCGCACCCATACCTCCAACGGAATCAACAGTGACATCCGCTTCGTCATCAACATCGTCCTCATCGCTCTCCTCCTCTTCTTCGTCTTCTTCTTCAACTTGACCGTCGTCTTCGTCATGAGTACGATCGCCATCAGAACGGCCCTCATCCCATTCGACGCCACTATTTTCGGCCTCACTCTCGGCAATGTGCATACTTGCGAGGTGCATCTCCAGGATCGCATCTGCGTCTGAGCTTTTGCCAAATCCACTAGCACGTGTGAGAGCATCCAGTCGGTCAACCTTTTCGTCCCGCATCGCTTCCATAACCTGCGAGTAGGTTGGATACTCCTCCGATTCGAAGCGGAAACGTTTCCGGAAAAAGCGCCGAACACAGTCAACATCACGCTCGAAGAAGTAGGCGGCATTCGGGTGCTCAATGCTTACCATTTGAGGAAAGTCAATCAACACCGGCTCTACACGAATGCCTTCACCCAGATCAATTACTTGTTGCGTATCCACTGAGATGTCGCTGATATCCTCGTCCTCATCCTCGTCCTCGTCTCCGTCTTCATCCGAGTACGTCTTTGGCACATCAACTGCATCTTTTTTTTCTTCATCGTCATTCGCTCTAGGGGGTCCTTGCACAACTCTTGCAAAACCCTTGCCGTGCTCTACAATTGCATCTTCGGCACTGAAATCTGACTCGTTTTCCGCATCGCTTTGATCTGCACGCTCTATACGTTGATGCTTCGGAATCATGTCGTTCTCTTCAGTGTTGTCTTCATCATCCCGAATTTCTTTCACAAGCAAGTTGAATTCATTAAAGTCGCCGTGTATCAGCCCCGCCCGTGCAAGGCGCACAATAAGCGCCATGAGAGCCGAGTATAGGTGCCGGACTTGATCAATGGGGAGTGCGGCAATCTGCCGTAAGGGGTATGCGTCTTCATAACTCATTAGCACGGTATGCCGAGTCTGGTCTAATGGCGTGGGGACTGGAAACCCATGCGCATGTAGGATCTTTCTTGTTAGCATTTCTGTACAACATTATGTACCGTGATAATGATCAAAAACGTCAACGTACCTGCATAAACGCGTATTCCTTTTGCGCAGCCAATCGGCTCATGTACATCCAGCTCGCACTCTTTCGCTTTCCCATGTAATCACGCTTTTCCTTGATTTTTCGGAAACTGATACGACCCAAGCGGTGGATTTTTAGCACCCGACACTCGCCTTCCTCGTTCGATACGAGGTAGATGTCGCTCTCTTTGCCTACGCCGATCTGGTTGCCGACAGCATACATGGATTTTCGCTTGCTCAATGCGCGAACAGCAAGATAGTCGTACCCTCCATACGTAAGTCGAAATCCATCATACACGTTATTCTGCACACGCGCCACGAGGCGTCGCTTCAGTAAATTTGAGAGTAGTTTACTGATGCCAGCATGCCGTAGTGACGAAATCTGTGCGATGAGCGTGGTCGGTACAACCTCGTGATTCTTGGAGCCCATCTCCACGGCTGTTAAAACGCGGTACTCTTCGGGCGTGATGTACCGCACGTCTGTCGCATCTAGCTTCATGGCTCTGTCAACGCACCCTTCAAAGGACTCTGATCGAAGTGGCACGTACTACCGTCACGAAGAAGTTTTCCTCTCGGTTGGGTCCACATTTTTTTATGGAATCCACCTGTCCTGATTGGGTTTTTGATCTGGGTGGGCCTCATGCACCCATCAGACGAATGTGGAGGAACCTTTGATCGTGATGAATCAATATTCCCTCCACTTCACTAGAGAAAGGCCTACCCTCCCCACGTCACGCACTTGCTCTTTGGTGAGCCGCTTGCTGATCATGCGAATCGTCTGTCTCGTCGTGGGCTTGCTTGTTTTGAGTGCACAGATCTTGGCCAATCCAATTTCTGGGATGATCAAGACTGATCCACACAATTCTATGTATGCCCATGCAGAGCCTATGGATGATATCGTCCACCGAATGGTCTCTGAGGCTCGTGCGCATGACATTCCGCTTGGCAAGGACTTACATTCTTTGGGCAAAGTACAAAGCAACGCATGGTCATGGGAATGGTGTGATGATGTCGATGCTGAAGGTTATCTCGTACGGGTAGACTCGGTGCAACTGCAGCCTGACCCACCCGTCATGGGCCGGAATCTGACGTTCCATGGCGCTGGATCGCTGTCGGGGCGTGTCGCGCAGGGTAGCTACGTCGACGTAAATGTCTACCTTGGATTTCTTCGATTGTATGCGGAGCGCATGGATTTGTGCGATGTGCTTCGTGAGAACCATGTGGAAGTCCAGTGTCCCATGGAACCTGGACAATACAATATAACGCATGTGATTGAAATGCCCAAGACACGAGTACCACCGATTCCTTTCCGTTTCCGCGTGTTAGGCATATCGCAAGACAAGCAAACAATCGCATGTATAAACGGGCGGATTACGATGCACAATGCTATTCTCTCTTGGAGCTCGTATCCTATGCATCTGCTCCGCTCGATCGGACGCGTCATCTGGTCCCCATTCAACTAATGTACATACATTCAGCATATAGCATGACGGAGAACTTCATGTTGACGATACATCCGGACTTGCACCAGAGAATCAAGATCCAGATTATCGCGTGGCGCGGCTTAAGCTGACATGCTATTTTAACAAGGGGTGGCAGATTCCTGCCAGTGATCGCTAATCCATCCACCTACCTTCCCAACCACCCTCTCCACCCCTGATCAACGACACTCGGGGGCATGAGTGGTCTCATTGATGCACAGCGGGAGGACGATCCTGACATCTTGAAAATTCTCCTAGCGTCAGACACCCATCTTGGATACATGGAACGAGATCCAGTGCGTGGCTCTGACTCGCTACGAACCTTTGAAGAGATTCTTCAGCTCGCTCGTCAGAATCAGGTACGTACGTGCGCTTTAGGTCCTCATACACATGGTAGGTCGATATGATCCTTTTGGGTGGCGATCTCTTCCATGAGAACAAGCCATCTCGATCCACCCTGTATAGGACCATGAATCTTCTCCGTGAGTACACGTTAGGAGACGATCCTATTGCTCTTGAGCTGCTGAGTGACCCATACGCCGAAAGTCGCTCAGGCACGTCCTTTCCTTTTGTAAATTATGAAGATGCCAATCTGAACGTCAGTATACCCGTATTCTCGATCCATGGAAACCACGATGACCCGCAAGGATTAGGCCAGGATGGAAGTTTGTCGGCATTAGACATCCTGTCAGCAGCTGGACTGCTGAATTATTTTGGTCGCGTTTCCCTTCCAAGTCGAGATGCTTCTCGCAAGAGACCAGCATCGATGTCGTCGTCCTCTGGCTCAGGTATGATGGCGCTTCGACCTGTACTTTTACGCAAGGGCACTACGCGGCTTGCTTTGTACGGAATGGGGAACATCAAAGATGAACGCATCTCACATGAACTGCGTGAAAGACACGTCTATATGTATCGACCCGCCGAAGCTATGGACGAGTGGTTCCAAATTCTCGTGCTGCATCAGAACCGGGCCTCACACAACCCAAAGGCGTATGTGCCCGAGTCTATGTTTGATGATTCTCTGCACTTGGTCGTATGGGGCCACGAGCACGAACAGCGTGTTTCGCCTGAAGCTGTGATGGAAAAGAACTACGTCATCTCACAGCCCGGCAGCAGCATCGCGACGAGCCTATCTCCAGGTGAGTGCGTACCAAAGAGCGTCGCAATCGCGCATGTGAAGGGGAAGGACTGCACCGTTGAGCCTATAGCTCTGCAGACCGTGCGTCCCTTTGTCATGAAAGACTTGTCTCTGCCTGCCGAGATCCGCCAAGCTGAGATCGATCCTGCAGATCGTGTTGCTGTCACAAAATTGCTTCGCAAGCATGTACGTGTTCCTGCCCCTCCCCCCTTCCTTCCCCATTTGGTCTCTCCTGGAAGTCGGCTCTGCTAACCGTGTTCAGGTGGAATTGCTCATTGCCGAGGCAGACGCCCGATGGCACGAGCGACATCAGCACTTACCAGCATCTGAGCGACCGCCTCCTATGCTGCCCCTAGTCCGCTTGCGAGTGGTATATGATACTCATCTACCTCTTGGAAACATTGCGCGGTTCGGACAAGAGTTTACGGGGCGCATAGCGAATCCGAAAGACGTGTTGCAGCTTAAGCTCCATAAAGATCGTCGAGCTCGAAACGTGCACTCTGCCGCGTCTGTGGTGCCTTTGGAGCGTGAGATGCTACCAGCAGAAAAGCTCGATCGCATAGATCTCTCGTCCCTGGTACTCGAAAATGTACGAGCTCAACAATTTGATCTTTTGAATGCTGCACAACTACAAAAAAGCGTGATGGGCTACATTGAAAAAGACGAGCGAGAAGCGATTGAGTCTTTCGTGACAGACTCACTTCGACACGTGGAACGCCAGCTTGCTGGGCAGCATATGCAAGAGATGGAGCTGCAATCTGAATTGCAGCGCATATGTGCCCAGCAAGCGGCTGGCGATGACGAGCCACATAGTCCCATGAGCTGACGCGACTCTGGTGGTCATACGTATGCGGCATTTACAAACCATGGAGTGAGCCGATGCTAAACGAACGAGATCTAGGATGCTCCCAAACAAAGCATAGCGCATCTGTCAATGTTGACATATTGACCAGGTCACGTAGAGTTGTAGCACAGGTCCCAATGTAGCCAGATCATGCCAGGCGAGCTGTTGCATGGGTGAAGCATTCTCAGATATACAGCGCTTGTTATTATATGTGACAATGCGCGTGTTTTTTTTTTTCGCATATGTTTTCCATATGAGACATTCGAACAAGATGAACGTCTTGCGTACGTGACGGCTGAAGCGACCAACAAACACGCATCAAGCTTGGTATCCAAATATGGGAGGATGCAAGACATTCACAGTCTCCCTTCAGCAAGCTAATTTTCAGCACGATCCGACAGGTTTAGAAGAAGTGTAGCAAGACATCGCTTAGTGATGTGGTCGTTCTTCAAAAGCTGCGAAAAAGTGGCGTCTCGAAGAGGCGTGGGGAGACAAGACCGCAATGCTTCACGAGCCCGGGGATTGTCACTGAGGCGCAAATAGCACCGAACGACGTGCTTGAGCAGTCGGACGGCCTGACTTTCAACGATTTGTGCTACCATATTGCTCAACACCGTTCCAACAGCGTAGAAACGCTCGTACGTCTGACAGATATAGTTCAGGCCCAAATCATCGAGCAGAATCTTTTGCACAATAAAGATGGCCACCGTCTTTGAAAGCTCCGAGCCAGTCTCCATGATACGAAGACAAAGTGGAATGATTTCAGTGGAAAGAAGAAAGGTGATCACGTCCGACTTGTCGTTCTGCTTCACAAGAGCACCGATGACACCCAGCGATGTGAGACGCAGGTACTCAAACGGACGGGACTTGGATGTTGTATTCAAAAAAGGGTACAGAAAAAGAGGAATATGGGCCTGAAGAAAGGGGCCACGCGTCTCATTGTGGCTCGCTACGCACTGAAGGAGCGCGAGTGCATTGCAGACGCGGTTCGACGCGTGAGCCGTCAAGACAGGCGGCGAAAGCAGCGGGTACACAGAGATGATTTCCTGCAATAGTGAGGGCATAACACCAAAGCTATTCCAAAGCACAAGGGCCAAATCTTCGTACTGCTCGCGCTTCTTGCTTAGTTCCAGCAGGGCATGCTCACGCTGCACAGAACTGCCTGGTAATGCGTGTGCATTCGCTGACATCATGTCCATAGGATCTGGTCGTTGGCAGAATTGCGAAATTAAGTGATGCAGATCAAGAGCCGTCATGGCATCGGCACCCTGCACCATGGTGGACTGCATGTGTGCATCTCCCATCATGCAAGTGCTGTACACGCGGCTGACGTCGTTGGATCTGACCGAGTCTCTCACGCCGCGTGCATCGACGACGGCGGGGGTACTCAGGACGTAGCTGACTAAACACGAGCGCCGCCTCCGCTCCACCGCTGTTGGTTTGATAATGGGCCGACCGCATTCATTCGAGCTGGCGAACGGTCTAGCGCCCACGCGTACAACTTGTTGCAGTGACGCCGGAAATTACTGCCTCTTGAGTGGTAAAGTTGCTCTGACATGTACAACGGCATTGGACTGCAGACAGCGCGCGGAAGGTATGTTGGAATGGACCCTGTAAGAAGGGATGGTCGGCTCACACGTACAGTGGCACGAACGGCTATGTCCAGCGAAACCTGTCCCATCTCAGGCCGCGTGATCCTATCGCACCACGCGTCGATGACGATGTGCGAAAGTTTGAGCATGTGAAGCCAGATGCATCGATCCTAGATCATGAACGTCGGAGAAAAATCGAGATCCAGTGTATCGAGTTTCAGGATGAATTGGAGGAAAAAGGGTTCGTAGGCCACTGCTTTATGCGCTGTTGTACTCACGCGATTCGTTAGACTACCAGAAGAGGAAATTCAGGCACGAGTAGCATCTCTACGCCAAGGTCTACGTGCAAGATTGGAGCGAGCTCCTACATCATACAGCCAGCCAACGCATGCAGAAGTCAAGGGGCTGCGGCCCTCGGACACCCATGCGCGAAGTGCAGCGAAAGAGCGCGAGTCAAGCAAGATGCAACGTGCACTGCACGTTCGTCCCGATTATGAAGAAGGGCAGGCGTTCGATCCTGTTCTCCAGGAACGACGCAAGCAAGAACGCATAGAGGAGCGTGAGAGAAGGCGAGAAAGCGCTGTGCTGCCAGACTCCCGAGGCTCTAGCAGATGGGATCGTGTCGACCGTGATATGCCGGCTCGAGGTGCTCGCCGTTCACGCTCACGCTCACGCTCGCCCTCGCCTGCAAGACGCTCCCACGTATCGTATGAAGATGCCCACGTGCCACCATCCGGCAAAAATTTACGCACACCGTCACCACCACCCACACATACCACTGACCCCTAATGCATCGAGTATATACGCATCATACGCTTACTTCAGACCATACTTGATTCTATACATTCCGTCTCGGTCCATACAACTGCATGCTCCTCGCGCTTCTGGTGCTTGTAGGGATACCATTCCAAGATGACCCACGTGACTCACGCAAGAGTGACGTGGAGCAGCGATGTGGTGTGGATTTGGGTTTGGGTCTGGGTTCGTGACCACGTGGTCAGGCCCGTGCACGCTGGGATAAATCCCGGCGGCTATTATGCACTATGCATGAAGCAGGCGGCCTGACCGCTTCAGAACGTGGGATGATTTCTTGGGTGGGGGGGGGCAGACGATTCGTTATTTTCCACTCGCACCTTCCCTTTGTCTTCCTTCCAGGACATTCAACATTTATCTCCCCTTCCTCCCAAATGAGCGGTGTGCCAAGCTTTTCTGAGCGCAAGCAGCCAGGCATTGTGTGCCTATTTGATGTTGATGGCACGCTGACGCCCGCTCGTCAGCAGGTGTCGGATGAAATGCTGAAGGTGCTCAAGGCACTTCGTGAGCAAGTGGCTATTGGCTTCGTCGGTGGCAGTGACTTGTCGAAGATTCGTGAGCAGCTGCAACTCCCGGGACATGAAGACATTCTCCAGCAGTTTGACTATGGCTTTGCTGAAAATGGCCTGACTGCGTACAGGCTCGGTGCACAGCTTCCATCGCAGTCATTCATCAACTGGCTCGGTGAAGACAAGTATAAAAAGTTTGTCAAATTTGTGCTCTCCTATATATCGCAGCTGGACATTCCCGTGATGCGGGGCACATTCATCGAGTTCCGTAAGGGTATGGTGAATGTCAGTCCTATTGGCCGCAATGCGTCGGTCGAAGAGCGTCACGAGTTTGAAAAATATGACAAGGAGCATAAAATCCGTCAAACGTTTGTGGAAGCACTGAAGAAGGAATTCCCCGATTATGGTCTGTGCTACAGCATTGGTGGTCAGATCAGCTTCGATGTGTTCCCCGCCGGTTGGGACAAGACTTTCGCTCTCACACACGTGAGTCCGGACAGCTGGAAGGAAATCCACTTCTTCGGTGACAAGACATTTGAGGGCGGGAATGACCACGAGATCTTCACACATAAAGACGTGAATGGTCACTCTGTTACGAGCCCCGAAGATACCATATCTCAGCTGCGCAACCTGTTTCTCCAATAAAGGAAATGACGAGGTAGTCGCAATGGACTAATATGCTTAGATGGATGGAACGAATCTTTTTGCGCGATCCACACGACATGCCTGCCTATGTCGTCACGCATGTAGAAAAGCTGGAACCTTACAACGGCCCCCTGGTGCTCAGTAGTTTTCTTGATTTTGCTTTTACATATGGAGGTACATTGTATTTTTGAAAATAGGCGCAGGGGCAGTTCGATGTTGTGGCATATTGCACGCAGAGAGGATGGAGGGCCCCGATTCTTCACACATGGATGTTGCACCCGTAGAATGGCCAGCTCATCGCGCAATCTGACAGCTTGGGACGTGGCCGCGCTACGAGTCTCGCAGCTCAATGCCACAGACGACATGCCGGCGCTTTCGCGTGCAGCCTCTTTGAAAAGCACGTACGGACTTCGTGCGCTGCCGATCAACCTGGGATCTCTGGAGGATTTGGGACTTAATCCGTCACAATGCAAAGAGCTTGAGGCCGACGATGTTCCCGCATCAACGAAGGATTTGCCTGCACGTAGTCCGCATGACTCAATGGACCTTTACCCGATCTCGTTTCTCCTGCGACAAGATGTGCTCATGCCATGTCCCAATCACTGGACAGGGCTTTCGAACGCGACGATCCGACTTCGCCGAGGCCGACGTGTCGTGCATGGCACCGTTGAACGGCAGTCGCCGTACTGGCATCGAATGTATACGCCGCATGCATCGGAAGCGGGCCCGCTCCGAGCCAGTATTCCACTGACCAGCGCTGATTTGGACCGCTCACACGCAGTGTACCAGCGGAGTGCGTTGACGTCTCGTGCGAACCGACGCCGCTCCCGCACAGCACACCGCAGCTTAGAGGAAGCTGCGGCGAGCAAGCGTGATGCTACCGTAGAATCGGGCGACCTGCGTCACCGATTGGAGCGTGTCGTCAAAGATGTGCTTCCCCAGACTGTCCTGTGGACCGAGGGCAATGAGCGAACTTGGCAGGAGGATCGCTATGGCTGGATTCATGCGCCGGAATCCGATGACCGGATTCCCGCGAGCACCATGCTGGAGTCACTGCACTTTTATGCGGCACAATTTTATCACGCGAATGATGCTCTTCAACCGGTCCATGCCATAGCAACGCCGTCGGATATCTCGCCTTCAGCGTGTGAGGAGATTCGCAACGCTCTCCTGAAAGAAGTGCCCGACTCCATGTTACCTGGCACGCCGCTGTGGGAGTACTGGGCTCGGCATTCGTTGGGCTGTGGCCGCTCAATGCTGCAGCGATTCGATGGCAGCGCGATCGTTGCACTGGGCTCGCTTGTTCGCGCATATACGCAGCACGTTTTGCCACGACAGGCGATGATGCAACGATCCAAAAAACAAGCACCACTGGCAGATGCACTGCGTGCAGAGCGCCGGGATCGAACGAGATGGCGCGTGTCTCGAGCGAAAAAGCACGCACATGTCCAGGCGTTTCTTAACAAGTTTCAACAGAGATGAGCTATTCTCACATTTCTTCATGACCTACAAAGTGGTTGGCTTACCTAGCTTACCTAGGAAAGAATGGTGACAAGATACATCAGCGTTTTGATGGTTGTTTTATACACACACGCACATACATATACACATACATACACATCAAAGACGCTATACAAACGACAAGGACGCTCGGGCACCATCAGACTGGACCAAAGAGTCAGCGCCATAGTCCAGAGGCGTCTTTCCTGGTTCTAGATGGACGGGCGTCTTTTCATCAGTAGGAGGCGAGGGACCACGAGCATCTGCATCATACAGCACGCGGCCGGTAAGCCACTCAGGAGCCTCGTCTTGGTGGGATGTCAAAGTCTCGAAATGCCGGCCAGCCGGCATGTTGGGCGCGGACATAGCGATGTGTGTGCCCTGCACACGCCAGGGTCCTTCAAAGTTGGAATGGAGGCGAACATGGACGTCGCCTTCGTCGCTTGACACACTCGATTTGAGCGGCACACCTGGCGTATGCGCCACATAGTTGACTGACACGGCGCCGGAATGAGTGTGGAACTGGGTCTCGACACGACGGCCTTGTTCTGTACGCAAAAAGTCGTCGTAAGGCACGTACATAAGCTGCGGCTTTTCGACAGAGACCGCAGCATCAATGGGGCCATTTTCTGACTGCATCGCAAGGGAGAAGTTCGCATGCCAGAGCGCAGGGCCCTCGATGGAGCCATCGTGCGTCTTGACGGTGGTTTTGGTGCCAAAGACTTCTGTTTGATTATGCGAGACAATGGAGCCAGTGTGAGATGCCATATGAAGGAGTGAATTCGCATACACGGTGGCATTGGGCAAGAGAGTGACGTCGCCCTTCTCTGTCCACAAATAAATGTCATTGGCCAAGAGGTTCGATGCACTTTGGACGACACCATGCACCGCACGTGCGATGATTTCTGAGCTCGCACGAAGATAGCCTGCCAAATACATGCCGCCATATCGCGTATACATGTTCAGATGGCCGAAAAAGTGTTCGTGCGCCGCGAGCTGTTGCATCTGTGCGAACTCGGCGGGCGAGAGGACCACGTCGTCGTCTTTTTGGAAGTACAACCAGGAAAAGACACTTCGCTGCTGGCCATTGGCCAGGCGCCTGATCCGCTTCGCCTCCTCGAATGCATACTGTGTCAACACATGGACGTCGCCCTCGTTCATGTCGATCGAGAGACCCGAGATGGGATGCCCCGCAGGCACCGAGACTAGGATGTCGAAGCGCAAGGGATCATGGCCAGGGCTTGAGTAGTCCGCGACAGGACGCTCGTCAGTGACGATTTCAAGCCCTTCTGAAAACAATCCGTGAGACATTTTCGCAACAAATGCATGGGCGAACAGCGGCCATGCTTGTTTGTCGTATGTGGCAATGACGTCCACGAAGATGTGATTCTGCAATGGATCAGCTTCAGGTGTCGCATGTGACACAATGTACACATTGGCCGGCGCCTTGGCGGATGGACGTGCCTGGAAGTCCGCGTCCTCATCGGCACGCTTTGTCGGGTACCAGTCCAGGGCTTCTTTCAGTACAGGGTTCACGTAGATGTAGGAGTGGTCTGTGGATTGCAGTGAGTCATTCGCGGGGAATGCCGCCATGGTAAAGTTCCAATGCTTTTGGCACGCGACGGCATCAACAAAGCGTAGTGGACGATGCGTCGAGTAGCACCGCAGGAAGCGCCAGTCGGCCCGTTGCGCTATGGTACCGTGCCCGGGACGTGGTTCCAGTGTGATGTTTTCGAGGTCATGCTGAAGACGCGATCCAAAGTCCCAGTACACCATGAGGTCTTCTTTCTTGGATTTAGGCAACGCCTCGCTGACGGCCCAGTTGGCGTAACTCAGTAAGATCCACAAGGAAAACACGATCAGAATCGTCTGGTGCATGCGGTTTTGAGGCCATAAGACACACAGCGTTGCATACACGCGGCTGACTGCTGCCTTGACTCGGTCGGATGGGCGGAACATGTCTAGAATATGACGATGCTCCCTCGCTAGCTCATACCAATACATGAGATCCCATTTAGAGCGCTGTGGCCTCATGGCTTGCTCGTACGATATAGGCGCATACAAGTAGCGCCGAGGCTGGGGCATCACATACTGCGCGTCATCATCCAACATGAATACATGGTCATCGTCAGCTCCTTCTTCCAAGAGCGGATCTGCATCTCGTTGCGTCATATTTGTGCTATAGCACACACACACACACACACGTACGCACGTACGCACCCGCTCACTTACTACTACTGCTGTGGCTGCTGCTCTGGCTGTTACTACTTTTTTCGTGGAATTCTGCGACGCCCGACAGCAATCCCACAAGACACAGTGTCCAAGTCGTGGGGAACAATGACGCGCAGACAGTGGCGTGCGTATGAGCGATTGTGATAGGTGGAAGTGGACGCGTGTGTGCGTGTGCGTTTTGTCTGTGTGAGTGTGTGTGTGTGGACGGATAGTGTGTGGATTCAGTGTCGGCCGAGATAGAAAGAGGGTGTGGCCTGCTGGCTCAGCAGCCGCCGTGCGAACCCAAGACATGGGTGAGGGAGGAAAAAGGGTGGGGGTGGGGGAAGCCTTATCCTGGAGGACGACGCGTGTCGTAAGTAATCGTCTGTGTGTGTGTGTGTGGATTCGCATCGGAGATTCCCCCTTCGTTGACGGTGTGTGGAAAGCTGCATTCTCTGTGGACTGCACGTTGTGGCCTTCCGCTGCTACTCAAGTTTGGTGAACGCGTGGACTTGAAGAGCTTCGTATGTTGCGACGGAATGCCGTGGAGGCGTTCCGTGCGCCCGTACTATGGCGGCGCATGCTGTCGTCAGAGGGAGCAGGGAATGTAATCAAAGATGTTCGCTCACTGCGCTCTGGTCTCACGGCGCGTGATCTGGATCAGGTCTGGGAGGCATGGACCAGCCTTCGAGCGCAACAGGCTTTGGATCAACTCCGGCGCCATGACTATGCAGATCTCTTGGCTCTTGTACGGGCGAATTTATCGACATTTTCGCACGAAAGTTGCCGGCAGGAGGCGTGGAAGAATCGGTGCCCTTGCGTGGGGGCATGAACGCTGCTGAGCGGATGGACATGCTCGGTGTGCAGGGCTGGATGAAGGTCGAGATGCTGTGTGGGAATCCGGTCGGTGCGATCCAGCTGTTCCACGCGTACGTAGCTGCGCGACGTCGCGCTCGTGCACAGACAGAATCGATGCAAGAACCTCACCTTCTCGATGCTGGGCAAAGGCGCGAGCCAGTGCGCGATATGATCGAGGTGCTGATCCTCGCATATGCGACGGAACAGGATCTGCATGGCCTGGTGCATACGATGCAGTCGTTCGATGTTGGCACACATACCGAACTGTTCTTCGATCTCGCGCACAGCCAGCGCCAGTTCACCAAACTTCCCTGGCTGCGTGGGAATGCCGCCTTCAAACTGCCTGCGGACGTGTGTGAACGAGCTCTTGACTGGGTGTCGCATGCCGAGCTAGCACGAGGCCTTTTGGATGGATCCGGTGGCCATGCTGGTCCGAATCGCATAGCACGCTTGTTGGGCAGTCTATTGGCGCGTGGCGATGTGCCGAGTGCGTGGCGCCTGTATCAGACGGCCATGCGTGCTGGGGTCTTGCAGCCCACATCGCCGGCGGCTTGGCTCGCGCAAGAGCAGCTCGCGCCGCAGGAACGTGAGCGGCGCCTGCTGCCAGCTTGGACAGACAGTGCCTGGGTGGTGTGCCTGAGCGGATTCCTCGCTGCTGATCGACGCGACCTAGCTGCGCAGGTATGGGAGGATCTCGCCGCTGTACAGCCGCTCGTGGCAGCGACCGGTGCAGAATGGCCCCCTGTCGCTGTTTGGAACGCTGTGCTGGATGGATTTTCGCGCTGTGGCGATATGGCATCCGTGCAAGCAACGTGGCATGTGCTTCAAGGACACTTGCCTGTTGAGCGCATGCCGTTATCACACCGAGCGAAGGGTTTGCGTGCGCCTCCAGATGGGCCTGACCTCGTGTGCTACACGACGATGATGTCAGCGCTGTTTCGTGCGCGGCAAGTCGACATGGCCATGACTCTGCACAACGAGCTGCAGGCGAAGCAGGCGCGGCAGGAACTGAGGATCCCCATCGAGACATACAATGCCGTGTTGCATGGCTTGTGCGTGTCGCGGCGCACCGAAGAGGCCTACGCTCTCCTGCGCTCGATGGGCCGGAATGGCGTACCAGCACCGACCATCACGACCATCAACGTCGTGCTCCGTGCACAGGCGCGGCAAAAGAACCTGCCGGCTATGGCCGCGACGCTGCGGCAGATCCTGCCCTTGGGACTCCGGCCTGATGTCATTACATTCACGACCGTGCTGGACACCCTGCTTCGCGTCGCCACACAGCCCGCGGCAGCCGAACAGGCTGTTGACCAGGTGATGCAGATCATGCAGTCGATGCATGTGCAGCCGAACTCGATCACGTTCACCGCCATGATCAAGGCTTGCTTGCATACGAAAGGCGACTTGCACCAGCCACGCCTGCCTGTAGCCCTGCAGCTGATGCACACCATGTGCACCAATGTCAAGCTGGCTCCGACGCCCGTCACGATGGAAATCATGACGGAGGGCCTGCTTCAGAACGAGCGCTTCGTCGAAACGATGCTGATGGAGTATCCGCTGCCCTCGACGTTCCAACGCGCTCCTGTCATGTGGCCTGATGAACAACACGAGATGCCCCTGCATGCAACGCGCTTGGCGCTGGTGCTATGGCAGCTGATGATGGACTGGTCTATGACACCAACGAACGACACCTACCTCTTGCTTGTGCGCACTCTTCTCAAGGATGGGACGAACCATGTCCTATTCCGCCGTGGTGTGCTGATTGCCGATGCGCTGTTGTACGCGCAAGGCTCTCTCTCTGCCTTGGTCAATGCGCCTACGAATCTGTACGTCATCCTGCCTTCGACGCCGCCTGCCTCTGCTAGCTGGTCTGCCGTGCTTCGGGCTTTGATCCGGTCGCGTCCCAGCGACTTGAGTCGGCGTGTTTTGCACGGCGTCCTCCTGCACTTTGCCCAATCGCCTCATGGCGAACAGGCACTGATAGGTCTCCAAGCGGCCAATCCTGCAGCGCATCTCACAGCTCTTGTAGAACAGGCCCGGCACAAGCTGGGGCGCTGTTCATAGATACCCTTTTCTTTCCCTCGAACGACACATTGACTACTTGGCAGCCGTATTGCCGTACCTGCGGTGCACCAAGTCTGGGAACGCCTAGGCTAAAAGACCTGATGCCACTGTCCTCCCTTCTATGCTACACGTCGGTCAGCACACTCTTCTTGCACCAAATGTGCGGGTGTCCTTCTTCCATGTACGAATCTCCCTGTACTTGGAAGCCCAAAGACTCGTAGAACGGCTGCACTTCGATCTGCGAGCTCAGCTGGAAAACGATACCCAGCCGATGCACCTCCGCCGGGACAGAGGCATGCTGCCGGACAGCTTGAACCACCCAAGCCTGAGCGCCTTCCACAAGCAAACGACCACATCCTTGTCCGCGTGAGTCCTTGCTTACGGCGATACGCCCAAGCTTGGCTCCCGAATACCAGCACGTATCATCCTGCACTGACGTCGTCTGGTGCTGCATAAACGCCGCTTGCATGTCTGCATGGGAGCGTCCACGCCCAGGAATGTCGACCGATGTCAGACTCTCTGCGGTGTCGTACGTCGCATGACTCGTTGGCACGGGCCACGACAGAATACGCAGCACGCCAACAACTTTTTCATCACATGCACGGATCAAGACCATCGGCACCGCCGTACGGTCGAGCCTGCACCAAGTTAGCGTCTCCCACGTTCATGCTGAATCACGCACGAATCAATATCACGTTCGTAGCCTTGCTCATCTTGGAACACGTTGATTCGCAGCTCATACGCAGCGAGTAGCAGCTCATCAGAGTCGGCCACAGCTACTCGAAAGCCATTTTGCATCATATGCGAATTCCAGTGGAGTCAAGCGCTACGAAGTCACACATCAGATGCGGTCTCTGTATATAGAGAGATGTGGCGAGCGAACATGGCAGACTCATTCGTGCCAGCTGCACGTAAGAACCCCCATCCCACCCCCATCCCAGTCCAGTTCAACCCACACACCCAAGTGTGGGCGCGCTTCCTTATCACGTAGGCTACGAGAGCTGCATACAGTCCGTATCATTGACATGGTATGAATCCGATCGGTGCATGAAAAGCAATGCATGCACGTCAGGTAACAGAATACGCCATCTTGATGGTGCATGTGTGTGTACGCGCGGACACACGGCCGGCTTATTGGCCGCCGAACTTTGCCTGGCAGCAACTCAGAGCTGTCTTCCTCGCATGAACCCCCTACGTCACACAATGCGGACCCTGCCATATTTGGAACGAGCCGTGATTCATTCCAGCACCATGCGGCGACGGTGAATCCGAGCCTGACCGCGGCCGCTCCGTTACAGCCGTCGGTGCACATCCGCACAACAGGTATAAACAGACAAGCACTTATACATGCTTGGAGAAACGTGCAAGATGGTAATTAATGGTCGGCTTGGCTTGTTTACGAGGCCCTTGGTGCTGAATGTATAAGCTCCAACACACACGACAAAACGTCAACGTACCGCTGTGGCCATGCATTCGCGCAGAGTTTTCGTGACACCCACACACTCAGACTGCGAGCGTAGATCCTGTGTACTGGCCCAGCATGCTAGGACAGATGCAAACTCCGCTGCACAGGGCGCCTTACTCGCAAGCTTCTTGGGCCGGACCTTGAGCTTCTCAAATTTCATCGTAGTTTCCGTCCATGGGTGCATGTGACGTTCAGAGGCCCTCCTGGACAAATAGGGCCCACGTGGCATTACCGTCGCCCCCTCCATCTTTCGACGACAGAGATTGGGTCAGCCGGGCCTTTTCCTCCCTCGTCGCTGCCAACTTTGCCGCCGACTTAGCAACATGGTACGTCCTACTCTCAAGCACGCACAGATGTGCACATGCATGCGCGTAAAGTTGTGCGTGTGTCCTTGCGCTCTGTTCGCGCACTAAGCAGTCTTGCTCACACGTCGCAGTCTGAGAAGAAGCAGGGCACACACACGCCGCTCACTCAGGCACAGCTTGCTGCGCTTGCCAGCCGCAACTCGAGCGTCATGCGGTATGTCTCTATTCGTTGCCTATAAGTATTTGACTGACACGATATGTAGCCGCAAAGCGGCCGTCCAAGCTGCCAATAAGCCACACAGCGCTCGTGAGGCCGGCGCTGGCGGCAGCACGAATACCATGCTGCGTCTCAACACCGAAGACAACAAGGGTCTGAACGTGGACCCAGTCATTGTGCTCGTCCTCTCGGTTGCCTTTGTCCTTAGTGTCGTCCTCCTGCATATTCTCGGCAAGGTGGCGCGCTTCTTTACGAAGTAGATCGTGTTGAATGAAACGAACGTAAAGAGCTTCTAGATTATGTTGCCAAGAGTGAATGGTTCCAAAGCACCGTGGGTCGCTCATGAACCCCTTGGTTCTGGCCTACCTCAGCTGCGTGATCCAAAGAGAGTGTCTTCGCCGGCTTCTGACTACCTGCTATGCGGATTGCGTTGCAAAGTGTTCCATTCACTCACTAATGAATGTGTGCTCTTCAAAGAGCGAGCCCTGTAGCTCCAAGGATGTACTGCTAGCTCCAATGGCATTCTTCACTGCCTCTGGAATCTCCAGCTTCAGTTGCGTCGCATTGAGTGTTTGGTAAATGTATGGCTTCGTTCCAGCCACATAGTTCACAATCTTGCGCACCATGAAGGGAATTTCAGCTAGCACATCGACCTTTTCAATCAGACCCTGCATCGCCGTTGGCGCGCCCAGGTTGACGTCCATCGTTGCGTGCACTCTAACATCTGCAGAAGGCCGATCAACACCAACGAGGGCAGGGCCATCTAGCACGAACGTCATCTTTTGTGGCACAGAGTATCCCGTCAGTTCATCCTTGGCGCAAGCCTCGTGCTGAATGTGGGTGGCAGGAGTGTGCGAGGACGACGGCTCTTGCTCCGAGCCGCGCACAGCGAGCCTTGTGGCACCGACAACAGCCACAAGCTGACCGCCACACACAATCGAGCCAATCGTGACTGTCTGCGGCTTTCGCGTTGCTCCTGCCTCGGTGCCTGCTTTGCCGTAATCAGACGTTGTCGTAAACTCCATCATAATAGCGCTCGTACCGCCCATCTCCTTACTTTGGAAATTGCCAAAGTTCCAGCGAGACGCCACCAAGTTCGGTCGCATACCCTGAATCGCCTGGACAAACATGCCCTGACCCGTGGCTTCGATGGCACGACCATTGATGATGATCAAGCCCGACGTGGTGGCAAACGGCCAGAATCGATGCACAACATACCCTTCAGGCACGCTTTCGTTCTCGCCAAAGTAGCTGAACCCGGCCCTCTCATCTTGACCAAGCTTCCAACCTTTCGCCTGCGAAGGCCGAGTCATCGAGTAGATGACCTGCACCTGATCATCGAGCTTTGCCGATACGTCGTACACCTGTGAGCCATCTGGCTGGCCCTTAAAGTTTACGTTAAAGCTGTTGGACTTGCACGAGCTTTTGTTGTTCGGAAGCACCTGAAACCCGTCTACATTCTTGGACTTCCACACATTCTCACCCGTTTTGGGGTGGTAGTACCGGAACGTCATTTGCACCTGCGGCTGAAACAGACCGACTGGCGAGTAGATGATCTGATTCAACACAAAACCGCCATCTTCCAATTGGATATACCAAGTGGACGTCTCAGTCGACAAGCCTGATGGACATGTCCAGTTGAGATCTGTTGGTGCCAATTCGCCGAACAGTTGGTCCTGTTCATACCGATCCGTAACAGGGAAAAAATTCGTCTTCGTTACGTCCCTTGCATTCTGCGATCCTCCATTCTCTGCAGATGCACTTGAAGATCCGGTCCTGATTTCATGTCAGCTCCAACATCATTCTGTCTGAATCTCTTCCTTGTCAACAACATACAGCCAACTGCCCCAACCCGACATGGTCGTCGAAAAAGATATCCGTGCATGCTGCGTATCCCATGGCGACGTCACACGTGCGAAGTTTCAAGATTCGGCCGGAGCTACGCGTCGTGCCCACAGACCCTGGGCAACGCGGGCATCAACATTCGACTTCACCAATCAGTAGGGCGCCCTGCGAGAACCGCACCGCAAGATTTGGCTGTTCTCCACCTGGGCTTTTAGAACTTGTAGGCCGCTGGATGCACGTGGCATAACCAACACTTGTTCCTGGTCAATTGCACACTCTGGTGCAGTAAAGCTCTTACTGCATGTGAATGGACGATGCGCTTGCGTGGAAGTGTGGTGAACGTATCATTGCTGACGAGGCTTGCCCAGACAGCCTCAGGCGTAGGGTCACCATGTTATCTGCAATTTTCGCCCAACACACTTCGTATGATGTCGCCTGCTGGTCGTGACGGTGTGCAAGTTTGGACGACGCTCGATGTGAATACCGTATTTACGAACTACAAAATCGAATCTCACAACAACAACGAAATCACCGTCGAAGTATCGGCGGAAAGCCTTGCGCGTGTGCTCCGTTCGGCAGTAGGAGCCCTAGAAGTGATGCTGCGGTTGGGGAAGCGCGACCGCGAACCATTGCTCAGCTGGAGCATAGCGATGACCAGTCAGAACGGTACGCGTCTGGACGTCGTCCAAGAACTGGTCGTGCGTATTCTCCGAGCGTCAGAATTGGCCCTTATCGTTGAGCCAATGTGTCCCACACCTGATGTACGTGGTAGCTCCATCCTTGATGACCGACTCGCTTCTTACGACGCTTGCTTACACATCAGGTGTATATTGTCATGCCGCCGTTGTCGGAAATGCATGCAATGAGTGAACTAATGCGCACACTGTCCTCATACGTGTCTCTGTCAGCAAACCAGCAAGGCACTTTAAAGTTGTCCCTATCGGACCAACACGTGGAAGGTAGTGCGTGTTGGTTCCAGCTTGAGCATCCCCAGGTACATACTCAAGCAAATGACAACCATGCTTCAAATACATCGCCTGACGCATTTCATGAGGTGCACATCAGTATGAAAGCGATGCAAAATGTTTTTAGCTGTGCATCTATGGCGAAATCGACTGTTGCTTGCATATGTGCAGGCTACTGTGTTGTGTTTTACGTATATATATCAGGGGCATCTCAGCATCGTTCAATCCACCAGACCAATGGACCGCAGCAAGTCCGCGGTGTTGTAAACGTACGTACGCATATGCTCCCCTTCCCTCCACGCTTACAGAACTCCCTTTGACCGTGGACGTGATTGCTGACCGATCTGCCCCGATCTCTGCCCTCTTGTTTACTGTTTTGAGGCTTTATCTGTTTTTTTTTTTTTCTTCATCGATGTTAGTTTGTTGTCGCAGGCTTAGATATAGATGGGACCTGAGTACGTCATATTGGCAATTCGAAATCGTCCCGGTTGGTTGTATTTGTAATTTTTTTCTCAAGTTCAAGTTCAAATTCCACCAACCTGAAGCTGTGTCCCTTTTGAGATAGGGCGTTTAGTCCGGTTTCACCCTAATCACGGCCCTACCGTGTTTTGCTTGATTACACAGCCTGGGACGAAAATGTGTCTCAGGTGCGGCGCCCCCATTTGATAGCCCGCCTAAAACAGTCATTCACGTGGACGTGACCTTGAGATCAAGGAGTAGTATGTACCTTTCTCAGCTAGGCTTGACGCGATAAGTGGAGGACCTACGCCACATCCCTTACGCGCCATAGTAGTTACGGCCGAACAATTCCACCTAGCCTTCCATCCTACTCCTTATTGTTGTCCCATCACTATTTCCCTACGCACTCATCCCGATCAGGTTGATCATTTCTTCTCACACTGTACATAAAGCCGCAGAAATTGTGCGCGCTGAACGTACAACTCGGTGGCTGCAGCTTACTTTTTGTTAGGAGTCTGCTTACCCGCTCCTTCATACCTGTACGGTTTTTAGCTTGGTTTTCTTTTGTGGTTTTTTTTTCTTTTCTTTGGTTTGGTCTGGAGCTTAGGGTCTTGGACACCTTTTTAGTGCAGTTTCGTTTGTCAGAGCATGAGTACTAGTTTTTCTCACACACACTCAGCTTATGCACAACCCCTATGTTCACCGCCTGAAACGTTCCCTACCATGGATACCCCTGATGCTCACGCCTCCGCGTCGCTTTTCGACAGAGACAATAATTCAGTCGTCAAACCTGCCACGATCCCGTCAGGTAGTACAACGACTCCGCCTGCATGGAGCTCCTCCTCATGGATGCATGCGAATCGATCAAATACGTACCCAGTCGTGTCAAACGAGCCGCAATTGATCTACAATCCTGCACTCAATAATGGTCCCCTGAAAATTACCTCACGGTTACAGAACAATGACTTGGCTCTGAATGTCGATCCATATGGCAAGTCAAGTGGTCCAAGATCATCACCGACGATCAATGCGCCTCCTGCTCAATGGGAATGGGGTGGTTGGTCGCATATGCCTGGACGCATGCCTGAAACTATGAATGAAACAAGTGTGTATGCGCGCAGTTCATCAAGCGTGCCCTCTGCTTGGACACAGCACTATCGCGCGATGCCGCCGCCACCCAATAGTAGTATGGAGGTGGCCCCCTCCGTGGCCCTACGCCCGTCTGTTCCTATGGCTTCGTCGTATGCTATTCCCACTCGCAAAGACGTGCTTGCGAACGAGCGCCCTCCTCAAGAAATTTCCACACTTTTTCTTGCTGGTTTTCCTGAAGATATAACTGATCGTGAATTCTCCAACATGTTCTTGTTTGCCAAGGGATTTGAAGCTTCTATGCTCAAATACCCCAATACAAACGCCGTGCAGCAACTAAAACCTGACGAAGTTGAGGCTCGTCGCGCCGCTGACAAGCGCGTCAGCGGTCCCACTGGATTGGGCGCCGAAAAAGAAGGGGCAGGGCGTGATGCATCAGACCCACAGCCATCGCCCAAAAGCAAACAAATTATTGGTTTTGCTAAGTTCAGCTGTCGCGAAGAAGCGCTACAGGCGCGTGACGTACTGAATGGATTTCGTATCGATTCGGAACGTGGCTGTATTCTCAAAGCCGAGCTCGCGAAGAAAAACCTACACACGAAACGCAGTGCTTCGTATGTTGTGAATAAACACACGCATCCTTCACAGCCGAACCGATCTACAGCCCTGCGTGACACGCATTCCATGCTCACGGAAGCGCCTTTGTCTGCACCCATCCTTGTTTCATCGCAGTCTCGGAATGTGATGCCGCCCTCGTTTACGACTCCACAAGAAGTCCTGATTGGCGATCCACGTACGAACAGTGTAGCGTGGAGCGATCCATTGGATTATCAGGCATCCAACAGCATGCTCGGATCCTTGCATCATGATGCACCTTCGCATGTGGCTACTACTGCACCTATCAATGAAATGGTCGCACGTCTAGAGACATTTTCCAAGAATATCCCTACGTATGCGAGTTCGGGAACATCGAGTCTTGCAAGTCGAAGTGAGAGCCCATCATTGGCCCATCCTCGCATGGGCGCCATGGATGCGAGTACGCGTTCGGGGACGGAGCCTCTACCAAGCCCGCTCGATTTCAGACGTTCTCCGAGCCAAGCACTTGGACCAAGTCCAAATGAAGCGGTGGAGCAGCTCCAATCTTTGTCTTTGTCGGGCGATACCTCTGGCTTTAGCACGAAGAATGAAATGAACCCTCTCTTCACGATGTCTCAGTCGTCCGACATGATAAGCCCCCCCACCCAGTACCCCATTTCCTCGGCTGCCATGCCTCACAGTGCCACGAGCCGTTCGTCCGTGAGCCCTGCCAACAGTTCTATTCAAAGTTCTACTACGGGCGTCAATGCTTATGCTGCTCATGCTGCTCAACCAGCCCAAGGCCCGTCTCCCAACTCTCATGCCCTGAAGCAGGATCCTCAAGAAAGTGTCGTGTCATGTGATCCAAAGGATTCCTCCACTTCTTCTTCGTCTCAGGTGGATGCAAGTCAGACCTCAACCACCACCAATATGAACAAAACCAACTCCGGTGCGGGTGGCCTACATGTGTCGACGGAGGCGGCCAGTCCTCGCGAGCAACACGAGTAAGTTGTCTTCTGACAGCAACACGATACCTTTGGTGACACGATCTATCCCTGCTCGGTGAGCTCTAACAAGCACAGAAAGGACGAAAATTTCGTCAACCACGCGGGCAGCAATTACGGTGCAACAGGACTGGATGATATGGCAGATCTAGAAGAGCTGTACGTTGGCAGCTATCGGAATTTTAACGTCTAGATCTTATATGGATGGCTACCGCGGCGGGTATGAACAAGGGCAACAAGTTGGCTTGATTGAGGGACGGTTGTTTGGCGGCGAGAAGGGGTTTGAACTATGGACCGAGCTTGGCTACTATAAAGGTGTCATTTCTGTGTTCAAGCACATCCTGGAAAGTCAGTTGAGCACAAAGCTGCATGAAGTCCATGAACTTGAAAGTGTTGATCTCAAAGCAAAAAAGCAATGGCAGCAACTGGCATCGCTAGAAGCACTTTGGAACCAAATTCCTCAACAGAATGATTCAAACAATGCTGCAGCCAACGAAATTTGCCACAATGATGAGGATGTATTTGACTTGGGTAAGCTATTGGAGCGTGTACGAGCTCGTTACAGACTCATTTGCAAGACCTTGGGGTTTTCACCTCAACAAGCTTCACGGTGCTTCCCCCAGAATCCCGATTCCACGCAATCGCAAGAACAACCCCAACTATTACGGCCCAGTCAATCTAATTTCGTCCGTATTGCAGGACAGCTGGTTGATCCAAATCAATTGAATTATTAGGCTTGATATCTCACGAGTATTCCCCGGTATCAAATTTGCACAGAATCCTCTTGCGACATGACAATGACGTATTCTTTTTTCTTTAAGACGGAATTTTTTTCTCGTTGATCCTCTTTCATAATTATATATACATAACATTGATCTGACCTGTTTTCAAAGGTTTTGTGTTTCTTATGTGTTGTTGTCGATTCACTGTGTTTTAGCGAAAAGGGCCATGTGAAACTTTCTTGTGACTTGCTCTTGGACCAAATTTTTATTGAGAAGACGCTGGATGGATGGGTGAAATACACTAAATCTGCACTTTATTCGCGCATCATGTAGCAATGAATGAGGGAAATACCATCCAACAGTCTCAAGCTCTGGCACATCATTTTCCAGAGCAACGATTTCTGGCCAAGACACGCGCAACATTTCTCATGTGTCAAAACTTGGAGGCTCCACTTTCGTACGCGACGTGTACCAAGCGGAACGACTGAATTGTGGACTCGCAACTGACGCGGTGTTTGCACTAGGCGGTTCAATTTGCCATTGCACGGTGCCCTACAGACTTTAATGCGGAGGGACGAAGAGCCTCGTTCCTCCATGAATGTATACGACACCCGACGAAAGACCGGGCATAAACACGCACTTCATGCTAAGGACCATCACCATCATGCACACGGCAGTAGCATGAGCTGGATGCAAATTATGCAGCATGGCGAACTAGTTACGCACTTGGCGCTATATGCACTTTGTATTAATATATGTCTGATGCTCGTAAACTGGGCCGCCGCCGCATGGCTGCAGAGCTTCTCGTTGTTGGCTGAGGCAAGCCACGCTTTGTCTGACACGTTGACTGACATACTGACACTCGTGTGTCTGTACAAGGCACGGCAGAAGCCTACAACCAAATACCCATTGGGCTATGCAAAAATGGAGCCACTAGGCTCGTTCTTCTCTAGTGCGATGCTTCTTTTGACATCGGTAGGCATCGGTGCACAAGCCCTTGTCCACCTCGCGACATGGCTGATACCATCGCATGCATGGATCGGACAACTACTTTCATGGACCAGGATTTACCACGATGACATGCATCACCATAATCACCAACATCAATCTACCTCGATTATATACGCCGTCATTTCGATCGTGCTCTCAATACTTGTGAAGGAGGCTGTGTTTCGCATGCTGAAGAATGCGGCACAGAGTGCTCGTAGCTCAGTTCTTGAGGCTAGCGCATTGCATCAACGCATGGAGAGTTTAGCTTCAGCTATGTCGCTCGTTACCATTGCAGCTACATGGCTTGGGTATGCATGGCTCGATCCTATTGGGGGCATGATTCGTGCAGTGTATAACGGCAAAGATGCCTGGGCACTCCTCGTTGAATCTGTGGATCGCTTGTGCGACTGCAGTGCGGGTGATGAATGGACCCGCAGGATCGAACATGCATTAGAGCAAGCAGCCCACTGCGCTGTAAACACATCAGATATGCCCGCGTTCACATGGAGCGAGCTTCTCGTTGTGACCAATGGTTCGGCACTCACAGTGTACGTGACATTGACCCTGCCACCACAGATCACCCTTCAAAAGGCACTCGCCGCCGAATCATTCGTCCGCGAGTACATCGGCACACATCACAATGAGGTACGTATCTTTTTAAGATTACACACACGTGTTGGCACCAAATGAGTGCTTGAAGAATGGCACTCACACGCCCACCATATGTGCAGGTTACCAATCTACGAACAAAGTTAGATATTCGCGACAAGATGGAATAACAGCCATGAACAAAGTAGCAAGTAATAGAATGGATGAATACAAGAGTGGACATGTAGTAGCTCCATCGCATTTACACGTCCTTACTTGGGGATCCCGTCTGGATAGCCGGAGTTGGGCGATGGCTTGTAACGCCATTCACTGCCAGACTCGTCAAGGCGTTTCTCAGCCTCAGGAGCTGCCCATTTCCGCACACTAAATTGCATGAGTCATGCTCATATACGCCAAACTTACCTGTTGTCAGGTTTGAAGTACATCGCAGCAGCAAACAGAGCTGCTCCACCGTACATGCCCCAGTACCATGGGAGTTCCCATGCATCCTTCACACGCTTTTGACCAGGTGCTGGCGGCTGAATCGGTTAGTCTAACTGGTAATCATCACTATCGCAGGTATGCACACAGAAGAGTGCACGAATAGAGATCTGAATCATACCTTTTCGCCGAACAGGTAACCTGATACGGGTCAGCACACTGCCGCTATTGTAGATGCTCACGTACCAGAAGGCTCGTTGTAACTGGGTCCATGGCCAGACGCATAGCGACGCTGAGCAGGCAACATACTGCGAGAAGCTACCCGCTGTGCAGCTGCGCGTGAGATCGATGTGCTAGCACGGCCAAGCATGACAGATGCAGGACAAATAAAGAGACTGTGATTGCGACAGCGAAAGAACCAAAATATTCACACGGAGTGCCGCACGAACGACAGACTCTCACTTCGAGCGAGCGAATTGCGCACACACTGCCTGACTAGAACGGCTACTTGGCGCCGCCCGGGTCGGACCTGTAAGTTCACGTGCAGTGTAGTCAGCGGATCTGATTCATGACTAATAAATAGTAGTCAGCCAAACTCGCTGGTCGCGGTGTGGAGATGTGTTGGGATATATGCCATGCAGGCCTGTGGGAAATGAGCGTTCACACCGGAAGCAAAGAAACGAATGGTCAAATAAGAAAAAGGGCTGACCGGTGGTCGAAAGACAGACTGTATGCGGAGGCCAAGGGGAAAAAGGGAGGGAGGGGTGGGGGTTCATTGAACTGAGAAACGGCGTAGCGCGACTTGAAGGTGTGGCGAGCAGCGCATTGCACGACAATATTCTCTTCTTTTTTGTTGCGAGTGTACCGATATATTACCGGCGCAGCTGTCCGGCATGATGGTGATAACACCGTCGCGATCTGATGCTAATCTCAGTCAGTCGCACAACCTAGAAAATCGGGTCGGCGCAACATCATCATTCATGACAGAATGCGGTGGTGATTCATCGCGGGACAAAGGCTCTCTGGTTGCACCACCAATTCAACATGTACCCGTCATTGATACTTCCATCGACGTCGAAGGGGATGCGGAAGACGATGAGGATGAGGCATACAAGCACGAAATCCCTACCGAACTCTTGAATGAGCAAGTCGTGCACGCTGGCTTCTTGTTGAAGCGCGGAGATAAACACAAGATGTGGAAGAGGCGCTGGGTCGTTCTTCGTGTCTCACAAATGGCCATGTACAAGAACGAAAAAGAGTACAGACTCGTTAATGTGCTGAATGTGAGCCAGATGCATTCGATTGCGTCCCTTGAAATGAAGCGCTTTGGAACTGTCATATGCATTGTCACGCCCGACCGGACATGGTATTTCCGTGCACGAGACCAACACGACACATCCGCTTGGCTCAATGCTTTGCATCATGTGCAAGGACATACTCCAGAGCAGCATCTCGTGGCAGCTCCTTCCGTGTACGACGCAGCGAGCCATACTCCTGGAATTGCGATAAAGGACTCGGCGGGTCATACAGACGATTATCACCCACACGACCGACATCGTTTGTATAACCAGCATACAAATCACCCGCATGTGGCAACACATGCGACTCATCCCGAGCAGTCTCAGCCTCAGCCCCATCCTCCGGGCGAATGTGCACGTCCTGTTCCGACAACGACGGGCGGTCACCTTCTCAGCAGTTCTGACGATGATAATGAGGCTGATGACACCATCGCTTTTGGCTTGGGTGGGGAGGCGGCCGCTGGAGTGGCTACTCCCTCTCCGGCTCCTGTCGAAGAGGATAGAAGCCGCGTAATTGCTCAGGGCTATGCTCTGAAGCAAAGTAGTCGGCGCAAGCAATGGCGCAAGCGCTGGTTTGTGCTTACTCTCGACGCCTTATACTATACACGCAGTCATATGGATACGCGCGCACATCGCAGTATACCCACGACATGTATCCTTGATACCATGGAATGTGATGTGCCAAGTGTGGGTTCGCCAACGCTTTCGCTGTCGCCAGGCACCCTTGGACGACTTGGATTTGGATCAAATATCCCTGAAATGCGGTGCCGTGCCCCTATGCCGGGTGTGCATCAACGTGATGTATATGCCCATGAAGTACAGCATCGTGTCTCATCATATTCATTCCAAATCGTCACTACAGAGCGTACGTTCGTCCTGTGCGTGCCAACGGAGGACGACGAAATTCGCTGGCTTAGCGCTCTTCAAACACTACTCAACAGACAAAGACGATCCGTCAGATAGAGCAAGACCTGTGTATATATGAATTTATGTGTATGTAAGAGTAGTAAAGTATGTATGTGCGCCGACCAACCATGGTTAGTCCAGCACGTTGGAGAAAGCTACGTGTGCACGCATAAAACAGAAGTTGAGGCTGTATCATCCAGCTGTCTCATCCACATTCACAACCTTGTGTGTTGCTTCGGCCAGGTGCGAAACATCCGCCCAGCGAACAATGACACCAGGCCCTGATTCAACGACGTGGATTTCCGTTAAGCTGCAATTCCAGAAACGACAAGGGGTAACCCCTGGTCCATACTCAACATCACCACTGGGAACAATGATTTGGTTGACCAACGAGCTAATGGCACCGCCGTGACTCACCAGCACCACGACAGAGGGGCTTTTCCGCACTTCGTCGATGAGCTCATTCCAAAACGATACAAGACGATCTCGTAAACTAAGACGTTCCCGGTTGGTCAGTTCATTTTCGAACGTACGCCTGACTTGACTCAATACCAATAGTGTGTTCGGACTTTTCTCTTGGCCCCCGGTACACATGGCCCTGAAGCACGCCAAAGCATCGTTCCATGAGCCGCACATCCTTCTCCACAACCAAACCAGGATGATGCGTGGCGATTTCTTGGGCTGTATCAAGCGTGCGCTTCAAGGGACTTGAGATGACCCGCGTGATTGATTCATTACGCAGGGCGGTACCTGTTTTTGATGCTTGTTGATACCCGACTTCATTCAGCAGCGTATCCAGCTGACCTTGTATAATACCTTCAACATTTTCGTTCGTCTCTCCGTGGCGAACTATGAAAATTCTACTCCGCGGTTTGCGTGGCGTCGCCATGATCATCACGCACGTGCAAAAAGATCGTGTCTCAACACCCCAAGCAAGGCAGGAATGACCCTGACCGGAAGTAGCGCTACACGAATGTCGTTCGTAGAAGATTCACGCTTGAGCTAGCTCCACATCACCATCATCGTTCCTTAACCGTTGTCTACTTCGACGGCCGACGTCACAGCCGCAGTTACCATTTGCTTGCGCGTGCCTCAGCTGTTATGGCAAATACTGCCGGTAGACAACATGACCTTCAGGGCCATACAGTGGCTTTGTTGCTGATTGTAGCTTTCTTCTGCCTCGAAGATATACCTGAGCATGAGCGCTCCCGTCGTACAATTCTCCTGTACTTGGTGCGCTCGCTAGAAAACGTATGTCGAAGTCATTCGTACTTACGACTCAGCTTGATGGAATGCCGCAGAATTTGTGCATGATGAAACGCAGACTCAGTTTAGCTCTCGAGCCATTTCCGCACACGAGCCATACACTCGACGCGTATTTGACGGAGAGATTTGATCAGTTCGACAGTGTAGATGGGCTAATGGAGCTCTTTTATGGACGTGCGTAGCACATGAATGGCGCGAGAACGAAAGACTTATTTTGCAGAGCTCAACGACTGCATGTACATGTTTGATTCAGAAACAGGCGTCACGAATAACTTCACCTTGCATCGCCGTTCGTACCTCGGACTTTTTGTTCGCCGCTCATGTTTACGTTTCGCAATGATGCTCGAGCATGAGCGGATGCAGCTTGTCGAACGATGCAGATTGTGGCGTGATGGAGTCGGTTCTGCACAAGCCGATGAGTGGACATCCAGCTCGCAAGCGCACGCCTATCGAATGTGGCGCGAAAGCGAGAGACGCGGCGACTATGTGAAAACAAAACACTACTTACAGGCCTTCTTCGACTATACTCTACCAGGATGTGATAAGTACGTGCATGTGACCGACAAGGTTAGAGTAAGCTGATAGATGAACCAGAGAACTTCACCAACACGCATTGTTGAATTTGGCCTACTTCCATATGCAGTCGCATGGATTCCAAGCCGCACGTACAGTAAGTGGCGTCACCCGTCGAAGTACCTGTTGGAACTGACATTACGATGCACAGGTCTTGGATGAGGCTATTTTGTTGGCGCGCACTGTAGGGGACGACGAATGCATGCGTGCATGTGATCAGTACGTGACACATTTTTTGCCACCCACACACTGTTCGAAAGGGTCTAACAGCACCATAGCCTGCTGGATCAGCTGTCATACCTGGATCCTCAGCCAAGTTTGGCAGGTGTATTGACGCAGCAGGAGACTAAGGATACCATCAAGAGCGGCGCATATGCGCCATTAGAACTTTGGAAGGCTGATATGGATCGGCGACAAGGTCGTGCCTTACTCGAGATTGTGCAGCGAATATACGATACAATGTGGAGACCAAGAGCACCTATTCCTCAAACGGAACCTCTATGGGAGCCGCGACTCAGCATTGGACAAAGTGCGGTGTGTCCTTCAGCGATCCTCGCTCGAACGTGGCTGCAGCTCGGCATGCCTTCCTTGGCTGAAGTATATATGGCACACATTCGAAGACTTAGTCCTAGTCCACCCAAGAACTGGGACGAATTGCTGTTGGATGCCACTATCACATGTGCATTTCGGCATGTCGAGCAGGGAAAATATGAACATGCTATTTCGTCGCTTGTGAGCAAGAACACGCTGTACCAAATCACATCCTTGTCTCTTCATCAACAATGGCAAGACGCGATCTGGTATGTCATGTATGTACGCGCGCGCCGACAAAATCACACAGCGACTCTCCGGAGACTTGAGCAATTGTGCCCTGGTGTGCATGAGTGGTATGAACCTATACGATCCACGGAGCCGACGGCGAGTGCATGGCTTCGTGAAGCGCAGAATATGATCCACGCTCGCCAGCCGCACCAGAGTCTTGAAGTGCTTATGAAGGCATTAGCGGCTAGTGAGGCTCAGCAGCTCTTCCCTATGCGACGCACGTGTTTGGCCGTTCTTGCAGATACCATGATTATGTCGCTCGGCATGCACACGGAGGCGCGTGCGTTGCTCGATGAAATTTTCCCTCAAGTCCTGGCCGATGAAAATGCGGAGCGACGCGCCTATGTGCACATGGTGTTGGGCAAATATTTTCTTGCAACAAAGGAGCTTGTGGCAGCGCGTGATTCGTTGCGTGTCGCAGCGCAGAACTACGAGTGTCTGGAGGCTTGGAAAGACCAGGCGATGTGTCTATATCTCGAGGCCAGCGTATCACACTTACTCCAAGATACAGAAGCACATGTTAATGCAGTTCAGCGCCATGGAGAGGTCCAGTCTCGCGCAGATGAGGCTCACACAGCCTCTTGCCCAATGCCCCCCGTCGATGCACTCGAGCGTTTAGTGTGCCGGATGAGCGAACGGTGTCAGTGCAGTTTAGTCAGCACTTAGATGGCTTGGTCAGCAGAGGGACACATATCCAACTTCCCCACATCGCAATAGTGCAGCATCATGAGCAAGGGGAAAAGGAAACTGCAAACGCTAGACACTGCGTGTGAAAAGGTGCATAGCCTGCTTGATTCAATGCAAAAGCAGAGCTTGGATTGGAATGCGAGAACATTCCGTGATACCGGGTGCTTTCTTGCACATGCGGAGCGAGATGGCGTAATATACAAACAAGACAAGCTATCTCAAACAGATATGCCACAGCGCGCAACGTCATCCAAGATGTGCATCCGCATGCAAGTTGCGCAGTACATGGGAAACCCATTTGGCGTAATGCATGGAGGCTGTATAGCGACGATCGTTGACTCGTTCTCGTCATGCTTGGTACGTGGTCTTTCCGCATGAATGTACATGTAGACACGCACATGCGTAGTCGCCACTAATACATGGTATAACAGCTTCAATTGCACACTAGCGGAGAGTTAGGAGATCCATGGGCAATGATGGGCGTATCGCAAATGCTCACCATTCACTATCTTAAACCCACTCACGTAGGCCACTGGATCGAGGTCGAGACGACTATGGTTTCCTTGGGCAAAACATCATGTCTCATGAGCGTGGACATATATGAGCTGGAGAGCCCTGATGGGAAGCGGACTACACACACGATTACTGCCACGCACACCAAAGTAGATGTTCGCCCATCTCGTGCAAAACTGTAAGACATAGGTGGTCATTCTGACAGACTGGTCATCTCGCATTTCGGAACAGCTATGTTACGTACAACGGCCTTGTACTACCCATTGTAACCAAGTTTCACATCTGTTCGACAAGCTACGCTAGATTTCATCGATCGGCTCGACGGTCTCTGTAGCCGCCGAGCCGAGCGGAGTTCGGGCAAGCATTAGCAAAATGGTTATATTCGCCACACTTGTAACACAGCACATCGTTCATGTCTCGTTTGTACGCGGATGCATCACGAGCAGCTGCTGCCATGGCTTTGCGCATATCTGCAGCAGCTATCCTGTCCTTTTCAGGAACAATGGCCCGACCAGTATGAGGGTCAGTAGGAAGTTCATGGATACCAGGTGCAGCTCCAAATGCCTCCGTCATGGTCAATGGCCGGTGCGTTAGCAGGGGTGTGGATGCTCGAGATTCTGGTGTTGGAACCAATGGCTTGATGCTAGATTATTTCCAAAAAAAAGTAGATATGAGGATGAGGATGAGGATGAGGACGAGGACGAAAAAGAATTGAGTGGTGTTAGTACCCGAACATGGACAGACATGGGGCAGTCTGCATATTCACACAAAATGCGCGCAACATGCTGGAGGACTGTTTCCCATGCTTTATTACGTACTGCCCTAAGTTGCATTCTGGACCCAAAGGACAGAATCCCGCAAGGTAATAAGGACAAGCAAGTCGGCGGATATGTTTTTTTGGGCATGTGGGACCTGGACGTGGGGCAGCGAGCAAGACGGTAGGTGTCAGTCAAATGCATCGAATTTTCTATCTTATAACATACCCAGCTCGCAGAAACCGCGCTCGTATCGCTCACAACGACGGCGCTTTACACTGGGATCAATGTGGATATACAAGCATTCATCAGAAGAATTGCAGAAACCAAACGTCGCATAAAAACGGCATTCGGGCATGCGGCGTAAATCATACTCGTGTAAATAGTCACACAAATCGCCTTTCTTGCACAGACCACGAAGCCAGTGCTTGCAAACCGTACGCCGAGACACGTCACGACTCTGACTTGTGGGTATAGCGGGCGATGGCGTAATGCAATGGCGTAATGTGCACTGGCTCCCAAGTTCACAGCGTCCGCGCTTGAAGCGCGGACATAGTTGATCATTCGTTTCGAGCTTAATTTGCAAGTCGCGCTTTACGAATGGCTCAAACTCAAACTCATTGTGTGGCCAGTCGTCATCACTCGGTGGTCTGCGCTGCCGGAGACTGGAGAAGAGCGACGTTGTCGCATGGCTCGGCACGTAATCGACGGGGAGTGCGAGAATATGTGAGGCAGGCTGCACAAGGTCTGTATGCTCTAGCTCCTTCGATTTGGTACGGCCATCGACATTGTCGGCACTGCTGCTGCTCATGCTATCCGTTGCGTTATGTTGTCGAACAAGCAGAGGCGGCGTTGGCGGTCGTGTGGAAATGCGTCCAAATTCATCATGCTTGGCTTCTCCACTGATGTATCTCTTCGACACTCGTCTCCTCTTGACTCCTACTAAGCAGTCGTTCAAGGTCGTACTCATTGCATCTTGCACAGCGTAGGCGAGTGGCGACCAACGTTCGCACATGAACGCAGAGAAACGTCGCCCTTCGGCATGGGCGACTCCATGTCCGAGCAACGCATCGGCGACAACTGGCGCGAGCATGTCGCACGCATCGTTTCCAGATTTGGCGACATCTCTGCGCGCGCCACACACTCGCCGAGCGCGTGCGAACCGCAGCATATGGGACGATTCAGCCGCTGCTTCTGCTCAATTCAATCCTTATCCATCTCGAGTCGAAGAAATGAATGCACGCGCAAGTCAGTGGCGTCGCACAGGACGTGTGCCACGTTTCGATGGCGACTCACGCCTGGTTCTTGATGGTCGGGAACAGTGCGAAGAAGGAGCGAACGATCAGGGCTACGCTCAAGTGATTTTCCGAGACAAGTCTATGGGTTCAGGGCCCATGGCCAATGGTGGCGCATGGGCGTGTATGTTTCATGCGGCACAGACTGGCTCAATAGCTTCTCGTGCGATCTCGCATGGCATAAACGGAGCTGCTGCATCATCGACAACAGCGTTACTATCTGTACATGGTACAAGCTCGTCATTGTCAAAGCAACGACCACAGACATTTGCTTCAGACGCATCAACGAGTGCTGACGGTCACGACAAGCAAGTCGCATACAAGAAGTGTGACTCGCTCGATGGTCCGCCTTCGTCAGATGTGATTGATGGGGCAAATAAAGCAAAGATGCCGTGCATTCGTACCTTGCCGCCATTGTATCTTCAACTATTTGACAGTAGCCTTACCCCCGAGGAACGTGCACAAGTGTCATCGTCGCTGAGCACTCATTTGATGGAGCTCGGCACGTCGAGAGATGCATCCATTGCTGATGTGCTTGCAGCACTCGAAGTTAGCTCGCATGTGTCGCGCGCATGTACCGAGGCACTGGCAACCCATGTGGACTGCTCCGTTGCTCCCTATGTCCAAGCTTATGACTTGGATCGGCTTGCGTGCATTGTCGATTCACTGACAGGTGCCCTGAGCTGGCACGTCAGTGCACACGGTGCACGAGGCACCGAGGTTCCAATCTCGCTTGTGCATGCACTTACTTGTGTACGGGACGCCGCTTTGCATCGGTCAACTAAGCTCTCTGCTACCCGTTTCCACGTCGCAGCGACGGAGCTGCCGTCTATTGTCCATTCGTATGCGGTATGGCTCAAGGGTGGCAGTGATCGAAATCTTTGTGACAAGCCATGGTTGCTAACTCTGGGCGCCAAGGCACAGATCCTGGCGTGGGAGGCGCAGTGTGCTATGCGACAGGCCTCCAATGAGGCATGGATTAGCCCAACATCTTCCACATCAATCATGTCGTCACCCACGTCGGGTCTATGGAGGGTGTCAGTCTCAAGAGCATCAATTGTGAACGATTCGCTCGACGCATTCGAGTCAGCTTCATTCGCACAGCTGCATCAACCGTTGCATGTCCTGTTCCGCGACGAACTTGCGCAGGATGCGGGTGGCCTCAAGAAAGAATGGCTTCAGATCCTATGTGATCAATTGCAGCAGCATCTCCCATGGATGGATCTGGGCTCAAGCGAGCCAAGCATGCGTGGCCTAGTATTCTTTTCTGCCTCTTGCAATGAAGAAGAGCTGCAGAGAGCCCATCTCCTTGGCATGGCTATGGGTCTTGCCCTCTACCATCAGGTCACAGTGCCATTGCGTCTCGCACCTGCCGTGTACACGATTCTACTAGCACTATCACGTGGTGAGACTGCACCATGTGATCTCGCGACCCTTGCACAGGTGAAGCCGGATCTTGCCGTCGGTCTGGAGCGTCTATTGCAGGAAGATCCAGCGAATGTCGAGCAAATGCACTTGACGTGGCAAGTCGATGACGCCGCAGTCGGCCACGTGGACGAGGGCCGGGAACGCACAAGTGATCTGTGTGTTGGTGGCAGCGCGCGGCTAGTCACGGCGGCGGATCGTGAAGCGTACGTCCGCACGTTTGTGCTCTTTACACGCTGCTCGAGGCGGTGCAAAGGTCCGTTGGAGGCCTTGGTGCATGGGTTCGCCAGGATTGGTGTCCCCGGCGACTGGGCGCTCTCCGCTGTCGCTCCTTGCCCCGCACGAGCTCGAGAACTCTTTTGTGCGGGCGAAATGAACGGACCCTTGATACGTACTCGCTGCGCACCTATACAGAGCATGTCGGCTTTCCTGAACGCAACGCGCCTCATGCTGAGCGTGTGTATGCGAATCTAGAAGCTTTCTGGGATCTATGGGCGCGTCTTGTGCCCGAAGAGCAGCACGCGCTCTTAGGCTTCATCACAGGCTGCAATCGAGTGCCTGCACTGGGTGCAAGATGCTTGGGCTTGCGGATCCAACATGTTGACTTGGACCCAATGCATGCGTCACGCGTACCGTGGAGCAGTACTTGTACATCGACGCTCTTCTTGCCTGTATACGACACAGTATCGGACCTCGAGGTCAAGCTCCGCATTGCCATTCGGCATTCGACAGGCTTTGGACTTGCGTAGCATGGCATCGTTTGTCAAGTCTCTACAAGGTGTTCTATTTGTTTACTTTGTCTTCACGGCAGCGGTCGTTCTCGAGTCTCTTCCTCTGCAATCATAAGCCTGACCTGAGGCCTTTAAGGATTTTTTTAAAGAAAAAACACACACGCCGAACGTGCTCGTCGCTACGTCCAAAGCCTTTTTCATGCTACCATTTGTATCTTTCACACTCCCTATGAATTTTCACATTCACCATATGAATCTGTCGTCACAATTGCTGCTATCCCTATCCCATAGATACAACACAAATCCCCATATGAAAGAATGAGCGCGTGTTTCAAATTACAGCCCTGCATGACCTGCATGTGGTTAAGCAGCCCAGCGCTGTGGATCAAGCGTAAGGATGCGTTGGAATGCCAGATCTCGGTCGATTACGGCCGGCAGGCTTAATCCTTTTTCGCTCTCGCTCAAGACGATTTCCAAGCCCTCTGTGCAGTTTTCCAAAATAGGTGTGGACTTGCGCAGTTTCTTGAGGCCGGTGATCTGAGAAACAGGCACTTCGAATAAGATATCATTTTGTTTCGGGACACGTGCCAATGGCACACTGGCGATCTGAAAGTCTGTCAGGCCTTGGCCATCCATTTCTAGCTCAACCATGTCTTTGATGAGCGTCGGGGACATCATGGGATAGAAGAGGCGGCCGTCGACTGCGTGTGTCAGCTCATCTTCTTCATCTGACGTGAGACCCTGAGCTGTTTCTGGGAGTCGGTGCGGCGTATAAGAGAGCAGGAACACGACGCGCGTCGGCAGCACGATCAGGTGGCCGAGTCGCTTACGAAAGACGGCCAAGTGCAGGCCATGACCCATGTCAAGGTCGCGAGTGAGCGACGATATTGGTCGCGATGCCACAGTCGGCGAGCTGACTAAGTTCATTATCTCAGTTGGCACAGGCGGCGACATGGCCCAGTTTTTCAGGCGCTGCTGCCGCTCATTCTCATATGTCTGCAGCGACTCTGATCGAGCCGGTATGAACGGGGTGTTGGGTCGATTCAGAACTGGGAACGATGAGTTCTGGGATGAGTCGGAGTGCGTCTTGCTCATCTGCGATGGCAGCAGTGTAGGCCCACTCGTGTTGCCGGGATGATTCGAAGTAGGCACACTGCCAACGCCTGCGGACGATGCATGAGAGAACGACGCGATATCGCCGGTGGGTATGGTGTCAGTCGCCGGCAGGACGGGCGCAACGGGGGCTGCTTGAGTGGGGGGCACTGCGGCTTTTGTACTTGTCGGTGTAGGTAGCGGAGCTGCCGCTGGTGCGTGGGATGCTCGCTCAAGGTCCTGGGGCTCTGCAGCAGGCCCATTCGCCGAACTTGGGCCAGCATCAAGCCCGCCGTCTGCATCGATGCTGTTAGTGCCGTTTCGAAGCGCACTGTTTTCAACATTGATGCTACGCGCCTGCGGCGTGGGCAGATCCGAGTCTGTCACAGGAGTCGCAAACAACAATGACTGGTTGCCATTCATGCCGTTTGCACGAGGTGTGTTGCGTGGCAAATTAGGAGGGAACGGCGTGTCCGCAGCTGCGTCGATGGTCGGCTTGGTCGCTCGGTGGCGAAATTGGGTGCCTTCTTTCCACGTCGTCGCAGGCTCAGTGTCGGCCTCCATCGTCGTCATCATGCCAGCCTGCGATCCATAGTCCGACATGCTTTCGACTTCGAGCAATCGATTCCGCTCGTCACTCAGAAGACCATCGGACCTGGACGAATCTCGCAAGTGACGGCGCATCGTCGAGGGCGCGACAGGGCTAGTGCTCGAGATCGGCAGGTCATACTCCGACGAAGGTCCGTGCGCATGTCCACGCGTATGTGCACCGAACTCCTTTGATTGTGTTGGAAGGTCGTCCGCATTCACATTTGACCACATTTGCTTCGAGACGCGGGGCACATGGTGGTGGCTTTTGCCCTTGGTCTTGCGGCGCGACAAACTGACGTCATCGTCTTGTTCCTCCACAATCCTGTTCGAGTCGACCCATTCGCCAAGCCTCCGAAGCTCACGCTCGGCCTCCCAGTGAGTGCGTGCGAGCTTTTCATGCAAGTACTCTTCGTCCGTAGGCACACCGGCCAAAACACTATCCAGCACGGTACGGGTAGCAGCATGTGGCATTTTCGGATCGGGCGGAGGCGCTCCGCTTAATTCACTGAGTACATGCAACAGTCGGTGCAAGTGACCATACTCGACAATTGGCGCCAGAATAAACAGGAGTACAAACACTAACGCTCCTGGGAGGCGCATCAGCATCCATGTCGTTGCCTGCATGCTCAGGAGTGCAAAGAGAAGGAGCCAGCCCAAATAACGGAGCGTAATGAGAGGACTGCGCCAAAGCATCAGGTTCTTGAGGCGCTCATGCATGTCGGCGAGGCCATGTGCAACAACTAGTACTTGGTCACCAACCTGCTGGAGCGTTTCGCGCGACGGGGCCAACGTCACGAGGCCTAGTGCCTCTGTACCGCGACGTGTGATCGCTTGCGCAGATGACTCACTGGGATGACTGAAGGACGCTCCAGCATGTGTGCTTGTGTTGGCTGAGGCTGGCATGCTGGCCGCGCTACGCTCCTGTTCGCCGCCCATGGCTGGCATTTGCCAGATACGGAACGTGGCAACATACAGGAAGGCAGCAAGGAAAAACACGGCTAGCAGATCACCACGCCACCAGATCACCAGGTACAGTGCCGCAATGCCAGCGGTGACCCAAGGATTCTCCCAGCGCCACAGTCTCCGCAATGTGGCAAACATGCCCCAGTAGAGGATATACACGTTAACAGCTAAACGCGTTGCGTTATAGTTGAACACATGCATTCTAGCACGCTCTTGTTTCAACGCCGGATTCGTGGCGGCCATGCCCTTCGCCGGCGAGACATGGCGCGTCCGTTCTGTGAGCGCCAACGAGTGTGTGGGTGAGCTGGGCGCAGGATGGTCGGCGCCATTTTCCATGGCCATGTTTTGTCCGGGAGCATCGGCGGTCCCGGCCCTCGCCACTGTCGGCTTGGGCGACGTAATGGTAAATAGCGGCGCTGGTGCCGCCACCTCCTCATGTTTCGTTCGTGCGGCAACTTCAAGGTCCTCACGCACACGATGGGCAGCTGATGTATTGTTCTGATCGGCGTCAAGATCAAACCGCTCAGCATTAATGAGCATGGTCGCCGGCGGCATAGGATCGATCAGCGGATCATACAATGGGTCGTCCTGTACAGCGGATTCAGGCTCAAGATCATGCGCTACTGTATCATCGAAGCGCTTCTTCCGTCTGCGGCTGGGCTCGCGCTTGTCGCCATCTTGGTCTTTCTTCTTCTTTTTCTTTTTCTTCATTGCTTCGCCATCGGAACCGAGACCATGAGCCGCGTCGGTGCTCTTGCCTTTTTTCCGATGCATCGGATGCTGATGGCGGTGCTCGCGCTCGGGTGGCTCTTGCGTCACGCGGTCGTGGACTGGGGGTATGGGCTCCTCAGGCGATGAGTCAACTAGTCGCTCCATCGCCGAAGCTGTCGCATGGACCACGGGCACTTCTTCTTCTTCTTCAACAGGCACATGCTTTGTCTCGCCGCTCATGGCCTCCTGCATTGCTGTCCTCACACGAGGCGCCGATGGCACTGTCTTGGGTGCGTCGACATCCTGCTCGTCCGAGACCGTCGGAAGGGGAACCCGTCGTATCGGTGTAGGGTATGCATCCTGCACGTCATCGACCAACGTTTGGCTGTCGTAATTGCGCCGCTCGTACTCCGACAAGAACGAGCGCTCCGATGGACCATGAGTATCCCGCGTGTCGCGCGAGTGGGCGCGAGCGTCGGGAAAATGCGTGGACATCGCAGCGACATGAGGCACACCCGTGTCCGGCTCCGAGTCAGTCCAGTCATCATCTGGGTCGTCTGCCGATGAGAACATGTCATGTGGCGTCATTTTCTGCAGCGCGGTCAGGAGTGTGCGTGACTTGGTCTTTGGAGCCTGGCGCAAACACGTCCGGTGGCGGCTCCGCAACAGAGCTGCTTAAATTGTCGACAGGATTCCGATACAACCCTCTTGACTCTACTCCATCGTTCCGTGCCACTCCATATCTTCGCGAACGAACCACGGGTGACATATGCGTACCCATGTCGGGGCGAAGGGAACAACGTGCGTCTTCGTCGTGTGGGCGTGTGTCAAAGTCTCAGCCGGCTGGCGTGCACTTTGGGCGCGTCGGAATCTGAAGACTGGGGCACGTATGCGAGGGCCATGCGTTTGTGCGCCAAGACTGGCATGACTGACTAAGCTGTTCTGTGCCTCTGCGCAAGATGAGCCGTGTCTATGTGGAGAAGCGAGCGGCAAAGTCTACGGTGGCTGAATGTGCAAATTTTTTTTTTTATTTTGGGTGGGACTGGCGGCGGCGCGTGCATTTCTCATCGTCCACACGCTGTTTGCAAGCACGCTCGTTGTTGGAACGAACGACATTATGACACGCCAACCTGAGATTGGAGAAATCCCTAACGCCGTCAAGGATGATATCAAAGCACTGGAAAAGGAGCTGGATGCCGCTGAAGTCGAGGTGGCCAGGTACATGGCGAAATTGCACGCGCCAATTTTGAAGAAGCGGGAAGACATTCTCGCGAAAATCGAAGGGTTCTGGCCGCAGGCGCTAACGAACTGCGTGTCGACGAACGTGTACATTGACGACGAAGACCACCCACTGCTGGACCACCTGACGAAGATCGATGTGCAACGCGACGTGAACGACCCACGCGCTGCGAAGATTGAGTTCCACTTCTCACCAAACGAGTATATTAATGACCAAGTTCTCGTGAAGGAGTTCAAGCTGTCGCCTGAAGCAGGCGAGCAGTCAGCACAGTTCGACTTTGCCACTGACACTGTGCCTGTGAAGACGAGCATTGCATGGAAATCAGATGACGTCAACTTGGCTAAGAAGAAGCCTACCACGGGCAACATCGGCACTGGCAAGGAGGGCGAAAATGGTGCCAATGACGGCGAAGATGCTGAAGGCTTGGAAGAAGAAGACGACGACTTTGAGCCTGGCTCGTTCTTCTCGAGCTTCTTCGAGAATGAGAACCCTCAGATTGCCGGCAGCATAGGTCGTGCTATTGTGGAAGACCTGTTCCCCAATGCCGTGCACCACTATGAGGTGCCTGCGCTTTTTGATGAAGACGATGAAGACGAGGACGAAGACGAGGAGGATGAGGATGACGAAGAAGATGAAGATGACGGTGACAAGGAGATTGACTTGGAAGAAGAGGAGAAGCGGCCATCCAAGAAGCCCCGCAAGTAGGTTCGATCGTATTATCGCGTCGTGATATGAATGTTCGTGGCTAGCCACTGGCCCATTCATAGGTGAGAATTGTCAAGAGATTATAGACGTATCTGAGCGAAGCATTCCGTGGCACCATGTCCAAATCGCATGTAGACTGCAGTGGGGTTCTGTGATGGAAAGAGGGCGGCGGAAAGCGCGGTGAGTGGGTTATGAATGCTGTTCGGAGAATATGCAAAGTGTTGACCAACATTGTGTGCTCTTAGTACGAGCCCTGGGCGTATGCACGGATACTTGCATGGTTGCCATTGTGCGAAGAAAAGGAGTCTATTTCATAGCTTGATTCGTACTTGTACGAGTCATCATAGCCGCGCGTGGTGGTCTACTAAGGTCATTCAATGTACTAGAGCATGCAATCTTTCCCTATAAGTTGTGAGATCCTTTCTATTCCGACTTCACTTGCTTGCTTGCCGTATATTTCGATCCCCTTACAATGTCGACTTATCAAGTCTGAAGAGTACCGCGCGCCAGCTTCTAAGGCTGGCTGTGTCGCTTTCTCGGCGTCTGGAGAAACACGGCCGCCGCCGTCCTTTCCACAACGCATGCGCAAGTTGCCCTGCACGCTGCATGTGGCCACGCACGCCTGTTGCCAGGGGGCGGCGGCCCTTACGAAAGCCTGCCCCTCTGCCTTGGCTTGACTCGCTCACTCCACCGCCTGAAGTTTACGATATTTCTGCACAGTATTACGTAGCACACAATCTGTTTTGTCTAGTCACACGTGTCAGACCCAGGACCACACCTACTCCACTGACACCCAGACGTTGCTGTCGTAGTCGTTGAGGTTGTCATGGTAAGCAACCCGTTCAAGCGGAGTGACAAGGATGCGCCTGATCCGGCGCAGGAAGAGCAAGAGATGGCTGCTCAGATGCAGTCGGCTGGTGCGAATGTAGAGACATTTGATGAAAATTCGAGTCCCGAGGCCAAGGGTCGCGCTGCCCTCAAGGCTCGAGACGAAGTAAAGCCGCGCGGTCAGTTTGCCGAGCACCAAGAGGCCAAGGCCAAGGCCGAGGCTGAGAAGCTGAACAGATCTGTTCACTCGGACATGCTGGGGAAGCGAGTGCGACCGAATGTGAACCTAAAAGACGTCGATCAGGCAAGCCATGCACGCGGACAGCTTGGCGGTGACCAACTTATCCCTGGTGCGCTGCCCGCTGGCTCGCCATCCTTGGATGTGCCTGACTGGTTCAAGATCGGCTGGATCTCGAATTCACGCTATCTACTCGGCCTGCAGCCAAGTGAGCTCCATATTCAGCAGGATCGACTGCGTGACACATCGCTTGTGAATGCGTTTCTGGACGATGCATACTATGGGTACTTATGGTTCGATGGTGCTGCGATCATTGCGTCTGTCGCACTCACGTACATATTGACGCGTCTTGGGGGCGGGATAGCCTTTGCGACGATCATTGCTGCTATTGGATGCACGTACTACACCACAAGCACACGGCGCACACGCCAACGCGTGCGCGATGACGTCGCACGCGAGCTTGCACGACACCGTATGCTAACCGAGAATGAGTCTGCAGGTTGGATTAACCACTTTCTTTCGCGCTTCTGGCTCATTTATGAGCCAGTACTGTCTGGCACGATCATTCAGCAGGTGGATCAAGTACTTCGTGACAACTGCCCGCCTTTTCTGGACTCGCTCCGCCTGACGACCTTCACACTCGGCACCAAGCCGCCGATGATCGACTCGGTTCGCACGCTGGTCGACACGGAAGACGATATCATTGTGATGGACTGGAAACTCAGCTTCACGCCCAACGACGTGCAGGACATGCCTGTGCGGAAGGCGGCGGAGCGGATCAACCCGAAAATCGTGCTGACTGTGCGTGTGGGTAAAGGTATGGTTGGTGCAGGTTTGCCTGTGCTGCTGGAGAACATGAGCTTTGTTGGAATGCTGCGAATCCGACTCAAGCTCATTCCTAGCTTTCCTCACGTGCAGATGGTGGATCTTTCTTTCATGCAGCCGCCGTCATTTGACTATGAGCTGAAGCCCGTCGGTGGTAGCACGTTTGGCTTGGATGTGTCAGCGCTGCCCGGTTTGTCAGGTTTTATCCAGAACCAGATCCACGCGGCTTTGAGTCCCATGATGTACAGCCCGAACCAGTTTACTCTGAATCTCGAGGATATGCTTTCTGGTACGCCACTCGATGCGACTTGCGGTGTGCTTCAAGTGACGATTTGGAATGCGCGTAATCTCGAGCGCCTGGGCATCGAGGGCGGCGCACCGAATGCGTATGTATCAGTGTCCCTGAATGGCGGCCCTGAGATCGACCGCACACGCACACGCGAAGCAGATCCAAATCCTACCTACCGCGAGACGAAGTATGTGCTGCTCAAGGAACTAGAAGGTCTGTTGACACTTACGCCTATGGAGGACAATGGCTCGCTGCCGCCATCGCGTCTCGGGACGACACGCTTCGATCTGTCGTCGCTCCACGAGAACCCGTCTCCAGGCCGTATGAACAAAGCGCTCATGTACAGCGACGAGCCTGTTGGCTCGATCATGTACTCACTGGACTACTTCCCGATTATGAAGCCAGAGGTGGGGCCTGACGGCCAGCTAATGCCATTGCCTGAGACAGCCGCTGGTGTGCTGCGCCTGACACTGCACCAAGCACGCGCACTTCCCAAGTCGGCCGGGGTGCGTGCCAAGTCGGGACGCAAGGCATGTCTAAAGTTGAACAAGAAGCTCGTGAGGGAAACGAATGTGGTCCGGGAGCCTGTTGATCCTGTGTTTGAGGACGTGTCGGAATTGTTGGTGATTGAACGCTTCGGCAGCACCGTGACGGTCGATATTGTGGAGCCGCACCAGGCGAAGGATGACACTGTCATGGCGTCATTGACGGTGAAGATCGATGATATCATACAAGCCTCGAAACGCAAGCAGGACTGGTTCCCCTTCCCTGGCAATGACGATGCTCGTATGCGCCTATCGGCGCAGTGGAAGCCGATTCTCATGTCTGGCAGTATCAATGGCAGTAACAGCTACCGGCCGGCTATCGGTATCCTCAAGTTCTGGATGCGTGGCGCTCACGACGTCAAGAATGTCGAGGCACTTTCGGGCGGCAAGTCTGATCCGTATGCGATGTTGAGCGTCAACAACATTCCGGTGCACGGCACGTGCGTGATTGACGACACCTTGACTCCCCAGTGGGATCAAGTGCTCTATGCGCCGGTGCATGCGACAGCCGAGGTCGTGCGTGTCGAGTTGATGGACTACCAAAATGCGACGGCCGACCGTTCTCTTGGCTTCTGCGAGGTGCCTGTTGCCAAGCTCGCGCATGACTATATCGATGACTCGAAGTGCCCCTACCGCGGCAACGGTCGCCAGAGCATGCGTGAGAAGCTGAAGCAGCCAAACGGCACGACCAAGGGTGTGGTTGAGTTTGATGTCGAGTTTCTCCCCGCGATGCATGTGGAAGGTGCGAACTTTATTGAACAGAACCGCAGGCTCGAGGCCGAGCAGCGGCAGAAGGAAGGTGTCGAGGAAGATCCGTACACGGGCTCGCCGCTCGACTCGCCAGATGCCAAAGCCGCTGCTGGCGCTGCAACACGCGCTGGGCAGGCGTACTTGCAGGACGATGATGAAACCGAGGGCGGTGAAGAAGAGGGCCTGCACCTCACGAAGGAGCAGCTGCTCTCGAGCCAATCAGGCATTATCGTATTCAATCTCATCAAGGGCGAGATCCTTCGGTCACGCGCACAGCTTGAAGTGGTCTTTGACGACAGTTACTGGGCCGCGCACACGACAGAGCGCCGTAAGCAGTACGACTGGGACGAAGTCGGTGAGGCCGTCATTCGGGAGCTGGATGTCTCAAATGTCTGGTTCCGCCTCCGCACTGGCAAGCGTGACAGCGACGTGTTCGCCGAGTACACGTGCACGACGAAGTCGCTCTTGGAGCGTGCCTTGGACGGACCCATTGAGCTGTATCTGCAGCCGACGGGCGCAAATGGTGCGATGGATCCATCGAAGCTGCTGGATGCGCCCGGTTCGCTTGTGGAGAAAGGCAAGAATGCATCAGGTGCCATGAAAGAGAATGCCAATCCACAGAACCTTGCCAACATGCCAGGGAAAATGCTCGATTCCGGCCAGGACCTGGCATCAAAGGGTGCTGACAAAGTCGGCCAAATCGGCACTGGCGACGCATTCATGGCTCAAGGAGGCAAAGTGCTTGTCAGCTGCCGATACATTCCCATGGACATACATCTCGAGCCGATCGAGAGTGTCGTGAACCAAGGCTCACTTACGATCGAGGTGCTGCACTGTAATAACCTGGCATCAGCCGACCGTGGTGGCAAGTCTGATCCATACGTCCTCTTCCAGGACAATGGCGAGACACTCGCTCGCACAAAGACCGTGCGCCGCAACCTAAACCCGCGGTTCAACGAGGTCTTGCCTGAAGTCCTGATCAAGTCGCGGTTGACGCGTGAGTATCGCTTCAATGTGCGTGACTGGGACCAAGTGGGTGCATCAGACCCACTGGGTACGGCATACGTAAATCTTGCTGAGCTTGAGCCATTCGAAACGTATGAGCGCACATTGCCCCTTACCGGTGAAGGCGCTCTGGAGGACAGTACCATCACGGTACGTCTCACGTTCCACCCACGCTATCTGAACAACTTGGTCGGCAAGTTCGGCAATGCCATGGGCAACATGGCCTCTGGCGTAATTGGTGGCATTGGCAATCTTGGTAAGGGTGTCGCCACGGGAGGCATGTCTTTCGGTCAGCAGATCATGAGTGCTGTGGGCATCAAGCACCACGACAAGGAGCATCCGACGCCCGAAGAAGCTGCTCAGCAATATGCGGAACAGAGTGGCCCGCCCAAGGATCGTCAGCACGATGAGGCGCATGCCTCCGAGTCTGGCGTGCAAGGAGAGCATGCTCCGTCATCGGCGCATCCGCCCAACAAGGACCCCATGGATACGAGCAACTTTAAGGTCGATAACTCGTCGAAGTACTCGCTCCAGGATGCGAACGAATCAGCCTCCCTCGCCACAAATACCGAGCTGGGAGACCATAACGGCCCTCAGCCACGTCGGCGCCGCGGCATCCCAAATCCATTCAAGAAGCTTGCACACAAATCCTAAGCCGATTTCTATCTTGCGCTTCTCGAGCAGCGCTAGCAACCTCCTGAGGTAGCTTATGTTACTACGTTTGTGAATCTCCCATACCAACAAATCCTTCTCATTTTATACACTCCCCGTTTCGGTACCTACCTTCCATAGCAGTCGTAATAGTAGTCATGCGCTCTTTTCGTTGCACGCCTGGCTGATGTGGGTGACCCTTGTCATCAGGGCGCCCACCGTGTGCCTTGGCTCTGTTGGTACGTGTGGAAAAGGCCCTTTCTGTGATTCGACATGTCCTTCTCCACACTCCCACATGGGCATGCTTGACCAATCTTGCATGGTATCGGGCCTTGCATCATGAGCTTATGTCTCTTCTCTTGGTCCGGAGCGCAAGCTTAAGCCACTGCGTCTTAATTGTGTGTGGGAGCGAGACGAACGTCATTTCACCCAGTCCCAATTCGCGTTTCCGTCCCCATCCCTCCGTTGTAGTTTGGACCTGCATCCGCGACCGAACCTCGTCACTCAGGGAGGCTGCCGCCCTCGTCATATACCCACCGATACCCCGTTCCATCGGCGGCTAGCCGAGAGTCCCGCTGAATGCGCCGGAGCTCGGCGCGCTCGGGCGTAGCTAGCTCCATCAACACCATCAGTGCGACGACAGGACCCGTAGCGGCGGCATGCTCACCGCCCTCGTCTGCATGCGCCAGTCCAGACATGACAGCTTTCACGGACGGGGCAAGGATGTTACCGCCCTCTCTTGGCCTGCATCGCGCCGCTAGTGCGGGCAATGTTTCACTAGTGCTGTATGCACTCGACAATGGGCAGCCTGTGAATCAAATTCTACATGGCATTGCACCTTTGCACGTCGCTGCATGCATGGGCGATGTCGCCATTACCAACACACTGATTTCCTACGGAGCTGATGTCAATATTCCCAAGGCGAAAGACAAAGTCACTGGCCCCGGTGTCGAAGGAGCGACGCCACTTCATTTCGCAGCAGCAAATGGACATCTCGGTGTGGTACATACGCTGCTTGTACACGGTGCGCGTCCACGACCTGTCGATCGTGATTTGCAAACGCCCGAGTCTCTTGCATATCAAAACCAGCACATTCACTGCCTGACATTCTTGCGTCATTGGATGGACTTGTATGGCACTGACGGCCACGTCGAATCGTCCTCGCTGCGACCCACCCTAGCCTGGAGCGACCATTCGCTGTTCGAACGCTCTCGTGAGGGAACCAGGAGCCGATCGCCTCTTGCTTATACGCCAGAAACACTGCCAAGGCGCGATCCCATGTCATCTTCGCTCAGCTCCCCTGCTCCACACGAACCTAAACCACGCAGCAGCTTCCCCTCGTTGATCGAAAAGGCGTCGAATCCTGCTGCGACGATCCGGGCCGCCTTGTTCCCTTCTTCTCCATCGACGCCGCGCTCTGACGAAAATACCTCTTCATCGATGACGCGTCGCGTGCCACGCATTAGTAGTCGAGCGAGTCTTACCGGCCTGTTTCGCCGTCGGAGTATCACGCAGTCTGCAGATGATGCAGGGGCGGCAGCAGCAACGGCCGCGGTCGCGGCAGCTGCGTCGACATCAACCTCGTCCTCCTCCTCGTCAACCACCACCTCTGCTGCTACGCCCAATGACACCGAGTCAGCTCGGTTTGGCCGGGCACTTCCGATGACGTCGAGCAGACCTGATCCAAGTGCCTCGCTCCGGCAGCAATCGTACTCGAAAAGCTCGACATCTGGCACGACGCCACCACCGAGCATTCCGCTTCTGTCGACTTTCAGCTCGCCACCAAGCAGGTTGCGTCATCAGACCGACACACTGTCTATGGCTGATCAAAGCACGCGCTCTCACATTTCAATGGCTCTCGCATCATCGCATCTTCGGCGACTAAGGAGCAACAGTGCCTCCAGCACACTTGGCGACAAGGGGCTGTCCACTTCCCATACCCGCACACGTGCGAATTCTGAGGCTGCTGCTCAATCACAGCAACGAGAGGACGTTATCTCTACGAACGGAGTCTCTTGGGGCGACGAGGTGCATTCGTCTTTGTCGAGAGACGATGCTGGGATAAGCGACACAAGTCTGTAGCAAGCTTCGCTGGCACTACGTCCAAGATCGCAGTCGGTGACAAGCTACAGCGACTGCCAGTTGGATCCCTAGGGAAAAAAAAAGAAACACTCTGGATCATACAACACGGCAAGTCTATGGGAACCTCTATAGTACAGTGCGGTGCCCAAGCCTTGATTACATGTTTTGAGACGGACCAAATTGGAAGCCAGTCTGGGGAGCAGCCACCGATGTGGGGAACGCAAAGGCACCTGAGTCGCTAACTTGCGGGGCATCAATGCCCGTATCTTGGTCTTCCTCATCGTCAGGGAAGTACTTGTCCATCATGTAGAAGCACTTCTTGTAGATGTCAAAGTTCTCGTGGTTTTGCAAAGCATGGATCGTTACCATACCACCACATTCTTCAATATATGTGGCATACTGGTTCGTCGCTCCAGCTCCCATGGCCTCCTTGTCCTGCTCACCGATTTTCAGAATGTTCTCCAGACCATCAAGGGCCACTTGAATGATCTTGTTGTCCATACACTTGAGCAATTCACACAGCGGCTTGATACACCCTTGTGACACCAAGTACCGCACTTGCTGTGGCTGCTGCAAGCCGCCACTTGTCGCATTGCTGATCGCCCAGCATGCCTCCTTTTTGGTCTTGAAGTCAGCATGGCTTAGAATATGCACGAGAGGCGGAATGATATTGGCATCGATCACAGCTTGGATCTGTCCTGGTGACCCGGCCGTGATGTTGCTAATCGTCCAGCACGCCTCTTTCTTGATGCCATCTTTTGGCGATGATAGCAAGGCCAGGAGCGGCGTTAGTGCGCCACTGGCCACAATGACTTGAGTCTGCATGTCGTCGCCTGTAACGATGTTGCCGACCGAGCGCAGTGCTGGCGTCTGCACCGCGGCCGATGGATGCATCAACAAGTCAACAAGACGGCGGCACACGCCGGACTCGATGACGGCCTGAATCTTTTCGTTTGCACCATCCGACAGATACGATATGGCCCAACATGCGTCGATCAGAATCTCGTCGTCCATGGCATAAACGAGCTTTGTCAACGTGGGCAGTGCTGGTGCCACGAGCTCCCACGCCGGCTGTGGGTTTTTGCCGCGACAGAAGTTGCTTAACGTCCATGTCGCATTGCGCAGCATACTGACCTTGTGGTCCTCACTAAGAAGCTGGAGCAGAGCTTGCATACCACCCTGCTGGAGCACAAAGTCTCGGCACTTGGTCGAGTCACCGGCGATATTTCCTAGTGCCCACACAGCCTGTTCGCGCACATCCAGCACGGGCGAGAGAAGCAAGTCGATAAAGATCGGTACAGCGCCGCAATTGATGACGACCTGGGTGTGCTCCGATGTGCCTGACGCAATGTTCGTGAGCGCCCAGGCCGCCTCAAACTGAATCATACTGTGTGGGCTTCGCAGAAACTCGACGAAGCGCGGAACAACGCCACATGCAATGACGCGGTCGATGGGTGGGTTCTTCTCCTTTGATAGTAGCTTCCGGAACTTGGTTGTGGCCTCGAGCTGCTGATCCAAGTTGTCACTCAGCACGCCTTGGACCATGGCTGGCAGTTCAGACGTGATCTTCATGTCCAGGCCATCAACAGCCTCATCTTCCTCTTCCGAGTCAGGTGCATCTGACACCTGGTGCATGTTCAGGTTCCGACGCTTCGCCATGCTTTCCTCTCGTTTCTGGCGCCGGATTTCCACTTGTGCCTCTTCTCGACGACGACGCAACTCATCGTGCTTGAATGCACCTTTCGCTTTGTACGTGTCCTGACGCCTGCTCGTGTCACGGAACGACGACATCGCCTGCTCTATTCGGGGATCGATGTGAGGGCAGTGCTTTGCTAGTCTCCGGGTGTTGGGGTCGCAGAAGACGTACTTGTGTACGTTTTGGAGTGTCCGTTCTTTCACCCCTCTTTCTTCCGCCGCCACGGCACTGTCGAAAAAAATGTCGGCAAACACCAACACGACCTATTAGTGGTTAGCAACATGTTGTGAGTGTACCACACGTGACCCACTCATGTCTCCACCCACACTCTCTCGTCAGCTGCTCCATCGGCCCACGTACGCGTGCGCGTAAGTCGTTTTGGCCCAGCTTTGTCTACATGCTGGGAGCCGCGCCTCCTCCATCCCTTGATATCCCAGCGACCAACTAGCTGCACCTCGTGAACAATGGCGCCAAAGCGCCCATATCCAGGCTCTAGCACATCCGAAGCATCATCTAATGAGAAACGATCACGCAATCAAGCGGCCCCTGCCGACTTGAGTAAATCGATCGAGGAAGCTCGTCAGCGTGCGATGGAGGCATTTAAGCGGTCCGGATTACCCTCTGCTGCACCAAGTACAACATCATCACGTCCAGCTCCCAGACCAGCGGCCATTCCTCCTTCGCAGCCGGCATCAGGCGCACGACCCTCACCCTCGCCCTCTTTTCCACAGCACCCATCGCCTTTGCCCGATAAGTCTGGCTTGAGCGGTGCCCAACAAGCAGACAAGCCCACTGGCATTCACCCTCTTCTTCTAGGAGATGCGGCTCGCATTCAGGAAAAATTCAGGTCGCTTGCCCCCAAATTTGCATCGATCCAGGCTAACAAGCGCCAGTTGCCTGGGCGTCCACCACCCAACTCACAAACCTTATCGTCAGCATCATCCTCATCTTCGTCGTTGTCGTCATCATCATCGTCATTGTTCCCATTCGACAAACGAGTTGCGTCTGCTCAACCTAGAAATCCGTATCTGTCGAATGAGCCAGAAAATGGTGAAGGTCCTAAACGCAAGAGCATGCACCGCGCGCTCCAATTTCATAGGCCAGGCAAGTATATCCTTGAAGCCGAGCAAATTCGTCGTGATGAACAGATGCAGGCCTTGAAGGAGCGTATTCAGGCTACAGCACGCAAAGCGGGCATCCATGACGAACTTTTGGATGACGAGAGAATCCTTCGTGTACGTATGGCAACAGAGAATATATCCACCACATGTACTGACCGACAACTAGCGTCCTGAGCCACCGAAAGCAGAATGGTGGGACATGGTGTTGCTTCCTTCGAAGACATACGACGATGTGCCTGAACGGCCTTTTCCTGCGTCCAAGCCACGCCCGCCGACGTGGCCACTCATTGAGCATGAACATTCACCCATCGATCATCTTGTGCAGCATCCAATCCCGATCCCTCCCCCGACGGTCAACATCAAGGTACAGCCACATGGCGTCATTCTGACAAAACAAGAGATGAAGAAAATGCGGCGGCAACGCCGTGCCGCTGAGCAACAAGATAAGCGCGATCGAATCAAGATGGGTCTCTTACCACCTGATCCTCCGAAGATCAAGCTTGCCAATCTCATGCGCGTGTTGGGAAATGAGGCGATTGCAGACCCGACGAAAGTCGAAGCTCGTGTTCGTCGGGAAGTGGCTGCGCGGCACGAGATGCATGAACGTGCCAATGCTGAGCGCATGCTGACCGATGAAGAGCGGCGCGATCGTCGCATCTACAAGACCAAGGTCGAGGAAGCCAAAGGCATTTGGTGCCAGGTGTACCGCATTGAAAACCTCTCGAGTCCTTCACATCGTTTCAAGGTCCGCAAAAATGCACAGCAACACCATTTAAGTGGACTTGTCCTAACACATCCGGACTTCTCACTCGTCGTTGTCGAGGGTGCCGCCAAGGCACTCAAGGCGTACAAGCGACTCATGCTTGTGCGCATCGACTGGACCGATCCCGGCCGACCAAGACAGAGCAGTGTGGATGATGACGATGTCGATGATGAGAACCAAAATGGTCCATCACGCGCCATCGCGTCGAAGCAGCAGGGTGATGAGAGCATGGATCTGAGCAGCAATACTTGTGAACTTGTATTCGAAGGTCCTGTTCGCGATCGATCCTTCCCTGCTGGCTCTGTTCGGATGGAATCTTGTCCAACGGACATGAATGCCAAAGATGCATTGGGACCCAAACTGGCAGGCTACTGGGATGTTGCTAAACGGTCGGTAGCTGCCCGTGACACCTAGGCATCGTTAGACGCACACGCCTCGATATGGAAGTGCGACAAGAGTAGTACAGTGCCTACAATTCTATGATACATTCATATAGCGTTCCTATCCAAGTAATCGGAACCCATCGCCATGAGCAGATAGGTCTGCCACATCTTGAGGTGGAATGGTTTCTTCCGCGGCGGATGCGTTGGAAGGCGCACCCGTAACAGAGGCCAAGCGAGAGAACAGTCGCTCCGTCTGAGCCTCATCCCACGCTGTTTTCGGGATGGGCGGCATGAAATTTTGGACTTTCTCCATCACATCGTACCTAAGACGCCGTCCTTTGGATGCACGTACATCGACGTTTCGTTTCCGCTTACGAGTGTGCAAGGCATCCGTGGCTGCACTTGATGTCCCTGCCTCCATGATACCCGCGTTATCAATTAGGTCCCGTAGGAGCTGTGAGTAAAAGTCACTGTCGTCAAACACGTTGACATCTGTGGTGGGCTGAGAGTTGCTGTCAGCCTCCGCCTCTTTTCCTTCGTGCCATGGCTGTGGAAATAGTTAGAACATGTCTTTTTTTTTTTTTTTTTTTTTTTTTTTTTTTTTTTTTACGTACCTGAACACCCAGTCGTTGCACGTCATCAGCACGCCAGACACGCGTGCGATTGACGAGTCTGTCCATTCCATCGCCTGCAAGTGCCTGCTCGATTTGATCTACAATGCCCTGGTTCATCGCACGCAGTTGCAGCCGCGCGCTTGCGCCAGCATTGCGCGAGTCAGGCGCAGATGCAATCTTGTTCGACCAGCGAGTAAGAAGATGATGGATGTACGGCTGTAAGACTTGCTCCAGATCCTCCAGTGCTTTTGACTGGCTCGCTTCGACGCGCACATGCTTATCTAGTTCCAGTGACGTGGCTGGCACATTCACCTTCCACAGCTGCATGCGAATGTCGAGCAGCTGCGCTGCAATGTCTTCGAGCTCAGCAGCCGCTTTGTCGATATCATCGCGTGCGGTAGGCGCGCATTGGAAATAATGCTCTAGCATGGCTGGTGGTGGCAGGCGCGATGCTCCTGTGACCAGTTTCTGAAAAGAAATACGCAATCGAAGTGCTTTTTCCCAGTTTCGAATTTGCTTGCGTACATGTTGTCCCTTACGAGCGTCGTGCGCACGTTTCTCTCGGATTTGGTCGAGCACAGTCTGTGATTCTTTTTCCTGCATGGCCACTGTCGTCGCAGCTCTGGCAGAACCCATGTTCGTCGAGGCTTTTTTGCGTGAAATGGACGGGTCAGATTTAATGTCAAGACGAGCTTTGATAGCTGTTTTGTCATTGTGATCTTGGTCTACACCTTCGTCCTCGCCTTCGTCCCTGTCTTCATCTTCGGTCATTTCTTCGTTCTCGTCCTCGTTCTCGTCCTCGTCCTTGTCTTCATCTTCATCTTCGGTCACTTCTTCGTCCTCATCCTCGTCATCGTCCTCGTCATCGTCTTCTTGATCCCCATTATCACTGGGCTTTAGCTTGCTTTCATCATCATCATAGTTCTCGTCGTCGCCATCGTCGTCGTCATCGCTTCCGTCGCCAAACATCTCGGCGCGGGAAGCTTTTACGCCTTTGTACTGCGGCTTTTCAAGAGCGTCTGACTCCGTGAGTCGTGCCTTTCGACGCATCTGGCTAGGGCCGACATCCACATAATGCTGCCGAGCAGCGGCCTCTGTCATGTGCTCATCATTGTCACTACTCTCATTTTCAGAAGGGTCCTTATCTTCGTACTCGTTTTCAGGATCAATGGCTAATGGTAAGCAAACCTGCAATTGATACGCACCTTCTGGCGCAACTTTCAGCAACGCATCCAAGTTGAGGCGCGACATACGCCCGTCTCTACTACAGGTTGTCTTGATCGCGATGCAAACGTTGAGATTTTTTTATTTTCCACAAGCGTCTGATCACTTTGACGGACAAGACATCGCATTACGTAATTCCTGGGCAATTGAGAACCTGGGCAGTAGCATGTGTACGTGTTGCGCCGTCCTGCGTTCGAGTGTTAAGATTCATCCTTGAGTCCTGCTTTTCATACTTGCGAGCGCGTGTGCATCTGTGATTGCGTGTGCGTGTGTTTGGATAGTTGCACGATGGTGGCTGACGAACCCCGCCATCGTGTTGAACCCGCCGATTTGGACATGCTGGAGATGCTGACATCTGTTCCTAATCCACATGACATCAAATCCACACCTCCTCCGCACCGGGTCCTGGACACCGTCGCAGCACTACGACGGCCGCCCATTGATCCCATTGTGCTAGCCGCATCACTAAACTCTGGGCCACAGATAACGCGGCACCATTTCCACCATACCTTTGTGGATCCGCATTCTGAGCGCTCGTCCGGTCATTCGCAACAAATGCCTGTCAGCGAGCGTAAGCGACATATCTATGCACAACAAGTGAGGCAACCCCTTAGCAAACATCTTGACAATGAGCTTGAGCGCCATGCTATCATGCACAGCAAGCAAGCACCCCGAAGCGCAAGATTGCTCCGTGAAAAAGAAGAGGCGCTCCATGCCCTGAAGCGGTCGACAACCGCGACTACGTCGCCCCTTTCCCGGCGCGACCCACTGCTGAAGCCATCCCAGCTTCCATCGTCTTTACCACCCCTGGAGGTTCGCTGCTATGGTCGTACACGTGTTCCCACGCCGCATGGAGAGGTCTTTTGTCACCTATACCGAAACAATCACGACAACAAAGAGCATATGGCTTTGGTCATCGATCCTGCTCAAAATAACGCATCCATCCAGCAACGACAGCAGCAAGGACTGTTGAGTAAACCGAGGCATCTGCGCAGCCAGACGCTTGATGCAGTCTGGCACAAAGACGAGACGACGATGGAGCGACTCGTTCGTGGTGCTTACGTGAATCGCTTGAGTGAAACACACCAGGAGCCGTCGGTGCCTGTGTTGACGCACTGTACGGATGCGTCTGACAAACTCACCCCCTCGCCCCTCGTGCGAATCCATTCAGAGTGCTATACAGGCGAAACGATCGGCAGTCAGCGCTGCGACTGTGGTGAGCAGCTGGACGAGGCTCTTCGCATCATCGGCACGTCGTCATCTCGCACAGCGACGGGCGTGCCTGTGCCTCCTCGCGGCGTGGTAGTCTACATGAGGCAGGAGGGCCGTGGTATTGGTCTATTGGATAAGCTTCTTGCGTACAATCTGCAAGATATGGGCCATGACACTGTTAGCGCGAATGTGCTTCTCGGGCATCTCCCCGATGCACGTCGATACGATATAAGCAGTGCCATTCTCCGAGATTTGGGCATTGATCAGTGTCGTTTGCTGACGAACAATCCAGAGAAGATGCAGGCACTTGAAGCCGAGGGTATACGAGTCACAGAGCGCGTGCCCATGGTGCCACGAATCTGGCAGTTTTGCAGCAGGCCACGCTCCTCAACAAAGCCAGGCGTTCGGCGTCGGCGCGAAAAGCCGCCTCCACGCGTGTCGGAGCCACCGCAGGAACACTTGCATCGCTCTCGACCCAGTAGTGTGATATCTCAGACGCTCGAGACGGCCGGCGAGTTGGCGGCCTCGCTGAGCGAGGCTGAGTCCCATGATGATGTTGACGATGAAGACGACGTGGCATCCGATGAAAGCGCTAGCAGCTTCAATGCTTATACACTCCGGAATACGGGTGCGACGCTCATTGGTGGCACTGTGACGCGCGGCTCTGACTTGGAGCGGTACTTGCGCACGAAAATTGAGCGAATGGGTCACTTGTTGTCAGAGCCTGGGTCCAGTCCGGGGTCTCGGACGGCACTGGAGGCAGAATCAGGATCAGGGGGCTACATCTGGGTCTGTATCGGCTCCTGATCCATCCTCATTCCGCCCACCCATGCCTCCATCTGATTCCAGTTAACTGGCTTGATATGCAAACCAGGCATAGGTACCGATCTCACGTCCCAAAAGGCCATAGCCAAGTAACACTTCCATCTTGTGATTATGCCAGCCGATGATGCCTTGCACACGTCCATTTTGGCTCGATAGGCGCTCCAGCTCTACGCGACGGGGATGCTGCACAGGCAGGTTCCGGAGCACTTGTGGCTCGACCTGCACGGGCTCTGATTTGGCACTTGGCATGCGACGCGACGGCATGCGCTCGTGCCGCGAGAGCGAGAGCGAGCGAGACCGTGACTCAAACGACGCACTCGGCACGTTGAACACGGTGTTGGAGCGCGATAATCCCGCGGGCGGCCGGTCAAGCCGATGGGAAGAACGGCCCCGCTCGCGATCATGGCCACGCGCAAGTTCCATCCGTGCGACCGACGTGCTCATGCTAGGTGGCTCTGGGTGCCATCCGGCCGTTTGTCGGCAGGTCCGATCCCGGCCGCGATAGGGCTCCGGCTCTTCTGTGTGTACAGGAATATCAAATGCCTGGGGATGGGGCCCAGCTGCTGTATCGACGACCCAGCCACGCCGTCCTGCGCCCCAGATCACTTTCCATGACCCGACTCCGCCACGCACCGTACCTAGCACTGATGAGGACAACTCAACCACTCGAAGATTCGTGGGCGGGTGCCAGGGCTCGGAGGTGTCCTTCTTTATGCCCATTTCACGCAGCTGCTCAGCAACAGCCAGCGCGGGTGGGCGCTGTGTGCAAGGCGCCAGCAAATCATGGTACAGGTGAACCGCATGAACCTGACTGTGGGTGGCACAGCTGTGTGATAAATCAAGGATTTGCACGTTCGGTGCCGTGTGCAAGAGAAACGTGCTTACACCTTGGAGCGTTAAGTTGGGCATCGCGCCCAACCCCAGGTCCAAGAGAGAGTGCTGCGGTGGAACGACATTTAGATCATCATCCGTGAGTTGGCATCCGCCCACATCCAGGTATCGAAGCGCACCACTTTGCATGCAGGGTGCATGTGTGAGAATGAAACGCGCGTCTTCCTGCGACACTGGCGTGGGAAATAGGAGCGTGCCTTGAAGTGCAAGTTCTGTCAGTCCTTTGGTCGTGGGGGATCCGACAAGGAGCTTGACCAAGCTTTCAGACGTGATTGCTCGACAGCGGGAGAGCGAAAGGCTTTCCAGCTGGATCGTCGATCGGCCTAGGGCGTCTAGCATGGCGGCGTCGACCTTGGTTTCCGACAAGTCGAGATGCGTCAGATTCGGGAAAGACAGCACAAAGGATGCTAGCACATCACGAGGCAGCGACACACCTTTGAGTCCCAAACGCTGCATGGAGGGAAACGTTCGTGATCGGGCATGTGTCGTTGTCCGATGCTGGACCATGTGGTGTGGCAACAGAGCTGTGCGTGACCGCCCGCGGTGCTCGGACTCTGAATCCGTGTTCTCATCTTCTTCAATCAAATCATACATTGCGCGGTGCTGTGATGCTGGCTCGAGGTGCTTCTCGACAAAGAGTCGCATGGCATGCAGAAACTTGGGGCTAATGCAGCCACACAAATCAAGACTCTGCAGCGCGTTGTGGACAGGCCCAGCATCACGTTCCATACTCACATCACGCACACGGCTGGGTCTACTTCGCGCGCCATCGTGGAGAAGGAGCGCTTCTAGCACTTCTAGCGACAAAGCACTGTCCATCGTCTCACTCGATCCAAATGCCACAAGCCCCGTTGCAGCATGAACCAGCGTGTAGAGTCGTTCAGGTGTGACAAACCGGTGTTCTGTGCTTTCTCCCACGGTGCGTCCGAGACCCAAAGCACGAAATGAAGAAAAGTCTAGCAAGCGAATGCTCGATAGTGTCGAGACTTTTTTATCTATAGCCGCTTGCACAAGCAGCATGAAGCGATATGGGAGCGTAAACTGAATTCTTCGACAAATGAGGGGTTGTGCGTATCGATAAAATGTCCGGTTCACAAGACATAGCATGTAAAGGACATGCTGTGTCTCGTATATAGATGTAGATACGGCCTGTCCGTCGTGGGCGGCCGAGGGAATCGATGCCGGATCTAACAAACGCAGCGAACAGAGTGGGACACTGTCGAGGTAGACAATTTCACAGATTCGCTGTACAATTTCTGCAGGCAGTGACAAGCTGTTCGTCATAGCATGAGAGAACCGGCACCGAAAGCGGTCGTGGTGCCTGGAACTCCATTTCTAGTTTTCTTTTTATTTTGGCCTTGACTTGCGCAATTCTTCGGTCGCAGATAAGCATTCGAACGAGATGAGATCCTTGCCCGATCTTTCTCATCGGGTGGACCAATCACTCAAAGCCCTCAAATTAGGATTTCAATCCAGGTTAGTCAGATAGGCCATGGAGTCGAAATAGGGAGGTGAAATGGCACTCTTGGGACCCCGCGCAAATGTATCTATGATGGTTTCACCAGCGTATCGACTCGTTTCTGTACTTCTTCATGCGGTGTATGTGTTATTTTACTACACAAGACTCCTCGTGGATGTGATACGCCACGTGTCCTGGGCACATGCCGATACCCTCCCAGCTCTCAAAGCACTTCGCGCGCCTAATCACTTGGCCGTCGTATTTGCTTGGACAAATCCCACGGCAAAGAGACTCAATGCTGCTTGTAAAGATGTACTGCGCTTGGCAACATGGTGTGCAGCCGTTGGCACGTCTGAACTGACGGTGTACGATGCTGATGGTTTACTGGCTCGCGCATTCCTTGCGCACAAGGACAAAGAACTATATCTCGACTCGCCGTTGTTGTTATCATCGTCATTGACATCATCCACAGCATTGTCGTCCAAGCATACCCTGCTGCTACGTATACACGTAGGGTCTCATGAAAAAAGTGACCTCTCTCAAACCATGACTGTTCGCGTGCCTTGTGATCATGTTGATGTTCAGTCAGACACGGTGCGTCTGAACATGATGTCTCATAAAGACGATAAACAAGCACTAGTGCAAGCCATCAACAGCTGTAGAGATGCGGATCTCATTACGCCAGCAGCTGTGAATGAGCGGGTTTTACGCATGGGTCCTATGAGGACGGTGCCTGAAGTATTGATGTTATGTGATCAACAAAGCGGTCCACCATGTCTTCATGGCTTCCCTTGCTGGTTGGTCCGGCTCACAATGATCGGTGCACTTCCCTCTTGGTCCATTTTAGGAAGATGGACGTCTGCACATTTCATGGATACCCTTCGGCTATATACGGCCGCGGAGCAGAGGCATGGTGCTTAATTACAGAGCCTTGTCAGCCGCGACGAAAGGCGAATAAATGGGGAAGATGGGTTGAAGACTAAGGCTCACCTGGCACTGTTGCCCATCATATAGGCAGGCAGCATGAGCTGCAAGACGTCGACATTGCCATTCAGCAAGTGATCATGACCGCCTTTTTCCAACTGGACGAGGGAAAACGACGCGCTGCGCGGAAGAACGAAGCGTGCCCCCTGGATAAGGCCTCGACGTTCAGGAGCACGTGCCGTCTTGCTAACGATCGCATTCACGTACCCAAGGTTCGGTACGCTCGACGACCAGATCTGGTAGGCGGACGACAACTTTGTTGCACTTGTGATTTCCAGCATCCTTTCAAAGATGTCACGACTGTGGTAAATGTCAATGACGCGATCATTCATCGCATGCATCAAAATCATGACAGGAGGCACGATAGCACCTGGATCATTCGTGCTGTTCATGATCTCCGCTAGAGCGTCAAGCGTCTTGAAGTTGTAAATAAACACATTGTCGAGAAGCTGCTCCTTTTGCGGCAAGTAGTCCAGAAACTTGAGCATCGGCACAATGCCACCCATGCGGAATTCTGTGATCATAGGGCGCAGCTCTTTGAACGCAGCTAGTAGCACCAGTGCGTCCAGATGCTGCCGCTCTCGATACATGCGCAAAGCACATTGCGTCGCAATGGCTGTCCCAAGACTCTGTCCCACGAGAGAAAGTCCCTGCTGCCTGTCGGTTTCGGCATTGTAGCCCTTACGCATGGCGTACTGCACAACTGCATACGCATCGTCAATGACTCCTTGCTCTGTGGGATAGCCGTCAGAATCGCCATAGCCACGGTAGTCGATGGCAATGACATTCGCCTGCATATGTTTCGAAATATCATTGCACGTGCGGACTCGGAAAGACGCAGCACGGTTTAGCCCATTCCCATGCAGGAAAACGAACGTGGGATACTCACGGAGGGCCTCGTCGTAAATGTCATCGAGCAGTTCACTTTCGCCACTGAGAAGATCTTGCTTCTTTGCATTGTAGAAGGCCTCGGGCAGAAAGTGCCAAGCACCAAGTGTGATGTTGTCGGTCGATTCGAGGCGGAAATTTCGCACTTGGCCCACTTCCGTACCATACAAATCAGGCGTATCAAACTTCGCGAACATCGGGATGCGCACGTTGTGCAGGAACAAATACTGGCGCTGCAGTATGGGATGTGAAAGACACAGGCATGCCAATACATACAAGATGCATGCAAGAATAGCATACACTTGTGCCTTAAGCAAAAACGCGAGTTTGCCCATGCTTTGGAGCAATGTGCGGGAGATTTAGCTAGTGTAGGATATGCTCGCACTTCCATCTACTCGAGAGCTTACGTAGGCACACATGCAATGACACATGCAGTGAGGGAGCGCATTGATCATTTGCTCGCTAGGATTATGGTGGAGCCACGCGGATAAGAGCGCCAAAGAAGAGGCCACGTGGACTTCATACGGTCGGGCGAGGATCCTAGGTCCCCACCCCCCCTGGGAACGCTTACCGGATCTGGACGTGACAACGGCTAACAAGCGCATTCACAACTTCCGCGTGGAGTGCATTGACCTGGTCATTTTCAAGATTGCGATCCATGCTTCGGTAATTAATACGGTAGCAGCGACTGTGCCGGCCGGTTTTCGGATGCAGAAAGTCGTCGATACAAACGACATCTTCCACAAGATCACCAGCACGATCACGAACTGTCTCGAACATATCGTTCTCATGGAAAGACTGTGGCATCCAAAACGACACATCCTTATAGCATGGTGGGTATTTCGAATACGGCTTAAAGGTGATATTCAGAGGCTCCGCAGACTTGAACTGGTTTAGAAAACGCGCATCTTCCGACCAAAATAGACGGATGTCTGGAATGGAAAACAGCACCATCGCAATCCGTTCCAAGCCAAGACCAAAGGCCCAACCAAGGTTCTTTGGAATGCCTGCTACATCCAATGTGCGCTGCTTGACAATGCCTGTACCGAGAATCTCGAGCCACTTGCCACGGAACCACACCTCAACTTCAAAGCTTGGTGCAGTGAACGGAAAGGTCGCTGGGATCCATCGCACACGAAGCGGTTCGTTCGTCTGGGCTTCCTCCGCCCAGCGCTTTCGGAAAAGCGCAAGCACAAGCGTGTTGAGCGACGCTTTCAAATGACGCAAAGCGAGTTTCGTAGCGTCCGGGTGGTCCCGCATGTGCACATCCTGCCATCCATCAGCCTCATCAATGTTGACATCATCGTGAATTTCCATGCCTGCCTGTTGGAGTATCGTTTCCATTGCAATGCATTCCTGCTCCACGGGACCACCACGATTGAATGCATCGTAGCTCCATACGCTTGCACCTTCCATTTGGTGAAAGACAGGGTAATGTGATGAGTCAATTTCGTCTCGGCGAAACACATCGGCCGTCAGAAGCCATCGTTTGTAGCCTGCACGGAACGTCTCGACTTCGTGCGCGGATGTGTGGGTACGTAGACACGTCTCTCGATTCACATAGTACGTATCCGATGGCATGCGTCCAGGATGATCTGCTGGAAAGCCAAGATCGTCAAAGTTAAGCTTGGACGTTACAACCGGCGATGGCGCCCGAATAGGGGTGTACTTTTTGCCAAACACACGCTCAATCTCGTCGCGGAGGATCTTAAGTGGGTGATGTTCCTGGTATGGAAGCTGTGTAGTAGGAAATACACGTGCCATAATGGACGAGGGAATATTGGTATAGTCGTCAGTTTTATAGGACGTGCCATGAATGTTGATTGTGCTTGGCTTGGCCGCAACGCAAGCTCTGGCGCTTATATGCACCGCACGCCATCCTATGCACAAATCCACAGAGATATGTCTCGCTGTGCAAGGCGCGCATAGCCCTTGCAGCCCTAGCATACACGAAATTGAGCTGAGCACAAAGCAGGGACGACTGTCAAAGGAGGCACGTCCTCGCGAATCCAGGACACGGGGAGTGAGGATCCACTACTTTGTCAGGGGCGTCGTTCTCGTTCAGTCTCACAAGCTTGTGTGGAGGCGTGTTCCTTCATCTCGGTTAGTTTCATGTTATTCATCGAGCCCCCCTGCGAGTGGCGTGTGCGAAATAGGACTTGCCCTGCTCGGCTTGGCTTGATTGGAATTTGGAGAGGCGACATGAGTGAACTAAGCGCAAAAAGTAACTTCCGCACCTGCTCGAGTAACCACATCTTTGGATTGCGACTGATTCAGCTGAACCATGGCCGAAGAGCCCATAAGCGCTGCAGCGGCACTCATTGCCGTAAATGAAGATGAAAGACAGCTTCATCATACCGAGACGGAGGTCGACGTGTTTGCGCGGAACATTGAGGATCGTGTCTCGAATCTCATGGGAGGACTTTCGACTTGGTTTAACGGAATGAACATGCAAACTCAAAATGCCATGCTTTCTGCACAGGAGCATGTGCAACAGAATGGGGGTGTGATGTCTACTGCACGCGCACACTTATCGAATCTTGAATCACAGCTCCAGCTTCACAGTGACCGTGCTCGGTCCAAGTCTCGCTCGTCGGCAGAGCCAATGCCCGACGATGCAGTTTTTGAGCTGGACACAAAAGACGAAGAAGAAATTCTAGAGCGAGAGAAGCCCACAAGATCGGCGTCTGTAAGCTCCGACGCTGGAAACCAGTCCGATGCTGCTACATCGCCACCAACAAGCAACTTGAGCCACAACAGTCTATGGGACGTACTACGCAAAGTGACAGCTCATCCGAATGTTGATCGCTTGCAGAATACGTGGAAAAAGAATACCACTTCAGATATTCCTATTCAATGGCAGCATACGCTCAAAGAAGCAGAGTCGCTCGCTCGTGCGTATGCGCGAAGCAGTGGCGCCGCCATGCAAAATGTGAGCAAGGATTTGCAAGCGAAAATCCAGAATGTTGTGAAGAATCCTCCAACAGATGAAAATACGCCGCGGACGACGGATAAGTCGGCCATGCAGCCCGTTCATGTGGTGGAAGATGAGGACGATTTCCGCTGGGATGATGATGACGATGATGCAGACAACATGCCAGCTGATGAAAGGGGTATGCCGTCACTCCAAACATCGAAGCCTGCTTCGGAAAGAAAGGAGACGGAGGCAACAGGTCCACAATCAGAGCCAAAGGAGTCGGTGAAGGCGAAGTCTAATTCACCAGCCACTGGTGTAACAAAGATATCTCTGTCGACGAATGAATCCCGACCTTCAGTCGATGATGACGCTGACTCTGACTGGGAGTAATCCACTCCGCGCTTTCCAATACCAAACCATTTCCGTACGAACATACCTGTAAGTTTCCAAACACAACCTGCATGTATATTTCTCCACATAGGTGACAGCAATGTCGACGACAGCTGCCTAGACATTGTGACGAACGCGCTTACGCGCGTGGTACCTTGACTTTAACCCATCATTCCTACACGTCTTACGTGTCAGTTCAAACAGCCAGATGTCTGTGCCGGTATCTGCAGAGCGCTTCCACGGTACGTTGCTGGTTAGGCCCTTCGAACGAGCAAGGCAGCCATGACATACGAGTGCGTTCAATGCATTCCTTATGGCCACGTCACTTCTTACGGTACGTTATCTTTACTCATGTAGGCCACATTGCCAAGGTACGTCTCGATGGATTGCTGGTTTAACGTACTCTCAGCTCATTGGATATCCAAGACGTACGTCACACCGTCTCATTTACAGTCTGATTCGCGGATGGTTGGCGCTGCGCTGAAATTCTTGCAGAGTGACCAAGTTCCCTGGCACCGCGTCGTCCGCTCGAACGGTGAAATTGCGGAGCGTGGTGATGGAGGTATTGGGGCTGATCGACAAGCGCATCTCTTGCAAGCCGAAGGTGTACCAGTAAACGAACTGCCTTCTGGGCACGCCCCATTTCGGTGGCGTGTGCCCGCTTTGACGTCCAACAGCGAATATGCATGGTGTACGTCAAACGACAAGCTACTGATGCAAAAACCAAAGTTCCTACGTCACTGTAACAGGCCTTTGTCTTCTTGTTCATGACGCGCAACGAAATCCCGCACAAGACTTCGATCCACCGTGTGGACGTAGTATACACCGCCACCGGCCGTCCAACTCACGCATCCGCGCGTATAAGGGCGCTGTTCCATGCGGAGAATCGCTTGAGGACTCGAGAGGGTGCGTTCCGAAAGGCGGAAATCTGTCGGAACAAATGGCCGGAGAGAAAATATTTGCGCGCCATCCTTCAGATCTAGGAACTGCAACGATAACGTGTCGTTTGTCTGTGGGCGGAATGCATAGCTGCGAAGAGAGACGGGACGAGTAAGTAAAGAAGCCTCATTGGTTAGGTTGTGACTCACTTATTTACCAACACGACATCAGCGCGTCGCAACACATTTCTCACATGTTCTGAGTCCGTAAAGTCTTCATGCCACGCTTCGAGCCGCCGGCCGCCGCATAAAAGCCACATGCGCCAGCGATGCGTCGCTTCCATGATCTGCCGCGTAGCGAGCTCGCTGGGAACCTGCATATATTCACAGCCATATGCCTCACAACCTGTCTGCAGCGAAGCCTGGACAAGCAAGTTGCCTATGCCACTGCCCAAATCCACAAAGACCGACGATGGACCCATGTTGGCGACACGGGCAATCTCACTTAGAAAAGGCGGAAGCATTTCTCCATACACATGATCAGAAAAGGCTTCATATTGTTTCAGTTTACCGACATGCGGCGCGACAACTCGCGCATATACCTGTTCTTGGATAATGCGCCACACATGTTGTGGCACGCCATGTGTTTGGCCGAGCCACTGAACATGAGCAGCAAGAATGCCGTCCTTTTTCAACTGTCGCATCTTCGCGTTGAAGCGGTCAAGCGTGCGAACAAATAGTGGCCCGTTCCGGCGGTTTCGCGCTTTTGAGAAAGCACGAAGGATAGGCTCATCATCCAGAGGTGGTGGTGATGCATGATCAAATTCACCAGCATTTTTCATGGGAAGCGAGGCGCCGACCGTTTTTTTTAGCGGCATCCCTGCGTTGCTGCTTGTTTCCAGGCTTTCCAGTGAGCCAAACTCAGCTTGCATGTCTGACGGCACGTAATGTGCGACCATGACACCCACGGCACTCAGCAAATCTGAGATTGGGTCATATTCGTCAACCTCCTTCGGTACAAGAAGTGTGAATTCTTCCACGGCTTCAGATGCTGGATATTCAAGTATCACAACGGTGTCGCGATCAAGATTCTCAAAGTCTGTGCAGCCCCAAAACAAGTCGTTAGCAATGTCAAGAATAGAACACGTACAAAGTTCGTATTCAGCACCAGAGGCCTCGACCAGAGCGCGGCTGCTTATAGTTGGCGCCTTATTCACACGCACTTCCTCGGAAAGGGGGTTGTAGCCAGGGACATCGAGGATCTCACGGGGAACATGGTATTCAAACTTTGATCGAGATGGTATAGGACGTGTTTTGTGGGTGATGTGTTCCAGATTCGAACCACTAGCGTCATCGGAGTGGTCGTCATCTTCCTTGATAGGAGAACGGCGAAACCGATTAGTGCGCTCACGTGGCGCTGATGATGTTTTCGCTCGTTTTTTCGGCTGTTCATATGTAGCTTGCATGCTATTCGAATCGCGCACAGTGTGCGTATTATTGGCATCATTTCCGGTCGCTTTGTGTGCCGCTATCCGGTCACGCTCGATGCGCTTTTTCACAGCATCTGGTAATGCATTGTGTCGCGCAAGAGGTGGTTTTTTATGTGTTGTAGGTATCTGAGATGTTTGCACTCGAGCTGTTGTGGTTGTAGTTGTGACAATCGAGGCAGGGCGTTGGCCGGGCCTCGACGGCTTGCCGCGCTGGCCAAAAAAGTCCATGCGAAGCAGGGCGCTCGAGAAACCAACACACCAAGTGGATCAGCTCAGAGATGAAACTCACACATACATACACTTGCACGTGGCGCTTTCGCCTGCGCGGCGCGTGGTAATGTTGTACAAAAATGACAGGGGCGGTGGTCATTCCTCCACACCATTTACAGCCTGTGGGGGAAAACACGTGATTAAAGCAGGTGGCTAGGCTCGTTGACACAGGGACCACTTTCCCTACAACTGACGGCATCTGGAGTCGTTCGAGAGAGGCTTTCTCACCCCACAAGGACATTGTGCGGCTCATCTGACGGTTGATCTAACTTTAAACAATAAAAATGGCTCATAACCAAAGACCTGTCACAGTACCATGTGCTTATAAGACGGGACGCACGCTCGGACAAGGGACATACGCGGTAGTGAAGGAGGCCGTTCACATCGAGACTGGCAAATACTATGCGTGTAAGGTGATCAGCAAGCAGTTGATGCGCGGTCGCGAACATATGGTACGCAATGAAATCGCATCTTTGAAACGTGTGTCACAAGAAAACAGCGGCGTCGTTTCTTTGGTGGACTACTTTGAGACGATGAACAACCTGTATCTTGTGACGGATTTGTGCCAAGGTGGCGAACTATTTGACCGAATTTGTGAACGTGGCAGTTACTATGAAAAGGATGCAGCGCATATTGTGCGAACAGTGACAAAGGCTGTAGAATTTCTTCATGATCGAGACGTCGTACATCGCGACTTGAAGCCAGAGAATTTGCTGTTCCGTGATCGATCTGAGCATGCAGATCTTCTAATTGCCGACTTTGGTCTGTCACGAATGTTGGATCAAGATAAGATGGATGTGCTAAGCACTACATGTGGTACGCCTGGTTACATGGCACCTGAAATTTTCAAAAAGACGTACGTATGAAATAAGCCCCGGTCTATCCCGGCTGTGTGTGCGAATCCTAACAACGCTCCCAGTGGACATGGAAAACCTGTGGATATGTGTATGTGTAGCTTCAAGCAACAAAGATTCACGGTATGGAGTGCTAACAAATTGGTACAGGGGCTCTGGGCGTGATTACATACTTCCTCTTGTGTGGTTATACGCCATTTGACCATGACTCACAAAAGGATGAAATTCAGCGTATCCTCACGGCTGATTTCCGCTTTGAGCCGGAAATATATTGGCAAGGTGTCTCGCAAGAGGCTCGCGACTTTATCTGTCGCTTATTGACGATCAACCCAGAAACTCGTATGACAGCTAAGGAGGCACTGCAGCATCCATGGCTGGCTAATGTATCGACAAGCCTCGACACAGTACAGCGCGATCTCTTGCCCGATATCAAGAACGCATTCAATGCAAAACGTACTTTCCGCAAGGCTGTGAATGGTATCCGTATGATCAACCGGCTGCGCTCCGAGACGATCGAGCACCAGTCGGCTCGGCAGGAAATGGAGCAGCAGCACAGGTTAGCTGAGGAGGAATCGTCCAATCTCGATCGCGTTTGGCAAGCGGAGGCGGCACGTGCTCAGGAACGACCAGCTGGGCACATCTCGTAGTCGAAATTAGGCTTATGTGAAAGTTTGTTGGTTGGATGCGCGTGTGATTGCAATTGCCACGTGCACAGACTGACCGGACGCGTATGTGTGCGTGCCTGCGCTGCTTACACGCACACAACGTTGGTGTGCTGTTGGTGGATAGTTACGTCGAGCGGTAAGGCACGAAGCGGTGCGGGGCGGCGTAGCCAACTTTCTTGTACGCAAAGACTCTGTCGAGTTTGGAAAGTATTGTCTGAGCGGTGTGACACAGACTACTCCTCGCGTGTCAAGCTTCGCGTAGTCATCTGCTTGCCATGTCCAGAACATCGGCACTAACGAAGCCGCCACAACGAGCGCCATCATCCATCGTACGACGATTGGAGTTTTTTTTCGTATCTCTGGTTTTTCATCTTATTTTTACATGGTCCATTTTTGATGTATACTTCCATTCGCCCGTCGTGCACCCGCCAAATCGATTTGATGCGACACATGCCGTACCAGATGCACCGTGGGCATACGAGTCGCCAGCTGAGCGGCTTGTTCTCATAGTCGCAGACGGTTTACGTGCAGACACTTTATTTCAGCGGCACATCACTACAGCGCTGCCTTCATGGGCGCAGCAAGCCGCTGCAGGCGATCAGCTCGTGTACAACGGCACATATCCGGCCGCATTTTCTCGGGATGAAGTGGATGCAACGAACATCACACGACCTTTGTACGCATATGCTGCGCCCTTCTTGCGCTCTGTGGCGAGGGGTCCCGGAATCTATGGTGTAAGTCATACGCGTGTCCCGACGGAGAGCCGGCCGGGGCATGTGGCCCTTATTGCTGGCATGTACGAGGATATGAGTGCTGTGACCAAAGGTTTGTGATAATGCAAAGTCGCGGATCGAATATACTGACATGCCTTTTTTTTTCGTGCGAACCCCGTCTTTTTCTTTTCCTTTCTTTCTCTGTCGTCTTTTCTTGAATCAGGCTGGAAAATCAACCCTTTGGCATTTGACTCGCTCGTGAACCAATCATCGTTCACGTATGCTTATGGTTCTCCCGATATTGTACCCATGTTTATGCTAGGAACATCACAAGAACGTGTTGAATGGGAAGTGTATGATGAAGAGGAAGAAGACTTTACAAAGGACGCAATCGAGCTCGATACGTGGGTCCTGCGACGCATGCATGATTTGTTTGAGCGTGGCAAGGCCAACGAAACTGTTGACGCCCAGCTACGCAACCCTAAGACGGTGTTTTTCTTGCATTTACTTGGCCTTGATACTACAGGGCACACGTATCGACCCATGTCCCCGGAATACATCGGCAATACGATTGTCGTCGATGCTATCGTGCGCGAGATCGCTCAATTGTTCAAAGATTACTTTGCAGATGACAAGACGGCGTTCCTGGTCACGGCGGATCACGGGATGAGTCGAATCGGGAACCATGGCGACGGCGATCCAGATAACACGCGCACACCTCTCGTTGCATGGGGCGCTGGCGTCCCTCATGCGCGTTTCTTGCCCAATCGCCAGCTGTGGCGTACGTCTTACGAGAGACACTGGGGCCTCGACTATGTGGCGCGGCGCGATGTAGAACAGGCGGATCTTGCGCCACTCATGGCCGCCTGGCTCGGAGTGCCAGTGCCAGCGAATGCGGAAGGCCGTCTGCCACTCGACTTACTCGATGCACCGATTGATTATCGAGCGCGTGCGGCTCTAGCTACGGCGAAGCAGCTGCTGGAAGTGTATCGTGTCAAGTATTCAGAGCGTGCGCAGCGTATGCGTCATTTCCGCCCGTATGCACCACTGCAGAGTAAGGATGACGGTAGCATGCCTGGTGCAGCTCGCATCGCTGATGCTGAGCAAGTCATCCGCGATGGCGAGTTTGACGTCGCTATAGAAGAAAGCGAGACGCTGGCACATGATGCTCTGGCTGGTGCAAAGTACTTGCACCAGTATGACGCGATGATCCTCAGCACTATCGTCGTGCTGGGCTACTTGGGACTCTTGTTGTATGGACTGACGTTCCTTGCGGAATATGCTGATGAGAAGTCATTGCATGCTATGCCGCAGCTGAATACCCGGGCCATGTCAGCGGCCGTTGCGCTGCTCGCTGCATACTGGAGCAAGTTCTTTTTGGATCGTGCGCCATGGATGTACTTTGTGTATAGTGGTGCCTGTGGTGCGATTTGGATTCTCTTTGCTTCCCGCGTGCACCTGCTGCTCGATCTGCTCAAGCAGACATCATCTGTGTGGACGTACGTGAAGGCGAGTATCTATGTGGTGGCCTGCCTCGCGGTTCTGGAAGTCATGGTGTATGGTTACATGCATCGTCTCACGTGGGCGGCCATTCTGCTATTTCTGGGCTTCTTCCTACCATTTGCATCGCCCATGTCATTCAAGGAGGGTCATCAAATCGGCATCTTTTTGAACGCCCTTTGTTGTGCAGGAACCGGTTGGTTCATGTCTCTGCCGACCGAAAAAGACGAAAGCATTCTTCTCCTCACGTGCGGCGGCATGATCTTGCTTGCTCTTGGTTTGCTTGTGTATGCAATGCCGCGCACGTTCCTCATGCCGCCAGACTACCTTGGACGTGATCGACACGCATACGCAATGATGCATGCACGCACAGTCGAGGAGCTCCATGTCATCGCCGCGCAAGAGAATGAAAAAGAGCCTGGCTTCGATGCGTTCTGGCCACGCACACGCCAAGCTCTAGGCATCGAGCTCGTATGCCTCGTTCTCTCTATATGCGTGACTGCTTCATCGGCACGCTCGCTCGCAGCAAAACAAGGCCTGCCATGGCTCAATCAGATGACTGCTTGGGTCATCATACTAGTCTCGATATGTGTACCATTGGTGCATGGCTTCCAGCGCGCTCGTGGCTCGCTTACACAGCCGGTCCGCGAGCGCTTGGTGCTACTGGTATTTGGGTTTGCACCGGTGTTTGTTCTGCTGTCTCTGCGTGATGAGGTGCTTTTTTATGCATGCTACACGTTGCTTATCCTCATATGGGGACACATGGAAGCAGAGCTGGCACGCGACCGGACCGTTCGCATGCGAAGCAAGACTTGTTCCACGGCTGCCTCGCAAGAGACACTGTGTGTGACGAAGGCCGTGACGCTTCCTGCCGCGCAATATGATCTTGGACGATTTACGTTTGGGTCTCATGTACTTTTTCCTGCTGCATGTTGGCTTCCTTCGGCACAGGCAATGTCGCATCAATCTCCAGTTTCTATCTGTCACCGGTGTATCGACTCGTGCCGGTGTTTAGTCCGTTCCTCATGGCAGCTCTGCTCGTGCTGAAGCTTGTGATCCCATTCGTGCTGCTTTCGTGTGTGCTAGCCGCGACTTGTATGCAGCCTGTGGAAACGCGCGCATTGGCGCCCGTTTCGTATCGCATCTCGATTGTTGCGAGCGGTCTCGGCCTGCGTGATGTACACATTCCGCTGTTAGTCGCAGCAATCGCTGGTGATGTGCTTGCATTGAACTTTTTCTTCGCAATCCGTGACGAGGGTAGCTGGCTTGAAATTGGCCAGTCTATCACGCATTTCGTCATGGCAAACCTCTTCTTAGTGTACATGCTTGCGATTGCGACGCTCAGCGCTCTGCTTCTTGGCGTACCTAACGTTCGTCCCGTAAAAGCCGCCCCGTCCGGCGGGGGCTGCGATAAGTGTGACCAACAGGAGTGAGAGTGCTGGTCCTCGCCGTTGCCTGCACATTTTCATCCGTCATTCTAGCTATTCGCGCATTTGTATAGCATCAACGCTAGCTAATCTGCACAATCCGCATGCCCACGACGTGGCTTGTACAATGAGCAATCACACAGATTCTCCTCTGGCCAAGTAGTACAATCCTTGGGCGTCCTATTCCCCCGCTTTCGATCGTGATGGCGGGCGCGTTTGAACGCGTCTCTCGGCCGAATATCAAATGAAGGGGGTAGAAGGGGAGGGGAGAGGGTGGGAAGGGTGGCTACGTCAGCTGTCTCTCGATTGTCGGTCGAATCCGCCCTTGTCGGCCGCTGCTGCCTTGTCTCCTCCCACAGGCAAGACGAAACGAGATTGAACCAGCGGCAAGAGGCTGTGTGTACACCCCCGAACAGTTAACACAACAGTGGTCCGCTTCTCGCCGATTGCGCAATCACTTCGCTTACAGGCAAGAAAGAAGCGTCCACTTGAGAGTGACGACGACGCCCAGCGTCGAAGTACGCCGCCAGAAAAAGACGCGGAATCCCTTGCCATTGCCCAGCGCCACACGCAGTTTTTAGTGTGGCAGCTGTCGGACAGTAACTTGGCTCAGACACGCGAGGAACTTGACACGCTCTGCCGTGAAGCACGAGTCCAACCCGCCTTCGTTACCAGTGAGGTACGACGCGCTGCTGCGCACGCGTCCAGCGACTCTTCTCGCGCTCTTTTAGATCAGCTCTTACGCTACCCCACGTGGTCTGCTGCCAACGTCGCTGAGAGCACAACTTCTCCTTCACACACATTGGCAAACACCGCCACTGTGACTGCAACCGCCATGTTTCACAGTCTGCAAGGGACATGGCTGTCAGTGCCGTCAGATGTCAATGGCACCGTCTTGTTTGACAAGCTTTCTGAACACATTGCCGAGTCGGCTGCTGTCGATGTGTCGCAGTCACACATGGCCCAATTTCTTGTCTCGCTCTTACGCGATGAAGACCCAAATCAGCCACCTGTCCTCGATCGCTCCCAGCGCGTGCAACTCGTTGCGCGTCTGTGTGACACTTTCCAAGATACAGTTGCTCAAGCATTGAGTAGCGTAGTCCCACAGCTTCCATTCAAACCTCTGGGCGAGCAGCTTCTTGATCTGGGTGAAAAGCCCATCACAGCTGACAATCTCGGCCTGCTTATCAAACACTGCGCATTTACAGAACCATCGAATGCAGATGTTTCGGCACTGCTGGGTCAGTTGCTTTCTGCCTCAACATTGCGTCTCGCAACAAACTTTGCCTTGTTGCCACAGGCCCTTGCCGCCTACAAAAGCACGCTCGATTGGCAAGCGATTGTGCGTGGACTTGACGAGCTGGATCCGCTTGTGCTCGTGCCCAGCGACCAACTTGGTGTGGCGCTCTGTGACTGGATCCACGGCACACCAGATCCGCGCACGACGTTCAGCGCGCTCTGGGGCGTATGGACGCACCGGTCGCGGCAGCTGCAGATCCTGTACTCCCTTCTCCTGTCGAATGCGACACACTTTTCAATGAAAGACGTGACAGCGCGGCAGATCGTGGTCCCGAGCGATTTCCAAGATGCGCCAGGGCCCGTTCAGATGCAGGCGCAAGCCGCCTCAGAGAGCGTGTGGAACAGTCTAGACCTGATTGAGACACTTATGGACCTGGCTAGCAGTGCGTCAGGTGCGGAAGATAGTGCCGAAGTCGGTCGCCCTGTAACAGCGATCTTGGAGCGCGCCATTCAGATGAACGCGGAATGTGTGTTGCTTGGCCTTGTTTTGTTGCCGTCGACGACTAACGTCGTCCACACGGAGCTGGTGACGAAACTGCTAGCTATGTTTCTGGCAGGTCACCCCGCTCATCAGCTCGTGTTCCGGCACCTTTGGCGCACGCAGCCGGTGCTGCTCATGGACGCATTCAAGCGCTTGTACGTGGAGAGCCCGTTGCACATGACACGCATCGTCGACGTCGCACAGGAGCTTGGCATGGTCAGTCATCTCGTTTCCCAGCGGCCATTGGCGTTTGCACTCGATGCAGCCGCATTGGCGGCCCGCCGCGATGTGCTTCCGCTTGAGTCTTGGCTGGAAGAGTTGATTTCGTCGACCGCACCCGACGCACAGCCTATCACAGCCACGCTTGATTATCTTGACAGCAAGATCAGGGAGGATCTCTTGCGCCGTGATCCACAGGCGGAGCCGACGTTTGTGCCCCTGCACGTGCAGCAAGTCGCAACGATCTTGCGTGTGCTGCGTGGCTTCGGCGACGCAATGACGCCAAAGGAAATTGAGCATTTCAAAATCGCTAGGAACATGTGTCTGCAGCTGCACCCGCGGCTCATGACACTGACGCCAGGCCCCAATGCACCAGAGCCTGGACTGAGCGTCACCACGTTCACTAAGGATGTGCACCGCGAGGCAGATTCGTGGTATCGGCAGATGTACGAGGAGAAGGTGAGCGTCGATGACATTATTGCCCTGCTGCGACGTTGCAAGCACTCGGACGACGCTCATGAGCAGCAGTTGTTTGCGTGCATGGTACATACACTCTTTGACGAACATCGCTGGTTCGAGCTGTACTATCCGCCACGCGAACTACTAATGACCGCGGTTGTGTTTGGCGCGCTCATCCAGTACCGCCTGATCGAGGCGATCCCACTCGGCATTGCGATCCGATACGTTGTCGATGCACTCGAGTCGCCACCAGAGTCCACCTTCTTCCACTTTGGTTTGCAGGCGCTTCTCCGCTTCCAGAAACGGCTGCCAGAGTGGCCGCAATTCTGTCAGGTACTCTTGTCGCTCCCCACACTCACACAGTCACACCCTGAGATGATTGCGACTGTAAACCAGGCACTCATTGCCGCAAAAAGTGGCAAGATCCCACCAGCTGAAGATGCCGTATTTCCGGCGATCGAGCCCGATGGCCTGCCCGCTGATTCGCAGCGGAAGCCCGATGAGAGTGAGTCCGACAAGCTGCTCTTTCTTATTAACAACATGTCCCTTGCGAACGTGGACGAAAAGCTCGCATCTGCTCGTGAAGTGGTGGTGCCTGAGATCCTTCATTGGCTAGCTCGGTACCTCGTCCTGGAGCGTGTGAGTCTTGAGCCGAACAACCATGACCTGTACCTAGTATTCCTTCGTGGCCTTGAGCAGCCACGCGTCTTCAAATACACCCTGCATGAAACGCTCGCGAAACTCAAGAATTTGCTGGAGGCCGAAAAGACCATGCAGTCCACGTCTGAGCGTACAATCCTCAAGAACCTAGCATCCTGGCTAGGCCTGACGACACTTGCTCAGCAGCGCCCCATTCTGCATCGCCAGATTGCATTCAAGGATCTGCTTCTACAGGGCTACGAGGCTGGTCGTCTCATTGTCGCAATCCCTTTTGTATGTAAGGTGCTGGAACACTGCGCAAACTCGCGCGTCTTCCAGCCACCAAATCCTTGGCTCATGGCTGTGCTTCGCCTCCTGGTCGAACTGTACCAGTATGCGAATTTGAAGCTGAATCTCAAGTTTGAGATTGAGGTCCTGTGTAAGAGTCTGCGTGTTGACCTGCAGAAACTCGAGCCCACGAGTCTCTTGCCTGGTCGCCGCCCTGAGCTCCCCATGCATGTAGCTCCCGCGCTGGCTCCTGGTATGACAGCCGCGGCTGGTGTCGCTGCTCCAGGATCTGCGGCAGCAGCAGCAGCAGCGGCTGCCGCTGCCGCTGCATCAAATGTACCGGGATCGGCCGCATTAGCAGCTGGAACGCCCACCAACGCAGCAGCGGCCGCCGCGGCTGCTGCTGCTGCTGCGGGGGGCGCTGCAGGACCCAGTGCCGAGTACGGCAACTTGGTCCCTGGTATGGAGCAACTGAGTGTGAGTGAACCGGTGGCGTATCATGACATGTTTGTGACGATGCTTCAAAATATGGCACAGTACATTGTCATCAGCCCTCAAATTGTACCATACGCGAACAGCGCGGCATGGAAGCGTGTGATGTATGTGGCGTTGGAACGGGCGATCCAGGAGATTATCACACCCGTCGTAGAGAGGAGTGTGACAATTGCGTCGATTTCGACGCGTGAACTCGTCAGCAAGGACTTTGCTATGGAGCCAGACGAGCAAAAGCTGCGCTCGGCCGCGCATCACATGGTGCAGAACATGGCCGGCAGCCTTGCCCTAGTGACATGCAAGGAGCCACTGCGGCTCAGCATCCTCACGCATGCACGCACGCTCTTTACTGCCGGCGGGGTGTCGGAGCAGGCTCTGCCCGAGCAAGCGCTGCTGATGCTCGTGCAGGACAACTTGGATCTGGCGTGCGTAGTGATTGAAAAGACAGCGATGGAGAAGGCACTTGCCAAGGTCGATGAAGGCCTCGCTAGTGCATATTTGACGCGGCGCGACTTCAAGATGCACGGTCGTGGTGCGCTCTTCTGGGACGGCACAGCCCTCTCGCACTACAGCACGACTCTGCCGGACATGCTGCGGATCGGCCCGCCCGGACTGCAGCCTGCACAGCTGCGTGTGTACGAGCAACTTGCGATGGCGCCTACGGTGCCCCGTCCGGAAGATGAGCTCGAGACAGACGACCTGCCTGGCATCCTAACACCCGCCCAGGCTCTCGAGCGATTCCTGCTCATGGCTGCCGAGCTGGAGCGATTATTCGCGGAAGTGACCGAGTCACAGACCACGACGCTTGCAACGCTGCCAAGCACGCACTTTGTGCGCCAAGTCTTGCCGCATCTGATGGAGCTTGTACTGCAGTCGTCACATCGCGACGAGACTGTGCTGCTTATCGCGCAGAAAACCGTACAGCTCCTGTACAAGACAGGCACAGATCTCGCCCGCGAAGTGTGGGTGGCTGTGCTTGAGCAGCTGTGTGAACAGTCGCCCAAAGTCGCGCGCGAAGTCACAGCTTGGCTCATGTACGCGGAGGACGAGCGCAAATTCCACGTGCCTGTGACGTTAGCGCTCGTTCGTGCCAACATGGTCGGCCTCGTCGAGCAAGACCAGCAACTTGCCAAGCTCCTCGTTCGCTCACAGTGCCGCCCGTCCGTCGTCGACTACAGTGCGCAGCTTGTGCGCCAGTGCCTGCAAGAGGGCCTTGCGACTCGCGCGCAGTTCTCGACTCTGCTTAGTGCCCTTGCGCAGGCCGTGCAGTATGGGCGCGGCACGCCTGCAGCCCAGGCGCTGCTGGACGAGCTGGATGATCTCGCGCGCTCCGAGTCCGCTATGCCCCTGCGTGAGCAGCTCGCGTACAGCTTTGCAAGCTGGGTGCGTGTGTTCCAGCAATCGTCGAACCCGGAGAAGGCGTTTATCGAGTATGTGACGCAGCTCCAGAGCCAAAATGTGTTGAAGGGCGAGGAAGTGTCGTCGCTCTTCTTCCGCATGTGCACCGAGGTGTGTGTAGGACACTACGCTAAGCAGCATGCGGTTGGCGGAACTCGCGCAAGTGGCATCTTCTCGCCGATCGATACCTTTGCGCAACTCATTGTCTACCTGATCAAGTACCATGCGGATCCCAGCGGCACCAACTACGAACAGGCGAAGGTCCACTACCTATCCAAGATCCTCTCTATTATTGTCCTTGTCCTGGCTCAGTCGCACGAGCAGATGGGTGCCCACTTCCAACAAAGGCCGTACTTCCGCCTCTTTTCCAGCATGCTCCATGGCCTACACGCCGCAGAGAGCTCGTTGCAGGGCGCCTACCCAGGCGCGCTTCTTGCCATCGCCAATGCATTGCACACCTTGCAGCCGGCATTTTTCCCAGGCTTTGCATTCTCGTGGATCGCGCTCATTTCGCACCGCCTGCTTCTGCCGCAGCTACTGAGCCGGACCTTGCCGCTGTCTGTTGCTGGCACCGCTGCAACTACGACAGCGTCGTCTTCCAACGCTGCAGCTACGGCCGCAGGTCCTGTTGCATTCCACCGCCTCTTACTCGCTCACCTGCGCTTCCTCGCACCCTTCCTTCGCCAGGGCGCACTTCATGACACGACGCGTCTGCTATACACATCGACGCTCCGCTTACTCCTTGTTCTCTTGCACGACTTCCCCGAATACCTCGCTGAGCACCACCAGAGTCTCTGTGACGCCATTCCGCCCGTCTGCATCCAAATGCGCAATCTCGTTCTCTGTGCCTACCCGCGAACTGTCCGCATGCCTGATCCCTTCAGCACGAGCTTGCGCCTCGTGACTTGGCCCGACCCCAAGTTCATGCCTGCTATGCAGTATGATGCACGAGCTGTCCTGCTGCGCTCAGCCGCTGCGCCCATGCTGTTGGAGCGCTTGGACGAGCTTGTGCGCGGCACGCCATGGCCCGCAGGCACAGGCCATCACGTCGCAGACTGCTTTTGTCTTGCCCAGCCGCACAGACACGCGCTACAACGAAGTGTTGATCAATGCGGCCGTGTTGTACACGGCACACACCGCATTGCAGGGCACAAACCATGTGCTGGCTAATCGCTCTGTCCGCGATCCCCTTGTCGAACTCTACCATGCCGTGCTGCCCGAGATGGAGCCAGAAGGCCACTATCTGATGCTCAGCGCCGCTGCGAACCAGCTGCGGTATCCGTCGCATCACACCGCGTACTTCCACGCGCTCTTTGTGGTCTTGTACGCGAAGGACGACTCGTTTGTGCGCGAACAAATTCTGCGTGTACTCCCTTGAACGTTTGATCGTTCATCGCCCACACCCATGGGGCCTGCTGTACACGTTTGCGCAGCTTCTCCGCACGCATTCGGTGCCGCTTCCACAGGCCCCTCCTGAGGTCCATGCCATCCTTGAGCATATGTCGAACATCCTGGCACCTGAGCGTGCCGTCCCAGCTGCAGCATAAACACCCAGCCTACTTGATATGATACATAGTCTTTTACCAGGCGCTTCACATGCTCCTCTCACGTGCAATGACTATTTCGACTTCTTTTCACGTAAAACTGACTCTGTGCTGGCTACCCTAGTCCCTATGCGAGTCGTCGTCATCGTGCCAGGCGCACGTCGAGTGGTGGAGAAATGTAGTTGCGAATCCGACAAGTCGCCCCAGCTTCTTTCGACATGCGCGATCACGATGACCTCCACATGCTGACAAACCCGGCGCCGCTTCTGGCCTGTGTTGGCTATAGACCTGCTGCATGTTCGTAGCAGCCTACTCCCACACTGGCTTTGTGTGGCGTCGTCGTCGTTGTCTGTGACTCAACGCGCGGTATCAAGCGCCGCAGCAACTGACGTTGCTCGCCGTCCACAGAAAGTTCCGGAATTCTACCTTTTGTTCGACCAAGGCCCGTCCCACGCTGCCAAGAATGGATTGCATCAGGTCACCTTGGGACGTTCGGGATTGGCGCCCATGTTTTCGCACAGCTGTCTTGAACACTGCTGTGCCTCTATTGGGCGTGACTATTTCTATCGCGGCATGCTTTATAAATACACGGTACTCGCACAGCGCTATTGATTCACTTGATCAAGCCGCACACTATGATCTCGGCTCTCCTAGTACGCCGACGCAGCATGTGTTGCACACTGAATCCTCTGTCATTCTCTATGAGGCGTCATCCGTCGTGCATGAAGCCATTGCATACGAAGCTTCACTTCCTACCGCAGGCCATGCGTGGATAGACGTCGGAGTGTGTGCGTTTCTTGTGTGCCTTCATGCCTTAGGGGCATGGGTCTCTATGTACGAATGGAATGTCTCATGGGGCCTCTATGTTTTATTCGCTTGTGTCGTGTGTATCTATTCTTGGAAGCAAAATACGTCAATGTCTTTTCACAAACTTGCGTTAGCCCTACCTTATACGCTCGTTATGTGCTCGAACATGCGTACTGCTTGGATGCATACGGCCTCAACCCTCGGCCTTGTACAAGGCGTTGCTGCGATCGCCGTTCTGTTGGGACTCTTGCTTCGTCGGCAAATGTTTCCTCAGCCAGACCGTGTCAAGCAACTGCGGTTCGTCCACTCCTCCACCGGCATGGACCCTGCTTCTTCAGCACAGCTCAAACCCAAAGTGTCGAACGACGAGCCATCACCTGAATCGTTTACATCAGTGCTCGGCCGCATCACTTTCTTGTTTATGACACCGTTCGTGTGGCGACAATACTTTCACCCCACAACATTTGCTTCGATTCCGCAACTCCCTGCCAAGTTTCGCGCTGCGACCATCGTAGCACGGGTCCGATTGGCTACCGGGACCAAGCGCGAGTCGCTTCTTGCCCGTTTGTGGCATGTGTTGGGACCCAGTATCACGTATCAACTGACGCTCTCGTTCCTTCGTGCATGTTTCCGAGTCGTGCCAATTGCTTGCTTATCACAGCTTCTCACATTCATGACGCTCCGTGACGAGGCCAATGCTCACGGCATGTCGAGGCCGCCGCCAATGCATGCGGGCCTTTTTTGGGCCAGCTGTTTATTTGCTGCTCAACTCACCGAGTTTCTGCTAGACATTAACGTCATGCAGCACGGCCGATCACAGTCTGTCGAGCTGCGTGCATACCTGTCGACAGAGCTGTTTTCGAAGATTCTCCGTCGTGTCGTTCATGGCACACCACTTGCATCGCCCGCCTCGTCCTCCTCATCAGAACGTCTGACCGATGGGCACATTGCTTCGCTGCTTTCGGTTGACATGTTCAAAATCGACTCTTTTCTCGCGTTTCTTCATCAGCCGCTCGTCGACTACCCTCTCACTATCATATTTTGTTGTATCTATCTGTTCCGGCTACTCGGTGTGTCAGCACTTGTGGGCTTGTCGGTTTTGCTGATTACTGCGCCTCTACAGACACAGCTTTCAAAGCTCATGGTCCGTTTGCAGGATCACATACTCCAGGCCACCGACGCACGACTCGACCTCGTGAATGAAGTGCTTACATGTATCAAGACCGTCAAGTTTTTCGCGTGGGAAACGCCATTTCTTGAGCGTTTGCGCGCATCGCGCGCACGAGAGTTAATCATGCTGGCTCGTAATAATCTCATGTCTATCACGTACAATTTCATATTTGTCGGTATGCCGATGGTTGTTACAATGGCTACATTTGGCACTTATACCTACGTACTAGGCCATGCACTGACTCCCAAAGCTGCTTTCACCGCTCTTTCGATCTTCACGACGCTTCGTATGCCCCTCTCTGATTATCCCGAGATGATTGTTTCTGCTCTTGCCGCTGTCGTATCTGTCCGGCGTATTGACGGATTCCTTCGTACTGAAAACACGCACAAGTATGATCAGCTCATGACAATGAATGACTCAGCACCCAATCGTCATCCAACCTATCTTGGGTTCCTTGATGCCTCATTCGCATACGATCCACATGATCCTGAAGCGTTTCGTCTCCTGAATCTGACATGCCGATTCCCCGTCGGTCAATTGAGCATGGTTCTTGGCCCTGTCGGCTCTGGCAAATCTTCACTCCTTTTGGCCCTGCTTGGCGAATTACACAGACTTCATGGCTCGACTGTGTTGCCGTGTCCAACCGCTCGCAGTATGACTCTTGCTGACCCAACGACGCTGCTGACAGAATCGACCGCTTACTGTGGCCAAAATGCTTGGCTTCTCGGCACCACCGTGCGCGAAAACATTCTTTTTGGTTCTGCATACGATGAGCCACGCTACCGCGAGGTCCTGCGTGCATGTGCGTTAGAGCCAGATCTCGATATTCTCGAACACCATGACGAGACAGAGGTGGGTGAGAAAGGCACGTCTTTATCTGGTGGGCAGAAAGCTCGAATTGCTCTAGCGCGCGCTTTCTACTCGTATGCCAAGCACATCTTGATTGATGATGCGCTTAGCGCAGTCGATGCTCACACTGGTGAACACTTGCTCCGTCACTGCTTCCATGGGCCACTCTCGCGGGGCCGCACAATCGTGCTAGTCACGCATGCCGTGCCGCTGGTTTTGTCTCACGCTACGTATGCTGTGATCTTGGACCACGGCCGCGTGGCTGCACAAGGAACGCCAACTGATCTTGTGCGTGCTGGTCACATCAACTCAACGATTCAGTATCCAGACGAACAGTCACGTCCTTTGCCGCCCACAGTATCGGAAGACAAGGGCATGGAGTCCAAAGTGCACGACGCGAAATGGATTGAGGCCAATGAACGCCGCGCTCGTAAAAATCAAAATGCCCGTGCTGAATCGATCCAACGTAAAGCACGCGGCATGGACCTTTATTTCATGTATGCCAGGTCAGTGGCTGTCCATACGTCCGTGGCTATTGGTCTATGGATGCTGCTCATGAGCCTGTATGCATCCGTACGCATGGCTGACGTTTTCAGCAATGCGTGGCTCAAGCAGTGGGCAAATTCGTACAGTTCAGCATCTCAGGCATTGCTAGACCCTGTGTTCCATGCACTGGACTCTATGCTTGCTTTTCTGCGCTCCGCCTACGCAGCTCCGACTGACCCGCATGAGAAAGCGACGCTCTACTACCTGGTGCATTATATTGTGCTCGTTGTCTTTTTCATTCTCTTGTCCACACTGCGTGATTGTGTACAGTATTACATCGCTTTGCGAGCATCGCGCTTATTGTATGCACGCTTACTTCACGCTCTGCTATACGCCTCTCCACGCTTCTTTGACATTACGCCAATTGGGCGCATCATGAACCGGCTATCTAAGGACGTCGAGACAGTTGACCAAGACATGACGCCGTCTCTACGAATGATGATCGAAGCTTCCATTGCATTAGCCGCAATCCTTGGTATTATCTGCTGGGCCACTCCGAAGTTTTTATACATGGCCGGCTTTGTGATGGTCATGTATTATATCATTGGCGCCTTATACCTAGGCTCATCCCGGCAACTGAAGCGGATTGAGAGTATTGAGCGTTCACCCCTCTTTACCCTTTTGGGTGAAACGCTAGCGGGCACCGTTACAATCCGCGCTTTTAGCGACGGCGAGCGTGTAATTCGCCGATGCATGCATGTGCTCGATCGTACACACCGCGCTTTCCTGTACTTATGGTACGAGAATCGCTGGCTTACACTTTGTGTTGATCTTATGGGTGCCATCGTCACTTATACCACGGCTATCTTGCTTGTGATCACTGGTGCCGACGCCGCTCTAACTGGTTTCACGCTCGCCTACGCAGTCCTGATTGTGCAAACCGTCCTCCGAATTGTGCGCCGTTATACCACCACCGAGATCAACCTTAATTCCGTCGAACGGATTCAAGAATACCTTCACGTCCCATCAGAACAACAAGGCGGGAAGAAGCCACCTGCTCACTGGCCCACAGATACATGTCCAATTCAAGTCCGTGACCTATCCGTCCGCTACAGCCCAGAGCTCCCGCTCGTCCTTTCGAACGTGTCGTTTGATATCCAGCCCGGTCACAAGGTCGGCATTGTCGGTCGCACGGGCAGTGGTAAATCTACCCTATCCCTTGCCTTCTTCCGCTTCCTCGAAGCCGAGTCTGGTTCCATCATCATCGATGGCATCGACATTTCCTCCATCTCCCTCGAGTCTCTCCGTCGCCGTCTTACCATCATTCCTCAGGACTCTCAGCTTTTCCGCGGCTCTATCCGATCCAATCTCGACCCCTTTGGTCTCACAGATGACGGCGATATGTGGTTCGCTCTACAGCGATGCCAGCTCGCCGTCCCTGGCTCATCTCCCAATGTCCCCGGCGAGGGAAGCGTCATCAAATCCCTCGACGACGCCGTAGAGCAGGGCGGCTCTAACTTTAGTGCAGGACAGCGACAGCTCTTGTCTCTTGCTCGTGGCCTGCTCAAAATGCGCGAGAGCCGGATCCTGATCCTGGATGAAAGCACAGCAAATTTAGACGCCGAGTCAGATGCCCTCATCCAGCGCACTATTCGCGAGCAAATGGCACCTGGTGCGACTATCCTAACAGTTGCACACCGACTCAAGACAATCATCGATTACGACAAAGTGCTTGTTCTTTCGAATGGGCACGTCGTTGAGTATGATGCTCCCGTCAAACTCCTTGACAACGAGCAGAGCACATTTTATGCGTTGTGTGAACGCTCAGGCGAACTTCAGCACTTGAAAGCCGCAGCGGCCACCGCCGCTGCATCCAAAGTTCGACCTGACCCTTGATTCTGTATAACTACCTGACTATCAATCTTTCATGAAGGATGCACATGAATTTTATATTAAGTAAAAACTTCCCATTCGAACATCCTGTATCAAAGCAACATCACGAAAGCTCGAGTCCTGCCAACTTACATCTTGGAGTGAACTGCCTCCACACTCGAGCAATTTTGTATGTACATAAACATATTTACGTAGTCTACGGTTTCCTGATGTTGGATAACGAACGTAATCCGTTACATATGAGCTCCTCGAACGAAAGGGGTTTGTTCATCCCTGTGAGAAATGCTTCAAGGCTCTCCTTTCAAAATAGGACACTTATCCTGCCCACCATCAGCGTTGGCTCTGTGCCGCAGTTGACTCTGGATCTTCTCATTCACGCACCTGCACTGGAATGCAGTCGCGTAGGATTCCTTGATGGCAGTGCGTGCGCTCCGTTTATATCACCTCCAGAGCCTGGTATGTCATCGGAAGACGTGTATACGCCGCTAGACGTGTACAACTCCCCCCATGGAATAACGATTGTGCAGCAGCGAAGTCCTGTGCTGAAAGTGATGCGTGCATCCTTCACTGAGCGCCTGATGGAATGGATCAAACGTGCAGGCTTTACCGATGTCCTGCTCGTATCAAGTATGGATGCTGCTATGCGCATGGATATCGAGTTTTCCACGCCGTTCCTGTATACGCGACCCGTGAAAGCGGATGACACGCCTCTATCACACACAATAAGCACGAAGTATCCGCGATTTTGTCCAGCGGCCTTCCGCGGCCCCGGCTTGCCACCCATGCCGGGTAGCGGCACTGCTCGGATATACTTGGAGCATGCGCCAAAGAACTTTGTGGCCCTATTTATGTTCTGCGCGGAAGGTGACAACCGGATGGATGCGCATGTGTATGCTGAGCAAATCGCTCTGGCATGCAACGTGCGCGTGACTAGTACGTACTTAGAGCCACCGTATGGCAACTTACCGCAACAGCACCATTGAAAGAGCCACCTAGCTGGAAATTCATGTACGGGCCAGCACCAGCAGACATGATGTATGGATAAGGAGTCTATCTGGCGTTCAGCTGCCCATGAAAAAGTCAAGTATACCAAGGGAATTATGCCTACAAAGCCATAAGGACTTGGTCGACCAAGCCATGGGTACGCATGTGAGCTTGGCCATGCTTGACAAGCCACGAATGTGTCCTGACAGCAAGCTCCATTGTATCGGGTGGCATGTCTGCCAGCCGAGCAATGTCTAGTCCATGCGACGCACGATTCACGCCAGGTCGTACCCGATGCGAGAACAACAGGGCGCCATCACTTCGCTGCTCGAGACGCGTACAGAAAAAGCCAACAGCACGACGCAATGCTTGGGTCTGTGGTAGTTGCGAAGAAGACGGATGCTTTTCGAGTATGTCGGCGAGCTCGTAGTAATGTGTTGCAAAGAGCGATCGGCACTGGATCCTCATCGCCAGTGTGTAGAGCACAGCAAAAGCCACAGATAAACCAACAGATGTATTCGTTCCGCGGCCAATTTCGTCAGCAATGACAAAGCTCCGCTGCGTCGCGCGGTGCAAAAGCTCAGCAGTCTCGGCCATTTCGACCATAAACGTGCTGCGACTGTGAAACAAGTCGTCCTTTGCACCGACGCGACTGAATATAGCATCGACAAGGCCCAAACGCGCGCTCTCAGCCGGTACAAATGAGCCCGCCTGGGCTAGCACAGCCATCACGGCATTTTGTCGTAGAAACGTCGATTTGCCGCCCATATTGGGTCCCGTCACCAGATGCAGACGTGCCTGACCGCCCAGTTCAAGATCGTTCTTCGTAAAAAGACGCTCACGCTCCAGTAGTCCCATTTCAACACCCAGGTGCCTCCCTCCCTTAATGTCGAAGCTTGTCGACTCATCCATTTGTGGCCGCACAAGTGAGAGTTCCTCAGCTACTTGTGCAAAGCCCAGAAGTACGTCCAATTGATCAACGAGGCGGGCATTGCGACGCAACGCAGCGGTATGCTCGAGCACTTCGAGACGCAGTGTCTCCAGCATGCGTCGCTCACACTCCGACAGCTGGTCTCTGAGCTTCTGTAGCTGCGTCCCGATCCGTGTCCACTCTGCATGATAGTATGTTCGGGTGGTTTTAGTCTTATATGCAAGCGACAAACTCTCGCTAACATGCCCTCGGACCGAGGGAAAATGCACAACATGCCCCTGACCCAGCAAGAACCTGAGTGTCACAGGCTCCGAATGCTCTGCACGCAGCGCATTTTCAAGAGTACGTGCCTCTGCACGAAGTGCATTGAATTCATTTGTGAGTGTTAGGAGAAGTGGTGATGCATCTGGTCGTATAAGATGCTCAATATTGTCGCCCCACATTGACTCGGGCAGCGTGAGTGATGGTGGCGATGATGTACGACGAGTACGTTTCGATGGCGCAGATGCGTCAGCCGGAGGCATAGGTCCCCCTGCGTACATCGCATCATAAGTTTGCAAACGCGCCTCCTGCTGCTGGATCCGCTTCTCCATAACACGCTCATCAATGGCCATCTCAAGTCGCTCACCCAACGCGTGAAGCGCAGTAAACCGCTGAAGAAGTTCATGCAGCTCATGTACGTCAATAGACGCAAGACTCGCTACCAAACGCTCACTTGTGCGAATAAAGTCTCGGATCTCTAGCAGGTCTTGCTCATCGTTCCGACGCAAACTGATCCGCTGGAGTGTGCGCATGATATCGCCGACACCGGTGCGAAGAAGCACACGCAAATCCTGGCGCAAGAACGAGCGCTGAAGAAACAGCTCTACTAACGCATGCCGCGCACGAATGAGACGCAGTGACATGCTTGGCTGAGTGAGCCATTGCACACATAGCCGCGCGCCGCCTTGTGTCACAGTGCGTCGAACAATGCTGACTAGACTGCCCCGAGCGCTATGATCCTGTGTTTCTCGGATCTCGAGTGCATTCAGTGTGGCGGCATCTAGGTGCATGACATAGTCGCCAGAAGCTCGAGCAGATCCACCTTCTTCGCATACGGACATGCCGGGCATGTGTTCCAGGAGCCGCGTCTGTAAGTAGGAGGTGAGGATCTCAATGGCTTTGCGCTCCGCGTCACACAGATTCGCCTGCGATACACCTAGTATATTCTCTTGTGCATGGGTGAGGGTAGGCACGAATGCTACGGGTGCTTGGACACGGTTGGTAGCTTCATACACTGGATGCGAAGCGTCAAAGGCATCTGCGATGAGTACGACTTCCCGTGGAGCGAGACGCACGATCTCGTCCCGTAACGTTTTTTCATCGTTATGTACAACAGTTCCGAAATCAGCCGTGCTAACATCAAGCCATGCCAGGCCATATGAGCGGCCCGCTGACAAGGTCGACCCCGGCGCAGACGCCGATGATGGCAACGATGACGACGGTGTGGGCGATAGAGGTGGAGGTGACGAAACAGCCAAGATGAAATTGTTGTGAAATGGGTCCAGGAACCTTTCATCAATCAATGTGCCTGGCGAGACAACGCGAGTCACGCGGCGCTGAAACGATGGAGCGCCAGACGACAAAGACGCCTTAAACTCCTCGCATATAGCTACCAGCATGCCGCAGTCTTGTACAAGCACCTTGAGATACTTTTCCAGCTGGTGGATAGGAAAGCCCGCCATAGGAATGCTTTGACCGGCCCACTTGCGAGATGCAAGTTTTATACTCAGTGTCTGAGCAACGGTGGGTGCCTGATCAAAGTACGACTCATAGAATCCACCCACCCGCGTCAGTAAAATGCACTTTGGGAATGCACGCATGTTCTCCAGCACACCCAGCGCCAACGGCGGCCAATCATGGGAGATGGTCGTCCCCCCTGGCTCACTATGCTTCAACGGAATAGGCTTGTGTGCATGTACGGGGAGATCTTTGGTGCTTTTCCGCTGAACGCGTCTTGTGCAAATGGATGCGTGGACGTATCGTCGTGCACCTTGGCAAGCCCATGCATATCCACGACGCGGCAGCAGCATAAATTAGGTACGCGTTGGCGTGCGTGTGTGAATGTGGACCTACATCTAGGTGAGGCCAATAATACGCGTCTGACTAAGCTGGCACGAAAAAAGTTGGACATGGACAGCTGACGGGCTGGCTGAGTGGGTGAGGGTGAGGACGAAGAGAACTAATAGGCGTAACTAACCATACACCAGTGACCTAGCCACCTTTACTTTTATCTCTCGTGAGGGCAACGGCAGCCACCGCGACAAGCCTCTTCACACAAGATCGATGCATCAAGAATTGGCACCCGGTCTGGGTGGACAAGATGCATGGTGTTGGTTGTCCCCTCTAGGGAGAGAGGACTGGAATCCATGTTTCCGCATCGGTGTGCTGAACACGTTCGTACCATTCATGGCAATCGGCATTAGCGTGGCGGCATGGTTTGTATCGAGTCTTCGCGACAAAGAACGCATGCGGAATGAGGCTGCGGAGGAAGTTGCGCAACTGAACCCCGAGTCCTCGCACTTTTACGGCGCGATTCCACGCGATGAGCCAGCGCAGGAGCCGACATGGGATTCAACGGCAGCACAAACCCCCGATTCCGCGGCAAAAAAGGTCTTCCAAACAGAAAATGCTATTCTTGTTGACGAGGCGCTCACGCTCAAAGATGAGCTGTACACATACACGCAGGTGGAACAGCACGAAGTGCAGCGTCGGAACAAGCGCATCCTCGAACTCGTTGGTTCGTTACTCCTTGTTTTGATGTACTTAGTCGGTGCAGGTACATCAAATGCAGAATGGGAACGCTCTTGGCTCTTTGTATGGATCTACTTTGCCGTATTGTCGACAGCGGCCATTATCCAGCGCAGGTCGTTCTTTTTCCAGAAACTGCTTCTCACTACACTAGCGTCGATCGTCTCACTCTCCAACCTGCGCACATCGCTTCTTTCCTCAGGCGTAAAAGCTATCACTGTCATGACCGTGCTGCAGACAAGTGTCGTGCTCTTCCTGCTGGGGCTAAGTTGGACGTCGCCATTTACGCAAGCGCTCTCGTCAGAAATGGAGGCGCTGTACGAGACGATGCACAAGCGTACACTGTATTCTGAAATCCGCACAGCCGTGCCGACACCCCCTGAAAATGCACAGAACAAGCAAACAGATCTCGATCGACTTGTGCCTTCCTACTCAAAGAGTCACGGACCTGTGCTGCCGCCGCCAGAGCAGCATGCGTCACTGCTAAGCCGTTGTCTCTTCATATTTGTGCAGCCTATCATTTGGAAACACTTTTTCAAGCCGATTACGCTGCCAGATGTACCGCAGCTCATGTCCATTGACCGATCGCCATCAGTCATTGCCATGTTTCGTATTCATAATGGACCAGAGACAGCGCGCCCTCTGTGGCTCCGACTTGTTCGTCACTTTGCATGGTCCTATGCGTACCAAGCTCTATTTGCCTTCTTTGCCACGATTCTAACACTTGCGCCTGTCTACTTCCTCTCGCACTTACTGAACTTCTTCACGCAACGTGCATCTGACGGTGCCGAGGCAGCTCCGATGCACATGGGTGTGCTGTATGCATCCGGCATGTTTGTGAGCCAGGTGCTTTTCTCTGTATGCCAATCGCAATCGCTCATGACGGGCCGACATATATGTGTGCAGATTCGCGCAATCCTCACATTCGAGGTACTGAGCAAGACCATCCGACGCGGCGTCAGTATTAACAAAATGGACGGTTCGTCAGCAACGCCGAAAACGAGTGACGACGACACAGAGGATGACGACGCGCCCGTAACAGATGGAGCAGTGATGAACCTTGTTTCAGTCGACGTGAACAAGCTGAGCGAGCTTGCTGCCTACAGTCATTTCTTGTTCCCACAACAGCCATTGTCTGTTTTGTTGGGTGTTGTGTATATCGTCATGCTCCTCGGTTGGTCAGCCGTCGTCGGTCTTGTCCTGCTGGTCGTGGCTGTTCCGATCCAGACCTATCTGTCTCGCGTGCTTGTTTCAGTGGGACTGCGTATGCTGCGCGCAACAGATGAACGATTGAACTTGACAAATGAAGTTCTTGCGTGCATCAAGACAGTCAAGTTCTTCGCTTGGGAAAAACCATTTGAAAAGCGCATGAACGAAGCGCGTCTGAAAGAGCTCGGTCTCTTACGTCTTCAGTTCTTCTTTTCGATCTTGAATCACCTGACTTTCATCGGCACACCCATGCTAGTGACAATGGCAACATTCGGCGCACACACAATTCTTTTCAAGCAGGCGCTGACGGCGCAAAAAGCATTCACAGCTTTGGCACTGTTCAATACCCTACGGGGACCACTGGCTGAACTTCCGAGCATGATCCAGTGGCTGCTTTCAGCTATTGTGTCTGTTCGCCGGATTGATAACTACTTGTGCGAACCCGATACTCACAAGTATGAGCAGCTGCTTGGCGAACACTCCCGTGCAGCGCAGGACGTTTGGATAGACAGGCCGCTTGACAAGGTGGGCTTCGATCATGCCACTTTCACATACGGTGCTGAGCCAGAAAAGGCGCCTGAAGATGGTCGTTTCATGCTCCATGATCTGTGCTGCCAGTTCCCTGTCGGCAAGATCAGCATTGTGGTGGGCCCCGTTGGCTCGGGGAAATCCTCAATTCTTCTTGCCATGCTGGGTGAAATGCAGAGGATTCGGGGAAAAACGATCATGCCATGTCCCATTGCTCGTTCCTTAGTCGAGCCGGATCCTATCAGCAAGCTGACAGAGTCGACAGCGTATTGTAGCCAAAGCGCATGGCTTTTGGGTACGACCATCCGCCAGAACATCCTTTTTGGCACCGCATATGACGAAGATCGATACCACGAAGTGTTGCGAGCTTGTGCATTGGAAGCTGATCTAGAAATTCTCGAACACCACGACGAGACAGAAGTGGGTGAGAAAGGTACATCTCTGTCTGGCGGGCAAAAGGCTCGGATCGCTTTGGCACGTGCCTTTTACTCGTATGCAAAGCATATTTTGATTGACGATGCGCTGAGTGCCGTTGATGCTCATACGGCCAAGCATCTGTGTAAGCACTGTTTCCAAGGACCACTTGCACAAGGTCGTACCATCATCTTGGTAACCCATGCTGTAACGCTCATGATTCCAGCCGCTGCCTATGCTGTCGTTATGGATGGCGGACATGTTGCAGCGGAAGGAGCGCCGAAAGACCTTCAGGCCCATGGCCATATCGAGACGCCCGTCGAAGTACAAGACGCAGAGTCCAAGGACAGCATCGAGACACGCCCCATCGATGAGCGTGAGCTTGCGGCGCGGAAGAAAAAAACTGACGAGCAAAGAGCTCGGAAAGCACTTGCCGATAAGAATGAAGAAAAGCTGTCGCGCTCGCAGTCCAGTGCTTCTCTATACTGGCTGTATATGAAGTCAGTCGCTCGTTCACCCTATGTTGCTGGCGTTGTCTGGATCGCACTGATGAGTTTGTACATAAGTATCCGTGCAATTGATGTGAGCAGCGGAGCGTGGTTGCGGCAGTGGGCCGGTTCTTATGATCAAGTCACAACGACAACATACAACACAGTGCATTCATGGGTCTTGGTGGCATGGCACGCTCAGTCAGGCACGGTGCACGATGACAAGACCTGGTACTATCTAAAGGGCTATGCCTCCATTGTCTTGGCATTCATCCTTGTTAGCTTCTTCACCGACGTCGTGCAATATGTGTCCTCGCTGAAAGCATCACAGCACCTATACAGCCGATTGAACAAGGCGCTGCTTCTAGCAACGCCACTCTTCTTCGACAAGACACCAATCGGACGCATCATGAACCGCCTGTCTCGTGACATGGAGGACGTTGACCAGGAACTGTGTCCGATCTTGCAGATGACAGTGGAGAACTTTATTTCGCTTGTGGCCATTGCGGCGGTGATTTGCTGGGCTACACCATACTTTTTGTTCGTCCTTGGATTCGTCATGGCGCTCTACTACATGATTGGTGCCATGTATCTGTCTTCATCGCGTGACCTGAAGCGTATCGAAAGCATCCAACGCTCGCCTCTCTACACGGTGGTTGGCGAATGCATTGCAGGCACCATCACTATTCGTGCGTATGGCGATGGCGAGCGTGTCATGCGGCAGTGTCTCAGTCTTATCGATAAGTGGAACCGTGCATTTTTGCTGCTCTGGTATGAAAACCGCTGGCTCAGCATTTGCTGCGATCTCTCAGGCGCCGGCGTGACGCTTATAGCCGCCCTCTTTCTCCTTTTCGGTGGCGCAGATGCCGCACTCGCTGGTTTCACGTTGTCATATGCCATTACCCTTGTTGAAGTTGTATTATGGCTTGTTCGCTTGTACACAAATACCGAAATTCACATGAACTCGGTTGAGCGCATCGGCGAGTACATCACCGTGGAACCTGAACGTCAGGGCGGCCTAGAACCACCAGCCCATTGGCCCACCGACTCAGGTGCCATTCAAGTCCGAGATTTGTCCGTTCGCTACAGCCCAGAGCTCCCCCCTGCTCTTTCGAACGTGTCGTTTGATATCCAGCCCGGTCACAAGGTCGGCATTGTCGGTCGCACGGGCAGTGGTAAATCTACCCTATCCCTTGCCTTCTTCCGCTTCCTCGAAGCCGAGTCTGGTTCCATCATCATCGATGGCATCGACATTTCCTCCATCTCCCTCGAGTCTCTCCGTCGCCGTCTTACCATCATTCCTCAGGACTCTCAGCTTTTCCGCGGCTCTATCCGATCCAATCTCGACCCCTTTGGTCTCACAGATGACGGCGATATGTGGTTCGCTCTACAGCGATGCCAGCTCGCCGTCCCTGGCTCATCTCCCAATGTCCCCGGCGAGGGAAGCGTCATCAAATCCCTCGACGACGCCGTAGAGCAGGGCGGCTCTAACTTTAGTGCAGGACAGCGACAGCTCTTGTCTCTTGCTCGTGGCCTGCTCAAAATGCGCGAGAGCCGGATCCTGATCCTGGATGAAAGCACAGCAAATTTAGACGCCGAGTCAGATGCCCTCATCCAGCGCACTATTCGCGAGCAAATGGCACCTGGTGCGACTATCCTAACAGTTGCACACCGACTCAAGACAATCATCGATTACGACAAAGTGCTTGTCCTTGGAAAGGGACATGTACTCGAATACGACTCGCCTCACGTATTACTATCCGATGAAAGCAGTACATTCTATAAGCTCTGTGAGCAAAGTGGTGAACTAGCGACCCTTAAGGCTTTGGCGGCCGAACATGCTCAGAGTTCGCGATCATGAATAACTCGTGCAACCCTCCCGTTCCATTCCTCTAACCCAAACACTTTTTCCTTGTCTATTAAAATAGGTAGATTTCAGTGACATTTTGAATGAAGAATTAGTCAGCATCTGTCGCACGAGCCTGGCCCGTCTAGAACAATACTGGGATGGCAGCAATCGAAGACGCGTGGAAGATCAAACAGCCACACATCGAAGCAGGACAATGCTCGGCGGTCTTTCCATGCTGCGCGCGGGTGTTTTGCGAGTACCAGGGCGTTTATCGTCTGTGAGAGTGATTCGTTCGTTCCCGAGCTCATCAGTGCATACAGCCGTGACGAGATTCGCATCAGGCGCAAGTTATGGCAATGTAGCAACAGCGTCGCCTGTGTTAACAAGCGCGCGAACGTTTTCAAGTGCACCACCGCCAACACCACAGCAAACTGTCGCACCGAACCTAGATGCTAACAAGCCTCATGCAGAGCACTCCGACAAACACAGTGTCTTTCGCCGCCTGTCGTTCTACCAGCGCTTTAAGACGATTATGAAACTGTATGGATGGTGGGCGCTTGGCATATATTCGCTTCTATCTGGTATAGATCTCACCTTGACATTTGCTGGAATACATTTCCTTGGTGGCGAACACGTCGAGGAACTTGAAGCATTGCTGTACAAGTGGATAGGACCAATGCTCAAGAAACTCAAGAAAGAGGAAGAGCCCAAGGAAAATACGTTCTTTACTTACGTGAAGGGCTGGTTCACCACGGAGGAAAAGGCGAACGAAATGGAGCACCTCATTGCGCGTCTATCAGGAGAGTTCGTGCTTGCATTTGCAATCCACAAAACTTTCCTGGTTCCCGTGCGCGCTGGTCTGACTATACTGATAACGCCCGGCATTGTTCGTTGGCTCATCAAGCGGGGCCTCGCGAGACCACTTAAAACTACAGCATCAACAGCGATCTGAAAGTGAGCAGTTTTTCTCCCAGTAAAATAGAGGACATGACAATGTATACGATTTCAATCACAAATGGGAAGCAAATAGCAGATTTTTTTTTGGCAGGGGCATCAATCAGAATACACTCGAAACTATGACACATGCTTTTACAAAGAAAAAGGGAGCGGGCTTCATAGAAGAAGAACCACGCTCTCGCATTTCCCAGTATCGAGGACGACGATGCACGAGGTATGATTTAACGGTACTGTGCAAGCGTTAGTTCATCCATCAACAGAGTCAATACAAACCTTGTGGAAGCCAATGACGTTAGCCTTCTCACGGAAGCACTGACGGCAGATGTTCAAGCCGTACTTGCGGACAAGACCACCCTGGTTACCACAGACACGGCTAATAACATGTTAGTTGAAATCTGTTCGCGAAGGCAAGGCGTTAGGAGCATCACATCAATAACGAGTAAGTCAGTGGTCAAGTGTGCCATAAAAACGAAGTCGCATCAGAGAAATGATTGTCTCCCCGAAACATTCATGAGATAGAAAGGGGTTGGCGCGGACAACGCCGCGTATAAAGTCCGAGTGCGATCACTCCTTATGTACTTCCTGTGCCACACGACACGTTACGATGTACTCCTTACTTGCCAAATACCTCATAATCAAGCCAGAGACATACCAGTTGCGGGAGCCCTTACCAAAGTTGCGCTTTCAATATGTTAGACATTATTCCGATTCTGCGATGCACGTCGTTATACGTACTGGGCGCGAGTACCAAACGTTCTGATGAGCCATGTTGCTGGGTGTACAAAGATGGGCGGTAGAATTGGAAATGGACGCACCCCTACGAGCAGACCAAATGTCAGTCACGTGAATAACATACAGGACCTCACGTGAAGAGGTCAATCCGACCAACCAGTTTTCCTCTCAACACGTCGGCAATGATAGCCAAGGACTGAACGCGGTTTGTGGAGACAAATAAGTGGAGAAAGAATTCGAATGCGCGCACGACTTGTGAAGTCCGATTTTGAACAGTGGCTCAACATTCTAGCCACGGTTGTGAATGACGCGTTTGGTACCATAGCCAGGACCGCCATTCGCGGTGTTCAGAGTATGACTCGTGATAATTCAACAAGTCTTTCCCCCATTGCTAATGCAATTTATTTATGGACAATAGCGCCATTGACATGCGGGACTATTTTGGCAATTCCTGTGACTGCATTCGCGTGCATGTTTCCCGTTATGCTGCCTCTGGCTTTGTTAATGTTCCCCTGTCCTGGTGTTTGTGGCAATGTACGGAATTGCATGGACGTCGTATATACTTTTGGCTCAGAAGGATCGACCGTCATATACGATGCTCGGTGTGCCAAGTTTGACGAAATACATACCTTTCTTACCTGTGACGCCCCAGCGTTGTTTCAAGGTTACCAAAGCTGTGTTAGGATACATCTGGTCATGCTGTAGCATAATGAACATGGCAAAGAACTGGTTTCTCTTGTACAAGCAGCACAAGGCTAGACCTGGATCTGAATCGATTATTTATTCCATGCCATTCTCGCGGAAGCAGTTGGATGTATACCCACCTACGTCGTCCACGGTAGATGCTTCAGATGTAAGGAGGAATGCGCCTGTCCTCGTGCTTGTTCCTGATGCGATTGTACCTGTGACATTAACAAGCCACCGGAAGATGTACCTTCCGCTCGCAACGCGTATGCAACAACTTGGCTACTGCGTTGTGGTGCCTCAAATCACATACTACCCGGCTGACCAGATCCGTCAGTCAGTCATTGATTTGCGTTTGGCGCTAAGCTGGGTCGGTGCACACATATTCCACTACGCGGGTGACCCCTCACGCATCTATGTCATGGGACATGGTTTGTCTGCTGAGCTCGTGGCACTCACTTTGGTGCAGGAGGCGGTCGTTCTAAGCCAGACGATCAAAAAGCACCGCGACATTGATGACGCGACTAACCATGATCTGACTCCAAAATCGAATATAATTGAGCCGGAAACTTTCAACAAGCACCTAGAGATTTATGCTCCACAAGTGCGCTTGCCTAACATTGCAGGTGTGATTCTTCTGGCGGGGCACAGCGATGTTATCAAAAGCAACTTGAATGAGGCGGATCTTGGAATTGAACACTTGAGCTCACATCGCCGCTGGACAGGACCTCAACAATTTCAATGCCTATTACATTCGCCCACGCATTTACTCATGCATAGCAAGGCATGCTTAGACCCCACATTTTTACCGCCCAAATTTCTCTTGATCCATGGCGGGCTTGATAAGCTTGTGCCGATTTCTCAGGCTATCTTACTTCGCTCTCTTCTGCTGGAAATTGGGGTTAAGAATGCAGAACTGCTAGCCTTCCGTGAGATGAATCACTTCGATACATTCAAGCTGTTCCTGGCATCTCCGCCTCTTGCCTCGAGCAAGTATGAAATAGCAATTTTGAAGTCGATCTGTTCGTTCGTAGCTTAGTAAAACGCTCTTTTATGTGCAGGCATGACTCGTTTCACACTTGGAAGGGTGACAACCTGCATCCGCCATTTCTCCATCGGCCATAAATACAGCCAATCCAATTGAAAGGTTCTGTGGCTTTGATGCACTTATCTCCCCAGTGTCTACGCCCTTGGCTCTTATCTTGGAGCGTTGCCACTTCACCTCGAGTGTGTCGACTGCCTTTCCGTCGGACACTGTGTACAAGCGTCATGTCCCAGAGCCCCTCACCGCTAGACGCTTCCCGGCTTGTGATACACAAGTCGGATTCGTTACGTCAATGCCCCCCTGTCAAGGACATCGTGTTTGGGCGCACCTTTACTGACCACATGCTTAAGATCCCTTGGACTGCCGCGCGTGGGTGGGGCGAACCTTCAATTGAGCCTTACGGCCCATTGTCTTTGGAACCCAGCAGTGTAGTCTTGCATTATGCGGTCACGTTGTTTGAAGGTATGAAAGCTTACCGCGATGACCACGGCAAGGTTCGTCTCTTCCGCCCTGAGAAAAATATGGAGCGCATGAACCGCAGTGCATCAAGGATTTGCCTTCCGAACTTTGATGAAACGGAACTTCTTAAGCTTATCAAAAAGCTTGTGCAGCTAGACCAGCACTGGGTGCCGTCGGAGCCAGGATATTCGATGTACATCCGTCCCACCCTCATCGGCACGGAGCCTTCTGTAAGCGTGACGCAAACATCGGAGGCATTGTTGTTCGTTATTCTTTCACCCGTTGGCCCGTACTACTCATCGGGCGTGAAGCCGGTAGCGCTGGAAGCGAATCCACAGTACGTCCGTGCGTGGCCCGGCGGCACAGGTAACGCAAAGATTGGTGCGAACTATGGTCCTGGAGTGATGCCTGCAATGCAAGCGGCCGCACGTGGATATCAGCAGATTCTGTGGTTGTTTGGAGAGGAACACTACGTGACGGAAGTCGGCACGATGAACTTTTTTGTGGTACTGAAGAAGGATGACGGCGTATGGGAAGTTGTGACACCGCCGCTTAACGGCCTCATTCTGCCGGGTGTGACGCGTTTGTCAATTCTCGAGTTGCTGCGTGCTCACCAGAACGGGGAGGAACGACTAAAGAATGTACCAAAGATCGAAGTGAATGAGCGTGACATCAAGATGCAGGAACTCGTTGATGCGGCCAATGCTGGTAACATTGTAGAAATGTTTGGAGCAGGCACCGCCGCTGTCGTGAGCCCAGTGAACCGGATTGGCTATATGGGCAAGGATATTCACGTGCCAGTGGGCGAGTCGGGCTTCGGTGTCATTACGGAAGCTGTGCTCAACAAAATCACGGGTATCCAGTGGGGCAAAGAAGAGCACCCATGGTCAGTCCCCATTGAGTAGATAAAAGAACGACCTCTGTAACTGAAAACTATACATGTGTGTAGCTGTTTGACTTTGTTTCCCCGCAGGGACGTTATGTTCCTTCCCCTTGATTATATGGTCGCATACCTATAAGTCTGCAAAAAAGCTAGCATGCTGGTCCACATCATGCACGGACTTCTTCCCCGCCTTGGATTTTGCAGTGCGGCGCTTAGTTGCCGGCGGCGGTTGCATCACGTCAGACTCGCCTGCGCTTTCATCACTTCCATCAGCACTGCGGGCAATGAGATGTGCTTCGTCTGACACTAGCATGACAGCCGGCTCCGGTTCGGCAGCATCTGTTTCCACGTCGCCCTCCTCAAGCAGTGGCGCAAGATCGGTTAACTTGCACTCATTACCATGGCCGATGCTTGCAATGAGATGCCCTTTCCGCTTCATGCATTCAATCGGCATGCCACCATGATCGCCCACAATCCCAAGAAGCTTGTGTGGGAACAGCTGGACGACACGGATCAGGCCATCTGATGAACCCGTCAGCACAGTGTCTTGATCCAGTGTGCAAAGAGCATCAACGCTCGACGGATGCCCAGGAAAACGATCGGCATGATCAAGAAGGCCTCGGTCTGGCGCCCATAATGAGAGAACGCCCAGTTGTGTGCCAACGACGAGTTTTTTGCCGTTCTTGATCGATGCAATTGAAAGCAGCTCGTCTTCTTGGTCCTCACTGACTTCCACACCCTTTTTCCCACCATGAATATCGATTACACTAAGCGTGCCATCACCACTCGTGACGATCAATCGACTGCGTGCTCTCTCTTCATCTCGCTTCCGCTTCAAGTCATCTTCCTGATCCTTTTTCTTCGAACGCGGCGGATCAAGATGTGTACACCAGAGCATATCTGTGATCCAGTCGGAATGATGATCATACGACCTTAGTGGCTTCGCTTCGGCATCGCCCTCGGGTGGACATCGGGGGTCCCAAAGTCGCACTATACCATCATCATCACCCGTAGCCATTAGTCCCTCATGGATAGGCAGAATGCGGGATGGCGCAGACCTGCGTTGGTGTGAGTGCATGTATGAACACACAACGGACATACTCATGCGCACGAGGCCAACGCGCCTTGACATGGCCATCACTAGGATCCAGCGCAATGATGGACTTGTCTTTGAATATGCAGAACAAATTTGATCCAGATGCGTCAAAGGCCACACCACGGCAGCTTTTGTGCGAGGGACGCACACTCCATACGCGTCTGTATGCTTTACCAGACGTGCGTGACTCGTCGGGCTGTGTGGATTGGTTGTGAAACATGGCCCCATAGTCGAACAATTGGACCTTGCCACTGATTAGACCCACTGCGATCTGGTGTACACCCTCATCAGGATGAAACGACACGTCTAGAGCATCAGACGACAACGCAATGTCCATGAAGGCTTGAGTGCGTGATGGCCTGTAGCATCAAGGAGAACATGGCGATGCTTGCACGTGACGTATCTCCCAAATTTTTCATGAGCGATTTCCGTGATACGCGCTAGTGAACTCGAATAAAACGCAACGGCGTGTCGTGCAATAAGGCAAAGTACGCCATGGCTACCGACGAGGTAACAAAGAGGCACCGGAAGCACAAAACGGAGGATGTAGTCGATTTAAAAGAGAAAAAGGCAAAGAAGGAGAAAAAAGAGAAGGATCGCAAGAGAGAAGAGAAAAAGAAAGATGAGAAGGATGAGAAGAGGAGAAAGAAGGAACGAAAAGAAAAAAAAGAAAAGGAGACAAAACAGGAAATGCCTGATGAAAAACATACCGTTGAGGAGCCTGAGGCAGTTCCTTCCTCAGGGAATAGTGGCGTGGTACGTGTGTCTCACTAACGATAGTCTGCGAGTGAGGCTAGGGCCTTCATGGAAGAAAACAACATCACAATTGAGATGGCTGAAGAGTCAAATGACAAGCCACCTAGGCCTATGCTGTCGTTTGATGAACTGAATGGTAAAATTAATCCCAAGCTCAAAGAACGACTTGATATGGAAGGATTCTCCAAGCCGACTCTGATTCAATCTTGCTGCTGGCCAGTGCTTCTCCAGGGACGCGACATGGTCGGTGTGGCCGAAACAGGCTCTGGAAAAACATTGGCATTCGGCATTCCAGCTTTGCAATATGTGATGGAGCAGTGGCCTCCGTCGTCAACATCTTCGATCAAGAAGAGCAAGAGTAATAACAAGAACAAGATTCATGTGCTTGTCATTGCACCAACGCGTGAGCTAGCAATCCAGACGCGAGATAACCTGGCACGCGTCGCCGAGCCTCTTGGATATGGCGTGTTCTGCTTATATGGTGGTGTATCGAAAGGTGAACAGATCCGTGAGCTAGCTTCTTATGCCCTACCTGTGCATATTATCGTGGGCACGCCTGGACGCGTGTTGGATCTGGCTCGTGAAGAGTCCCTTGACTTGGGTCACGTTAGCTACCTGACTCTAGACGAAGCAGATCGCATGCTTGACAAGGGCTTTGAGCCTGATATCCGAGCAATTATCGGTATGACCAAAACAAACGAAGATGGGCGTCGCACCAATATGTTTAGTGCAACATGGCCGCCGGCAGTGCGAGGACTGGCCGACACATTTATGCGCGTGCCCGTGCGTGTCACAGTCGGTAGCGATGTGCTAAGTGCGAATCGGCGCGTTTCGCAAACGGTACAAGTCTTAGACGATGGACGTGCTAAGGAGCGGGCGCTCAATACGTTCTTGCGCACTATTCAGGCACAGAAAACGAACGAAAAGATTCTTATCTTTGCTTTGTACAAGAAAGAAGCACAACGTGTTGAGAATACCCTCCGTCGATGGGGATATCGCGTGTCAGGTATTCATGGTGACTTGAGCCAACATGATCGTTTGGCGAGCTTGGAGGCGTTCAAGACTGCAGAGACGCCATTGCTTGTCGCGACGGACGTAGCCGCTCGCGGTCTTGACATTCCCAACGTGGAATATGTCATCAACTACACATTCCCATTGAGTAAGTTAAATTGTTATATTTTTTTTTGTTTAACATATGTACAGCGATTGAGGATTACATCCATCGTATTGGACGCACAGGCCGCGGTGGTAAGAGCGGCAAGGCTATCACGTAAGTATATTTTCATGCAATGCCTCTAATCATGTAGCTTCTTCACGGATGAAGACAAAGCCCATGCAGGCGAGTTGATTCGCGTTTTGAAAGATGCAAATCAACCTGTGCCGAAAGAGATGGACCGCTTCCCCACAACAATCAAACGCAAGACACACTCGAGCTATGGGGGTATGTACATCTAACGAAATACGTTGACGTTTCAACAGATCATTACAAAGAGCTGGTCCCTGGTAAAGCGAAAAAAATCACGTTCGATGACGATGATTAATTTGCTAAAGATGTGTAGAATAAAGTCTGTAGTGGGAAAAGAAAAGCCTACATCAAGTCAGAATGGTGAAGGAAATGCACGCAAAATGTTAACACGAATGAAGAACATTCATCGAGGCCATATAAGAGACAAAAAGTTACTCCCAACGTGGGGCTCGAACCCACGACATTCAGATAACTCCTCGAAACCAAGGAGACTCTTTAAGAGTCTGACGCTCTACCGACTGAGCTAGCCGGGACAAGTTCTTAAAAGGTAGTATCACCAAGTACAATATAATTCACATACATTTTCTTCTGATATAGGATCCCTGTTGCCATGTTCACTAATGCCCACTATCAGGCTTGCATATACTTTTTTGCTTGCTCTACTCAGATATATAACAAGAATGAAATTAATTTTGTAGTGACACTGTTGAGTTAGATGTTCAAGTATACTATACGTACTCAGGCTGGCCAAGAATGTCAGAATCAAACGCTGGCGGACCTCGACAATGTCTTCAGGCACAAGGAAAATCAAGGCGCCCAACTTGCGTGCAATGCTGATAGCCAGCTTGGCATTTAATCGACACTCATCCTCCGTACATCCATTCGTGATAAGAGATTGGTCAACGATACCAGGTCGAAGGGTATCCAGGAGGTCAAGAAGGAATTTTGCGTTCGAAAGAGATGGATCACGCAAAGAGCGAATCTGCTGCGTCGATTTGCCGGACGCCTTAACGCGTTTGTTGGCCCAATCCAAAATCTCAAGATCCGAAACAGACTTGCCGCTTTTCGACAGACCCTGAAGTGTAGCTGTGACATTCGCACGCATCACCTGCCAAACAAGGCCCAGTGTGAGAGTCTTGGCACCGTCGGTGATATCCGCGCCCTGAATTCCGACGATATGCATGTTGTTCGCTTTGGCTAGCTCAATGACATAGTTCGTGTTTTCGACCATCTTAAAGCGCGAGAGCGCAGTGCCTTCTTTCGGTCGAGAAACCCGCTTCCACATGACCGAGCCGGGAAGCACCCTGTCGAACGACTGCAGAAGAACATATCCATCCTTCAAATCCTCAAAGAGATTGTATACACCGGGTTGTACATCCAAGCTGTTGAGCCAAAGAGTGAATACGCGCGCTTCTCTTTCGCCCTCTGCATCGAATTCCTCGACTTCAACGGGCGGGGCCTCCTGTAATGGCTCGAGACTTGGCCATGTGTTAAATAGATGTGCGACAAAAGCAAGATTCAGTTTGGGATTCCCAGAAATCATAGAGCCTGGTGTCAAATACTTGCGACAGCCAATCGCATCGGCACGCTGAAGCACCATTTCAGCGCGCGAGAGTAGGTCCTGTTCATGGAGTGGGGCGCGATCACATTTGTCCGGCTTGATTTGTGAGAGAAGAACCGTGTAGTTTTCGCCATCTGAAACGTCTTTCGAGAAATTGGAAACGCATCGGTGCCAGTTGGCTGCTTTCAAATGGTAGTTGAACCAGCGCAGGAGAATTTGGTCAGGTGGGAGCTTCAAAAAGTCTTCGTGCGTTTCGCCCTCCTCCAATAGGCGGTACAGCTCGGGATGGTGCTTCAAATCAATCTTGTTGAGAAGCGCACGACGCACAATCTGCCAAATAAGCCCTAGAATCAAGTGTTCGCGACCATCTGTGATGTCCTGAGCACCAATGTTCACAACACTACAGCCAATCGCTTTAGCGGACTGGATCACGACGTTATTGTTTTCAGTCATTTGAAACGCATTTGGACCTTTTCCAGCTTTTCCAATATTCAATACACGCTCATCAATTGTGTCAGGCACAGCCGAATTGATCAGCTTGCAAAGTAAGAGGCCGTCACGACACTCATCAAAGAGCTGGAACGTATCAGTTGGGATCGGCAGGCGGTTCCCGACATGCGCATCACCACTTAGACTCGAGTTTATGTGGCGCGTAAATTCGTTGCGTTCGTCTTCGTTGATCGTATGCTGCGTCGATGCATTGCTGCCTTTGACCATCACTTTGCCCTTCGACACGACACCAGCCTCTGCATTGCTGCCTTTGCGCAAACGAGACACAAGGTCCACAAAGTCTTCAAGCTCTACACGGCCACTTGCATCGAGATCGACGTCCTTGAGTGTTTCGCGTACTTGGTCATATGAGGCATTCTCCAGCTGCTGCACCTCTTTGAGTACCACCTGTCGCTCAAGACTTCCACGATCATCAATGTCTATCTGCTTGAACTTCGATATAAGGGACATCATCTCTTCCTGGGAAAAGTTGGGGTACCTTTTCTGCAACTTGATGGCCTCCATCGTGCTAGTGATGCGCTTGGCTTCAGGAGAAGATTGGATTGGTGCTGGAGTGGCGATGTGAGTAGCCGATCCACAATTCTTGTCGCCCGCACGGACGGAGTATCTCAATGGCTGAAAGGAAATCGAAAACCCAAATAGCACGCGTGTGCTCGCGCGCGTGTGGAGGGACACAGTAAATGCGTAAGCATCAGCACAGGCAAAGTATGACGACTCCACGTGACCATCGTGCGTGTGTGCAGGCACAGGTGAGATGGACAACACGCGCAGTCAAGCCAAAAGTGAATTTGGGATGTCAAGATCAGAAAAAAAATTGTAGGTTGATGTGCCACTAAATGTGTGGGAGAAAGGTCGTTTTATCCTTACACAAGGAACTCGATTGCTGACAAAAAAACGCGTCCACGTTCGTACGCTCTTACACTTTTGACGTGTGTTCTTGAGTGATAGAAGCTCGTCATAGTCACTCGTTGAGCCAAGTTTGGGATTTGCGCTTCTTAGGAACTCGTGAGACAGTGAGAGTGATTGTGCGATTGATCTTCGTACATTCGGCGTGAGAATGAAGTGTACGCAAGAACTATGTGCTAATAAAGTGAGTCTCTCACAGCTTGCAGCTGAACTCTGTGCCGGACTGGTCACAGCATTATGTTAAGTATGTTGTATGAGGTTGATGGTGGTATCTCGGTGCTGAACTAACGCTGTGTGCAGTTATCAGCACTTGAAAAAAATTGTGTACTCGTTGGAGCGCGCGCAGTATGAGGCGAATGACACCGAGGCTGTCGAACAGGGAGGCAATTTGGAGAGTGAGTCGGAGACGCTGCTGTGCAGGGAGCCGAGTTACTTGGATCGCCAGTTTGTGCCGCATCTCGACAAAGAGTTGAGAAAGATCGTGGACTTCTACTGTATGAAAGAAAAGGAACTGTTTGACGAAGTTGAAGCGACACATGAGCACGTAAGGATGGCCGAGGAGGATGACTATGAAGGAGGTGGTGTCGAGTCAGATGTGGATGCATCGTATGAGGGTGCACATATTCCTATCGGTGGCAGAGACGCGGAAGATTCGACGGGACGCCTTGCCCCACATAGACGTGCATCGCCTGCCGCGGTGCCAACTCGTCGAGCACACTCGCTCGCATCGATTCACGATCCAGATGCTCATACACAGCCGACCCAAGACACGCTGCCTGTGTCGCGCCGGTGGCTCCATACATTTGGCCGTCGTGGTTCGTTCCACAAATCGTCGCGTCGACATCACAGTCCAAGTGCATCGAGCTTTGACACGACAAATGTCGAGAGCATCGATGGCCACTCGGAGCGTGGTTTTGGCGGCGCGGGTGGGAGAGCACTGAGTGTCTGGGTGTCGCAGGATGACTATGCGATAGATATGCGGCTGACAATAAAGCGCAGGCTTATGGAGCTCTACACCTCGTTGAATGAGCTGAAAGGTTTTGCCGAGCTGAATCAAACAGGCATGAAGAAAATCCTTAAGAAGTATGACAAGACAACAGGCAGCTCGCTCAAAGACCGGTACATGGAGCAGGTGGTGAAAGTCAAGTACCCGTTCCAACCACAGACCAGCAAGTTGCTAGAGGAGCGTGTGGATGAACTCGTTCACTTGTATGCGCGTGTTGCGACCCGTGATGATGTAGAGCTTGCTGCTCAGCAGCTCCGCATGCAGCTTCGTGAGGAGGTCGTGTGGCATCGCAACACGGTGTGGCGTGAAATGATCAACATTGAGCGCCGAGCGCAGGCCGCGTCACTGGAGAAGGGCTTGATGGGCCTCACAGGCGGGCATCTGCTTAATGAGCAGCCAGAGCTGCCCAGGGTGATTCGCACACCATTCGGCTCTTTTGTTGTGCCATCGTTCTGCACGGTAGGCACATTACAGCTGACTGCATCGCTCGTGTTGTTTGTCGCGTTGCTCAAGGTGCCGGCGCTGCGCTTTTTTGAGCGCATTGAAGTACAGAACTGTTTTGCACTTCTTGTCCTGTGTACGTGCCTGTGGGTGACAGAGGTGGTCGAGCTGTTCGTCACGTCGTTGCTGGTACCGTTCTTAATTGTTACGCTTCGTGTTGCGCGCGAAGGCGAGGGCGAGGGGCGTCGATTGACGGCGCCCGAGGCGAGCAAGTGGATTTTTGCCCAGATGTTTGCGCCAAATGTGTCGCTGTTATTGGGCGGATTTACTCTCGCAGCGGCCTTGTCCAAGTATGGGATCGACAAAGTGATTGCAACACGTGTACTGCAGTACGCCGGGACACGGCCTAGCGTAGTTCTGTTGGCGCACATGCTCGTTGCGTGCTTCGCAAGTATGTGGATCTCGAATGTGGCAGCGCCCGTGCTTATGTTCTCGCTCGTCCAGCCGATTCTGCGCAATCTGCCTCCAAAGTCACCGTACGCGACAAGCATGGTGATGGGCATTGCGCTCGCATCGAACATCGGCGGGCAGACGTCGCCGATCGCGTCGCCACAGAACCTTATTGCTCTGCAGTACATGGACAAGCCCCTTGGCTGGGTGCAGTGGTTCGCCATTACGATTCCTGTGAGTGGTACGTCGCTCCTGGTGCTGTGGCTTTTGCTGCTATGGTCGTTCGGCACAGGCTCTGGCGTGCACATCAAGCGGATTCCTGAGACGGACAATTCATTTTCACGTGCGCAATGGTTCATATCGGCCGTGTGCTTAGGAACGATCGTGCTGTGGTGTTTCCAGAACCAGATCCAGGGCATGGTTGGCGATATGGCGGTAACGGCAATCATCCCGCTTGTGCTCTTCTTTGGCACGGGTGTGCTGACGAAAGAGGACTTTAACAACTTTTTGTGGACGATTGTATTCTTGGCCATGGGTGGCATTGCTTTGGGCAAGGCGGTCGCATCAAGTGGCCTTCTGAAGAGCCTTGACTCGTTCGTTCAGAACGAAGTGAATGGCCTGCCGTTGTGGGGTATTTTGGCAATCCTTGTAGGAGTGGGACTTGTTGTTGCTACATTTATCTCCCATACGATTGCGGCTGTCCTACTTGTGCCGATCGCTGCACAGATGGGCGCGAATCTGGTGGAGCCACATCCACGCTTGTTGATTATGGCGACGACGCTCACGTCAAGCGCTGCGATGGGTCTGCCTATCTCTGGATTTCCGAACATGACAGCGATCAATCTCGAAGATGAGGTTGGGCATCACTACGTGTCCGTCAAGACGTTCTTGCGCGTAGGCATTCCTGCAAGTGTCTTGGCTACGATCATCATTGCGACGCTTGGCTATGTCATTATGCTCTTGCTCGGGTTGTAACAGGGAAAAATAATAATAATAATAATAATAATAAAGGAGGGGAGGCGAGGCGAGGAGGGAAATGACATTCAAAACAGACAGCCACGCGATCACGATACAAGAGTCAGAGTCATCATGGAGAAACGATGTTGTAGGAACGAGACGAGCAAGCATGAAAGCTGCGATGACAAGAGTAGACGAGTGCGGGGTATCACGGATTTTCTAGTACATAGAGAGAATGCATTCATACATGATGATGCATGCAATAGATACAAATTCTTCGCACGTTAGAGTTATGCGTGTGACTGGCGTAGGAGTCGGCTCACAGCTTCAAAAGCACCGATCATGATGCCACACGACGGCGCCACTTTCGCGAGCCGCGGCGACAGCCCGCAGAACAGGCCCTGCACACCATCGTTCACCACAATTCGTCGCAATGCTGAGAACAGCGAGCGTGAAGAAACATATACAGCCCGCTGCGCCTGCTCGGCCTGCAGGCGCGTTTTGACCAGATCGAACGGATGCGTCGCAAACGCTGCCACACACCCACTTGATGCACCAACGATGAACGAGATGCCAAATTCGTGCCAGAACGTAGACGTTTGGCTCTCGCCAAAGCCGCGACCTGTAAGAAGAACCTTGCCGCCCTCGTACCCTGTGAAGTAGAGAGCCGAGAACGGCACATCCCGCCAAAGTGTTGCCGAGAGTCCGCGCCACAACACGTGCACCCCCTGCTGCTTGACCTCCATGCCAAGGGGCTGGATCACGGACAGGAAAGATGAGCGGCCATGTGACGCCTGTAACCGTGTGCGAAGCAGCTCGAGAGGCGTCACGAGCGTCGCGGAAATAGCTCGTGCACAGGCACCGCTCATGAGCGACGCTATGAGCAATGGCACTCGAGCAAACGACATGGCCGGTGCCACATCCACTAGCTCATCATGTTCGCACGGCATGTCGCAGGGAAAGTCGGGCATGTGAATCGCGGGACGTGGGATGGGTCCCTGCCATACCGGAACAGGTGCTTCGAACGACAAGATGGCTTGGCGGAACACGTCGTAGAACGACATGTACGTCACCTGGGACGGTATAGTCATTGCCAGAGTAGGCAAGAGACCACGCCAAAGGCTCTGCCACCCTTCAACGCGAGCTACTTTTACTATGCCGTCCCACACACCAGTCAGACGACCTTCGCGCATAACGACCTCGGTTTCACAGAGCTTCGCCACACTGCACTTTTCAGGATATATACACATGGTAGGCGAATTCATAGCGAACGGGACTGTTAGAGGTGTCGATGGGCGCAGCCACGACACACGCGTAGATGCTCGAGCTGACTCATGTGGTGCAGTTCCGTGTACGGGACACGGTGGTCCTTTTATCGTGCCAATATTTGCATGGACAGGCAACGACGCATCGTTCGCTTGCATTTGAAGCCGGGTCTTTATGACGTCCAAAGGCGTCATCAAGAACGACGTCGATACTGATCCTGCAACGGAAGCGATGAAACGATCAAAAAAAGACAAGGCTTGCGGAGACGGTGCTGATGAGTGTGTACCAGCTGTGCTGTGCAGATTAGATTCGGCTTCATGACGCGGCGTCGTAGAGCCACCGTCCGATCCCATGGCGACAGAATCCAGTCTGCGCCACACTTGGTCGGGGTGGAGAGAATAAAAAGAAAATAATGGTTATCGCGACTGGGAAGTAATCACAGCAGATGCGCCACCCCTCCGCTTCCCCCAAATATGATGAACTTTAAAATACTTGCTCGCCCCTGGCACTTTACAGAGCCAGTAAATCAACAACCCTATCATCGGTCTAAAGAAGGGACGTGCGCATACTCTCTGATCTGCTTGGTCCATTTCGTCGTGCCCATTTCGTTGGTTCACCCTACGTCTGAAGCGTACTACTCAATAAAGCTGAATCAGCTCCTCGTATCTCGACATTATCAGATACGATCTTGATCATCTGTCGTTACGAATCAGCTGGAGTATGCGATTGGCGCCGTTCTGCACGCCGACGTCCTTTGCCTTCGCGCCATTTCTCATTCTTTACATCCGCAGATACATCGCGGGGCCGGGCTGCTAGGCGCTTGTAGCGTGTAGTGGGACGAATAGTGCCGTTCCCAAGCGGCACAAGGTGTGCTCGAGCAGGAACGGGTGCTGTGCTGTCTTCAGACGTTGATTGGGGAACAAGCGGCGAGCGTGCTTGTTCAAATGATGTACAGGTAGGTAGACTCGTGCCAGATCCAGTAGCTGTCGCAAGCACAAGGTGCCGCATGAGCTCCGTGCGAATAGCTTCCGATGTCCACAGTGCATGTAACTGACTCGATGCACGCACACTAGATGAGTAGTCAATAAGTCGATCATCCTGGGGTATAGGTGACATTGGCCCTGCATACGTGCTAGCACGCCACTGCACATGGGACGGGTGAAATCCACATTCCCATAGCATGAGCGGACGGTCAGCTGCCATTTCGTACGCAGGCTTTGTTTCAATGGTAGGAAGATCATCGGGCGGCATGGGAAGCGACAGGATGCGGTTCTTGTCATGCGCATTTATGGCGGCACTGCCGGCAGTCACGCGGGCCATGGTCGAGCCTGATTCCGTGAGTGCCCCTGCCCTGTCCGCCGAGTCGATGATCGCCGGCTGTTGGACGTGGTTCGAGTCCATGCTCTCAAGCCACTGCCACACATGTAAGCGATCAGCTGCGGCAGCTCCTGTGTGAACGTTGAGAAGCTCGTCAACAATAGACGGGTCTTCTAGCCGTGCACCCACCATGAAAAGAACGGCCATAATGTGCCGCACTTGATGATACAAAAATGCTGAGCCGCGAAGGTTTAGCACATACATGGGCTCGTCGGTGCTGTGAGGATCCGGTGCTGGAATAGGCCGATCGGACCAGCCGCGACACACTGGGTCAATGCTCGCACCATCAATGCGGCGGCGGAAATTCGTGATCTGTTTCGATGCATCGACCTTGCACATATTCCGGAAATCATGCTCGCCCACGAGCCGTGCAGCGGCGTCACGCATCCGATCAAGATCCAGGCGTCCTGAGAATTGCGAAAGCGACTCGGGCTGCCACACTAGCGTGCTTGGTGCTCCTAAAGTGAAGAAATACTTGTAGTGTCGATAAACACAGTCAAAGCGCGCCGAGAAGGTCGGTCGCACTGGCGACCAAGCTTGGATCCGAATGGTCGGCGGCAACAAACGGTTCAGTGTGGCAACGTATGGCAGTTCCTCGTCACTTGTGTCTGTCAACGGTATAGCCGCTTCGCCCGTCTTGTAACGCAATGGACGTTCATCCACGCATCGACTTCGGATCCACAATGCAACCACTTGTCCTGCCGCACTTACACCTGCATCTGTGCGTCCGCACCTGCTCCAGTCCACATCGTCCATGCTCTTGGTCGCATCGACCAAGCGGGCCGTGCACAGTGCCTCCCATATTGTTTCCTCTACAGTGGGCAATGGCGTCATTTGACCCATCTGAGCGGCAAGACCCGAGTATGATCCGCCGTCATAACAGAAGCGTAGCGCAATTTTCCGACTTGGTTGGGCGGACACATCATAGTGTCGCGGCTGCTTTTTCGCTGGTGAACAAATGGACGGTTGGACTGTGGTATCTGATTCAGCATTCGTGCTCGCTACGCCCGCGGCACGCGCGTCTGCCGGCTCGGCTGGCGGCACATCGACGCCCAGCGATGCAGCTCGTCCTTCTAGCTGTGCAATGCGTCTAAGTAGCTGGTTGCGCGACCAGTCGCCATACTTCTCTCTCGCACTCATATAAGCAGGCCAATGGAGCGTAAAATGTGTGCGAGCAAACAGACAACGACGCAAGATGGGCTGCACGGCCCTAAGCGGCATGCAACAAAAACCAGTTCCAACAGAAAAAAATCTCGTCAGCGGCCACACGACCGCGACTGATGATTAGTGGAAAAACGACGAGGGGGCCCACAGGGCGCTGTTCGTCTGGACGAATCGGCCGGGCAGGTTTTGGCAGGCACCGTTTGCGGTCTCTCCACAAGCTTCAACACGACCACGCCTCCGTGCCCCATCTCTCTCCCTCGCTTACGCGCATTCAAGTCACGTGGACAAGCCACCCATATCTGTGCATCCAGTGTCGTACCTGCCCTGGCACGCTTGTAGAATACTCATGTCTTGCCACGCGTGCTGGACAGCAAAGTGGAGTGCATCTGACGTAGACGAAGGTGGATCAATGCTCTGATCCTCGTGGAAGACACGCAGTTGCTCAAGCCGCACCTGACACAGTTGCACAATCCGTTCACAGGCTGTCTTGACTCGCGGCGTAAGCGACACCGACCTGTCTGCATGCCAGTGAGCCAGATGACTGTCAAGTGGATGGATACGACTGCATATCTGATTTTCTAGGCCAAGTGCAAGGCGCCATAGTGGCCAACTCACGCGGCCAACGGCGTCCACAAATAGCGGACAGAGCTGATCGTGCCGGTTTTTTTGCGAAATCGGCGCGAAGTCGTGTGCCAAACCATCTTCGTCGGTGTATGCGGGTGCTAGACCATCGTCGCATAGATCGCGCTGCATTTGTGCAGCATATATGGGCTCGAGAGAACGGACCTGTTCAACATTATCGAGGGCAGCTGGATCACAGCCCAAGCAATTGCACAATTCCTCGCGCTCACTCGGAAGACGGATGTCCCAGCTGCAACGTTCCCAGCCACTTTTAGTATCAGATACAAACCCATACTGGCAAAGAAGCTCGGCATTCCCAAGTTCGCCGTATGAATTCAATGCTTCCTCGCCAGCGTCAAGCGGCTCTATTGTACGGATGTCGACCGTGTTGGGCGGTATGTTGCCGTTCGCACTGACGACATGACATTCGATGTGCTCATTAGACCCGCATTGCAGGCATACCTCCATATCTGACTCGACTTGTAGATTGCTTGGCGCTGCATGATTGAACATATCGGCGAGAGGCACCATACATAGACTGGGTGTTAGAGTCTGTGCTGAAAAAAAGTTGTGAGGCGGGCTAAAAGACGGGCGAGCGAAAAGAATGGGGGGAGGTTGAGACATGCAAACGACTGTGGTGGTCGGAAGAGGAATAGGACGGAAACGCAGGTTGACAGAACGCCCAACGAACAGGAAAGAGTGATACGTACCCATGGAACACGTCAATCACAAACGCGCGACTTGAGACCAATGAAAATGCACGCACGAACGCTTTCCAGCTGACTTTTGCGCCCAGCGCATCGTAAAGGATGGATTCACCTACATCGTGCCAGAACATGGCCAGCTCCGTCTTCATATGTTAGACATATCATAATGACTTCCAGATCAACGTACGTAACATGTACCAGTGTACTTGAGTCCGTGTTTGTACGCATACTCTTGGCGCTGTAGTATGCGCGAAGCTTCGGTTCCTCGCAGCCATGTCGATGCCTCAGACTTAGAGTCCCAGGCCATCGGCAGGCAAACGTCCGGAATGAGCTCCAAATAACTCGCATAAGTAGATCGAGCCCCTATTTCCTGTTCGTGCAGTACGCATAACGCCAAGCACAGCGTAGACGCGTACCTGCCAAGCGCCTGTTGGAGGGCATGCTTTTTTGCCAAGTCACTGTACCGCACGCAAAACAGCGCTGAGCATGGGATACGTGCAATGATTTCACCGGAGGGTATGGACGATTTCGCCACAACAGCATACGATCCAGGCGCGGATACCGCCATCTCTTTGTTTCCTTCATTCACGTAGATAATACGCAAGCGATCATCCCAAGAAATGTCTCGCTCATGACACCATGTCACCCACCTCTCCATTCAAAAGGATTTGTGCGAGGATGAATATATTAGCCCAGCGATCGAATTATGAGGCGCTGACACAAAACAGGCACATTTTTTGAATTCCATAAATGTATTGCCTCCACTACGTAGCATGCATAGCCCAGTCGAGTTCGCGATCTAGTCACCACAGCTGTTCAACTGCTTCGACGATCATGTCGAAAAAGACAATTTATGTCGGTACGTCTCACTATAGATTGCTCAAACATGAGGCGGACTGGATCAAAGCATGAATGAGTCGTCACTCTTGTCCATTTTCAGCACATTTGGTGACATTAGCGACGTGCAGCTCCCTCGTCAAACGGATCAAGGTGTGTGTGTGATGTTCATGCCGTTAACATGTATGTCAGTATCGAAACATCGAGGGTATGCATTCATCACTTATACGCAAGAAGAAGATGCTGAAGATGCCATGGATAATATGAACTTGAATGAACTGCATGGCGTACGTATACGGTGCAGACTATCGAGCTGACCAACATCACTCATTCAGAGGGTGATTACTGTGAACTTGGCCAAAGCCCAAAAATTTGTATCTAACGACTCTCGCAGACCTATATGGGAAACTGACGTAAGTATCCACATGCTTAACACTCGACAGGCATGGCTCCAAGAACACAATACCGCTGCTCAAGACGCCGACCCCCAGGCAGGCTGATACAAATAGTTGTGGAATGGCTGACTATGGAATGACTACTACAAACGGTGAATCGTGTCATCTTCATGGTGTGAAAGTGTCTTGGCATCAATGTGACCTGTATTCGAGTCCCTTCGATCAAGCAACTCCTGCCACCATGGGAATAGAAATGCGTTTACAATTAACTTGAACCACGGAGTAAACGCATCCGGATCCAGCTCATTCATCAGAGCCTTGAGCTCTTCTATCGAAACCCATTTCACATCACCCACTTCATTTTCATTCACATGCAGATCCACGCTCGTTGTAATAAATAGGATATAATCGACTGGTGTGTACGTTAGCCAACACGTTTGACGCAATATCACCAGAACGTACTCTCATGCTCGCCCCACAAACCATCACTAGGCGCCAGATAGTGGATACGCGTAAGAAATTGAAACGATTCAAGTGGAACACATGTCGGGGGGATGCCCAGCTCATGCTCAAGCTTGCGCTGAGCTGCCTGCTTAGCACCAGCAATACCATTCAGTTCCGCCCGGACGGCGAGCGGGTGAGAACAGCATGTATTGGTCCACATGTTTGGAAACGTGATCTTCTCTTGAGCTCTCTTTTGCAACAGAAGCTTTCCCGACAGTGGATCAAACAAGAAAACAGAAAAGGCGCGATGCAACAGGCCTTCCCGGATGTTCGTCATCAAATGGCACTCTTTTTTGCTTCCGTCGCGCACGAACCTATCCTCGATGTCCGTCACAATGCAGCGCTCTTCCATCAGACGGATCTGTTCCTCATCGTATCCGGCGAGAGATGCATCTCTTTGCACAGATGATGCAGCTTCCGTCGATGTCATGACGCTCGCTAACGTGATTCAAGCAACAGGTGGTTCGAAAATCCGGATCATGCACGTCTCGACAGACCCGTCACGTGACACGCCATACGCGTCGAGTCAAAGAGTGAGGTAGTACGAGGGAGGAACAAGTCGTCGAAGCGAACCAATTCATTGTTACTTGCGTACCAGCTTTCACATCATGGCGGACGCAGCACTTGCACACAACTGGGTATGTACGCGCCATGCGGTGCTCGATGGTTCTGACCCGCCCTAGGCAAATCCACCAAGCCGCCCTGCACACATCGAAAAGCTTGTATCTGATGTCGGTACGTCTTTGCGTGTATCCCGCTTGACTCATGCCACATTTTCTCATGCCAGACCGATACAGCCCACAAAGCCGTGATATCTTGCTTCAGTATCTGGAAAATCAGCTTGAAAATGGAACCAATGATATCCTGGCAAACTTGGCCATCTTGAAATTGTACGTATGACATTATCATGGCAACAGGCATGCACGAGGATGACATGGCGTTTCGGCCAACAAAATATCATTGAAGGCCCGTGGAACCGAGACCCACGAGCAAAATGATTTTAGAAGTTATTAGCTCTACCTGAGTGCATGCCTTACAGCCACTATGCGAACATCATTCTTCCTTGGCACTGTGCGCAGCCTTACTAACTTCCGCGCAGATTCCAGTTGAACCCTAGCGACTTCTCTCTTGATACAGCCGTGCTAATCCTTATCAAAGCGCTTACAGCCACACCGTTCCCCGACTTCCACTTATGCATCTCGCTGCTTGGGGAGGCCCCCGTTCGCACCCTTTCGATCCACGACACAACACAGGCATCAACTGGAAAAATCACCGAGCCGATCATTGTGCGCCTTTCGACGCTGTCAGAACTTCTCTTCCAGACAAAGTTTGTCCAGTTCTGGAACTTGTACAGCAGTGACGAGTACAAGGACGTTCGATCCTACACAAGCAAAGTCGCTCACTTTGAGGATGACATTCGGAAGGTGGCGTTGTACAGCGTGAAAGGTGCATTCCGAACGATTTCCGAGTCGCGGCTTAGTGGTTATCTACATTTGGAGGGAGAAGCCCTTGCACGCTTCATTGAAAACCAACGTGAGGAGGGATGGTCACTTGCGAATGGCACTGTAGCAGTGCCACCAAATCCCGACAACGAGGTCAAGTCCACGGTGGTCCGCGAGGAAGTATCTCTTGAAAGTACGTGTTAACACTCCCTCGTGCGCATGGCACTCACGCTACAGATCTCTCCAAGCTTCTCGCGCAGGCTTAGGATGCCGGCGTCGTATTTAATAAAGTTTCTTCTGCACAATCCATCCAAACTCCATGTGTGTGTATATCCCAGTATGGTTACATAGTCACAGTCGGCTTCGTCCATACACCCAGGCATTCTAATGCTACCTCATCCGGCAGCGATAAAGCAGAATGAAGTAAGGCGGTAGGTGCGTCGGACAACCTGGGGTATCTCTTCATATCGTCGCCATGCGGTCCTGCACATTGCTGTAGCTCAAACACCAACCAACAATACGACCTTGTCTCGTCATCAACATGCGGCACATGTGCATACACAGAACCATGGAGCATCCACGGCGGAAAGTTGGTCTGTTGAATTGCCGATACCCACAATTCACGCTGCGCAATCGGAATGCGCACTCGATAAGCTGCGTGCGTTGTGTTCCCCGGGCATTCACGAGATATCCGATATGTGGCCAGTGTATGTGCCACCGTACGATCATGCTCTCGGTTCGTGACCACGAGAAAGCGAGTAAAGTTGGCTGTATAGTTAGTTTCCACTACGCTACATTATCTTTGTACATACCGTTGGATTTTTGGATGTTTCGGGCAATCACCTGCATTCCAAACATCTCAGCACACAGCTCTGAAGCTACGGCTGCTACACGTCCTGCAGGCGCTTGCCTCAGGTACGACACAGCCTCCGCAGTGGAGTTTGAAAAGAATCTTTGAGCCTGGGGCACATGTTGGTTTAAGAACTCTGAGCATTGACCTAGTGCCTGTTCGTGGCTGCGGACTTGCTCGATGCGCGAAAGTGGATTCGAGACTGACGAGTCAAGTGCTCGGATAATAAGCGCATGTGCTACTGTCAAATCCACCTCATCAACGATGCTAAGCCCATTTGCAAAAAAAAGATTGGGGTCGGACAAACATTGAAGCGCTTCTTGTACAATGCCCAATGTACTATTTTCTACTGGCACCATCACTACGACTGGACGGCCCAAGCGCGCATCTTCGGCGCCTTTCGTCACAGCCTCCTGGATGGATCGACAAGCAACCAAGTCTGCTGGCTCATTTTGCACAAACTTGCGCACAGCCTGATGAGAATAGGTACCAAGTGGTCCCAGAAACAAGACTTTTATTTGCTGAGAGGGGATTGTCTCTGGCTTCATGTCAACATGTACTAGCGATGGATCACCTGGGGTGGAGGGCTCTAGCGACTCCAATTATGCGTGCCAAGCTTTGGCACCGCGCGTCCTTCACCTCGCGTGTGGATAAACAGACCTTTGATTGGCTTATTTGCCGGGGCTATAGGTGTCGAAGCCGAATCCGCGTCTTTGTGCAAGGGGTATATCGACTGAAAAACGCCCCGACCCTGCATCTGCTTGCTGCAAAGTCAAATGCAGCCCTGCGGGTTTTCACGACAATTGGAAAGGAGTTATAAAGAAAGCGCATTCTCTTGATATCATTTTTAACGGCCGCACCAACAGACCTTTTGCTTGTTTAAAGCCATGCAGCTGTCAATCCAAGCCATTATCGGCTTTGTTGTAGCCGCTGGCCTTGCTGTGGCCAGTGAGCTCCCCAGTCCTATGACTGTTAACCTTGAGCGTCGCAAGATGCTGGTAACCAAGAATGACACTGTTGACTTTAAAGCCGTAAGGAAGCAAGCCAATGCATTGAACTATAAGTACGACAAGCTGCTGAGGAACTTTAGGAAGAACACTGGTAGGGACCATCCACTTCTTCATCTGCTCCTCGATTTGATCGACAAGCGCGATGGCAAAGGTGATGTTGATCTGGATGATATTGGAGAGGGGCAGCTGTGGGCTGGCGACGTCCAATTTGGACAATCAAAATTCAAGATCGACTTTGATACTGGCTCCGCCGACACTCTCGTGAATCCCTTCGTGTATTTCCCACACCGATCCAAGTCTTCGAGAAAGACTCATCACACGTTCAGCACAGCTTATGGTGATGGCACTACCGCTTCTGGTTTTATCTATACAGACGACCTTAAGATTGGTGGCTACAAAGCCAAGGATGTGGCTATTGGTCTCTCAGTAACCAAATTCATTAACGATGAAGACAACCAGGGCATTGCTGGCATGTCATTCCCTGCTGTTCAAAGTTTTCCGAAAAAATTTGATCCTTTCTTTGTTGCCTTGGTAAAGCAAAAAGTGGTTCCAGAGCCAGTTTTTCAGTTTACTCTAAAGCGTGGCTCAGGCTCAACGCTCCATTTGGGTGGAATTGACAATTCCAGGTTCCAGGGCGAACTTTCTTACGTTGATGTCAACCCAGAAGATGGTTTCTGGATTTCAGAGGGTAAAGTGAACGGCAAGAAGATTGATGCGTGCATTGACACCGGTTCATCGATCATTTTTGGCCCAATTGACGAAGTCCGTGAGGTTATAACTAAGATGGACGGCGTGACACCTTTTACCGCGGGAGGAGCTTTGCACGGCGCATTCGATTGCTCCAAACCTCCCAAATTGGATTTCGAATTTGCTGGCCAGAAGTTCAACCTGGGTGAGAATCAAGTATCGTTCGGAAAGTACCAGGGTCAGTGTGTTTTGAGCATCATGGGACAGAAAAACCTTCCTATGAATGCCTGGGTTGTTGGTGACTCTTTTCTGCAAACTGCCTCAGTTGTTTTTGATATGGGCAAGAACCGCATGGGTTTCGCCCCCAGTTCCAATTAAAGTGGAACATTTTCAATTTCTTTTGTCGTACGCTGTATGGATCGTTCTCTTTTTATGGCAGGCAAGGCTGGCTGTTGGCGCATGGCTTGACGCCATTACTGTGAATAAGAAAGCGAATGGCCTGGCGCGTGTAGTTTATGTCCTTTTTTTCGCGAATACGCCTATGGTATTTCCGTTCTTTTGTTGAATGTCATTGCCATATGCCTATATAGTTTATTGTATTTACTTTGTGAAAAGATTCGAGTTGGATGCCATGGAGTTTGCTCGCTTTAAAACGTACGGTAGCAGGATCCCTTGCACGTTGGCAGTAGTCCAAGTCTGAACCCAGTACATACCCAGGATCTTGATACTCCATCACAAAGTGCACACTGACCGACCCGTCTGGTTGAGTTGGTGCCCCCATTGCCCTGTCAGTCAGTCTGGGTGACACCGCGTGCTAATCTGCTGCCGAGATGGAATTATGCAGGCGCTCTGTCCCTCCTGCATGCAACGCCTATGCACAGCCTTTTGGCCACTCGAAGTCGCATGTTTCCACGCATGAATATGACTGACTGAGAACGAGTGGACCAGATGCACCTAAACAAGCTAACGCAACTGTGGGCTTCATTTACCAAAATTCCGCGTTAGGAAAGATAAAATGAGAAAGTGAAGCCGAGCTCATGCAATAAACCACACATTTTTATGTTTCATCTGACAACTCATGAGTGTGTAAAAGAGTTGTGTCTTGTGTCTTGACAAGCCTCATCATGTAAAGGAACCTTGTCGGGTCTCGTTTTTGGTATCATTCAAGAACGCGTGCTATGCGATCACACAACCATTGAACGAATCGTTTCTTTCGTAGCCACCAGATAAGAAATGCGGCACATGTGAATGTAACTAGGAATTGGCGTTGTGAATGCCACATATTCAGACATAGTATATAACGCGCCGACTCAGCGAAGGTCTATGGATTTCCTTCCACACGATTACTGCGCAGCAAGGCTTGCGAGAGCGCATTGTTGACGGGAATTCCTCGACGTTGCGATTTCAATACATCGCTGATTAGGAAGGCAATGTCGAGAGACTGCTCGTAGTTCAATCGTGGGTCACAGTGCGTCAAGTAGCAGCGCTTTAAATCTTCGTCAGATAATTCCATACTACCGCCCATACATTCCGTCACACCCTCATCGCCAGTCAGTTCAAGGTGTACACCCCCCATCACTGAGCCTAAAGATGCGTGGATTTGCAGGCAGCTTGTCAATTCGGAGACAACCGCACTGAACATGCGCGTTTTGAGTTTCGGGTCTGACGGTGATGTGACTGTATTACCATGCATTGGATCACAACACCAGATAACAGCCTTTGCATGCTTTGAATTCTGCACAGCTTTTATATGTTCTGGCAGCAAGTCTTTGACCTTGGACTCGCCGTAACGAGTGATGAGCGTCACATGTCCCTTTTGGACATGAGGATTCACCGTGTCCAAAAGCGTGATAAGTTCTTCTGGCTTCATGCTAGGTCCCACTTTAACTCCAATTGGGTTGCGGACGTGTCTCGCAAATTCGACGTGCGCCCCGTCGGGCTGGCGTGTTCGATCGCCAAGCCACACCGTGTGCGCGCTGAGATCATAGCTGCCTTGGGGAGTATCGCGCGTCAGTGCGTGTTCGAATTCGAGGATGAGACTTTCGTGTGATGTAAAGAAGTCCACGGTGTTAAGCACGTTTGAATCGCCCGTGGGATCAGCACCGACTGTCTTCATAAAGTCGAGGGCATCGGAAATGGCGTCTGCAATACGCTCGAATTCTTGTTGCAGCGACTTTGACTGAACGTGATGGAAACGCCAAGTTCCTGGCGTGTGCAGATCAGCTATACCACTAGCTAGGCAGCCACGTGTATAGTTGAGCGTTGCAGCTGCGTGAAAATAGGCCGACAGCAAGCGCTCTGGGTCCGGGCTCCGATGGTCGACTTCAGCTGAGTTCACGACATCTCCGCGAAATGAAAGAACCTCTTTAGTCTCGCCACTGGGAAGAGTGATGGTCTCGTATGGTTTGCTGCGTGGTTTGGCATACTGGCCTGCCATGCGCCCAACGCGAACCACGGGCAGGCGCGCACCATAGATGATGATTAGCGACATGAGAAGTATCAATTTAATTTTCGCTTCAATCTGATTCGCATTGCAATATGAAAACAGCTCCGCACAGTCGCCGCATTGGAGTAGGAACGCTTTGCCATCAGCAACACGAGCAAGTTGTTCGTGGAGCCGGTCGATTTCCGCAGGTGTGACAAGTCCCGGGAGACTACTCAGCTGCTTTGTCACGTTTTCGAGCTGCTTTGGATCATCGTACGGTACGTCCTGCGCAATCGATTTGCTGCGCCATGAGTCAGACGGCATGTTTCAGTGCGATATACGTTTCCAGGCGACCTTCCAACGCTCCGCAAAGGATGAATGTCGGGTGGAGGCCAGGTGGAATACCCTGCCCCCTTCCCATTTGGACATACGTTTCGCCTAAAGATGTGGGTTTCGATAATCGGAATTGAGCTAGCGCATCTGTTTCGCTCCCCAGACCCTATGTGAAGTAACACATAAACCAACAACAGAGTCATTTCCTTGTATGTGAACCACGCATACAATCTTGAATGTTCTCCCTTCCCACCTCGCCTACCCTCCCGCATAAAGCATGTGTTATGATACAAGACTGTTTCCTTTCCAAGGGACGGCATAGAGCCAGTAAACAACACTGCTAGTAAAGATTACACGCGTTTACCTGGAGTAGAGTATGTACATTTATGCGTACAAGCTACGGGGGACTTGGACGTTCAAGAATGACATGCGTGCTTCTCAAATCATAGCATTAGTATAAATATGGACACTGAATGATACATTGTTTGTTTGAAGGTTTCTTTAATCTTTGCGCCTTGATGAGGCTGGGTCTACTTGAAAGACGGACATGTTCAATTGTCAGGCAAAATGGTGGGGTCTGAAGAGGTCCGTGCAGGAGGCAAAATCGGACCCAATTTTGCCTCCTCAAAGTTTTGTAAGAGTGGATCTCAATTTGAAGCTTGCACTATGACTGAGGTGGTATACTCATACCTGTCTTCCGGTCCATCTTCATCAAGATATACTAGGAAAATACACTCCGTACATTACAGCAAAAGATCGACACATGAAGTGCTATTGGCACAAATTTTGAACCTTGGTCTGTATAGGTTTTTTTTTTTTTTATTTTTTTCGCATTCTTCGTACCACAGTCGTTCTCTGACTCAAAAAGAGAGATCTTTGATATACTAACGGCGAATCATGCATGCGCTACCCATGTAAAACATCCGATTTCCTTGCATAATGTGAGTGCGTTCAAGTCAGGACGACTTGTGATGCCATTGGACAAGCAGTGTATGGGTCGATCTCATCGGGACCCTGTACAAATTTTACCATGGCAGATTGTCTAATAGGATCACGATCACAGGATGGGATATGCTCAGCTGGATCGTACCACGTATCTAGTCGTAAGACGTATTGTTTATGAGAGCATGTGACATTGACTAGATGCCAGATGACAATGCTCATGGGGCAAGGGACTACATGATCCGGGGCAGTCAGAAGCGAGTCTCATGTGCGGTCCGACAAAGAATTTTACTTGAGGCGCTCTCGTACTATATCATTTTTATCCATCATGTGGCGGTAAACGGCAACATTCTGGCCGCGTTGCCTTCCGTGTAATGATGGCCAAGGTCGATGAAGGTGTGGAGGGAACAAGAACCCAACATCGCACACCGCATCCTGACTGCTTGCCGCCGGGGGGGGATAGGAATATCAGGAGTGAGGCAAGTCGCACATGATGAATAGTAGTGCAGCGCCCCTCTCATTGGATGAGTGGTACGTGCAGTATGCCCCACTGTCCGATACCCAACGGATGTCTGTGAGCCGGTTAAGTGCATGGGTGTCTGCAGATGAGCCTGGCGCGCCCACAGAGGCCACACAGGCGATAGATGAGAGCGAGGGCGAGCAGGATGGACTGAACTTGAACTTTTCGTGCTGGTTGCATTCCGTGACAAAGAAACATGAAGATGCTTCGCGCACCACGTTCGCGAACGAACTTGGCATGTTGCGCACAAGCATGAACGAAATTGACGAACGACTAGACGACGTGCATCGTGCCCAAGAACGTATTGTGCAACTGCGCACTGGTCTAGAATATGTGCAGGAGAGTTCGTCTGAACTGATGCATCATGCAAGTGCGCTGCTGAACGAGCAGGTAGATCTGGAGAGCTTGCATGAGCAAATCATGCTTCGCCTTCAGTACTTCTCTGTCTTGCCACAAGTAACGGCGATTTTATCCGAGACAGACGCACACGTTGAGACTGCAGAGTTCCTGTCCACCATTGAACGGCTCTGTGTTGCGCTGCAATTTATGGAGTGCCATCCACGATACAAGGATACTCAGGTGTTCCGCATCCGCATCGAAAATGCTCTGCAACGTGCGATGTCACTCGTGAAGCAGGCATTCCAGCGTGAAGGCAATGTGTGTATGAGCGAGGCTCATTCACAGGTACAGGCTCTCGCCAAGGAAGCATTGGATGCAGGAACACACACATCCATGAATCCCACTGCTCCGTCTATGCATCAGGCTATCTATGCAAGCTTTGCATCGCTGCAGCCAAAGTTCCAAGCCTTCTTTGAGCATCTTCGACAGCTTGCGAACCAAAAGGCCGAATTTCGCGATATTCAGCATGAATTTGATTCTATTTGGATACGCTGGCGCACATCACTAATCCACGACGCGTATGCGATGTGCTTGAACGCATTTTGTGATAATGTGCCTCTTGAGCAGCAGCTGAGGCATGCCACATACAGCGCGCATGAGTACTATGAGCATGAGATGCAATTGTTCCTGCATGTGAATGCCCGAACGCCTGACAATGCGGAGCCTGTGAAACGCATCTCGCAAACAGTCGGAGAGCAGCTGCAGGCCTGGCTTTCTCAGCGCATCGAAACGACACCATTGAACGTTCTGTCCGAGATCTGTACGATAGTCGTCAGCTATGGCGGGCGAGGCTTGGTGTGAGCCCGTGCTACGTGACTTGAGCACGCGCATGGAAAAAAGTGCCACCATGCTGCTTAAGACAGACGTCATTGGCTATTCTCCGTCAACAAACGATCTGGACGCCTCCGCCATTCGTGCGCAGACGACGATGACGACGACCGACGACAACAACAGATACGCTTACTACGTTTGCTGCAGCGCAGCAGCCAAGAACCGATGCTTATGCGACTTGGTACGCCCCGGTGCGTACCGTGTACGATATCTTGCACATCTTGCATACCCGTGTGCCAGCGCACAACTTTGTGCACATCACACTCAAGTGCATCGAGGCATGTGAAGCACAAGTACGTGATGCATCCAAGAGTATGCAAGATGGAAAATTTGGTGGCGATGACGGCGATGCAGCGGATGCGCTGCTATTTAGCTGGCGTCACTATCGTGTGCTTCGAGAACTTTTGCACTTGGCGGAGAAGCAGCTCAGCTCGGATAGGAGCGGCGGTCAAGTGATCAGTGCATCGCATGCAGCGATGCAGTCGCTGTGGACTGTGACGGGTCTTATGAGTGCATCGGACGACCAACAAGCTTTGCGTACAATGCGGGAACATCTTGACACACTCATCGAACACACTGTCACAGAGGTGGGGGCATTCATGGCCGCGAGTCTCGCCCTGCCACTGCAGATCTACGAACGGCAATCTATCAAGACACCTAGCAGAGCGTTTGCCGCATGGGAAACATTTCAGCAGAGTTTGGATGTGAATCTCGACGCGGAGAAGCGCAAGATCCAGGCCTATGTACATGCAGACGATGTGCCGATTCTCGTGCAGGCCATTCTGGCGCCGCTTCGAGCTACCTACGAGACATTTCTTTCGAGTCTCACGCATCTGTCAGCCACCGATGCGAACGACCTTGTCACCGCGCAGAAACTACGAACTCTGCAGCGGACAGATGAATTACAAGTGCAGCTCGCTCAGCGATTTGCGTCGACGTAGTTATGTACATGCATGTTCTTCCTTGACAATGGACGGTTTCTTGTGCGGCGGCGGATTGGTCGCCGATGACGATGGGCTCGGCTCTACCATGGGTGGTGGTGACGTGGCCTTGCGCTTGCGTTGCGCATCAAGATCTGCGTCGGCGTCTCCAGCGACGTCTCCAGCGACGTCACAGTGTGCATTCTGCTCCGCCTTCCCTGGCGACGATGGCGCGTGAATGGCTGCGGTTGCCGACAGAGCCGTAGCAGCTGATGCAGCAGTTGCAGCCAAACGAGTAGCACTGACAACATCTGACATGCTTTTTGCTGAATAGTAGCAGCTAGCGTGGTAATACTCGCCATCTATAAGCACAGCATTCCGCCAGATCCACTCCTCCACCTCTTCACTCCATTCACTCTGAAATGGCTCTTTGCAGATCCGACACGGCCGCGATGCTAGCTCTGAGCCGTGGGGCACAATTACGAACGCATGAGCCATTTTCTCTCGTAACGCTTTTTCAGCTGCTGGGTCGTCCAGGTCCCATTGATGCGCATCTTTCGATGTGGGCATCACATCGTCAAATCCACTACGCACCCATCGTACGGCCGGATCCAGCCACGCACGGCTTTGCCCACGCGCGAGCGTTGCTCGGGCTCGGCGGTTATTCGTGAAGTGCCAGTCCAAATGGTCATCAAGGCTGTGCTTACCAGCCTCACCTCCTGGGTATCGGTTAGCGCACTGCCGACATGGGTGGGGTAAATGCTCTTGCAAGAGGATTTCCAGCTCCGGCGCGGGTTTCGAAAGGTCAGCCGTAACCATACTCAGATCAAGTGACATGATATAATCGGTATAAGCCTTGTCTTGACTTGGCGTAGAACCAGCACCAACGGCGGAAGGCTCGGAGGTTGCAGGTACTTGTGCGGCAGACGACGATGGAAGCAAGCCCACTTTCATCAAATTTGCGATAAGCTCAGACGCGGAGGCCGGCGCAGCGCTCGACAACGACGCCGAGGCGCTTGCGATCCCAGATGCGGGTCCGCCAGCTCCCACTACTGGCGTTATACTTGCCAATGGGGCAGGGCCCAAGGGAGAGGCCAATGCGGGAGATGCAGTTTCTAATGATGCAGTCTGGGGCAACACGTACGACGAAGTCGCCGCAGTTGTCGAGCCAACAGAAGTGGACGACGACGACGACGACGACGACATCTCATCCAGTTGCTTCTGAACATCTGCTAGTAATTCCGCCGAGGGATCCGTATTGACGACCTGGTCCTTGAGCTCACGCAACAGGTCAACTGTTCCTGCGCAACTGTGCTGCTTGGCTGGTGAGATAAGTTCTTCGTGCTAAGAGCCATAAGCCGCTCAATATTCGCAATGACCTGAGCCTTGCTTGGACCGACCGAGGATTTGACCGGCGCACTCTGACTTCCGTACAAGGACCGCTCAATCGTCTGCTGCGTCGTATCGCCAAGCATGGGCCGACCGCCAGGGCCGGCATCTCGCCATGTCGCCAAGAGCTCTTCCATACGCCTCCGCGTCGGCTGATCCACAATCCGATACGACTCCATAAACAGCACTGCAGCCCGAGGGGCCCACAACTCTGTATAGGGAGATCCAACGTTCTTGCAGATCGAGTCCATCAGATACAATGCTGGCAATCGATGTGGCGGCGGTGCCTAAAGAGTGAGTCACTATGTACACAATAATATACACCCACACCCTCAGAGAGAAACGAGAACGTACCATCATAATGTGAGCATCCACGAGCTTGGCAACTATTGTAGACATGCGATGCACATGCTCTTGCGCAATAAGGGTCAGATTCGTAATGATAGGCTTGGAGTTGAATGTGAGCTGTGCTAGCTGACCTCTGTACATCGACTCAAATACAGCAGGATTCGATAATTCCTGCTGCACTGGCGGGACACCGTATATACCAGCGGATGCATGGGATGGTGGCAGCGACGCATAGGCTGGATAGCCATACATACCAGCTGCACCGTACGCGCTACCATACGCACCAATGTAACCATAATTGTCAGGCCGCACTTGGCCATAAGCATACGATTGGGGGTACATGTGAAGAACAAACGATGAATTCTTTTTTCTTTTCGTGAATACGCAACTGCCCAGCTACTTTATTTCAGGTGCTCTCCCCTTACTCTCGATGAATCAAATCTAGCACTTGGGTGGCTGAGCTCAACCCCACGACAGAACGGAAACGGGGTGATTGAACCAAAGAAGCAAGGTGGAATGAGCCGCCGTACTGGCCGCTCACTTGAAAGGGTCCGATCGATAGCCTGACGTCCGCGTGACCAGCACAATGGCGTCGAGTGTATATATCTCTCGTGTCGGACCGACGGTCCTACACGCACTTTTGAGGCTTTCTTCCACGCGAACGCCCCCACCCGATCCATTCGGCCGCCCGCGGCCGCCCGGTTTCGCCAGCCGTGGCCACTCTCCACCAGCTGGTGAGCACTCGCGCGTGGCACAGCCGGGAGAAACTCACCCCTTGCCTCCGTGCTTCACAACCGATCACCACTCCATGTGGCATACACGTGTCCACAAAACTATGAAAAGTCACGTGCAACATTGACGGATGGTCGCAGTCAACCCAGGTTTCTGATGTAGGAGCCATCCAGTACTTTCTCCTACCCATCTCGGCGGCCTGTTCCAGGTGTGTACGGCAGCATGACGCGCGCCAGCGTGTGAACATAACATATTAACCCAGGAGACAGAGTTATCTGCGATGCTTACAATCTACAAGGACTTGGATCTCGAGATCCCCGAGAACGTGACGGTTGAGCTCCAGTCTCGTATCGTGAAGGTCAAAGGCCCTCGCGGTGAGCTTGTCAAGGTATGTGGGTTGGATCAGATGTCATTGTCGTTGGATAGGCTCTAACACACTTTCCCAGAACTTCCGTCACATGGCCATGGACTTCCGTCTTGTTAAGGGCCCGAAGGGCTCCAAGCTCAAGTTCATTGTCTGGCACGCCGGCCGCAAGCACCTTGCTTGTCTTCGTACCGCCAAGGCAGCAGTTGTCAACATGTTCAAGGGTGTGACGGTTGGCTTCCAGTACAAGATGCGTGCAGTGTACGCACACTTCCCCATCAACCTGATCATCGCTGGCGACAGCCGCAGCGTCGAGATTCGCAACTTCTTGGGTGAGAAGCGCGTTCGGAAGGTTCAGATGGCCGAGGGTGTCACGATCAAGGACGATAAGGCGCAGAAGGACCAGGTCCTTGTTGAGGGTGTAAGTGTTTGACATATGCTTTATTGTTTGTTGTTTTGGCCCGATGACTGACGCTCACAGAATGACATTAATGCCGTCTCGCAAAGCGCTGCCATGCTTCACGGCGTGACGCTTGTTCGGGACAAGGATATCCGTAAGTTGTACGTATACGAATCCTTTGCATCGCCACCATGCACAAAATCATTTGGTACAGAATACTGACGTTTCGCTTAGCCTCGACGGTATCTACTGCACTGCCAAGACGTCGATTGAGCAGGTGGAAGCATAAGTGCTATTCACCACCCCAAAAATGCCCCCTGTGTAGAGAGAGGGTCTCGTATGACGACACACTGTATACAGGAATGTATCCTTGTTCACCATCCGCCATAATATTGTTACGTCCGCGTATGAAGAGAGTGTGTGATCTGCCTACATTTTTTCCTATGGGGGAGGTAGGTGGGTTGTACGTGAGATTCACAGTAGGACTTTTACATAGAGCGGCGTGTGGTCCGGATTGTTTCATCTTGAACGAACAGTAAAGTTGGAGTCGTTGGTATAGCTATCGAATGGACTTATTTCGCTCAATAGTGACAGCATCTTGAGAGCAGGCTCTTGCATGTGTTACGTGAAAGAAACAAATTTTCTTGCTGTGTACTAGCCTTGACACAGATGCTCACTCATCGTTTACCGACCGCGTTCTCTGGTGTCTTACACACTTTGAACCAAGCTCCCAGATCATGGAGCTCAGTCGTCCATTGCGCAAGTCTTCATCTTGCTTCAATGTCCTGCATGGACCTGCATCTATGAAGGCCTCTCTCAGATGGGATTTTTGTATCAAATATATGGATACATCCTGCTAACTAGGCAGTGACATATAGGAAGAGCTTATACAATGCGATCGTATAGGAACGTTATCCATCCTCTTCACCGATCCACACATCATGTTACTCAGTCTATTCGACTTCCCAAGAATTTTGTGCTCATCATACACATGCAAGCTGCTATCATGACAAGCATATCAAAGACCTTTTTGTGCCATATCACAACGCATGTACAAAGATTAAGCAGAGGCAGGCGTAGCCGTACCCGTGCGGAATCCGTTCTTTGCGCGACGTGGCAGAGTCTTCAGGTAACGCATACGGCCCGAGCCAGTGGTCTTCCGACGGATAGCCTTCTTGCCCCACTGGTAGTTACGCGTCTTGGCTGATGGATAGCCACAGCTGGCACAGGCTGCGAGTGTCAGAATGCAACAAGATACTTCGTCTTCAACGTACTCTTGTGCTGACGGTGGAATGCACGACGGTTGCAACGACGACAGATCGTGTGCGTCTTTGTGCTTGATTAAGTTAGTATGGATTCAATAACATAGACATGACATGCGGGAACATTCGCAAGATCGAAATGACCTCAAAGAAGCATTGACACGAGTGTCTATCGGCAGATGGCTCACGCAGCACGACAATACACCCGCACCCACAAATCATGTTTCCTGATATACATACTGTTGGCGCTTACCCATAGACGTCGTACCCTTCGTCATCTAAAGCAAGCGTTAGCACATGCATAAAAAGGGCGCGCAGAATAGATCGCTCATGGCCTCGCCTGTAGCCATCTTGAATACATCAAGCCGGCGATCTAGCATTACACACATACCTTCGGTTATTGACACTGGATGGTGAGGAACAGAAGCGGGTGCCAGTCGGCAGGCTTCTCGTCGCCAGCGTGCGTGATCGCGAGTTAGAACTATACGAATCACGTGCTCCTATTTGGAGAGACCCTCGGCCGAGTAAGTCGCTAGAGGGCCGTTCGTCAGACAGGATGGGTTAATTCTGAGTAGGCAGAGCGTTAGTTGGTCTCTTCCATTCGTCAAGCCACGAACAGCTTGTACGTATCGTTGTTAAAAGTAGCGCAAACACGGTCAACATTCCGATGACATGGTGTCGTGTCCGTGTGCTGCGTTTATTCTTATGGTTTCGAAATAACTAACCTTATGCAGATCATGGCTCCTCAGACAAAGACGAAGAAGTCCAGTCAGGACAACATCAACTCGAAGCTTCAGCTCGTGATGAAGTCTGGTAAGGTTTCTCTTGGTCTGAAGAGTGCCTTGAAGAACATGCGTAGCGGTAAGGCCAAGCTTATCGTAATCTCTGCCAACACGCCTCCGCTGCGCAAGTCGGAGATCGAGTACTACGCTATGCTGTCGAAGACGGGTGTCCACCACTACCAGGGCTCCAATATTGCCCTCGGTACCGCCGCGGGTAAGCTTTTCCGGGTTGGGTATGTATCTGAGTTTGTGTAGCCGTCATGACCGTGAGTTGGCTCACTGGTCGTTCTGTTCGTGTTTACCGAACAAACTCCTTTGTGCCAATTACGGGCTAGGTTGCTGTGCCTTGATAAAAGATCATGTACTAACAGTGACAGTGTTCTCACAGTCCTGGACGCTGGTGACAGTGACCTGCTGTCTTCTGCGTCGGCATAAAAGGGTGCGCATATGATTTTTTTCCCGCCCCATGTGTTCAAATCCGTACATGGCAGGTTGTTGTACCCGAGATTGGCAAGGGCAGTTGGGTCTGCTGTTGTCATGTGCGTATTTGGTTTGCTATTTCCTGTACCCCATCCACAGTTTAGAGGTTTAGACGCTCGAGACTGTAACTCGGAATATACTTATGAGTGCCAAGCGTTTAGTAGGTGTGCTTGGATTTGCTTTACGGATAAGAGTATGGTTCGCGTAGTTTTCTTCGGCCCAATCGTCATCGAGGTATCGCTCGATGATTCGTTGGGCTACATGTCAGGATATCTCCTAGCACATTGAGCAAGATTAGCCTGGCGTGGTTTGGCTTAGACACGCAAGCCGCATGGCGAGACCACGAGTATATTCGATTCATGCTTTTCATGAGCGTGTGGTAGGGTTACAAGAATTTGTCGTATCTATCATTAAATTGCCTCTATACAGTACGAATTGACTCGATCATGTAAAGAAAAAAAAGCTAGACCGTCTTTTCGGACATGATAGCATCCATATCCATTCGTGCAGCAGACTTCGTGTGCTTGGCGACAGGTCGTAATTGCGCCAATGACATCCAGGACGGGTTAGCACTGGATCCTTTATCATTCGAAGTGGTATGAATTGGTCGATTTGTCGACGAGGCATTCATCTGAGGTAAACGCGCCGAATGGACGGAAGCCTTTACACCAGCAATTGTTGGGTCTTGAGCTGTGTGCAATGAAAGGGGAGTCAGGGGCATACTGTCGTCATCGTCGTCATCTCGATTTATAGAGCGAGACGGGGTAGAGAAAATCGAAGCAGCCGAATCGACCGACTGCTGCGATTCAATGTCATCATCACTGGAGCACAGTTCCATATGCGGAGTGCTGGTCGTCATTTCCATAGCTTTCTTCATCTCAATATGTTTTCGGAACCATTCCACAACTATACTCGATGCTTCAGTATAGTACGAATAGGAATACTTTTTAATGAGAATCATGGACAGATCATTCAGGTTCTCGACGATGTGATTGTGAATCTGACCCATGACAGCAGAGGCTGCTGCTCCAAGTTGATGGGGATGTGGTCTCGGATCGCGGCAAATATGGCGTGCCAGCATCATGGCACCGGCTGCTAAAGCGGACGGCACCACTGTCAAGAAACTCTCGTGAAACAGGGTCACTTCCAATAGGAAACGCGCGACATTGTGTGTAGAAGGGTTCGATGGAGGCGCACAGGAGTATTCGTATCGTAGCCAAGCTTCTGCAGTCGGGTGTCCTAACTGCCAAGCTAGTGTTGAGAGAACATGCCCTTCCATCTGAGTGAACGCGCTGGGATCATAAGCATTGCAGCACATTTGACTCAGTTCTTGAACCGTTGGGACACGATCTTTAGCATCTTCGAATTTGGCCGCAATTAAAAGAGCTGCACAGCCAACCAACTGATAGTGGCGTTTGTATACAATACGCTTCGAGACATAACGATCAACCAAATTCATCGTGAGGTATAGGGTTTCAGGGCGAAGGCGGAAAGACTGATGAATCTCAATCAAAAAATCAACAAGGTAGGGTCGCATGAACCAGTGCAATTCTGGCTGGACGTTCATAAGCTCGACATTTGCCATCGTTTGTTTCTCCATGACGTGCATATATTCCAAATTCTCTTGCTGGTACTCAATTTCAAAAAGAATGTTATTAGATGGCAGCTGCAAGCGCATTTTCTTGGCATCCGTGCTACTCTTCGCGTGTGTGTAATTAGCAGCATTGTAAGGCACAAATGTCGAGTACCGATGACGTGGCCTGCTCGTCGTAGATGGAACCGCTGTGGCAGGAGGCATAGATACGGTTGTCGAAGATGAAGTGTCAACTGGCATTGTCGACGACCGCTTTGAGGCACTCGTGACAGTCGAAGCAGGGCCCGTGCTCTGGTTATTTCCTAGAGGCCAACCATAAAAGCTGTGTCTATTCGATTGCGAGTACAATTTCGACAGTCCTGCCAATGTTTGAGACATGTTGATATGATGCACACGCAACGCGAATGGTACCAAGAGTCTCTAGACCGTTGAGAGAGAGAGAATATAGTAGGTAACGGTATGGTCTAGGAATAATGAGAACCAGACGAGAAGGGCTAAGTCGCTGCTAGAATCAAGTCTGTCTCGTTATATTGCCTTAGGAGCGACCGAATAGAGGACGAAAGGCTTTACCTGTGCGCCTTGCCGCTTTCCTGTAAGGACAGGGCCAACACGACTGGATTCAAGAATGCGGAGGCTTAGGCGTGCAACAACGGCAAGGGATCACGAAGGGCGCATGACGTCGCTCTCGAATAGCGACATGTCATATTGCGATTAGGATTCGAGTATTGATCCATCTGCATGCCATTGGAGGCGTGGAAGGTATTGTGTCTCACCATTGGGACACATGTGTCGCCTCCTAACTTTTTGCATTATTATGGCATACAGGCATGCAAGTCTCATTCTTATTGCATATTCATACCTCAGTCAAACTCTGTGGATCGCGCTATGATATCCCTGCACGCATTACTTGCAGGAATGTCATGTGACAATCAATCTGTTCATTTGACGCTTGCTGAATTTTTTCTTCCAGAGAGCTCCTAGCAGCCGCCTGGGTTTCAGTCTATCCTCTCCACTGCAAGGAGACTTCCATCGTTGTCTTAATAAACATTAGAACACAGGGGCTCAGGAGTAGCTAGTGCATTTGGTCAGTCCTGACAAGCGTGTGCGACAGACTGGCTATGCGTGCTTGGGGCCTTCGAATGGCTGAACGATCCACCCGCTTGACTTTGTGAATAATTGTCCTCGTTCAATTTTTTTCGACGCCCGGGACGCTCAGGACAACTGAAGAGTGTCGGGGTGCAATCGTCGTGTGATTTCTAGAACATGGTCAGTTTCGTGTGCGATGGCTGCGGTGACGTTGTGAAAAAGCCTAAGCTTCCTCAACACTTCAATAGATGCTATTCTCCTTTCACGTGTCTTGATTGTAGTGTGCAATTCGCTTCGCCAAAAGAAGCGCACAACTCTTGTGTGACTGAAGACGAGAAGTATCAGAAAAGGTACGTGCGTGTTGTCTTGGGACTTCTCACGCATCATTTTCAGTTTCTATAAAAACAAGAAGCGTGTAAGTAAACTGTGTGACCTCGATTTCTTATACAATCCGAACAGCAGTCTGTGTCGAACACTAGTGTTGGCAATAACGACCAGGTCTCATCGTCTAGCAATGCCGGACAGGAATCTGCACATCCGATGAAGCGAACTGCTCAAGAGGCAGTGGGAACTGAAAAAGATGGTCACAAGCGTTCGAAGTCCGATGCCATGCCGGCAAAACATGATACCCTTCCCACTGACTCGCAGTCAGCGCTGACAACTACCGAGCTCAAGAAAGCTATTGCGCATCTTTCACAAAAGCAAGATTCAGTTCATTTTTGCGATGTTATCAAGTATCTATGTAACGAAAAGCACATGAAAAAAAAGTCGGTAAAGAAGTTCTTGATGCGCAAGGTCATTTTATCCATGGATTTTTCTCAAGATCGACTTGATCTGAAGTAATGGTTATGAAACTTTTCTATGTGTGGAGGCAATGAAGCTCGAACCTTGAAATGTTGTAAAATGTTCCCTTAGGATTATTGCTTGCAATGTCGGGATGTAACCAGGGCAATTCCATAGCTTCACCGTATCGCATGCGTTTGAACCGCAGTCGAAATGATATTTCGCACACTGCGGTAGAATATGAAGTTAATCCAGTACCTTGTTCAGCTCATAAGCGTGCTTCTGGGACGTGTCCTTTGGCGTTACTTTCAGCACCGTCTCGTGAGACGAAAACATTCGATGGTACTCATACACGACATGATGATAAGAGATTTCCAAGGTGTGTTGCTGCGTTTGCCTTGACTCTAACACATGCAAGTTTGACAAAATTCCATGTCCAGGATGAGTATTGGGACTATATTTGTAGTAAGGTTGGCAAGCGAATAGGCGCACACCCTATGCATTAAACGTTTTCGTGACTTGACTAACATGTCCAGATTCAAAAGCATGCAAGTGCGTTTCCAGGAGATGAAGGCTTTTACCTGGGAAACAATAAACTACTCCAAGGTTGTCCAGCCACACGATCTGAACAAGCGTTTTATCAGCGTAACAGTTTCGAGGGAATCCTTCTGTGCCTTCGAAAGCTACGAGAAGGACTCGTTGCGAGTCGTCGTATGGATGTGATCACAGTTCATGGTACGTACAAACAGCGTTGCTGATATCAGTGTATGAAATGTCTGTGCTTATGTCGCTTAGTTCTGGGAACTATGCCCAACTCGCCTCGACACTTACCAGACTTATCCAAGAAATATACCCCAGTGTTCCTGAGCGTGAGGGATCGCGCGATGTTGTTGTAACACTCATGCACCATCTATATCCCCATAATTTGTATGCTTCTTCCTCACTGACGTGCAATTTCAAAGATGTGCGAGGTATGTTTGCGTGCACATGGTTATTGGAATCCCTCTGCTCGATTCGTCCTGGATATTTACAAGAGTATTTGGAACGACGTTGGTATCTGTCTACGTCTGAGACTTCAACTATGCATGGATGGCATGATGGAAACATGTGTCTTGATTTTTGTCATCGGGTGTTCCATGCTATGACGAGGCATACGTATCAAGAAATCATAGGTCTATTATGGTCGAACGATGATCTGATGGGCATGCAGGCAACGGAGTCAAAGTGCTGGTGGTTTTGGCCAAGAATCTTTCTTCGATCCCTCCTTCCTATACTGCGCATGCGGAACACAAGCATTCTTCGCAAATCGTACCTACAAGTTCCCTTGTCAAGAGAAGTCGTCAGCTTAATCGGTAATGATCAGAATCCGGGGTCTGGTAGTGTGCGCAATGAAGCAAGCGTTCAATGGCTCGAAACTGTCATGCTTTTTCAGCCTCAACTGGAAAGAGACGACGAGGCGCATCACATAATTTCATGTATCGGCAGTGTGTTAGGCTGCACAACATGGGATGAAGCCGTCTCTAGTGTTAGGCGGCGTCTTCGACAAACCAATGACGCATGGGCCATGTCGTGGCGAGCGTGATGCTGTAGTTACGTCATCATCAAACTGGATGCAAAGATCGAAGCGTGATGGAAAAAGACCGAATGCTCATGACCACGTGGTATAAGGCCGGGGTGGGAGGGCGCGCGGCGTGACGTGGTGAAATACGTAACCTCCACTACACGACTTGTCTTCTTGTTCCTACGACCATCTTGAGACATGTCTGCTTGGGATCAAACTGTAGTGATTGGACGTAAGGCCCGGCCTGGTGGTAGCAGCGGGGGTGGTGGCCCTCGTGGTCCGACTGCTCTAGAGCGGGCCAAGCAGGTCGGTGCTGTGACTGCGAATGACCGTAAGAGTATGTACATTTACCAGGCAAACCTTGTCCTTCTGCATTGGACGCGTTGGCTTACATGATCGACAGCGGCGGCGGGACACAATAAAGGTCACCAGGGCACGGATCACCAGCGTATTGCCAAGCTGGACCGTGAAGATGATGTGCCGCCTCCGAGTAGGGTGCCGCCCTCTGTGGGTAAGATTATTGGTCAATCCCGTCAGGCCAAGAGTATGACGCAGAAGGACCTGGCTGTTCGCATCAACGAGAAGCCTTCTGTCATCCAAGAGTATGAAAGCGGCAAGGCCATTCCTCATGCGCAAATTTTGGCGAAGATGGAACGCATTCTCGGCGTGAAGCTGCGTGGTACGTGCAGTGGCAAATTCCAAATTCGTTGTGTTGTTACTCGCTAACACTACCCTAGGCAAAGACATTGGTCTCCCTGTATGTTTCGATTGACTGCGACTAGTTTCCCGGCGAACAGTATGACTAACCTATACAGCTTGGAGGGCCTAAAAAGTAAATTGAATATCCTTAGTATGCATCATGTGAATGTTCAAAATCCTTGTTATCATTACATAGAGAGCGTGTGGGTGAGTGTGAGTGTGAGTGGTTGTGAGAGTGTATGTATGTGTACGTATTAGATGAAAAAAACGAGGTGAATTCGTGTGAGCATGTGATTAATTAGGTGTCTCGGCATGTCGTGAAAACGGACGTCACGTAGAAAATGGGGAAACGATTTTGTCGACTTCTGTTGGTGACGATACGCAAATGACTGGGTCACTTGCATTGTCGGGGGAGGCTGAAAGTGGGATGCCAGGTGAAGCATCATTTTGAGGCAAGGACTCGCAGAAAGGCTCGGTCGTTGCCCGGTCCATCGTGGTCGTAGGAGACATAGCCATGGCGATCTCTTGTACAGGAGACTGTACTTGCCTACTTTTGGTCGGGAAGCTTGCGCTCTGCTCATAGATAGCATCCCAATTGTCAATATCTGACGATCCAAAGCCAGGTACACTCTTTGGTCGCATCTTAGGCGGATTCTGACCGTGGTCATCACAGTCATCAGATGCACTCGTTGATCGACTATCGCGCCGGGAACCAGCCCGTTTGAACTTCGATACGGCACGTGCAACAGTGAACATACTTGAAATACGAAATACAGCGCAACAAAGATCCTCCTCAGTGACCTCTGGCAGCTCCGAATTGGCGTGTACAGTGGCAGCCGGCAAGGGCATTGGCTCTTTGCCGTGTTGTGTAACCCAAGGATGGTTATATATCTCTTTGACAGTAATGCGTGTAGACTCGGACTTATCGAGCATATGTAAGAGCAGATCGCGACACTCGGCGCTAGGGGCTCCTTTTAAATCTGGCTGATCGTATTGGATGGCATCGTACAAATCCAGGAGATTTTCTCGATCAAACGGCAAGTGTCCGATCACAATGGTATAAAGTGTGACGCCAAGAGCCCACACATCATCAGGACATCCGTGAGACGATTGTTTTGAGCCCATACGGCACAGCTCAGGGCTCATGAACGCAGGTGTACCAACGGAACGCTTGACACGATTATCCCCGGGTTCCAACACCATCTCCGATACACCAAAATCCGTGATTTTACACTGATTATCGTCCACTAAAAGAATGTTCTCTGGCTTGATATCGCGATGCACAATGCCATTTGCATGTATGTAGTCTAGGCCACTAAGGATTTGTCGGAAATATATGCGAGCTTTGTCCTCAGGGATACACTCACTTTGTTTACCTGGCTCGATGTGATATAGTGGACCGCCCGGACAATTCTCGAATACAAGGAACAGTTTGTCTTCATCGGGATCATCTAACGCTTCATAGAGCCTCACCACATGGGGATGGCATAATTTTTTTAGAATGGCCACTTCCGTACGCACCAGGTAGAGTGGGTCTTTGTCGTTCATTGCGCGCAAATTCCCGCGCATCTGAACACGCATATCCATATGGCGCTTTCGGCACAGGCGACGTTTGTCAAACTCCTTAATGGCCACATACTGGTGTTGTCCATCCTCATCGACAAACTCACCTAAATGCACTGTCGCAAACATGCCACGACCCAGGCATTTGAGGATGTGATATTGATTGATTTGGCGAGATCCATCATTGAGTTTCACGGACATTGCATGCAAGGACTCTCGGACGTGTCTGATACCACTCGCACTATTGTGCCGCCGGTGATGATGTTGTGGTGCATGCCGCGGAGATTTTGTTGTGGGTGAACGCAGCGCGCTAGAACCTGCCATGTTTTTTGGAAGATTACTAGCAAAATTATAAGTCGAGCTATACTCAGACATTCCATACACTGTTGGGCGCTTTCTCCCACGGGGCAAAGTCAATGAATCACTCGCTGTACTGGCTCTCGTGGGCAGTCGCGGCCCAGGTCTTTTCCACACCCAGCCAAATTTTTTTTGGTTCATTTGTTCTCGGTGCTAAGGAATGACGATCGGGGATTCAGGCACGGACCAATGATGAATGCCTACATCGCTTACGTTTCTGAGACACGCCACACACGCACATGCGCAATATGCATGCGTACGTGCAAGCAGCGAGTTTAGGTTGATTAGCGTCACATCTAAGGACGGACGACGGAGTGCTTTCCTGGGTTCGGAGGAGAAAGAACATGCCGCCTAGGAGGCTATCTGCTGATCGTAGTCGTGCAGAGCGCGTCGTTGCTAGAGCGCATCGAGTATGTGATTACAACTTACGTAGCTTCGGACGCACCAGCTGCAGGCATGGTCAGACGCTTTGAAGAAACGTGCTTTGAGTAACTCGCACCACGTAAGAATCGTCGTGGCAAGCGCCTCTGAAATAGCTCGAGACATGCATGAGCGTATATTTGAGCTGCTTGAGCAGAATATGAAGGCTTTGTATGATGAGACAAGCTCGTGGGATCCGTGGCTCAAGCGCGATGAACTATTGCATCCAAAGTCGCGATTCCTCTTAGCATTCGAAGATCACGAAAATACCCTGACATTCCAAGGCGTTGCTCAGCGTCGATCTGGCCGGTTCTGTGAAAAACCACAGACCCAGCATACACTGCAAGGGTTTGTGATGTGGCGATTCGACACAGATGATACAGTACCTGAGGATCCTTATTCGTTGCAAGGGGAAAGCGACGTGGAAGTCGCGTACTGGTACGTGGAAATGTTAGAAATGATGATTCAGAAAGCTGACTCCTTGCTCATAGTTACGAGGTGCAAGTGGCGCGTGAATGGCAAGGTCGTCATGTAGGCACACGGCTCCTTACAACTCTGGAAGGACTCGCATGGCAGGCGCACATGCGTAAAGTGGTACTAACGGTATTTAGCGCAAATACACAAGCACAAGCATTTTACGAGCGTAACGGATATGTGATTGATGCCACATCTCCTGCGGCGGGGGATGCAATTCACTATATGATCCTGTGCAAGCCGCATCCTGACATGAGAGCCCAGACAGTCGACTCAGGAGAGAGGGCTGAGGATCCTAAACGACGTTAATACACATGAACATACTTGAGGAGGTTTGGACGTGGCTGGCTGCTCATGAATCCGACGTAAATGACAAACGGCACCCTGCTCGGTTAATGCCTCCTTTCTTCCTACTCCAGATGTTGCCACCTACCATCCATAGTGCACGACTGTCTTTGCGATATCAACGATGCGGACAATCCGCTCCTTGCACGGTCAGTCATACGCATATATTGTTTGTAAGCACGAACCTTCGTGTCTTCCGAAAATGCCATTATTATGACAACAACCGAGGAGAAGGGTGATAAAGTGCCTGTCTGTCCACGAAAGACCCCACCTAAGCTTTGCCGCAGTTAAGCCACGTGGCACCCCTCCAAAGAGGATTCGTCGGTCTTGACCTTCTTCATCGACGACACAGCATGGCAGAAAAGAGTACCTTGGCTGCATCGTCGGCGCTACACCTAAGTTTTCCGCCAGCCGCGTCTGGCGTTTTTCACTCTCGTTCTATTACAGCCGTCAAGGTCCATCCTGTACGTATTGACATAACGGGCTGCGGCCTGTTTTTTATTTTCTCCCTCTCTTTCGAGCACTGATTTCCTAACACAAATGTAAGGTCGCGCTTTTCTCGATTTTGGACCACTACCTACGTCGTGATGTATCTCAGCCGCGTGTCATTGGAACACTCTTGGGTACGCGAAGCGAATCTGAAGTGGAAGTCCGTAATGCATTTGCCGTACCGCACGGCGAAAGTCAAGATCCATGGCAAATTCATCTCGATGCCGAACACCATCGGCGTATGCTAGACTTGCACCTCCGAGTACGCCCGGATGAAGTCGTGCTGGGCTGGTACTCAACTAATACAGAGCTCAACTCTAACAGTGCCCTCATTCAGGACCACTATTCACGTGAAACGGCGCCGCATCAAGCGATTCATCTCACGCTCAATACCAATGTGGCAGACGAAGCTAATGGCCTTGGTGTACAATGCTACGTGAGCGCATTGTTAGGTGCCATGGCGAAGCCTGAGGACTGCGCTTTCTTGTCCCTTCCGACACATTTGCTCATGTCCACTCCTGAGCAGACTGCTTTGCGGCATCTCGCGGCACCAAAGCCCCAGAATATCACCGATCTTGACGCCCTGAAGGCTTCACTCGAAGACGTGCAGGCCAAACTTGATCGCGTGCTTACATATGTGCGCCGTGTCTTGGCTGGCGAAGTCGAGGGCGATAAAGCTGTTGGTCGCTACTTGAGTGATACAATTGGTGTCGTGCCGGCCGGTCTTGACGAATCTCTTCTCGAGTCACTTTTCCAGTCTCATTTGCAAGACGTCTTCATGGTATCGTATCTTTCGAAGCTCGTTAGTGCACAAGCAGAAATGTCGACGCGCCTCGTTCTTCTTACATAGCGTGAATGTATGAACGCTTCTCATATTGTTGGGTATCCATTTCATTGTAGAAGAAAGAGATAAAAATGATTTCGAAGACACAGAAATACACAGTGAGTTGCTAACTGTCTCGACATACAGATAAGCTATAAACCGAATTGCCTTACTCTTCGCCAACGGGCGGGTCATCTAGTCGCACGAACGCAGCGAAGTACTTGTCCCCTTCATTCCGTTCGACCTTGCGTCCCTCTTCAGTGCTATGCATCACTGCATCAACACAGGGATCATGCTGCAAGGATGCATCGTCGTCTGGAATGCGATGAAACAGTGGAAAGTTTGTCAAATGCTTGACCATCCATTCATGCAAGTCCCGCACATCCGTCACCGTATACACAATGCCTCCAGGGCGCAGAACATATGCATATTCTGCGAGTAAAGTGGGTGAAATGATGCGCGCTTTGTGCTTGCGAGCTTTGAAGTGCGGATCTGGGAACAAGAAAAAAATCTTTGTGAGTTGACCCTGCTCAAAAAAGTTCGGTAGAAATTTCATGGCATTTGTGCGAATTACACTGACATTTTCGTAGCCTCCTGGAACATCACCTGCATGCTTGACGAGCGATTCATTGTGCCGTCGTTCCTCGGAGTCTTCGTCGTTTGGATCAGCACTCGTTGAGTCCTCAGCATCTAGCTCCTGCTCTTGCTGCTGTTGCCCCTGCTCCGACTCAAGACCTGCATTCTTAGATTGCTTGTGTGCCAGACGTAGCGCTTGAATTTTATCCTCGACATATTGTGTCACCTGTGCACGTATCTCCATGCCCAACATGAGTGTATCAGGGAATAATGGCGCAAGACGCATCAGTAGACCGCCAAATCCACATCCAATGTCCGCGAACTCGACCTTTCTCTGCTCGGGCGCATTTTTGGCACACATTTCTGGATAATGCACAGACCAGTCCATTTCACTAGGTTGTGATGGATATGCAAGCGAATGGTCGGAAAACGGGTTCGCATGTGCGCGTTGTCTATACCAACGCTTCTGCGGAATCACTACCCGTCCAGACAGCACATTTGGATGATGCGCCTCTTGTTTGAGCAGGACACTTGACGCTGTATCGCGTCCACTACGCTTCCGCTTGCCCATGAGGTGCCACGCTCTGACCAAAGGGAGCCGGACTAGCGCGCCTTAAAGACCGAGAAAGCTTCGTGCCGCTTACCTGGGCCTCCATTGAGTTTCCTCAATGGTCCGTCGCATGATGCGCTGGGCGCAACTCGGCCGAATGCCTACACTCGCTCCTCTTGGTGTGCTTCGCCCGTCACGGCTTGGATTCATCAGCGACCGCTGTCATGAGCATGAATCTCACGCCTGAGAGCGCGGCTGGTACGTGAAAAGAATGCGGCGGCTTATACCATAGCCAAGCGGCAGCAAAATGAAGAAGTCATTCGTGATGAATGGGTTAAGGTCATGCAGTTGCGCCTCGTACATGAAGAACTGCAGAAGTGCCACCGCGCCGAGGGTGAGAACCACTACCAGGTGTGCGCACCTATTGCCAAGCTATACAAGGACCTACTGAAGGAAGCGAAGGTATGATCGTCTTTTGTGGAAACTCACATGTGCAGGTCAAGGGCTTCCGCACCGTGGATGCATAGTTACATATTTTCTAATCGACGAATTTGTCTTGACTAGTCTGCGATGTCGTTCAACCAGCATCGGCATGTGTGAATCTAAGTGCAAATGTGCTCTCACATGAGTGCAACTTAAAGTGCATGCTTGTTTGCTCATATTATTGGTTTTATCTCTACAAAGACCACTTAAACATAAAGCGTGTTGTTACATGTCTACGTTGAATCTCGTTCAATTTTTTTCTCGCGCGTCAAGCATCTAACTCTCGCTGCATCTCCAAAAGCTCACTTTCCCTTGCCTTGTATTGCTTCGCAAGCTCTACTAACACTTTGTTCAGCTTAGTTTGTGTCAGTTTCTGCAACTCAACGCTTGTCATTCTCGCACAGAATCCCCATTCCCTGTAGTCATACATACACCATCCATCGTTGTTTGCAGTGTACCTAGCACGTCTTTCACTGTTCGTTCAACTAGCACACCGCCCACGAGCCGAAAGCACGTGCGGTCTGGCTCCCGCTCATGTACTTCTTTCAGAGTCTTGATCACTAAGCTGCACACACAAGCGTCAGCATACATCTTAACGCGTGGGACAAACGTACCGATGCTCATCAGCATCGCTCTCAATTTCGCCAATCTTCTCGACGATTGTCTGTAGTTCGTTCCGCCGCTGTTGGATTCTTAAGGCCATCTCTTGCGCATGCGTGAGAATAGACAACCAGACGTACCGCCATCTTTACGCTGCGATGAGGTTTTTGATGCCATGTTTTTTGAGTGGACGTTGATACGCCGTTAGCGCCCAGCGCTGTCGTCGTAGCCGCGGGTTTTCAACAGCCGGAAGCTAGCCAGTTCGCCAGCGGGTGACGATGTGGACAAACTGAGGACTTGTCGTTAGTCGGCTACATGCGTGCATAAATCCCCGTTTCTTAAGGGCCGCGCGTCGTTCTCGCTCGCCGACTTGGCATCCAGCTACTTCGTTTGTCTCGTTCAGCGCCACCGGAGCTACCAGCCTTGGCCACTACCACTACCACTACCACCACACGAACCTGCTGCCTAATATGGCAGCTGCATTGACATCTGTGGCCGGTGTAACGGCCTTGCTTGATGAGCATGATATAAAGCTGCAAGCTTATGCGTTACAAAAACTCAACACACTTGTTGATCGGTTCTGGACAGAGCTGGCCGATTCACTCACACGTCTTGAAGAATTGTATGAAGACGAGACATTTCCTGAGCGTCATCTTGCGGCTCTAGTTGTATCGAAGATCTACTTTTACCTTGGCGAATTTGACGACGCGCTCACGTTCGCCTTGGGTGCTGAAGCCCTCTTCGATGTCAACCAACGCAGTGAATACGTCGAGACTGTTGTATCAAAGGCGATTGATCAGTATGTGGTGCAAAGAAACACCCCTGAATCGCCCCCACTCAGCCCCCGTTTCACGTCCATTATCGATAAGATGATTGCTCGGTGCATCGAGAGCGAAGAATATCACCAGGTGCTTGGTATTGCACTCGAGTCGCGTCGGTTGGATGTGATTGAACAAGTGTTCAAAACAACGCAGGACAAGGCCTTGCTATCATATGTCCTCGAAATGGTGATTCGTGTTCTGAATGTGCCTGAAGTGCGACGCCAAGTGTTACAGTTGCTCGTTCAGTTGTTCCAATCGCTAGACGAACCAGACTATTTCTCGACGGCTCAGTGCTATGTGTACTTGAATGAGCCGCAGCCAGTATCTGAAATGTTGCGTTCGCTTGTGCGGTGCGCAGCCAAAGACGAGCATGCCGCGCTCGTGGCGTATCAGACAGCGTTTGATTTGGTGGAAGGCGCGACGCAAGAATTTTTGCATCATGTGCGTGCTGATATTGAAAAGGTCTCAGAAGATGCTGTATCAAAACAAGTTATGTCAATCCTTAGTGGAAAAGAAAGTATTAACTTGTACCGAGACTTTTTACACAATGAAAATCATGCTGATTTGACCATTCTGAAAACTACCAAGGATGCTCTAGACGCTCATTACAGTGCCCACCATTCCGCTGTGAGTCTTTCAAATGCTTTTATGAACGCAGGCACAGGGAGTGACAAGTTTTTGCGTGAGAACCTGGATTGGCTTGCCAAGGCGTCTAACTGGAGCAAGTTTACAGCGACTTCTGCGCTTGGTGTGTTACACCGAGGCACTATTGACGAAGGCCTGAATCTTTTGCGCCCATATTTGCCGCCTGAGAATGGTTCGCCGTGCCAGCAGCGTGTATTCGGAAGGTGGCAGTCTGTTTGCCTTGGGCCTCATCCACACTAACCACGGCGAGCCGATCTTTGATTTGCTCACAAAGACTCTGCGAACGAATGCGGCCGAAGTTGTTCAGCATGGCGCTGCATTAGGCTTAGGTGCCGCGGGAATGGCGACGGAAAACGAAGAAGTGTATGAAGATTTGAGGACCGTGTTGTTCTCTGACTCGGCCGTGAGTGGCGAAGCAGCTGGCTATGCGATGGGTCTGGTGTACCTTGGCACAGGCTCTTCTCAGGCGACTGAGGAAATGCTTCAATACGCCCAGGAGACGCAGCACGAGAAAATCATTCGCGGCTTAGCCATTGGCATTGCCCTCTTGCATTACGGCCGCGAGTCTGCTGCGGACGAAACAATCAATGTGCTACTGTCCCACAAGGATGCGACGATGCGATACGGCGGTGCTTACACCGTGGCTCTCGCCTATGCAGGCACAGGTCATCATGCATCAGTCAGTCGTCTTTTGCACCTGGCGGTGTCGGATGGCAGTGATGATGTGCGACGTGCGTCGGTGATTGCCATTGGCTTCTTGTTCTTCCGCTCGCCTGAGCATGTGCCGGAGCTCGTCCAGCTGCTGAGTGAGAGCTATAACCCACATCTCCGCTACGGTGCAGCCATGGCTCTCGGCCTTGCTTGTGCGGGTACCGGACTGGACGCGGCCCTAGATCTTCTGGAGCCACTTACGAAAGACACGATCGATTTCGTGCGCCAAGCGGCGTGTATGGCGCTAGCCATGGTGCTCATTCAGCAAAATGAAGAGCTCAACCCGCGCGTTCAGACAGCACGCAAGACATTTGAGAAGATTATCTCTGAGAAGCACGAAGAAACTATGGCCAAGTTTGGCGCTGCGATTGCTCAGGGCCTGATTGACGCCGGTGGTCGCAATGTCACGATGGGCTTGCGTGGCTCTGGTGGAAGCACGAATGCGGCAGCCGTCGTGGGAATGGCTCTCTTTACCCAGTACTGGTACTGGTTCCCTATGGCGTTCTTCGCTTCACTCGCCTTCACTCCAACGGCAATCCTGGGCATCACCAAGTCGCTTCAGCTTCCTGCCCTGGAACTTGTGTGCCATGCACGCCCAAGTTTATTTGCCTATCCACCGCCGCTGCAGAGCCCAACTGAGAAGAAGCCAGAAAAAGTCGAGACGGCAGTCCTCAGTACAACCGCCAAGTCGCAGGCACGTCAACGCACGAAGGAAAAGAAGAAGGCCCTCGAGTCTATGGATACGGACGCAGATGACGACACTGCAACGTCCAAGTCGCAGCCACATGATGCACAGAACACGTCGGGAACATCTCCTGACGGCCCTCACAGCAACAAGTTGAATCACAAGATGGAAGAGCCGAACGAGGCTCGCCTCATGAACGGCTCGCGCGTGACACCATTCCAGCTCAAGTACATGTCGTTCCCTCCACATGCTCGCTACACGGCGGTGCGTCCGCTCGCTGGTGTAAGCTCGAATCTTCCGCGTGCCGATGCGAGCTCGGCGCGTCAATTGGACATGTCCGTTACGGCTGGTCGTGGCGGCATTATTCTTTTGCATGATCGCGAGCCCTCCGCTCCGTTTGTTGCAGCGAAGCAGGACAAGCCAGGCTCAGAAGAGAAGATGAATCACGAAGCAGCGGCAACCATGATGGCTGCTTCATCGGATGCTGAGAAGGTGCAGACGAGCATGCAGGAAAGCTTGGATGATGCTGAAGGAGACAAAAAAGGCGATGAGAAGAACGAACGCGAAGGCAATGACCATCGCGACCGGGACGGCGGGACATCTGCGAATGCCATCACAGAAGACGTTGATATGAATGAACAGGCTCGTTAGGTAGCAAGCAAGGAAGCCAATCGTTCCGGCAATGATGGGTTAGTCATGTAGTGCACGACTAAGCGCCCATGTCCGATCCGGATGGGTGGATCAAGGCTTGCTGCTCGCTGTTGCAGTGTTGCCATGTCAGGCCCATTGTCAGGCACATCGAAAAACACCATGTTCGTCTCCACGGGCACTGTGATCCTGGCGCCACGTTCTTGCAAACGTGCTGCGACTCGACGCGCTAGAACATGTGTCGCAAAAAGGCGCTGAAAATTCTCATGCAATGCTTGATGCGCCGCAGCGGCAAGAACGCCTGTCTGTCGCATCATGCCACCAAACAGTTTGCGTAGGCAGCGCACGTGCTCAATCATGGCTTGCGATCCAGCAAGGATCGTCCCGACTGGTGCACCGATACCTTTGCTGAGACACAGGCTAACTGTGTCGAAAGGCGCACAAAGCTCAGCGAGGGACATGCGCGTTTCTGCCATGGCATTCCACAAGCGAGCACCATCTAAGTGCATCATAATGCCGTGCTCCCTCGCATACGTAGCGATCCGCTGCACTTCATCGTGCGGGAAAATCATGCCCTGTAGCGTATTTTCCAGCGATATGACTTGGACTCGTGTGGCATAAGTAGACCCGTGGGATTCACAGTGTGTCTGGATGTCTTTCAACGTCAAATGGTGTTGGTTCCTCGGCATGAGTGGCACGGTTGTTCCTCGCGAATGGTATGCAATACCGCCCATTTCACATGCGTGTATATGAGCTCGAAAATCACATATGACGGCGCTGGGTAGCGTGCATCTCGCCAAGTGGGCATGAATCGCAAGTTGATTCGCCTGGGTGCCACTGGCACAGAACAAAGCCGCCTCTTTGCCTGCAAGCTGAGCCACGGTGCGCTCGAGCAGCTTCGTTGGCTCATCTGTCTTGTATCCTTCATCTCCGCACACGGCTGATGCCATGCAGGCGCGCATAGTGCTCGTGGGCAACGTCACTGTGTCGCTGAGGACGTTCCATGAAACTAGATTGTACGCGCGCTGGTCGTCTTTGCACGTTGGGGTGGCAGGCGCACAAATAATCGGCGGCCCAGTCTCTGCGATCTGCTGCTCTTCTGCATTATACAGCGGCACTGGCGCCTTGAGGGTGGCGCGATACATTGTTCGTATACTACTCACGGCGCTTGCACGAAAGCAATCTAGTGCACCCAAAATTCAGTTCCTATGATGCATCTTCGCTCGCTATGACCACGTATATTGTGCATTCACCTCACATAGTGCGTGCGTGTAAGATGCGAGCCCAGCGGGTAGCTCGAGTTGTGCGGGCCTGTTATTGGACAAGTGGGAGAAGAGAGAGGTGACAGAAGAGGGAGCCTCATTTTACACTTGTCACATGCGCGCCGGCGACTGTATAACGATGCTAATCTCGTCTGATGCCCGCTCGTTGGATATTATGTCTGCGCTGCGCCATCAGACCACTTGCCCAGTCTTGCCCTTTAGTTAGGTTATTTCGTCGGTGCTCCTTTTGCACTTATTCAACTTACTAAAAAACTTTTAGCTGCGTTCGCCATACCCTCGCCCGTTGGTTCGCTGGATTTGATCCGTGCTGCTTTTTATTGTCACTCCAGCCTGTTGCCAAAATTTTATCATCCATCATACTATGACGTCAGCTCAACGCCTGTTGGTTGTTGGTGGCAACGGATTTGTCGGTACGTACGGGCATGCGTCGTATTATGAGATAGACAGTGCCTAACCTTCTCGAATAGGTTCAGCTGTATGCAAGCAAGCGTTATCGCGTGGTTGGGATGTCGTGAGCATGAGTGGCAGCGGACGCCCGTTCCGTACGCCACGAGGTCATGCTCCAGCATGGACGGCATCCGATCATATGCACTGGCATCAAGCTGATGCTTTTGACAAGAATTCATACCGTGATCTGGCTGCATCTTGCACAGCTGTGGTGCACACGATCGGCATTTTGCTTGAGTCGTCATATAAGGGTAAAGGCGGCTCAGCATTGGGTGCTTTGCAAGGCCTGTTTAAGGGATGGGGTCTGCAGTCGGGCTCGAATCCTCTTGCTTCTGAGTCCAAAGAAAACGCTGTTACTTACGAACGGATGAACCGTGATGCAGCTCTCACGGTCGCCGAGGCAGTGATAGAAGCACAACACCGTCGTGCTCACGATGGGGCGAGGACACCTATTCCGTTCGTCTTTTTATCAGCCGCGGACATCATGCGCCCTATCATCTCCTCGCGCTACACCAGCACCAAGTATGAGGCTGAGCAGCGCTTGAGTGACATGGCAGAAGACATCCTTCGTCCTGTGTTTATGCGCCCCGGTCTGATGTATCATCCTCACAACCGTCCATGGTCTACTGTACCTGCAACTATGATTGATGCGTCTAATCATCTGCACAGATTGCACCGTCGCTCGGGTATCCCGATTCCGTCACCGGCGGATATGCTGCGCAGCTCCTACATGCCAGAGTCACTGAGACCACTTTCTGGTGCCCTTACTACACCTGCGCTTCATGTGGATACCGTGGCGAAGGCCATTTGTGAATCTATTGACCGCCCAGATGTTTATGGCGCCCAGTTTGCCGAATCAATCCGCCAACTCGCTGGATGGCCCGCGGCGACCGAGGTACCGTAAGCAAAGGCTCTCTTGTGTATGATTTGATTATAATCGGTCCCTATCGTGCTGTAAAGTCTCTCAAGAATTCATGTCAATGGGCTTGCTACATTTGTTTTTCTTTTTGCATCGTTGATCTTCGCCCATGCCAAGGCTGCCTGCCATGAGCTCCTGCATCACGGCAAACGTACGATTGAATGTGCGGAGAAACGGTGTGGGTGGGGAAAGTGACATAGATAATTAGTAATCCCACGTGCTGCTGGAACATGCCTTGGGATCCACATGCCTCGCTCAAACAATCGACTGCTCCGACCGAAACGAACTCTCGAGCGTGCCACCGAGCCTGCCGTTTGAACGTTCGCGAGGATGTCGTTGTGGACGGGCTTCACTCTATACGTGTCGCAGGATACGTATACATTTGTTCCAAATAAAAGTGAGCCAGGTCGACAGGCCAACAAGCTCGTGATTGATCGTCATGAGAATGCACTCCGTCTTGAGCCTGTGGTACTCGGCAGCGAGGTGCCAAAGCATGAAAAGCAGTTTATTGTGCATGGTATTCTCGGCATTATTTCACTGCATACGAGCGAGTTTCTTGTTGTCATTACGAATCGCAAGCGTGTCGCACACATCTTGAACTCGACGATCTACTTGGCGACAGATTTCCGCATGCTTCCCGTGCGCAGTGATGCGAATCCTGCCATGCTCTCGCATCCCATTGAGAAGCGGCTTCTCTCTCTTGTGAAAGAATCACTGTATTCTGGCCCTCTGTACTTTAGCTATGAATTCGACCTTACGAGCAACTTGCAACGCCAAGTGCAACAGAGCGCGAGTTCTATGGGAGCAGGAGTGCCGCTCTGGAAGCGGGCAGACGAGCGCTTTTTCTGGAATGCGCATTTGCAGGGACGCTTTGTCAAACACTCCGAGAGGTATCCAAATGAAGATTTGTCGCCTTTTATCATGCCGGTCATGTTTGGTTTCCTCGAAGTGAAGCTCGCACGTATTGAAAACCGTTCGTTTGTCCTTGGTCTGATCGCGCGTCGCTCTCGGCACCGCGCCGGTACCCGCTACTTTTCGCGAGGTGTGGATGACAGTGGCAACGTGTCGAACTTTAACGAGACAGAGCAGTTCGTCCTGCTCGATCCGCCGAGCCTGCAGCCGCCGCAAGAGATTGAGGACATCGAGGGCCTTATCCGCATGAGCTTTGTGCAAACGCGCGGCAGTGTCCCAGTGTATTGGGCCGAGATCAACAACCTGCGCTACAAGCCGGATCTTTTGATTCCGGATGATCCGCGCACGCTGACATCGTTTGAAAAGCACATGTCGAAGCAAGTGTCGATTTATGGCAAGAACTATCTTGTGAACCTTGTGAACCAGAAGGGATATGAAAAGCCTGTAAAGGAAGCATACGAAGGTGCTGTAAAGTTTTTGGATCACCCGCTTGTGAACTATACGTACTTTGACTTCCATCATGAGTGCAAGGGGATGAAGTTTGACCGCGTCTCGCGGCTTGTCGAGCATCTCGAGAACGAAGGTCTCACAAGTCATGACTTTTTCTCTCTTGACACGGTAGCTGCTCCACGCTTGCAGCTACAAAAGTCTGTTGTGCGAACCAACTGCATGGACTGTCTCGACCGTACGAATGTTGTACAGACTACGCTGGCCCGTTGGGTGCTGAACGACCAGCTCCGTTCCGTCGGCATTTTGCAGCCAAATGATTGCGTCGAGAACCATCCCAAGTTTATAAGCCTATTCCGAAACATCTGGTCGGACCATGCCGACGTCATAAGTAAGGCGTACTCGGGCACCGGCGCCCTCAAGACCGACTACACACGCACAGGCAAGCGCTCGATGGAAGGTATTTTGCAAGACGGCATCAATTCACTCACCCGATACACTAAGAATAACTTCTTTGACGGTCAGCGCCAGGATGCCTATGACCTTATTACTGGCGCTTGGGATCCACAGTCTGACATGCCATTTGTTGACACCCGGCCGTGGGGTGTGCGTCTTATGCCATGGCTCCTGTATTTGAGTATCTTTTTCGTGCTTGCTTCGGTCTTACTTCCTGGTGGCGAGCCATTGCGTCCATACCGCATCGATACTGGCTCTGTGCCTACCTTTGCCATATTATGGGGCCTTGTTGCTCTGTATGCCATTTACTTTATTTGGCAGCATGGTGTCGAGTACGTCGGCTGGCCTCAACTCAACCGGCCGGAACATCTCATCCATTACACTGGGCCTGGCTACTACTCAAGTCTCCGCGGCCGCGCCGGCACGCCATGTGATCCGAAGCTGCTCAAGAAGCAGCAGGTCGCTGCGAAGAAGCTCCAGTGATTTAAGGGCGTTGTCCTTGCGGTCGTTGTCGTGTTTATATAGGTGTGTCGACTAGTCCTAAATACTCTTTTATCTCCCGTCGTCCTTCCTTTCTGCTCGAATCATTTCGCTTGCATGTCTAGGGGCAGATTCCGGCTCTCGATGGTTTTGTCGTGGAACGTATGCACGGATGCGATTCTTGAAATGCCTGAGCTGTTGGATAAGTGTGATCGACGAGGGGGGCAATGTACGCAGCTGCGGAACGCTACGTCTGAAAGTCACGTGCGAGCTACTTCACTCGTCAGACTCGATCGACAACACATTGCATACTACGAAACATGTTCTGTGCGAGTACGTGGTAAAGCTGTTTGTCAGTCCATTAACATGCGATAGTCTCAGGCGAAGCACCAAAAGAGCCTGTGGTATCGAAAAAAAGCGGCCTTTTGTATGAGAAGCGCTTGATTGAACGGTACTTGGAAGAGCATGGGAAGGTACGCGCCATTTCACTCCACGTCCATCCTCACTGGGCCATGTTGGCCACCGTACTAACCATGAATGCATGCAGGATCCTGTGACAGGTGAAGAACTCACTCGTGAAGATCTTATTACGCTCCAACAGTCCCCACGCATCGCCTTTCCGCGTCCTCCAACACATTCGTCGGTGCCCTCCCTATTGACAGCCCTACAGAATGAGTACGATGCGATGGTGTATGAGACTGTGGCTCTGCGTAAGCAGTACGATTCTGTGCGTCAGGATCTTGCGAATGCTTTGTATACAAACGATGCAAGCATGCGAGTGATTGCTCGTCTCATGAAAGAGCGGAACGATGCCCGCGAGGCTCTTGCAAGTATTCACACGTCGCTCGGGGTGCCAACAACAACTTCCATCTCATCGTCATCCACGACCACCACGTCCACAGCTCCTGGTTCAGCTACACAAGATGTCGACATGACTGTGCAGGGGGATGAGCAAGTGTTACCTCGCTCTCTGCCGCCGGCTGTGATGGAGCAAGTGGATGCCACAGCCTCGCAACTGTCGAGTGAGCGTCGAGCACGCATAAAGCGAGGCGCTTCTGCACCGTATCCAACGCCTGCAACGGCGTCTTCGATGGAAGAGCGTGAAGCTATTAACGCTGCGCACCGGGCATCGTCCCCAGGCATTCTTGCGCTTGATATCAGCGCAAATGGATCCCTTGTGCTTACGGGTGGTCAAGATAAGAGTGTTCACGTCGTCGATCGTGCCTCTGGGCAAGTGACGGCCAAGCTGCAGGGACACTCCAAGCCAATTACAGCTGCTGTATTCTCTGGGCGGAGCAACCCGGCTGTTGGCGACGCCGCACTTGAGGCACCGATGCCGGCGTTTGCTGTTAGTGCAAGTGCCGATGGTTCGGTCCGTACCTGGCGTCGCACAGAAAACGACTCATATGAGCTGGCGCATGTTCTCGAGACGTATGACGCTCCTGTGACGGGCGTCGATGTCCACCCAACAGATAGCCTTGTCGGCAGTGCAAGCCGCGATGGATCATGGGCTATCCATTCGCTTGAGAATGGCGAGCGGCTTATGCACGTGCCAGCGCCAGCTGCTTCTGATGACCAGGGCACTGGGTATGTGTACGAGTCGTTCGCATTCCATCCAGATGGTCAGCTCGCCGCCACTGGCACGGCTGATGGTGCGATCCGCATTTGGGATATCAAGCAGGGCGAGCAAAGTGCTGTGTTCCGCGGTCATGAAGGCAACGTGCATACATTGAGCTTTTCACAGAACGGCTATTTGCTGGTGGCTGCATCGCGTGATGCATCGCACGCCAAGGTGTGGGATCTACGCAAACTTGACGTGACACGTACAATTGAGACAGCAGGCTCGGGGATCGAGTCGGTACGTCTGGACGCATCAGCTCAGCTCCTTGCCGTCGTAGGACGTGACGTGCGTGTATTTGGGGGCAAGTCGTTTGAGTTGTGTGCAACATGGGATGCAGCGTCCTGCACATGTGCACAGTGGAGTCCCAGCGATGGCGCCTTGCTCGTTGGAAGTCTCGACCGCTCCGTGCGCGTCTTTGTCTCATCCTGACCACCTCACATAGCTTACTGTATGGATGCATCAAATTATGTACTTGCTAGTGGTACTACTCCAGCGCCTTTTGAACATAGGCACGGACCTTGCTGGGATCTTTATGGCCATCAGTTTCGACGCCAGAACTCGTATCGACACCCATAGCCTGGGACGCGTCCAAGGCATCCTGTACATTCGCAGCAGTGAGCCCACCAGCCACGAGGAACGGCACACGCACTCCGCAGCGCGTTGCTAGTGCCGGCGCATGTGACCATGTAAATGACATGCCTGAGCCGCCATCGTGCCCGGCTGCTCCTGCAGAATCAAAAAGGATCACATGGTGGTAGCCTGGCCTGGTCGCTTCGGCCAGTGCGCCGGCCCGCAATGTCATATCAGGCTCAACATGGAACACGCGAATCACAAATACGTTAGGCAAGTATCGAGCCCATTCAAGCTCTTCCGTTCGGCCATGTAGTTGGATCGCATCGAGCTGGAGCGACGATGCCACCGCGACTATCTCCTCCAGCGTCTGATTGCGGAACACACCGACGACCAACGGCCGGCACGCCGCGGCCTCAGCCATACGGTCCGCATGCCAAGAGAACCACTCGTGCGCACGCGAAAGTCGTGTCGCGGTTGAAGTGCATACTGAGGCCAACTTGGTATTTGTTTCGGCGGTGTTTGGCGCTGCCTTGTGCACGCTCTGTCTAATAGCACGCGCCACGTCTGTGGACACAGTGCGTTTGGTTCCTGGCGCAAGGATGATGCCAATGAGATTTGCTCCTGCCTGCACGGCCGCTTCCGCTGCAGAAGGAGTCTGAATGCCACACACCTTGACGAAGCGGGGCCGCCGAGCTGACGATGAGAGCACCGATTTTTCGCTCGATTCGCCTTGCAGTGCTTGAATAAAAGCGTGCTTGTCTTCCGCCCGCATGAGTGCTTCGCCCACCAAGAGCGCCTGCACACCCTGTTCCATATAGTGGACGACGTCGCTACGCTGCTGAATGCCACTGAGTGCAACGAGGATCACGCCGCGCTCAACAGCTGCTTGTGCTAGACGCGAGGTCGTGTCCATATCGACGTGGAAGCTGTGTAAATTGCGGTTGTTCACACCAATGACTTTGGGCGACAATAACAATGCACGCTGCATTTCTTCGGCATTGTTCACCTCGACAAGAGGGTCCATACCAAGCCGCAGACTGTATTGGTACAGTCTTTGCAAAGTCATGTCGTCCAGCATGGCAACAATCAGCAAAACCGTGTCCGCACCAGCGAGACGCGCCTCAGCAATCTGGTACTCATTGAGAATAAAGTCTTTGCGGAGAATAGCCGGCCGCCTTGGCATGCACTCAACAACACGGCGTACCATGACCAAATCCTCGAGAGTGCCTTTGAACCACGTCGGCTCTGTTAGCACACTGATGACATTTGCACCACTCCTCGCATACAGAAGTGCCTGCTCGGCAGCGTGAGTGTTGGGTGCAATATCACCTTTGCTCGGCGATGCACGTTTGATCTCGGCCATGATACCGGGAACGATGCCACGTTCTGTCCCATGCAGCAAGCGCCGCGGAAAATCTATACGCACGGGATCTAGCTGCAGTGCGATTGATGCTTCTAGATCTGCCAAAGAGCGGCCAGGTATGGTCTGTGACTGAGCGACATCGAGTTTTCGTTGCCGGAAGATGCGTGTGAGAATACTTTCAGAGGTAGATGGCCCGGCTGAAGCAGGGGTGTTGAGAACATGTGGATTTTCTGCCCATGTGCCACCGTGCCAACTGAGAAAATTGCGCACCATCTCATGGCCGTACTCACTCATGACACTTTCGGGGTGGTACTGTACTGCCTCGATCGTGTAGGTCTTGTGCCGTAGACCCATCACCACGCCCGAATCCACATGCGCAGTCTCTCTCAATACGTCCGGTACCGCATCAATCTGGGCACATAGACTATGATAGCGTGTACCGGTGATAGGGACAGATGTAGACAGGCCGGCAAACAAGCCGCATCCATCGTGTTGCATCATCGACGTCTTGCCATGGAAGATCTCACCAGCGCCGCTGACAACACCGCCGAACGCCACGGTCATACACTGCAGTCCCATGCAAATGCCAAGAATCGGAATTTGTCCTCCAAAATGCTTGATGCAGGCAAGGCTTATTCCTGCGTCAGTGAGTGGATGGCCCGGTCCGGGGCTGATAACCATATTCACGGGCCGCAACGACTCGAGTGTCTCGATTGAGACTTTATCGTTGCGGAAAATGACAACGTTGGCACCCTCTTCGACCAAGAGCTGTGCGACATTGAAAGTGAAGCTGTCATAGTTATCGATTATCACTGTAATGCCGCGTCCTGTGCCATGAGGGCTCCAAATGCAGATGCGTCCATCATCGTGCACTTGCTCGATCGACTCGAGAGTCGCGGGCTCTGAAGAGCCATGCACCATAAGCTCTGAGGCGAATTAGGAGTGGATATAAACAATAAGCTGGGACGGACTCGGCTCCCGTCTCTCGTCCACTCTGTCTGTCCTTTCCGTAGTGAGGTGCGTCGTTGGTCGATGGTGCCACAGGAGTTGGAGGATAGCCTGGGTGTTGAGGTCACGTGCTTGGTCCGCCCAGCGACGCCAAGATGGGGGGAGACGTGTGCTACCGTTGAATCGTGTGTGTGGTCGTTGAGCACTCTCGTGTGCCGCACGGACGTGAGGGTGTGAGCTGTTGTTGTTGTTGTAGCTACTATTGCTGCTGCTATTGACTGGTTGACTCACTCTCTCTTTCTAACTCTCTCCCTCTGTCTCTGTTTCTGTTCAATCTTCCTCTCTCTCTTTATCTCTTGTGAGGTAGTCTCGCTTAAGTGATGACGTCACGAGAAGCGCACACTCTCTTGCTCGTACACGATACGAAGCAGATCCATGCAGGGATTGGGATTCATGAGCCACTTGCTAGGCCGGATGTGGTACGTCATCTTTGTGGATATGGGTGAAAACTCAATCCCTGTTTCGCATGGGTCGTCGTCGACTTACACGCATGCGCACGCATGATGGATTTAGGTGATCGAAGCATGTACTGGGAAAAAAGAAGACGGCACTTACTTAGCCGGGGACAGGTTGACACAAGCGATATCGCAAGGCGTGCAAGTAGAAGTCACGTATCCCGTTTCGGATGGAAATGTACGTGACTGGCAAGCTCTAGAGGCACTTTGGTATTATGTCCTGATTGAAAAGCTTGGCATACAACCAGCCAACAATACATATTACGTGATGCTCGCACTCCCCTCGCCGGTATCGCGAGATGTGTACGAGCAGGGCGCCAAGATCCTGTTCGAAAAGTTTAATGCGCCTGCTCTCTCGATGAGTGAAGTGCCCCTGCTATCCGCCTATGCACTTGGCGTCCTTACCGCGATGGTCATCGACATAGGTGCTGAAGACTCAAGTGCCGTCGCCGTGAGTGATTGCACGGTAGTGTCGTATGGCATCGTAATTACCAAGATCGGCATTGTTCATTGCACCTGGTGGCTCGCGTATCTTCTCACACAGGATGCACATGTACAAGAGGTTCTGGAGCAGGTGGCACCGGGCGACACACATGCTGCTGCATGGAGCCTTGCACAGCAGTTGGTCGACGAGCATCTGGTATATGTGGATGCCGAATTGGCCCGTTCCGAGGCGGAAGACGACGAAGGTGTTTTGGATGTGGCAGCCGCTCTTGTAGAAGGACGTGAGCGAGATGTCGTGACTGAGAAGCAGCGCGAAAGAGATGCACAAAAATCAACTACGTCGTCTGCAAACACCATCACTGTCACGTTCCGTGGTGTTCCTGTTCAGGTGGGCGACGTGCGGAAGCGCTTCCATGAGCCGCTCTTCCGCCCCAGCTGTACTGGAGCGAGTATCACTCGCCACGCCCATGCCCCGTGCTGTAGCGCAGGCGCTTCAGGCACGGCGTATTGGTGGTGAGCCGATGTGTATTTCAATTCCTGAGGCTGTAGAACGGGCGGTCTCTCAGATGCAGCCGATGGAGCGGCGCGTCCCGCTCTGGGAGAACGTTATCCTTACAGGCCCTATGGCGCTTACACGCGGATTGAATGCGGAATTAGTGCGTGCCTTGTCAGCGTACATGACGACAGAAGCGACAGAAGCCTCACAAGTCGCTGGTGAGCCGCATCCCTGGCAGCCCCATGCCGTGCGTGCATTGCGTATTCCCGACTACTTTGCCAACTTTAAAGAACGGATGGACTTGGCACCGTATCTGGGCGCGACGATTTTCGCCAAGCTTGTATTTGGTGACTTGTCTGGTCGAAATTATATCACGAAGAAGCAGTATAACGAGGCAGGGCCGTCTGTTGCCTTTGCTTTGGGTAGTGTCTAACTATAGCTGTTCAACTAAACGAAGATCATGCATAGATAGACTGCAGGAGTCGGTTCCTTAGAAGCGTGCATAAAAATCATATAAATATTCATACGTAGTTCCTGTCTAACAGCTTCACCATATATATGTGAGTGTACGTGTGCGTATATGCATTTCATACACGGCAACTTACGCAGAGAGCAGCCTCTTCATGCTGTACGGACAAGTTCCTCCACAGCATGCACGAGTCGCTCTGCATCATGAGTCGTGGCTGCTTCTGCATACACACGTACACAGTCTTCTGTGCCGCTGGGACGCACGAACGAACGGCCCATGGGTATTTTACCAACAAGTTCATCGATCTTGTCCTGCATGTGTAAAGGCGTCTCAAGTCGGCGCTCAGCATCTGTCGTGCGGAACATGGTGCGGTCAGGAACGGACACTTTCGTCAGGCGATTGGGCAGATCTGTGTAGCATGAGTCCCATTTGGGCGCATCCCACTGGCGGGTCGAAAGAATTGCAAGCACCATAAGCAGATCTGAGAGCGCATCGCCGACCGTTTGGTTGATTAGCTTTGCAAGCAAACGCAGTCGATTCACAGCTTCGATGGATAGTGCCTCTCCCTTCATGCTTGCCAAGTCCATAGCAACCATGACGCTGGGAGAAAACAGAACAGTGCCGTGGCCATTCGCTTCGAAGTACACGCCAATGTCATATTCTTCAGCCGCTCGATGCAAATGCTTGACGCCCGTCTTGGTACAAGTGACAGGAGCACGTTCCTTCAAGTATGCGGTCGATGCACCATTTGCATATGCAGTCTGCACACAGCCGACCTTGATGTCGAGGTTTGCTTGTTTCACGAGCTCCGAGATGTAGTCTGTCGCAAGACTCGCGATCTTGTCACCGTCGAGGAGGTGGAAGCTGGCAGGGTCGTGAGCTGGACCCGTCAAGTAATAAAATACAATGCGGTCTGCATCGCCGTCGAAAGAGCATAATAGTGTTCCAGGCTTCACATCTGCTTCACCGTCATAGCCAATCGGCAAGCGCTGATTCGACTTGACATAGTCGGCGCCGCATCCATTATTCAGCTTGCCTTGTTCATGCACGGACGTGCGGAGCATTTTGATATCTACAAGCCCAGAGGGCAACTGATCCAAGAGTTCTTGGAGCGCCAGGGCCCCAACCCCATTGGCACAGTCGACAACAAGAGACATAGGTGTGTTTTGATTTTGCATAAGAGCGACAAACGATTTGGACAGTTTTTGGTAGTAGGACCTTTTGTCAGGATGACCGTACTTGATCCACATTTCATGTGAATTTCTTGCCATCACCAAAAAATGAAGCTGAGGTGTCGTCAACAAACCAGCGTTGATTGCCTCGGCACCCATTACTTGCAAGCCATCTTCCACAGCACGTACAAGTGCAGGGCTCGAAGGACGCGTGTCGTAGGCATAAATAACACGTCGATTTGCACTCATGTCCAGACGCAAGGACTGGATCAGTGTGAGAATTTCATTCAAGAGTTGGTCGTATGAGTCCGCATTGGCAATGCGAGTACATATGGGTTCCCAGTCGGATGCAAGCATGTCGCCACACGCATCAACCATCTTAATGCCATTGTCTTCCTCAGGATTGTGGCTGGCCGTAACCATAAGACCAGCGGTACAGCCACGCAGAGAAATACTCCGCAGAGCAGCAATAATACCCATGCGGAAACACACACTGTCCAGTAACTCTGCTCTGCCGGTGAGTTAGCGGCGTTCAGGCTCCATAAACATACTTGGTTCGGAATCCAGCTGTCCCGTAGGAATATGTCACATTCGGTTTCTCGTGTTTCGAATATGCGCTGGCAAGAGCTTGCTCATCAAGCGATGTCTTCAAGGCTATCGTCATGGTGGTGAGGACGAATCTGGGGCACCGTGGGCACACCGTGTCTCCAAGGCATGTGCACGTGATATGTTCGTCAGCATTGTACATCGCACGAAGACGCACGGTCCAGGCATGAGGTGTGAGGACGCGCTGCAATTCATCGGCGTTGGCTGGCCAATATGCACCCGCTTACCCTAAACGGAGGTCCAAGATGGGTGGAGGGGTGGGAAGGAAAGGAAAGGGGGGAACGAGATTCAACAAGAGCCAAGCAGGCAAGACAAGGCAGGCAGGGACTCCGTCAGTGTGACGCATGTGTTGGGGAAAACCAACTGAAGTGGAAGAGTCATAGGCCCATCGACGGCCTGAATATTCACCAACGAACAGCTTGCTGTACTCCTCTGCTTGCTGGGTGTGTGTGGGCCAGTCTACGATGTCGACGGTGTTGCAAAGTGTGACGCGTTCATTACCATGGTTCTTACTGGACTTTGCGAGGTCTCTACTTGGCGAACAATGCTTTAACACGCTCGTGTGGAATGCCAACTTGACGGATGTGCCGTGCTTGCGCCTTGGTCTATCCAAGGGACTGGGACTCGGCATCGTTGTATTTGGTAGTATCATCAAGTTTCCGCAAATCTACAAGATTGTTAGCACGCGAAGCGCCGAGGGAATCAGTCTCGCAATGTACATCCTCGAGGTCGTTGCATACACAATCAGTCTTGTGTATGCGATTCGCCTGCGCATTCCCTTCAGTACATACGGCGAGAATGCTAGCCTTACGTTACAGAGTACGTGTTCCGCGGTGCTGGTCATGGTCGCGATCGAAACCGACGGTAGAAAATGAATTGCAACAATCGGACTAACTCGACATAGATATGATCATAACGCTGCTGATCATTGCGTACTCACCAATGGACTCGGTATCGCGGCGGATCACAACCTTCTGTCGTCAGCAGCGTATATCGACGAATGCACTGTATGTGTGGGTGGGAGCCATTCTCATGTTGCTCGGCTCCCTGGCACTCATCAGCAGCACGATCGTACCGCCGCATCTGTTGCAGATCCTGCAGGGCCTCACAATCCCTGTGTCGCTCGCATCGAAAGTGCCTCAAATGCTTGAACTTCATCGATCGAAAGCCACAGGCGAACTTAGCATTATCGTTGTATTTGCGCAGTTGATGGGCACGATGGCCCGTGTCTTTACGACGCTCACTGAGACAAATGATCAGCTTCTGTTTTGGGGCTTTGCACTCGCCACAATTTTCAATGCTGTCATTGCTGTTCAAGTGATTATGTATTGGAACGGCAATGACCGCAAGCGTGGCAGCAGCAACGGCAGCAAGTATACATACCCTCTGCAGGAGAGTCGCTGGTTCGCCACGCCTGACACGTCCACAGGTCAGCTGCCCATTACTTCATCGATGCCGCGCACAAATACCAAGCTGGACTAACTTGTTGCAGGCAAACGCGATAGATGTAAAGCCAAGAGCGTGCATAGAACGAATAATACCATGCTTAAGCATACGGGCACAATCGGATGCCAGGCCAGTAAAGGCCCGGCGACGAGCGGCGCCAGCATACCGGTGAAGCGCCCCAATGCGCTAGCTGCAGCACATGCAGTACCACGCACAAGCGTTGGGAATAGCGCTGGCGTCAAACCATACAGGATTGCATACGCCGTTGTCGCGCAAAACGATACAAGCATGCCCGCACATACGACTGTAAAAGAAGCCTGAGCAAGAGCAAAGAAGCCCAGCGCAGCGGCCGTGAGTCCCAACGTCAAGGGTAATGCATACAAATGACCCCACGCCGTTTTCACAAGAGCGGCGCCAATGACACTGCCTGGTACACTGCTTAATGCATACCATACGAGACTGCGCAAAGTTTGTACAAACGATGTGGACGCCTGAAAGGACCCTTTGCGCTGAAGATACAGAGGAAAAAATGCATTGAAGATCGTAAAGGCAAACGATAATAGCCCCCACAAGCACCATATAGTTAATGTTGTGCGCCGTTGAGGCAAGGCAAAGAGCAGACCACACCGGCCTCCCCATTCTGACGATAAGAAAAAAGCAGAGGCGAAGGCAGATATTCTTCCAGACTCGATACCCGTTGAAAGAGGACCTTCGTCCGCCTCAATGCTAGGATCAACGTTATCTTGGTGTTGTAGATCTTGATCTATGCCGCCATCACGACTAGCAGGGACCTCATATTCCATGCAATTGTCATCTTGACCATCAGGAACAGGATCAAAAATATCGTAGCGTCCTTTGTTGTACAATTCAATAGCATCTAAGACGCGATGCGCGTCATCAAGACGCCCATTCTCAGCCAGGAACAGTGGGCTTTCATGCACGCGACACAAGCAACACCGAGCAGCTACCAGGACAAGTGTGGTGCAGCTCAGCATCGTTGTGAGAATGCGCCACCCATGATTCGGGTTCGTGCAAGCGTCCTCACGCATGCAACTACGACCCGGAAGTATAGCATATGCCATTAATGCACAAAGTACGGATCCGAGTGCAAAAAAGACAGAAAGAGCGGTAAGCCAGTGGCGTTTGTGAAGAGGGAGTGTCTCTATGAGCAGAGCACCATCAATGGGCATACTTCCCCCCACGCCCATGCCCACAACCGCAACGAGCAGACACGAGAGACCAAAAGTCGGAGTAAGTCCAACAAAGAGGCCAGCAATACCAGCAACAAGAAGGCTTCGATGAAACACGTACAAGCGACCGTGTATGTCGGCTATGAAGCCCCAAACAAACGCACCAAGGGCCATGCCGGCAAACATGCACGTTGTTATGATGGTGGTGGCTGCATCACTGAGGTGCCAGTCATCTGTTTGTCATGCGAGTAAGCAAGCAAAGCTCGAGCGGGAAAGATAGAGAGAGAGAGAGAGAGAGAGAGATCGCGTGTTCATGTTTGAACTGTGGAAAACACGTACACTGAATGTGTGGCAACGCCACAGCTAGGCCTTGGAGCCACATCTGTCCACGTCAGCTGGGGCGCCCAAGAGCGCGCGAGTGATGGACGTACATTATCCGCTGCCCAACCAGACCCACATAGAACCTAGCAAGCAACGTTAACCTGCACCATACGTACGAGGAGCACCGCATGGTACGTGCCTACGCCCACATAGGCCATGCGCTCCTCCGGGCATGACACGACCATGGTGCATATGGTATCACGTGATGGCGATCAGCTCAAGAAGCGAAATAAATGAGGCGCGGCGTGAGTGGAGATGGAACGGAAGCGAGGAGGCAAGAAGTAAGAACACAGTGAGGAAGGAAGAAACTTCTGGAGGTGTTTGTGTAGGCCTTTAAGGCGATGCCAGGCAGTGGCCTATTAGGATCTGAGTGTGGGAGAAAGAAGATGGGGAGAAAAAGAGGTGGGTGGTGGCCAGCAAAAACGACGGAAGTGCACGAAGATCGCAGCTGTCTTCAGCGACGATGAGCCGCACAGAGAGCATTGCTGCTGTGGCGCGTGGCGAAGAAGCTAGTGAAAATGTGGCGCCGCAGGTCGAGCGCGGTGCATTCACGGAGAAGGATCAAGAGAACCTCGCGATGGACTCAGATGCCATTACACAAGTGCAAGTAGATGGCATGGTTCTGATGAAGATCGTGAAGCACTGCAAAGACAACCATGCGGTAAACGGCAGTAATGCTTGGGGCGCGCTTCTTGGTATGGACATGGGCGGTACATTGGAGGTAACGAATGCGTTTGGGTTGCCAGGCATGCGCTCAGAGCGAGGTGACGAGGAAGAGCGGACGACCAAGTCATCGATGCAATACATGGGCGAGATGCTGCGTCTCTTGCATCAGGTGAGTGCGGATATCAACCCAGTGGGTCTGTACCAAGGTGCATTTCTGGGTCCGTTTCTAAACACGGCTGTTGTCGACGGACTGAACACACTTTCGCTCCTGATGGAACGTGAGGGACAACATGGCCGAGGGAAGGCCGTCATGCTCGTGCATGACTACGCTCAGCTGGCACAAGGAAACACGGTGCTGAAAGCATTCCGCCTGTCTTCATCATTCATTGATGCATATCGGAAGGGAAAGTTCTCGTCCCAGAGCCTCATTGAACACCGCCTCACATTCTCGAATGTGCTGATTGAAATACCAGTCCACATCCGGAACTCGGCGCTGTTGGACGCTATGCTCACAACGTTGACGACGGAGCAGGCATCGGATGCGCGCATTGTGCCACCGACATCGAGGGAAGAGCTGTCGTCGTCGTTATCGTCCGGGCATGTACTCGTGCCACCGAATTACATGGACTTGAACCTGGCGCTGGAGCCCGTGCTTGTGTCAACCATGGAGTCGACACTCGATGCTGCGGAGACATATGCAGCGGAGGCTGGAAACGTCGGCTATCAGGCACGACAGATCGCGCGTGAAAAGGCACGAGCCGATGCGTTTGTGGCGCGTCGCAAGGCAGAGAATGCGACGCGTGAGTCGGCAGGTCTGGCGCCGCTGCCCCTGGACGAGGTGCACAAACTGTTCAAGATCCCCGCAGAGCCGAATCGTCTCGAGAGTTTGTTGCTGCTGAACCAACTTGATAGTGCTGCGCAGCGCCTGTCTGAGACTGCGGCTGTGGGCGCCGTACAGCTGGATGCGGCTCGGACAGGCACAGCCTTAGATAGAATAGTGTGTGAGAGATTTCCATACGAATCATGAGCAGAGATGCAGCTTGCCTATGGAGTTGGCGTTTTCGGGCTCGCGAGTGCACTGGCTCCTCGTCGGATCCCTGATTGAGACGCCAGCTGCATCCTGTATACGGATGCATCGCCTACATCGGTGATCGTCGGTTCCGTTTCTACTTCAGCTTCTGCATACGAGCCTCAGCGGCACGTGCGCGTTTTTCACGCTCAATGCGTCGGCGCATCTCATCCGAAAGCGATGCATCGTCCATCGGCACGGATGGCGAGGCCGAGCTGCCGCCAAGCCGCTGCCAGAGGTGGCCCAGAGTGGATGTCGGAGCTGGTGCAGCAGGTTCGGGTGCCGGAGCTTCCGCAAGGGCTTCCTGCTTCTCTGCTTTCGATTCACGCTCGCGCATCTTCTCCCGCATGGCGGCCCGACGAGTGCGAGCTTTTGACGACTGAGCCTCTTGCATCTCAGCGGTCAGAGCCGACGGCACACGAGCACCACCGACACCCATCTCGTCCCAAGCATACCAGTCAGGCTGCTCTGCCATCACACGACGAAAGACAGTGCGGCTGGCTTTGCCGCCACAAAGGTCGTATGCTGTGCGATGTGCAAAAGCAGAGGATGACGAGGACGATGACGACATACTTTCAGGACGAAGAGGAAGCACAGGCAACGTCGGATCTGCACGCTGCTCCACGAGCAAGTAATGCACCATGTCAGGCTGGTCAGCGGCGGCAGCGAGCTGCAGCAGAGTCGTAGGAACAATGGTGCGCGACGAGCGAGCCTCGCTCTCACGCCACCAAGAAGGCAGTGGCGCATCGATGAGTTTGGCTTGCACATATGCGAAAGATCCAGCAGCGCCATGGTTGCCATCACTGCCGTCGCCCCTGTCACCAGCGGCGCCCGTCAGCGAGCTGCAGCGTGCAGACTCCAGCAGCTCCTGGTGCCGAGTGAGAAAGTTGGTGAGTGCATCGATCTTGCCACGGCGCACCATCGTCACGAGACGTTCCCAGCGCTCACGCACACGCGACTCCTTCTTTTCGTCCTTCTTCTGTGCATGGCTCGCCCCCTCTTGCTCACGTGTACGCATGCGCGGACGTGCGTGCTGCTGGGCATCGCTCGCACGCAACGCACGTGCCACAGCTTCTCGATGAGCATCGTCCTGAGCAGCAAGCTCCTCCGGCGTCAGATGTGCGACTTTGATGCGTGTTAGCTCGAAAAAGCAGCGGAGGATCTCCGACATGGTGGGTCGCTGCGTCGCGATAGGGATGTGGGACAATGCGCCAAGCGCCTGCTTCTCGTCTAATGGACTCGGCGCATGGCCTGGCCAGTGCCAAAGAACGCCATGGGCCGAGCGCATAGAAGCTCGCACCCATACGTGTTCAGACCGAGCGATCAGGTCGCGCCAAGCACGCCGGTTCAGCAGCTGATGGATATCGTGCGTGAGTTGTGCCTCACCATAGCGACGGAGATTCGCTCCGGCGCTCTTAGCATGCCGGCCGGTCGAGTCCTGCGCAGCCTGAGAGCCACCCTGTTTTCTTCGGGTCGTGTATCGATGGAATGTCTTGTGAGCAAGCACAATGACCGAGCGCTGCGGCTTCGAGCCGCGTGCTTTTGCTCGTTCCGACAGCGGTAAGACGTGCAAGTTGAGCGCAATGGTGGCTACAGCGAAATGACCACCGCCCATCATGATAAATGTCCAGAGCCGCAGCGGGGGCAGTTTGTCAAGCGATGGCTGTGGCTGTGACTGCACCGGCGCAGAATCAGAGAGTAGTTCAGAGGACGCCGTTGACATGGACGACATGGTATCAGAGTCGGTCGCCTCCTCGTCCTCATCATCCTCCTCGTCGCCTTCTTCTTCAGCCTGATCTTGAGCCTGACTCTTCGAAAGCCATGGCACAAGACCTGTGCCATCCAATACATGCATCTGCATGGACCGACCCACATGTTGTGTGCCTTGCACATGCTTGCCTGACCATCCACATGTGCCTGGGCGTATGTCAAGCCGCGGCGTTGTCAGCGCTGAAAGGAACCTCGAAGGTGGCGCTGACTCTCCAGATGGCGCAGCAGCTAGCAACACATCTCGATAAATCCCCAGTTGTGTTTGCTCGAGCTGCGTTGGCGCATTCGGCGCGGTTTCATACCACCACATGGGCGAGCGCAATGCATCGGACATGACATGAGCTGTCAGAGCAGCAGCATCCACATGCTCATCGCTATCCTTTGAGTCCCTTGATCCGCTATCTGACAGATCCAGGCGTCGAATCAGGGCTGTAAGCTCGTCAGTCGTATCCGCGTCATCGCGTATGTCCTGGTCTTCGGCATCGAGATCAAGCGACGCACACATCTGATCGAGCTCTTCACGCGAAACCAACGGAGCCTGCTTTCCACCAGGTGCGCGCAAGTTGTGCTGACGAACAACGAGGTTATATCGGTGCCACAAACTGCGAAAGTGCGAGCGCTGTTGCTGCACGTTCGTAAATGTGCCGCAGCCAGGACACATGGTGCATGCAGGTGCGCCCAACCGTGGCGGCGTTGGTAGGGCGGACGGTGTAGATCCAGACGAAGCAATGGACAGTGTTGGAATTGCTGATGATGATGATGACGATGATTGTTGCGACTGTGAAACATCTTCTTCATTTTGCCGTAGGGTTAGGGAAGATACAAGCTCCGCAGGGATATCAAATGCATACAGCGGCGACGCAAGCCATGGGTGCCTTGCTGACAGACCACGCTGTCCACTCGTAGACATAACGACCTGACGAAACAATGCACGAGCCACGTGTATGTTTCTGACGATGTAGCGCTCAACGATGCTTAAGAGCCAGGGAAAGGGAGGAGGGCAAGGAAAGAGATGTATGGACAAGAGATACGAACAAATTAGGTTTCACACATGCGCGTGATTCCAGCCAATGCGAAACTACGTCAAAAGGGCCCTTTCATGACGCCGAAAGTCCCAGGGTCGTGTGACAAAGGAGGTAGGTTGTGGAGGCGGATCGACAGGTCATGAGGAGCAAGCGTTAAGCGGGTGTATGTGTGTGTGTGTGTCCGTATAGAGCCACAACCAGCATTGTCAAGCTGAAAAAGAACTGGGACTATGTCTGAACATGAGCTTATCGCATGACAATAGGCATAGTGCACACGCAAGTGACCGATCACCTCCGTTTCTTTTTTTTTTTTTTTTTTTTCCTTTTTTTCATCAATACAGCATAGATGTCCCCTTACTGGTTTGACATGGTGTAAATGAACACGTGCGACGCTTCGGCAAGACCCAATTTTATGTGCCTCTCATAAAGATCCTCGTCTCTTCTCGACAAATCTCATAGGTACATGCTAATAATAGGCTACAGTATGCAGGAGTGGATAGGCAAAGCACTGCTGCTGCTTCTCAAGGATTTCGTCCATGTCTTCGTCTATGTCACGAGCTTGTTCAATCTGATTGTGAGTATGCAAGATGCATCGAAAATTCCAAGAACAGGACGGATAAAAAATGCGACTTCTTACGTACCATCTCAGCCAGAGAGAGAATGGCATTGGCAGCTTTTTGTGCTTCCTCGTGATTGTCTTTGATTTCCACATTGATAACATGCACAGGTCGATTCAGTTCTTGCCGACGGCTCAACAGATCTTATACATGTGTGAGTTTTTTTTCATTGCCAGACAAACCAAGATTGTGTACGCACCCTCGCAAACGCTGTCGAAGCAGCGCTCTTCACATGTGATAACGACATCTGAGACGCGGCGACACTCCTGCCAGCGCTCAGGGGCTGATTTAATGTGCCGATTACGATCCAACATCGGCAAGAGCCCATTGGCTTCATAGAGTCGCGAATCCTTCTTCATCAAATCCTGGAACATGGTCTCATACGGTGTACCAAACGCATAGATATTGGGCTTGTCAATCGACGGGCCTGGTAGACGCACTGCAGATCCAGTGCCACATGACGTTACGAGATAACCAGCATCCCTGGCACTGGGTTAGTCGAACGCATCATCCATACACACATACGTACTTGAGAGCAGCATGCGCAGACATGGACCGGTTCTTTTTTGTGTAAGCCCATCCTCATACGTGCATTCGTTCGCGCACACGCAATTGAATACACACCTGGTTACTTGCGCACACAACGCAAAAAGCGACATGACCGCGCCCATCGGCGTCCGTAGCCATCGTCCAACAAGCTCTTGCAAAACACTTTCCAAAAAAATCAATCTATGAATAGACTACTACAGTGGATGTACGGCGCGACCTCCAGCAAAATGCCTAGCCAGCCAACAGCTGATAAAGGGGCGGGGCGGCATTAGCAGCTAGGCCAACCAACTAGATTCGCCACAAGCCAATCATCTGGATTGGGACCTCCACACATACCAGGCTCAACATGCTCGAGATGAGAGAGAGAGAAAGGAAGGGGGCACCACGTCGGCTGCGCATGAAGCGTTAACCAAAGCTTCAGCTCCACAACGCAAGCGAACGAAACGGCACCGCGTGTGGAGGCCACGCTTCATCCTCTCGAACAAGTCCGTCGTCCCAATTGACGGCCAACCTCGTGAGCGTTGCGCGGGAAACCAACAAGAACGAATTGAAAGAAACAGATCAGAACAGCTTGAACTAGTGGCGAAATGTACCGTCGCGAGTCTTCGTAGGACAATGGACCCATCAAACGTTCCGCAAGCCTCAGCGGATGCATCCAGTACAGAAGGCGTCGCTGAGGCTGTTGCATCGAAATATATGAATGAGCTGACGGCGCGTCTATTGTCAACAGCATCCGAAAGCAGTACTCTTCAAAATGAAATGGCTACCCAGACTTCCGCATCACCACCAACTGTGACGCCTTCAGCAGATGTATCTGCGCCGAACGCAGTTACCGCGAGTGCTCCGGATGCAGAACTTGACTCGACAACCGCGGCGAGTCTGGAAAAGTTCATGTCAACATTGAAAGAACACTTACAGCTGGATACTGATACGTGGGATATGTCTGGCTCGGCTGAAGATGTGTTTTCTTCTTCGCTGCCTGCCATGCTGGACGATCCGTCTGCAGCACTAGCATCAACATCGACAGGAGCCGCACCTTTTGCACACACATCGGGCTTTCCTCTTGACAGATCATCGACTCTTACAGATGCATCTGCATCTGCTGCTGATGCGAATGCAAGTGCAGATCCAGAGCCAATACCCTTGTCGGTGTCAGTACCAGTGCCTGTGCCGGTATCGCCACCGTCTATTCCGCCCGTGCCAAGAGAGCGCGTTCATTCCCTTTCGCCTGCCGAACACCGACAGAAAATTGCTCAACTTGTCCGCGAGCACATGCATGAAGAGGCGCATGGGCTCACAAAGTTGGGAACAGGCTCAACGGCACCACTCATGACCAAGATCAAGTGCCTACATGCCAGCGTGGCGCAGAAGTCGTACGGGTCTGAGAAACGTTTTCTTTGTCCACCGCCCGTCGTACATGTCCAGGGAACGCTTCGGCATGCGCCAAGCGCTCCCATGCTGCTCATGCAAGTGCAAGGCGAGGATGGCGACAGCTTCTCAGGTGAGCAAATGACGTCCTTGGACGATTCGGGCCATGCTCGCTTCACCGAGCTGCATGTCACCGGCACTGGCAAGGCCAAGAGTTTTCGCTTGCAGCTGCATCTCCTGGCGCCCCGCGATGATGCTGCGCCCATAAAACGCATGCGCCTCGGCCTGGGCTTGTCAGATACCGCAGCTGTTCGAAATGCAAGTTGGGCCTGCTTTGACTCTGCGCCCATTGGCATCATATCCAAGCCATCGAAGCGTATTGCCAAGGCTCGCAATGTATCGGCGCACATCACCAAGGATGCATCTGTCTCGCTCTTTAACCGCATCAATTCGCAAACATACCGTACAAAATACCTATGTGCTCAGGATGGGCGCTTGTTTGCACAGAGCCGCTCATGGACGGCATTCCGCCTCGTTGTGCTCTCGCGGCGAGATGCGTCTGGGCCACTTGATACATCGGACGTGAGCGTGTTGACGTATGGCTCGGTAATTTTGCTTGTTGACCCAACTTCAGGCGCAAGTACAGACCCGCTCATTGTATGCAAAGTGGATCGCGGCCGCATTCTTCCGCCGATCGATGGCCAGCATACGTCAGACGACGACGATCATCACGCTTGGGGCGCGGTGGCCCAAATGCAGAAAGTCGCACTCATGCGCTTCGTTCCCACGCAAGGTGAATGGACATTGCATGCACACACGCCTAGAACATACCTATGTGCTGGCACACCACCTAACACGTACGGCGATGCAGGCAACAGTGGCGGCGGCAACAGCAGCGGCATTCCATTAGGCAGCGGCGCTGGCATGGCGCGCTCGGATACATCGGACGACGCACATTCATTGCCTCTCACATTCGCCAGCACGCGCCCACTTCCCTGGACACAGCATGTGGTCATGGACGAGGCCGAAGATGCATTTTGTTGGACCCTAGTTGGTATCTCGCATTTTGAATACGCATTTATGGACGTCGATATGCTGGGCTTACACAGTCCGTCGGCGTCAATGGGTTTGGCGCTCACGCCATTTCCCCTTGTGACGACGATGCCTTTTTATGATGCAGCCTCCCACAAACTGGCCATGACAGTGCAACACTTTCTGTACGTGCGAAACTCGGCAGCCCTGCAAACACCGCGCGATGCATACGAAGCCATTCATGCAGAATCGCAGTCGTCGCAGCTCGAGGCGCTCGAGGTGTGGATCGGGCCTCTAGGCCCACTGACGTTGGCTTCCGTACCTGTGCCAGAAAGTGACGAAGCTGAAGTGGCCGTGCAACTCCCGCCTTTGCGTGAGATCCTGCAAGCCCGCCTTGACCCATGGAAGACGCCTCTGTCATCATGCACACTACCGATTCTCTTTGTGCGCGCCTACGACAGCACCATATACCACTCGGGCCGCCATGTGCTGTGCCAAGATCTCGTCGCTGTTGTACGGGCTGCCGGCGACAGCAGCGCCGCAAATGCACTCCAAAAGCTCAATGTCGGCCTGGGTGAGCAGGCAGGCGCGCATGAACTGCCCCCTGGGAGTGTATGGACACTCCGTGTGATTTAGTATATTGGGCGAGGGTATGTCGTCGATGGGCCACGTACAAAAGGCACGAGTCGTTGCTGCCGCAGCACACAAAAATATACAATCTTCAATATGCGTGTACTTTCTTGCAACAGCCTCCATGATGTCGAGTAGACTGCGGGCAGGCCGTCTGAACAACTCTCGCCAACACTAGCTAGCTCCACAGAAGCAAGGCTGGTCGTTGGCCTGCAAGACACCCAATGGGTGTCGCGGTGTAGGATGCAGGCGCGCGGCGCCAGCCAGGAGGAGCAGAGTCGGCAGCAACAGGGGATGCGGTGGCGTCTCCATCAGCATATCCGTCTGAAAAGCCAGTCCCACCCTGGTCTGTGAGACGAGCATGATGGGGCTCTGACATCGCCTCGTCCTCCATGGCATCGCCAATAGGCGAGTACGCTGCGTCATTCTCTGCTGACCAGAATGGCAACGTCGCAGCACGTTCCTCCATCTCACCGAGACAAGCAGACGCGGCCACAGATTCGTCCACATGCGATAACTGATGCAAACGACACAACTGTTCCACACGCGAATGCAAATTCGCGTCATTGTCACATAATGATAATGCTAGAGTATGTAAGTCATGATCAGGTGTCTCGAGAGCATAAAATATGACCGTGCGACGCAATGGACCACGACGCATCCTGTCTGTTGATGTACGCAGGGTAGAGGTCATGCCATGGGACCCGCTGTTCTCATGAGGCCATCGCGGCACATGAAGAGGCACTTCAATCTCGTCCATATTCGCAAGATGCTGAAGCCAAGCACGTGCACAAGTACGCTCCGACATGGCTGCGCAGACAAGCGCGTCCACCAAAAGGGGCAAGAACATCGGTGCCATGACATGCATGTGTCGAAAAAGTGGATCCCAAAGCCGTGCTGCCTCTTCAGACACGGGCGAATCCATGCCGGCGACATCCGTGCGACCTCGGCGGCCGCGTCGTTGCTTCATGTCAGTCGGAAAGAGAGCACCAGGTAGAAGTAGCTGACTTATGAGCTCTTGGAGGACAGACGCAAGTTGCTTCGTTTCTTCTTCATCCTCAAGTGAGAAAGATGGATCACCAGGTTCATCGCTTTCTCCATCTTTGTCATGAGCTCGGCGCCCCAGACGCGCAGCCGTGCTCATCAGCATGGGCCGTGCAGCACGACGACTCCACTCCTGACGCACAAACTGCTCAATCTGCACGAGCGCATGAAAATGGGGCGGCATGCTCCGCTGCATGAGACTTTTATCTCGCAGCACGGCTGTTGCTTGTTGCTTGTATGCATACAAGAGCTGTGCAGCACGTACTCTAGTGGTAGCCCGTGCCTCTTGCTCGCCATCGTCCATGCCGGATTCTACATCGTCCCCTTCTTGCTCGCCGGAGCTATACAGACTGCCACCGTTGTACACTTGCAGTGTAGGCCGCCAATAATGATGGTCGAGCCATGCTAAAGCACGCTCACTAGCCGTGCGGCATACACTTATGCTTGGCAACTCTTCATGGGTGGAGCAATGCCGCACTTGGACGAGCCACTGAGGCAGACCTATCTGCTCAGCAATGGCACCGATCGATTGAGCATATACGCCAGTTTGGAACGAGTCCACGACTGAGTTGACGAGTCTGGTAAGCGCCATGGCATAAGAAGCTCGTGCCGCATAGTCAGATACACGTGTTTGATCGAGCATGACGCTCTCAACAAGCAGCGCCGTCGACTCAACAGCCTGAGGGCAGCAAGTGCGATGAATCCACAATCGCACGACTCCAAGTGCAGATTCTATCGCATTACGATCGCGCCTATTGCCATAGAAGCGCTCGTACACGTACGAAATTTCTTCTTGCACATTCCCATAGTACGGTGTGCGCCGCGGAAGACGCATATCGCGCAGCTATGACCCGCCACCTGCAAGTTCTGAGTGCAATGTGTGTTGTATGACGCCGCGTCCAAATTCCTGTGAGGTGGAGATGCTCCTCATTTTTAGAGAGGCTCAGATGAAAAAAAAAAATTTTGACTGGCTTCCTGACATACAATGTGGAGGAGCCCTTGCGGCACCGAGGGCTCGCGAATCTACCTACTAGGAAAGTTGCACATTTGTTGGAAATGAATGAGCAAGCCAACCTCACTTGGCGTCGCCGCCGGTTCGTGGACCCTAACAATGCCGCGTTATTGGTCAATATCACGTGGGTGTCATAAAACCCGCTCCAGCTGTGCTTGGACCAACAGCGTTCCAACCTTAACGAAATGGCGTTGCCACCAAGTTTGCAAGCCCTGTCCATAGGTGCGCGTGATGCCACGAACACGCTGGAGTTTTACGTACGTACATGGATCGAAACTCACACCGCCAGCTGGACTACCTTTGTATGTGGTTACCCCTTCTAACACCTGAACAGGCCCCTTTTCTGCGAAGATCCTATTGAACTTTCATGAGCAGATCGTCCCGCTAGTGTGCGGCGAAAATGCACGGTACCGTGGTCAGTTACGTGTAGTGATTCGCCCTGTGCCGCAGCCTTGGCATGCATCCTCGACGCTTCTGCACGAGACAGCTCTCGCCATCGCACGCCTTGCACATGACAATCGTGAGATGCTAGAGAATGCATACACCAACGCATTCTGGCACTTCTCTATCGCTCTTATGCGATCGGCGGAATCTTGGTTCGATGAGAATGCCCGTTCCAAGACGCCAGATCAAATGCGTGCCGAACTTGTCTCGCTAGCCGTGACGATCTTGGGCGATGACGCGCGGAAAGCGGGCAACAAGCCTCTGGTGCACTTGCCTGATGGCGAGACCCTTACGAATGCTGTCCACTCATGGACACGTGTCGGGAAGGGCAACGATGGCTCGCGCATTGTCCCTGATCTCAAGTACTGCGTACGTATTCCCTGTGTGCCTCCGAGCCCAATGTACTGACAGAACGACCAGGTCAAGATCGGACGTCAGAATGGCATTCATGTGACGCCTACTGCATTGTGGAATGGCGTCGTTGAGCCCAGCATCTCGAGCTCATTTTCCAAGGAACAGTGGATGAACTTTTTGGACGAGCGAATTCCCCGTGCCAACATGTAACAGTTGCCCACGCATGAGGGCAATACCTCTTTGGTCCAAGCTATAGGTACTTAGACCAGATCGGCCAGCGCGCATTGTGCCGCATATAGTGAGAGTGTCTTGATGCGTGTGTTGGCCTGAATTGAAACTCTTTTTTTCCCGACGATTGCCACTTCCTTAGTCCAACAGAACATCGGGTGTCTCCACAGGTGAATTTTTATCTACAACTACCCAGCATGCCTACCGGGGCCTTGACAAAGACTTCGCTTCCACTGCCGCTCATTGCGCGTGGAAAAGTGCGTGATGTATATGATTCTGGCCTAAACTCTGGTGAATACAAGGGTGCAATGCTTATTGTGGCGACGGACCGGATCTCAGCATTCGATGTTGTACTTGAAAATGGCATTCCAGACAAGGGTCGCATCCTGCATGGCCTGTCAGAGTTCTGGTTCCGTCAGCTAACACCCAAGATTATTCGCTCGCATCTTCTGGGAACGCAGTTTGATGAATTTCCACAGCCGCTAAAGGAAGCCCTTGCTAATGTGCGCGATCAGGTCGAAGGTCGTTGTATGCTCGTTCGTCGTGCCAAGGTGCTACCGGTTGAAGCTATTGTGCGTGGCTACATCACGGGTAGTGGCTGGTCAGAGTACAAGCGCAGCGGCACAGTGCATGGCATCAAATTGCCAGAGGGGCTCAAAGAATGTGAACAGATTCCAAACGGACCTCTATTCACGCCGTCGACGAAGGCTGAGCAGGGAGAGCATGACGAAAACATTCATCCAGACAAGGTGGCTGAGCTCATTGGACCAGAACTTGCTGAGAGTGTTGCAACGAAAGCCAAGCAGCTATATGCAGAGGCAGAGAATTTTGCCAAGTCACGAGGTATCATTCTGGCTGATACCAAGTTCGAGTTTGGTCTTGTGCGGAACATTGTGAATGGAAAGGAACAAGATGAATTGATTCTTGTGGATGAAATGCTGACGCCCGATTCATCGCGGTTCTGGTCAGCCGACAAGTATGAGATGGGTCGGTCACAGGAGAGTTTCGACAAGCAGTACGTGCGCGACTGGATGAAGGCCAATGGCTTGGACAAAGCGGCACAAACTTTTACGCCCGTGACTCTGCCAGACGAAATCGTCGAGCAGACAGCTGCCAAATACCGTGAGGCGTACAAGATGATAACGGGTCGCCAGTTTGAAACGACAAACTAATGGTCATAACAGCCAGATTCCTACTATACAAAATAGTTGATTTGCTATACGTACACGAGGGAAGCGAAAGAAAGAAAGAAACATCCGAGGTAGTTTGCGTTCGTTAGCTGCGACGCTTCAGCGGCGTCACTGCAGGAATGATGTTCTCTTGTGAGGGACGCTCTTGAAGCGGCATGTTAGTACGGCCTTGAACATTTGGTTCGTGGGTGACAAGTGGCGATGCCTCTCGTAGACGGTCTGTAGCTAAGGGTGCGATTGCTTGCTCGAGTCGATCTGTCACATTTGACATCGCGGTCTGCAGAATGCTTGCCTCGTCGCGGACGGACGACGCCACTGCACGGGCATCGAAGAAGTTTAGTGCGCCCTGGACACGGCGCATAGCTTGCGTAGCGGCCTTACTAGATGCATCGGCTGCGTCCATGTATGTTTCCATAGGCTCAGTGATGGAGCGGGTGGATGAGACAATATGGTCTAATGTGGCATGCGTTGACAAAGACAACCCACGCCGATGTGAATCCCATTGCAATGCTTCATCATGTCCGCTTGTGCGAACAAGCTCGATGGTCTTATCAAGGTGCTGCGTGGCCGCGTCCTTGCTACGTTGAGTATCCGAGGCAGTCGATGTATATTCCGACATAAGCTTTGATAATGTCTCGCGCTCATGCATCGCTGCATGTTCTGCTAGCTTGGCTGCCTTGAGATGGCGCTCAAGCCGCTCGTCCTGCGTCAAGGCAAAAGAATCAATGGCACTGAGCAGTGTTTTTCGCAGCGACTCAGTCTCGAGCTGAACAGAGTGACGTACGTCATTCCACTGCTGCGTCTCCAACGCAGCACGCGCTTGGGCACGTGTCAAACCATCATTCGCATGATGCGTGAGCGAATCCACGTGTTGCTCGATTTGTGTCGACGCCTGATCCCACGCACGTACGACTTGTTCGGATGCATAAAGAAGGTCCGACACGCGCGAAGTGTGCGTTTCAAGACATGACGACATGCGATCGGCTGTGTCCATGTGTGTTGAATACAGCCCGTGAAGCTGCTGCGTCATAAGTTGCAGTACTGACGCGGCCAAACTTTTTATGGCTGGCTTGTCGAGGGCGGGAAAAGCCGTGAGATACTCGTGAATAATGTTTTGAATCGATGAGGCCTGAGACTGGACCTGCTCACTTAGTGATGATAAAGTTTGGCGAATATCGATGCCAGCGCATGCATTGATATGAAATCGCGCCTCATGCAGTTGTTGTACCAGATCCGACATAGCAGTACGTGTCTGCGCATCAACATCTGCGCGGCGTGCAAGCTGCTCTTCAAGAGAAGATATATCTCGCTCAGCCTGCTCAGTACAAGTGCGGAGTTTGGTTTCAGCTTGCACTGCATCTGCCTCACGCTTCGCAAGCACGCGCGTGTTTTGTTCAAGCTGTTCTTGCATGCTCGTAAGCCGACTTGCAGCAACGTCAGCAGCACGACGGTACTCATCGACCTGTCTCTTTAGCATGCCTTGTTCTGTCTCCATACGAGCCCAATTGTCCTCGCTGACAAAGATGCCGTTCCTTGCACGGGTGGCAACCAAATCACTGCGCAAACGATCGATTTCTGTAACGTATTCACGCAACAGCGCCGTTCGCGTCATGCGCTGATTCGCCTCAGGTCGATTCTTGATCGATTTCGCACGCGAAGCATAATCGAGGGTGGATAATGTCTCATCGAGGTTATCGCGATCGTCACTGACCGTAGCAATGATGCAAGTCTTGGCGCGACCGCCTAACGAGTCTTGTAATAGACGCGTCAGGCGCGATTCTCGATACGGCACGTGTGTACTTCCGTCGACGAGCGCATTGATGACACGGCCCAACGTCAGCAAACTTTGGTTAATGGCACCCGCCTCGCGAGCACGTTTGTTCTCTGCGCCACTGCGCCCAATGCTCTCGCTCCCAGCCAAATCAACTAGGTTCAGCTTGCCGATTCGCATCAGCTCTTCACCACGAGCGCCCGTATCTTTTATCTGCACAGTAAGGGTAAATACGCAATGGGAGCGGCTCGAAGTATGATTACACAAGGTGGAAGCGACATGCCGACGTTCGCTTCCATATCGCAGCAAAGAAAGCCCATGTGCTGCACTGGTAAGCGGAACTTCCTCGAGACCTTGTAGCACAACACCGCGTCCACGTGGATCATCATACATGCGAAGCTGAGTCGACGCGTGTTCATCGCCAAGCAAATCACGCAGCTCTTCATTGTACAGTTCGATGAGCGACATTTTCACTGCATAGTCATCACCACGCGACTCAAGCACATGGAAGAGACGGTACAGTGTACGAGGAATCACGCCAGCTTCTGGCGCATACGTCTCCATGTACGAGGCAAGATCGCCTTCCATAGTGTGCGTCTTTCCAGTGCCTGTTTGACCGTAGGCAAAGACCGTGCAATTATAGCCAAGTAGTACATCATCGAGCAGGGAGCCGACGGCATCAGTATATACCATGTTTTGATCAGCTTCTGCGCTGAGCACGTGGTCAAACGCATAGGTCTTGGTACGCGACGACGATGGTTGCGTTTCTTGGATTACCGTGATACGCTCACCACGGGCACCCTCTGTCACTAATACACTATTCCCAGTACTTGCCGTACCACGAACTCGCACCATGACGCGCATAGATGTCTCTGTACGTCGAAGGTCTCCTTGAGACAGTTGTCTTTGCTGTTGCTGTGCACCAGAGCCCGAGCGGTTCGGAACGCCAGGTCGCAAAGTCCCAGCCATACTCGCAGTGGCAGGTGCAGTGCGACTAGGCGCACGCACACCAAGATGTGTGCGGCGATGCGGAAGCGCCATTGTCGCCGAAAAGCGCCTCAGGAAACGCTCGTCTCACTCGCGTCCTTTAGCGTGGACAAGTGTTGTGGATGGAGGACTGAGTCGATAAAGCTTGCCTTTTTTTCTCGGCTGCACGCGTGCATGTCTTGTCCCACTCTTCCAGCACTCATTCTAGTCTCGCACTCACTCACATAGTACGACACGCGCGCTGCTACCGACGCGTAGGGAAAACTATCACGTGACTCTGCGATCCACCCACAGTGCTACGCTCGCGTCCTGCGCAAGGCCAGCAGAGGCAAGTATGGGAAGGGTGGGATGAGCCTGGATATGGGTGAGCAACATAAGCGGAAGAAAGCGAGCGCACTAGACGCAAAACGATCATACTAGTGCATACGTACCGCAACGCAAATCACAGCATCTCTGTGCGCGGCCAATTTGCAAACCACGCGTTTCGTTTGAACATCCCATACATACACAAGGCGGTCTTCACTGCCGCAAGCGACACAAGTGCGAGATGGGCGGAATACTAATATGCCTGTACCAGCATATTGTGTATTTTTGTGCGATGTGTATGTTTTGAGGATACGCGCATTGGCAATGTCCCACAAGCGCACGGCGCTATCGAGACTCGACGCAAGCAGCTGCAGTGATGAGGGAGAAAACTGGACCGATGCCACCGGTGCCTGGTCTGTATGCTGGAGTGTGCGCAGACACAGACCGGAACTCGTGTCCCACAGACGGCTGGCGTAAGTGCGTGAAGAGCAGGTGGCCTACTCACATGAGTCCATCATACGACGAGCTTGCTATCATGGTGCCATCCATGCAGAAGTCCACGCATGTCACAGCCTCGGAGTGTGCAGCGATTTCGCGATGACATGTGCCGCGCTGGATGTCCCACATGCGGATTGTCTCGTCAAAGCCACCGCTGATGAGCAGTGTGCTGAGTGGATGGCATGCAACACACATCACATACGAAGTGTGGCCTAGAAACGTGCGCACTAAGTGGCCCTTTCCAGCGGTGTGAGACAATAATACGCACACGCACTTCGACTTGATACGTACCGATTCTGCATCCCATAGACGCACACTGCGGTCGTCTGACACACTCGCAACGTACGCTGAGTCGCGTGTCCAACAGACGCCGTTCACTCCATGCGTATGACCTTCCAACGTGTGTAACATACGGCCTGTATGAACTTGCCATATATTGACGAGCTTGTCCGCTCCGCCTGTTGCTATTTTTTGGCCATCGTACGAGAACGCAATGCTGGTTACGCTCTTCGAGTGTCCATACATCATGTACAGAAGGGAATATGCGTCTGGATCCTGTGCGTCTGGTGCATTCAGCGCACCCTGCACGTCGCCTGCATCCAACGTGTCTTGGACGGATTCCGACGCCATGTCCAAGGCAGGTTTCTAGCCATGTGGAGAGCGAGCAAGAGATGCAAGCAAGTGTAGGTTCACATGAATTACTCATGCCCAGCGTCTGAGGATGCCATGAGCAAATCCACAGCAAAATCTGATGCATCTCTCCACTTTTCGACAAGCAACGTCATCCAAGCTCCCCCATGTCTGTGCCAGCCTTTCAGCGGCTGCGTCGTGGCGCAACGGAAGTCGAGGATGCAAGTACAGGCAAGTTAGGCCCTGGTATGTGATGGATAACTATGCTGATAGTTGTAGAATTTCAGGATGCCGGTTGTTTGCTCGTCTCGGAGGTGCATTTGTTCTTTTCTCGGCCAGGGGAGTCGTCGGATCGAGATGATGGACTTTCGGCGTATGTGTGCCTTTAGCTATAGCTGACGCGCAGTGTTACCCAAAAAACAAAGGAGTATGTCGATGAATTCAGTCGATACAAGGATCAGTCGACGATCCGTGAAGTGCGTGCGTACGTTGATGGCAAGACAAGCAACAGGGCAAGGAGAAAGATGGGACTAACGATATGCATCGACAGTTTGTTGATTAAGCATGCAGCTCAGCCCGATATGGAAGACGAGGATGAAAAGGGCTTACAGCTCACGCAGTTTGAAATGGCGCAACTGGCAAATCTGTCAGTGACAGACATTGACGAGGCGCGCACTCTCATACCTACGTACGTTGGAAAGCACAAAATGTGGTGCAAACTCATACGGCAGACTCGCAAGCAAAGATGATGCGCAGCTAGAATCGCTTCTTCACGAACTGACGGCCATCCGGTCCTTCACATAACGACAACGGCCTGCGGCAATTTGTCGACACGCTCCCCATACATTTGGACCCACGGCATAGTACAGAAGCCCAAACATAGCACCCCCTAAATGCGCCATGTGATCAAACACACGCCATCCACGAACTATACCCATCACATCCAGCAGTACGAGGCTGCCGAAGCCCCACTGGATAGGGAAGGAAATCATTGGAAGAAATACAATGCTTCACCGTTAGTATTCACATACATATATATATATACGCCTTATTGAGCATACTGGCATATACGTTACCTTAGCTGTACTTGAGGCATCGTGCATGCACACAAAGCAAAAGCCGCATAAATCGCACCACTTGCGCCAAGGCTGGAACGGCGAGAGAGTCCGGCACGTTCTGCAGGAGTGAGTGAAGGCAGCCGCCAACGGAAAGCAACAGCCAAGTGACTCGCGAGAGAGGCAAAAAGCCCAGCGGATATATAGAATGCAAGAAATTGCGGAAACGTGTCAGCTTCGGGAATGTTTCCATGGGTTTCGTTGCGAGGTAACGCTTGAATTGCACTACTTCCAACAGACCACAGGGCTATATTGTTGAAAAGAAAATGTGGGAACCATTGATGACTCGAAACAGACGTTAGTAGTGTAATGACGCGAACTGAGCTCGGCCGGTGCACAAAATAGCGCTGCATCCAAGCGGAAGTACCGAGAGCGGGTGATAGAAGCCATGCGACGAAAACTGCTGTGTTGAGTGCAACGAGTGGCACAGCCGCTTGTTGGTACGTTGGTAGAGCCATATACGCATCGGCGATACCCTCGTACACGTCGAGACCTACTTGGCGGACAGTCTGAGGAAATGCCTGTAAATATTGGACAAGGCGATGATATCCACCAGCCCAACGCTCAGCATGTTCGTCTTGTACCAGCAGCTCAGAATTCCGCCGTACGCCAAGAAGAGATGATAGTGAATACAAAGAATGAGATCCGTGGAAAAGACGCTCATTTGAGTGAGTCGACCAGGCCGCACAGCTTGTAAAAGCAAGAGCAGATGTTGTAAGAACAAATCCGATGGCCAAGCCTATGCTTGGAGTGTGAATGCGAAATACCATAGGCCGCCGATGAGGCGCCCCATTCATATTGGGACGTGCGCGGGATAAGCGCGAGAGTCGCGAGGGCCATGTCGATACGTGAAAACCACGGATTGCGTCGACATACGACCACGCACGATGATGGCAGTTTTGAATCAGCACGCGCCACATGCCTTGGTCGGTGGGTGCGGGTAAGAGGCGCCTTAATGCACGACGCGTCGATAGAAAGCGGTCACTGACAATGATGCCCTGGGTGCAGGAAAACGTGGAGGGAGGAAGAACAGCAGCTGCCAGTTGCCTTGCAGGGCCCGATCTGTGCGATAAAAAGAGATCGAATCGCGTGAGTGGCGCGGGGTCGGCAGGCGAAGGAGGCGGGGGGAGAGGAAAGCCTCGCAGCCGCGCGCCAATCCAATGGGGTGCCGATCTAGCGACAGAGGGCGCAAGCTTATTGCACCCGTGCGCGCATCCGAACTTGCCACGCCCTGGCCTGGAAAGCCGTAGTACATGAACACACGCATCGGTTCTTTCCATCGAACGACCGTCCGAGCGATGAGCACACGCACTAGCAAGCCGACGCGGTTCCTCACGCAGCCATCGAAGCGTTTGTACGACGAGCTACACCGTGGCACAGACGTGTGGACATTTTTCAATCCGAGTGTGTTTCCCGAGGCGGTGAATCTAGGCCAGGGATTCATGAACTGGCGGCCACCGACGTTTGTGCTAGAGCAGCTGCAGAAAGAGATGGTGGAGCGGACGGATGTTCATCATTACTCTCCGGCGCGAGGACGACCGCGCTTGCTGAAGGCGATCAGCGATACATTCTCACAGAGCTTTCACAAGCCTGATGCAGTTGGTGAGGCGAAGATGAAAGAGGGCATTGTCGACTTGGATGCACAAGGACTTCCAAAGCAGAGACCAGCCTCGGATGCGCGACTTGATCCCACGAGCGAAATTGTCGTGACGGCCGGCGCCAACGAGGCTATGTACTGTGCGACGACGGCTTTTCTGGAGGAGGGCGACGAGGTCGTGATTATGGAGCCGGTCTTTGATCAATACGTGTGCGAGACCACATTCAATGGTGGAACGCCAATATATGTCCCTATATTGCCGCCTCAGTCTGGGCGACATGCGCATGATACGCAGGAAAAACCGCTCGCCGTGTCGGCGAATGAGTGGACATTCGACTGGGTGGCGCTAGAAGAAAAACTTGCTAGTCCCAAAGCCAAGATGCTGTTCCTCAATACACCACACAACCCAATCGGAAAAGTGTGCACGCTGGAGGAACTGCAGCGTCTCGCGCAGCTGTGCATAAAGCACGATATCCTCGTGATTGCCGACGAGGTGTACGACTGTCTCACGTATGAGGGACACAAGCACATCCGCATAGCCTCGATCTCGGGCATGTGGGAGCGAACGATCACGGTAGGAAGCGCTGGTAAGTCATTCGCATGCACGGGGTGGCGTGTGGGGTGGGCTGTGGGACCGGCCCACCTCATGACCCCGCTACTGGCCGCCCACGTTCGCCTGACGTTTTGCGTCAATTCACTCGCATCCGAAGGAACGGCGATTGCTTTGGAAGGTGCGCGCACGAACGGGTTTTTTGAGCGCCAACGCCAGGAGTACGAGGCTCGGAGACAAGAGCTGATCAATATGCTAGAAGACGTGGGGCTGCCATATACGATTCCTTATGGAAGCTACTTTGTATTAGTTGACGCGACCAACATCCAAATCCCAGACGACTTTGCCATGCCAGAGCAAGTGCGTGCAAAGCCGCGCGACTACCAAGTGTGCTGGTTCATTGGGAAAGTATGTGATGTCGTCGCAATCCCTGCAACAGCATTCTACTCGTCAGATGGCTCGGCCCTGGGCGAGCGATTTATTCGGTTTGCCTTTTGTAAAGACGGCCAAATTAGGGAAGCGGCGCAGCCTCTCCAACGAGTACGTCCCCAACAGCTAGTGTGATGATGACTGACGATTTTCCCAGTTGCGGTCGTATATGTAAATACTCTTTGCTCACAGCGGAAACATCCCGACGATAGCAGCACGCTACACCAGCAGGCTGGTCGAATGATGTTGGGGCAAGTGACACAAAAAAATTCGGGTAGGTGGGGGTCGAATAAGGCTATTTGTCTGTTGGGGTGGAGTTTCGTTGGCGCTGAGCTCATGTGCAGCGCTGAGTGGCCGAGTGGGGAATGATATACCCCGCCTGCCACCCCACACAAAGATGCCCCATCCAAAACAAACACAGATGTGCCCACTAAGAAATGAGGGAAGAGGCGTAGTAAGCAAAAAAAAAAAAATTGCACAGAATTCCCCCATCCTTAAGGCGTGGCGGCGAGCCAATGCGTGTGTCACACAGACAAGTGACCCATCCAGCCTATAGGAATTGATTCGTAGCGACCATCCTATGTCGGATTCGATTCTAGACGATCCAGATAGGCTAGGCTTACGAGGCCGATCGTCCAGACTGGATGGTGACAGGATGCGCAAGCGACACAGTTATCGCCCACACGCAGAGATAGGTCGAGGATCAGGGAGAAGCACACGGAACGGCATGCATGACGAAGGCCATTACAGCAAACGTCGCCCCAACAAGGGGAAGAGTCGTTTGACCGGTGCTCTCGTCAATAACGAAGAAGACTATCGCACTGACCTACTCACCAAGCCGACGATGTCCCAAGCGCAAAGCCGACGAAATGAAGCAGATCAATCTGTAGGAGTGTCATATGTCGATGATCCTCAGAAAGAGCGCATGCGTCATCATCGACATCGACACAAGCGCCGCGATGTTCGCTCAAGGCGCTCGCCGGTCTTATCGGTCTCTGACAATACCCGTAATGCTTACGAAGATGCCAAAGGGCTAAGATCTTCCCGACATGGATCGCGTGCAAACGACTCACGCTCACGACACGCACCTCGCCATAGGGCCAGTCAAGCTCACGACACACGCTCGTCTCGCTCCAAGCCACATTATACAGCCGCAGGTCGGTCACACCATCGAGATCATGCGCGGGAACGACATCGTGAACGCGAGCTAGATCGTGAGCACGATCGTGAGTTGGGACGTGATCGTCGGCACAAGCGACGGAGCTTATCGTTCGCGGACGATCGCTCGCGGGTGCACGCATCCCTGCAACGACATCCACAAGCGTTAAGCCGTGAGCGAAGCGTTCACAGCGCTCGAAGTGGTCAGAGCGCACTGAGCTACAAGACGGATCGCAGCGCACGCACGGCACCGAGTGAATTGGATTCAGTGAAGCGAAGCACGAGCATGTCCGGTCGGCGATCCGAGGAACCATATTCCGCACAAAATAGAATCATGCCGTCAGGGGATCCCACACTCCAGAATGAGCCTCCTACGCCTGCAGCAGCCGCGACGGCGGCAGCGCGCGTAAAAAGTGACGCCCAAACGGGTCTAGCGCCTGCGCGGCGCATGATGCTGTTCCGCGCTCTGCCAAAAATACCCACCCTGCGTCGAGATCCCGTCAAGATGCAGCGCAAGTTTGACGCGGCACAGCTCAGAAAGCAGCAGAAGGAGCAAGCGCAGCAGCGGAAGAGGGAGGCGGCTGAGAAACGGAAGCAAGAGCGTGATAAGTATGCACAGAAACGCAAGGTTGCAGCGCTTGTAGAGCAGCAGAAGCGGGACGCAGAAAAAGCTCGGCGGCAGCAAGCGAAGAAAGATGCGAAGCAAGAAGCGCAGTATGCCAAGAAAGCCAAAGCCAGTGAAGCGTATATGCTGCTACAGCGGCAGCAGCGGCAGCAAGAGCTGGCTGAAATGGATCGGAAGCAAAAGCGATTGCTAGCGATCACGCCATTTCAGCAGCGGAATGCGACACTGGATCACCACCTGCTGACGCCGACGCAACGGCACGTGTTGATCAGATCGTTGGTCATGATGCAGATGCAGCATGAGTGGCTGTCCCTCGGGCAGCGCGGTGTCATTGCATTGTATGGCTATCCATTCACAAAGGTGCAGCGCTCGCACCGAACCAGCTGGGCGGTACCGTTCTCACTTTTCGCAAGGCAGCCGCAGCAGGCGCGAGCGGACGACCCGCTAGCGGCGGCGGAGAATGTGACGCCGTCGAACGAGCCGTTACTGCTCCGCCACCTGTTCCAAACGCACGTGCGAACGTTCCCTGGGCTCTGCTCGGCGCCTGTGAGCTACTGGCAGAGCCGGATCCAGCGGCTGATCGACGATTACGTGTCACTTGGACTTTCGACGTCACGCGAGCGTGGACAGCACGTCCTCTCGCACATGCTCACACTCGTCGGCACGCAGTACATAGGCCTGTTTTTTGCACGCGGCATAGGCATCCGCGGCGCAGACGAGCTGCGCGGACCGGGCATCGGCGAGCCAGGCACGGAGGAATGGGGCGTTGGCAAAGGATGGGGCAGCGGCACCGTGAAGCGTGGCATGGCGAAGCCGTACGTGCTGAGCGAGAAGGATCATACGTTGATTGAGTCGCTGTACGACGGCACGGACCTGCGTGCATGGAAGGCAGCCGGCCGCGAATCGGCGCGCATCCAACACGACTGGGCTGCTTTCAAGGAAAAAATCATCGAGCAGGAAGACGGACTCAACGAGATGACCAGCTACTTGACGGTCAGCAACGTCAACAACCTGCCTATGGAGCTGCAAAACACCGAAGAGTGGGTGCGAATCCACATGCCCGTGATCATGCACTGGCTTCTTTGGTTGAATCACCCTCGGCAGACACGATCTTCGAGATTGTGCGTGTCATCCACAACCTCATGCCATACTGGACGGTGCGCCAAGCCCTTTCCGTCACAAATGCCAAGAGCATGGTGCAACTGCTCCTCTCGATCTTCTTGGCGCAGCCCGCTGGCACCGACTCACTGCTGCAGAGGATCATCAGCTCGGCCATCTCACGGGACGTGTCGACGATCCAAAACCATGTTGTAGAGCCCCTCCGAAAAGAGCTACCGAACATTGTGCTCGTGAACAAGATCGAGTTGTACGTGCGTGACCGCACGGCCGAGGATGCGGTGCGGATGGACGAGGACACAGATGCGACGGGCAACGACATGCTTACGACGATCCTGCTGTCGAATTGGGATCCCTTCCTCGACATGGACACGCAGGACCATGTGCTTGCGATGCAAAAGGCATTTGCCGCGTCGCCCTATCGCACGAATCTCGACCTTGCGTACCCGTCGTCGACGCCGCAGGGCCGCAACAAGCCGCCGATCCCCATGTGGGACGCCACAACCGTGGACATGTCGAATGCACGTGAATTCGCACTGTTGAAGCTACTCCTACGCGCTCTGCTCGAGAAGCGTGACCGCACGAACCTGGCCAAATGGTTCGGCTCGAACGTCTTTGTGCACTTCGTGAAGGACTCGCTCCAACATGTGTTCTACACTGGCTTGCAGGAGGCATCGCGCTCGGCGGATCTAAGCGCACGGCTTGCAGATCTGCAGAAACTGATGGAAGACTTTATCGAAGTGCGCACGAACACGGACAATGGGATTGAACATTGGCTGGGCCTTTCGAACAGGCACCATCAATCGATCTACTTCTTCTTCCATGAGATTGCACCAGTGCTTGGGCCTGTATGGCGCTGGTGTCAGGAAGCGCTCGATTTCATGTCGCTCTCGACGAGTGATCCGCAGCACCCCGACGACCGGAGCGCACAGGACATCGAGGTGAATCTCGATGAAATGCTCCAGGACCAGCGCTTGACGGAGGCTGACGTTCAAGACATTCTGAGGGAAGTCGACGACATGATCGTATACAGCCGATGGAGTAAAATCCGGCGCGAGCTCGAATACCGGCGACTGTTCCTTTTGTCACAGCAACACAACCATGATGGCCATGATGATTCGAGTATGAGCGGCATGTCCCAGGCCATGCGCGAAGACATGCACGACATCGACGGTCTGATGGCCGAGCTCCTGGAAAAAGAGGGTGTGCCGATCGATGATGGCACCTGCGACGACGTGCGTGGAACCGAGCGGCGGAACATGCCTTGGGCCTACTTTGATGTTGTTGATCCACTCGGCCAAGCGATCATGGCCGAACCTGAGACAAAGCACTCCTTCAAGCCTACACGAGTGTCGCCACGACCGCCATCGCTGTTCCATACGCGCAAGCTCTTGCCCATGTTCCGTGAGCTGCTGGTGGCCGAGCTGCCAGACTGGCTCGATCCCGACTTGAATGGCCCGCCACTGCCCCATGCTAAGCAGCTAAGGCTCTCGTCCTTGCATGCACTGCGCCAGACCCGTTGAACTAGGCCAGCTTCGCTCACACGCCTACCACTCCGGCCACCCCCCTCCCCCTGCATGCTTGCATCATAACTCGTATGCGGAATGTCGCGTGTCATAAACCAGGCATTTCCTCCATGTCGCTTTGGGGCCTTGCGATGTTGTACTTTTGACTGATGGTTTGCTTCGAGGAGGCAGATCCGTTTGTGCCGGCGCTAGCGACGCACGTGCCGTATACCATGGGCTTTCAGACGCATCTGTCCCTCTTGACCGCCTCGACAGCGGCAGCTTCATACCCCTCTCTCTACTTTTGGTCGGCACCTACCTCCTCGACCCTATTCAGATAGTAGGGTCGTTTTCTAGATATTTATATATAAAGACATTCGCTGCAGATCCTACGCCGATGGGGCCTCGTCACTAAGATGCCGCTTGTGTTGGCGCTGATGCTGGTGCTGGTGCTGGTGCTGGTGCTGGTGCTGGTGCTGGTGCTGGTGCTGGTGCGGGCGCCTCTTTCGCGGCAGATGACGCTGGCGTCGTCGAGGAAGAGGCCCCGGCCGAGTTGCGTCCACGTCCACCACGTCCACCGCGTCCCCGGCGTCCTGCACGTGGGCGGTGGCTGGAGGACGCTTCGTCCGACTTGGCATCCTTCGGAGGGCGTGTCTTTGGACGTGAGCGCTCAAGTCGCTCCAGTGTCGGCACAACGCTCGTGTTCTTGATCGTGTTGCCCTGGCACTGCAATGCATCCTTGGCCGCCTCCTCGCTCTTGAACACGACATGCACAAAGTTGCGCATGCGTGGCTCGTCCTTGTCATTCGCACGACGATCGCGCTCTGACGGGAAGAACTGCACACGCATAATATTCGCTGCACGCTCGCCAAAGTAGACGCGCACATCCTGTTCAGATACAGGATGTGCATCGCCCAGGTGACCAAGGAACAATGTCGCGAGAGTGGTAGCGAGCGATGCCGACGTCCCTGGTGAAGCAGGAGCCGCTGCCGCGCCCATCGTTGATGACACCCCTGGGGCTGCACTCGCGCCTGCGCCTGGGCGGCTCGCATGGTCCCGCGGCGCTGGAAGAGCAACTTTGACAGGAGGCATAGAAGCACGTCCGCGGCGCGGCGCAAAGCTCACGCCCTGGCTACGGAGCTCAGTGCTGATGCGGCCGTGAGCCACATCCATCACGAGCGATCCAAAGCTGGCATCGGGCAAGTTCCAATGCCACATATTTTTGAACGCCTCTGCACGAGTGGCAACAGGCGTTGTGTGTGCCGCAGCGTAGGCAGCAGGGCCAGATGTTGCGCCTACAGCTGGTACAGCTGGTGCTGATGGCGCATGTAGCGCAACATGCAGAGCATGACTCAGGAGCGTACGTTGCGATGGATCGATCGCTGACTCTACCTGCATTCTCACCGCGTCCCACATGTCCTGGAACTCTTCCTTCGCCCGCAGGATCTTGGCGCGATACGTATCAAGTTGCCCATACACCCCAAAGTCATTATAGCTCATGCCGTATCGGAAATGCAGGCCGCCACTCATTGTGAAGTCGGCCTGCAGTGCATGTGCAAGCTGGTCCACAAGAACGTCACGGCCAGGACTTGCATACGACACAAGAATCCGCACATCGGCCGGGTCATACACATGCTGCGCTGTCTCGACAAGCTCACCAATCTGCAACATGGTCGTCCACATCGTGCCCTGACCGCCAGCCATCGAGCCCGTTGCTGCGCCGTGGTCGAAGAGCTTGTGCGGAACGACAGCGCCACCCAATCCCAAGAGCCGCACGCGCAAAGCGCCAACATCAATAGCGTGTGACGTAGCTTCGTCGATCAAGTGCAGATTCGGCACTTTGTACTCACCTGACCGCACCCGCTCCACAACGTCCACGTCCTCACATGCGCCATATACCGTAAACACAGGCACCTGGAGCGAGAGTTGGCCTGAGAGCAGCTGCGGGAACTCTGAGAGCACTGCCTCCCGCTGGTGGTCAGCGAGCATCTGCCGCAGCGTCGTAGGCACAGGCCCATTCGTCAGCGGCGGGTGTGTCTCGCGCGAGTCGCGGCTGTCGAGGAGGACAGAGCGCAGCTTGTTCGACATCAACGGCGAATACTGTACAGCATGACGCAGCGTACGGTCGCCCATGCGCCCGATCGTGTCCGGCATGAAGAAGCCAAAGTCGCCCGTATGCACGATTGCTGCTGCTCGTGTCGCGTTGGCAATCTCATTCAATTGCTTCATATTGCCACGGATGTCAGACACACAGGCAATGCGCCCTGCAGCGCCGTGGATAACGTGGATGTTCGCGCGCACACCACGTCGAGACGCCATGCCACTGGGCGCCGACGACGGAGCAGCGTCCGCAGCCGACTCCTCGTCGGCGCCACTGCCAGATCCCTTACCCGCTCCGTTCGCACTACTACTACTGCCACCACTGCCGGCGACTGTCGGCAGACCCGCATTCATGGGAGCTGTGCCAGCGGATGCATCAGCGACCGCGGATGACGGCGACGTCGCTGCCGCCACGGGCATGGCTGTGGCCGTGGCCGTGGCGGCTGTCGTCGCCGTCGTTGGAAGTGGCGACGGCACATCTACACCATAGTCGGTACGCATCCTTGCACTGCCTCCTCCTCCTCCTCCTCCATGAGAGCCCAGGAGGAATTTTTTTCCAGTGTTATAAGCTCGCGTCGGCGGTGCAGCTCCTGCATCCATCTCCAGACAAGCAAGTCAGGTACACACCCACGTAATGGCGATGCAGACGTCTCACTCTCAGTCGTGCAAAAGCTTCGGCCGTGAGTCACGTGCACCAGCCCAAAATTCGTCGACACGATGCGTACGTTTCGTCGATCGCGACGATGGGGAAGAAAAAGGGCGGTAGCAGACGTGACGACGACGATCCGTTTGCGGATCTCGGCGAAGACGTCACTCAGAATAATCTGCAGCCTGAGGAACCTGAGAAAAAGGCGCAGGAATCTGTTCCAAACGATGCGTCGAACGAGTCCAAGGGCTCTGGAGCGCCAGAGAAGCAAGAACACGATGCCACGCCAGCATCGGCAGGAGCCGACGCCGGTGGTGGTGGTGGTGGTGGTGGTGGTGATGCCATGCAGTCTGAGCCAGAGCCACCGCGCCTTTTGACCAAGAAAGAAAAGGAACGTTTGAAGAAAGAGCGTGAGAAAGAAAAGAAAAAGGCGCAGGCTGCGCAGAAGAAAGCGTCTCAGCAAAAGGACACACAGGAAGCACCATCAGATAAGGGCACCAATGCCCCAGGTTCAGCAACGCAACCAAATGCTAGTGAGCCTACCGATGGTTCAGCATCTGCACAGGCAGATGCAAAAATTTCGGGTGACGATAAGGGTGGAGATGCTGACGCCGCCGCCGGTAAAGACGACGACGATGACGATGAAGGAGCTGAGGCGCCTAGCTCAGCTGCCGATAAGAAGAAGAAAAAGAAGAAAAAGAAAGCTGCGCCAGAGCCTGCTGCTGCTCCGCCCAAGAAGGCGCCAAATGCAGCCATTGCCGCTCTGCAGGCTCGTATCGCTGCGCAGAAAAAGGCTGAAGAACAAGCGCGTGCCGAAGAGGAAGAACGTCGTCGGCTCATTGAAGAGGAAGAACGAAAGGAGCGTGAAGAAGAAGAACGCAAGGAAGCTGAGCGGCTCCGTCGTAAGGAGAAAGAAAAAGCTAAGCGAGAACAGCTGCGTAAAGAAGGCAAGCTGCTTACGCCGAAGCAGAAAGCGGAGCTCAAGCAGGCCGAAGCACGAAAGGCCGCTCTTCTGGCAAGCGGGAATATTTCTGTCGCGGCTCATCAGGCACCTGTGCCAGCAGAAAAGTCACGTCGTGTCGTGTATGATAACAAGAAGAAAAAGTCTCAGAAGAAACAGGAACAAGAGCAACCCGAGCGAGAACAAGAACAAGATGCCAAGTCAACGGCGGCAACAGCACCCGAACATCAAGCTGAGCCTGAGCCGCCTACAGCACCGGCGTCCAAGGAGGATGAAAAACAATCAGCGGAGGACGATGATGTCAAAGATGATTGGGAGGCAGAGTCTGACGATGTGAAAGATGACTGGGAACAGGAAAGCGAAGAAGAAGATACAAAGGAAACGCCGTCCAAAGGCGGTGCACCTGCTAAAGACACATCTGCTCCTGCTGACCGGAAGGTCGAAAAAGAAAAGGTTGGGCAGGCTCAAACTCCAGCAACATCCGGTACAAACAAGGAGAAAGAAGAGAACGGCGAACAAGACGACCACGACGATAAGGAGGACGATGACGATGACGACCACGACGACGACGATGACGAAGAGGATGACGAGGAGGATGACGATGATGACGATCTCACAAAGACACAGCGGATGGCTCTGGAGCGCCGTCAAGCGGCAGAGCAGCGCCGAAAGGAACGCACAGAAAAGGCGTTGGCCGAGCGCAGCGCAGATCATCTTCGCAGTCCCATTTGTTGTATTCTGGGTCACGTCGATACAGGAAAGACCAAGCTTCTTGACAAGGTGCGTCAAACCAGTGTGCAAGAGGGTGAAGCTGGTGGTATTACGCAGCAAATCGGTGCAACGTATTTCCCCGTGGATGCACTGAAAGAAAAAACGTTTGTCCTAAACAAGGGCGAATTTGATTTCAAAGTTCCGGGACTGTTGATCATCGATACGCCCGGGCACGAGTCGTTCACAAACCTTCGTTCTCGCGGCAGCTCACTTTGCAATATCGCAATTCTCGTCGTCGATATCATGCACGGTCTCGAGGCTCAGACACTCGAAAGTTTGCGTTTGTTGCGCGACAGGAAGACGCCGTTCATTGTCGCACTCAACAAAATCGACCGTCTGTACGACTGGAAGGCAACGCCCAACAACGCTGTGCAAGACTCTCTGGCCCAACAGGCGGTCCACACGCAGAACGAGTTTGACGAGCGTGTGTCAAAGATCCTCCTTGCTTTCAATGAACAGGGACTGAACGCTGAATTGTATTACAGAAACAAAAATATGGGTCGCTACGTGTCGCTTGTGCCGACCTCCGCTCACACTGGTGAGGGTGTTCCAGACTTGCTCCAGCTGCTAGTGAGTCTCACTCAAACACGTATGAGCCGGAACCTCATGTATCTGTCGGAGCTCGAGTGTACGGTGCTGGAGGTCAAGGTCATCGAAGGTCTCGGCACAACCATCGACGTTGTTCTGTCGAATGGTGTGCTACGCGAAGGCGACAAGATTGTCGTGTGTGGTCTGAATGGACCGATCGTCACACAGGTCCGTGCTTTGCTGACGCCACAGCCTCTGAAGGAGCTTCGTGTTCGTGGCGCATACGTACACCACAAGGAAGTCAAGGCATCCTTGGGTGTGAAGATTGCTGCGCCTGATCTCGAAAAGGCTGTCGCCGGTTCGCGTTTGCTCGTCTGCACGCGAGACGATGAGGAAGAGCTTCTGCGGGAAGAGGTCATGAGCGATCTCACGACGCTCCTAAACTCCGTCGATAAGTCTGGCAAAGGTGTGTGTGTGCAGGCGTCGACGCTCGGATCGCTCGAAGCCCTGCTGGAGTTCTTGCGGGTCAGCAAGATCCCCGTGAGTGGTATCAACATCGGACCTGTGTATAAGCGTGATGTAATGCGGTGTGCGACAATGCTCGAGAAGGCACGAGAGCTCGCATGTATCTTGTGCTTTGATGTCCCGGTCGACAAAGAGGCAGAGCGTCTGGCTGATGAGCTAGGCGTCAAGCTGTTTACCGCCGACATTATTTATCACTTGTTCGACAGTTTCATGGCATACAGTGCCGAGATCATGGAGAGCAAGAAACGCGATGCTGCGGGCACGGCCGTATGGCCATGCCGCCTGCGTACGATTGCCGCATTTGCCAAGCGAGATCCAATCATCCTGGGTTGCGACATTGTCGATGGCTCTCTTCGGATCGGAACGCCTCTGTGTGTCGTCAAGGCAGATCCATCGACACGAAAGAAAGAAATCGTGCCTCTAGGACGCGTTTCGTCGCTGGAAATTAACCACAAGCCGCGTAATGTCGTACTCAAGAAGGATGTTGGCGCTGGTGTTGCCGTGCGCATTGACCCTGACCCTAATGAGGCACCCAAGATGTTTGGTCGACATCTGGATGAAAAGGATGAAATTTACTCGTACATCAGCCGTTCGTCTATCGATGCACTCAAGGAGCACTTTTGGGACGGTGTCTCTATCGAAGAAAAGCGCTTGATTAAGAATCTCAAGGGTCTCTTGGACATCCCCTGATGGCCGCCACAGGCCATGTGTTGCGCACGGTCATATTAGGGTGTCGTGATAGAGGACGTGAGCATATATACGTCTTGGATAGTTTGGCAATGATTGCCACATCCCTTTCTGCTCCGTATTTGGCGGAATTGTAGCAATGCACTGCAGCTAGAACCATACACTGGCGATGCTCTCGACGTTGCCACGCGCCCTTCGACCATGCACGTTGGATTGTCGCTCCTGTTATCTTTTCGGTATCGGATTCCGTAATTCTTGGCATGGGTTAAAAGAACGGCGCATACGGAAAATCCGTTTAGTCATCGAACGGACGCCGCTCGCGTACGAGTCATACTCTTATCAGAACGTCGAAACAATTAGTTCCTCTATATCTCAAGATAACGCCTGCCAACCATTCGTGCTATGATCGGTCCTGTCCAGCGCGCCTCTGTGCAATGCTTCAAGAAAGCATCGTCGCAAGGCACGCTGACCCGACCGCACTACATCCCTCTGCATGCATGGGCAACATGGAATTGGCGACTCCAGCGCCGCCTCACACACTCTTCGGTGCCGTACTTCTCGCCAGCACCTACTCCAGGCAGGACCTGCTTCGGCCATCGAGCCTAGCGCAAATAAAAGCGACACGTCAGGCCTTGAGCGCTGGCGCAAGTTTCTTCCCAACAATCCGAAAGCTCAAGTTCAAAAGGTGCTCCTTGTCGGCTCCGGCGGCCTAAGTATTGGTCAGGCAGGTGAATTCGACTACAGTGGTTCGCAGGCCATCAAAGCACTTCGTGAAAGTGGCATTGAGACGGTGCTTATCAATCCGAACATTGCGACAATTCAGACAAGCCAGCAGCTTGCATCGCGCATCTACTTCCTTCCGGTGTCGCCGGACTATGTGGCGTACGTGCTGGAGCGTGAGCGTCCTGACGGCGTATTTCTCAACTTTGGTGGGCAGAGCGCACTCAACGTCGGTGTTAAGCTAGATGAAATGGGCGTATTTGAGCGTCTTGGTGTGCAGGTACTGGGCTCGCAGCCTGACGTGCTTCGTATGTGCGAAGACCGTGACTTGTTCGTTCAGGCGCTCGATCAGATCCAAATCCCCGTTGCACGCAGCGAGGCCGTCTCGACAGTGAAGGAAGCATTGCGTGCTGCAGATGAAATTGGGTACCCGGTCATTGTGCGTGCCGCCTACGCGCTCGGCGGCCTTGGCTCAGGCTTTGCAGACAATGAGGAGGAGCTGCGCGATCTCAGCGCTCGGTCGCTCAGTCTATCGCCACAGATCCTTGTTGAAAAGAGTTTGCGCGGCTGGAAGGAGAGTGAGTACGAGGTGCTGCGTGACCAGCAGGATAACGCGCTCATTTGCTGCAACATGGAGAACTTTGATCCTCTCGGCATCCATACAGGCGACTCGATCGTCGTTGCTCCGAGCCAGACACTCTCGGATGACAACTACCACATGCTCCGGACAGCTGCACTCAAAGTGATTCGCCATCTAGGCATCGTTGGCGAATGCAATATCCAGTACGCCCTGAGTCCTGACAGCCGCGAGTACCGTGTGATTGAAGTGAATCCGCGTCTCTCGCGGTCGTCCGCACTGGCATCCAAAGCAACGGGCTATCCACTCGCTTACACGGCTGCAAAACTCGCCCTCGGGCACACGCTGCCGGAGCTGCCCAATGCCGTCACAAAGACAACGACGGCCTGCTTCGAGCCGTCTCTTGACTACATTGTGACCAAGATCCCCAAGTGGGACTTGTCAAAGTTCCAGCACGTGAACCGAGAAATCGGCTCAAGTATGAAGTCCGTCGGTGAAGTCATGGCCATTGGCCGCACGTTTGAGGAGTCGCTCCAAAAGGCCGTGCGCCAAGTAGCACCAAATTACCAAGGATTTGATGCTTATGTGTGCCCCGACGACCTGGATCATGCCCTGCGCATTCCTACTGACACTCGTCTCTTTGCTTTGGCGCACGCAATGCTCGTAAAGAACTACGACGTCGAACGTTTGCACGAACTCACCAAGATCGACCGCTGGTTCCTCTTCAAGCTTGAAAACATCGTAAACACGCATCGTGAGCTGCAGGAGTGCGGGTCGCTCGACAAGGTACCTGCCGAACTCATGCGCACAGCGAAGCAGCGGGGCTTTTCTGACGTGCAGATTGCCCGTCTTGTACACAGCTCTGAGGCACACGTGCGTGTGGCACGCAAGGCTATGGGCGTGACACCATTCGTGAAGCGGATCGACACCGTCGCTGCCGAATACCCAGCGCAAACCAACTACCTATACACGACGTACAATGCAAGCACGCACGACATTGAGTTTGACGAGCACGGCACAATGGTGCTGGGCTCTGGTGTGTACAGGATTGGATCGTCTGTCGAATTTGACTGGTGTGCAGTAACGTGTGTGCGTCGTCTGAAGGAGCTCAAACACAACACAATCATGATCAACTACAACCCAGAGACAGTGTCGACAGATTACGACGAGGCCGGTCGCTTGTACTTTGAGGAACTTGGCTTCGAGCGCGTCATGGATATTTACGAGTTGGAGCAAGCGTCCGGTGTTGTTGTGTCAGTAGGAGGCCAGCTGCCGCAGAACATCGCGCTGCGTTTGAAGGAGGCACAAGTTCAAGTGCTTGGTACTGATCCGCTCAAAATCGACTCTGCCGAGGACCGCCACAAGTTCTCTCAGATCCTTGATTCCATCGGTGTCGACCAACCCGACTGGGTCGAGGTTACGGACGTCGAAAAGGCGAAAGAATTCGCAAAACGTGTCACGTATCCCGTGCTCGTGCGCCCTAGCTACGTGCTGTCAGGTGCGGCGATGAATGTGATTTGGGACGAAACGACTCTGGAACACAACCTCACTGCCGCGGCGCAAGTGAATACTGACTACCCAGTGGTCCTGACGAAGTTCATACCCAATGCCCAGGAAATCGACATCGACGCCGTTGCACACAAGGGCAAGCTGCTTGTTCATGCAGTTTCCCAGCATGTGGAAAATGCTGGTGTTCACTCTGGCGATGCGACACTAGTCCTACCACCATTTTCGCTGCCGTCACAGGACATGGCACGCCTCAAAGACATTGCTGAGCGTGTAGCTGCAGCCTTTGAGATCAGTGGGCCGTTCAACATGCAGATTATCCGTAAACAAGATCCGGCTGCTAACGACGAATCGGAGCTGAAAGTCATTGAGTGCAACCTGCGTGCTAGTCGCTCATTCCCCTTCGTAAGCAAGGTGCTCGGCGTCAACTTTATTGATGTGGCAACAAGTGCTATCGTGGGCGAGAATGTCCCTGAGCCCGTGGATCTCATGGCCAAGACGTACAACCACGTTGCCATCAAGGTTCCGCAGTTCTCGTGGACGCGTCTTGCTGGTGCTGACCCCTTCTTAGGCGTCGAGATGGCTAGCACGGGTGAAGTTGCATCGTTTGGCGCTGATATTCATGAAGCTTATTGGGCATCGATCGCTTCAACCACGGGCTTCCGTGTGCCTTTGGCTCATAAGGGCGTCTTGTTGGGCGGCGACACCACGACGCCTGAGCTGCGCACCATTGCGATGAAACTATGTAATCTGGGCTTTAAGCTGTACTGCTCCAATGCCGACGTCGAAACATTTTTGAACGGTCTTCCACACGTATCTGCAAAGCGTATCTGGTTCCCGCTTAAAGACAAGCGTAAGTTGCGCGAAGTCTTTGACGACTACGAGATTCAATTCGTGATCAATCTTGCCAAGTACCGCGCACCCAGTGTGACTGACGAAGACTACGTGGCTCGCCGAAATGCTGTGGACTTTGGTTTGCCGCTACTCAATGAACCTAAAACGGCCCTCTTATTCGTTGAAACACTCGAGCACAAGATGCCAAAAGGGTGTCTCTTGCCGTACGACGAGGGCAAGATCCCGTCTGAGGTTAAAGCTTGGAACGAATTCGTACCGAGTACATAGATTGCAGCAATGAAGGCAGACAGCAATCTTTGTTTTTGTCATTAGAGATGCTATGCATTCTATTGAGACTAAGCAAAGAAGATGTGATTCGTAGCTAATGTTCAGATTAAGGATATTGCAAAAAAAAAATTAAAAAAATGAGCGATCTCATGAGCCAAACACAATAGATGAGATGCAAAAGGTAGAAAAACGGGGAAATCAATCAAGTTCCGAAAAAAGTGGAGAATGTGGGAATTGAACCCACGACCTCATGCAATCGAAGGTGCTAAGCAAGCGCTCTACCACTGAGCTAATTCCCCAAATTGACTGGAGAATGTGGGAATTGAACCCACGACCTCATGCAACCAACCGTGCTAAGCAAGCGCTCTACCACTGAGCTAATTCCCCAATGCTCATGTGGGAGGGCATCAAGTTTAGCATATTTGATTGCAAAGAGGGCTCAGTAACTGGGTCGCGTCTTCTGAATGTCGTCTGCGCAGTGTCAGCGGGACAGGTCCTGGGACCACTGTGTAAAATGCACGCACCCAGAATGTCATGAAAGCACCATTCAACAGCATCAGCAGCCCAGAAATGATCACAGTGCTTGAATAGCGGTTAGCTGACATGTACGAGGCGGTAATTGCACGTACCTCAGCGTCTGGAAGAATCTTCGCGCGCACCACACGAACTTTCGGTTCGAACTTTTCAAAATGCTCCTGCACAGGTAAAGGAAGAACGAGATGGTCTGCACCTCCTCCATATAGAGCGAGTGGTGGGAAACGCTCGTCATACCAAGTCTCATTGGGATCTAGCAAGTGCCGACGCGTAGTAAATCCATTTTGGCCAGCCCACCAATACATAATTCTCGAAGATACAGGTTGCGGTGTAAAGCGAAACATTTTGGCTTTGCGGCGCTGCAGCCAGTGGGTATCATTCCATTCAAACAAATATGCAAACATCTGGTACCCTAGAGCCGCATACGGCGTCGCGGGTGTCCAGTCATATGAGAATTTCATGAGGGGTGTGAAGTCTAGCACACCGAATAGACGTGCCCACAATGCCTGATTGACCTTGCGTAACTGAGTCAAAGGAAACCGGTTTGTGAGCGGTCCCGCAAAGACAGCAGGTGCGAGTGCACCAAAATATGAGAGTTTTTCACCCAATTCAGGCCGATTCCATCGCGAGAGGGCGAGAAATGCCGTGGCATTGCCCTGGGAATGGCCAATGTACGCGATCTTGTCGTATCCTGTTTGTGCACGAACATAGTCAATCATGGCCGGAAGATCGTACCTAGCCAAGTCATCGACATCATGGTCCCAAAAAGCAGGATTGTATCGGCTGTAATGTCGGTGCCCCATGTCAAATATTCCGCGATTGTTTCCCAGATACACATCGAATCCGCGTCTCGCAAGCCAGAATGCAAGACTGCGTTCCTCTGACGTGATAAATGAACCCGAGGACTGAAACAAGCCGTGCATGATCAGAACAGGGAATCCGCGACCGATGGAGCTCAACTCTTTATCCTCGTCGAAACAACGAACGTGATGCATGCGCAAGTAAAATCCATCCTCTGTTTCGGCCTGCTCATCCAGGATGTCGAAGCCACAGCACCATGCATAGTACTGCGGACTCTTTACTAGACATTCATGCTTCCATTTTTGAGGATCATCCCAGCTAGGTTGAGGACGTGGCGGACGAGTCAGCGCGCGTGGTATGTATGTCTTTAATCGCGTGAGAAGGCCGATGCACACAACCCACAATAGCAATGCAGATGAAATGATCACAGCAAGCGACTGTGACGCGAAAAAAGATAGCGTGGGGAACGATTTCGATGGCAGTTTCGTGGAATAGGTGGGATCAGAAGAACCTAGGTGTGTTTGTTCGCCCCATACATGCCTGAAAGCATTGTTGGAATGCTCGTCGGACGGGACAACGCGGTCTCTTAAATGCGTTTCATCCTGAGAGATATCTGTTTTTTCTGTAAGATTTGTTGTGTCTGCTGTCGCGGTTAGACTGTGAGACCCCGCCAAAGTCATTCCTCGATCGGGGGAAAGTGTATGCCCCTATGTAAGGCGCGAGTGGCGCGAGTGGCGTGAGCGGAGGATTGGCACGGACATAAAATTAGGCAATTTTTGGTTTATCATAAACATTCCTACGAGCGAAAGTCTGTTCCTAGCCCCTTCGCCGGCCGCACGCCGGAATTTCCACTAACACCGGATGCATCGAGTCACGCGCCTGTACAAATGGTCACCAAACACGCGACCTCGGAGTCCACATCAAATTTGAACGTACAGCACTAACATCAAGTTCCGTTCACGCAATTGCTTCCCGCACTATATAAACTACACGTCTAGTTCTTCTTCTTGGCGTACGCCGTCAACTGGGATGGCATGCCAAGCCTGTCAGGAGCCTGAGTACAGGCGATCATTTGTACAGCAATAAGAGTGCAGAAGACTAAGAAAGCCACAATGCCCATAGCGAGTACGGTAGCAGGAGAGAAAAGCTGCACAAGGTTAGAAATCGTCGACAAGAAAAGGCATCTCAGACATACCTGATGGCGCTCAAGAAACTTGGTACCTTTCCTGGTTTCCTGAGGAGCAGCGCGCTTCAAATGCCTTGAGCCTGATGATGTTCGAGTTATGATCACTGCATGGTTCGGGTATGATGAGTCTAGATCCTCCAGGCGCGCCATGATGGCAGATTCTTTTGGTTAGTGAACTCGGTAAAGCTAACATGCAACGTACCGTGGCCATGCACACTGGGGACACGAATTTGAACGATGCGCTCTTCGCTAGGAACCATGGCACCAGCTCCATCACACAACGAAGCCATGGCATGCTTGAGCTCATCAGCGAAACTAGTTACAGACTGATCCACCGAGGGGAAAATCAGCTGCGATGGAGCCTGCATAACGCGCCTCTTGAGTGAAGATGCATGTGACGTGCTCTGAAGAGGAGTGAAACTGTCTGAGTCGAGCGAGTCCACCTGCAAATGAACAATAGCATCGAGATCACACATGGCGGGTAGGCCGTCTGTGCGGCGCCGAATAGCCAAGCGCTCCATCGCATGTTTCGCAGAAACATAAGGGCCACGAGCATGGAGTTCGTGCGATGCAGGGGCATCAAGCATAGTGTTCAATGAGCCAGGGGCGACAAAAGCTACAAGTGGCGCCTCCGTAGCCAAGACAGTGAGAGGTGCACACAAAAGCACGAGTGAAAGCACTAGAAGCAGTACAATGCGAAGAGACATCACAGATGAGAAACCTCGCATACTTCTCAATAATCGACGAGGGCTAAGCCGCGGAGAGAGACTTCGCACCCCAAGCACACACACACACACGCGCGCGCACACACCCAGACCCAACGAGGATAGTCAGACAGATGGATCACTCAGCATCATCGGGCACCTCCATGTCACTTGACTAAGCATCCACGTGGTGGGTAACATGCAAGGGAAAGGGACGCCAAAGTGGTTGACGCTTGGCCGCTTTGTCAAGCCCGTGGGGGCAGCCAAGCAAGCCAGGCAAGCCGAGCTTGGGTCAACAACGAAGTGAAGTTGCGGCTTGCTTCTTTTTTCTTGCAAGGGCGGCCAGATCTTATCGACCTCAGACATTGGTGCTAGCGTGTGAACTCAGAACCCAATAAAACAATCAATCCTACGCTGCTAAACCATGACTGCACTTCGTGTTGCCACCCGAGTCAATGCACTACTGTGCATGCGCATGGCTATGCGCGGAAGTAGCAGCAGCGCTGTGCGCATGCCCCTGGGCATGCGTGTACCATCTGTGCAGCCGCGCACATTTGCCACGTCCTTACGCCGCTTTGGTCAGGGCGAGACGGACAGCGACTTGTGCGCAAGCTTGCAGCAAGAAATTACATATGAACGAGAAGCATCTGAAGCAGCAGGAGGTGCAGATGTAGACCCAGAGTGGCTCAGCCAGTTCCGCTCTGAAGGCGTGTGGAACATCGAGGACAAGCCAGGTTCTGATGAAATTGCATTGACTCGCAGTTTCGGCAATGAGCAAATCCGTGTACTGTTCAGCATTGGTGAAATTGACACAGCAGAACCGACTGAGGAGCTTGATGCCGACGAGACGGATCAAATGGCGTCTGGTGGTACAGAGGATGAGTTTGAAGGCAGCTTCCCTGTCCGCTGCGCCATCAACATTACCAAGGCGAAGCGCGGCTCTCTGAATATTGATGCACAGGCCCAGGATGGACAGTTTATGATCGAGAACATTACTTTCTACCGAGACGATGCGCTGGCTACGGAGCTTACAGCTGATGCAGATTGGGCTCGTCGCGGCCTGTACATTGGTCCGCAGTTCGAGACACTGGACGAGAATCTGCAGGCACAGTTCGAAAGCTTCCTGGCGGAGCGTGGCATTGCCACAAACCTGGCATTGTTCATCCCGAACTATGCGGAGTACAAGGAGCAACGCGAATACTGCGGATGGCTCGAAGGCGTCAAATCTTTCGTAGAAGTATAATCGTGATAGTCTAAACTTGAGGAAATTTTCGCAATGCTCAAATACGAATGCAAGTGTACGTAAGAGAGAGAGAGAGAGAGCGTGTGTGCGAGTGTGTGTGCGAGTACGATTGCATATGCAAGTGTCACGGTCAGCTGGGGGGCGGCGCATCAACTAGCGCAGCGATCAGGTAGGTTGCGCTTAGACAATTTTCCGATTCGCACGCGTACCACTGAAGAGACGAAGTAGGAAGCGGCGGGTACGAGGAATCACACACAAAATCGCGATGACCACAAGCACGATTAGTACGGGATTCACCTCCTCGGCCGCTGAGCCAACAGACAAGGTGCGTGCCAAGAGAGAGTCGTCCAAGCCGTTTGCCACGCGTCCCGCTTGCACGTCATTCAGCCACTTGATGACCTTATCTTGCTTGATCCAGCGACTGGATTTAGGGTACTTGTACGGGGTACCGAGAGCGCCCGCCACGAGGTACAGAGAGGGGACCGATTTCACATCGATATCGTATATGACTTTGAGGGGATTCGCTTCGCGGCCATCCACATCAAACCAACGGAAGCGCAAGGGCTGCCTGGATAGATCTGGGGACGAGCGCCACGACTGAGCAACTGAGCGGAGCTGTTGCAGTTGCAGCTCGAGAACCGTCGCTGATTTCTCGCTACTCAGCGCGGCGAGGACCGTGGGTGGGTCTTGATGCAGTGATTCGCCAGCATCAGGTCCCGTTAACTCAAGCAGCAAAGGCTCGTTTTGCATATCAAGCCAGCGAGCCACTGTGTCGGCCGTCCCCTGGTCGATGTTCATGGTAATCGACGACAGGGGAAGCTTCGCCATTGGGCGGTACGGGTTGTCGTTGAACACGAGGATCGCGCCACTATCGCCGAACCGGCGCGACAGCGTTCGGTCAGATGACACGAGGAACTGCATGTCCGTCTTGACGCGAGATTTGACTTCATCGAGGAGCTGGACTTCCAAGTCAGATTGAGGCATAAGATGGAGCACCGACTGCTTCTTCATTTTGATCTTCTTGAACCAAGACTTTGAATCGACTGGACGGACAGCATCCAACACATTTTGCTCACGAAGCCAATTAAGAAAGTCATCTTTCTCACGTCCAAAGTCTGGGTACACGATCGAGTTGCCATCGTTCATGAGACGCATATGCGGCCATCCGCCCACATCGTGTTCCGCACACACATCACTGTACTTCTGACAGTTTACTGCGATGGGATTTACTTGGCCGACCATCTCACGTGCGGCGAGCTCAAAGTCGTGCGCCATCGCACGGCAGTGTGGACATGACGGAGAGTAGTACTTGACGAACGATGGGCCTTGTCCGTGATCAGGGCCAAAGTAGCGATTCAGCTGCTCAATTGTTTCTATAGGGCGCATACCAAATTCCGTGAGGTGCGTCACAGGAACAAGGGCACCACTTCCACTGCCAGATCCACTAGGTGCATTGTTGAGAGCAGCGTTCTTCGCGAAGGCTGGATGCGTGGCCTCAAACTCATTTCTGATGTATTCCTCGAGCCGATCAATATCACGCGATACAATCTTGAATACATTATTTTCCACCGTCTTTCCATTCTTGTACAACTTCGCGCTGGGGTAGCCTGTAATGTGTTCCTGCCCACAAAGCTCAGCCTCTTCTACACAGTCGACACGTGCAAGTGTGAATGGATTTTCTGTCTCCTGTGCCATAAAATCGACGCGCTGCACAAGCTCATGCCACTTAGGCGCGAAGGCCCTGCAATGTGGGCACCATGGCGCATAGTACTCCACGAGCCACGTCCCTCTGTTTGTGAGGGAGAAGTTGCCTAGTGAAAGCGACCGCTCAACACCAAACACATCGTCTATGGGTGCGGCAGATACATGCAACAAAGACCAAAGCGCGAGAACGATTGTTACAAATGCAAGGCGGTGCATTCTCTGCGGCGCCGGCTGAGAGTTGGTCTCGTATGGTGGAAGCGAGACTGTCCTTTTTTTCGAGTTCTAGATCTGACGAAACAGACCTACCCAATCATATTTTTTGCATCGTGTTCCCACCTTCCCTCCCTCCTCTCCGTTTTGGCCACTCGCTGTACATTTTCGAGCTGTGGATCAGTTTGTTCGGCCTGCTACTATTATAAATGAATGGGTCGTCCACATCTTGGTCAAGCCGGGCCAATGCGAGACTCAGGTAAGCACGTGGTACCTCCACACTCGCCTCGTTCCTCCGGGGTCGCACACATTCGTGCAGCGCTGGTACCTGTGTTGTGGATCACCGTCATGATTGATGCCAGATGGACGCGCTGAAGAGCGAGGTATGTGGGCATGAAAAAGAAAGAGAAGGAATAAGAGAGAAACCAAAATGTCTAACATTCAGTTTGCCGACGTTTCTGCGCGGCTGAAGCTTGAATCGCGCATCCGTGATGGTGCGCGCAACATGCTGCAGATTCTCGATGCAAGCACATCGAATGATGCTTTGCGTGGCCAGGTCGAGCGGGAGCTGGCAGTCGCAGAAGAGCAGGTCCAAACACTCAATACAAGACGCAAAGGGATTGAAAATACATTGAATAGTGCAGTGGCCTCGTCTTCAAGGTTCCGGCGTCCACGGGCGATTCGCGCTGTACACGGCCTAGAGGACCTTAACACCCACGCGGTGATACCAAGCCTCTCACCAGATCCATTTGCCTTGCCTGAGAGTCAGGCATTCCGTCTACCGGCATCGGTACTATCAGGACCACCGTCCTCCGCTCCCTCTATCACATCGACATCCGCTTACATTGATGAAATCGCGTGCTCAGCATGCACTGTCGAAGCTCTCACACGGATCCTGCAAAAGCTCCTATCAACAAGAATAGAGGCAATAAACTTACGCGATCCAACGAGTTCCGCCAGCGTAGCCCAACCGAAGTCTCGTGACAGTCCCATGGCATCGGATCATGAACTATGCCATTTATTTCTCTTCCTATCGTCACTTTACCAGCAGCTACCAGATCTGCGACTCGAGACAGATACACAGTCTCTTACGCAGTGCGCACTGCTCGGGATATCACTCGGTGCCTTGTCGATGGTCCGCGCTTATGCGATGCGTCTGCTTCGCTACGTCCTCAGTGCGCCGCTGTTGCCAGACTTAGCCACACATACAAACGCACTTCCCCTGTTGCTTTGCCGAGCTTTGACACAAGAAGCATCGTGCGTGTTCGAGCGCGAGCAGTCGCTCAAGCTTGTGCGTGCATGCATGCATTATACCCGCCTCGGCAGCCAGCATGCACATACTCTCCTAACGGTCGGTGTGGTACGAGTTCTTGCAGCAATAGCTGTCGAACCGGATGATCCTTTGTGCAGTGCTAGCATTGAAACCCTGGCCGAACTGGCGCTCTTAGACACGCCACTCGTCGCCCGTTCGTCTGCTATGGCACCTCTGTGGCGTGCCGTGTGTGAAACGCCCGCGGACGTTGCTGTGCCTCTTGTCACCAGTATGCTGATACTGTTGGATCGGCCCACGACTCGTCGGCACATTAGCGCAGGGACCGACCTGGCGTCCGTGCTGGCTGGTTTCACGTCTGTGCCCAGCGCAGCTGAGTCGTCAAGTCAGCTCTCTACGACACAGCAGGTCGTTTCGCACCTTTTGCTGTCCTGGCAAGGCCTGTTTTATTTGTGCATGTGTGACATGGGAGCATTGCGGTCCCTGGTCGCATCCTTGTATGTCGAGGATCAAACGATCAGGAGGCATGTGCTTGCGGCACTTCTACCACTTTTTCGCACTGTCGACGCGACTGTGTCGCATAGTCCGATGCTGCATGTGCGTGTATCGTACGTGGCATTTGTGTTGATGCTTCTTCTCGATGCTGGACTTTGGGACGCTCTTCTCATGATAATGCAGCACACACCTCGTCATGACAACCTTGCAAGTGAGCTACTTGATCGGATCCTCACTTTTTCTCGAGACATGATGCCGCAGGAAGGCGCATCGTTGCACGCATGTGCTGCGCTTGTCCACCGAATCTGTGTTCCAAATGAGCAAAAGCCAGAGCTGATGGTCGGGGCATCTCATGTGCTAGACGCAGTGGGCCGGAGTGAAGCAGTCCATACCTTTTCGTCACGCGCAAATCAGAATCAAGCACAACCAACTTCCTCACACGAGGTATCTCCCACATACGCCCAAGGCATGTACATGACGCTTGATGATGCACACTTCCGGACTATGCTACGTGACTCTATGGTCATTACAGCGCGAGAGCACACGCTGTGGAATCAGACTGTCATTCTCGAGCTGTTGGACCATGCGCTTTGGGATCCCAAACGTTTCGACGAGGCGCTTAACGGCTTCAAGTTTATTCGTCGGCTCCTTGCCTTCTTTCGCCCCGCACACATGCGGTATGCGTCGATGAAAAAGCACGATGTGGCGCATCGCTGGACCGCCGTTGGCGTAAGCCTGTGCCGTGTCCTGCTGTATCACGCAGATGGTGTGCGCGTGCTTGTTGAAGAGCATCTTCTTTCCGACTTGCGCGACAGTTTCGAGCAGCTGGGTCAACGCGCTTCCGAGACCCTCTTCTCCCTGCATCATCTGCAGCATAACATCGTGACTGGCTACTTCGAAATGCTTCAGGTCCTATCTGCCAGTGCGGTAGGGCTAGAACTGCTGACTCATGCACGACTCTTTACGCCGCTGATGTGCCTGTGTGAAAATGAGGACGATGCATCCGTGCAGGTTGTGTGCTCATTGCTCGCTGTGCTCGATGTCTCTGCACATGCGCTGCCGCGTGTGTTTTTGGAACGTGCTCTCTCCGATGGCCCAGATCGCGTTCGCGAAGCGGCCACCAAACGCGTGGGCCATGTGCTCTGTCTGGATGATGAGCCGCAACCCTGGGCCATGTCGCTCCTTCTTACGCAGCTTTACGATCCGTCGGCGTCTGTCCGCACTGCTGCGACGAATGAGATGGAGCGAGCCTGTGCTCACCCAGCCATGGCACAGTGTGCAATGCAGCAAGGTCCTCCTGTTGATCTGTTGGCGACGCACACAACGATAGCTCTTTTGGGTCTCGCAGACTCGCGCGGATTCCAGCTCATGCACCGCGCTGGCTTATTGAGTCCACTTGCCCAGGCTTGGTATGCTCGCGACCATATAGCCTATGTGGCACAAGCCGAACGGGTCATGGCTCTAGACTCGGCCACACCGTTCTTGCCGCCGCATCTGTACGGCCAACTTGCCAAGACGCCTGCTGGGTGTGTCTACCTAGCGGAGCTGCATGTCTTGCCGGAGTGGTCGACTGTATTGGCAGGACATGCACTTGAGTCGTTCGACAGTGCCATGTTGGAAAAAGTCAAGGCAGCATTGTGGGCCTGCGGGCATGTGGGAGCGTCGGATCTCGGCATGAGCATGCTGCAATTGCATGATCTGGTGGACCTCGTATTTCAGACCGCCAAGTCGCCGGTCGTTTCGATTCGCGGTACTTTCTTTTTTGTGTGTGGTCTCTGGGCTCACTCTGAGCGGGGACGCTGTGTATTGACAGATCGTGGCTGGGACATGTCTGCGACTGCACATGTGTGTATTCCGCGTGACTTTCGGGCGTTCGTCTATTTGCCTGGCTCTGGCACGACAGGTGTGAATCAAGGGCTCTCGTCACGTCTCACTCCTCCCAAAGACGAGCAGGAAGCATACGCTACTGGCCTCTTAGCGAATTTGGGGAATGGCGTCGTCGCTGGAAGTGCGAGACGCGCGCTGCTCCGCCACCGGCAGCAACACCCACGTGTGTATCGACAGGTCTCGTTGCTGGGCTGTGCGCTTCATATGATGGACCACTTTGCGTTTCGACTCGCGGCGCGCCGAAGTATATGGGCGATTCTAGTCGAGTGCCCTTTAAACTCCAGACACGATCCGCGCGCTTCAGCAATGGGCGCTCAATGCATCTGACAATCGCACCGGTTCCTCCGACACGCCGCTCACAAAAGATCCAATCTGAAGCTGATCGGCAAGATCGCCTAGAGCAAGGCATGTCGCGACTGTATCCTGTCTTGAGGCTGTCATCTAGACAGCGAGAATCTTGCAGTACCGGGTCCTACACTACCAGCCAAACGGATCCGCGTCCAACCCCGTCAACAACGGAGCCAGGCGTCACAGATGCATCTCTATCCGCACCGGCGACAGATCTGACAACGTCCACGATGGCTACTACAGCACATACAACATACTCACAACCTTCGCCTCAGCCATGCGCAGGTCGCGCAACTCGCGATGCATGGCCCTACAAAATGCATGGCTTTGTATAGTTGTCAACGTACATATTCACGACGAAGAGCACGATCACAGCGAATACTCAGTCCTCTCTTCACTTTGCTTCTTCTTCAGATTTCCGACTTTTACTGGTTCTGGCTATTTAGCATGTTGTGTTCAATGCCGTGGCTCAATAGCGAGATCGCACGACTCGTATCGCCATGAGGCACAACAAGGAACCGCAAGAGCTCGAATGGATCTGTCTTGTGCTTTCGAACAGATGTGAAATACACTGTGCCGACACCGCGTGGGCCCACGACTTCGAAACTCATATCGACCTTGCCTTTCAATGGATTAATGATGCCTTCAATCCACGGATCGCCGAACATGCTGCGCTTGATCCGCACAGGCTCGCCCAGTAGCTCGTATACTTCAGGCGCACTGCGCACACGCTGCGACACCATTCGCAGAACGGACGAACCCACACGTTCCTTATTGTTGAAGTAGGCAGACAACACATACCAAAGAGCTACAAGAGATGCGCCACCTGCGATATAGAGAGGCTTCCTGTTCGGTAAGGGTGGAATGGGATGCTTCACACGCGTTACATGCGGATCCCAGTGTCCTGGTTGTACTGGTCGGGAGGAGATACCGCGCATATGCACCACCTTGTGTGCACTATACCACAAGCGTGCGCGGCTGAATATAGGCGTCACTCGATTCATCATGACGCAATCACCACCACCAAGCAAGACGTTGAGGCTGTTGTCGCTCGTCGTTCCTAGACCCATCCGCTCGCTTGCTGGGACTAGCGCACCTCCACAGCTCAATGGGCTACATTCACCGTTTTAGAGGCTTCCCCCCCCCCTCCGCCGACTACCACGTGTCTTTTTATGCCACTCCCCCATTCCATCATGGACATGAGAAGCCAGTCGTAGACGACCGCGTATTCCGACCAGAACCACCACACTCCATATGTCTCGCCATCGATATGCCAGACTCTCCACTGCCTAGACCCAGACAAAGTGCCACAATATCCCTCAAGTGGCTCTCGCAAGAAATCGATACATGGAAAGGACCACCATAGTGTGTTATATACGACTACCGCTGTTGGTGGACAAAGCTAAACAACACAAAATGAACAACGCACACCAATCTATGTGGAAATTTGACAAACGACATGCTTACTCATGTTACAACAGGAATGCGGCGGCCAGAGTTCCAACGGCCAGTGCAACGGTCGACGCTAGAGTCACAGAGACGCTACCAGCACCGTTTTTGTCTTTCTTATTCGAGCTGTCGCTGTCCTTGCCACTGCTCTCGCCGTTGTTCTCATTTTTGTCGCCACGCTTGTCGCTGCTAGAGCTCTTGGAATCACCGTCATTCGCAACAGCGTTAGCGGCTTGCGATACCGAGCTCTCAGCACTCTTGGAGAGCGAAGCAATCTTGTTCGCGGGCGATGGCACTGGCTTGCAGTTGGACGACTTAGGCATCGACTGGGCCACACTTGGAGTCGACTGACCCTTGTGACCATTCGTGAAGGTGAGTTCTTTGCCATCGAGTGTCCAAAGACCCGTCATATACTGCTGGAATGTCGAGGTCGACCCATCCTCGAGGAAGTAGCCCGGCGGGTACGCTGGGTCGGCATCACACGAATCAAACACATCCGGAGAGTAGTCACCTGGCATCACCCACGGACAGCCCATCTTGTCAAGCTCGTGCTCGCACTCAACGCCAGGTTTGGCTTGGTCCGAGCCCGCCGTGCATACACGGAAACACATAATGTTATGACCAACGTAGTTCATCCACTCTTTGTAGAAGACATCTTTACCAGTCACGTTCGAGGTGACATCACCACCCTTTGGGTTACCACCACCGTATTGACCATGAGGGTCGAGTTCACCACCAGAGTCATTAGCCTTGATACCAATTTTTGTGAAGTCTCCCAGGGCCATAACCTGAACGTACAGAGGTGTCTTCACAAAGTGAACACCGGTGAGGGTACCGTCAGGAATAACACGCGCATTGTTACGCGGCTTTGTACACCAAGCCACTGTTCGCTCTTCTCGATCAGATACAGGCAGGTTGAGATCAAGAGGACCAAACGTACACCAATCGTCAGCGCTGTTGATCGAGGCCAAACGCGCATCCGACGTCTGATTCACGGGCGTATCCATCATAGGCTTGTCAGGGTTCGTTGGACCCCTGGAACCATCAGCCACTACACCTGGATAGTCACTGCTGGGGTTACCGAAGTTGAAAGGGGGCGACGGTTTCGACGTGCTAGCGGCTTGAGCCATAGCTGTAGCCGAGGCATCCTGACGACGCTGGTACACCATGTTATTGTTCGGCCGGTATACAACAGCGTTGGCCACAGAGGCCAACGCAATCGCACACAATAGCGTGCGTACTTGGAACATCCTTAGTAGATGACAGCTAAGAGAAGGAAGCTGAATTTGAGGGAGTTTCCGATGATTTTAGACCTTCATAATAAACCTATGTTGATGCCGGTCAGCGCGCTTCATTCGTGCAATGCGCAGGGCTGTGCAGTGTCCACACATGCATAAACTCTATGCTCTCTGACAAATCAGATGTGTGCTTGACCAAGAATCCGCTGGCGCGCGCCAGATGCCAATAGTGCAGTTGACATGTGACGAGAGGCTTGCGTATTACACCACGTGCAATACCTTTTCCACCGTATCTCACATTGGCATTGTCAGGTGGTCGCCATGGTCGTGCGTCTGCGCCTGGCACGGCATGGCACGAGAAACAATCCATTCTATCATGTGGTAGCGATTCAAAACACAAAAGCTCGCGATGCTAGACCTATCGAAAAGCTCGGCGAGTACGATCCTGTCCCGCGCCCTCTGCGAAGTGTCTTACCCAACCCGGTACGCCAACGCTTGCAGGACCGTCCCGGTTACAATGGCCAAGTGATCACGCCGGGTATCAGTACGCAGCCTCGACTGGAAAAACGCCTTGAATGGAATGAGGATCGAATCAGGTATTGGCTTAATACTGGCGCACAACCTAGTAAGCCAGTTGCTCGTCTTCTTGACAGGGTGCGTGGTTACTTCTTTTTTATCCTCTTTGTTACATGACTAACATGACGCTTTCAGGCTGGACTGATCCCCCCCGAAAAGCGAGCTATGTACAAGGGTCTATTTCACCCGCCGCAGCCGACTGTTGGAAATGATTTGGAAGGTTCGACGCAGGAACACCGCGGGAGCACATGAATCTTGCACCGATTATGAATGCATGTTCAGAGGGGGAAAACAATTTGTCGCAATTGCGTCCGATGTGGGATGAAGGTTGTAAAAAGAAAATCCAATTTCAGTCCTCTCATTGTATGCTCTGCCATCCAAGCCTACCATGCTGACACAATGCAAAAGAAAGGGTATATGATTCAATTGAGTATCACTCGTTGCGAATCGTATACTATCCATGACGATATGGGAAGCGATCATTTTGCCGATTGCTGCATTTTGTCAGCAAATATACCGTTTGAGATCTGCTTTATTTCCTCATACATACCCCTCAAGAGGACGCGAATATTTTCCTGTCCTTTTGGGCCGACCAGCGCGAGAGCGTGTAGTTTCTGATGGCGTCTTTGAATCTGGTTCAGGCATGTTCATGGGTGCCACTGTTGTCTGCATAGTAGTCATAGCTTCAGATGTAGGTAATGAGGGAAATGGCCACGGTGGCGGTAGCATACCAGGGAGGCCGCCCCACGGTGACAAAGGTAGTGGCAAAGGAATGGTGGATTCATTTGTGGGTGCATCCGAGGGCATACTGGGTTGTGATGTGGGCACTGGCATAGGCATGGGCATTGCTGCAGGTGGAGTCTTTGGTACTTCTGATAACGTTGGGGCTGTCAAAGATGTCGTTGGCGAAGAGGTTGCGGTGGTACTTTCGTCTTTGAGTTGTTGCAATAAATCTGCTAGGTTTGAAGGTAGGCCAGGTATCGAGCTGCTGGATGACGTGGAGACGGAAGGGGATGAAATTTGGTCAAATACAAAAGGTCGTATCACAGAGCCGGTTGTCATGACCCGGGGCTCATTGAGCGTTGTAGAAAAGGCTGATAGATATGCATCCTGCACAGGCTCAGCAGGACTTTCTGGGATCATGCTTGGCTCAGAATACGTGACTTCAGCCACATCGTTTTCATACTCAGCTTGGATCTGTTTTGCTTCGCTGTGTGCACCGCATTCAGGTATCATGGGCGAAAGGACAGATAGGCTCACCTCTCGCGGAGGATAGTAATCAATGTACTCTTCCATATCGGCATGCGCGAGACGGAAAGCACCGCCTTCCTCCATATCAAGCTGGCCCACACTGGCAATGCCGCCTTGCTCGTCTTCTTCATAGACAGCGGGTTCGATCAATTTGACAGCCACAAGTGCTTGACCATCGTGGTCTCTCCAATGAACAGTCTTTTTGCGTTTCTTGGGCTGAGTACCAGACTCAACAGAAGAGGTTGAAGAGGCTTCTCCAGCGGACACAGGCGCAGAAGCAGATGCTGTTGGTGGTGGGCTAGGCCGCGGTTGATCTATAAGTGTCATGAAACTTGCCAAGTCCCTATTCGCATTGGACTGTGCAGACGCCGAGCGTGACGATACTGATCTTCGGGTGGCTGCGGACGAGCTTGTCAAAGGCTTAGCATCAGAAATCTGCGGCGAGCCGCGTCGCTCTGATTGCGTCGACGCGGATGCCGTACGCGCCCGCGACGTGCCAGACATTAACATGCTTGAGGCGGGGCGCACTGAAGCTCCAACTGCAGATCGAGTGGGTGGCACAGCCGTTGATGCACTGTTGCTGCGCGCACGCTTAGTAGTGGGGTCCTGCAATGAGTTCGTGGCTGCGGGACGCTTAACTGTCGTCGAGAGTGGCGGCGCGCTCTGAGCCCGTGATGCTGTACTAGATGGCACAAGCGCACTCCATTTTTCTTTCACTTCATCTGCGAGCTTTCGAGCATGTTCACTGCGAAGACGTTTTTGGGCACCGGTAATCAGCTTCCCTAGGCCTACATGGTCTTTAAGGTGCTCTAGTTCAATCGGAAGTCGAAGCAAAAGAGCCAGTAAAGGTTCAACAACCGTAGCGTACATGTCGCTTATATCTTCCATATCGGACTTGCGTGGTGGCGTCGCATCTGAAAGCCATGTCGCCAAAATCTCTCGACCACGGGTATGATTCGTGAATGCCGAGAGATACGCCGGCGAGCCGTGCTGCATCATACGTTGAACGATCTGCAAACGGTCCTGAGGTGTCGTTGCGCGAATAGTAAATCCATCCGGCGCATTTGAGCCCCTGTTGTCCGATAGCAATGTGACGAGTGCACCAGCCGCTTCCTTCGGGCTTTTCTCAATGAGATTGGGTGTGATAAGATTCGGCACCGTAGTAGAAATATCATGTGTCGATGTAGGAAACGACGGGAGCACAGTCGCTGGAGTTGACGAAATCGGTATACGTGTGCTAAAAGTCGTCAGTCAGCATCATTGAATCAGACATGGAGATGAAGACGCGGCACATCCAATGCGTGGGCAAACGGCCTATGCGAGTGAAAAACGGGTAGTGATGTTATGGTGGGAGTTGCTCTCGCGAAGAAATAGAGCAAACTTACGCGAGATAGCTCACAGTGTGGCAGCGGTTCTTGCGTACAAGTCCAGTCGCTTATGACGCAGCGATAGAGTTATATCTATCCGTTCCCATTACTCTCGCATCACCGCACGCCACCCCACATGACCGTCTGCGCAAATGCAGTAGCGACGCGCCATACTCCATATCGATACGTACTCGTCGATTTGTGACATATCGAGATAGCGCACACAGATACGCCAGAGACAAGCGCTGTACTCCAATATACAGGAAAAATTCAGATTCTCGAGGTGAGATGGTTAGAGAGCCCCTGCTTAAACTACAAGGGCACGAGTGCTATGACAAGTGCAAGAGACTTTTGAAGCTCCCACGAAACAAGAGCTGTTTCTTTCAGTAAAACACCACGCCAAAGTCTACGAGGAAAATAAGGGTTCGTACGTTAGCCCTAGTTTCGTGGCGTCAGTAGACAAATATGCGTGAGGATAAATCGAGTCTCTGAACTGAGTTGGTTTTTTCGGGTGGAAGTACATGACGGACGAATCACTCGTGGTCAAAGCACCGCAGCACGTGCTTATGTGATCATCAGCAGCCTACTCAACACCGGCACCGGGGCCTTGCCTTTCAAAGTCTGTGTGGTTGCCTGCTTCTGATCTGCAGCCTGGTCCGCTGCTATTGCCCACCCTTGCACACAGAGGTTGTGCGTATCAACTTGTGTGTAGTACAGCCAGATCAAGTGCTTATTGTCATTATGAGTCCACGTGTAGAGCAACATCGATATAGTGACCTTTGCCCTAGGAAAGTCGTCCATAGCCTCTAGCTTTAGATTCTCCAATGAGACCGACGCCTTGTGACCACTCCGTGAAAATGAAATGTAGATTGAGCCTCCACGATCATTGTCACACAGCACAGCGTGTTGTTAGCAATGCGAGGCATTTCCACAACATGCCTGCGTCAAGTACGCGGCTCACTGGCGTCTTCATTCCTACGTAAAGCGTTTCATACAGCACCGGTGAATTCCAAAAAGGCGCGTGCGCCAGAGCATCGTGTGCAGTACAATTATGACCTTTTTTCTCTGCATCCCGAGGACGAGCATTACTCTTATCCGCTTGTGACGGCGGACGATTTGGCCAGATCCAAGGCACGGCCGCGGTCTGTTCGTATGCTTGCGCGTGACTTTATCCATGATAGCCTGTACAATACTCACTATGGCTACTTTAGTCGGCAGGCCGTCCTACTGCCATCTGCAAATCCACCCTCACGTGTTGGTTCCGATACGGCATCACCTGCAGTAACAGCAGCAACATCATCATCAACACTCGATTCCGTCTTCCCTTTTCACGATATCAAAAATGAAACCGAATTTATGCGCGCAGTGCAGCTTCGGTACATGGCGTTTGAGGAGTGGTTCCAAAATGAGATGAAAGCTCGCGAAAGACGGCGCCATAACAATGAGCCAACTCCGCAGGAGCGTATTGATGCACTCATTGCAAAGCAAAAACGGACACCTTGGGGCAGTACTCAGCGCCTCGAACTAGCGCGTGAAATCGGCCGCCTTCAACGCGATCAAAGCCATGAGCAAGTGTCGGATACAGAGGTGGATACCATGGTGGCTGGACAAGTTTGGCACACCCCGACGCAGCTTTTCAGTGTACGTATGACGAAGACTTACCACAGCCGCATTATGGACATGCCCTAGCTCGCTATCTGGTGGCAGAATACAAGTTGCACCTTTTCCCATATCATGACCTCGTGATATATGAGCTCGGTGGTGGTGCTGGAACATTGGCGCGTGACATCCTTGACTATATGGAAGAGTTTGAGCCAGACGTGTATTCGCGTACGCGCTATCATATTGTGGAAATTAGCGATCGACTTGCCGCGCAGCAGAAGGCACGATTGCTGCATCATCTGCGACAAGGCACGGTCGAAGTGGTACCGCGTGACTTTTTGCAGTGGGACAAGGATGTAGAAGACCCCTGCTTCATTGTTGCTTTAGAGGTTCTGGACAATTTGGCACATGATGTGGTGCGTTATTCCACGGATGATCTGCAACCGTACCAGGGTCTAGTGTCAATCGATCGTACCGGGGACTTTGTCGAGTTATGGGAGCCCGTGCAAGACCCGCTGATTCAACGCTACCTAAATCTGTTCCACTCCGTCCGTCGGCCTCTCTTGCCACCAGGTGCGCCATTCTATCTGAGTTGGATTCCATCTTCATTACGACATACGTTGCATGAGAGTGCGCCTTTTTACCCCAATCTCACTCAGCCGCATTTCATTCCGACGGGTGCTCTTCGGATGCTCGATGTGCTGAAAAAGCACTTTCCGCTTCACCGCTTGGTTTTGTCTGACTTTTCTTCGCTGCCAGATACGATTCATGGTGTGAATGCACCCGTCGTTCAAACACGGCACAACGGTATCATGATTCCTGTGACCACCTATTGTGTACTGCAAGGCTTCTTTGATATCTTCTTCCCAACTGACTTCCCATTGCTTCGTGACATATATTTGCGCCATATGGGTACATCGCCAGCCGGTGACTTCGCCGACGCTGGATCAAAGATGTCGAGGACATACTTCACCCCCACCTACTCGACTGAATTTTCTCAGTATGTCCCGTCTGCCTATGAAGACTATTCCTATGCGCCGAGTAGATTGTTGGGTCTGTCAGACGTCATACCACCTCCGCTTCTGCGTGATTCGCCCGATGCTCGTATCATGTCTCATGCAGAGTTTCTCTCTCGATACGCAGATACCCAGGGCACGCAATTGCGTGATGGATCAAACCCTATGGTTTCTTGGTATGCAAATGCCAGCTGGCTTCTTACGTAGTGAATCAACAATTATGGATTTCGCTGATGAAAATGGTTTCGTATCCGTGCGAGTCTGAAAATGGTCCAAATTTATAGCTTAGTGTCGATGATGGGTTGGCGTGAAGAGGTGGAGTGAGTGATTGAGTTCTATGCGCGATCCATGTCCAATCTCTTTGCCTCGTCAGAGGCTCGACACAGATCCAAACAGGCCACATCCACGTGGCGTTTAATCACAAACTTTCACGTCTATTGTGTCCTGACCCCATACCGCAACGCTATGCTGTTACCGTATCGCGAGCAGCCCTCGACAAGGGGACGTCTGACGACCATCGCAGGCATTGGTACGTCATGACAACCACAACCCTGGCTAACGCATAAAGTCCTCTTTTTGCATGCAGCGTACTCTGCATACGAAGGTATGTAAGACATCGGCAGAATTAATGCCCACTCGCAGTCTTGTCGCAGGGCAAAAGTATCGACCTGTCAACCTCTACAACGGCATATGAAAGCAACGTACCGCTTGATGTACGTATTGAAAGAGAGAATGACCCACTTACCTGCAGATCAAATTTGAAACTCTCGTGGCATTTGTCGTGCTTGTGGTAGGGTGCGCTATGACGACGCCGAAGCTCCGTCAGATGACATGGACCGCCCGTATGCGCGAGACGTACGTACATTTGCCACTGTCGCACATAATAACACTGGCAGGGACATTGATCTTGTGGACGCACGCCCCAGCTTCGCCACTGTATACCACCGAGGGGCGAAGCTATTTGCTGCGCGTGACTAAGGCCTAAAATCGTCGCGAAGTACCGGGACGTTGCGCACAAGGATGCGACCATCCTTCATACTACAACCAGACAGGTATTCACAGAAACGCTAGACTGAGCATCACTCGCCTTTTTTAGCAGGACGCGTCTGTTACAACATGCTCCAATTCATAGATCCCAAGGGCACGTAAGGGAACTTGATAGAACTACGGACTAGCGACTGATCGATATGGAAGTCACACAAGTCATACCTCGTCGGAACACAGAGCCGCAGGCATAGCCTGCTTAGAAACACTTCCTGTGCACGATCGAGGGACCAGCTTCGTCGTACTCCTGCTTTGAAATCCACATCTGCTGGAATGTGGACAGGGAAGCAAGAATCGAACCACCAATCCAGACAGAGTACTTACGCTCTGGAGGGGCGACGATCTTGACCTTCATGCTGCTAGGAGCAAGAGCCGTGATCTCCTTCTGCATACGGTCCGAGATACCCGGGTACATCGTTGAACCACCAGACATGACAATGTTGCCGTACAGGTCCTTACGGATATCCAGGTCACACTTCATGATCGAGTTGTAAGTGGTCTCGTGAATACCAGCCGCTTCGAGACCCAAGAACGAGGGTTGGAAGAGTGCCTCAGGGCAACGGAAACGCTCATTGCCAATAGTAATAACCTGACCGTCGGGCAGCTCGTAGCTCTTTTCGAGAGCCGAGCTCTGGGCGGCTGTGAGCATTTCCTGCTCAAAGTCCAGAGCAACATAGCAGAGCTTCTCCTTGATGTCACGAACAATCTCGCGCTCGGCGGTCGTCGTGAATGGGTAACCACGCTCCATGAGGATCTTGACAAGATGCTCCGTCAGGTCACGACCGGCCAAGTCAAGACGGAGAATAGCATGAGGCATCGAATAACCCTCGTAAATAGGCACAGTGTGCGTAACACCGTCACCCGAGTCCAGCACAATACCTGTCGTACGACCAGAGGCGTACAAGGAGAGAACAGCCTGAATAGCCACGTAGAAGGCTGGCGCGTTGAACGTTTCGAACATGATTTGCGTCATCTTCTCACGGTTGGCCTTCGGGTTCAAAGGAGCTTCAGTGAGCAGCACAGGGTGTTCTTCTGGTGCTACACGGAGTTCATTGTAGAACGTGTGGTGCCAGATCTTCTCCATGTCATCCCAGTTCGTCACAATACCATGTTCAATTGGGTACTTCAGCGTGAGGATACCACGCTTTGACTGGGCCTCATCACCGACGTACGAGTCCTAGCGGCATTAGCATACAATGAAAAGTTGCATCCAATCACATACCTTCTGACCCATTCCGACCATCACACCTGTGTGGCGGGGACGACCGACAATCGAGCTGATGAGGCGTCAGTAAAGCTAGGAAGTAAGCGTAACGTACGGGAACACAGCACGGGGCGCATCGTCACCGGCGAAACCGGCCTTGCACATACCCGAACCATTGTCAATGACAAGCTGTACAGAGGTTAGTTACTAGAAATTCATGATGAAAGATGCGAATATTCGTCAGCGAAACATACAGCAGCCACCTCGTCTAAGCAAAGCGAAGTGAAAGTCGGCAGGTGTTAGCATGGCATTCAAATATGAAGTATATATTTATTGTTGGTTACCTACCTTCCATATTGTTGGTAGTTGTACGAGAGCCAACAACTAGCGAACTGAGGAACGAATAATCGGGATCCCAAGCAAGCGAATAACCAGCGGAGGTTCGCTCATCAAGGCCAATCAAACAAGCGCGTCTGATGTGGCCAATTCTACCGGGCGTGTGTACTACCTATGCCCGGTCCACCACAGCCACCTCGGGCTGCTAGGTTCCCAGTCTTTGTCAGAGGCCTCAAATGGTCGTGGGGTGGTGAGCGCCCTCTCGGCCGAGACTCCTGCATGCTGTGCTGGCACATGCAATACACGCATGGCGTTGTGCATGTGTCAGATTAGGTGTAGATGCTCCGTTATACTGCTTGCCCCGTGATGCTCTCTAGAACAAGGTCGATCTGTACAATCGTTCTAAAATCGTCAGAAACTCTCACATGAGGCGAATATCGTATGCTTAGAAGCTATAAAGGTAGTACTTATACATTAGGTGCGTCCAGTACAATCGACTATTGCGTGAAAGAAGGGGGAGGGGGAAATGACGCGGACAAAAACAGCGAGAGAAGTAGGAAAGAGACTGTGTGTAATAAGAATGGAATGCTGGAGGAAGACGAGGGCGCATCTAACTATGCGCTCTTTTTCTTCTTCTTATCCTTTCCTTCTTTTCCCTCTTTCGCTGCCTTCTTCGCTGCCTTCTTCGCGGCCTTTTCGACGTCACTAGCCTTGCTCTTGCTCTTCTTGTCCTTCTTCTTCTTCTTCTCAGCCTTTGATGATGCCTTGGACGAAGTCTTCTTCTTCTTCTCCTTCTCAGCTGGCCCGTCGTCGCTGTCTTCATCATCATCCGCATCCTTATTGTCCTCGACATCTTTGTCGTCACTACCGTCTTGGTCCTCATGGTCTTCACCATCATCATCATCGCCATCGACATCCATCAAATCGCCAGCGGCCTCTTCCATCGCGGCAATAGCCTTGCGCATGGCGTCGCTGTTCTTTGTCGTGGGCTTGCCTGTTTCGTAGAAAGCGAGTCGCTCTTCCACTTGCATGTGGAGGACTTCACCAAACTTGGTAGATGGAGCATCTGAGAAGCAATCGATTCGGCATGCAATGCTGATTTTGTTCGCGAGGAAACGAGACATGCGACCCTTATTTTTCGGCGCGGCGCGCGAAATGGCAGACGCATGGTAAATTAAGCCGTATTTAGGCGTATTCCCCTTCGTCTTAAGCGCACGGAACAGAGCCTTTTCAGCACCAAGAATCTGCACTGTCGACGCAGGATACTTGGCCAAGTTCGTCAGCGAGCCGGCGTGCGAAATCAGACGAGCGCCAATGACCTCGCCAAGAAGGGCTGAGAGATTTGGCGCGACAAGATGCATTTTCTCCACAAGATAGTCGTGCATGTTTTTGCGGTACTCGGCAAGTCGAACAACACGGTCAGCAAAGTTTTCTATGTTGATCATATCAAGTTCGCCAATTTCCGTACCCATGCTGGCTCGACTGGCATCAAGCACATTGTGGGCAGCTGTTTCATCGCCCTGGAGGATTTCTGCCATTTCTTCTAGATCATTTTCACCGAGGTTCTCTTTGGCTTTAATGTATCGGGCGAGACGAGCGTATGTGATATTGTCTGGCACGATACGCACGAGCTCAGGAAAGTGCCAGCCGTACCATTCACGCACACGCATGGCGAAAGTGTTGACGTCCTTGTCGAGTGTGTCAAGAAGTGCGATGGCCTGGATGATCATGTTGTCACTGCGGTTCACATTAAACTTGACCTTGGAGCGAGAAAATGAGTGACCAAGACCAAGCTGAGCACGAGCCAAGTCACCCTCGGCCATGCCCTTGAGTAACTTTTCGGCGTGCAGACGTACACCACGCACAAGCTCCTGCGATGTCTCTCCAGTATCGCAAGGGATACCCAACTCGCCGACGATGGAGCTAGCCAAGTTACGGTCACACACACCGAGCCCTATGCCTTTGACCTTCTTTCCTTCTGGGCGCAGGTTCTGAGTCAGTAGGGATTTGAGATGCTCGTTCACAATGCCCTCTGAGATATCGAGAGCACCTTGCAAAGCATCAGGCGCACTCTTAAATGGGCTGAAGCTGACGAGCTTGACCATCTTTCCAAATGAGGGAAGATCATCCATAGCTTCTTGGACTTGCTTGGTCTGTGACCCAATGCTTTCGACCTGTTCGACCTTGAACAAAGCAAGGCCGACGGCGCTTTCAAAAAGCACATGCGTCGGTGTGCCCGGCATGTCTTGAAGTAATTATGCGAGACACAACGAGAATGAAAAAAAATAAACAAACTGCAGACAAACAAGGACCTTGCAAGGGTCTGTCGGATTTTGCTGCTGCTATTTCTGCTGCCACGTTATACGACCGGAGCGTTGGCTCAGCCGTTTCTCAGCAGGGTGGGAAACGAGAGCGTCAGACAGGGGGGATTTTTTTTTTGCTGGCGAGCGAGCAAGTGTGGCCACACGTGACATCGGCCGATGACGAAGCCTCTCAGTGGCCAAGGACGGGGCGTCGCAGGGGCCCGGCGTTGGACTCTGAGTGGAAGTAGTAGTAGGCGTGGGTGGATGAGGGTGCGACTTTACGTCGCTGTCAGATCGGCGGAGGGCATTTTGTCTCATCGGAGGAAGGGCCGCGTCATCCAAGACAGGACCTACGTGCGAATTTGAGTGTTGCATCTTGGTCTACTTGAAGCATGTCGCGCAGTAGTTACGACCGACACTTGACGATTTTTTCGCCCGAGGGACGTTTGTACCAGGTGGAATACGCATTCAAGGCGATAACAAGCGCAGGCATCACGGCGGTAGCAGTACGAGGTAAGGATGCTGTCGTGGTGGCGACGCAGAAAAAGCTGCCGGACAAGCTGATTGATGCATCAACTGTCACGCACATCTTTGCAATCACGCCGAACATTGGTTGTGTCGTGACTGGACGTACGCCTGATGCGCGTGCACAGGTGCAGCGTGCACGGTCGGAGGCGGCTGAATTCAAGTACAAGTATGGATACCCGATTACGCCAGATTTACTCGCGAAGCGCATGGCAAATATCAACCAGGTTTATACACAAAAGGCAGCGATGCGTCCGCTCGGTCTTTCTATGATTTTGATTGGGCTCGATGACGAGCGTGGGCAGGAGCCACAGATCTTCAAACTCGATCCTGCGGGTCACTATGTGGGCTACCGAGCGACGGCCAGCGGTACTAAGCAGACGGAGGCCATGAGTTTTCTTGAAAAACAGTTCAAGCGTGTACCGACGGCCATGGCGCCGGATGCAGCGCTGGCCGAGGCGGAGAAGCTCGTGGGAGAGCTAAGCCGCGACGAGATCCTTGATATGGCTGTGAATACGCTACACACGGTGCTAGCTCAGGAACTCAAGCCCAGTGAGATTGAGATTGGCATTGTCGGTGGTCCTGCTGTGCACGATCCGTCGGCGTCGGCACGCGAGGTCGAGTCGCAGCAGCGATTCTCGATGCTGAGCGAGGCGGAAATTGTACAAATTCTTGAGCGCTTGGCAGAGCGAGACTAGTGACGAGCAGCACTGTCATGCGGCAAGGGTGCTAAAGAAGAGTGTGACAAAGATAGTGAAGGAGGAAGAATAGAAAGCGCATTGTCGTCCTAGACCATTGCCTTGGGACGTGTCTACCTCAACTATAGCCAGTGAGGGCGATAAAGAGTGATACCGCGAACGGTAAGCGCGCGCATCACCCCAGTAAGTGGTAGGCAGACAGACAGCGAAGCACCTTCGAGGTGTGAGCCGAAGAATATGAAGGGGCTTGTGGCAATGTGATGATCGGTCGCACAGCCAGCGTGCTATGAAGAAGTCTGATCGAGTTTGGCCTTTTTCGACTCTTTGCGAGAGGCCTTGTCGCTAGCGCGTTTCTTTGGTCGCTGCAAGTCAGGTTCGTTCCGCTTCTTGCGCTCACGCGCCAGAGCCTCGAGTCGTGCACGCATGGAGTTTGGCGCAGATGCTGTTGCCGCACCGTCGTCTGAGTCGTCTTGGTCCATGTCGTCCGCGGCACGTGGGCTTGTGTGGGAGCTTGGAGCATCGGCATTGGCATCCACGTTCATGTCCTTGCGATCGCCAGCTGCCACGTCCTCATCGTCATCGTCATTGTCATGGCCATCGTTATCGTTATCGTTATCGTCATCGTCATCATCGTTGTCGCCCGGATCGTTTCGATCGTCGTCGTCATCGCTGCTTTCTTCAAAGAGGTGTTCGTCATCTTGAGCGACGAAATCATCCGTCTGTGCAGGCGTCTTCTTCTTGCGAGGAGCTGCACGCTGCTTGCGAGGCTCCGGCGACGGCTCGCGATCATACTCGATTTGACTTGCCTCTTCACGAGCACGTCGACGCGACTCGGCGATGGCCTCGGCCTTGCGTCTGTGCTCCTCTTCCTTCTCGCGGCGCAGCTGCGCAAGGTGCGCTTCACGCTCCCGCTGTTTCTCGTCGAGCTGAGCAAGTTTGTCGCGTTGCGCCTGCTCATAAGCAAGCGTGTCCTGGAGCTGCTGCGAGGCTTGCTTCAGCAGCGACATGTCGGCGTACTTTACACGCTGCTCGACGATCTCGTCGGTGATGTACAAAAGCTGTTCGCGCTTAGCGGCATCGACGAGTGCTTGCAGCACAGGCTGGGCCTGCTCGACCCACTGGATGGCCGTGCTTAGATCCTTCGAGGTACGCTGCTCGACGGGCATGTCGTACAGCATCTGGAGCGCTTTGTGTGACATGACGGCGCGGTTGTACATGACCTGCTTCCATTCAATGGCTGCTGAACTTGAGGCGTATGCCAGGTCTGCCTCGCCGCCAGCCATACCACTGCGCTCCGCAAGCACGTCGCAGGCGGTGCTGAGCTGTGCCATGGCTAGCTGGATATGCTCCATGGCCCGATCTTGCAGGCCGAGTGCGTAGAGTGCGCGTGCCGAGTACTGCAGCACGGCCGGATCCCGCTCACACCGGTACCGGGTAAGTGCAAGTTCGTACACATGTGCTGCCCGGTCCCACGCACCACAAAGCATAAAAGCATGGCCTTGGCACACATACACACTCGCGTCGTCCCGTACCTCGCGCAGCTTGCCGAGGAGTGCGGCTGCATCCTCGGCGGCTGTCCTGCGCCGGGCCTCCATGACATCGGGCGCAGCGTGTGGATCGCCGAGAGCATCATCAGCCACGAGAATGGCTAGGCCCTGGGCGGCAAACACATTCTGTGGATTGGCAGCCAATGCCTTGTCAAACAGGTCGGCCGCACGCAGCATGCACTTGGCACGTTCCGCGCGCTGATTCGGGCCGGGCATGGCATGCACGCCCAACTGGTAGTACGCCCATCCCAGAGTGCCGAGGATGTACGCGTCGTGCCTGGCTTCGTCAGCTGCGCGCCGAGCCACGGAGGCACTGCCAAACACGGCTTTGCCAGCGTCAGCACCGAGGAACAGCTGTGCCGCCGAGTCCTTGAGCGCGGCCCAAGCCGGGTGCCGATTCGCTGGGTATGCACCTGCGAGGAAGCGCATGTACTCGGCGCGCACACTCAGGTCACCTGGATCACTGGAGAGAGCTTCTTTGAAGCGGGTGTTGGCCACATCGCGTGCCGATCGCTCGATGCCGCCAGGCATGTCGGACGGGATCATGGTGTCTTGCGGCACTTGCGCGGCCAGCACGGCCATCCGCACGCGAGCCGCCACATATTCGGGGTGAGCCGCTAGTAATGCCGCATAGGCATCGCGTGCCTGAGTTGCATCGCCGAGGTTTTCGAGCGCAAGGCCCATATTGTAGTTGGCCAGCACCTTGATGGCTTGGACCATGTCGTTGTCGCTGTTGTTGTCGTTGCTGCTGCTCCCTGTTGTCGCTTGCAAGGCTCGCTGTAAATGCACAAGGCCACGGCGCAACATGCCAGCATCGGCCGTGTATGTCATGAGAGCGCCCATATTCAGTTCCAACGCGTACATCAGGGGCGAGCCCTCTTGGCTCGGTGGCAAAGCTGCACGAGCCGCTTCGTACTCGGAGATGGCCCGTTCGCGTGCAGAACGCGCCCATAAGAATGCAAGGCATGCACGAACGCGCGGGTCATCGCCAAGGCGCGCCAGGGCTGTGAGCGTCAGCGATGACAAGCGCTCTGACGCCATGGCACCGCCCTCGCCGACCAGCGACTTGGGCGATAACAATGCGCGTGCCTCTGTGGCAGTGTGTATTGTGCGGTCCAGCAACGCGCGCGCACGGCGGCGGCGGTCGGCTTGGGCTGTTGTATCGGTGGCCGCTGTCGAGCCGGCAGCCGGCGTCGCAAGGAGCAAGCCGGCCATGAGCACAAGCTCGGTCGCATAGGCAGCAGAGCCACTGGGCCGCAATAGCACCGCATCCAGTGTGCGCATGGCACCTTGCACATCACCTGTTGACGCTTCCAGCTGTGCATGGCCCAGCGAAGCAAGGGCTATTCCATGTGCGAGTGGATGTCGATACCCAGACGTGTCGGACGACGCAGACGTCGTGCCGGCTGTTCCCGCAGCCATGGGACCCGCGGCTGCCGCCAGAGCGGATGATGCCGTCGACATAGGCTGCGTGCGGCCCTGCGCCTCCAAGACACGTCCATAGTAACGCAGGGCTAGTACACGCACCGTATGATCTGATGCGTTCTGCGGCAGGTGCGTCGCTACATGCAACGCATACGCATACTGTAGCCATGCATGCATAACAATAGATCGTGAGTCTGCATACTGCACCGCATGTTCGCCGAGCTTGAGCGCACGAGCGAGTGCTGTGGACACAGCTTCAAGCGAGTTTGCTGATGACGACGATGACGCTATCGAAGCGGCTGGTGTCGTCATGTCATGCGCCGCGGGCCATAATGGCGCCCATGCATGCAACGCCTGTGACGTGAGGTGCGATGCAAGCACGACGGCGGCCATCGCGCACGTCTTGTCTCGCTGCCACGCCTGCTGGATATGCATGAGGCCGTCAGCGTAGGCTGCTCGACGAGCCTCGTCTTCGGGCCGCTGCGTATGTGCGCCATACATACCTGCAGGTAAAGGGCCCGGATACTTGGCCGCATTGATGAGGGTGAGGCCCAGGAGCAAGTGGGGTGGTGCCGACGTCGGCCTGTACGCGGCGGCGCGGCGCCATGCTCGGCGCGCCGCCTCGTAATGTCCCAGGAACCAGAGGCAGAGCCCAATGCCGATGCGCGGATCCGCGCCGTGCCAAGCGATTGACGGTTCCTGTTGAGCTTCGGCGGCTTGGTCCATGCGAAGCATGACACGGAGCGCGTGTTGGTATGTGTGAAGCGCTGGGTGGTATTGGCGTGCACGAAGCAGAACGCAAGCACGTCCCAGCAAAGCAACCACATCGGACGGGGTACGTGCAAGTAGGGCATCAAAGAGCTTCGCTGCGAGCGCATTGTCACCGCACATCAGCGCCGTGACTGCACGCACCTGGAGCAGGACGCGTGACGACTGCTGCTCAGCCGGCGACGTAAGTGATTGCACGCGTTGCCAATTGTCGTGCACTTGCTGGAAATAGTGTTGCTTGGGACTGCGTTCTCCTAGTGGCTGGTATCGAGCATCGTCTAGTACCTGCTTGGGCGCTGTACGTGCTTCAGCCAAGAGAAACGCGGCACGTAAAGCAAAGAGCGACGCACATTCTTGTGGCCGATGCACAGGTAAGATAGAGCACCCGCGGGATATGATCTGCTCCGCCTCAGCGCGCCGCCCTGCATTCCAGCAGCGAGATGCCAGTGCCGTCCAAAAGTAGGCAGGTGGCTTCTCCTCCACGAGCACATCCATCACCACGTCCAATTCTTCCGCATCTGGAAGTGGGTCCAGCTCGATTGTCAGAGATTCGTTGGTCGCGAGTACGAGTTCTAGACTCTTTGGCATCGCTGCATACTTGATATCTTTGTGCGCGCCGGCCCTGTCGCCACCGCCGTCTCCGCTCATCGTCGTGGCCGTCTGTGGATCCAAGTCGAAGACGCAGTGCGTTTGCTTCCAAGCCCACGTGCCGACTTGTCCAAGCTTTCGCTAGACTCTTTGAGCCCGCCGATGGCCCTCGAGTTGGATGCGTGGGTCGTAGGGTGCCTCCACCGCCTCCACGACTTACGTTGGCCCTGCTGCTGCCACTGCCGCTGCCGTCGCCTCAACCCGAGACACTTGCACTGCTCGGCTTGGCCTTGCTCACCTGGTTTCTGGCATCCGCCTACCCCTCTGCCCTGGCTGGCCACCCAGTTCGTCACGCGCGCGAAGGAAACAGAGAGCCGCTAGGCCTATTCACGTGATATCTTAGCGTCGGCCGCGTGTGTCGGTAGGTGCGAAATGGAGAATGTCGGGGGCACTGAAGCAAGGCCGGCCGGCCGGCCACCCTCCACGTGCGCGGGACCCCCCCCAAGCGCAAGCAAGCAAGCGAGCTAGCAAGTGTCTGCGTCGCGATTGAGCGCTGCCAAGCTCAGGCCAATGCGCTGCGCGAGTGAAAGTGCACACGAATGAGTAGAAAGAGGGCAATAGGCAGTGGAGGGGGTCGGTCCTGTGTTGCTCACACGTAGAACGAGCAGTAAGCAAAAGGGCGAGGCACAACGTATTTTTTTTTCCATCGGCTGGACTCTGGGCGTGCTCCGTTTCACTTTAACAGCCTTCACACGCTGTCTCTTTCCCCTCCTTGCCCCTTTGCTTGGCTCTGCGGCGCAATGAGCAGCGGTGAAGACACCGTGTGCGTCACAGTGGGTGTTTTGGCGCTCCAAGGCGCATTTCATGAGCACATGGCTCGTTTCGCGTCGCTGAATGCGTCTGCCAAAGGCTTCTGTGTGCGTCCCATTGCCGTGCGGCGAGTTGATCAACTAGAGCAATGCCATGCTCTTGTGATACCTGGTGGCGAGTCTACAGCAATCGCGCTGGGTCTGCGCAATGCTGGTCTCACAGAACCGGTTCGCGAGTGGATTCGCCGCGGCCGTCCGGTTTGGGGAACATGTGCTGGCATGATTATGCTTGCTGCTATTGCCACTGGTGGCAAGCGCGGTGGCCAAGAACTGCTCGGAGGCATGGACATTCAAGTGGGTCGTAACGGGTTTGGTTCGCAGGTGTATTCGTTTGAATGCGACGTCCAATGCCCAGCGCTCGGCGCCAAGCCATTTCCTGGCGTGTTTATTCGTGCTCCAGTCGTCGAGCGTCTTTTGTCGCTGCCCACATCCACATCCTCGTCTTCCAGTGACAATGCTCAGGATACCATTGCGGCTGTACAGCCAGACGTTGCTCCTTCGTCACTCACGTCAGCGCCTGTCAAGTCTGACCATGTGCCAGTGTCTCGCAGCCCTGCCGACATGCATTCGTCTAAGCACTCGGTCGAGCCTATTGCGTGGCTTCCTGCCACGGAGCCCATCGTGGGTGAATCGCCTGCCCAAAATGAACGTGCGCCTTCGCGCATAGTGGCTCTTCGTCAAGGACGCTTGCTAGTCACGAGTTTCCATCCTGAACTCACCACAGATACGCGTCTGCATTGCTACTTTGTGCGTGAGATGGTGCTTCCGTCTATGTAGATGCTTTGGTCGCTTCATACCCTCGTCAAATACATTCTACCTATACACACACACACACATCTCATTACGTCGTTTTCTACTAGTCTTTGGGCAGATCATACTTGCCGTCATTCGGTCCATTCTTCATTCCCACGCACCGCCTCATCACCCACACTTATGTGCCACCGCGCGTCGCATGACACATGCCGTGCAAAGAGCTCCACGACCGCGCTGCCTTCTGGACAAAGCATGTTACTCACGTACGGCTTGCAGCTGTGGCCCAGAGGTGCACTCATAATCAAGTGGTGCTTTGGCACCGTGCACGAATCGTCTCGGGAGCCAATCAATAGCAGTTCATATGGCCGACGAAACGACAAATCGCCCCAAGGCACGAGCATGTCGGGCGAAGCACCTTCTTCTGGTGCCGTGAGCTTCAACCATGCCCAAGTAGCATGGTGCGTGAGCCCCAGGCCGGGAAACCATTTGCTCCGAACAAACGTTTGTACCTTGGGCTGCCATGCTGGGTTAGTCAACTCTGTTGCTGCCAAGCTCGTAGCTAAGATGCGAATGAAGGCTCTTACCACATCCGCATCAAAGCGGGGAAGAGGAGAAGGGAAATACGTACATGATTTGTGACCCACACAGCCACGAGTGTGTGCGGTCGGATGAGTGACTCCATCGCTGGTCGTAGACGCCACATGTCGTACAGATCAAGCATCGTGCGGTATTTGAACCGACTTTGCCCACGCCACGCACGTTGTGCGCTTTGATTTGGCCATGGCGGATCTAGTAGCACGAGGTCTGCGCCGCCCATAGTATCCAAACGTTCAGTGAGTGTATGCCAAGCTCTGGGCAGCTGCCTTTCCTCTCGTAGCAAATCCATCAAAAGGAACCCACTTCGCGGGGGGAGTGTGAATGTCGACTGGCGTCCCCGCCATATCCAATGAATGCGCTGCGGTGTTTCATGCTCATTCACACAAAGCGTGTAAGCAACCTGTGTGCCATGAAGCGTGGTGCTAGTAGACAATTGCAACAAAAAGAATGGCACACGGCGCGGACAAGCAGTCGGATCTGCGCTGCTATGACAGGCGTCATTTATGATACAGGATGCCGCATGCTGCGTCGCTTCCGCCACGCATTTGTGCAACGTGTCACTCGCAGTCTGTGCACGAGGCGCCACGATGTGCAAATCTGCCATTTGTTCTTGCCACGTTGCTTTGTTGATACGCGCATCTAGATGTGCGAGGGCTGACACTAGAAGCGCAATGTCGGCATATCGATCCACTTCTGAATGGCGATGCCCTGGGGCTGCGACTTTGGACGCCATCTGCTGCCTCCCTTCATAAGGCGTCTTCCTTGGCATCGCATGCACAAACACAGGTTTTCTACGTCCCGCACTAATACTCACGAACGTCAGCGGGACATTCTGTACATCTCCCAGTGATTGCGACATGCATTATGGTCTTCACGCACACGCTGCACCAAGATCGAAACACTCGACGGTACGTGTGTTGCCGATTTCGCCAACGCTAAATGTAGCACGCGACCAAATGGAATTGGTTGGTCGATTCTTGCCGTTAGCCTAATCGCGAGTTGGCCGTGGCCGAGTGGATTTAAATGATCAACCTTGTAGGCACATGACGTCATGTGCGTGTGCATCCGACAAGCAGTAAGTTAGCTAGTGAGTGGAAAAAAGAAACCGAGTCGGCGCCACGCGTCGTCATCTGTTGTTCATCCGTTTGGAGACTCACCAGCTGGCGCGCACTAGCTTGAGACTGAGTGTGAGTGACGAGCAGGGCGTACTAGCATAGAAAAAAGTATGTCAGCTCCGATCTTTGCGCAGGAGGTACGTTTCGTACATGTGAAGCAAGGCTGGACCTGACACGCAATCGTAGGCGACGCAGGAGCGGGCTGAGAATGCGCGTCTCTCGTCGTTCGTAGGCGCTCTGGCCCTAGGCGACCTCGTGAAAAGCACATTGGGCCCGAAAGGCATGAACAAGATTTTGCAGTCGGTTGGCTCGACAGACATCATTGTGACAAATGATGGCGCGACGATTCTCAAAGCCATCTACCTCGACAATCCAGCGGCCAAGATCCTCGTGAATATTTCCAAGGTCCAAGATGACGAAGTGGGTGACGGTACAACGTCCGTATGTGTGCTAGCTGCTGAGCTTCTTCGTGAGGCGGAGCGTCTCGTGGAATCGCACATTCATCCACAAGTCGTCGTCGATGGTTTCCGGATCGCGAGCGAGGCAGCCTTACGTGCGTTGGCCGGTGCTGCTAAGGACAACAGCAAAGACAAAGCCGCCTTCCGGCAGGACCTGCTCAACATCGCGCGCACGACGCTGTCTTCCAAGGTCCTGTCGCAGGACAAGGACTACTTTGCGAATCTGGCTGTCGATGCTGTTTTGCGCCTGAATGGGTCGACGAACCTAGAGAACATCCAAATCATCAAGAAACTTGGCGGGAAGCTAACTGACAGCTACCTGGACGAGGGTTTCATCCTCGACAAGAAAATTGCGCCTGACTCAATCAAGCGTCTCGAAAATGCCAAAATTCTAATTGCCAATACGTCGATGGACACGGATAAGATCAAGGTGTTCGGTGCACGTGTGCGTGTGGATGGCACGAGCAAACTTGCAGAAATTGAGCGGGCTGAGCGCGAGAAGATGAAAGCAAAAGTCGAGCGGATTAAGGCACACGGCATCACCTGCTTCGTGAACCGGCAGCTAATTTACAATTACCCAGAAAGTCTGCTCACGTCCGCCGGCATCATGACGATCGAACATGCCGACTTTGAGGGTGTTGAGCGTCTCGCTCTGGTCACGGGTGGCGAGATCACAAGCACATTTGACCGGCCTGATCTTGTGCGCTTGGGCGAATGTGCTTTGATTGAGGAGGTCATGATCGGTGAAGACAAGCTGATCAAGTTCTCAGGCGTCAAGGCAGGTGAAGCGTGCACTGTCGTTTTGCGCGGTGCGACGTCGCAGATGATCGATGAGGCTGAGCGTTCCTTGCATGATGCTCTGAGTGTTCTCAGTCAGACGGTAAAGGAGACTCGTGTCACGTTGGGCGGTGGATGTGCCGAAATGATCATGAGCAATGCTGTTGACGAGGAAGCACGTCGCACGCCCGGGAAAAAGGCCCTAGCTGTCGAGGCCTTTTCTCACGCGTTGCGCCAGCTCCCGACCATCCTTGCCGACAATGCTGGACTGGATTCTGCCGACCTGGTTGCACAGTTGCGTGCTGCGCATCATGAAGGACGTCATGACCAGGGTCTAGATTTGGATCGAGGCATGCTTGCTTCCATGGCCGAATTGGGGGTCACGGAAAGCTACAAGCTGAAGCGCCAGGTCATTCTGTCTGCGAGTGAAGCAGCAGAAATGATTCTGCGTGTCGACGACATTCTGAAGGCAACGCCCCGTCGACGAGACGCGCACTAGGTAGGTGCTTACTTTCTTTTACCAGCGTCACGCGTTCGAACAGTTATTCAAATGCATAGAGAGAATGCTAGAGAGAGGAAGTATGTATGTCTGTGTTGGAGCGGGTGTCTTAACTCCCACGCCTACTCAATGCGATCTAGTATCTAGGCGTAGCATGAAAGCTGGGTTCTCTTTCCTACAGATCTCCGAATCTATGCAGAGGCAATAAAAAATTCGAGAGGTGCGTCAAGTCCTCAAAATGCAGGACAGACCATAACAAAGACAGAGACAACTACACATCCTCATTACACAGTAACGTAGCCCTTGCCCTTGTAGCCCTCGCTCGAGACACCGTAGATCGGGTTCACCCTGTGCTCTTTGGCGCGAGCATTCATCTGTTCCTGGTACTCACGGTTTATCGTCTTTGGTGGCGGTGGGGCTGATGCGTGTTAGCACATGGTCTTTCATTGCACAACAAATACGTACCCTGCGAGCGGACGGCATAGAAGCATCCAACACCGATGCTCACACCCAAGAGGGTGCCAAACACGATCTTCATGGCAGAGCCCGGCTGGGCAATGCTCTTACGCGGGCCATGGGCGCCGTATGCCACATAATACGCTGGGGTCAAACATGTCAGCAAACTGCGATCCGGTCCAACAAAAAGACTGCATGTCTTTTACGTACCACCGCGCTTTTCCTCCTGCGTCAACTCCTTCCAGTCCTTACGCTGTGCCTCCTCAAGCAACTTGTACACAGAGTATTGCTCTTCACGCGACATCTTGGTCCAGACGTTTTCGATGTTTGGCAGGACCTTGGAGAGCTCCAGGGCGTTGGGGCCCTGAAGCAAGCTCTGAGCATCGCGCACCGAAGCAGGCGTCCAACGCTCACTCTTGGTCAGGAGCGTACGCGAGTACGCAGGCACAGTGCGTGGCATCATACGCGGCATAGCAGCACGAACACTTCCCAGCATGATGATCGGAAAAATGATTTTGCTAGACAAGGAGACGTAAATCGATTCTGTGCAGGCACGTCTACTCTGCCGCCCGCTGCAAATGACGGAACCAAACGGGACAAGCTCATTTGCAATGCGTTGTGCGTCGGCCGAGGCTCGTTAGCTGCTACGAATATCCTATGGCCAACAGGCGTTCGTTGTCTTGTCGCAGGAGCTAGATGTGGAGGAAGGTCCTGCACCTATTGAGACATAGAGGTAGGGTAGGGAGAAGCGTGCTAGGCCCTTCCGGGGTCGTTGAGTACGGCGGAGAAGAATGCGACAGTAACGATCATAGTGCACAAGCGTATGAGAAGAAGGTGCAATGGGGAAAAAGGAATCGAGCCTCACTGAACTTGCGCGCTGTACGTTCCAACGCGAGCATTACATGTTGTGATCGTGCCGAGATCCGGTGCACGTCAGGCGACATGCCAAACTCTATTGACTCTATCTAATCCAATATAGCAGAAAAGGCCTGTTCAAAGTCTGCGAGAATGTCATCGATATGCTCACAGCCTACTGATACACGGATTAGGTCCTGTGTGACGCCCGACGCCACTTGCTCCTCGTCAGAAAGCTGCTGGTGTGTTGTGGAGGCAGGATGAATAATGAGCGTTTTCATGTCGCCCACATTAGCGAGATTCGATGCCAGCTTGAGAGTGTCGACAAATTGACTTGCCTGCTGAACAGTGCCAAGGAGTCCGAAAGAGAGAACACCGCCGAATCCGTTTTTGAGATACCTCTTGGCAAGCTCATGCCTCGGATGCGACGCGAGACCTGGATATAAGACCCACTTTACTTGCTTGTGTTGCTCAAGCCAACGGGCAAGAGCCATGGCATTTTGACAATGGCGCTCTGCGCGAAGCGACAGAGTTTCAATGCCCTGGAGGAGGAGGAAACTAGCAAAGGGATTCATGCATGCGCCGAGATCACGAAGCATGACTGTGCGCACGTATGCAATGTAGGCGGATTTACCGAAGGTGTCGCAGAACCTTAGTCCGTGATATCCCTCCGATGGCCGCGTGAATTGCGGAAAGTGACCACTTTTCATCCAGTCAAAATGGCCAGAGTCGACGATGACACCAGCAACAGTGGTTCCGTGTCCTCCGATCCATTTTGTGGCAGAATGGACGACAATATCTACCCCATGGTCAAAGGGACGAATCAAGAAGCCGCCCATACCAAATGTATTGTCCACGACGACAGGGATTCCATGTTTGTGTGCCATGTCACACACGCGGCGCAAATCAGGCACGTCGTACTTAGGGTTTGAAATAGACTCCAGGAAGATTGCTTTGGTGCGACTGTCAATGGCTCTTTCCAGCGATTCTGGTGTCGAATCTGACACGAACTTGGTGTGCACGCCCATCTTTGGGAGCAACACTTTAAATTGGTTGTACGTGCCGCCGTACAGGTATGAGGATGACACAATGTTGTCGCCTTGGTTAGCGAGAGAGAGAAGCGCCATAGCCTGAGCAGACTGGCCAGATGATGCAGCTACGGCACCTATGCCGCCTTCAAGCGCAGCCATGCGTTGCTCAAACACATCAACACTTGGGTTACCGATGCGCGAATAGATATTCCCTGATGTTCGAAGTCCAAACAGGTCGGCACCGTGCGCAGAATTATCAAACACGAAAGAACTGTCACAATGTGTCAGTTGCACCGACCATCCGGTACAGAGAACGAATGATGCGTTGGCTGCGTACATACGTTGAGGCGTAAATCGGTGGCGCACGAGCGTTTGTGGTCGGGTCAGGCTGTTGGCCAGCATGGAGCTAAAGATCGTCATCAGCGCACGGATAGTACCCGCTAGCGTACCTGAAGCGTTTCGAAATGTGTCATCGTGGCAGACGGAAGAAGCAAGCAAGGACTTGCTTTTTTAAACACAGGGCCACCCAGTGGTCGTTCGCTCGGGTGCACTTTCTCTGCTACGCGCAATCGCCTCTGCTTATCATGCGATGCGTTGCTTGTGACGAAACGAATGCTGGTTTCACGAGGTCGATGACATCATCGGCCGAACTGAATCGCTTTTGACACGACTTTTCCGGTAAGCACGCATGGGCCTCTCCAAATAGGGGAGGATCAAGAAGAAACGGCGCGAGTCAAACGAGTGCGGCATGCACCTCACTGGGCACGCTGCAAAATGAGGTCGCCACTAGACAGCTCTGGCTCTCTGCACCCGTATATGCGTGTGGAAGCTGGGGATTACAGTCAGAATCGTGATTGCCTGCTCCATCTCTGTGTCGGTCATGCCCCACCCCCTCATCCCCGCTCGTGGCGTCTTTGAGGCGTAAAATGTTATGCTAGATCAAAGGGACCTTTGTGTGTCACCTGCCCTGCACATTCCACTTTGACTACCAATGACTCTACAATTGCACAACACTAGCAGCTACAAACCGATCCATCCATAGAGCAAGTAATGTAGTGGCCAGGCAAGAAATGAAATTTGAGCGAAATATGCACTGTCTAGGCGTACACCCAGATGCCGGCATTGTTGGCCCAAGCAGCATCAGTGCCGAGAGTTGAGGCGTACTCATTCGGATGTACAAGGACTCCGACACCAGGTCCACCAACCTGAGTCTCGTACGTAGTAAAGCCCTGTGCACGCATGGCATGTGTTAGCTGTTGCACAGTGGACTCGTCCACTTGGTCGTCTAGTAATGTAATCGCACAACCACCGCCACCAGCTCCCGTTAGTTTCGCACAGAGCCTTCGCTCAGCACAGAGCCTGCGCACATTTTCCAGTGCCGAATGTCCGACGCCGAGTTGAACGAGTTGTAGGTGGTTCAGATCCATCAGCACGCTCAGCCTTTCGACAAGATGACGACGGCTCAGTGTGCTATCACGAAGCAATGCCTGTGCCTGTGTGCTCAGGTGCTGGATCATTGCAAATGCCGCTTCCACTCGCACAGGCTCTTCGTTCTTTTGAGCGCTCACTTTGGCTACGAGGTCCTTCGTGTTCCGAATGACATGCGTATCCGTGATGAGGACACGGACAGCATCCAGATTCATGGGTACGAGTTCGTTTTCCGTTAGGTGATTTGTTGGAAGCGCGCGTGTAAAGGCTACGGCACCACCGAGCGTTGCAACCGTATTGTCAACCCCCGATGGCTCACCATGGATTACCTTTTCAGCCACATATGCCCACGTATTGATATATTTCGTATGCAGCTTAGGCATCGGCTCATGCAGATCCGGAAGAGGCAAGTGCATGTGCGTGTACAGCAAAAGCGATGCAAGGCATGTTGACACGGCAGCACTGCTGCCGAGGCCTGCGCTGATCGGCAGGGATGAGCGCAACTCAAATGCCTGACCCAGCGCATCGTTCTGCGCGAGGTGCATGTATAGGTACAGAAATGCGAGTGAAGCTGCATAGCGACGGTCATCTCGTGGATATGCTGGCGACACAAGCATCGATAACGCTTCCAGCAGCTGTGGATCAAGTGTATCCAATTTGCGGGATGTGTCATACAGAGACCATGGCAGGGCCGCTTGGTCCCAGTGCTGCTCGAGTGCAATGTCAGGCATACTCAGGGACACCATGCCTTGTTTGCTTGGCGTCACACGTCCATAACATCGTAGCGCGGTCGCTGCCGCAACAGCCGTTACGCCGTGCACGACAGCGTGCTCACCAAACAAGATGACTTTCCCCGGTGCACTGACTGTGAGTGTCGTAGTCCTTTTGGGTGCTGACGAGGGCTTCCGTGCCAAGAGTTTTGCACGGAACAACTCCATCTCGTCTTTCACAGGCACGCGCCTGAATGAACCACTGTGATGCGGCTCCTCTTCGATTGCACCGGCTGACAATAGCGCATGGTGCAAGTCGGCAAGCAAATCGGATGGATCCTCGATGCCCACACACAGCCGGATAAGGTTCTCTGGCAAGCCTCGCTCTGCACGCACCTTTGGATCAATGCTCGCATGGGACATCTGGCATGGCATACTAATGAGGCTGTTCACGCAGCCGAAACTTACGCTGACACCCCAAAGTTTGGTAGCGGCCACGATCTTCTCTGACATGGGTGTACATCCAGTCTCGAAGCTTAGGACACCGCCGGGGCCGCGTGCCTGCCGCATATGAGCTACGTGCCCAGGGAACGACCGAAGACCCGGGTAACGGACTTTGAATCCTAGGCCGTCCAAATATGTTGCAACCTGCATGGCTGAGGACTGTTGCCTGTCCATGCGCAAAGCTAGTGTCTTGACGCCACGCAGCAAAAGAAAACAATCGAGTGGCGCGAGGCCATTCCCCACGGACTTGATCGTGAAAAACATCTTCTCCGCCAGATCGTCTCGGTTGCAAGCAATGACACCTGCCATGATATCATGGTGTCCACTCAGATACTTGGTCGCTGAGTCGTATACGATATCAACGCCAAAGTCCAAAGGACGCATCAGGTAGGGCGACAGCATCGTGTTGTCGACGACAACCAAGGCCTCTGGTACATATTTCCGCACCAGCCTAACACAATATGGGAGGTCAGCAATTTTGATCATGGGATTTGTCGGTGACTCCAGCAGCACGAGGGCCACCCGAGCGCCATGTCCTTCTGCATGTTCCTTTGCACGCTGCGAGAGAGCGCGCTCGACTTCAATTGGGTCTGATGTATCAATGTTGTCGACCTGAATATTCATCTGTTTCTTAAGCAGCTCAAGTAAGCGATTCGAACCTCCATACAGATCGTCGCCGGCCATCACTCGCTCGCCAGGGCCCACCATGCGCATAATAACGTCAAGGCATGCCATGCCGCAAGAGACGGCATAAGCATGCTTCGCACCTTCTAGCTTCGCTAGATGATTCTCGAGTACGGAGCGTGATGGATTCGATACTCGGGTGTAGTCGTACTCGGCACCAGGCAAGCCTTTGAATGTTGCTGTCAGGTACACAGGTGTGGATGAGGCTCCATATTGATCCACGTGCGCGGGATCATACACTGTTGCACATTGTGTTGCAAATGTATAACGTTGAGGGTCTGGCACCATGGCAGCACTCTCAAGAAGCTCAGGGGCAGAGTAGAATGGGGGAGGGCGGCCAGAGCTTGGTGTTGATGCAACAGGTCACTCTCCTGGTAGGGTGAACTATGTCTGGTTACTGCCGTGTGTAAATGCATACACACATGCCCCACCCCACTGAATGCCGATTGGGTCCAACTGACTCGTCATTGACGAGTCCTTAGCACCCGTACTTGGCCCAATCGCACGACCGACTCCTAATTTGGCAGGTGGGCAAAGCGGAGGGCCGAGGCACGAATCCCCCCTCCACAGGCTAAGGCTCTCAAGATGTTCTCTGTCTCGCCTTGGACGACCAAACGTGGCTGGCCGCTAGGTTCATCGGCCTCCACGTAGACATTTTGCTATGGCATCATACTATACAAGACACGAGTGACGACGTGTGGAAAGGTGTCTGAGTGGCTTTATGACCATACGTAAGCACATGTGGCGCCGCGATGACAAAGGTGCCTGGATCCCATGCGACTCCCTTTCATAGCTTACATCCTCTGTCATCAATGCACTTGGCGGAAGCCACGGAACCCAACGCCGACGCACGTTACCATCACGGACCGGTCGTCCAGTGCACGGATTTTGAATGTCACACCTAAAGCTTCACGAATATCCCGCAAGCATTGAATAGCCTGGGGCGTCAAAGCACCTAGGCGGCAGCGGGCAACATCTTCTGGACCCAGCGCCATAAGAATGAGGATCAATGGCTGGTGCATCGCATCAACACACCCACCAGATTCGATACTCGCGAGCAGAGATCGCGCTGTCAACAAGCCGACATCTTCAGGGGTTTGCCCTGGGAGCGAAGTGGTTTCTGAAGCGTGCATGGCGCCGGTTGTGGATGTCGCAACAAGCGACATTGCGAACCCGGGCGACTTGCCTGACTCGTCGCCGCGATACACATCTGAGAACAAGTACAAATCAGGAATGTACCGATTCAATACACTACGAGCAGCATCGATCATTCGATTGCTCATTTGCGGACTAACCCGCACGGCACTTGCAATACCACGGATCTTGCGAATGCGGCCCGGCTCAACGAAGTTCAAGGGACGCAGCGCCGCAATGAGTGGCGCACGGAAAAAGATTTCACCACCACCCAGAGGAGCTGCTCCTCTTCTGACGATGCGCATTTCTAGTGAAGATGCTAGCATCGACACAGAGTCAAGTGGCAGACATAGTGCGAGATGCGGAATCGTCACGGTGCGGATGGTATCAGCGCCAAGATCACCGTGACCATTCGTAATACCACGCAGCGTTAGTGCAACCTCCTGCTTTGCAAATGGTGCGATGATCACCATATATTCTAAAAAGTAGCCCACCCCGCGACTAGTCGGGCACTCATGCACGATCGATCCTCCGTACACAATGCCGGGCTGGAAGTATACGGACGTACCAGTATAGCTAATTTCTACCGCACTTCCGTTGGTTATCTTTTCCAAGAGGCGCAAGAATGACACCTCGAAATCACGTAGACCTGGCTCTTCGTCGTCTGGGCGAATTTGATCAATTCGCACAGGCCGACCTGCTAGTGTCGCAAGGATAAGTCTTTGACGAAAGTAGGCATGACCCCGAAAACGCAACAAGCGACTCGCTTCTGCAGAGGACATGGGCGATCACACGCGAGCGATCTGCAACCGCCAACGTGGTTTTGGTCAGAATGAGTGGTTAGAGATCCTGGCGGCTCGAGGCACGTCGTGGAGAGTGTCTGTCCCTAGAGCGATAGGATAATTTTTTTTTCTTTTTTTCCCCGATAACGATGTACTCACTATGTGCGTTACTTTTGGCAGACCCACCACTTCCATGCGTGCAGGAAATATACGCGGATGTGGAGCTGGCGAAGCTTCCAAAGGCGAAGAGTAAGGTAAAAACGCGAGTCAAAATGTTGTCGCCGCTGCGATTGGGTGCTGACATTTGGGCGGTGGCGCCAAAATGCCGCCACTGGCTAAGTGCTACTATGTAGCATCTTCAAGCACTTGCCCACTCCATCTTCTATTCCGCTACTTGTTGGCATCTATTATCGCACACCATGTCGTCTGTGACTCACATCCGTGGTGTGTTTGTGGCCGAGTACGTTTCGATCGCCTTGGCTCAGTTCTTACATGGATCACAGGTTTCATATTCGCCATGGCAATGCCATTGTCTTCCAAGATCCACCTGATCTCGATACAGATGGACTCGAGTGGAAAGTCTTACCCAGTGGCGCTCATACCATTTCAAGGGATGCCATGTATGTATATGTGCTGTGGGTGCTAATCCAAGCTACTTTTCATATGGCCATGACATGATGGGCATTGCTGCCTACCATGCGCGCAGACTGAGTAACGAGGAAGGCGCATCGCAACAACGCGGCGCACGATGTATCAGCATAGGCGTGATTCTCCCTTGCCCACAAGATCCAAGCGGGCAACTCAGGAATCTTCTCCCTCACCTCCCTGTGCTAGCGCAGCTCGCGGATGACGTCGCGCATGGGTTGAAAGCACCTGGCGTCGCTTTGTACAATGCCCAATATGCCCCCGTGCATCGCATGTCGATCTCTCCTACTCTTGAGCAACTATCGGTATGTGCACGCACTATCACTTTCATATTCTAACTCGACACACAGTATGATCCTGCAACGTATATGCTGTCGATGCACAGTTTTCTTGGGCCCCTGATGGCTCCTCTCATAAAGCTGCTGTTATTGCCGCGGCGTCTTTTAATATATGCGCCGGCGCCTGTGGAACGAGCTGCTATTGTGGCATTCAATCTCGCTGAACTTGTGCACGCGGCCTTTGTCTATGCAGTCCATGTGCCTGGCCATGTCCGAGTTCACGGCATGCTGACGCTACATGACTTGGACGCATGGAAACAACTGACATTTGCGGCAGAATCAGCTTGGATTGCATGGACGTCTGATCGGATCCTTCTCGACAAGACGGATGCATATGACGTGTGTCTTGATGTTTCCGCGCTCATGTTCCCCAGCGCAGTCGCGTCGCCGTCGCCCGCAAAGCCCTTGGCTCGCTTCGTGAAACATGCCACCCTGCAGCCAACTAACCTGTCGTGGAGCACCCGCGATTTAAGTCTGTTCATGGAACTTGCTGAACAGGAGCGGCGATACCAGGACCTGCTGGAGAGTGAAGGTCGGCCGAACTTTGATGCTTGGTGCCATGCCGAGCACCTTCCTAGCTCATGCTCGTTGCATGTCTCAATGGCTACACCCTGGCGCTATCGTCAACAAGATGCGCGAATGCTCCTCGTCGGATACCTGGTCGTATTGGTTGCTAGCATTCGTTTTTGGCTCACAGAGTGGTGGCTGATCCGCTCGCAGCTGCACGTACTTGTTCCTGTATCATTGGTGATGCCTCTGGGAGTGCGTGGCGATGGCGGTTTGAGCACGGGCATCGTCGATTTATCTGAAGATGCCGTATCGGCGGACGAATCGCGTACGTGTATGTCACAGCGCCCTTGCTGGACGGCTGCGACGGCAGCTGGTGAATCCAACGATTGTATGTCTGGTTCAAACGAATCCGTGGATCCACTCATTGCTGCATATGGCCTCCCACAGTCTGGCAAGTCACCGCGTAATTCAAGTTCGCGACTCAGTGCGCCGTCGATACTGTCTCGGCGTTCGAGTTTGCATAATGATCGCTCCATCATTCCTGCACATCCGCGCTATGACCCTAGTGATGCGCCCCATCTTCCGCTCGAAAGCATGACAGGCATGTACGTGTTCACACTGTGGAGCAGTTATATTCGAGCTCGACACATTCAGCTGTCGGCGTTTCTCGAAGAACGCATCTCTACGCTGCCAAACACCAATGAATCTTCTGCCCTCTTATTTCCACGCACTGTGAGAATGACAAGCAGCATGTTCGAAAGACTTGGCCTTGATGCTGGCAGCTCTATTGACCGAGCTTGGATCCAAAGCTTGCTAACGCCGCATTCATGCTCCTTGCAAGTGTCACGTTGGCCTTGGTTCTGGTAGTGAGCGGGCCGGTATGAAGCGGTCTCGCAGACCGTTAGGATGCGTTCTGCATGTCTTGCCACTATTCTTTCGAGGCTGTAGGGCCATTTGTCATTTCGCACACGAACTGGTGGCTTTTGTTGTATTTCTTATTTCCGTAGTCAACTGGCATCAATGATACCCTCCACATTCAGCACTCTTTCCACCTCACCAGTACACTAAATCTTGTCGTGTTGTGGTTGGATTGGAGCGCTAGGCTCAATTGCAAACGCCCTTTGCCCACTCGGTCATGAGCCAGCGCGTATCGCGCCCGGTAGCGCGATACCGTCCAGGTCAGGCACCTGTACATACAGAAAAGGACTCCTCGTCATCATCTTCATCAGACGAAGAAGCCGCGCCCCGCGTACAGCAACGCGTGTCGTTGCCTAGCCGCGTGACAAGCGCACCAAGACCGCCACCATCATCGGCGGCAACATGGATCCATCCGCCACCACAAGTACCACAGGGACCTCAGCTGGAGCTGAGTGAGTATGAAACTGACACAGATGATGAGTCCGATGATAGAGAAGGCGAGAGTCGTAATCATGGCCCTAATCCTTCACTCAAGCTTGCATCATTCTCAGAGGCTCAGAAACCTCCTCGTACCCCGATGACCAGCGCATCATCTAGGCTGGCACCACCACCCCGGTTGAACAAGCAGGCACTTCCTCCTTCATCTGTTACTTTGGGTGAAGTTTCTGCTGCTGGAGCGCATGAGAATTCCATCAAAGCAGAGAGCGGCTCTGATTCTGAGAGCGAATCTGGCACCGAGAGCGAGTCTCCAAGCGAGAGTGATGAAATGCCTGCTCCGCTGCCTAAACCTATCTTTGTATCAAAGTATGTGGGAGATGTTTTTTGCTTACACACAGACGCGATCGAGTAACACACGCGTCCGGTCCAACTGAACATGTGGAATCGACGAGGCGTGGGGTCGAAGAAAAGCGCATTCATCGGGAGCGAGCGCATGAACTTGCGGCCCAGCGCATTGTCCGAGACATGCAGGAAAGGGAACACGAAGATTCGCAGTGCGAGGTAGATGATACGGATGGCATGGATCCAGAGGCAGAATTTGCCGCCTGGCGCATCCGAGAACTGGCGCGGCTTGAACGTATTCGACAAGCCGAGCGCATGCGTGAGAGCCAAGAGGCTGAAAAAGCGCGACGTCGCGCAATGCCTGAGCATGAGCGACTTGCGGAGGACCTCGCTCACGCACGACACACACGCGCGGCGAAGCAGCGAGGGCACCAGGGCTTTATGCAGAAGTATTACCACAAGGGTGCATTTTTCCAGGATATGGATATTCTACAGCGCGACTATACGCACAGCACGGTCGATGCCGTGGATAAGAGTCAGTTACCGCACATAATGCAGAAGCGCAACTTTGGAAAGCGGAGCCAAAGCAAGTGGACGCATCTGGCTGGTGAAGATACCACGCGTCAAAAGGAAGGCGAGCCTGACTTGAGAATGCAAGGCGCTTACCTAGCTCAAAGACATGTGCGTTGATCTGCATTTTTCAAGCACAGAAGCGCAAGAGAAGGAGAAAAAGAAATGCAAGGACGCAGGTGCGATTAAGTGTATATGTATGTGAAGGATGGCTCTTGATACCGAGTGCCTACGCCTTGCTGTCCGAGAGCGTTGTAGCAAGCCAATCTAGGCCGGATGTGATTCCTTTCCCTGTTAGTGCCGAGCAACCAAAGATCTGCCACGTTCGATCGCGGAATGACGAAAGATTTAAAGCGTCTGATAGCTCTGAAGCAGACATGCTGCCACGCACATCTTGCTTGTTTGCCCACACCAAGATTGGCGCACGATCGAGGTTTTCATCGGCCGCGATGCGATGCAATTCCGCCCGGGCTAGCGAAACACGATCGCGGTCGTTGCTGTCAACGACGAAAATCAACTTATAGTAAGTATAAAGAGCCATACATGCGCACAAACACATACTGCATTCGTCGACGTTAGGTACTGAGCCCAGCTCGCACGCAACGACGTCTGTCCTCCCACGTCCCAAAGAAGGAACTTTAGATTCTTGTATTCAAATGTCTCTGTATTAGAGCCGATCGTTGGGGCTGTTGCAACAACTGAGCCAAGTGTCATCTTGTACATGAGTGTCGTTTTGCCTGTCTTAGTGGTTGGCCTGGGTGCGTACCTGCATTGTCTAGTCTAGACCGCACTCGTTAGTACGCCTGTCTCTCGATTTCGACCTGTCCTTCCCACGTACCCTAAAATACAAATCTTCAGCTCTTTTTGTCCGAAGAGCGAGTTCCACAGGCTGCTGAACGCCACGCCCATGCTGTTTCTCGCGTGCTTTCAACACACACACGCACACACCGCGAGCAACGGCGAGCAACAACGACAACCAACCGAGCGAGCCGTCCAAGAATTGGATATCTATCCATCGTCCGTGAGTCCTCCTAGTAGGTCAACACACGTGTAGCCAACATGCCGACTTTGGTCTTTCGCACCTAGGAAACTAATGCAAGGCCCTCGTACGTAGTTCCTCTTGCATGGCCCACGCCTCCACCGCCCAAAGTGTTCACCTAAGGACCACGTAATTTTCCTGTCCTCCCCACTAGCTTTTGGCTTTGCTCCTGCGTCGATCCCATCCGCCGCCACGACACTTGTCAGTGGACTTTAGCTTTGCACTAGCCCTAGTTGCACGGCACCACCGATGCCGCTAAGGCCCGTGTGACACATGGATGAAGTAGACGGGAATGTGGACGTTAAAGTAGAGGCACAAGAGCCTCCTGTGCCAGAGGCATCCACTTCATCAACGGCGGCAGCAGTCGCTTCTGATCAAAGTCACAGTAGGCAAAAGCTCAACAGTAACAATCGTGGCCAAATGAATGAGAGCGGTCAGGATGATAGTAGCCACAGTCGCCGTCGCCGCCGTCTAGACCGAGAGCTTGGATTTTCATCGCCTGGCCCCGCATTCCAACTCCAGCCACCTTCGGCGGACGAGCCATGCACGACGCCAGGTCATGCGCGCCGCTCAACTAGGCACTCTTCGCGTACGCCAAAACCGTCTAAGGCGGCACTTGAAAGTGGCCTTCTTCGTTCTTGGACGCCAACATCTCTGAACAGCAAGACGGAAGAGCACGTTTCGGCGACCCAGATGTCTGGACAGGCCCCTGGAACTCCCTCTATTGCATCAAAATTCACCTCGTCAGCCACAAACACAGTTTCACCCACCTTGGCGTCTACAGATAGCCTGTTGGAGCGGTGTAAGCGATTGCACGAGCATCTCCTGCAAGCGGATATGGAGACTCTTCACCAAGAACATGACGCTCTCGTGCGCGAGCTTTTCCACCTCACCAAGTTTGTGACGATGACAAGCTATGATCCTACCATTGCATTTCAAGATACCAGTGAAGTGTTTGCCCAGTTCCGATCTCAATATGATCTTGCTACAAAGATCATGGAGGACCAACCCAGACTCACACGACGTGCTCTTGCCGAGCGACGGAAATCCCTGGGCATCGACGAGCTGTCCCCTTGCACATCGCGATCATCTGCATCTCGCCTAACGACGTCCTCTCCCTTGTCGACTCACTCTCCGACACATTCTCAGGTGCCACCAGCTGCAAAGCGGATTCGCCTTTACTCGCGGTCGCGTGACAAACGACGTGCTCTTTCACCACCCAACGTTCCCGCCCATATGGATCTGATTTCTCTATCTAGTGGTTCAGCTCTTGATCCACGTCATCCACCTCATCTCACCTACATGTCGCCGTGGCAAGTGCCTGCTGCACCGAGTGTGCCAGGTGGGTCATTGGCTGCTTTCTACCAGTCTTTTTGTTATTGGGATGACGAAGTTGTAAGGCCGGATATCCGCGCTGAGCGCCTCGCTCGGGAATCTGCCATCTACGTGCGTCTCGATTCGTACAAGCGGCATGGCCTGTCTCTCGAGGCCGGCACGACAACTGCGCTTGCGAAATTCAAGCCTCACGATCCGCCTCGTTCTAAAGCTCACTGGGACTTTGTTCTAGATGGCGTTGTAGCCTGTGCACAGCGCATGCGCCATTTAAGTAAGCACCGCATGCAGCTCGCCAAAAAAGTCTCGCGCATGGTGAGTGCGTACTGGGAGCGTGCACTTCACAGCGATGAGCGTGAACAAAAAATGGAATGGCGCAGACAACGGGCGCTAGCAAAGTGGACGATGCGGGAAGTCCAGCGGCAATGGCGCCTTGCCGTGACTGTGATTCGCGGTCGCAAGCAGGCAGCTGAGCGTGCTGAGCGTGAAAAGCTGGGGAAGAAACAGCTGCAGGCTATTCTTGAGCAGAGCACACAGATGCTGGAAACGCAGCACGCTGATCTTTCGAACTTGGTGGATAATCACTCTGAGGAGGAGGAACAAGAGGAGGTCGATGAAGATGGGAACAAAGACGAAACCGAAGGCGAAGAAGACGAAGACGTCGGCGCTGTGACGCATGTTGACGTCTCTGTTCAGGATATGGATGAGGATCACGACCAAGATGCTGGAAGCCAGACACAGGCGCTCTTAGCTTCTTCTGAGAATGGCTCAGACGAACGTGATGAAGACGCATTGATACAGGCAAGCGGAGAGGATGAGAGTGACGGCTCTTCACGCGAGTTGGATGATGAGCGCTTGGAACACGACATGTGGGAACAGGATGAAGAAGATGATGACGAGGATGACGAACTTCAGGCAGAGGCGAATCTCCCTCTTGACGAGCTTATGAAAAAGTATGGATACGCGCCGCCTAGCTCCCCGTCGCTAAAAGACACACAAGAGTCTGAAAGTGAGACTGAAAGCTCGAATGCAACGGCCCCTGAAATCGACGACGCCAAATCGGACGAGTCATCGGCCTCCGATTCCCATGCATCTCTGCACATGCTTCTCGACAGCAAAGATGACGTGCCCGCGCACACGACCGGCAAAGTGCGTCTTCCGTTTCTTTTTCGTGGGACTCTGCGACCATACCAGCAGGTTGGTATGGAGTGGCTCATTAGTCTGTATAACAACCAGGTGAATGGGATTCTCGCCGATGAGATGGGTCTGGGCAAAACAATTCAGACAATCGCACTTCTCGCGCACCTGGCGTGTGATCGAGGTAATTGGGGACCGCATCTCATTATCGCTCCAACCAGTGTGATGCTGAACTGGGAGATGGAATTCAAGAAGTTCCTGCCTGGCTTCAAGATTCTTGCATACTTCGGTTCGCAGAAGCAGCGCAAGGCAAAGCGAGTCGGCTGGAACACACCCAACAGTTTTCATGTGTGTATCACGTCGTACCAGCTCGTACTAGCTGATCAGCACATCTTTCGTCGGAAGCCATGGTCGTATCTCGTGCTGGACGAAGCTCATCATATCAAAAACTTTCGCTCCCAGCGGTGGCAGACCCTCCTCGGCTTCAACTCTGAGCGCCGCCTCTTGCTCACAGGTACTCCCTTGCAAAATAATCTCATGGATCTCTGGAGTCTCATGTACTTCCTTATGCCGCAAGGCATCGCGAAAGTGGCCGCAGCGAGTGGAGCATTTTCGAACATGAAAGATTTTCAAGACTGGTTCTCGAATCCACTCGGCAAGGCAGCCGAAAATGCCAACGCCATGGACGATGAGACCCGCGCTACTGTCGCAAAGCTGCACACTGTACTTCGGCCGTTTGTCCTTCGCCGTCTCAAGTCTGATGTAGAGCAAGAGATGCCTAAGAAGTATGAGCATGTGATGCCGTGTCGCTTGTCGAAGAGACAACGCTTCTTGTATAATGACTTTATGTCGCGTGCCAAGACCCGTGAAAGCCTTGCCAGTGGCAACTACATGAGCATCATCAACTGCCTGATGCAGCTCCGCAAGGTGTGCAATCATCCAGACCTGTTCGAGCCACGTCCCATCGTGACGCCGTTCGTATCGCGTGCTGTCGCCTGTGATTATGAGATCAAGGACCTCCTTGTACGTCGCCGACTTTTACAACGCGATCCATGGCGTACATGTGATCCCGCTTTCCTGCATCTCCAGTTCGTCGGCGACGAGTCGATGCTTACGCCACTTATTACCCGCCGCTACAAATCGCTTGACGCGTCTGAGGCCATGTCTCGTGCAGTTCCTCAGCCTCCCTCGGGCGACAACAATGCCTCCGCTTCCGCGGAGATGGTGGTTCCTCCAGTGCTGACAGTCGATGCTTTCCGTCGTGCTCTTTCTCACCGGCGTGCTTGTGCTGCACACGAACACGCACAGCATGCGGCTTATGTGAACCGCAGGCGTTGCAGTGCGGAGCCGGTGTACGGGCGCGGTCTTTTCGATTGCGTGCGTCTCACTTCGACACAGCCAGTTGAGCCGATCGATGCAGGTCATTCGCACCGGCTTTGCGTGACTCAATGTGATGCGCTGCGGTCTTCTGTGCTCTCAGTACAGGAGCGCTCAAATGCGATGCATGGCACCATCTCACGCTTCGCCTTTGCGACGCCTCCTGTTCTCGCCCCTGCTGTGCCGCGTATGCTCTTTGGCACTGACTATGAATACGACCCAGAAGCATCTGCTTTGGCACGCTTGCCGGATCCACTGCACACGTCCGCTGTGGCACTGCAGGTGTCGTTCCCGGATGCATCGCTGCTGCAATACGATTGTGGAAAATTACAGCAGCTCGATACTCTGATGCGTCGGCTCGTCACTGATGGCCATCGTGTGCTGATTTTCACGCAAATGACCAAGGTACTGGATATCCTGGAGAAGTTTTTCAACTATCATGGCTACCGTTACCTGCGCCTTGATGGCGCTACCAAAGTTGAGCAACGGCAAGCGCTGACAGAGCGTTTCAATCGCGACTCACGTATCTCAGCATTTATTCTAAGCACGCGCTCCGGTGGACTGGGCATCAATTTAGTGGGCGCTGACACAGTCATTTTCTACGATCTGGACTGGAATGCTGCAATCGAGTCTCAATGCATGGATCGCGCTCACCGGATCGGTCAAACGCGAGACGTCCACATTTACCGATTCGTGAGTGAGCATACGATCGAAGAGAACATGCTCCGTAAGGCGAACCAAAAACGCCGCTTGGACCAATTGGTGATTCAGGAAGGCGAATTTACAACCGACCGTCTCATCAAAAATGATTGGCGCGACATGCTGGACGAAGGTGGCACTTCTCTTGGCGGTGTACATGTTGGTGAGGATGCATTTTCCGACGTGAAAGATTTTGAGCAGGCGTTTCGAGCAGCAGAGGATGCAGAAGATGCAGCGGCCGTGCACGTCGCCAATGAGGAGTATCATTTGGATCATGCTGACTTTGAAGGCGACGTATGTCAATCGGTGTCGGATGTGCGTCGCTCCTCGCCACCTTCTTCTGGAGCAGGAAGGTCTTTTTCGCACTTGACCGAGCAGTCGCTGCTACTACCGCATCTCGAGCCAACCGGTGAGAGTAAGACGGTCGTGAATAACGACGAACTTGATGAGTGCTCCTCATCCGATGTCGAAGACGACGAGGAAGACCCCGTCGGATCCATCGATGACTATATGCTCCGGTATGTAACTTCTCATCCTACTGTGAACGAAAAACAGAACACTAACCGTTACTCCAGCATGGTTGAGGCTGACTGGCAATATTTTGGCAGTTGAATCATCTGTAACACACGTATTTCGAACACTCTTTTTGCCATGTATCTAGCGATCGCAAAGTCATTTGCTTGATTTATGGCTCCGTTCATAGGTACCTACACTCTTTTCCAATCCTTAGCTACGACGACTACGCGCATGGCTCTGTCCTTTGGACATGATAAATCACATAGCAAGCACGTCGAGCTAGCGTTGAGATCACACATTGACCATTCACGAGTAAAGGGAAATCTAATGACGCGCATCATTGTCCTTACTTCTCAGGCGGAGCAAGACTGATCTGGTCATTTATAAGTCTCAAGCATGCACTCATATACAAACGTTTTCACTAGCCTCGCCGTTCTTCCACTCCTGGTAGCGAAGCGCCTGGAAGGCACGGCGCTCTGCTTCCACACGCTCGGTCTCCTTCAACGACTGGCGAACCGCTCGAGCGGCCACCTGCGTATACTTGCTGTACCTGCAATTGTGTGAGTCAGCCTGTCACCAAAATCTCCTCTGACACCACATACGAGAAGAACTGCCTCCAAGTAGCCTGAGTCATGATAATGGTTCGATGGGCAATTGACGCTGCCGGGCCGGCGCTGCCCGTGACGTTACTGGCGTGCCAAGTCACGTGATAACAACGGGGTGCTTCGGGGCTCAGACGTAATGTTGGTGCGAGAAGGGCGGGAGTTTATACTATGTGCTAACTGATCGGGTGACCAAGCGTCTCCTCTGCCCTAATCGGGCTGGCTCGCCTTCGCAGGTTTGTTCTCGAGGGTATCAACCATTCAAGCACTCCGAAACGATAAGCTTTTAGAAATGAATCACGGCTACGTCATCAAGTGTACAATTGAGGGGTGAAATGGTTGAAATAAGTTGACTCTTCTGTTTATGCGCGGGAGAGAGAGAGAGAGAAAGAAAGATGCTCACAATACACGCCTCACAAAGGACACTTGGAGTATGCCAACAAAAGCCAGCCAATGATAAATGACATACCACCGAATGGGCCCAAGATACCGAGCTTACGCAGCGGGCTGTCTGGTCGAAGCACACAATTCTGGTACATGACGCCGCAGAACATCATGATACCTGCCATGAGTCCGCACGCTCCATAGAAGGCCACACCCTTGAGAGGCTGTGACCAAGCCAGCGCCACAAGAGCTACAGAGTGCGTCGAATGGTACCGGTTAGCAGTATGCCAGTTTTCAATCTCTGTTACGCCGTTGTCAGCCTGTTTTCAACCTGTGGCACGTACGTTGCGGCGTCATCCGTGGCTTCAGCACATGCGCGCCAATAGCACTTTGTCCGGTTAGTACGTATGCATTAAATTTGTTCGAACATACCCCAGGGCCACAGAAACAGCGCCCGAGAAACAACCAAATGTAGCGATCCACGACATCAACAGGATTTGGTGGCTGCGTCAGATACGGCTCGAACTTAAGGCCGGTTTCATAGGCGTGCCACTCCTGCACGTGACTTGACTCTTTATGTCGTCTTTTTTGGATCGCCGCACGCCCATCAATTTCTGCTTTCGTCAAACGTGCATCGCGGTCGCGTTGGCTTTTCTTCTAGGTGCATGTTCAGCTCACACGCCAGTGTGAACGGTGGAAACATATACGGAAGCAAGACATCTATACAAAAGAGTCGCAGAGATACATCAATGCCTCCTTCCACTCACGATGCTGCTGCAGACGGAGCACCCGTCACTCCATCATCCTCTCGTCAGCGCGAAGGATTTTTGCACAGCATTGGAAGTGCCCTTTACCGCACGCTGCCATGGGTATCAAAGTCCAAAAAGTCAAGATCAGATTCAGAGAATGAGCCGCTGCCTGTTAAGGCAGCTGCTGCGTCCACCACGTATCAATCTCATCCATCACATATCCCTCCTAAGTCATCGACTTTGAGTCCTGCATCTTCCTTACACACTAGCTTGAAGTCTAGCTCAACGAATCAAAAGCCTGCGTCCTGGTCAGTTCGTGAAATTCATTCCAACTCTCCGACTATCTACAGACCCACACCGCGCGCCAAATGGGGCACTCTGGATTTGGGACCTCCAACGACCCCGTCACTTTCGTCTCATTCGCGTCCCCAAGAAATACTCTCCGCAGCGGGAATTTCATCAAGTACAAATTCGACTACGTCCGTCCTAGGCAAGCGTGGTGAGCCTGTTGAAGATGGCCAGATAGAGGAGGAATCAACATATGTACCCTCGGCTCGTAAGCGTCGGATGGTTTGGGATCCCGAGATGGGTTTTGTTGACACAGAGGATCTTGCATCCCGTCGTCCGCCGCCGCCACCACCGCAGAACGAGGCTGAGCGTATTCTTCGAGCCCTGGAAAGTATGCGTACTCCTCTCGGCGATGCGCGCCGCGACAAACTCATACGCTCTCAATCGCTTCCATCGTGGCATTCAACCTCTATCCCAATTCCTCTTCCGATGCCCCAGCGTGAAGGCGTACTTTTAGAATTTCGAAAGCCTGCATTCCGTACTATTTCGCCACATACTCGCTCGTTGCACAGGTCCCAGCGACTTCGTCGGTCACAAGCGGCACACCAACCAACTATGCGATCGAAGCTCCAAGAGTCTATTCGTTCTAGTGATACCCTATTCCAGCCATCAGCTGCTGTCCATTTGGATGACGATAGTACTTATGATGAGCCTGAGGAGCCCATGCGGCGTCCCAAGCGTCAAACGCAGTTGAATCAAAAGAAGTCACGAGCAAAACTTGTCCGAACAGCAACGAAAAAGATTGGAATTCCTGCTCGTGATACGGACGCATATTCGGAACCTGATAATGGTCACAGAGCGGAGCATGAAGCTACACCTATGTCCGATGCGCACCTTATATCGGACGCTAAGCCAAAGATACCTATGGCTAAACGTAATAAATTCGAGGTTCAGAAAAACGAAGGCTCTCGGTCAAGTCGTTCGGTTCTTCGTCAAGGCAGCGCCAAGACGACCAGGCGCCATGCGCCATCATCAGGACGCATTACTGCCTTTGATGATGAAGAAGAAGAAGACCCAATGCCTAGCAGTGAGGAGCTTTCAAAGATTAAGCTGCCTTCGTCCATGTTCCCAAGTGACTTTCGCTTTGATAAAAAAATGGGAACCAAAAATGAATACCCGTCAGAAAAGTCAGGCGATGATTTACACTCGTTTGCTCATAAAGACGACAAGGGTGCTATAACTACGACTCCAGCGAAGGAGCCAGCTCCTGGTTCTGTTCGGTTTGATTTGAATTCAACAACTTCGAAAAAACATGTCGAACCGTCTTTGTTCTTTAGCTCGGCGCCCTCAAGTGCCTCAGATAACAACTCATTAAGCACAACAAAGAACTCGGGGCCAATTCCCGACTTTTTCGGCACTTCTCGCAAGGACACGAGGCAACCATCGAGGTCTGCGTCTCAATTAAGTGTGGTCAGCGCTTTTAGCACCAAGCCGAATTTGGCGTCAGATGCTAAGGAAGATGGCGGTATGAAAAAACGCGAGCGGGATAATGAAGAGCCACCATCAAAAAAGCCGATGCCTTCAGCCAACAAAGAGGATTTGGGTGCAAAACCGTCTTTCTCGTTTGAGCAACCTGTCGGAAAGAAAGATCAAAAGCCAGCGTTTTCGTTTGGGCAACCCACCGAGAAGAAAGACGAAAAGCCAGCATTCTCGTTTGGGCAAACCGCCGAAAAGAAGGATGAAAAGCCAGCATTCTCGTTTGGGCAACCTGCCGAAAAGAAAGACGAAAAGCCAACGTTCTCGTTTGGGCAACCCACCGAGAAGAAAGACGAAAAGCCAGCATTCTCGTTTGGGCAACCCACCGAGAAGAAAGACGAAAAGCCAGCATTCTCGTTTGGGCAGCCTGCAGAAAAGAAAGATGATAAACCAGCGTTTTCGTTTGGGCAACCCGCCGAGAAGAAAGATGATAAACCAGCGTTTTCGTTTGGGCAACCTGCCGAGAAGAAAGATGAAAAGCCAGCATTCTCGTTTGGGCAAACCACCGAAAAGAAAGATGAAAAGCCAGCATTTTCGTTTGGGCAACCCGCCGAGAAGAAAAATGAAAAGCCAGCATTCTCGTTTGGGCAACCCACCGAGAAGAAAGACGAAAAGCCAACGTTCTCGTTTGGGCAACCCACCGAGAAGAAAGACGAAAAGCCAGCATTCTCGTTTGGGCAGCCTGCAGAAAAGAAAGATCAAAAGCCAGCGTTTTCGTTTGGGCAACCCACCGAGAAGAAAGACGAAAAGCCAGCATTCTCGTTTGGGCAAACCGCCGAAAAGAAGGATGAAAAGCCAGCATTCTCGTTTGGGCAAACCACTGAAAAGAAAGATGAAAAGCCAGCATTCTCGTTTGGGCAGCCTGCAGAAAAGAAAGATGATCAACCAGCGTTTTCGTTTGGGCAACCCGCCGAGAAGAAAAATGAAAAGCCAGCATTCTCGTTTGGGCAACCCACCGAGAAGAAAGACGAAAAACCAACGTTCTCGTTTGGGCAACCCACCGAGAAGAAAGACGAAAAGCCAGCATTCTCGTTTGGGCAGCCTGCAGAAAAGAAAGATGATAAACCAGCGTTTTCGTTTGGGCAACCCGCCGAGAAGAAAGATGATAAACCAGCGTTTTCGTTTGGGCAACCTGCCGAAAAGAAGGATGAAAAGCCAGCATTCTCGTTTGGGCAAACCACCGAAAAGAAAGATGAAAAACCAGCATTCTCGTTTGGGCAGCCTGCAGAGAAAAAGGATGAGAAGCCGGCGTTTTCATTCGGCACCTCGGCAGACACAGGATCGTCTTCACCATCGTTCTCTTTTGGAACATCTCCCTCGAATGTCGGTGGGAAATCGTTCGGTCAGCCTGTCGACTCCCAGACTTCGGCTTCAACTTTTTCGTTCGGGTCTGCACCTAACTCTGGCGCAACCACTCAAAACCCACCGGCCTTCTCATTTGGCGCATCGACTCCTGCCTTCTCAATCGGAAAAGATGTCAAATCGTCCACAAATTCTGCACCTAGCAGTGCTCCGTTGTTCTCGTTTGGTGCATCAACGGCCGCTGCACCGGCGCCTGTGCCACCCTCGGCACCTGCAGCATCGCCATTTACGTTCGGTCAGCCTTCCGCGACATCGACACCCCCCGTATCATTCGGATCCTCAGCATCGTCCGTGCCATCGTTTGGTGCAAATAGTGCGTCGATGGCTCCGACAACGTCGTTTTCATTTGGAGCGCCTGCTGCTGCACCGGCGCCGACAACGTCGTTCTCATTCGGCAGTGCCCCTCCTAGCGGAGCATTTCAGTTCGGTGCAGGTGCCCCTGCAGCCCCTGCAAGCAATGGCGGCGGCATTGCTCCGACGACGTCATTTTCGTTTGGCGCTGCAGCACAGCCTGGACCAACAGCAGCACCGTCATTCACATTCGGGAGCGGTGGTACGAATTCACCTGCTTCTGGCTCGCCAGCGCCTTTCACCTTCGGTACACCACCGCCGTCATCGACTGACAGCGCTGGTGCAGGTGGTGGAGGCCTATTTAATATGGGCACGTCGCCAGCGACGGCAGGTCGCCAAATTAAACCATTGCGACAGTCGCGGCGCCGTAACTAGCGAAAAGTACATACATACATACATACTTATATTTATGCATACATACATACATACAGTTGGTATATGTTGATGTCGATGTACTATGTGTCTTTGACCCATTCATTTGTGCGCATTTCGGCAAGCAGCGAGTCAAGATTCTCGCTCGTTGGCGCAGAGGGAGCCAAATTGAAGGGTGAGGAAGTGCGCGTATTGTTCGGTGAAAGCATGGCACCAAAAGTATCAGGGGCTGTAATTGTCACATTTGCAGTTGGGGAATGAGCTTGCGATATAGCCATGGAAGGAAGACGATGGGTCGAGCTAATACGACGAGCTCCGAATGATTGCTGATCCATGTCAAGACTGTGTTTCGAATGTGTCGATAATGTACTTGCGTGATGAGATAGTGACAATCCAGCACTAGATCTTATCAGACCACCACTTCGTCGGATCTGTGGCAATGCATCGTCTTTGTCTAGAGAGGCCAACGGAGCTGCGGCTGGTCCAAGGCTGAGTGGCACATGTTCGCTCAATCGTGAAGCCGTCTCGACACTAGGAAGTGAAAATGAAGTCGATAGATCTTCGTCCATTGTCGGCGATGAATATGTAGCGATCGGCGTCGTCTGATGATTCCGAACACCAGACGTGCTACCGACGAAAGCGGTCGGTGTCTCTACCATGCCGACAGCGCGCCGGTAAGTGTCGCGATCATTCGGACTATCGACGACTGTCGGTATAGGCAATTCAGGTGGACCGTCATTTCGATCCTGAGGATCTTGCCATGCATTCGTAGCAACATCGTGGGTCTTTGTGCTCGTAATTGCAAATTCCTGTACTTTTCGCCGCTCTTGTGTCTTCTCAGTCTTTGTTGCTACAGCGGCGGCCGACACAGATGGCTGCGCGGCTCGTGAACTCCAGGCCAGGGCCTTAGCTGCAATGTTGGTACCAGCTTTCGACATACTTGCTGCTGCATTGGAGTCTTGAATTGCATCTGTGTAGCGACGCAGCAAGCTACGAGGATCAGCTGCCTGCTGTGTCGATGTCGAGGATGAAAAAGAGCCCTCGAGCGGAGAAGCTGTGATCAAAGGCTGTTCATCCTGTTCAGAAAATGTGGACACTGGTTCTGGTCTTGACATCAAAGCTGGCGTCGCTGTGGGTGGCGATATCTTGGAATCTAGCGACACAGATCGGTGCGATGGTGCATGAAGACTGCGCTGGACAGTGGCAGCAAGTCGCTCTTGAATATTGACACGCGGATGCGTGTCGCTACGAGTGCGTGGACGAGGATTCAAATTCATCCGTTCAGATAACATTCGTGCTCCAGTTTGCTGGCGCATCTGGAAAGCCAAGGAAATGATAGGACGAGCATTTTGAATAGGGTATGACTGAAGCAGTTGCATGCATGAATAGAATACGTCGTGCGAGTTTTTTCGGTGTACAGCAAGCTTCGGACTCGCATCCTTGTCGCTGCCGCTCAAATTACGCAACTCAAGCAGTTGATCACGCACGATAAGCAGCATAGCACAGCACATGTGCACAAGCATCTCGACGTGTGGATTGGAATCGAAGTTTGAAGACTCGTCGGTCTCAGAGAGCAGCACATCCCACAAATTTGCGACTACGTCAGACGGTAGGTCGGCTGCAAGCAAACAAGCAATCCAGCGGAACGAATAATATGGTAACTGCGGATCCAAAGAGTTCGCATGAAGGAATAACCAGAGCTGTGGATCCTCTGCACGTAGACGTGCACTAAGGAACCGTAGGCAGTGGGACATACCATTTCCGGACCAGTGTTCTGGCGATTGCATTGTTGTGAGCACCATTACCTGCCGCATCTGATCGAGTGTCGACACATTATTCTGCTCATACTCGAATACTTTACGGAACATGCCCATCAACGAGGAAAAGCACCAGAACACATCGGCTTCTGTATCGTTTGTATTGCCAAGACCAAGCACCTTAGCCTCCCACGGCTGAATGCTCTTCGTAGGAAAGTCACGCGCAGCGCAAAAGACTCGCATGAGCACGAGAAGGATTTCATGCATACCCTGCATATAGCCAGTGGTCGGATTCAACATTGCGTACACAAAAAGTATGCGCAACATCGAGTGCCACTGACGGTCTCGATAAGTAACTATTACAGGAACTGATGCACTGTCACGATATAGCGTGAAACGGTCAGACGAAGCATCGTGGTACTCGCGGTTGATTTGATCTAAGCGCCTTAGTAGCTGGTGCCGGTGATGAATGTCGCCGTTGTCCATAGTGTACATGGACCAAGCCTCCGTCTGGCGCATTAGAAATTCCGAATGTTTGTCGAGGCAGCGCATCAAATCAGAGTATACCTGCGTAAGCAGCCGGTCTGTTGAGGCTGATTCTCCTGATGTTGTTGACTGTGAGAAATCGCTTAGGAAGCGCAAATAGTCATTCCGACGCATTGTGACAGTAGTGGACCACAGTGCTTTCTCAGGCGGCAAATATGACAGGAGTACTTTCCATGCTTGAGATCGAACCCAAGGTGGCAGCCGGCCCAAATCGCCCTGTAGGCATGCATCTCGCAAGCTCGCTTTGGTCACTTGCTCATGTTCATTCTTGAAAGCAGGAAACAATACACGTACGAGAGGAAATCAAGAGGTAAGGCTCTGCTTCGTCTCGCCCTGGCCCTGAGGTAGGGACGTCTTTTGCATGGGTCGGTTCCACCAGCGAGAATCGCGATTACCGTGAGCCGACACTTTGACCACGCAAGCTGTCTCAGGCCCACTTCTCCCCAAGTATGGACTTGCGTGTGATGCCTTGTCTAAAACTTCAGCTATGCACGCCCCTTTCCCATTCGCCTGTACTTTCATCATCCGTTTCTCGCTCGAGCGCTCTAGCCCCCTCCACGTCCATTCCAGCATGCGAAGACTTGTACACGTGATATAACGACACAGGCCGATCAAGTGCCGATGCGATTACGCGGCAGGGGCAGGATTTGGGGGCCACTAGCTGTTTGTGTGCATAGCAAACAGATCGAGGCGCGTGTGAACAGGGAACGGATCATCCGAATCCACACGCTCGCTTTGTGTGTTCGAGTTGACTGGGTACGCAAAGGTCTGTGTGTCGTTCAACATGCTTGATCTGCGCCTTGGTAAGCACGAGGCAGACGATCCCACGAAGCAGGAGGAAGAAGATGACTCCATGAAGGGACAGAAAGTGAAGAAAAAGCCGTATGCACTACAGAAGCCAGCCAACACGGCTTTGCGTCAGCAGCGGCTGAAAGCATGGCATCCTATCTTAACCCATTCAACAGTGCTCCCGCTTCTATTTGGCATAGGCGTGTTTTTTGCTGTTCTTGGTGCTGTCATGTACTGGTCGGCCACACAAGTAAACGAGTTGACGATCGAGTACTCGTCGTGCCGAGATGAGGCACCTCGCTCAGGAGTGGCACCAGCAGATGTGCCGGCCAAGTATTACAATTACCGCTTTCGCCACAACCATGACATGCAGCAACGTTCCCCTGTTCAGTGGGAGGTCGAGGAAATTCCCCCTGGTCCAGGCCATGAAAACAATCCGCCGCGCTTCCAGTGCACGCTGTACTTTATGATTCCTGAGCAGATGGGTCCTGGTGTATTTTTGTACTATGAACTCACCAACTTTTACCAGAATCACCGTCGATATATGAAGAGTATGGACTACTTACAGCTTCTTGACAAGCCACGAACTGTGGACCAGTTGCAGAAAGACCAGTGCAAGCCACTTGGCCGCGATCCCAACTCAGGTCTTGCTGTATACCCGTGTGGCTTAATTGCCAACAGCGTCTTCAATGATACGTTTGCGTCTCCTGTCCTTTTAGATGCAGAAAATGCGCCTTTCAGGAACTACTCGATGAGTGAGAAAAACATCATTTGGTCCGAGGAGTATCGACACTACAAGACCCCGACGTACAACGTCTCCGAAATCGTTCCGCCTCCTTTTTGGCAGGGTGCCGAAGGTCCATTCGGCTATCCGTCGGGCCGTTATGAAGAAGGTAAAGTGTTCGACCCTTCAAAAAACGAGCACTTTCAAGTCTGGATGCGCACTGCTGCCTTCCCTTACTTCCGCAAGCTTTACAGACGCAACGATACAGATCCTATGACACCAGGACGCTACTCTCTCGTTGTTGAAGATAATTATCCCGTCAACATGTTCAAAGGGACTAAGTCCGTTGTTCTCAGCACCTCCTCGTGGATTGGCGGTCGTAGCCTAGTCATTGGTGCTTCTCATATTTCCGTTGCTGCCCTGTGCTTCTTGCTGGGCATTGTACTCTCAGGTATGCAGTTAGTACGGCCTCGTCGTGTCGGTGACACCAGCTATTTGAGCTGGAACAACCCACGGAAACAACGGACATGACAAATTTTCGCTCCTTTCGCATTTTTGACGTCGTGGATCCGCATAGTGTACACCTATAATTATACAATACAAATCTAGCTGCTGTCATATTCATGCCGCACCTGAAAGTTGTGGTGTAGCAACCAAATGCTTTGACCCATTTCCATTATCGCGCCAAGTGCTGCTCTTGTGATCTTCATAACGTGGTCCCGCTCCCGATGCCAGCACATCCTGGTTCCCAATGGTGCGGACAATTCCGACTAGTTTTGTCTTACCTTCACGAGCAATCAACTTGGTCCCCGGAGTGAGATATTCGGTCTTTGACATAAATCGTAGCTGAACACGTGCGCGATCGCCCATGCGGAGGACCGGCTTAGCATCGTCTGCTGCTTGTAGCGAAAATGACTGTGGCTGTTTTTGTTTTGCAGCGTCGAGCTTGTTGATAGCCATTATCTTGACCGTTTGGCGCACACTCGACGCATGTAGCACAATGCACGAGCCGACAGACAGAGTCGTTGAGTGGTACAAACATAACACCTCTGCTTCAAACTCCTGACAAGCAACAGGTGGGGTGCTTGTTTGTGAGATCAGCAACATGCCTTTCCGGACTTGATTCCGCCGAACGCGCTTGAGTGCAAAGCATACAGACTGTCCTGCACTTGCACATTCGACATTGATACGCTTCCGGTGGATTGAGCGGACGGACGTGACGGTAAATTGCCCCAGGCTGTCTGGCCCCAATAGTAAGGAGTCGCCTGTCTTGACAACACCAGATTTCAGTACGCCAGACACGACTGTGCCGACGAATGGCACACTGAATACGTCATTGATGGGCATTTCCACAGGCGCTGAGCGCAATGGTGCAAACTTTGCCTGGCTCGATGGCAATAAGTTCAAGAAAAGACGGAGCAAATCCAGACGCTCTCCAGTCACGTTGCTGATCTGGAAGATGGGACAAATCCGTTTCACAGGCAACTGGAGCGCAACGTCAATGGCTTGGGCTGCCGAATTGATCAATATACATGTCTTCCTGCATCCAGGGGACTGTAGAACTTTGTTAAGCTGCTGCATTGTGGTCTCGAGCACTTGCGGCGGGCACATGTCAACCTTTGTGACAACGACTGCGACAGGGATGCCGAGCGCGAGCGCTATGCCGAGATGCTCTTTGCTCATTCCCACGAGTCCTGCATTCGCTCCAACCATGAGGATCACATAGTCAGGAAGTCCACTTGTCATCCCGAATACAGTCGTCTTAAGATATCGCTCGTGACCGGCCAAATCAATGAACGAAATCACTTTGGCTGAGTGTGCGCATACCTCCCCACACGCAATTTTGCGAATGGGTTCATCAAGTGTTTGAACTTCCACAACAGGCTTTCCATCTGCTTGGAAGCCCATAACCTCAGAACCGATGCTGCTAGTGCGGCCAGATTCAATTTCGTGTTTGTGCCTAAACAAGTCGACTCGCGCACGCCCACGTCCATCATCAAGACCCCCCTTCGTTAGCACGCCCAAGAGTGTACTTTTTCCTGCATCGACGTTTCCCATAATAGCAATGCGGACTTCGATATAATCCTCAACCGACTGTGGCAAATTGCGTACCAACAGCACTGTCGTTTTATCGTAGGACATTTGTTGCATGCAACACGCCCCCACGAGCTCTGATGCTTTTCCAAGTAGCACCTTACATGCCTCGTGTCTGGAAAATGGTACGTTAACTACAACGCGTGTATCTGTCGACGAAGCAGCACTCTCGTCGAGCACTAACACCACTTCGCCGCCCTCCTTGTCGAGGTGTTGCTTCAGTTCTGTTAATAGGGGTTCGTACGCGGCCATGTCGCTCTCCAACGCTGCTAAAACATTCATGTTGGTGGTGCTAAGAGTCAGCGATTTCAGTTCCTTTATAAGGGATGCCACAACCATCGGCGAGTCATTCACACTTCGCCACACTGACTGGCATGTTTCATGACTCGAACACATACGCCGGCGCCCTTACGTGGTCCATGCGCACACTGTGGCAGGAAATAAACCTTGGTCCATATCCAATGAGGCCGAGCGACTGTGCACTCTAATCCGTGTGGAGAAGTGAGGGCCCTCAAAGAGACTGGGCCTTTCAGATTAGGAGCCGAAGATGAGTCGACAGAAAAGTAACTCCACCTGTGGTCTGTGGCTCCGAAGAGGGTGTGGTGTGGGCCTCTGAACGATGAGCACTCGACCTGCGAGCACGAACGGCAATGAGTCTTCTGAGACAGCGATCCATGTACAAAAAATCTCCCCTCCTCCTTTGTTTGCGCATGTGTGCCCGTATATCTATCGGTCTGCAGATCCATCGACTTCGTCTGATTCGTTTGCTTTCCTTGACACGCTGAGCCTCAAGAGCGTCGTGCTATTGTCAATTGAATACCCATCAAAACAGCTGGAGATTTATTGTGCAAGGAATCAAATCGAGCTATATCACTTCGGTATCGAGCGACGGTGGCCCACACCCAATTTACTCAACTATGGGCATTCTAAACCATCAAGCAACCTGTTCTTATCTTCTCACGAGATCAACTCATTTAGTGTCTTAGAGTCCATCGTAAAAGATGCATTGGAGCTTCTGCTGGACGTTAGAAATCATCCTATTCTTGTCACGGACATGTATGTTATTATTCGTTATTGCCGCTGTCCCACTAACCACGAAGTGCTGGTATTTTCGAGACTGGCACGCTGTTAGGCTGCCTTCGAAAGATTCAGGGCTGGAATCTTAGCAGTATTTTGTTTGAATACCGCTCTTTTGCTGGGGCTTTGGCGCGCAGTGCAAACGAAAGATTCATTGAAGTGCGTTCTCACTCCAGCTCGTGCACGCGTTGGGTGCCAATAGCGACGATCAGACTGACAATCAGATGTTTGATCCGGACTTGGTAACGATGCCACCTATTGAGTTCTTACCGGACTGGCTTCTTCCACCACAGCAATTCTATGTTGATGAATCTGAACGCAGCGATAGCGCCAGTCATAGTGCAAGTCATAGCACAGTTTATAGCGTCAACCAATCGGAGTAATCTTACGCGTCAACTGATCAATATATTAAACACAATCATGTGGTCACACAAGCTGAATGTCGAAATTAGTTATTGATTCTAGTACAATTCACATTTCGGCCCAAGTCCCGTGATTAACGCATTTGCGCGGAAAAGTGTTGCATGGCAGCGGGTGGTCGGTATTCAGGAGGCAGAACACTGTACTTTGTTAGTCCGTTCCTTCATTGCGTCGAGAAAATCTTACGCACTTTAACATTGGGATAAATCGGTCATTGTGTTCCACAAAGAAGTTTGGCCTCCATGCAACTCCTTGATTGTCGCGTAACTGTGCAGCCTCACGTTGGGCATTTTCAATCGCTGTCTTAGCTTCAGTGGCAGCACTCATATCGCGTGTCTTGATGCCCTGTGTTACATTGACCCAGAGTCTAAAGCTCGATGTTAGTACACAGAAGAACAAAGAGTTAATCGAACGTACCGTTGCGACTCGTTAGGATGTTGCTGTTCAAGCGGAGGGACGGTCTTTTGCACAGCGTTGGCATTATGCGCATCGAAGAGCGTGCGAGACTGACCCGTCCTGAAGTCCTTGTAATCCATGCGGTCGCTCCATTTCCCGCTCATTTCTCCGATCTGATTCCCATCGTGCATTACTTTCCCATCAATCATGTTGTATGTACCAGTGAAATAGCCTTTTACCTTGAAATCAACATTAGTCGACATATTCAGACTTTTGTTCGTGACCTCACTTTGGTCACCAAGCTCAAGAACCATTTTGCCGAAAAGGATGCCCCGAGCGTACATATTTGGCATGCTTATGGTGTACTCGCCATCTTCAGGCCGATTTAGCAGAACCACATGACTCTCGCCTCCCATAATAGTTGCTGCCGAATTACCAAGGAACTTGCTTTTTGGGCGAAGGTCACCGTAGATAAGAACATTGTTTTCTGGCGAAATGTAGTAATAGGCACTAATAGGTGGGTGGTGCGAGACTTGCTCTGCAATATACACACCCGTTGTACCATTATGATATGTGTAAGAGCAGCGGAAAAACTCGCCGAGTACTGGGTTGTATGGCTTTTTCACACCCTTCGGCTTAATATGCCAGCCCGACATGTAGTATGTAAGGATCGCGATAAAGCGCTCCTCGGGGCTCTGTAAAGCATCCGCACCAAAAAGTATATCAGGATGGCTTAGGAAGTCTGTTACTCGTTCAAGCATGCTCCGTGGCTCAAGTACAAAGGTTGGCAGCGTGACCTTATGCAGGTCCATTCCAATCCGAAGCTGGCTGATCAAACTCAGCAAGATGTTGCCCGACTCTTCGTCGAGTTCCTCTGTATCTTCTGCATTTGCTCCCTCAGGGGGCCTTTCGTCCTTTGATGTCTTTAGACCTTGACCCCCCCTCGCAACCGCGGAACTAACCTGAGAAAAGAGGCCCATGTTGTATATAGACGCAGATCAAGCTAGGGTAAAGTACTTATGACAGGTCGATGAAATAATCGGTTCCCCACCCTACTCGGTCGGGCTATGCACGCTGATGTCATCAACACGAGCCACGTGATATCTCTACGTAGATGGGGAGGCATGAGCTGGGTACTTTCACGGGGGTTGTTGGATGGCGTAGTGCAGTAGTAGTGTATTCAGTTGCAAGCGAAGCAAAGATAGAGATGTCATTGCTCTCGAGATACGCTGCGATGAACTGAACGTGGATCTGGCATATCTAAGCGCTCATCCACGAAAGGTGGCTCGTCATTCCGACGTCGCTTGGCCTCAAGAGCAGGTCGATCGGTCTCTCCGCCCCGCTTTACTGACAGCGGCGGCGATCGAGAAACTGTTCCTACAACTGCCTCAGGGCGTGAACGAGCCCATGAAGTTGCTTCGTAAGCCGATGCAGCCGCTCCTGCAAGTCCCATGAGGGCACTAGCCGCTCCTTCATCATAGTCTTCGTCGACCTCGCGTCCACCGCTCGTGCGGAATGAGTTGCGAGCTGGTGGCTCTATTCCCCTGTCGAGCGGATAGTGCTGCTCAGAGGCCGTCTCACCAGCCCAAGACTCTGTAGTTGATGGTAAACGAGACGGGAGGGACGAACGCAGATTCGGTATGTCTCGTTTGCGGCGAATCAAATTGTCTTGTTCCATGTCCATACGATCATGTTCGCGGCCTGGCGACACAGGACCGGTTCCACCTGCTCCAACACGCCGAGAAAGTGGAGGTGTGCTAGCCGCGGGCAAATGGTAAGAGCGACCATTCTGGTAGTTCAACTCGTATCTCATAGCCCGTCCATCGTACGGATACTTCGACGATGGTAAGCGTGTCGAGTACGTAGCGATGCGTTCGTCTGCGTACGGCACAGCATACTGACGATCCCATTCAGATGGTGCACTATACATGCGAGAAGGATGTACAGTTGCAGCATGCCGCGCGTAGTCCGAGTATGTTCCGCCGCCGTAAGAGGATAGTGATGCATGATGCATACGAGGATGGCTTTCGTAAGCATGGCGTGTTGAGGACTCCAGAGCATGCTTGCGCTCGTCCTCGACTGGAATGTCTCTTACAGGTATGGGATCCGCTGTGGCACTCCATGTAGTTTCATCTGCTTCAGCCACGTTTGGCGGCGGCGTGCTCGGCGCAACTGGGCCTACCGTCGCGTAGGCAGCGAACGGTATGTCTTTGGGTAGAGGAATGTTTGGCACGGCCTTACCAAGTGGTTCGGCATTCTGTAAAAGCTGCAAGCGCTGCTGGATTATGGTATTCTCGGGCTCCAGCTCAAGTGTGCGGCGGTAAGCATCGATCGCATCCGAAGTCTGATTGTTGCAAGTTTCGTATAAAATGCCGAGATTGAGCCAAATTTCAGGAATATAAGGGTTGAGTCGGATTGATCGAGAGAACGCTCCAAGGGCATCATGGAACTGACTGATTTGGAAGTACAAAATGCCGATAGAGCACCAAAGAGCAGGGTTTTTTCCATCACGATACACGGCCTGCTGATACGCATCATACGCTTTACTGTACTCTTGTGTGTTCATGTACGACCTGCCAACCAAGTACCATGTTTGTTGATCATTGGGATCAGAGTCCAGGCTTAGATGCAGCAGCTCGAGAGCTTTTTCTTCATTCTGGAAGCCTGAATCCGGCTGCATGTATAGTGCCCCAAGCTGCTGCAGCACTTTGGCATGGTCGGTGTTTTCGGACAGTACATGCTCGTAAGCTTCCTTTGCCAAGTCATACGCTCCTTGCTGTTCATGCACATGGCCAATCTGGAACCAGATATCCATTCCCGTGAGCGGTCTTGGGGGGTTGTTGAGGATGTACTGGAAACACTCGAGACTCGACTCGTATTGCCCTTGTTGCTTGTAAATAATGCCCAGGCGGAAATATATTTCGTTCGCCTTTTCATAGTCAGGATTCGTGCGGACCACACTCGAGAATGTTTCTTCTGCATGCTCCAGGCTTCCATATCGGTCGTACAAGATTCCAATTCCGTACCACAGCTTGGGCTCTTTCGGATTGGGCAGATAACATAACGCCCGGTGATACGCGGCATATGCCTTTTCGAGTTCATCCATCATCAGGTAACAATGCCCCATCGCACCCCACACTTCGCCATTTTCATTGTCAATATCCAACACACGCTGGAAGTACTCCACGGCAAGGTCAAAGTGGTCCATTGAGCGGTAAACGCTTGCAGTGGCGCTAAGCGCCGGTATAGAGTAAGGGTTATGCAACAGAGCAGACTCATATGCGCCAAGAGCACGAGCCATATCACCCATAGTCTCGGCCGCAGATCCGATCGCAAGCCATGTTTGCTCATTAGCAGCGCTAAGTTTCATCAACGTTGCTACGACGCGGTCAGCATTTGGAGGCAAGACGGGCGGTGTAGCTTCAGTATTTGCAGCTGACGCCATACCCATTCCCTGTGTTAGGCGTGGCGAACGACGGGAGACCTCACTGCTTTTTTGTGCGGGACTCTTCCTCACGTCCAGATAAACGACCGACGAATTTTTCGAACCAACCATTGGCACAGACTCGCTAGAGTTAGCTACCAGCGTGCTGGAAGGAGTCGCTGCCGGCACCGTAGCAGGCATATATGATTGTGAATTAATAGGGACTGCAAAGTCTCGGGATACCATCCCTTCAACAATTGCGTGCCCTACAGGGATTCAAAACCCGATCAGGGCAAGGTTGGGAGTGATCTACACAGATAATGACGCGGCCGACGCGGCCGACGTTCTGAGTCTGTTAGTCTCACTTAACGGCATGCATTTGCCACGTGGGACAAGGTACGGCTTTTTTTATTGCTTTCTATCAAGGGCGGGTTCAACTTTGTATAGTTGTGGGCAGGCAGTCAATAATAACCCATGAATTACATAGATCAATTCTCGTTGGCCACGCGCGTTTCCGCCGCCACGCCCCACTTAAAACGGACAGGGAATCACCATCCGCGCGACGCCAACTTACCGCCCTTCATGTCATCAGTAATGTTGATTCCCACCATAGCTTCGCCCAAATTCGTAGAAACTTCTGCAAGTTTAGCCGCATCATTGTAGTGCGTCACAGCCTGTACAATGGCCTTGGCACGTTCGGCTTGGTTAGCGCCCTTGAATATCCCTGACCCCACAAACACGCCGTCACTGCCCAATTGCATCATCAGCGCCGCGTCAGCAGGAGTCGCTACACCGCCAGCAGCAAAGTTGACCACGGGAAGACGCTTCAACCGTGCTGTTTCTTTAAGCAAATGGAATGGAGCCTGGATTTCCCGTGCATACGAGTACAGCTCGTCGTCGCTCATACTGGCAGCGCGACGAATTTCCGCTTGTACAGTACGCTGGTGACGTACAGCCTCGACGACATTTCCAGTGCCAGCCTCACCCTTGGTGCGTATCATAGCTGCGCCCTCACTAATGCGACGGAGGGCCTCGCCGAGGTTGCGGCAACCACACACAAACGGCACCTTGAAGTTGTGTTTGTTGATGTGGTGTTCCTCATCAGCAGGTGTCAGAACTTCACTCTCATCAATGTAGTCTACGTTAATAGACTGAAGAATTTGGGCCTCGACAAAGTGACCAATGCGGCACTTTGCCATGACTGGAATTGTCACAGCATCGATGATCTCTTGAATCATGGCGGGATCAGACATGCGTGCAACACCACCATCTGCACGGATATCCGCAGGCACGCGCTCTAGAGCCATGACTGCACAAGCACCAGCCTCCTCAGCAATGCGAGCTTGTTCCGCATTCACGACATCCATAATCACGCCGCCTTTGAGCATCTGTGCCAAACCACTCTTGACACCGAACGTTCCTAGCGTTCCAGAGCCAGCTTCAGGCTTGATATTTCGCATGGCACTACGCGGAACACTGCCTGTCTTTTCCGAGCTCACAGAGCTAGGAAGAATCTTCGGATTCTCAGTCGACATACGCAGTTGAAGTATCGGGGTGAATACGTGTGAGAGTGTGGGTTTAATGGCATTTCATATTCCTTATCACTCGGTCTTTTTCAGCATGACTCAGCAGCCGGCCTCAACGAGCCAGGCTGGCGTTAGATCCACCAGCCTAATTTTCACGATAAGGAGAAAATATTTTGTCTATTGTCGGTCGACAGAGGGGTGCATCTTCGCCTAGCTTTTGGAATACAATTGCTCCACACGCTCGTGTCCTTACAGGCATCTTGCGTCAGTTCGGCGGGTATGTTCATTCTCCTCACATTTTGGACGCCTATGTTGAGCCTTGCATCACGTGAGCGTTGGTCGCACATTTGTCGGCCGGGAATGGCCGGGTGGCTGCCGCGCACGTACAGGAAATGCTCCCGTCGCAGATGGGCATTTTGTCAACTCCGATTTCCACACACATTCGGCCATCCTCCTTGGCTTCTGTGAATCCGCGAGTTGCCATGTCTGCCCCTTTTTGCCGGAACCTGATGTCGCGCCGGGCAATCAATGTTGCGTATGTATATATGAATCGTCTATAGAGTAATGCAACTAACACTGACTCTCTTTAGTCCGACGGTGAAACAAGTCGCTAACGGCACACCCATTGTACCAGGTCTGAACCTGCGCGTCGCTGCGCCTTCAGACTCCCATGGACATGACCACGGCCACTCAGGTCCCCGTTCTGACATGGGCACCATGCCTTCCTGGACTTCCAAGTCTCTGTTCCGCCGTCACTCGCTCCTTTCTCGCATGGCTGTCAATGGTATGTGTAGGCTCGAAGTGTATGCGAATTGCCATTCTAACAATGTAGCCAATGTCACTGGCACTGGCACGCAGGTTCGTGGTTTCTCTTCCTCAGCCCGTTTTCTTCAGGCGCCAGACTTTAGCGAGACCCGTGTGAAGAACCCCGAAGTGCACCGCGCTTTCTCCTACTTTATGATCGGCACCTTTGGTGCTGTGTCGGCAGCCAGTGCCCGCTCGACAGTCACAAATTTCCTTTCGACTATGAGTGCCTCTAGCGATGTGCTTGCCCTTGCTAAGGTTGAGGTCGACATGTCTAACATTCCTGAGGGTAAGAACGCTATTATTAAGTGGCGTGGCAAGCCTGTATTTGTGCGCCACCGCACCCAAGCCGAGATTGATGAAGCCAACCAAGTTGATATGAGCTCGCTGCGTGATCCAGAGGCGGACTCTGATCGCGCAAAGCGTCCCGAGTGGCTCGTTATGCTTGGTGTGTGCACTCACCTTGGTTGTGTTCCAATTGGCGAGGCTGGTGAGTACGGTGGCTGGTTCTGCCCGTGCCACGGTAGCCATTACGATATTAGCGGTCGTATTCGCAAGGGTCCTGGTATGTATATTTATTACGAAAGGCTGGTTCTAACATGTCAGCTCCTCTGAATCTCGAAGTGCCTGAGTACGACTTCAATGACAGCGAGAACAAGGTATGTTCACGATAACAAATGAAGATCCGTACAGTTCTGACACTCTCTAGCTTATTATCGGTTAAGTTATTAGTGCAATGATAAAATGCTGTTGAGCTACCCGTATAGATTCTCAAAGCATGCGAAAAGTAGAGAATTCCTTATTGAGTGAGGTATTGCCGAATGTTCTGTGCATATTGATGCTCTCATTTACTTCTTTGGCAAATATTCCGCCTCGATTGTTGGACACGTCTAACAGACTGATCAAGCCATCCCTATCAATGGTGTGACCTCACCCAGCTCCTATTTAACACACTCTTCAGAGACAACTTGGAAGGAAGGGGCTCAGGTAAATCTGTTAAAAAATGGCACGTATGTTTGTATCCATAAACACTATAATTTGTTAAATCCGCCTTTGCTCTTCTTGGGGCGTGGTTTGACATCGTCATCGTCGCTACCGCTCATGTCGCCCCTTTCACGCCGCTTCTTTTGATCATCCCTGGCAGCCTTTGCTTCCAGATCATCCCAGTCTTCTCCTTCATCCTCACTGTCTTCATTGGGCTCAGAGCCACTGTCTTCTGACTCACCAAAGTCAGACCCACTGTCAGAATATTCTGTCGACTCTTGATCGCCATCGTCAAGATCTGAGTCAAACTCTGACTCAGATTCACTGTCGGATAAATCTGATGCGTCGCTAGCATCGGCCTGCAAAAAGCCCCAGCCACCTTCTTGAAAGAAGGCATACGGATCTTCATTAATCGTCTTCATAATCGCGCCCCAATTCAGATTCACTGCTCCCTCTGTTACGCATACGTCGACGGAGTCGAGCCATTGCTTGACATCGTCTAATGAGCTTGTGGGAACACTGCTTATATGCAAAGGTGCGCGGGAAAAGTCGCTGAACACAAACACCATGTCAAAAGACGAAAGCCCGTACTGTACACGTTCCAGGTGTACAATTTCAATTTCTGATAGTGTAACAACGAGAAATGGTGGATCTGTGAGATGAACAAGACAGTCTGTGGTTGGCTGAAGCAGGACACTGGCTCGAGAGGGTACACCATTAAATCCAAGGTCTCGATATGGAATATCGACTTGCACGCGACCCTCTGAGGCGTCAGCAATGCGATGGGCAAAATGTTTGAATTCCTTGTTAAGCATGTGACGACGCCGGCGCTCCTCTTGTTCTAGCTCAATTTCATCTTCATCACCGGTGCGGTAACGACGCTTTCTGTTGCCAGTCTCATCGAACTGAACCTCCGACGCCTCGCGATAGAATTGAATATCACGCGTTTTGCGCTTGCCAACAATGACGGGTGACTTCAAATGAAAATGAATCAGGACGATCAGTTCTTTGTCACAAGGCTGGTAAAACAAGTGCTTAACATTGCTGAAGGGCACATCAATTTTCTGGTCCTGCCGAAGTGGCGAAACAAAACGAACACCATTTTGGTGGATCGTCAAATTTCCCGGCACGCGCTTGCCTTCCAAAGCTGGACGGGGAAATACTTCTGGAAGAGAGAGTGGACGGTGCTTGTTCAGGATGAGTTCATCTTGCTCAACGACATCAGCCATCTCTTTCTGCTCCGCCTCTCGCTTTGCGGCTATCCGACGCATCTCAGTGATTTCATTGTAGAGGTCGTCAAAGTGTCGTGTATTTGTTGAACGGTAACTAACATTTCGGATGAATGTGGCGTTCGGATCATCGAAAGGCACGTCTTCTTTCTTGCCCGATAACTGCCCTGGCGTGACGAAGTTGATACGCAGGTACGTAAACTCGCCCTCATCGGACTTGCTCACATTCTTCAGAGTTTTGATGTGAAATGGCACGGCGAACTGGTTAATCGGAAGAATAATCGACTGCGCTCGATGATCTACCATGATCTGCATGTGGTTAGTACGGCGGAGCCTTGTCTCTACACACATCACAAACGAATATTCAAGTGTACATACCTTGAGATCTTCGACTTTGCTTGGAAGCTGACTTTCGCGCCGATAACTTTCAAACTTCTTGAATATCTGTTCGTTTGATTCGCGCGATGCGCCACCTTCACCTGCAAAGCGCTTGAGTCCCTCATCCTGCTTCTGCTTCACAAGTTCTTTTTGATGCTCCTTGATTTTGTTCACGACGGACTCATCAAGTGTAGCTGTGCGCGCTCGGCTACGAAGGATCCTGCCTCCGGCCAAAGGGCGATTTGATGACTTTACGTTAGCTCGAGTCTCTTCCAAGTCTACGTACGTTGGATTCAGCCTTTACCATACCACCTTGGGACCGATGACTGTTGTTCGCGACGCGTCGCGCCGCCACTCGAATTGCACCACAGTCAGTGGCGCACGAATGCACGCTTCACCTGAAGCTATTGCACGTGACTTGCGTTGTGGATGAGCACCTCTATTTGCGTGTCACGACGGCAAAATTGTGGGGAGAAGGAGAGGTGACACCACATTGGTCAACGTATTAACGCCTGGTGCGCATGAAATCAGCATTCAAGAAGGAGCACACGTTCGGTACGTATAATGAGTGACATTCTTACAGATGTAGAGCAGCGAATAGAAGAGTCACAACGTATACGACAGCAGTACCCTGACCGCGTGCCTGTCATTTGCGAGAAAGCGGAGAAGACAGACATCCCTAACATTAGCAAAAAAAAATACTTGGTCCCAGGCGACCTAACAGTGGGACAGTTTGTCTATGTAATTCGGAAACGTATTAAGCTTTCACCAGATAAAGCGATCTTCATTTTTGTTGAGAGTGTGCTGCCCGCTACATCTGCTTCCATGAACGATATATATGCTGAGTATAAGGATGAAGATGGATTTTTATACTTATGGTACGTTATAATACTGACTTACCACAAAAATTAGTTATTCCGGCGAAAATACTTTGTACGTGTGTGTGCACGTTCACGTTAACCTTAGCGGCCACCTTGCTGCATCACGAGACAGCCCTTAACATGGTGAATCAACGCCCATGTCTAGACTCACATTTTTGCTAATTTTCATGAGTGAATTCCTATGCTCTATTTAGTTTTGTCAAGTTCTCATTATGTGCATGCCTTTGCATCCCATGAAACCCTTCTGTGTCTTGCGCACAGGTATGGACCCATACGACTTTGCTTGACAATTATCTTTGTCGCATTTATTGGGAGTGCTCAAGCACGGGTAATTTGTATGTATAGTTAGTGCCAAGTAGCTTCCGACTCATCGAGCACTTTATATGCTTTTCCTGCATGCTCGTCATCATTTCAAGGCGCGTTCACAGAAGCATTGACGGCTTCCAGTTTAAAAAGCAACGATGTAGTGGAGGTTAGCATCAGGCGGGTAAAATGGACATAATGCAGATTTTTCTCATGGCCAATTGAGTTGGGTGGACTAATACACCGTCTAGTGTCGAAGCTAATCCTTCTGCAGTTACCACACAGGAATAGTGTTGTTGTGTCTGCTCGAACTCGTTCGACGTTCACGGGTTCGTCCTAGGACGATTTTCATCACGTTTTCTAGTTCTTGGATCGCTCCTTGAAACAGAACGGCCTCTTGAGAAAAAAATTCCTGTTAGAAAAAAAAAAAACAGAAATCAACATCAGCATCAACGCCCTAGGACACACGCATGCCGCGTGACGAGAGCGGTGCGTATCAAAACATGCGTTTCCTTTCACATGCTTTCGAAAGCATGTGCATCTGCGTTTTGAGTGCTTCGACTAACATGCAGCTGTGACATCTGAGTCACCGGAAGCAGAATCTCTTGCATCTAATGACGACTCCATGAGTATGCTTCACCCTTCATCACTCCATGGACGTGTTGGATCATGCCCTATCCCAATCCGGCGTGTACATTCTTTTGATGCGTCCCAAAGGGAACATGGCTCATCGCCATCATCGGAGCGTTCATGTTCTCTATCGCCACCGTCGTCACCGTTGCACTTTTCCAAGCGACATATGGTGCCTACTAGCAGGAATCATACGCGTGTATCATCTGTTCCTAATCTTCGCACAGTTCGGCGCCTCTCGAATCACTTTCAAGGATCCAGGCCCCATGTACGATCGTACTCGCCGCCACCTGCAGTCTTGAGCGCGCCACATTTGAATCTGCCTGTACCTGCTGGATGGCAAGAGGGCCCATTTAGTGCATCTTCTAACGCGCGTATCAGCTCACCTCTTTCTGAGTCGTTTGAAGGTGGGGAGGCGTTCACGCAGCGAGAGCCTCCTCCTGTGCCTGGTCCTGATGTGATTGACTCTGTATGGTTCGACTCACCACCTGCGGAAACTGTTCGTACCCCAGACTATTCAGATGAAATGGAAAGATTCGGTCCAGTGTTTCCTACGTCTCCAGTTCTTGCGCTGGACTCGGCTGGCTCAGCGAGTGACAAAGTTGTGAATTTGGGATTTCCGCGACTTTCGTCTTTGTCGCTCCAGAGCTCGACATCACCACCAGACATGACTGTATCGCCTCGCTCCGTCCCTGACAGTCCGCCCAAGACTCGCAGCAACATCGCATTGCCCCCGCGCTCGGGCTATTCGCTGAGTGACGACTCAGATAGTCTACGATCTGAAGGCGATACATCAGCGGGATCTGGTCCCAGCAGTAATGAGTCTAGTTCTGAAAACGAAGGCGACAGTGCGCTTGACGATGATGATGATGACGATGATGACTCCAATGAGCAAAGGATTCGGAAGTGGCAGCTTGTACGCTCATCGGCTGTGCCAACATTACCCGATGCCACGGTTCAGCGTGCCGGTCTTGTTCCAGATTCAACCATGTATGCGGATGTGTCAACAAATGGCACTCGGCACAGAACCTCGGACAGCGAAGAAGAAGAAGATACTAGTAATGATGCAGATGCTGAGGACGAGCGTGAAGAGAGGAGCGTGAGGAAAACAGCAGCTCTATTAGCACCTTTATCGGGTGTTACAGCTCCAGAAGTATCAACAGCAGGGAACGCTCCAATTTCTGCCACCGCTCCCGCGGTTGAGGAAGACCTCATCGACACCACCGTTGATCCAGACGAGACCACAGAGTTCTTGGACGATGGTCTTAGTTGTCTAGAGCGAATTTTTCTTTTTGCCAAAAGTGACTTGGCTTATCACCGCGTGCTTGTGTCGCGATGTCTTGCAGACTGGATCAAAGATGTGGACCTAACAGATGCCGTCGAATACATCATTCCTTTGCTCAATGGGCTTGCAACGGACGAGCTGGAGGTGAGCGCTGTGTTTGCACCTGAACTTGGCCGCTTGATGTGGTTCTTCTTCCGCAACTGCCCGCTACAGGAACTATCTGACCTTGAGCCCAGCACTGATGATACGGATGAAGAAATCATGCCCCGGCCCTGTATAACGGTCAGCACGTTCACGCCGCTTCTTTGTTCATTGCTCCTGAATCCCAACAATGCAGTATCTGGCGCTACACAGGCATCTATCGTTGAATATTTCCTGCGCAGCAAGCACTATGACGAGGCTTTGCGTCAAGAAGACGATGACTCACACAGCACTGCTGATGACGTGCGACATGCAGACTTGGTGGAAATGGGTATGGCGCGTGACAAGCTCGTGCCGCTCACGCCGTACAATTTCGGACGTGAAGCACGTGAAGCTGTCCTCAACGAGCTTTTCGAACATGTGGCCATTGCTATTTCATGCATGGACGACAGCACCCCTGAACCATCCGCGTCTACTGCTGCTGCTTCCAGTGCGATTCCAGCTCCAAATACCGATAAGGCAGAATCAGGAGCAGGAGCAACGCCGTATGAACGTTTGCCATTTGACGAGGAGTCAGCTCTCGGGCGCATGATGTCTGTGAATTTGCTGGCTGCGATCACCGTGGAAGGAGGCTTCTCTCGCGAACAACTAACGTGCCGCGTGGTACCAGAAATCACTAGTTGGCCGTGTGATCCGGCGTTCTTTGTACGAAAAGAAGTCGCTGCGGCAATAGGCATCATCGGCAAAGCGCTCATGGTTGAGGAGGATGATGGGTTTCTATTAGAGGAAACAAATGCGCCCGTCCGTTTGTTCGAAGCAATCAATCGTGTGCTCCTAGATCATGTATGGCAGGTGCGACAGGCAGCGTGCTATTCTTTGCCTGGAGTGTTTGCTATACAACCGCACAACCAAGCGCGGCGCGAGAATCTTGTGCTCATTATGCGTGCACTGAAGCAGGATGTGTCGCCGAATGTTCAGCTCGCGGCGTTTGAGATGATTGGCGAGGTGATCTACTTATTCCATGATGATGATGCTGGTGTGCCGGATGAACTTGTGCGCATGTTCATGGGTTTGCCCATAGATGCCGCACTCGCCGTGGATACTGGTAATGGGACTACTTCTGACACGGAGGCCCACCGCGACTTGCTGTCTAACTCTGACTATTCGCTCATTATCGCCTTCAATTTCCCAGCCGTGCTTCTCACGATGGGTGCGCAGCACTGGCCCAAACTACGACCTTTGTACATGCAGTTGACTCAGCATGCGTATGATAATGTGCGAAACTCGCTTGCTGCATCACTTCATGAAATCGCTCGGCTTTTGGGCTCAGAGATGGCAGCAACGGACCTTGTGCCTGTGGTTGACCGTTTTCTGCATGACTCGTGCTTGGATGTGACGGCTACACTTCTTGAGCATATGGACGAGTTTTGGCTTCTTCTCCCACCACATATCGCTCGCGAACAGCTCCGTCGCATTCCTGCTCTTTGGTTTGATGCTTACTCGCAGGAATGGCACCTGCGACAGAGCCTTGCTATGCATATTCCGTCACTTGTGCCAACGCTCCTTCTGACAGATGAAGACGGATGTCTCGTGACACTCTTGCTGCTTGCCCTTAATGACTCTGTAAATGCCATCCGGGCGATCGGCTGCCACGCCGTGCCTATAATATACCATACATTCCGTCTCCATGACGAGACGATCGCCGACGGTTTCTTGTCGATGCTTTGCGACTTCGCCTATGCTCCGACATCGCGGCAACGCTCAACATTCTTGCACATCGCTCGAGTTCTCTTGGAGGAAGAGCTTGGCTGTGATCGGTTTGAACACCTTGTTCTTCCTTGCCTACTCAAGCTCGCTGGAGACTGCGTGATGGATGTGAGAATAGCACTTGTTCGCACTTTCCAACAGATTTGGTCTCGGCATTGGTACACGAGTCAGAATATGCCGCATTCTCTGCTTCGCGTGGCTGCGACACTACTCGCCTGCCGTGTCCGAGTAGTTCAGGATATTATGCGGTCGCTTGAACCCCCATTGCAGGATGTGAAAGTAAGCGAGGCAGTACCGCCTGACGAACGCCTTCCACTTGAGTTTGGGCCTGCACGACCCCTTTTGGACCAAACCACCATACCCTGGCGCAATATTGATGAGTGTGAACAATCCGATGGGGCGTCTGTATAAAATATACAAGTTGCTTTTTTTTCCCATAATTTGAGCGTCTCTCTATTCCCTTCCCTCCCTCTTCATTCAGCAAAGCATAACTTGTCATCGTAATTCAAGGTACAATAGTCCTATGTTCTTGGATATCGCACATGTGGATTCCGTGTATCGTCACTTCCACGCAGATGCAAATATGCTTGCTAGACTAGGTAAAGTGATTTCAACGCTATATTGTATGTTGCTGTGATAAGCCTATGAAACCCAGCGTCTCGTATCATTTCGGATACAACAGATCGTATTGCTGCACTGTGCTTGCGAAGCTTTTGGTCAGACTTCATTGGGGTTCGGGCGTTAAATGCAACTCGTGCTTTTATTTGTCAGACTTGCTATAGTGGATTTTGCGTGCGTCCAACCAATCGTTTAAAATCGCCGAGAACCCGCTTGGTCGTCTGAACATGGATGCCGCTCAGCGGCCCGACCATGGTTATAGTACTACTCTGGAGTTTCCACATACACAAGCGACAAGACGTAAAAGTTTGATAAATACTAGTTGGTCTGGCAACTCAAGTGCCGCGACAAATTCGAATCGCGATTTTGCTCTCCCTGCTGGCGCCGTCTGTGCTGCTAACATGCATCGACCGTTCGACGAACGCATCATGGGACCTAGCGTTGAGTCCGAATCAGACGACGACGATGTGTTCGCCTTTACCGATACAGGTCCTCGTCGCGAGTTTCTGACCACTCCGCAAATCGAAGCACATCGCGAAGAGGCTGCAGACGTGCCTCAAGACGATGTCGACGAGTGGGACGATGCTTTGCGCACGGATGCCCGTGGCTCTGAACGTGCGCCTCTTATGATAGATGAAACTCACGAAACTTCGTCTATGCGGGATTCGAACCTCATGGGCTGCTTGCATCCTGAACACGTGCATGCTTACCATCAGAATGAATGGTCCGTGAATGAACTTCCTGCAAGCGAGTCGTCGCTGAACGAATTCCCGCTAGATGAGCTTTCGCCTATACAAACACGTCCTGGCTGTTTTTCTTTCAATAATGAGCCCTCGTTAGCGTGGCGACCGCCGAAATCGTCATCGAGCGAGTTTCCGTATTCACGAGCTCGAACACCAAATCAAATGCCACCCCGTTCCATGCAAGTGCCTGAGTGGTCACAATATCCGTCCTCAGCAAGCAGGCTTGTTTCGCGAGACTTGAAGCCCGATGAAGACCCGCGAGATCTGTTATCTGAAAGTCCAGTTGCTATGTTACCTGATCAAGCGTATAAGCGGTCCAGGTCATTGACTAGCATGTCGGACATGCCGTCATCCGTGCACACAAATGAGCGAAGTCTTTTCCGCTATAGAAATAGGCGTGACGCTTATGCTCGATCGACAAAAACATCAAGCAGAGTCGTTGGTGCCGACGAAGACAAAGAATCATGGGAAAATGAGCATGAACTGAACTCCCTGAATGAGTCCGATGAGGCGGTCGATCACGACGAAGAAAGCTTCATAGCTGGCGATGGGATCGAGGAAGATTCGCCTTATCCGGAGGTACGCGCCTCTGTTTCGAACATCGACGACCCGTCAATGCCTACAGCAACTTTTCGCGTAATATTTCTATCGCTCTTCTTAAGTACACTGGCCGGCGCTGCCAACACGTACTTCATGCTCCGATATCCTGCACCCACCGTCTCGCCGATCGTTATCACGGTTGTGTCATATCCTCTGGGCAAACTCATGGCTGCTGTCTTACCCACTCGAACGGTTCAACTTCCCTCTTTTCTCGGTGGTTCAGAGTTTTCGCTCAATCCTGGCGCATTCAATATTAAGGAGCACACCTTAATTTCATCACTTGCGTCCATTTCAATCATGCCATCCTACATTGTTAATTTTCTTGTGTCGCGCCAAATCCATTTCACCCACCGCGTAAATCACCAATATTGGTTCGACTATTTATATATGATTTTTACGCGTGTGATTGGATTTAGTTTCTCAGGATTGTTATATCGATTCCTCGTTGAGCCTGCATCCATGCTGTGGCCACAAGTACTTGTCGTGACAACGATCCTGAATACACTGCACGCAGAAGACGATAGGCAGGACAAGCGGATTTCACGCATGCGCTGGTTCGTTTACGTCGTCTTTGGGGCGTTTTTCTACAATTTTTTGCCTGGGCTCTTCTTCGAATTCCTCACGGTGTTTTGTTGGCTTTGCTGGATCAGACCAACTGACAGGGTTCTGAACATCGTTGCTGGTGCAAACGGCATGGGCCTTACTAGTTTTACATTTGACTGGGGCCAGATTTCTTTTTTTGGCTCGCCCATGGTAACTCCCTGGTGGGCTGAATGCAATTTTTTCGCTGGTTTTGTCTTGTTCGCGTGGATCGTGATGCCGATCTTGTACTTTACGAATACGTGGGGCTCGGGCTACTTCCCCTTCACAGGGCATATGGCATACGACAAATTTGGTAAACCATATCAAGAGGAAAAAGTGATTCAACAATCCAACTTTCAATTCCAACATCAGAAGTACCTGGAGTATTCACCTCTTTATCTGTCGATTGGCTTTGTTGTTTCGTACTTTGGTGGATTTGCGTCGATTACAGCTGTCATTTTGAATATGATCTTGAATCATTACGACGATATTCTCCGCGCATTACAACGAAAGACACCAGAAACTCCCGATATCCATGCCAAACTTATGCGCCGGTACAAGCACGTTCCTACATCATGGTACTTTACAACTCTCTGCATATGCTTTATCGCTTTACTGTTGATTGTTGACTTTGTGTCATTCAAAGTTCCAATGAAAGCAATCATTGTTGGGATGGTTCTTCCTTTATTTTATACGCTTCCAAGTGGGTTTGTGGTTGCAATGTCCGGCCAGATGATCGGTGATAACATTCTTGCGGATGTCATAGGAGCCTACTTGACACCCAATTTGCCAGAGGGCTTCTCCTTATTCAAATCTCTTGCAGTGCAAACCTTGACTGGCTGTCTCCAATTTACTGGGAACATGAAACTGGGACACTATATGAAAATTCCTCCTCGAACCATGTTCCTGTTGCAGATTGTATGTGCCACGATTACCGGGTGTGTGCAAATGGCTGTTAAAGATGCGTTGGTGATGAACGTGCCTGACATTTGTACAGAGAACTCCAAGTTCCAACTTTCGTGCTGGAGCCCGAATCTCTATTTTGTCACATCTTTGCTTTGGAGCTCTATCGGACCTCGATACATTTTCAAAGGTGAGGCCTTCCAATTTATTCTTTGGGGACTCTTGGCTGGAACAGCTGCGCCGATTATTACCGCATTAATCAAATGGAAATGGAAGCTGAATTGGATTAACTATGTGAGCTGGCCTATTTTTTTCTTTGGAGTTGGCATGCTTCCTCTCTCGCACAGTATAAACTTTACTGCTTGGTTTTCGGTCGCGTTTTTTTTCCAATTCTACCTACGCAAATATTATTTTAGTTGGTGGTCCAAGTACAATTTCGTCACAGCGAATGCACTCGACATCGGCACGATCTTGTCGGAACTTCTTATCTTTGTGGCAATTACGTTGCCAACAGCAAACCAGAACATCTTGCAATGGTGGCCGAACACGGTCGTAAAGCGAAATGCTGATGCCCATGCAATGCCCTTGTATAATATTCCCCCGGGCGGGATTCCAAGCGCCGAACATCTAAAAAACTAAGACGACAAAAATACCGAACTAATGTAATGAGTATGGAACCAAAGACATGACATATGATCAAGTCGGGTACAATTTTTATCATGTGAAAACAAAATAAACATGTACAAGCTACTTAGCCAAAAAATAAAAGATAAAATAATAGAAAATTGTCTACGATCATGTCCATTCATGATGGAAGGGAGGAAGGGGAGAAAATGTTAAAGTTGGTGTGAAATTATGGTTATAATGTCCCAGTAATGGTAGCGAAAGCGATCAGCATGATCCCTCCTTGGGATTGGCAATCAGACTAGCACTCTAAAACGTAAGTCATATGATCACAGAACGGTCGACATCCACGTACCAATACGCTGTCCACGATTAGCCATCACGAATTCGACACCAAGACGCCCTTTGCTTTCCAGCGCGTGGAGTTCTTTTTCGATGAGTTGTAAAATGGGAATGGGTAGGGGAAGTGACGTTGCCGACGTCGTTTTGGGAATAGGGTTACAACACGAGTAAGACGGATCAGCAGAGAGTACCATGCCTTTGACATGGATTACAATGCACTTAAGCCCACGCAAGCTGTTTTCCAAGGAAGATTCATCCTGCTTGCGGGCTGCACACACACAACGTGCTAGCGCTTCTAGTTCCTTGTACAAGTAAATTGGCGTTAGATGGCCGAACAACAAGTGGCTAGGCTGTTCAGATGCAAAACTGCATTCGATAAACACAGCTTTTAACTTTCCTTCGGCAGCGCGTTTAGCAACTGCCTCCCAGAGAGTCAAATTGTTGTTCGACCCAGCGATCTGGTCCGGTTCCACGTCACCTAAGAACAGCACATCCCGATCCAGACGTCGATTCTTAAAGTGAAAAGCCGTGGAAACTGTCCGGCTAAAGTCTCCATTCATATGGCAATGACAATCCTCTACTCGCGGCGCCTGCAAAATTTGTTCGTCGAACTGCGAGACACCCGCGGCAAGGCGCGTGGGGCCATGAGAAATAGGATATGGAATGACTTCAATATCAGGAGCAATACATAAAGATTGTTCAGCTTGCATTTTGCGCAAATGATAGAACGCCATGGGGTCAGATTCATCATACGACGCCAGGCGCGGCCACACACGACCATCGAACACAGAAAGAATTGATTCGAGTGTATCCGGAAGACCATATATAGGCCTCTGTGCACGAATGCTTGCAGATGCTAGTACCAGACCATAAATATGATCTAAATGACCATGAGAGACCAACACTTTTGAGATCCATGAGTTAAACACCTCAGCACGGGACTCTGCATTGAGGTTCTTAGGAAACTGCGCGTCATAAAACGATTCGGCAGGATTCTCAAGGCACCGCATAAGAGAGCCTAGAAATGAACCACCTTCAACAAGTATTGTTCCTTCGTGCCATGCTCTGTCCGCGGGTTTCATCACGTAGCAGGAACAATTGTCGTCGAATGGCCCACCTCCCACACCCAAACACACGAAAGAGAATGCAGTGTCTGAATGCGAAGAACCACGCGAAACATGATTCCCTAACTGAGCTGATACTATTTCTTGCTTAGAATCGCCTGGCATCGTGGGTAACGACGCCTTGCGCAGTGTGCGCGCAATGTGCGACGTTCGGGGTACGGAATTGAATCTTTGTGTCAACTTGGAGCAGATTAACTGGCGAGCTTGGTGGCAAACCGCTTAAATCCACATCTAATAGCAACGGTCCAGAATCAGGTCCAAGGCGCGCGAAATGCACGAATAAAAGCAAATAGTGTGCGGTGCTTGATGCCCTCCACAGGGACGTGATCTTGCCACTCAGGTTGATGCTGCCGGAATCTGAAGAGGCAGAGTTGGATGACGCAGAGATGCAATTTTGCTCGCAGGAAAAATGCAGGTCATTTAATCCAATCAAACTTGAGTATAGAAAATAGAATCCAATGTGGGGCGAGATGGCAAAGAGGATGGTCGGCGCGTCGGGTATGAGGAAAAATACGAGCAATCGCTAAGTCACGACTGCTCGAAAGATGCCTCAGAAAGTATTCTCAACCAAACGGTGATATGGAAGAAGTCCTATGAAGAGAAATGGTGTGTATTGAATAGTAATATTGTTTCGGGCAGCCGAAAGCTCAACTAGCGTATCCCACTTACATCTACCTACGCCGCCTCGATCTCACTCAATCGTGCACCCACCAATCGTTTGTACAAGAATTGCAATGATCGCTTACAGGAACCAAGCACTACAAAATTGACTGGCAACAGCGTGTTAAGCGGTAATGGACTGGCGCTTCGTTGCAAGAGCAGCTGAAGCAGGCTCATCAGCGACATGGATGCGCTTTGGAATACTACCGGCCCAGGGCAGGTACGACGAGGACATGAGGTCCGTGTCGACCTGGGCAGCACACGCACGACCCTCTTGAATGCCCCACACAATAAGCGACTGGCCACGACGGCAGTCGCCAGCAGCGTAGACGCGATCAACGGAGGTCTTGTATGGGCGCTCACCGCGGTTTGTGTCAGCGAGAATGTTGCTGCGAGCGTCCTGCTTCAATTTCAGCGACTCAATCGCAGCATTTTCAGGACCCAGGAAACCAAGTGCAAGGAAGCACAAATCACATGGGAAGCGTTGTTCGCTGCCAGGGACCTTGGTCATTTGCCACTTGCCACTGGCGTCTAGCTCCCAGGAAACACGGACAGTGTTCAGAGCGATAAGGTTGCCACTTGCATCCTTCTCAAACTCCGTAGTCGAGATGCAGTACTCGCGCGGGTCATTGCCCCAGCGTGCCTTGACCTCCGAGTGACCGTAGTCGGTACGGAAGACCCGCGGCCATTGCGGCCAAGGATTGTTCTCGGCACGGGCAGCAGGTGGCTGAGGTAGCAACTCAAAGTTGACCACAGACGCTGCACCATGGCGCACAGCCGTACCTATACAGTCGTTACCTGTATCGCCACCACCGATGACGATCACATGCTTGCCCTTGGCATTCAAGTATGTGCCCTCTGCAAGTTGCGTGTCGAGCAGCGAATGCGTCGTAGACGACAGGAACTCCATCGCAAAGTGGACACCATTCGCGTCGCGGCCAGGAATCCTCAAGTCACGTGGCCACGTCGCACCAGTGGCGAAAACAACAGCGTCATTTTGTTTGTGCAGGTCGGCAGCATCGACGTCTTTTCCGATCTCTGTGTTGGTGATAAACTGAACGCCTTCGGCAGCCATAAGATTCACACGTCGGTCGACGACTTGCTTGTCCAGCTTCATGTTCGGAATGCCGTACATCAGCAAACCACCGATACGATCAGCACGCTCATAAACAACGACAGTGTGACCAGCACGGTTTAGCTGATCGGCACATGAGAGACCGGCTGGGCCTGAGCCAATGACAGCGACCGTCTTGCCCGTGCGTTGCGGCGGGGGACGCGGCACCATCCAACCCTGTTCCCAGGCGTGATCGATGATGGCACACTCGATCGACTTGATGCCGACGGGCGATTCAATGATGCCCAGCACACACGCTCCTTCGCAGGGAGCAGGGCATACACGGCCAGTAAACTCAGGGAAGTTGTTCGTCATGAGCAAGCGGTTCAACGCATCACGCCATTGACCCTTGAATACAAGGTCATTCCACTTAGGAATAATGTTGGAGATGGGGCATCCATTGTCGGACTGACAGAAAGGCACACCGCAGTCCATGCATCGAGCAGTCTGCAGTTTCAGCTCGGGCTCTGTCAGACGGCTCGACAGCTCCTTAAAGTCCTTCACGCGTGCAGACGCGTTGCGGTACGACTCACCACGGCGATGGTACTTCATGAAGCCGCGCATTTTGTCGAGCTTCTCGGTGCGCGCCTTTGTGAGCTCTTCGTCGAGCATGGCTTCCTCCATGTCCACGACGGCAGGCTCGGTAGAGACAGGCAACGCGACATCCGGCGTGGCGTGTGCATTCGCCTCGTCACCCATGGTGACATCGACCTGGCTGCCACGACGGGAGAGTGTACCACGCAGATCCACATGACTAGAGCGCTTCTTTTCCTCGGCGGCTTTAGCGGCCTCTTGTTCGAGCACGCGCTTGTAGTCCGTGGGCATCACACGTACGAAGCGTGGGAGGAGGTGGTGGAACTCGTGAATCACGTGCTCAGCCAGAGACGAGCCAGTGTAGTGGCGGTGATCCTCCAAAAGCATGCGGAGCTCGGCGATTTCCTGCGGCTCCTGCACGGAGCCTAGCTCCACCATCTCCATGTTGCACTTGCTGGCAAAGTCGCGGTTCATATCGAGGACATAGGCTATACCGCCGCTCATACCAGCAGCAAAGTTGCGGCCCGTCGAACCGAGCACAACAACACGACCACCTGTCATGTACTCACAGCCATGATCACCGACGCCTTCAACGACAGCATGCGCGCCCGAGTTACGCACGGGGAATCGCTCAGCGGCAATACCGGCAAAGAAGGCATGGCCGCTTGTTGCGCCGTACAAACAGGTGTTGCCGACGATGACGTTCTCCTCAGCCATGAAGGACGACGACTTGGGTGGGTACACGATGAGACGACCACCCGACAGGCCCTTGCCGACGTAGTCGTTTGCATCGCCCTCGAGCTCGAGCGTGATGCCAGGCGCGAGGAATGCACCGCACGACTGGCCTGCACTGCCTTTGGCAGATATGTGGATCGTGTCACGTGGAAGGCCATCACCACCGAACAGCTTCGACACATGGTACGACAGAGTCGTGCCAAGGGCACGGTCCGTGTTGACGACATGGCAGTCGATCTGCACCGGCAAGCCACGCGAAAGAGCCGGCTCCGCTTCGTCGATAAACTTGTTGTCCAGGCGCACGTACAGCCTGTGGTCCTGCTGCCGGACCTTGTGTGTGGCAGCGCCCGGGCGCATCTCATGCGCCGGCTTGAGCAGAGCACTCAAGTTCAGGTTCGCCGTCTTGGGCGTTCGCGCAGCCTCGTCCATGCGCAAAAGGTCGGAGCGGCCGACCATTTCGTTGATCGTACGCAGACCCAGTTTGGCCATGATCGAACGCAGCTCTTCCGACAGGTAGTAGAAGAAGTTGATGACATGCTCAGGCTGACCGGCAAACTTCTCACGAAGAATTGGGTCCTGGGTCGCGATGCCAACGGGACACGTGTTCAGGTGGCATTTGCGCATCATGATGCAGCCCATCGAGATCAGCGGCGCCGTTGAGAATCCGTACTCTTCAGCACCCAGCAAGCAAGCAATCGCGACATCGCGACCCGTACGAAGCTGTCCGTCTGTCTGCACAACGACACGGCCACGGAGGTCGTTCAGCACGAGCGTTTGATGCGTCTCAGCGAGACCCAGCTCCCATGGCAAGCCCGCGTACTTGATACTGGTCCAGCGCGCTGCGCCTGTACCGCCATCATGACCTGAGATGAGGATGTGGTCCGCCTTGGCCTTAGCGACACCGGACGCGATCACGCCAACGCCCACCTCTGAGACAAGCTTGACACTCACACGAGCACGAGGGTTCGAGCACTTAAGATCGTAGATCAGCTGCTTCAAGTCCTCGATCGAGTAAATGTCATGGTGTGGCGGGGGCGAGATGAGACCGACGCCCGCCGTACTGTGACGCGTGCGGGCAATCGATTCGGACACCTTGTGACCAGGAAGCTCACCACCCTCGCCGGGCTTGGCGCCCTGGGCCATCTTGATCTGCAGCTCGTCGGCGTCCGACAAGTAGCGTGACGTCACACCAAAGCGACCAGAGGCAATCTGCTTGATCTTGGAGCGCAGCGAGTCGCCGTTCGGCAGCGGGATCGATCGCTCGGGGTCCTCACCACCCTCACCCGTATTCGACTTGCCGCCCAGCCGGTTCAGCGCAATGGCGAGCGCCGAGTGCGCCTCCATAGAGATGGAACCGTACGACATGGCACCCGTACAGAAGCGCTGTGCAATTTCCGTCCATGGCTCGACCTGATCCACAGGAATAGGACGTGCCTTGCCGTAGTCAAAGTCCAGCAAGCCACGCAGCGTCGTAGCCTTTGTCATGTTGTGCGACGCTTTGGTGTACGCGTCCCAAGCAGCCTGGTTCTTGGTGCGTGTCGCGTCCTGCAGGTGTGCAATGCAGTTCGGGTCGTTCACATGGGGCTCGCCACCATCGCGCCAGTGGTAGTCACCCGTCTCGGGCAGGCCCTCGAAGCCAACCGTGTGGCGACGTGGGTACGCCTGCTCGTGCATTTCCAGCGCATCGGCCGCGAGCACTTCAAACGTAGCACCGCGAATTCTCGACGCCGTGCCAGCGAAGCAACGATCCACCACCGAATTGTCGAGACCAAGCGCCTCAAAGATCTGGGCACCTTTGTACGACTGGAGTGTTGAAATGCCCATCTTTGACATGACTTTGGTGATGCCGCTGTCCGTCGCGGCACGCCAGTTTTCGGTCAGCTTCGCAGCGGGCACGTCTGTCTTTGACAGACCCTCGCGGTGCACCTTAAGCACAGCCTCTTGCGCGAGCCATGGGCAGATCGCGTCAGCGCCGTAGCCGAGCAGCACACACACGTGGTGTACTTCGCGCGCCTCAGCAGACTCGATCACCAGGGCAATGCGGTTGCGCTTCTTCTGCCGAATCAGGTGGTGGTGCACACCGCCACAGGCGATAAGCGAGCTGATAGCGACGCGGTGCGGCCCAACATGGCGGTCCGACAATACAACGATACGGATATTCTCCTCAATGGCATGCGACACTTCGGCGCATACGCGGTCGAGCGTCGCCTCGTATCCAGCAACGCCCAGCGCGTGGTCAAAAGTCGTGTCGACCGTGACCGACTTCCACTCTGGGTACACGAGATGCATCTGACGGAGTGCCGCCATCTGCTCCATGCTCAGTACGGGACTCTGAAGGTAGATGCGGTTGCACTGCTTCTCGTTCATTTCCAACAGATTGCCTTCTGGCCCAATGTACTGGTCGAGCGACATGACGACGGCCTCACGGATCGGGTCTATCGGCGGATTCGTCACTTGTGCAAACAGCTGGCGGAAGTATTCAAACACAAGCCGTGGCGTCTGCGACATACAAGCAAGTGGCGCATCACTACCCATACTGCCAAGAGCCTCCTTGCTGTCATTGATCATCGGCAGCATGAGCATGTTGACCTGGTCAACCGTGTATCCGAATGCTCGCAGGCGAGGGTCCGTGCTAAGTCGCCGAGTCGTCGAGCTGGGGCGTCAAAGAGCCTGAGCACACCCGGCTCACGCTTTGCGTAATCTGGTTCAGATCGAGCAGGTTGTGCTCGATCCACGCCGCAAAGTCTGCGAGGTGTGCCGTGCTGGACTTGAGCTCGCGGTCATCCACAATGCGGCCCTCAACCGTGTCGACGAGCAGCATGCGACCAGGGCGCAAACGGCCTTTAGCGGTGATCGTCTCAGCGTGGAATCGCCACCGTGCCGACTTCCGACGCACACACCATAATGTCGTCATTGGTCGTGACCCAGCGGCACGGACGCAAGCCATTTCGGTCCAGGTTCGCACCACAGTAACGACCATCACAGAACGTGAAGAGCGCTGGACCGTCCCAAGGCTCCATCAAGCAAGCGGCCCACTGGTAAAACGCCACTTTGGCTGGGTCCTTCTCCGAGCCTTGCCACGCCTCTGGCACCATCAACATTACGGCCTGTGGAAGTGTCAGCACCTTATTGATCACAAGAAGTTCCAGGACATTATCGAAGGCTGCGGAGTCCGAGCCGCCATTCTCAATGATGGGGTACAGTAAATCGAGGTCGTCGCCAAACACCTCAGATCGCAGCAGGCCCTCACGAGCGCGCATCCAGTTTTTGTTCCCGCGAATCGTGTTGATTTCTCCGTTGTGAGCGGCCCAGCGCAGTGGCTGTGCACGGTCCCACGAAGGGAACGTGTTCGTAGAGAATCGCGAGTGCACAAGTGCAAAGTGCGCAGAGTATGCAGAGTTGTTCAGGTCATGGAAGTAGTTGTAAACCTGGACAGGGCTCAGCTGGCCCTTGTAAACAATATTGGTCGGGCTCAGCGAACAGATGTAGAACCAGTTCGCCAAACCAATGCGGTGCGATGCATGCTTGCGCAAAACATACAGTTGTCGAGCAAAGTGTTTGTCGTCGAACGAGCCGCCGTTCATTTCACACTTCTTCGATGTCCATCCATAGTGGTCACCCATCACGACAAACGGCTGCATCGTCTTGGGCTCACGACTATGCGACGCAGGGCCAAGAATCGTACTGTCGACGGGCACTTCACGCCAGCCCAGGACACGCAGGCCCAACTTTTCGGCAATCGTTTCGAACAGTTGAATGTGCTCTGCGCGAGCTTGATCATCCTGCGATGTAAAGAAGAGATTACCGCACGCATACTGGCCTACAGGCGGCAGCTCAAAGTCGTGGTCGATCGCCACCTCGCGACGAAGAAAGGCATCTGGCATACCAGTCATAACACCCGCACCGTCACCGTCGCGGGCATCTGCACCCGTGGCACCTCGGTGCGTCATGTTGCACAGCAGGAAGCGCGCTTCCGACACAATCTTGTGCGATGCCTTTCCCTTGATGTGACACAAGAAACCAACACCGCATGCATCTTTTTCATATTGGGCGTCGTACAGCCCCTGCGAGGCAGGCATGGCACCGGCCCACGACTCGGAGTCGCGCACCACCGACTCGTATCCGCTGTCTTGCAGATCCTCTGAGCTCAAGTACTCAGACACAATGTCATTGTCCTTGGTATGGTTTCGTGCGAATACAAACTCACTGGAACTGGCCATGTCGATAAAATAATTGATTCCAAGTTGGGTTGTCTTGTGAGTTCTTATTCTTTTTTATACAGATGAGATGAGGTTTCAACGAAGTCGTTCGCAGAAGCCGTTGATGTCGCTGTAGCTCTTGCGTTTTCACACTAGACGAAGCTCCTCGTCAGCTAGGTACGTGTGTGTACGTGTTTCAAGCTTCGTTCCGGTTGCTGCTCCAGCAGCAGCAGCACTCAAACACGGGAAAGAACGGGGCGTGCTCCTCAAGATGCGGTGTGTTCCCTGTCTTTTCTCCTTTTTTCGAATGAACAACCGGTCCAAATAACCCACAGGCACGCGTTCTTCTTCACAGAGTCGTTACCTAGAGTGAGAAAGATAACTTGCGCAGTTGCACTGTGGTTATCTACGAAATTTGCACGTCTCGTTTCCGGCGCGGTCCGGTCCTACTGTGATTTATGCGCCCTTGCCCTCATCTCATCTTTCGCTAAGCGAATCAGATCTTTCCTTTTACAAAAGTGACTCAGATTCTCCCTGCAAGCAGGCTTGGCTTAGATAACAAACATCCTTATCTATAAAGTTCAATTTAGTCAGATCACGTGGATAGATCCCGATGCCCAACAGCAAACCACGCCACGCGGCACACATGTACCACAATAAGCGCGCGTTTGAAGCATGCATGTGCGGCACGATATTTTGACAGTCGCAAGACGAACACTTATTTCCTACCCATCCTCTAGGGACGACCGACTGCGGCGGCCTCGGCCCACGTTGCAGGTGGGGCGGCCGCGGTCTCGCTTCACCTGCATGTGTGGGGATGGGACATCCACATGCAAGTACAATGGAGCTCATGTCAAAGTCCCCACGAATTAGTCAGACCAGCGTGCAATCAGGTGGTGGCAACGTACATTTGCACTCGTGTGTCAGTAAGAGGATATTACGCTGTCACTAGTGCGTGCTGGAGCGATCTGTAGCATGTCAAGCAGTCTGGCAGATGAACTAGCTGCGGATCTTTTAGAAGATCAGACTCAGGGCGGAAACATTGAGAAAGATGAGTCAGTCTCTTCTATGTTTCATATTAGCGACGCGTCGATGCGCGATGCAAGTGGTGCCCATGCACACGGCGCAAGTCAGCCTCCAGATGAGCTCAATCAGGCACAGCTAGACGCTTGGGACGTCGGTCAAAGTTCCATATCCGATGTATCGTCTATTTCGAAATTGTATGGGAAGTAAAAGTCTTTCCGAGTTACTACAGGTGAGTAAGTTTGTGTTCTTTTTTTTTTTGTTTTCGTCTCGCTAACAGATGTGCCTCAGTTGATAGACAAACAAACGCATCAGCGGCAACAACAACAACAACCCGAAAAATCATACGGCGGTCTTGAAAGATCAGAAGACTACTACTTAATTGTGCGAGCCAACAACACGGCCGTGGAAATCGATAATGAATTACTCCTTCTTCACAAGGTACGTTTGTTTGCGTTAGACAAAAGTGATGATGACTTACATATCTCTGCCGATTAGTTTATTCGCGAGCGTTATGCACCTCGTTTTCCTGAGCTCGAAACACTTGTGTTAAACCCCTGGGAATTCATTCGTGCTGTTCGCGCACTTGGAAATGGCCGCGAGCTCGTGTGCAAGGGCCTTGAAGGCACGATGCCTCAGGGCACGATTGTGGTCATTAATATGACAGCATCCACGACATCCGGTCAACCGCTTTCAGCTGACGAGTGGCAGCGTGTTCAAGATGCATGTGATATGGCTGAAAATTTGGAACAAGTTCGAGAGAAGGTACGTCATACATTCATATCTATGGTATATTTTTCGAACCAGTGTACTTATACACACTCTCGTGTGTACAGATTCTTTCCTATGTTGAATCCCACATGACCCTTCTAGCGCCCAATTTGTCGGCCCTCGTTGGCACTCGAGTTGCGACCAAGCTAATTGGCGTAACGGGAGGCCTGTCGTCTTTCTCCAAAATCCCATCGTGCAATATCCACTTGCTAGGCGCGTCAAAAACAGGCACGTCTGGCCTTTCTTCCATTCATGGTGGCTCAACCCGATTCTCGGGGTACTTGGCCCAATGCAGTCTCGTTGCCCAGACGCCAGAAGAGTATCGGATGCAAGCACTACGTATGGTTAGTGCAAAAGCCTCATTGGCAGCGCGCATGGACTTGAATAGCAGCTCAGCACATACAGCAACCGGTCAGTACGGCGCATCTTTGTCGGAGGAAATTTCACGCAAAATCGAGAAGCTCATGGAGCCGCCGCCTGCGAAGCTCATCAAAGCACTACCTGTACCGAGTGAAGGAGGACGGAAGCAGCGACGAGGTGGGCGTCGCGCCCGCAAATTCCGCGAAATGCATGGTCTAACGGAGATGCGGAAGATGCAGAACCGTGTGGAGTTTGGCAAGGAAGAAGAAGAAGCAGGCGCGTTTGATGAGACAATGGGGCTAGGTATGATCCATACAAAGGCGAGTGGGAAGGTGCGCGCAACGATGGCGAATGCATCGTCAAAGGCTCGGATGTCCAAGGCAAATAAAGAGCGACTGGCTACACTCAATCGTCCAACACTGTCCTTGCAGAATTCTGCACCGTCACTGTCATCTACATCCGGCACGGCCTCGTCGTTGTCATTTACGCCAGTCCAAGGTATTGAACTCGTCGATCCATCTCGACAAAAGAAGGCGGAGGAAGCAAACTCGAAATGGTTCCGAGAGGGCCAGTTTTCCCTCCTGCCAGATGCGGGGAAATCCACCACAACCACGACCATCCCCCAAAAGCGTGGTGCATCTGGTATGCCACCACCTCCGCCACCACCTGGTCGTCCCTCCCGGGCATGAACTATCTCGACACACTACCCTTAACCGCTTCCCCTTTTTTTTTAATGATTCGATGACCGCGAACCAAACGTATGTTACTTTCCAAAAATAAAGCATGTAACCAATTATATGCATCTTCTTCTACATTTCATGCGGGGGCAAAGGGCGATGCACCATAGCCTCACGGCCTGGTCCAACGCCGATCCACTCAATATGGACGCCCAAGAAATTCTCAATAAACTCAATGTACTCGCGGCAAGTGTCTGGCAACTGCTCATACGACGTGCAATTGCTAATGGGTCCGCGCCAGCCCTTGAACGTTTTGTACTGGACATCGACCTTGGCAAGAATGTTCAAGTCCGCTGGGAAGCTCGACAGCTCCTTGTCGCCAAGCATGTAAGTAGTGGCGACCTTGATTTCTGGCAAATTGTCGAGTACATCAAGCTTCGTCAGGTTCAGGCATGTGTATCCATTGATTAGGCACGAATACCGCATCATAACCAGGTCCAGCCAACCGCATCGACGACGACGACCCGTGGTTGTGCCGTACTCGGCTCCCACCTCCTGCAAATGCGTCATGATTTCGTCGTTCAGCTCGGTTGGGAATGGACCTGCGCCCACGCGCGACGTGTACGCCTTCATTACACCAATCACGCCACCAATGCACTGCGGAGGGATGCCCAAACCCGTGCAAACACCACCGATGCCTGTCGAAGAGGACGTGACGAAGGGATACGTGCCGTAGTCTAAGTCCAACATCAGAGCATTAGCCCCTTCGACAAGTACACGTCGGTTCGAAGAGAGCATCGAGTGGATGAACGTCACACCATCTACAACGAATGGACGCAGACGCTCAGCGAACGCACGGTACCTGGCAATTTCGCCCTCTGTGTCATACTCGAAGTTGCCGTATCGTTTGAATCGGCCTTCCACGAGCTTACGGAACTTGGCCGCAAAGGTGTCGAAGTCATACAAATGATGGACACGTAGACCCGAGCGTGAAGCCTTCGATGAATAGGCAGGACCAATACCTTTCTTTGTCGTACCGATGCTGCTTCCGCCTAGCTCGACTTCCTTGAGGCCATCAACGACCTGGTGAAAGTCGAAGACAAGATGCGTGCGATCCGATACAAACAAACGGTTATCACATTTGAGGCCCTTTTTTTCAATCGTGTCAAGTTCGCTGAAGAACGACGGGACATGCATGACCACGCCGCTCCCAATGAATCCAATGCACTTCGGGTTCACAAGACCAGAAGGGAGCAGGTGAAAGTCAAACTTTGTCTTCACGTTGTCAGGTCCAGAATTTGCGACAATCGTATGCCCAGCATTGTTTCCTCCAGCGCACCTCGCACAGATGTCCATTTCTCCCGCGAGCATATCGGTCAGTTTCCCCTTGCCTTCATCACCCCATTGCGAGCCAAGGACCACAGTCACTCGGCCTCGGGCAGATTGATTCGGTTTCGGCATTGATGCCATCGTGATTCCTCAAACACCAACACGGTGTTGGACGAACGGTTGCAGATCCTCAGGTCCACAAGAAGTGTTGTTGCAGAAAGTGGGAACTGCGGCTTGTTTCCGACTTGGTTCATGTTCGGTCATGAATGCCCCGCGAAAACTGATTCGCTGGCTGACTCACCCGCGCTCCGCGCTTCCCACAATGAACATGCATCAGTCTGGTGAACGATGACTAATCATGCAACAGCTTGGCAACTGCCGACAACTCATCAGAAATGCGCTAAATCGTATTCAGCCGACTCATCCCCCGACATCAGCACCAATGAAAGGAAACGATACCGCTGTATGACTGTCGATGCTGCGCGCTTATGTCCTGTGACCAAAATACTTTCGCAACGTGCGCGCTAAAACAATACGCAGCCACTGTAGGAAGCTTAATGGGACCCGCGTACCACATGACCGTTTTGCAATCAATAGAATCATGGACGCGCGCACAACGTGGATCATGTTTATACTATAGAAGTGTATACGATGTACTCGTTGCCGTAAAAAGCACTCAAACGCTATGCAGTCCAAAGCTTGGCCACCATCTCCGTAATGCCAACGTCGTCTGTGTAGGTAAAGTGCGTCGAAAAGTAACAAACGCGTTGGTTAGTATTTAGCACAGATAGAATCACACGAGCAGAGCTTGTCCACCTCGGATCAAACCATGCGCAAACGTACTTGTGTTGAATTCTGAACGCAGTTAGATACCAAACAGAGGAAACGAAACTCAAAGAAAACATACCATAGAGACCAGCAGCAGCAGCAAGAGTGCCAGCACGCAATATCCACTTGCACATAGGACCCATCTTAGGGTACTTGCGCTTGTCAATGTAGTCAACAATGACCTGGCCGAAGCCCATGTGAGTGTGCAACAAAAGTGTGGCACTCAAAGCGCCGTCCAACACACCACATGCACCATGCTTCACAGTCGCAACCGCGAACATGGGCACAAGTGCTGTGGCAACAAGACGTTCAAAAGCCCAGTGGTATGAACCATGCTTAGCATCAGGCTTGGGGTATTCAGCCGGGTCATTTACTGTGCCCTTAATGTACGCTGTTGAAGAGTTAGAATCATGGAAACAAGAACCATGCTGTACATACAGCCACCCGGGTAGGTCATGGGACGACCAAATGAGCATGGCTTGCTAGCATCCACTGCCAACGGACGAGCTGCAGTTACGTTAGTACCACTTCTTTTATCCACTCTTTTTTGCTTCTTTTCCTAGAGCAAAATTGCGCTATACATACCCACATGAAATCCGCGCGATCCCTGCAGCATCAAACGAGTGGCACCCACGCTTGGTAGAGTCTTTGTCAGTCCGACTTGCGAAAGCATCGTCATGTTGCCTCAAGTAGTCGTGACTGGATGGAGGTGTGCGAATGAAGTGGGGAGTTTTTCTGAAGTTCGAGCGGGTCGGCGGCCTTGGGATTTCAATACAATAGGATATTATTGGCTGATCTAGAAAGTAAAGCCTACAAGGTCGTACAAAAAATGTAAGAACCACCGGGAAGTTCCGGCTATGAAACAATTTGATGTCGTAGTAAACAGGCTGAGCCAAGTACACACAGGCCGCTTCTGCCTCCTGCCAAAGTGGCCGGCGCGTGTCACTTGGGAGGGGAAATAAACAAGCACTGCAGTATAGTGTGCATTTTTATTACATGTCTTCTACAAAGTTGAATGCACGACAACGATTCTAGCGTGCATATTCCCTGTAGTGTTGGGTGCGGACTTTAGAGTAGGTTCAGACAATTTAATCGACATCTTCATCTGGTTTTGCTAGGGGCTTGTCACGGAATAGATGATTGCAGTAGCAGCAAACATAGAAAAAGATCATTTCTGTTGTCAGTGAAATATGGTACATCGACACGCACTGTTGTATGTTCGCTTGCTTTGATCCTGGAACATAACAGATCTGCACGCATTAGTCGTAGTCTAAGGGGGAAAAAAACTTACTCGGAATTTCCACAACTAGGACAACTCAAATCCTGCGTGCGACGCAGGGTCGGATCAGTCATGAGCTCATCAATAATTCCCGGTTGTTCCTGTGATGTAAGTGCACACGCAAGGCGTGATGTGCACATACTTTAGATATGAGCTTCAAGTCATTCCGAAATACCAGAGGATTGGACGCCTCAGTACGATATGGGCAATTGCGACAGGCATACATGAGCACATGGTTCGTCTGGTCAGCCTGAGCACGTTCATTGTTAGCAACTTTGGAACACTAGCGAAAATCGCGAACGCAGTTACACGTGCACATATGGTACAAAGACATACTTCTGGGTACAATAGGTTGTTGCTTCGAGTAAGTCAGTGATACAGGACACTTGTCGATAAGCCGCGTACCATTCAGCACAAAAATGCAAAGACGCCATTCCTTTCGACGGAATGCAACAGCTGCAAGACGCAAAACGTGGGTTCTTTCTACCGCGCTTGTGGTTCGTATGTGCCTATAAAAGCACACGTCACAAAGATACAAACTGACTCGACTTTCGGCGTCGTCTGCGCGGATACTCTGTGTATATAGTCGTCTCTGCCGTGCAATACTCCACTCTGCAGGAGGGTAGCTTCTTAAGGCAGACCATCGCGTCGAAGGAATGGCCGATAGGATGGATCACGTGAACCAAATTCATCGCCTACATGGCATCTACGCACAACCCATATTTATCATGGCTAATAGTAGTGGATTTCGTTGCGCTCACGGCCGCGGAGGAATTTAGGCTCCGTGCCCTCAACATAAACATGCTTGTACAAATCCTCCTCAGGAGGCGGTGGCGAGTTCTTGGCCTCCTCCAATTCTTTGTCGACGAATTCCTTCGCAGCTTTGTCAACCTTCTTTAGTTCAGACTCCTCCATCACACCCCATTCGATGATGTGTGTCTTCAGACCCTGGATTGGGTCAGACGAGCTGCGCATCTTTTGAATCTCATCACGCGTACGGTAAGTTGTGCCTGGGTCAGAGAGCGAGTGGCCACCGTAGCGGTACGTGACGAGTTCCATCAACAATGGACCATTACCAGAAACAGTGTATTCACGAGCAAACTCCGTGCCACGCTTCACGGCAAGCACATCCATAGCGTTCACCTGGATACCAGGGATAACGTCGCCACGCGTGTAGAACTGTGTGTTCATGGAGCTGCGCTCTGCGCTCGTACCCATACCGTACTTGTTGTTTTCGCAGATAAACACGTTGGGCAGTTTCCACAGTTTGGCCATGTTGAATGATTCAAATACCTGGCCCTGGTTCGATGCACCATCACCATACAGAGTGAATGTGGCGTGGTTCGTCTTCAGGTACTTTTGTGCAAAAGCGAGACCTGTTCCCAAGGGGACTTGTGCTCCCACAATACCATTGCCACCGTAGAAGTTGGGTGTGTAAACGTGCATTGATCCGCCCTTGCCCCTTGAAAGACCGCCTTCGCGTCCGAAAAGCTCGGCCAGCATGCCGCTGACAGAACCGCCGCGCTGGACCACAAATGTGTGACAGCGATACGCCGTAATCAAACTGTCATCTGGTTTGATAGCTGTCTCCATGCCAACGGAGACAGCTTCTTGCCCAATGGACAAATGACAGAATCCACGCACAAGCTTGTTCTTATACGCCTGGTCAGAGGCCACTTCCATTCGGCGCATCTTGACCATTTCGCTGTACATGTGAATGAGTTCATCCTTCGTGACAGTTAGCTCATTGCTGGGTTTATCGATCTTGAAATTCGCAAAGGAATCTTCGCTGAGGATCAATGTGAATGGCTCTGAGCCCGATTCGGGGACCGACCCCTTCACCTTTGTGCTATCAGCCACAAGATGGACACCACGAGATCCCAACAAAGCTGGAACGGCTGTGGCACGCGAGGCAGACTGCCATAAGTTATTCCCGATTCTCTCATACGTACACAACGTAATGGCGAAGCAAATCGAGTCCGAATACCGCTTTGAAGAAGCCTACTCATCGTCGTTTGGAACAAACGAAATCCGATCGCACGAATCCTTTGAGCTAGGGTACAAATCCAGGGGGGGCGGGCAAGCTCGAGACACGCAAGCCTCGGGGACGATAAATCCCAGGTCGTTTTGAGAGGTCGCCTCCACACATTCTCACCACAATCTACGGCTGCCTACATTAAGCAAAAGCCCGACCTGCCCTCGCTGACGAGAAAGTGACTGGATCTGACCGGCCATAAGATTAGCCTGATCATTTTTGGGGAATCTATGGCGAAAAGAAAACCGTTGGCAAACTCGTTGTACTTACCAGTTTTTTCTAACTTGCGCGGACTTCAGTCCTTGTTGCGAAAATAATCAGAATGGGCCGCTCTCGCGCGCAACGCACTGGCCGCTCGGGCTCATGCGAATTGACCTCAGTCCATAGGAGGTGGCAAGGCCCAAAAAAAAATTGAAATTGACCCTTGGAACCGATTTGTCATGCACAAAAACCAAACACTTTTGACCAACGTGCACTGCACGAATATTTATTCAACCATCTCGGTCACTTTAATCCACTTTCGCTGGCAACGGCAAAATCCTCCATGAGCAGCGACTCACTGCCTCGCACTATGGCGTCCTTGCCTGATGATCATTGGCGTCCAACCTATGAAGATATTCATATTATGATTCGGGACATTTCGGTAAAAATACGAGAAGAGTTTCAACCGGATCTTATCGTCGCAATTGGTGGTGGCGGATTTTTTCCCGCGCGAGTATTGCGCACGTTTCTAAAGAAACGCGATGCACAGAACCCTAACAAGATGCGCAATTTACCGATTCAAGCTATTGGTTTAAGCCTGTATGAAGAGGTAGAAGGTGTGTCAGGCGAGATGATTGGCAAAGAAGTGATTCGTACGCAATGGCTCGACAAGGGGGACGTAGTGGGTAACAGCACGACCCAAAATGATGCAGGAGGACTGCTCGGAAAAAATGTCCTCATTGTGGATGAGGTGGATGATTCGCGCACGACGCTTCACTATGCATACCATGAGCTTTTGAAAGATGTGCGGAAAGCGATTCAGTCCTACACACCTGAGGAACGGGCTAAGATTCCTCCCACGCGCTTTGCCATTTTTGTCGTTCATAACAAGTTGGGACCAAAGAGAGCTGAACTTCCTATGATTAAGGAGCCAAAGGATGAAGTGATCGAGGACGGCGTCAGCACTGGCGTGTACTATTACGCAGCAGAGATGATGCCCCCCGTTTGGATCAACTTTCCTTGGGAAGAAACAGATATCCTGGAACATAACCGACTGTCAGAACTGGCCAAGCATCTTGGTGTTGGACAGCCGCCGAAATCATAGCTATAATCTTGTTTCAGGGATGCAGAAACTAGCATATCGTCACCCAAAATGAGACCTTCTTTTACGTATGGATGCATTATGCCTGGTGCCGCAAGCTGGCCAGAGAGGAGGAACCTAGGACAAATTCCAAAAATTAATTGTGCATTTGCCCAGTGCGGGGTAAGACATATATATATATGTATCGAGGTGGAATCCAGTTGGCTATTTGATTTACTTGGCAACGAAGAGAGGTGTTGGATTCGATCTTGTTACATTGCACAAGAGGAAACTTGTGCATCACTGACGCTCGAAATGGGATTGTCCGCGAGTCCCTTTAGCTTTCAAGACCAGTTGGCATTCTATGGTGCTTATCACATCAACAGGGTGAATGTCGCTATTCACATGGTGTGTGTACCATTAATCTGGATCACATGGTTGGCTATGGTGCTGTACTTTGATCCATCTTTGACTGGACTGGCATATAAGCTACCGTTATCCATGGCGGAACCTTTGTTGAATGTATGCCATTCGCTGAAGGATGCGGTTCCGACATGGATTTACCCGCACATGAATGTTGCCTCTAGCATTGCTGCAGCATACTTGATCTATTACTTTATCTTGGATGTTATGTCAGCACTTCTCATTACACCGCTATGGGTCTCATACTACTTAGTCGCCTGGTATGTTGCACAGCAATCAGAGACATCGATTATGCCTGTGTTTGGTGTCTTCATGTTTAGTTGGGTGGCGCAGTTTTATGGGCACGGCATACATGAGGGACGTGCGCCTGCCCTGCTGGACAATCTGCTTGGTGCCGTTGTATTAGCGCCACTGTTTGTATTTGTCGAAACCCTGTTTATGGTGGGCTATCGGCCGGAGCTACAGCGTTGGCTCAAGAATGAAACGGCTCGACTACTTGTCCAGTTCCGTTCCACACACCCAGTCAAATCAAAGGCACAGTAACGATACGCATGAATACTTCAGCGCTTTTGTATCAAAAACCTTTTTTTCCTCGTATTCTATCTTCTGCCTATAATATGTACTACGAATGAAATTGTATCACATTTTTCCACACACGTAGAGTGCTATTTGTATCAACACGCCGCAAAATGAACCCACCACTGCTCGCGAGACCACGACGAAGCGGGACAAGTGTCCAAGGAACTTCTAGAGTAGTATGTTCGAGCAGCTCTAACGAAGCTGTGTGACGGTTCGGACCGAGTACAAGTATATCATGCCATGCATCGTCGATCTCTAATGCGATATCCAAACGGGTGCGTAGTAATGCGAGGTCCAACACCCAAATATGCAGATGCATCGTCACATGACATGGTTCATCAACAAGCCATGCATCATGGCGATCGAGAAACAGTTCCGGATACATTCCTTGTACAGCACAAGGAAGATACGTAGTGCGCTGTATTGTCCCGATTCGCAAGCGGCCCATCTCACCACCAGGCACACGCCAGGCAATACGGATATGGCCCAATGGCACGGTACATGCGACGCGAGTATGTTCTGCGCTCTGGAGTTTCTCGCGAAAGTGCAGAGGGGACATGGTCTCCCGCGGCGACAAGGTAAAGACAAAATTCCGAACATCTTTAGGCATCAGAGGCATATGATCAAGCTTCGGCGCAGATGCGCTCCATGACTGATCGGGGTCGATGGACAGCATGTCGAGACGCAAAGGACGTGACGATGTATTGTGAACAGAGACAAGAACGAGGGTTTGTTCGCGAATACTCCGGTCATGGTAAAAAGACAGTGTATCGTTTGTGTGAACTTCAGACCGCATGAGAAAAGGTGGTGGATGAACTTTGAACCGGTATTGCTTGGAGAAAGAGTGAGGATAAATGCCTTGACTTGTATGTCTGTCGCTCCATATGCGGCATACGAGAGCATGCATGGCCAGCTTATCAATAGAGTGCCGAGCGAGGGCTGTCATCTGTGCACCGGGAGCTAAGGATGGGAGAGAGACATCGTTAAGACTGTGCGAGGATGGTGGGAAGGAATCGGTTTTGTCCGTGTGCATTTCGACTTTGATGCGCATCCCCTGGATGGGCATCATTGATGTATTTGACACGCATATGACTGCTTGGAATGTTTCACCGACGGAAACAGAGCCAAATGATGCTGGTAGTAAAAGCTGGTCCGTGTAAGAGACATCGCGAGCAGTGATCGGGGCATTCGTAAAGATTTCATCACTTCCACGCGCATACGTGGACTTGATCACATCCCAGATATGTGGATCAAGGTATTCCACACATTCTTGTCTATGTGGTGTGTTGTTGTGGTCGGACGGTTCATCTACAACGCCACTTTCCATGCACGTCTCGAACATGGGCACAACACGCGAGGCTAGCGATGGCGTTGCTATGCGCATGACCTTGACGGAAAGAGGCGGCGTGTACGGCTCATCGGGAGGATTCATGAACGATCAGGTCTCGAAACCTGGACTGCCTTGATCGGCCTGCTTGTGGGGCAAGCACGTTGAAACCGAAAGGACACAATGGGACGAGGAACTGTGCTAGCGACGCGATCCATGGTTGGGCACTTCCTCCACTTGAAGGTGACACAACACATGCATTTGAATGAGGGGTGCCTGCCTGTCTGGGCTTTTTATGTGGGCCACATATGGGAAGTAGGACTTTCGCGACACTGACCAACGCGTCCGCCGGCTTGCAACAAAGTGGATGTGGAGAACGCCATGAGCATGCCACTCGACTGCAGCGCTGTCAGCAACGGAGATGTCGTTGGGGACGTGGACAAGGTTGAATTGACGCCTTCTTGGATGTTGAAGTCATCAGCCACTCTGTCACTCGAGCTTGTGGCCGCCCGGCACGACGAGAACGTCGAGAAGGATGCGATGCGACTTATGGAAGATCTTGCATGCAATGCTGAACGAATCCCAGCGCGTGACATGGTCATTTCCCTTGCAAAATATGTGCCAGCCCTGAATCTTGACATTCAGCTTGATGCCCTGGATACAGCACAATGGCAAGACCCATGGTGTCGACCGGTGCTTACACGCCGCGCCGAGGACTTGCTTGAGGCAACCGACGTGACGTATGACGATGTGACATGTATTCTCACAGAGTATATCCGCCCGATTTTCCAGCAGCAGCATCGGGACAAGCACTCATATGGCCAGCGGGCAGCTTCTCATCTGAGGGAATGGAAGGATGATACAGACATGCCAGCATGGACTCGTACTGAGCCGAATAGTCACGGCCATATTCCTATTGGGTGTCATAATGTACTAGCCTGGCTCATATCCCAGCTAAACAGGCTGACTTCTTCTTCGTCTTCTTCACATGCGCCATTGCCTGGTCTTACCTCTGCGGCGAAAGAACCGCTCCGCACCAGTCGTGAATGGGACCAGGTGTGGCCGCTCGTTCTGCCTCCCGTGATCACTTGGCTCGATACGCCCAATCCGCGTGAAAAGATTCTAGGTGCATGCATAGCGCAGCGTCTGATACGCTTTGCGCCACCAGCGCTCCTCGTCCGCACAGGCATTGATCGCTTGCTTCGTGAATCGGTATCGCGGATGCTCTCGTTCATGACCGACGCACACCGGGGACCCTTGGTGTTATGTACGGCTATGCAAGGACGCCTTGCTTTGATTTCTCGCTTGCCTATGGATCATCAATTCGATGCACAGGCTAGCCTGTTCTCTGATGCTGTTTTGACGGCCTTGTCATATTGTGCGCCTGCATCTTCATCGACGCAGGCACTTCTTCCAGTTGACAGTACACGAACGGCTACGTTGAGTAGTCCAAGATTGCAACAAGCCCTGGCTTACACTGCGTGCACATGCGCACAGAGCTTGCTTTGTCGGATGGGTGAGCCATCACTTCGATTCTGGAATGCATGGATGGACTGGGCCTGTGCATGGCTCGAGCATGCACTGGGTGCCGTACATGCGCCGTTTCCTGTCCCTTCAGCGTATGCCTGTCCTGCACGACCCATGAGCGACATGGTCGATGAAATCATTGAGCATGGCCACCTCAAAAGCGACTCGCATGGACCACGATCCGCAGTGAGCGACTGGGTCGATGCTGGGCGCGTGCTCTTACATAGCCTGCACGCTTGTGTGCAGGCCACACAGACTTTGGTTGAGTACGCGACGGACGCCACCGTCGTGGATACCCCCCTGCCGACGCATGCGCCAGGACTTCGCGTGTGGATGCCGCGTCTAATGGCGGCCGCATGCAAATGTTCTATACGTTTACAGGACCTTGACATCCAGGAACCGCCAGTCGTACATACACGGGCCAGCACACTACTTGCATCTCTACAAACGCTGTGTTACACCATACTTCGCACAGATGACAGTTTCTACACGGTACGTATGTGCCTTGCACGTGAGGACGATCTTCTATATGAACGTGCGCCACCGAGCTTGTACACATACTGACCAAGGAATGGAATGGTGTAGGTAGCCGCGACGCTGCAATCGTATGCGCCAAACCACCTTGCCTGGCTCACGTTGCCGGTAGTCGTAGCTGAGCAAGGCACGTGACATGACACATCCACTTTTTCTACCATGACTCGTGGTGGCCAGGCTAGAGGCGGAGGAGCCCGTGGCGGGCATCGTGGCGGCGGCAATCGCGGGAGTAGCGGACATCGGCGCGGTGGTCATGGTATGCCGGGTCATACACGCGGTGGACGCGCCTCGGGCCAGTCCGCTGCGCCCGCGGCATCTACAAGCAAGACAGAGAACCATAGTGCGGTGAACCATGAAGCAGGTACGGCTGACGAGGCACAGCCAGCGCTGCAAGCGAAAGATGCAGGGACCGCGGCCGATGATGGCGCAGACACTGCTGAAGCAGGCCACGACGAAGAGGACGAGCGCGATATCTGCTTCATCTGTGCCGAATATGTTCAATTGTACAGCCTGCCGCCCTGTGACCACCGCGTGTGCCACATTTGTGCCATGAGACTCCGAGCCTTGTGGAAGAAACGTGAGTGCACGTTTTGCAAAGGCGATGCTACGCGCGTAATCTTTACGCCCAATGACACGAAGAGCTACGGCGCTTACACGCCTGACGAGCTGCCGTTCGTGGACGAAAAGCTGTCCGTCTACTTTGAGAATCGGCAGGACTATGAAGACACGCTCTCGCTCCTGCGCTTCAACTGCCCCAACACAAAATGCGAGGCGATGTGCTCAGGCTGGTCAGATCTAAAGGGCCACGTGAAACGGGAGCACTCGCGTCTTCTGTGTGAGCTGTGTATCAGACACAAGAAGATCTTCTCTCATGAGCATTCTCTTTTCACGGCAGCGTCATTGCAGGCGCATTTGTCCAGCGAGCACCGCTACTGTGAGTTCTGTCATCAACACTTTTACAGCGATGACGAGCTCTGGGTCCACATGCGTGATCGGCACGAGCAGTGCCACATCTGCAAGGCACGCAGCGAGGAAGAGCGCTGGAACTACTATCGCGACTACGACATGCTGGAGCAGCATTTCCGCAAGGAGCATTACTTGTGCCTAGCGCGCGACTGTCTCGAGACCAAGTTTGTTGTGTTTGAGAATCAGATGGAGCTGCAAGTGCATCAGGTCGAAGCGCATGGGCACACACTATCGAATCGAGAACGTCGTGATGCTTTGCGTGTCGATACTAGGTTCATGTATGACGATGGCGGCGCAGGTGGTGGAAGTAGCAGCTCTGGACGGCGTCCTGCGCGCGGCAAGAAACCGGCCAACGCGACTCAAGCAAGTGTGAATATCAACGCCAACACGCCCTCGACATCCACACAGCGTCGCGCACAGTTCGGGCGCTCACTTACGACAGCGAGTGGGGGTGGTCAAGATGGGTCGAACGAGCCTAGCGAGGACGACCGGTACTGGAGCACCGTGCTAACGGTGCTAAACGACTCAAAAATCAAGCTGACGTCTTGCAAAGCGGCCCTACGAGCCTATAGTTTGTCGGAAACAAATGTCCACGATCTGCTCAAGACACTCACGAACCTTACTGGTGACAGTGCCCATTCAATGGATATCGGTACAACTGACCTGGTCGTTCAGAGCATGTGTGAAATGCTCAAGCATACGGAGAAACGCTCAGAACTCCTAGCAGCCTGGACAGCCATCAAGGAGGAACACGCTCCGTTTCCAAGTCTACCGGCATCGCAAGGCCCACACTCCGTCCGCTCACTCAAAAGTGCTGCTTCCGGCAACGCACGCGTGTGGAACAGCGTGGCTCGTGCAGCTTCGTCTGCTCCCTCTGCCTCGGCTTCATCGTCGCACCGTATGCCTGCACGCACGCCGGACCATTTCCCCACTTTGAGCAGTGCGAATGCTTCACGCGTGCCTGGCTCTGCTGCTCACACACGTGGCGTTCAGCGGCGCGTCAACACAGCCGCGGGATCAACTCCATGGAGTGGCAGTGGCAATGCTGGCAGCAGCGGCAGTGGCACTCGTAACAGCTCTGTGATGTCACCGGTTGCATTTCCTCCGCTTGGTAGTGGTCCTGTCCAGCGCACGCCACAGAGCGTGCATGTATCGAGTATGAGCAAGTCGAAAACGCCCGCACTTCCTGCGAATCATTTCCCCAGCTTGCCGACATCGACCGCGCATGCCGAGCGACAGGCCCAGAAACGCGAATTGTTCAGTCAGCCGCGAGTAAATCCGCTCGTGCCACAGGCACCGCCGACTCGTTGGGGTTCGGGTCCCTCTTTGTCATCGTCACCGGCCGGACAAGAAGCATTCCCCGCTCTCGGTGACGTTCGTGCTTCCTTGCCGGACTCGAATGATGCGCTCGCCAGTTCCAGTGCCGGGAGCGGAAAGCAGCGGCGGCGTAAAGGTGTATTGCTGTCATCCGTGGGATCCATGCATCGCATGTAAGTACTGGAAAGTCGGTCGCCCAGTCTCTCTCTTTCTCTCTTTCTCTCTTTCTCCCTTTCTCTCTCTCTCTCTCTCTCTCTCTCTCTCTCTCTCTCTCTCTCTCTCTCTCTCTATCTCCTTTCCTGCCGCAAACCCTCCCACAAGTCCCTACTCAACTCTCGTAGGTTTACTTCGACGATGGATGCGCTTCTGGACCATGTGTTTCTGTGGTATGAGCCGGCCTCTCCTCGCCCTCAAGTATGGCGGGTGCACCTGCTTGTGTAACGAGATCAGAAAATTGACCCCATAGTGCAGTGATAGACTCAAAGCCCTTGCCAACAGAAACATGTTCTTCCAACTTTCGGTTCACAGCATTCGTTGACGCAATGATCGTCTCGATATTCTGACGTGAGACTTTGTTTTTCACGTACATTTGTCATATCTGAGATCAAGCGCTCACGCTCACGCAAGTAGAATGAGCGCGGCTCGGCATCTACGGATGAAGTCGCCATACTACGCGTCGAGAGCTTGGCAAGCGAAGCTCACGAGCGTACGCGCGTCAGCCAATGTTGCCGACAACACACGCGCTGGAACATGTGTGTGGATGTATCACGTGATTTCGGTGCGCCACAGAAACTGAATGAACTGACGATGGTTCGGTGAGGAGAGGGAGCGTGGAGCTATGGATGAGTGGGGGCAAAAAGCTGCGAGATGTCAACGGCAGACGTGAGCGAGAATGACGTACCTTGTTCCGGAACTCGTCTGGCTTGTCATTCGCACGAATCCGGCCAGGAGCAGCGACGTCAGCATGGGCGATGGGTATGTGAGCCGAGGAGCCGCTGCGCTTTTGCATTGTAATGAGCTAGAGAAAGCATGAGTCGACGAGTCGCGGAAGTAAAGAAACAAGAGGAGAAAGGGTATGAACAGAAGAATACGTACACGACGACTCCATCTGCCAAAGTTCTGAACGCTGTGAGCCACAAGGTCAAAGTGATCATGCTGTGGAATAGCCGTTTCGGCATGGTCCTCATTCATCGTGGGCAGCCAAAAAACGAGGCGACCGCCGGGTAAAAGCAAAGCACTTGCGTAGGCCAAGAGATCAGTGATAAGTTCAGATAGATGGTACGGTTTCGTGGGCGGCACATAGTCGGGAAGTCTGCAAGGCAGGTTAGCAAGTAAGCGAGTGAGAAGTCGCGCGCAAGATACATGTGGTATACATACATATGAGAAGGTGTTCCATCTGGCATGATAAAAGGTTCGTCTCGCTGTAGCTCGATATTGCGTTTTCCAAGCCTTTTCGCGCCAGCACGAACACCATACGGGGCTGAAAAAAATATAGCGGGGGAGTTGGTGTCAGAAGCAGTGCACAAACATCAATACATACGATCCGTCACGATGGCATCGAAAATGCCCACATCACCGCGGAATGGTGTGCGCCACGGCGCACGGGTCATGTCGAAGACAGCCGTATCGATTAGGCGGCCCTGAATGCCATACTGTTTAGCACTTTGTACGATACCCGAATCCTTCTGAGATGGATTCTTGCCACGAAGCATGCGGCCATCAATATCACTGCCAAAAGAAAAGGCACCGAAGATCGAGCATGCGTACAACATAGAGCCTGTTCCGGCGAAGGGATCGTATACAAACTTGCCAGGGCCAGCAAGAGCCATATTGGCCATGATCACACTCATTTCACTCTCCATGCTCGTGTTGCCAATGTACCGCCTCTTTTTTAGATTTAGCACATCAATCAGATCGCGCGCAGGCATCGCGCCTGACCTATCCTTGATTTTTCGCCCGAGAAAAAGCTGTAGGAGCCGTGGATCAGAGTCGCCCAGCTCAGCAGGTGCATCCTGCGCTTCAGCCTCTGGACCTTCAGCGGGCACGTCGTCGCTCGGCCGCCTGTATTCTTCCAGCACGCCCCACGTCAAGTCGGCACCGCGCATGCGAACGGGACCCTCTAATCCCATGTAGGCAAACGACTCGATCAGCGAAAGGCGCCGTTTTTCAGGCAACGCGGCATGGAAGCCCTGCATGAGCGCTTTCCATGAATACTCGCTAGACTGCCAGGGGACGTACATACGGGCCTCTTGATTACGCAAATGCAGTTCGCCATATGTATCAGCACAAGCCCACAGCTCCCATATGGCGCGAATGCAAGAACATCTGTGAAGAAGGGCCTTTGCGGCTTCATCAGACGGCAATTTGCACAAGTGGAAGGGCCGCGATACGTCATCCGTCACGCCCACGGGATCACGGCGAGAGGGTGTGCGGAGAAGCTCGTAGTCCATCCCCAGGTATGCGGCACTGGCCTCGATCTCGGGCAAACGGAAATCCGTGTGCGAGTGCGCACAGTGCAGGACGTATACGCGACCATCAAGCATGCTGAACGACCGCGCGTTGGATGCCTGAATGTTAGCGAGGACGCAACGTCGACATATACTTGTCTCCACCTCCGTGCCTGAAGAAATTTAGGGTCATTTTTGTGTTGGTCGCAGGCTAGGCGCAGGCGCCTGTCCCTCCACCCAACATATATGCTTCGACCAAGTCGGCGGGGACTGTCCTTGTGAGGCGCGACGCGCGTCCCACACTGTCAGACGCTCATTCTCATGCATGTGTGTGCGTGGGCGGCCAAAGCAGTACGATGGAGACTGGGCAGAACATACATGATGGGCTGTCGACGTATCAGTGCTGCCGCGTCTGAGTTGATACGCATGCAAGATATGATGGAGCATATGTCGATGGCTACGCGGCAAAAGGACAAGTGCTCGATTTTGATCGAGTACGCGGACCTCGAGCCTCTCTTGCGTCTGTATGTACGAGCTTGCTGCCGTGCATATTTGGTAACACAGCAGTCTGTATCTTGAACATACGCGGTTTCAGCTTTCATCCCACACTTTGAAGAAGTATCGTGCCCATGCACGTCCTAATCCAGCGACCCGTCCTGCTCAAAAGAGGAGCGTTCCGTCCAGCCTGCATGGTCTCTTTTCTTGTTTAGCGCAGGGGCACATTCGCGGGCACCATGCATGCCAGCTTGTGGATGATTTCATCGTGCAGAATCGCATCGACGAGCAACATGCCATCGATGTCCAGCATGCTCGTCCATGCACAGTGCTGGATGTACTGTACCGATGCCTGGACCGACATTTGCGGATGGGGCTGTCTACACAGTCGCTTCGGCGTTTTCTGTCGTCCAAGGAACCAACACACTACTCGCCAGCGGCGTTGTTTCTCAGCGAGCTGTACGAGACAGGATGCATCACACGCATGAACATGCCGGTGGCCCTGGCTCGGTCCTGGGACGCGGCAACGTGCCCACCTACTTCCTCGGCCTGGTATGCAAGCAGGAAATTGGATGGCGTGCGGTGTGTGGCTGTGATTGGATGTGCACCGCCAAGTCGTATACAGAGCGTGCACTTGCTCTCGCGCACAGGACGCAACTTTGGCTCGTTGCGCACACTTCAAGATGCCTTTGCCAAGGTCCTTGAAGCATGTCCACACATGGCGCAAATACGGCTGGAGCCTGAATCGAAACCGATGACCTGGGTGTTGGACGGTGAGCTTTGTGTCATTGATGAAACACAGTCTCCATTTCGCGAGAGTTTCGTGCGAGCCATGTCCCAGCTGCAGCAGCATCCGAGCTCGACGGACGAGTGCGTTGCGACGGATCTGGTGTACTTTCCGTTCGATATGCTCACACTGGACGAATTTACTATGGGAGCCAAGGAGATACGACGCTATTCTGCGCGTCTAGCCCATTTGCAACGTGTAGTATCGTGGGTTCATGCACGCCATCCGCGCGCGCCCATTCGAGCGTTGCCTCAGGTGCGTATCGATGCTCAAGACACACTGGACAGAATGCTCCGCGATGCCGCGCATTGGGAAGGCATCATGCTCAGAGAGGACATGCCATACGAGGGCCGACGCACACACTCCATGCGAAAGATCCGTCCGAAGCATGAGGGAGAATACCTTGTGCGGAATATCGAGATTCGGACCATGCGGCTCGCTTTGGATGGCACGTACGCTGATCGGCACGCCTTGGCCAGTATGTACATGCAGAAGCAGGGGAAGGGGGCGCCTTGCTGCGACGAGACGAGGGCGAGACTGACATGAACCAGCTGTTACGATCATGCATCGCGGCCGGCCCTTGACGGTGGGATCTGGGTTCAGCGCGCATGAGCGAGTGTATTTTGCTGCGCATCCGCACGACATCCTTGGACATGTGGTGACGGTGACATGTATGTACACAAAGGCCTTGGGTATATTTACACACAGATTATGATGAAGCACCGCAGCTGGACGACTCACGCGGACCCAGTCTACGATTTCCCGTCGTCAAGTATGTGTATGGCCAAGACGGACGTCCGTGGTAACAAAGACGACGAGAGGCACATGTATGAAATCAAAAGCAAGGAATCCTGCCGCGCGTCAGCGCAGCCCAACGAGCGAGCGACGTGTCTGCGCGGCACTTAGCCGAGATCGCCACTCATCCACGCGAATACTAGAAATCCGCACGCATAGGGCGAGAGCAATCGGTTGATGATCCACTGGCAGCGCATTGGCGAGCGCCTCACAGATGCGGTCGGCACATATGGCACGGCAGCTGACGTTGGATGAGCATGTCGAACAGGTGGTGCTGTGCCCCAGGGCCGGGGCGCTGACGGCTTGCATAGTTCAGGATACAAGAATGGGCGTACCATGTACGTATGCAAGAACAAACGCACTGGCGAAGACACCTGGCCCTCGGGCGCTGTCATGCGTGCGAAGCGCATGAGGCGTGATAGGGTTGAGCTCTGGAGAAACTTGCGTCGTGGCATCCGCTTGGCATTCACATGAACAGGACGCGCGGGAGCCGAGAACCGCAACGCGACGGCGGGGCATCGTCGGCGCAGCGTGCGGAGTGGTCGCTCGGCTTGAACGAAGCTGATGCGAGGCACATGCATTCGCACACGGACTGACCGCACATTGAGCGAGGATGCCTCGGAGCGGTAGTGCGTGTAGTGCGACGAAGTGCGATGGTGTCGCGAGGACGAGCCACGAGAGGCAAGGCGCCGCGACTGTGGCACGTACAGACGGTTCCACAGCACCATGCGCACGTATTCGACGGGTCGACTCACTATGCTGTAGAGCCATGCGCCAAGAGCACCACCCAGCACGAGTGTGAGCACTGCGGTTGTACGTCCAAAGACGGTGCGACTTGCACCGAAGCTCTGGTCCAACTGCTGCTGCTCGGCATTCTGCAGGCGCGGCGACGATCGCCGACGCACGACATGCACCCACTTGTCGACTTGGAGTGAGGCATGGTATGCACAGCGCCGAGCCCATTCGAAGGTGACAAAGAAGGCCGAGAAGCCCAACGCATCACGAATGAGCGAGAGGATCAAGCTCATGCCGTGCTTTCGACGTGCCAGCATGCGTACATGCTTCGGGAGGTACTGGAACAGGGCGGACGATGCGGTGGACTGAGACGTCGAGGATGTCGACGTTGGAGCAGATCCAGGTCCTTTTGTTGGCAACAGCCGCTCAAGTCGGCGAATCGCTAGGTTGTACCAGCGTTCCGGCAGAAACGGTAGCACAGCCGCCTCCATGATGGTCTGCCAGGTCCGAAACGGCGCACGCACAAGCGACAGGGACGTAGTACGATGCCCTGTATCGTGGATAAGGAGCGGCTGCACAACGAGACGGATGTTGTCCAGGGGTGCGGATATCACGCACTGAGCAGCGCCTGCCGCGGCGCCAGCGATCGCTACAATCACCGTGGGCGTAAACGGATGCGCTGCAGTGTCGGCCGTGCCGTCCGTGAAGTTGGTCGTCAGCACATGCTCGGTCATAGTGTACGTCTGAAACAATGTAAATCCAATAGCCAAGTTGGCCAGCATAGGCGGCACGACCAGGGAGAGAAGCAGGGCTGGGCGCTCGTGCCGGAGTAGTCGGCCCAGGTACGGCACGCCCAGCTTGTTGCCCTGTCTCCGAGCCATCATCTCAAGGAGCGAAAACGTCGAAAAATGCATGGGACGAAACAGTCTGACAGGCCGCTGGAATAGGAATGCCAATGTGCTCACACACATACGTGCGAACGCACTTGCCATGGAGTCGACGCGACTAGGCATTTCATACTCTTCATGCTCGTCATCCTCCGACAGCATCGAATTGTCGCCAATCGACAGCGCGAAAATGCGCGCTACCGCGTCTGCATTTTGCTGACTCGCACTCTGTCCTTGCTTGCCGGCGTCGTCGCTGGCCCTGCCCAGGCTTGAGAGCCAGGCCAGCATCGTGTTGTGTGCGAGTCGTCAGGAGCGACCGAACACCTGCGTCTCGTGCCACGTGCTACCCTCCATCACGCTCTGGTGCCACGCCAACCACTGGCATTAGCCGCTTCGTTCCTTGCGCCGATGCCCTGCTTACACGGCAAGGTTGCGCGGTAGCTGCACAGCCGATCTGAGTCGCACCGATCAACGAGCGGACATGATCCATGCCAAACTATCTCTCTCTCTTTCTCGTTCTCTTCGTCTACTAGATCCCTATCGCCAGCTTGTCGACACGAGCATGGCCAACGTCTGTAATGCATAATACTTGACATTGTCGTCCGCATGCTCAACAAGGTTCATGATGGCCAGCTTCGCTCCAAGCGCATCAACACGGCGACGACCTCCTTCCATATGCTGCACAAACTTGCCCATGTCAGAACACGCAGCTGCAAGTGTGGTCGAGTCGGACGACTCGGACGTCAGCAACGACACAAGCTGCTTCAGATCCGTATTGTTCTGCTCTGTGAGCTTCTCTGCATTTTCCTTCCAAAAGTCTTCGAGCGAGTGCGCCGGATTATCAAAGCTCATATGCCCGCTATACAGTTCCGACTTGTACTGCTCGTACGAGCTCATCTGCTCGAGACGTTGTGAAAGGACGCGCTGCACATACGCGAGATCCTCCTGCAGTTCGCCATCTGGATACCGGCGCTCCTGCAGCGTGTCACATAGTGGCAAGACCTTTGCGCCCAGCAGCCGCATGGCATTCTCTTCTTCCGATGCGTCGAGCATATTTCGCCAAATAGAGACAACGAGGCGCACCACCTTGTTTTTCAGCGCCTTCTGGGCAACATGCACCAGGACAGAAGCGACGCCAAAATGCAGTTCAAGGCCCTGCGCCGCTTCTTCGAGGAACGTCAGCTCCCACAGTGCAAAGAGTGCGAGGTAGTGCAGCTGCGGCACACCTGTGTTGCCACTAGCGCGCGACGATGCGGTGTTGGACGCCATCGACATGCGCAGCACACCCACGAGCTGCGCAATGAGCGTGTCCGAGGCGCGTTGAGACATGTTGGCCTCCGTGTCCCTATGCCAGATCATCTCACGCACATGCGCTGAACGCATCAGTTCGCCGACCATGCACAGCAAGATGGGTGCCACATTGCCATTGGCGCCATCATCAGCTAACTCTGTCGCCGTCGCATTCGCAAGTGTCCGTTTGATGTGCTTCACGAGCTTCTCGACAACGTCCGCCGGCGGAGCGTCGTAGGAAGACGCCTGCTGCGTCTGCTTGCATATACACAGGGTGAGGAACTGGGCTGCTTTGAGAGAGACAAATACATCATTGACTTCTAGCGCATGAACAAGCGCCGCATATGGCTCAGCTTCGACGAACCATTCCACATGCTTAGGCGCTGCCTGCATGAGATCATCCACCAGCAGCAGGACTGACTGAATCGTGTCGGGGCGACTGAGCTTGCCAAGCAGCTGGATATAGAGTCGCGCGTACTCAGGGCCCTTTTGCACGACTGCTTCCATTTGACCCTGCTGCCCTGCCCGCTCTGCGGCCCGAAGCATTGGCAGTTCATTGGCTTTGACTAGATCCGCCCGTTGAAAACCTTCCCAGGGCGTCTGACGCGCACGGAGCCTCGTGCTTACATCGCGCAGCCACTCATTCTCTATCGGAAGCAGCTGCGAGGTCGAGAACGCTACTGCGTCCTCACCGCCGGCCTTTGGTGACATCAATCGTAGGAGGCGGCGAACTATTTCCGCACCACGCACGTTTCGTGCTCTTGTATTTTTTTGGTGTGCGTGTGTGTGTGTGAGTCGAAGCGCCGATCTGAGCGGGGGGAACGGCTGCGTGAACGACCGACGACGGTGCGTGCGATGGAGCCCGTGCCACTTCGCATCACGTGGAGCCACGTGGATCTATGGCGAAGGAATATCCATCGCCATCGCTCGCTTGAAACAGATGAATTTCTCTGCACGCGCAAGTGGTTGTCGAGGCGAAAGAAGACCCACACCCCTTTCACCCACCCTCCCAAAGAAAAGGAAACAGTCAAGCGTCGCCCTTACCTGTGTGTGCAGCACGATGCGTGTTTCGTGGGCCGATGCATCATGCGCGGCGCGCACCATGCGAGCAGGACGACGCACTGCATACCTGTCACGCGCAAGCTTTAGCTCGAGTGCCTGGTGTTACAGGCAGGCCAAGCCCGGCAAAGTTCCACTTCAGTCAGCTCTATTGGTGTCACGACCGCCGGTTCTTCTCCGTGAGCCCAGCACCTTTGAACGCGAGTATTTCCGTTTCAATACCGAACTCTCACACAGGATTCAACAGCCATTTGCTCGCGAGCACTATTTCAAAAAAGGGTCATCCGCCGAGGCGCGTTTCGATGAATATTACGCGCAGCTGCAAAAGACGTGGGACGGCGATGCACTGATCAGATCGCATTCGGAAGCTGATGCAGCAGCTGCGACTGCCTCTGCGAACGCTAATGCCGACGTGAATAAGAGCGCGAATGCGCCGGCAGCGGGTGGTGAATCGGACCTCTTTACCACGATGCCTCGCACAACCGCCGCTGATGCACAGAATGACCAACGGAGCTTGGAGCGCGCTTTGGATCGGACACTGTACCTGGTCGTTCAGCGTGCGACAGGCCAGGATCATCTACCCCAGTGGCATCTTCCGACCAAACGCCTGCCACAGCCTCGCACACCCACTGACTCACTCCATGAGTCTGGCTTGGATGCTGTGCGCGAGCTGCTTGGAGCTACCATGGACATTTGGCTCGTAAGCAGACTCCCCATCGCTATGATTCCCCATGCAGCTGGTGCAAAGGTTCGTATATGGGCGTGCACAGCACCTTGTTCCTATCAACTGTGAGCGTACTAACCTACCGATGCCAGACCTATGTGCTCAAGGCACACGTGCTAGCTGGCCATCCTGCCCCTATTGAGGGTGTTGACTATGCATGGCTTACTCGAGAGGAAATCGAGCAGCGGCTCAGTGAAGAGGGCGGCGCCGATGCAAAAGCATACACTAGCATTGTCATGGACTTGCTCGATGCATAGTACACAACGTCATAGTATGATGAGTGCGGAGATCCGTTGGCGGACACGCGAGCAGACTTGACTATTCGCATGCGAATCTCTCTAGCACCGTGCACTTCGCCTGAAGTACGAAGGCTCGCTCTGTCCTGCGTGCCCACACGTGGCAGGCCACGCACAATGCTATGTTATGTCCTTGCTCATGGAGAACAGTCTACCTTGCTTGTCGCTATGCATGGATCATATCTACAGGAGGCAGATACATCACAACACGTCTCAGAGCAAGGTGTGTACCTTTCTACATTCCAGAAGCCTCGGATGTGCCAAAGGTGCGCTACAGAGGACGTAGGTCACTTTGACGACGTGGCACGAATCTCAGCGAAGCCGGGCGTGTCCGCACAAAGTTCGGGGATGGCGCAGGGGGTTATTGGGAGGCTGCGCGCCGCTTCTACCCTAGCGGAGAGGGGAGAGGGGAGTGCGTTGAGTTGTGGAGTGGATAAAATCGGCCGAGTCCAACGTTACTTTGACTTACCATGTCAGCGATGGCATCCGCTGGCGATGGTGGCGACACAGCGATGCCGCCTGTTGACTCGTCGACTGCGGGCGAAGCGAGCCCGGCAGATCCTTGTTTTACAAGTGCGTCAGCACGCCGCTTCGATCGGCGTCTTGCGACACTAAAGAACCATCACTTGCACTCTTTGCATGCGATCCGGCATTTCCTCCGCACACACAGCAGCTACGATGTGCTTCCCGTGTCATTCCGCCTCGTTGTTTTGGACACACAACTGAGTATCAAGTCGGCCATCGACGTCATGTTCCAGTCAGGTACGTGTTGATATGGGCGTGTACGAATGCCCAACGCACTACGGTCGGTCAATGCTAACAGCATGGCAGGTGTAGTCTCTGCGCCACTCTGGCGGTCGACCCTGAACGAGGACACACTGGATACATCCAAGCGACCTGGATTCGCAGGCATGATCACTGTGAATGACATCATCCATCTGATCCAGTACTATCATTACACGGCGGCTAATTATGACACAGCCAAACTGGATGTAGAGACGTTGCGTCTCGAGCGACTCAGAGAAATTGAGCATGCACTGAATGTGCCGCCACCACCGCTCCTGTGGATTGGGCCATTGTCGCCGCTGACAGAGGCTGGTGAACTGCTTGTTCGTACGCATGCACGGCGCTTACCGCTCCTCGACTACAACGAAGATCTGCGTGTGGAGTCAGTGCTGAGTGTCTTGACGCAGTACCGCTTGCTGAAGTTTATTGCCATGAACTGCCGCGAGACATCTGGCCTCAAGGCCAGCATCGGCTCTCTAGGGATTGGCACCTACACGTATGCACACCAGCTCGAGCGGAAGCAGCGGACTCCGCATGCTCGGCTGCGTATGCAAAGCGAGACGCCACCACCACCTGATGCCGGGCCTTTCTGGCCCCTGCTCACTGCGACGCTTGATACAACCGTCTTTGATGTTGTGCACATGTTCAGCGATAATGGCATCAGTGCCGTGCCGATCATCGATGACGAAGGCGACGTCGTTGACATCTACGAGTCGGTTGATGTGATGACGCTGCTCCGAACAGGTGCCTATTACCAACTAGATCTGACCATCCGCCAGGCGCTGGAGCGCCGCCCCGCAGACTACGCCGGCATTGTATGCTGCTCGTCTGATGACTCACTCGCAAGCATCTTTACTGTCCTGAAGCAGCGCCGCATGCACCGAATGCTTATCATCGATCCTGTATGTACAGAGAGCGAGCCGCCGACACCTAATACGTCGACGGAGTCACTCGTCGAGGAAAATGTCGCGTCGATTCCGCTGTGTCCTAAGAGCCGTCTTGTTGGCGTGCTCAGTTTGTGTGATGTGCTGCGTTATATCATCGGCCAGCCGACGCAACCTGTGGATGTAACACCACTTCCCGGCTCCACATCCGACGCTCATTTCCCTCCCTCTATTTCCCACACGGCCTCGGTCTCTGCCTCTGTCTCTGCCTCTGCCTCTGCCCCTACTTCATCCACAACTACATCTATGACTTCATCCACTAACACATCTACGCCCATGCCATCGTCATCGTCTTCCACCACGTCCCCATCTCCTGACATGGGGTCTGTTATGAAAACCGGTACCGACACCGACACCGACGCCGAATCCGGCGCGAACGCTCAGACTTTTGTCCCTTCAATGATGAACAGATCGCCTAGTGAGAGCTCTGGCTCTAGTGTTGCAACCACGACTTATGCTGGCCACATACCCCAAACTACGCCATTTTCCTAGATACGTGTATAGGCAGACACGATCGTTTGTACGCCACCTTCAGACTGCGAGGAGCTTGTCGCTGACATGGCCGCGGTCGTCGAGGCCGATGGAGGGCCCACGACATCTTCTACAACGGCTCGCGGCGCATGCACATCGCCATCCATCACGGTCTCGTCTGGTAAGTGCCCCAGTCGGTACACTTCGCGACGGAGCCAGCGAGTCACCCGCTCTAGATGCTGAGGAAATAACAATTCTGCACGCGCTTCGCGTTGTCCATCTGTCTTGTCTTGGGCCATCAGGGCATCTTGATCCACGGTATAGTCAGGTACAGCATCTTCATGATCGCTGTGAGCTTGGTTGTCCGCCACTACTTTTCCGTCCTTATCGGTCTCATTGCTCGGTTGGCGGCCACTGGCTTGCAAGGTGTTGTGTTGTGACTTCTTTGTGCTCAAGCTCGGCGCCTTGCGCTTGACACCGCCAATGACGCCCCAGCCACCACCCCACACATTTCGCCAAATGGCTGCCGACAATCGAATATCATCCGTTGCCAGTCCTTCTTCGTATGCAACAGTAGATCCACGGTGTTGCAGGTGCAGGTCTTTCATGTACCCCTTCACCAGGCGTGACGTCTGAACACCAAAGCGTTCTCTCATCCGAGACTCGGTATCTATGAAAAAGTGGTTGATCAACTCCTGCGAATACGTTTTGGCCTCCTGGGATGGAAGCGCGCGGATTCGACTCAGCAGGAGAAACACATGCAGATTCGTCAGTTGAAACCATGTTTGGAACGATGCTGGTAATGCACACTCCTTATACCAGAAGTGAGCTTCCGCCTGTGCGCGCATCGCTGCTCGGTCGTACAAATCACCCGTCACTTTGATGGCTTTGCTGCGCACAAAGTTGTAGCCAAGCAAGCGCCCCGTTCCCTTGACAAGGGCCACTGTGAGCGGGCTGTACTTAGTTTTGCTAGGCGGTGGCGTCGGTGGCGAGAGCGGCGCGAGATTCCGGCGCAGCAAAGAGTCTCTTGGTCTCCGCTTATCACCTGCAGAGCTAGAGGAGCTCGCACGCCATGTAATAGTTGGGTGTTGCGACGGCAGCCGCGTGAGCGACGTTGAAGCTCGTGCAGCATGCTTCCATACACATGGAGTAGGCGACATGCTGGCAGTCGTGTCTCACACGTGTGGGCTAGGTCAAAAGTTCTTGCTCAACCCACTTACGCACGCGACAACACACCAGGGTTACGCTCCCTGCCTGGCTGCCCACGAGAAACTGCTCCTTATCTCCAAGTTCTGTCTGACTGCGAATTTCGGTTTGCGACGTCGCGATCAGCCTCCAATCACAAAGTATTACACGTGACGAGTTATCTCTGTGTGGAGGCTCGTGCCTCTTATTGTCAAACTCCGCCCCTCATGGCGACAAGAATTCGAGTGGTGGGAAGCGGAGTACGTCGTTCCTGTGGAGCAGAAGTGCCATGTTAGCCGCGCCAATGCAGGAAGGGGACGGGCGGCGGCGGAGTGTGTTTCGTCCCTGCATAGATTTGCACAATGGAACTGTGAAGCAGATCGTCGGTGGCACGCTGCGTGACGCCCAAGATGGCTCTGGCGGCGATGACCCACACGCGCTAACGACCAACTTTGTTGCGACGCACCCGCCTTCGTACTATGCGAAACTCTATGCTCGCCACAACTTGCGTGGTGGCCATGTCATCAAGTTAGGACCAGGAAATGATGAAGCTGCTGCATCTGCTCTGCAAGAATGGCCAAATCACTTGCACATTGGTGGCGGGATTCACCTTGATAATGCGGCGTCATGGATCGAGCGTGGTGCTGAGAAGGTTATTGTCACTTCCTACCTGTTTCCAGAATGCCGCTTTTCTCTTGAGCGTCTGTTAGCGCTCGAAAAGCGCGTAGGTCGTGAGAGACTTGTGGTCGACATCAGTTGTCGACGGCGCGGCTCGGAGTGGATTGTCGCTATGAATCGTTGGCAGGACCTTACAGACATGCGCGTTTCCAAAGGTGCGTATAAGAGAGAGAGAGAGAGAGAAAGAGAGAGGCTGACACTGAGTCACAGAGTCTATAGAGCTTGTATCTTCTCACTGCTCGTATGTGTACAGTGTAAAACAATCTAACTATCGCAGCGAACTGCTCATTCATGCTGCAGACGTGGAAGGACTTTGCCGTGGAATTGACCATGATCTAGTGCAGAGACTCGGCGACTGGTGCACAATTCCTACGACCTATGCTGGTGGCGCACGACACATAGCCGATCTCGCATTGGTCAATCAACTCTCGCGAGGAAAAGTCGACGTCACATTCGGTAGCGCACTGGACATTTTTGGTGGATCAGGTGTCAAGCTCGATGAGCTAGTTGCCTGGAATGCCCAAGTCCTCAGACCAACGCAACAGGGATCCTGAATAAACATACTATTATACGTCACGTATCACATAGTATATGGAGCTGGCATCAAAGGATATGATCGTGACAGTGATGGCGCACGCGTTGTCACTCGTCATCGAGCGGGCGTGTGAGACATTGGAGCCTCGAATCGTACCGGGGCTTTATCTCTTGCAGGCCGACCGACGCTACTTGTCGTGCACGCTGACAGACAAGCGGTGAGTTGGTTTCGCGTGGGACTCACGTGATCGGACCGTACGCGTCGTCGCTCATACATCAGTTTCTATTGCGTCGTCGCCCATTGAATCAGTCACGCCGATCGGCAACGCAGCGCACAGGATGGAAGGGCTGCCAACATCCTTGGGCGCGTCATCGACGCTGCCGAGCATGTCGCTCTCGGATATTTTGCAGCAGTCACGAAAGCTTACGAACCAACTGGGACGCGATTCGGACCTGCCGGCCATTCAGCTGGGCATTGACCAAATTGAGAGCCAGAGCCGCAAGCTCGTCAGCAAGAGTGTACGAAGTGGGAATCCATCCGCAGATGCACGCGCACACTACCTTCTTGCGAGCGGTGGCATCGATGCGACACAACTGTCGAATGCCATCCAACAAACGAACATTGCCAATACCTTTGAGCCATTGCAGCCAGTCTTCGACACGGACATGGAGGGCTTTCTTCGACACGAGCACGAGCAAGTGATTCTCAGCATGATTGAGGAAGGCCGTAGGGATGCGCAGGACGACTTTCAGCAGGGACTGAGTCGTAGTCTACACAGCGATTGGCAGTCGCGTAAGCAGAGGATTCTTGAAGAACTTGGACAACACCGCACATCGGATGAAGCCAATATCTCACTTCGTCGATCTACGCTTGGCATGTCGGCTTCCATGACTGATGCGCCCATGACTCCAGCAGCAAGTCGGGGAACGAGCGATGCTTCTGTCATGCAGCACAGTCGCACGATTCGCTACGACACGGTCATGGCGAGACTGAATCGCGCACGTTTGGACGGTACTACTATGCCTCTGATTCACGCGTTGATGGAGACAGTAGAGTCGTTTACACAGGATCCTGCGCGGAAACGTGCACTCCTCGATGCCTGGGTCGCACTTAAGCACATGGTCCACGAATCACAAGCGGACGCCATACCAACACCCGTGCGTGCTCGTGAATATGCACCTGTGTACATGGATGTAGATGCCTTCCAATGTACTCCAGCTGGCACCGCTCTCCGAGAGAAGTGGGTTCGTGGAGCTCGTGCATTCCTTGAAGCGCAATTCGCCGAGTATGTCGAGCAGGTAATAGCGTCGAATCCACTCAAAGCACAGCGGGGTGGCGTACCTAGTGCGCGGGCGACAGCCGCCGCCTTCCTTCGTGTGCAGTTGCGAACGGCCGAGGGGGCATGGCCTACGGGTCTTTCGCGCCCCCTGGACGCGCACACCCACGTGCCGTTGTGGGCGCTTGTGTACCATTTAGTGCGCATGGGCCATACGTCTGAGGCGTTGACTTGCGTTCAGGACAACGAAGATGCGCTTCAAGTGTCAGACTCGTCGTTCCTCGCTTTCTTTAAAGCATGGGCTGACGATGCGCAACGACAGCTGCCTCGCAGCATGCGTGATCACTGGATGGGCGAGTATGTGACGCGGTTCCGAAATATGGCACCAGAGGACCCATACCGATACGCCCTGTACCGGCTGATGGGCCGCTTCGATGTAACGAAGAAGTTTCCGGCGCCATTGGTCATGAGCACAGAAAACTGGCTCTGGCTCCAACTCTGCCTTGTAAGTGAATCGGCAGCCGCAGCCGAACCGGCCGATGTGCAAGCGCCGACTCTGCAAACGTATACATTGCATGATTTGGCGAATAAGCTGGAGAAGTATGGCGAGGCACATTTCGACCCGAAAGGACATCGCCCGCTCCACTACTTCCAGCTGCTCGTTCTTGTCGGACGCTTCGAGAATGCCATTGCCTTCCTGCACTCACGCGCCGCTTACCAGGTGGATGCCATTCACTTTGCCATTGCGTTGACGTACTATGGCCTGCTGCGTGTATCGCGAGCGTCGCAAGCGCCGTCGTTCGACTACCTAACGACGATCGACCACGTCGCTTACCTGGACCTGGCCAAGATGCTCCGTCGGTTCATTGGCAGCACGTTTGCTCAAGCGTCGCGTCGAGATGCGCTCGCCTACATGAGTGTGCTGTGCTTGAATGCTGACTGTGCGCCACCCATTGGCGCTGAACAGGTTGAGCGTTGCCACGAGCTAGTCCAAGCTCTGCTGCTCGAATCGCCCGCATCGGCCTATGCTGAGCTGTTGGGAGACATCAAGAGCGATGATATCCGTGCGCCCGGTCTGATCGAGCAGCAAGGGCCGCTGCTACATCTGACAGATCGCGCGACACTGCTGCACGACGTTCTTCTTCCTGCTGCCGAGCAGTGTGTGCGTGAGCAACGCATGACCGATGCTATTCTTCTCTACAACTATGCTCAAGAACGGGACACGGTTATGAGTGTGTTGAACCGCGAGCTTAGCACGACACTAATGGAGCCTGCGGATCTTTCAGATTGGTCCTTGCCTGTGGAAGAAGGAATGGTGCCTCTCACATCGTCAGCGCACATCGTCACGCTCGCACGCGCCGTGCTGGCGAATTACGAGCAGCAAGGACATACGAGCGCACAGATGCAAGTGTGCCACACGCTTCTAGACCTGAAGCGCGCGGCCTCGTTGTACCGAGCAGAGCAGCTGCCCGCAGCACTGCAGGTGCTGGAGACCTTGCGCCTGCTGCCGTTGGATGCAGAGTCTCGCAAAGACGTCATGTCGATCACTCGGAAGGCCGAAGAATTCAAAGCTTACGACGATACCATAACGAAGAACTTTTCCGATATCGTGCTGATGGCCATGAACCTGCTGTACAAGCTGCACCAGACTCTGAAGGACAGCATGGACCGGACGAACTCCACCGTGCTTTTCGAGTACCAGAGTCAGGCCCGCGCACTTATGATGTGGGCTGGCATGCTTCGCTTCCGGATGAGCAACGAGACATACTGTCAACTTACACGACTGGATGTATATGTACGTGGATATACACAAGGATAACTGCCTCACCAAGATGCGGGTCCTTGTTGGATCAGCGACTCGATCAGATGGACTAACCGAGGCAGATCCATTAGGCTATGAAATAGGATGGACGGCGGTGGCATCCGCCTTGGCCTCACCTTGATCGCCACCATCGATGCCGCTCAATTGTGTGCGCGAAAACTGCGCTTGCAGAGCCAGTGTATCTTGGTTTGATGATGGTGCTGCTGTCTCGCAATTAGCTTCTTTCACGGGCGAGGAAGAGGTATCAGTGGCATGGTGATGGGTCTGGGTGTTTGTACTAGTTGGACTCGTGGGGACACCGAGTGGTTGGATGGGCTTGAGGGCATTTTCCACATCAAACTTTTGCGTCGTAGGTGACACAAGCGACCCATACCACTCCTGATGCCCATGTGAATTGTGCTGTGGCTGTTGAGACTGTCGCTGGGCTCGTAGCGCAAGCTCCAGCTCACCCTGTGTGACCACGCCTTGGAGCCATGGATGAGCCAGGGCCTCTTTAGCCGATGCACGTTCTTTCGGATCCAAGCGGAGCATGGGAAGTAAGAAGGATGACAGTTCCTGGGCATGCTCAACTGTGAGCAAATACTTCTCCTGCAACACGTTCATTAGGGGCCAGTACCGTAGTTTGTGGATATGCCGAGGCTCGCCCTTTCGATTAAAGATCTCGGCGCTGTATTTACCGGCAAATGCCACATTCTTTGGAAAATCGCCCAGCAGCTCAATGATCTGCGCGATGTGGTCGTCATCCTTATTGTATTTTGCGCCTGCTGCTGGATCAAACAAATAATCACCTGTTAGTAGTTCGAAAAACATGGCGCTCGCACTCCATAAGTCCGCAGTCGTTCCCCATCTGGCGCCCAGAATCGCCTCGGGACACCGGTATTGCCGGGTTTGGATATCGTTTGTAAAGTGATGATCTGTCCAGCATGCATTGCCCAGGTCCGAGATCTTGACAGTAATTCGCTCCAGCGTAGACGGATCATACGGCGGCGGCGGAGGCAAAACCGTTGGATCCCCCGCAGCTGGCGCTGGCCGGAATGGATCGGGTGATACGCCCATGGGCGGCGACTGCAAATAAAAAGGCTCGTCATCACCCATCGCTGTTGATGCCGACGACGACGGCGCGGTCAATGTCTGCGCTTGCAGCGCCTGCTGCGATAAGAGAGACGGGCCTTTTTGCATCGGAACCGATGTCTTTCCGCCCAGTGACATGCCACCCGGGCTCGATGGACCGGCCGATGCGCATGCCGAGGAAATTGCATTTGGCGGTAAACTCAACGTAGGGCCTGGACTCGATGGCGAGCCTTGTGCACTCCCATCAACAGAACGATGCACCTCGCTAGCGTGCGACATCGCAAGGGCAAGCTTATCAAACATAGGGCTAGATCCCAGGCTATTGCTTGGACTCGATAGCGGTCGAGAGCTCGTGATTAACACCGAGTCACGGCGCGGTGTCTGAGCGCCGCCACGTCCCTGACTCGGCGGCACGCCGACCAGTTTCGTTGGCACTGCTTTGGGGTTTGTACGCAATTCCGCTTCCACCACAGCCTCGACATCGTCAATACAGATTAGCACATTCTCTGGCTTCAAGTCCGTGTGGATAATGCCACAGGATTTGTGCATGTAGTCCAGGCCCAGCAAAACTTGCTTGGCAATCTGCTTTACGATGTGCACCGGCACACCGCGATGCTGGTATCGTTTGATGAGGCCCAACAAATTTTCACCTAAAACCTCAAACACCATACACACGTGCGAGCCATTGGGTCCGTGGTGACGGAAGTGGTCTAGCAGAAAAACACAGTGTCGACACCCAGGATGCTCCGGGTTGGCAGAGACAAGGCGTTGCAGCAGCTTGATTTCGTCCAGAGCTGTCTCCGTGTAATGGGGCGCAGACTTGACAACCTTTAATGCCACATGCCGGTTTGCGACGCGGTCTTTTGCAAGCCATACAGTAGAAAAGTGCCCCCAACCCAACTTTCGTACAATGACGTATCGTCCATCAGAAAACATATCGCCAACGTTGACGGGATGGTAGCCACCCAGGCAGTAATCTTCATAATCTTCCTCATCTTCTGTTAATACAGAACCAACCTCTTCATCATCGTCGACGTCCTCCTCCTCATCGTCCCCATGCATACCGCCACCGTGGCCGTGGCCACCGTCATCGAGCGAGCTCTGGTCAGCCGACATGAAGTCGCCGTCGTGAACAATGGCCGATGTTTCCTGCGTTGGCGTGGAAGACTTTTGCGAGCTAGAGCCCATAGATATTGGCTGTGTTGTTGTCGTGCAGTTGACAGGCTGCATGGGTTCAGATGTTTCCGATGACGTCTGACCACCCGCCTGCGTCACGGCGTTTGTCCGCGACACAGTGGCAGACGGTGATGTTGTCTTGGGCCAAAACAATCGCGATAGACTGCAACCATCGTCAGAGTATCCCATAAACATACGTAGATTGTGTCCCCCCCTCCTTGTTGGAAGGCGCAAAGGGGCCTCCCATCGTGTAGGATCGCTGTGAGATGGGACTTGGCGTGTCAGCCTTAGGTCAAGACAGGCTAGCTCCTAGGGCGCTTTCAGTAACGATATTGCCCGATCGTTGCCCGGTACGAGAGTCCGCGAGATAAAGCCTTCTGTACCCTTTCTCATTGGCCAATGTACAATTTTGCCTTTCCTATGTAGCTAATATTGCCATGTGCATCTGCAGCCGAGTGCATAATTGCTTTAGATTTCTTGGTTCGCACGATTTTGGGTTGCTCTGATCGTGTTGTGACAATTAGTTGGTTTGCATTAAGCTTGTGTTGCTCGCTTGTGCACTTATCCCGCACACCTGCAAGCTGTCTTAGGGCTGCTTAAGACATGTTATGGGAATCTGCTGCCTTGGCTCGTCAAAGGCTCATGGCCCAAGCGTATGTATTTCCGTCTATGCGTTCCTGACAATAACAGTGCGCGTCTGCATGAACCTCATTGCGTTCCTGAAGGCGTGTATGTGCTTCCTGACGAGGACGACTATCTGCGTACGTGTGCTGTGTGCATTTTTTTTCTTTTGACCAGCCCGCTAACGGGTAGGCAGGATGGACGGGCGTCTTGTTTGTGCGCTCAGGTCCCTATGCAACGGGTATCTTTAGGTTTAGCATCCAGTTTTCGATTGCCAGTGAACATCTTGCTCTTCCCACTGTCTTTTTCCCACCCATTCTACTGCATCCTATCGTTGAGCCAGCGAGTGGACGCCTCAATTTGCTCCCGTATCTTGCGTTGGCCCAAGAGAGCGACATGCCGACCGATCCAGATGACCCTGCCTTCTTATGCAGCCTTCTGACATTCCTCGCGGACTGCTTCTCTTCCCGTGTGCTCGATAACTTATGTGAACAATGGATTTTGAATGAGCGCGTTTACTCGTATGTACCGCTAGGATCCACGACCGATGCCTCTTACGCTCAGCATCCAAAATTCTGATCATGCACTTTTTCGCTCCCTTGCTGCTCAGTCTGCGAACCTGTCCAACTCACCTCTCTCTCTATACGATGCTCAATCTGGCTGCGGCTTGCCTGGTGACATCAATGTGACGCAAATTGTGCCTTTCCAAAAGCCTGTATTCAAGCCTGTGGTTCAATTTTCTGACATATCCGACGAGCAAGCTGCTCGCATTCGAGACGATCTCGTCCTGTAGATACATCTCTTGCGAGACTCTTCATATACCCTGACAAACCACATGCACGGGTCATCTGTTTTGTGTGTTGGTGGTTTTATTTTGTTGTTTGGTTGAGACCGATTAGGTTCGCAAGATTCGGTACGTCGTGCCACTCCATACGCGAGTATAGACGGTCATACATGCATTAATTCTTAATTTTTTTTTGTTTAAAAATTTCCCAGGTTTTCCTGACATGAAGGATCCTGTTCTCAACATTCTCCACTGAAATGGGATCCGCCGACAGAGCAATGCGGCGACCAAAGCGGAAGCGTTCCCGCAAAGTCCGCACAGCCATTGTTTCCTCCGATGAGAGTTCAGACTCGGATATAACATCACAGGCTGCATCTGCTCGTACAGCGTCGCCATCGTCTTCTTCGGCGTCGTCGGTGTCTTCAGATGATGATGATGACACTTCATTGTCGCAGTCAGAGCAAGCCCGGCATAGCAATGACCAATTCGACGAAGACGATCCTGCTCATGATGCGATGGAACTGGATGATCCAGATGCAAAGCATAACACTCTACTGCCGCCGAACTTGGTGTTTCCGGGACAGGCTGAGTCGTCATCAGCTTCTCATTACAAGCGCAAGGCACCTATGGAAAGGCGTATCAGCACGATGAGCTCAGAGGACATATCCAAGGAGCTAGCCGAAAAGCAGCGTAAAGCTTTTCATGCATTATATATGCAGGCACTCACAGATGACTTTGAGAACGATCTGGATCACATTCGACAACACGATCCACGCCTGATGGAGGATGCTAGCACAAGTCGGGCTACAGGGCGAATGACTCTTTTGGTAGATGCATTATCATTTGGAAGCGAAGCATTTACTCATGCACAGGCATCGAGTCACCAAGTGGCTCTCGCACTACCAACGAATCAAACGGAGTCATGATGAATACATACGTATGGAATTCTCACAAGTGGAAGGTGTCGCGAGGGTACCGAGTTTTGGCTAATGCTGCCTCATCAGCGAAGAAAAGGACATTCCCTGGAGCGTATGGGCGCACGAGACTCGCCGGCAGACCAGCCTGAGGTTCGTCCAAAACCTTGGCGAGTGTATCCTGTTTGCCCTCACCAGAGAGTACAAACACAGCATAGTGCGCATGGTTCAAGACTGGGTACGTTAGAGTGATGCGACGAGACGGTGGTTTGGGCGAGTCTTCAATAGGTGCAACCCAACGGTCTTGCTCTTGTAGCAGCGGGTGCCGAGGGAACAGACTGCAAGTGTGACCATCAGGGCCCATGCCTAAGAAAACCACATCAAAGACAGGGTTGCGCACCGAGTCCTTCCCTGCAAATGCATGAACGAGCTGCTTCTCGTACTCATCCGAGAGCTCTTCGGCATCGTGCAGGAGCGATGTATCGATCGTGTGAATTTGGCTCCGCGGGAATTCGGGCACCTTTGAAAAGAGTTCATCATCGCACAGCTTGTAGTTTGACTCCTTGTCGTCCAAAGGAACGAGACGTTCATCAGCGAAAAACACATGCCTGCAGTTGTGTTAGCTAGTGAGTCGCATTCAACAACTACATACCATTTGTCCCAGCGCACTGCATTATCTTGTCGGTTGACGAGATTCTTGGCCAGCATGCTCGGAAGCGAGCCACCTGACACAGCGAGAAGGAACTTGCCGCGCCGCTCGATCGCTGCGTTCTGCAGCTTGATCACATACTCAGCCAATCGCTCACATAGCTCGTCTTTCGTCGAGAATGCATACAGGACTGGATCCGGCTGCTTGTGCTGAAGAGTTGAGTCGTTAGTCATGATATCTGATCAAAAAGCGCTATCCAATCCAGATCGTCGTTCCCTCTGTCTCTCTTTGGCCACCGACAACTGGTGATTTTCGTGTTCGTCACTGGGGAGCAAAGCACGGGTGGCCGGGGCCTCGACCACGCAGGACCCAAGCACCGATGCCACGTGCGCTTTCTCGCACAGATTCACGAATCCATCCGCATCCACATAGATTTTTTTCGTCCATTCGACGTCGCCGATAGTTTCTCCCTCGTCGTTCGTTTGTGCGCGCACCATGCTTGTCCCGCTCTGGCGTGCGTCAGTGGCACCAAGCTGGAAGACGTCCTATCGTCGCCTTCACTCATGTGTAGGTCGACTCGCCGAGGCCCGCACAGTCCGGCTTGAGTCACAACGTGGCACGGGCCGACCGGTGGCGCATGTCCTGCAGGAGGTATGTTCGGGCGACGCCGGCTCGTACGTGGTTGCGCGTGATAATCACGGACGCCCATTATCTCTTGGTGATTCGATTGATAGCACACTGTCGTCACTTACCTTCCTTCCCTTTGAGGCTGATGATAAGCTTGCCCAACGCACATTCTGGCTGTCTTCGGCCTATGTCTTGACTATCGCACTCAGTCGTGTGTGCGGTCCTATTATATGTGACATACCCAGCGTAAAAGAGAGCTCAGGGGCACACGCTGATGGTATATCTGGGTATGTTGTTGAATTCTTGCGAGTGCCTTCTCTTCCGACGATTGAGTTGGGCGAGCATTCATTCCGCGAATTGCGCGCGCAGGTGGAGCAAAGCATCCAGATTCTTGTTGATGAACAGCGCCAAGTTGGTGCACCGAAGGTGTCACCGGAAGAGGTCAGCTCCGTGGATCAGTTCATGAAGCAGCTGTGCGCAAAGTCGTTCGATTTCCAAATTGCACGTGTGAATTGGAAAGAGGCATGGTCTTTGTTCAAGCACAACCCGCTATTGTTGCGTAGTATTGTGAGTTATGGAGAACAAGATGCCCTTGTACCTGTCGTGTACATGGGACATGAAGCATGCGGCGTGCTGCCGTTAAACGAGGTGCTTCTCCGACGTACAAAACCCATTAAGGCTGCCAAGGTGCTAGGATGGTCTACGTCATCGCTTCCTGTTGCAGGTATGTCGGATGAAAGTACACAGCCCCTTCTCCGTGTGCGTGGTATTTCATTCCCAAGTGCACAAGACTTGCAGCAATACTCAGCTCGCATGTCCGAGCTGGAAAAATCGGATCATCGGCATCTCGGCATCGCTCAAGGTCTGTTCTTTGCGCACGACTCGTCACCAGGCAGTCCGTTTGTGATGCCGCATGGCATGCGATTGCTACGCAAAGTTGAGCGTGTCATTCGCGATCTGTACGACACATTCGGATATGACGAAGTGCAGACGCCCCAGCTATTCCGCAGCTCGCTATGGAAGCAAAGTGGCCATTGGGAAAAGTACCGTGAAGACATGTTCAGTGCTCAGGGCTTCTCGTGCTGTGGTGCTCATGACGATGTGTTTGGCCTCAAGCCAATGAACTGTCCGGGTCACTGTGTGATGTTTGCCCACCAACCTCGCTCTTACCGCGAACTCCCGATGCGTCTTGCTGAGTTTAGTCCTTTGCATCGGAATGAAGCCTCTGGCGCATTATCTGGCTTGACACGCGTGCGGCGCTTCCATCAGGATGATGCACACGTGTTTTGCACGCCTGCGCAGGTCGCCACGGAGATCGAGTCGATGCTACACATGTTGTCGCTTGCCTATCGCGTTTTTGGATTCGGTGACCGGTTCGAACTTGTCTTGTCCACGCGGCCACCGAACTTTCTGGGTCAGGTCGAAGCCTGGGATCATGCGGAAGCAAGCTTAAAAGAGGCACTCGATGCGAGTGGCAAGCCATGGACACTGAACGAAGGCGATGGCGCATTTTACGGACCCAAGATCGACATCCGTCTCGTCGACGCCATGGGCCGGAAGCACCAGACGGCAACGATCCAGCTGGATTTCCAGCTGCCTGAACGATTCGGTCTTGAATATGCCACTTCATCGCAAGTTCCCAGCACAGAGCAAGTGCGTCCCGGTTACGCTCGGCCAGTCATGATTCATCGTGCGATTCTAGGTAGCTTTGAGCGATTCCTTGCGATCCTTGTTGAACAATGCAAGGGCTGGTGGCCTTTTTGGCTTAGCCCGCGCCAAGCCGTTGTGATTCCAGCGTTTAGTGGCAACGAAGAAACACACCAAGCTGTGGCTGATTACGCTGCGCACGTACAATATACCCTGAGCGGACACACGCACGAAACGCGCGAGACACGCAGTCCGTTTCTCTCACCCACCATGGCACATCAAACATTGCAGGTGCCATCGCGGACACGCTTTCAAATTGAGCTCCCTCCACAGTCACTTGTGCCTGCCGGCGACACACTAGGGAAAAAGGTGCGCCATGCACAACTGAGTCGCTTTAATTTCTTTTTGATTGTCGGTCCGCAAGAGGCCAAGAACCGCACTGTGAGTGTGCGCATGCGAGATGAAAAGGCTGCACCAGCATGGCATGCTGGAGAAGATGCATTCCACACGATGCCATGCAAGATCCAAGATCTAACATGGGCCGTCATCAAGGCTACATTCCCTGATCGGTACGCTGCGCACGACGCCAAGATGAGCTTGGATCTTGGGACGTGGACTCTACCTGATCTTTGGCGCCTCTTTTGCGTGCTTGATGCCTTGCATGTTTAATGTTACGTATACCAACCGGTGCGCGAAACGGATGCGGTCGCATGGGCTCGTGTTGGAATCATTGTATCTTTGATTTGGTACGCGTCGAGTAGATCTCGGTACGTAGCCATATCCAGTTCCATCACGATTTGACGTCGGGTTAATCCTGCTTGACGATCCTCATCTGTGGGCTCCTCTGACAACACTGCAACATGGTCAGCATGATGGACATTTTTTCCTTCATATCATCTCTATACATACTGAGCATGGGATCGCCTTCATCGTTCTCAACGATAGCCGCTTTGCCATCGCGAATCAAAAAACTGATGTAAAACAGATTCTCCACAGATTCTCCAAAACTGTGAGGGTTTAGTGCGAACTGAAATAGGTTGACACCCTTTTCGCCATCGGAGCATGCTTCTAGACGACGCTCAATGTCCAGCACGAGTTTTGACGTCTCATTTTCAGACTGCGCCATGTCAGACAAATTCAGTTGACTGGGAGCTGTCTGCACTGCATCTGTATCAAGGCGCGAAGTGCGTGTGACTTTTCTGTGCCGCGGTGTAACTTGCAATGGACCCAGCAAGTGATCAGCGATCGGAACGCGACGCGAGTGGCGAACAGCCAAACGACCGAGCCTAGCCCAATCCCAAGACTCAGTATTGGCCGTCTCCATACTGGTCTCGGCATCGAGCGACGATCCCTGCAAAGGCACGATGCCAGCACCAAGCAAGCGCGACACGAGATGCATAAACTCATCGACATCGAATGCATCAGCTTTGAGTCGCATTTGTCGTGTCATCTCTGCGCCCATATCAGACAAATTGAGCAGGTACTTGGAATCCAAGAGTCCGTCCGTAGGCGCCTTCACTGAGTTGTAAATGCATGGTTTCATCTACGCATACCTTTCGAATACAATGCATCTCCCACGCGGACCATCTCTCCGAGATTTTGAATGTTGCTTTCGGGCAGGTGGCGCCGCGTATCTAGCATTTGAGGTAAGTCACTTGTGCGCGTTCATCATACATACTTTGAGCCGTTGCTAGCAGTGCGCGATATTCGCGTCTCAGCTCGCGCTGCTCCGTGATATTCGGTCGTGGATCATACACGAAATTCTCAGCGTCGTATGGACGCTGATGCATGTCGTGTCCACTCATATTGCACCACACTATGTATTACACACGTTGCCAGTGGTCATGATTCATTTTCGTAACGCGCGTTTTGCATGAATCTATCGACTGACGTGACTCACGTGATGCGTCAGTCTGACATCGTTTTCCAGAGGGCTGCGCACGAGCCAGGCGAACATTGTTGAACTCGAGGTTCGGCATGTCCCCCAAGTCCACAGCTCCACTATTTAACAACCGTATTCCGGGGAAGGGGGGGAAGAGCAAAACGCCATGGTTTAACAAATACCTACATGATAGATGGGTCAGCTGTACTCAGTCATTGCAGACATACACTATTGAAAGAGATAGACTCGTACTTGTGGGATGGAGGTATATAGTCGACAAGTCACCGCTGGTTCAGGCGCATCACTAACTCTTGTTCTCGTGTGCAATTTGCGGCTAAATCATGAAGACCTAGGTGGGCATATCCGCGACTTAGTTTCTCAAGAATAGCCGCGACCTTCACGGGCTGCACCTGAGGAAATTTTTGCGCGCGTGCCTGCTGCGACAGCGCGTACTCCGACACGGACTCGGACAGAATCACACCCAAGGTCTGTCGCACCTGGCCAAACACGGTCTCTATGCCATGCACATTAAGTGACTTGGCATATTGGTACACAAAAGTGATGTCAACGTCAAGATTTGTCAAAGCAGCCAAATTGATCATTTTGACCTGCCGGTCAAGCAAGGCTGAATTCAGTAGACGGTTCGAGATGTGCATGAAGCATGACGTAAAAGTAGCGTCCTTGGCGACTTTGGGCAAAAGAACTAGCGCACTCTCCATCATAGTAGAGAGCCAGTCAATAAGATCGCGCAAGTAGCTTGAGGGCTGGCGCTGCATTGACGCTGACTGAATAGGCATCCAATCGTATTCGAGCAAGTCCAAGAACTGGTCAAGCTTAACGAACATGGCTGAATCAATGCGTTTTTGCGCAATTTCCAGCGTCGTTGACAAATGCTCAGAAGCGCCGAGCGCAAGACGGCTTCCTGGATTGGGCGTGCGCGATTCACTCAGCCATCTCTCAAGTTCGGAGCAAGCGAGCTGGAAGTGCTCGATGTTCACAATAATCTGGGCGATCTGGCTCAAATTCGTAGACTGCTCAACTGTATCGCGTATATTGATACTAATCTGCTGTATCAGCAAATCATCAAGCGATTGTGTCAGTATGAGATCAATGTCCTGATGGTACTGCGTCATGCCGCTGGAGAAACTGTAATACTGCTCGACCAGACTGCGGATGTCCATGCAGCACAAAGGGTATGTTTGTGAAAAGGGCAGAGACAGCGGAAATGGTAATTGCTTGAGCTGATCAGCTTCACCAGGCTTCAGCCAGCACACGCTTAACACTTTGGCAAGCTCATCGCCATTGTTCACAATCATGGGCTGATGCTGCGCCTCTCGGATAGCTTGCTGAAAGTCTGATGCAAAGCGCTCTCGAAGCAAGTGCGCAAAGCGACGGAAAAATGAGAGCACAAGTGCATTAAGACGCGATACGCTGAATTCAAAGCTTTCAAGCGTCCGAATAAACGTCTGAATTGCAGACTTGGCCTCAATAAACACTTTGGCATTTTTGCAATCACGCAAGCCGGCGGTAATCATGTCGACCACACGCTCACTCATCGAGTCCCACACATCTTCAACCTCACTCATGGGGCGGAAGCCCGGTGGTGACGTATACGAGACGTGGCACTCCACTACAAAGTAGCCCACCACGTCTTCAAGCAGAGAAATCAGCTCCTGTCCGCCCTCTCTCATCGTTAGCGTGCGAGATAGAAGCAAACTCGCCTGAGCTTTACGGTCTTCTTGGTAGTTGGCCTGAAGCTTTTCTCGCTGGTCCAGGACTTCATAAATATGTATGCATTGATATAACGGTTTAAAATCGACTCTCACACGGTCATTTTCGAGATAATTTACCTCAATGCGCTCATTCACGATTTGCTCGATGGGACTGTTGATCGACGAAAGGCGCAGCATAGGATCCTTCTTACTGCGATGCAGCCAACGCTGCTGACGAGCCTCCATGGTTTCGAGTGCGATGCGGCCGACTGCGCCGCTCTTTTCCCGTACATCAAACATCCACCCTTTCAGCTGCTTCAACACCTCCATGCGGATCCGTTCACGCGTGCGAGGAATAGTATCGCGGATAAGTTGCGCAACTTCATGGTGCATTATGGGTTTGAGATGTATATTCGCAATCTCGTCGAGGCGGCGAAGAGCCGAGTAGAATTTCTGCTGGGCAATCAGGTCTTCAACAAGTGTCGTCATTTCCAACACATTCTGGCACTCTTGTAACGTTTCGATGGCCTCATCAACATTCTGCACCACGCGTTGCTTATCGATGAGATCTTTTTTTTTGGAAAAAAGTGCTTGCCCGCTTGATTGGATTTCCTGATTCAACTCGTTGATCCGCTGTTTCAGGTTCACTGTTCCAGAACGCACAATGAGCAGCTCATCTACAGCGGAAACGAAATCTTGGTGATTTTCGTTGCAAACATGCTCAATTTCTTCGTCCTTCTTCCTCACAAATTCACGCAGTTGTTTGAGGAATTCATCCTGTTGGTGTGATTCATCTAGGTTTTTGATCACTGGTCCCAGCTGCTCGTAATTGTCTGTTGTTGTATCAACATCGCTCAGAAGCGTCAGTTGTTGCAATTGCGCCTCCAACGAGATGTGTGGCACTCGCACCTTGCGCACCATGTCAGTAGGCGGGTAGATGCGTCAACCGGTCGTGGTCGAGCCACGCAGTCGTGATTGCACTCGAGCTCCTTACCGGCACGCGGTCATTCGGGCGTAGCGCGCTGCATCATACGCTTTCAGCCCCTCGTGAATGATCACGTGGGGTACGTGTGGAGTGACGGCGCCCATTCTAGGCCCAGCCTTCCACCCATGTCGACTGACATACGGCCAGACGAGCCATGGTGGGCATTAGCCGACGATGATGAAAGTCACGAGTTGTACGTGCCGCTGAAAAAACGGCGCATGGGAGCTCAGAATGCTCGACAAGAAAAAGGGAGATTGAATGCACGGACTGCCGAGGTAGCTACGGATGATGTAGCTACCGTTACAACAACCGGCGATACTGGCGAGCCATCTGAGGGCACAGTAAAAGCGAAGGCACCATCCCTTATGCAACAAGCGCGTACGATACGAGAGCATTTGTATGATACCAAATCACATGCGGACTTGCAGGCAGAAGAAGAAGAACACATCTTAGAGGCACATGCAGCTCGCAAAAAACTAGCAGGCTATGCAGAGATTGCCCGAGATATCCATTACACAGAGACGGTCCGTCGTTCATGGCAGGCACCACATTTTGTGCGTCGTCGTACGGATCTTGAGAATGCAAAATTGCGCGAGAAGTATCGTGTTTCGGTCGAGGGACGTGACCCGCCGCCACTCATTTCGAACTTTCGGGTACGTCTCAAGATTGCGCCCCTTCGATGGGGATATCATGGCTAAGCAGCACTGTACTAATGCAAGGATATGAAAGTGCCAGACTGCATTATTGATCACCTAAAAGCAAAGGGCATTCAAGCCCCCACGCCCATTCAAATGCAAGGTCTGCCGACAGCCTTCAGTGGACGTGATATGATTGGGATTGCGTTTACAGGAAGCGGGAAAACACTCACTTTCAGTCTTCCGCTTATCTTGTTCGCCGTCGAGGCAGAGCGTCGGTTGCCTTTTGAGCAGGGAGAGGGTCCAGTTGGGTTGATTGTGTGTCCTTCTCGTGAGCTTGCGCGGCAGACATACGACTCAATTATTGCGATGGCAGAAGCACTAGAGTATGGTGGTTATGCACGCATTCGCACGCTCTTGTGTATTGGAGGGATTCACATGTCAGAGCAATCGCATGTGCTTCGGCGTGGTGTGCATATTGTGGTAGCGACACCTGGGCGCTTGCAGGATGTACTCGAGAAGAAGCGACTTGGCTTGCATTCATGCACATACTTGTGCTTGGATGAGGCAGATCGCATGATGGACATGGGATTCGAGGATGATGTGCGAAACATCTTGAGCTTCTTTACTCGCCAACGACAAACCTTGTTATTTTCAGCGACAATGCCGAAGAAGATCTTGGATTTTGCTGCGCAGTCTCTCTTTGATCCCGTGATTGTGAATGTGGGCCGCGCAGGCGCAGCTAGCTTGGATGTTGTGCAGGAAGTTGAGTATGTGTCCCAGGAGAGCAAGATGACGCAGCTCCTCGAGGCACTGCAGAAAACGGCGCCGCGTGTGATTGTTTTCAGTGACAACAAGAATGAGGTTGATGATATTCATGAATTCTTGCTACGGAAGGGCGTGGAGGCTGTAGCAATCCATGGCTCGAAGACGCAAGATGAACGTGAGTATGCTATTGAGAGTTTCAAGTCGGGGAAAAAAGACGTCATGGTCGCCAGTGGGATTGCTAGCAAGGGTCTTGACTTTTCCAACATTCAACACGTAATCAATTACACTATGCCAAAAGACATTGAAGACTATGTTCATCAAATTGGGCGGACGGGTCGTAGTGGTAAGACGGGTGTGGCGACTACGTTTGTGAACGCACAAACACCGCAGTCAACCATGCTAGACCTCAAGTACCTGCTTTTGGAGGCGAAACAGCATGTGCCATCTTTTTTCGACGCACTTCAGGACCCCCTAGCTGGACGCAATGCCCCACGTACTGGATGTGCCATATGTGGTGGGTTGGGACACACGGTGATCCACTGTCCCAAGCTGGAAGAACATCAGCGCCGGCTCACGTCGCATATGAGTCATGGTGGTGGTGAGCAAGGTGGATATTAGCTTAGTATCAGGAAAGGATATCGAGAAAAAAAAAAGTAACGTGTAGGATCTTGAACTGTAGCTGGTTCATGCAGCAGGATCGTGAATGTTTTGACTCAGCCATTGAAGCCCCTCTGAGAGCCCCTGGCCACTCATTGCACAACTTGGATGCACGAACCACGGGCGTGACTGCATAGCCTGAAGTCCAAGCCTGTCTGTGAGTTCCTGAGGAGACATCGCGCCTGCTAGATCCTGTTTGTTCGCGAATACAAGTAAGACACAGTGTCGCATTTCTCGGTCTGATAAGATCCGATGTAGTTCCTCTCGAGCTTCATCAATTCGCGCTCGGTCCCTACTGTCGACCACATAGATGAGCCCTTGTGTGCCTGTATAATAGTGGCGCCATAAAGGTCGAATACTATCTTGCCCACCAACATCCTGCTGTTAGTGGCATCATGGCGTGAAACATACCCAGACATTGAACTTAATATTTCGGTATGAGATCGTTTCGACGTTGAATCCCACCGTAGGAATTGTCTTCACGCTTTGCCGCAGCTTGAGTTTGTACAAAATAGCTGAAGAGTGAGTACTTTCCTTTCTTATATCCATGTATATCGTTTACCTACTTGTCTTGCCAGCATTGTCGAGCCCTAGCATCAACACGCGCAGTTCACGCGTCCCGAACAGTTTTCCTTTCAAGCGCGAAAGTAACGATCCCATCTTGGTATTTCTTGTCGCACACAGCGCCTTCCGTTCAAGATCTGTGCGAGCTTACCGGCTCAAAGAGCGGCGAGACACAAAGTCTTTGCAAATAGGCAACGTGCAGGTTCTACTGGGAACACCAACACTTGCACAAGCTTACCACCTGTCAGCCTCCATTCAACAACACAGCCTGCGTGTCTGTGTGCCCTATAACCCCGTCCAGCCACCGCAGGCTTAGTGGGCGCCCACTGTGTATTTGGCTTGATAGCACGGCCCATTAGGCCTTGATACGGTTTCCGATGGATGAAGAAAGTGTTATTCACGTGACGAATCTATCACAACGCGGTTAGGACACGCGTTGCAGGACATGCTCAGCGCATCAGCCGAGGCACGATGGCCTCGTCGGCGCCATTGACACTGCATGCACGGTGCAGAGTAGCAAATATAGGATATGGTGAGATCCTGTTTGTTGGACAGACATCTTTCGCACCTGGCACATGGGTGGGTGTCCACCTTGACGAGCCACGCGGCAAAAACGATGGCTCGGTCCAAGGCAAGCGGTACTTTGCCTGTGAGCCGCGGTGCGGCGTCTTTGTCAGGCCAAGTCAAGTTCATGTACAAGCGGATGAATTAGAAGATATACCACGCACGAGTGAAACGCCTCATTCTATACGTCGTTCTGTCGGCACATCACGATTCTCAATGGTTGCCGAGACGCCTCAAACTAGTCGTCGTGCCACGGCTGCACTCGGGCCCGGATCAACAGGACGTACATCAGGAGCACGTCCGCGACCATCGCATTTTCGAACGCCTGCAGTAATAAACCGCACCCCTGTACCAGCAAGCTTAACACCTGGCTCTATCTATCGGACGCCCGGAACATCTAGTCGCACGCCAGCACCCGCCAGTCAGACGCCTGGTGCAGGAAATCGCTCTCCCTTCTTATCACCATCTGAGCGAGCAAAGACCCGCATTGAAGCTGGACGCGCACGACGCCTTGTGACGGGGCCAAGTCCATGGATGGGTCCTGCCTCACAAGACTCTGATACCCCCCAACTCACTTCTCCCTTAGGGGAAACACGTTCGACCAAACCTATCACATTCCAACAGTCTCCCACGCTCTCTCCCTCTCCATTAAAAGAACATATGACACGCGATAATGAGCAAAAAGCACGTCTTGAAGAACTGCAAACGGAATGTTCCGCGCACGTTGCTCGAATAGCAGCGTTGGAGAGCGATGCTTCTAGACTGAGCGAACTTACGCAAGCTTACGACAAAGCCAAGGCGCGTGTACGAGAGCTAGAAGGGGCATGTGATGAGCTGAAAGACAATATGCAGGAGCTAACGGATAGCCTGGAAATGGCGACGCTGGACCGGGAAATGGCCGAAGAGCGCTCAGAAGCTTTGCAACAGGAGCTGAAAACAGCACAAGAGACAGTCGAAGAACTACGTCTCGAACGGGAAATACACGCTGAATCAGCATCCGCGGCGCTGCCCGCAGACGCCGCGGTGTTGCTGTCTGAAAATGCGCGCTTGAAAGAAGCTCTCATCCGCCTTCGAGACACTGCGCATGAAGCAGATGTAAAGCAGCGACGAGAGCTTGCGTCACTCCGTGCAGAACTAGTGACAAAAGAAGAGATTTCTGCTGAGCATACCAAGACACTCGAGCAGCTTGCCCGCTTGGAGGCACTGGTTTCTGAACTTCGCGCACAAACGGAGGTTGCGCAAAGTACTGAAGATATGCTCGAGACATTGGCTGAGCGGAATGGTGCATTGGAAGAGCTCGTGGAAAAATTGACAACGGACGTGCGAGAACTTGAGGCATTGCAGGCCGTTAGCGAAGAGCTGGAAGCGACGCACATTGAAACAGAAGCGCAGCTGCAGCGCGATTTGGACATGCGCGACGAACATATCAACGCGCTGCAGCGTGAACAAGTTTCTATGCAAGCTCATCTTACAGCACATGCAGCGACAATCGAGCAGTTTCGCGCGCTTGTGACGGACTTGACTCGAGAGCGTGATACCTGGCGAGCAAAGTGTGATGCGCCACCAGCTCCGGCGCCGCGTGCGCCTCTAACGATAGAACAAGTTCAAACGCACCGACCTGTATTCGCGCATGATCGCTTGGTGGCTGAGTGTGCCATGACACGACGACAAGTCCAAATGCTGCGTGCTTACGCTCTGCCGTCATTCAGCGATGTGGATCAAGGCGCTATTTTGACAATTCTTCTTTACGAGCGTATTGGGATGCAGAGTGAGTACATCCGTTCTGCTCTAACATGGTCTGAGGAAGGCACTGCGTCATGGCAACCACGCGTGCACGATGACGCCCAACTTCGAGTGTGTCGTTTGCGGCGTGCGGTGGCACATGTTGGCGCGTTAGCTAAGCAGATCTCCGCAGTGCTGTGTTCATCGTCGCCCGATGTGTTTGTGAGTCGTGCATCAGACCACGTCCACATGGCGCATTTGTCGCATCAACTGCAAGCGCATATGGAAGCACTCGAAGACGACAGGTTAGATGATGCGACTTGCGAAGCGCAATGCAAAGATATAGTGGCACAGCTAGAAGCTGTGTCACAAGCCTTGCCGCCTTGTACATCGTTACACGATCTCGCTGCAAAAGAAGTGGGAAGTGCCCTTTTGGCATGGCATGATGTTGAAACGATGCAAGCATGCATGGCATTTGTTCAGCATGCCAAAGTCGACTCGTCTGCTTGTGCTACATGGTCCGCGGTTGCTACGCGTGCACGTGTAGCATGTCGACGATTGTACCGCCGACTCTCTTCGTTGTATGAGCAGCAGCGGCAAACTATCCAAAGCGATTCCATTACTATGCTTCCTGAAGTTAGTCGGCTTGCCTCAGCGATGGTACCACGCGTCATGCCATGGGCTTATGCGGTGTTGGAACAACGTGATACATCTGCATTGGATGCCGTATCTACTCTTGCAAATGATACGCGCACACTTGCTGACCTGGCTGACACAGTACTATCAAAAGCGTCAGCACAGGAACATGTGGTGGACATCCCTGAAGCAGCGCCCTGGAAAGCACGTGCCAAGACTTTGTTGATCGCATGTCGCCCCGTCGACAAGTCCGAAACAGAGGCATTATCCCAGCGCATCAGTGCATTGGAGCATATGCTCGCTGAACGTGATGATACTGTGCAGGCTGCTAGCATCAAGATTGAACGACTTCGGAACCAGCTCGACCGATCCCATGCCTTGGCCGCTGAAGTAACGGATGCACGGCAACAAGTGGAAGAATTAAAAGCTAAACTGAATGAGGCAGCCCTACTACCCTTAATCATACTCGAGATCCATCGAAATTCTCAGCATCTGCGCCGATCACAGAAGACGCTGGAGCGCCTACCAATGCACCGAGTGCTCGCGCATTCCAAAAGTTGCTTGCAGATCACCAGTACCTGAAAGCGCAAACATGGCTCGAGCAGATCGCTGCACTCGCTCCTCTAGCTACACCACGCAACAAGAGTCCGACTTTGCGATCTTCGACATGGCATGAGCCAAGTTTAGATGCACTGTGGCATCGTGTGCGTGAGCTGGCTACATCGCCGCGTGTGGTGGACCTTGGCACATGCAAGTCAGCATCTGTACAACTTTCAGCTCAAAGACAGGAGCGTCAAGCAGCGGCAGAGGCGCTAGCTCAGCTTCATGCATGTACCATGGTAAAGTAGACCCCAATAAATTACAAGGTTGGGATTGACTTAGTAGCCCCGCTGTTGAACATGCTCCATGTGCACGACGAGATACAGAAAAGGATTAGCGACAAGGAAGATATTTGGTGGAAATAGGTACCAATGTCTTTCATCACTATGGACGCTTGCATACATTCAACGCAAGGAACATATATTGCTCTGCGGAGACTGTCAACAAACATCACAAACCAGTGCAGAGCATAAGGCAAGCAAACAGTCCATCGATGTATCCTAAACCTACAAGCGACTGTGCCAATCAAGTTCTTGCAAACGACGGCGCCCTTCGAGGCCGCCGTGCAAGGTGCTGATTTGTGTTTCGAGACTCGCTCCAAACACGGCGTACAACACATCTTGGATCGTACGAACGTATACAACGTGGATGTCGCTTTTAACAGACGCAGGTACGTCGTCTTCATACTCACGTGCATTGCGCCTAGGAAGAATCATCTTGCGAATCCCCGCACGATGTGCGCCAAGCACTTTTTCCTTGATCCCCCCAACGGGTGTGACATGACCACGCAGCGTAATTTCACCCGTCATTGAAAGACGAGTATCAAGAGGCACCCGCAAATACATAGACACCAGCGCGCACACGAAGGCGACGCCTGCACTGGGACCATCTTTTGGCGTTGCACCAGAAGGCATGTGTAAATGCACGTCATTCCGAGGAAATTCAGCATCGCGGTCTGCACAGATCCCAAGTGCAAATGCATGCGTTTTGACCCATGCAAATGCGAGTTCTGCGGACTCTCTTATAACATCACCTAACGAGCCAGTAAGCTTTAACGCAGATGTTCCTGGCGGGAGAAATGCACACTCAATATGTAGAATACCGCCCATCCCTGAGCCCTGATAGGCCATACCTGTCGCAACGCCAGGCACACCTACTTCATCTGCCACTTCTGGCTCGTATGAAGGCGCACCAAGAATGCGCAAAAGATCCGCTTGCGATATCTCCGGTGTGTACGTTGCTGAGCCTCCTCGAGACTCGGCGTACTCGACGGCCTTGGCACGTACAACATCACCTATACGCCGTTCCATTGTTCGCACGCCAGCCTCACGAGTATACGATTGTGCAATCGTCATAAGAATCTCGTGCGACATGGCGACGTTCGACAGAGTCAGGCCGTGTACAGCAACTTGTTTTGGCAGTAGATGTCGCTGAGCAATCGCAACTTTTTCGTCGTATGTATAGCCGGCAACATGAACTGTATCCACACGATCCAGAAGTGGCTCCGGAATGGTATCGAGAGAATTGGCTGTTGCGATGAAAATGACGCGACTCAAATTGACAGGCACGTTCAGGTAGTGGTCCTTGAAGGTGTGATTTTGCTCAAGGTCAAGCACCTCGAGCATGGCAGCGGTTGGATCGCCATGGAAGCCCATACCATTACTAAGCTTGTCGAGCTCGTCAAGAAGCATCACACAGTCTGATGCACGAGCTTTCCGCAACGACGCCACAATAGAACCAGGGAGTGCTCCCACATACGTCCGTCGATGTCCGCGAATTTCAGCCTCATCGCGAACTCCGCCAAGTGATAGGCGTACGAACGGTCGCTGAAGTGCTGCTGCCAGAGACCTTGCAATGGATGTCTTTCCTGTGCCGGGCGGGCCGACGAGCAAAAGAATTGGGCCCTTGTATGTTCGAGAGCTTTGCTTCTCTGCACCTTGCTCGGTCTTCAGCTGCAGCACAGCCAAGTATTCAAGCATACGCTTCTTGATTTTTTCAAGACCAAAGTGGTCTGATTCAAGCACTTGGCGAGCACGCTCAATAAGGGGTTCATCGCCATTCAACGGCACTTGTGATACAGGCACCAACGCTTTGATGTCCTCAGGACGGAGGTCTGAAGTGATGCGATCCCACGGCAGGTCTAGCATCGTGTCCAAATAGTTGATCAGCACACCTCGCTCCATGCTCTGAGCTGGCATCCGTCTGAGTCGACGAAGCTCTTGTTCACACATTCGCCTAGCTTCAGGCGTCAGTTGAGCCTTCGCACATCGTTCTGACAACTCTTTCACCTCATCACTAGCTGCATCGCCACCAGGAGATGTATGCGTATAATCGTCAGCATCGTCGTCAGCATCATCATCGTCATCACTACGGCCAGGACCGTCAATGCCCCGACGCCTTGGCCCTAGGCCTATAACACGGCGAATTATACGTGGCCCTGGACTCGAATTCTCTCGACGAGTTGTAGCTGCAGATGAAGACGCCTCTTTGCCATTATCCATCACACGCAGTGTGAGGCCTGTCGACGTCATACTCGTGACTTGCTTGACGATAGCTTCAATCTGTGAGCGGACTAAAGCACCATAGTACTGATCCTGCAGCGCGTAGGGAGTATTTACAAGTACCTCACGCAGAATCTGGACACGTTCCACTGCTTTCTCTAACATGGTAGCCGTAAATTCAATGCGTCGATTTGCCTCTGGAAGTGCCAAATGCTGAAGACGATCTTCCCATTCACACGCACCGCCTAGTGTACCGACCAACAAATCTGAGAGTTTTGGACTCGATACTGAATGATTCGACTCTATTGTTGACGCAATGGCTTGTAAGAGCGATGGCGGTAAAAGAGGCACATTCGCAAGAGCTGAACTCGTAAGTAGAGGCGAGTTGGTCGCACCCATCAGTGCAACAAGACGCTGAGCAGCGTGTCGCATACGCGAGTCTTCTGGCGACAGTTCCTGTGACACCAACGGAACGTCAGGATCAAAGAAAGGGCGTGCTGAAACTATCGTTGCTGGCTCGAATGTGTCTGGTTGCACGCGGGAGACGCGCGCTTTAGCAACACGAATTCGCACTAGGCCCGAAAGAATCAAACGGCACTCATTAGTCGTGGGACTGTGAACTAGGCGCAGAATTCGCGCAGCACAGCCCCAATCTGAGGAGTCCTCCAGCGATCTACTCCGGTGCCTTTCGGTAACGTAGCCCGCCGGGTTCAATACAGGCACGCAAGCAATTATCATAGGATGTTGATCCGATACATTATTTTGTCTGCCATGTTCCAGCGACTCGTCTGAAGACGCGTTCGATTGCTCTGCTGCACGACGCTCTGCAAGGGCCGTGCGCAAGATCCCAAAGCATTGCTTTTGCGGTAATGTGACGGACAACAAAAGCCCTGGATGCAAGACCAGTGGATATGGAAGCTTGAGTACAACGAGCTCCGACGGAATAGGCGGCGGCGTTGTAGCAGCCATGGTTGGGATGCAAAAGACGGCGCAGGGCTTTGATAAGGGGGCCCCAATCAATCAATGTGATGACGTGCACGTCTTGTGTGTAGCGCGCTGGTCGCATTGACTGATGATAAGCAGCGCTTGTCGGCCGATGACTTTCGTGATGCATCTCCACACTCGCCAGCGCCTGCGTCTCAAGCCACAGTGCATGAAAGAAATTCGCGAATAATTGCACCCAACACTGTCGTAGTGTGGGGCTTGGCCTTTGTCGATATGTGGTGGCTCGGGAGATCGCAGCGTGTAGTTCGTAGTAGAATTCACGCACTTCAGCTGGAAATATGGCACTCATATAATACTAGCACAGCAGTGCGGAGGCCCTTGCGTGTCCGTTTTGCGCCGTCACCCACCGGCTACCTTCATGTGGGTGGACTCCGGACAGCTTTACTGAATCAGTTGTGCGCGAGACGCAACGGTGGCCAGTGGATTCTTCGTATTGAGGACACGGATCAATCAAGGGTCGTGGATGGTGCTGTGACTGCACTACAAGAATCTTTGCGCTGGGCAGGTCTCGAGTACGACGAGGGACCCGACGTTGGCGGTCCCTACGGTCCATATGTTCAGTCGCAGCGCTTGGACAAGTATACTGCCTATGCAAACAAGTTGCTTCAAAGCGGACATGCGTATCGAGATTTTCGGCCTCCGACACAGCGTGAAGAGAATGCTCGAGCATCAGCACTTTTGCGAGAAGCCTACTTGCCTCCCAGTGAAGCAGAAGCTCAGGAACGAATCGGGCGTGGCGAGACATTCGTGGTACGCCTCAAGGTACGTATAAGGAGCTGATCTACTTTGGGCGACTAATGTAACGTAGATGGATCCACAACGCACGTACGTCTACAACGACGTGGTGTACGGTGCCATGAAATTCCGGCCCGATGTTATGAGCGGCGCCACGGACGATCCTATTATCGTGAAGAGCGACGGTTGGCCAACGTATCATTTAGCGAGCGTTGTCGATGACACAGAAATGCGTATCACGCACGTGCTACGTGGTGAAGAATGGATTCCATCCATGCCAAAACACCTTGCGCTGTACGAAGCGCTGGGTGCACCACCGCCTGTGTTTGTCCACTTGCCACTACTTGTCAATGCTGATGGAACGAAACTTTCGAAGCGTTCCGGTGATGTGCGCGTCACTGATTACCAGGAACGTGGCTGGGAGCCCGAGACACTCGTGAATCTCGTTGCGCTCACTGGATATAGTCATGCCGATGTGGATCGGGCAGACCAGGACGTCAAGACAATGGATGAGCTGACCGAACAATTTGATCTCACACGCATCTCTCATACAAGGTCCACACTTCCACTCGACAAGCTTGCTTACCTGAATAAACATCACCTTCGTTGCAAGCTAGAGCGCGCGAGAGATTGTGAGAAAACACGGTATAATATCGTCAAGATCCGTCTTCGGCCCATATTAGATCGTATGTTCGGCGCTGACGCCATGCGGGATATATCGGACGACTATATCCTGCGCGTAGCAATGCTAGGGCAACAGCGCGTGGATACCCTACTACAAGTGCCGGAGCGGATGGCGTACATGTTTACCGAGCCGAATTGGAACTCACGCACGTGCCGAGACTTTCGTGCGACAGTTCCAACTGCTTCGTTTCAACATGTAGTGATGGCTGCACAGGCCTTGTTTCAACAAACGCGTAATATCCATGCCGATTGGCCAGCATGGATGACAACAAAAGCGTCTCAAGTCGCGGGGGGGAAAGCTGCCGTGCAAAAAAGTCTCCGAATCGCACTTTCTGGAGAGCGTGCGGGCCCGCCAGTGGCGGAAATAGCGGAAGTGTTGGGTTTGCATCGTGCAGCTGAGCGTCTAGCAGCCGCATTGGCTTGGGATGAGGGAGCTGTGAACAAGGAGCAGCCCCATCAGCTCATGTAGCAAATACGTGGCATCTTAGCTTGGTGATTGTTGCTGTTGCAACATGTCAACCATTTCGCGAAACTGCGCAATGATGTCAGCCTCTTTACGTGCACGATCCTGTCGTTTTTGGTGCAGTTCTGACTGACGCTCTTCAGCAGAGATGACCTGGTTTTCCTTACGCACACGCACAGCATTCATTCGCTGGTGGCGCGAGCCACTCATGACGAAACCAGCACGCTCAAATGCTGCAATCTGCTCAGCGCTGAGCCCGATTTCGCCACGTCGCGGTATCCGCTTGCCTTCTTGGACATAGGATGCCATAGCAGCTCCTTCACCTGGCAACAGCTGCTTGCCATATGCTCGCTGGTCGAGCGTCGACATGGCATCCGAGTCAGCTTGTGGCATGGGCCCTACTAATTCATCGTCATCAGAAAGAGTTGTTGCCGCCACTGGGGTTGCTTCTGCCTGGCTGGAATGTGCGCGAGGACTCGAAGATCCCGACCCTTTGTGGTGCCGGCTTGTGTGCCGATGCGAATGAGGGCGGTGACGATGAGAGGCCGACGAGCTTGAATGCCGGTGGTGAGATCGATGGCTACGATGATGCCGACCTCCACTACGGCGATGTGACGGCGAAGACGAGGCATTGACGTCGTCCTCATTCAGTAGGGGGCCAGGAGGGGACGGGGGCCACACAATGTACGAAGCTGCTTCGCGCTTCTCTTCACGCTCAGTCAGCGCATGTGGTGCGTGTTCGACAGCGTTTGTCCAAGCGCTACCAAAACTACTGCTGTCCGTGTTGCTACGGGCAGCTCTCTGCATGAATCGGAAGGGTGAGGGCACACATTATGGCCTCGAGCTGCAGGGAAATAAGCAGACTACCACACTGACGGGCAGGCGGCACCTGCTGAAAGGCCTGCGGGGTATGTCACGTGATGTTGGCGGCACGCACAACGTGCGAGTGATAGGTGCATGTCGCAGTCGAACAAGAAAGAATATGGTAGGAGTGCTTGTGGACCCAAAAAAGAACAAAATGGTCCGTCAATCTCCATTCCCTGTTCCACACTGATTTGTCGGACTACGCCGCTATACAGTGACTTCATTGTGTAGCACACCTGTTCTGTACCACCTTACTGTTCCCGCAGTAGGTATTTGATGAACTTTCAGCTTGATATCGCAAGTTGAACCGCGAGACAACCAGGCTCCTCCCTTCTTATCTTGAATATCGTTGCACGGTACGTCCCAAGCACCAGTACTCGCATGTGCAAATGCTAACACCTGCAATAGCGAGAAAGCACCAATACCACGAATACGACCATGACTATTGTCAATATTCGCCGCGATGTGGATGACAAGTTCTACCGATACCGCATGCCACTCCTCGAGACAAAGATTGAGGGAAAAGGCAATGGAATCAAGACTGTCGTGCCCAACATGTCGGACATTGCTCGCGCATTAAGCCGGCCACCGTCGTACCCAACCAAGTACTTTGGCAGTGAACTGGGTGCGCAGACAATTATCGACGACAAGAATGATCGCTACATCGTGAACGGTGCACATGATGCGAACCGCCTTCGTGAGCTGCTAGATGGCTTCATTGACAAGTTCGTGCTGTGTGGCGACTGCAAGAATCCAGAGACGGATCTCAAGATCAAGGACGGCGATATTTTGCGCGACTGCAAGGCTTGCGGAAAGCGCAACTACGTCGATATGGGCCACAAGCTTGTGACATTCATCCTGAAGAACCCGCCCCCGAAGCGCGTGAAGGGCACGAAAGGTGCCGGTGCCTCGAGTGGGCAATCTGTGCAAACTGGCAATGATGAAGAAGCAGCTAATAGTGATGATGAGCTGACGCGCCGCATTAATGCAGAGGCATCGCGGATCCCAACTGCTGATCAGCGTGCCAAGGAAGCAGACGCAGACGAAGATTGGTCCGTCGACACCTCGGAAGCGGCCGTCGCTGCGCGTGTTAAAGCTCTAGAAGGTGCGATGAATGTGCTGAACGTTGGCGCAGAAGATGACGAGGGCGGCGATGATGATGACGCTAGTCCGTACGCGCAATTTGGCACGTGGATCCTCGAGGAGCGCGAGGCTGGCAAGACGCCTAGTGCTGCTGAGGTGTACCGCAAGGCACAAGAGATGGGCATTGAAAAGAAGCACAAGACACTGCAAGTGCTATTCCAGGCGCTATTTTCTGAAAATGCACCGACAGAAGTTCAGTCGTATGGACCATTGCTTTTAAAGATGGTTACGTCAGAAAAGCACCAAAAGTCGATGCTTGGAGGTCTGGAGCGACTCGCTGGTTTAGAACATCCCTCGCTCGTCCCAAACGGCGTTCCCAAGCTCCTAATGGCACTGTACCAGATGGATGTTCTGGACGAAGATGTTGCGCAGCAGTGGGGCACGCATGTATCGAAGAAGTATGTCGACAAGGAGACCTCGAAGCGCGTGCGGAAGGCAGCGGCGCCCTTCTTGGAATGGCTCGAGCAAGCTGAGAGCGATGATGATGATGAGAGTGAGGATGGCGATGATGACGAAGAGGATGACGACGAAGACGAGGATGTGAAGAAGCAGACAGGAAGGCGCGCGGCTGCCCAGTCCACGTCAGAGTACCAAAAAGGCGATAGCGATTTGGATGACTTGTAGAGCAGGGGACGTTGCTTAATTTGCGAGTCCCAAATAGATGCATAGCTACTGTGAAAGCATCTTCCTACGTCTTGTTAATGGAAGACGTGCAAGGCCATACGGCATTCAGTTTGCCTATCGTGGCTTTCGCGTGCTTGAACAAAGGTAGTTGTCAATATGAATGCGGAGCTGGAAGGACATGAAGGATGAGTGATTAGTCAGTTTACCCTCCACTATAAAGTGGCTGAAGCTAATGTTACATTGGGGGGATACGAGAATGTATTTGTTGAATACGGAGTCAGCGTTGGCAACGAGTGAGTACGCAGTCAAACACAGATATGCCGAGTGCTTGGTCGGCCACATATACACTTTCAACTCCGGTTCCTGGAACGGGACACTCGCAAAATGAGAGTGTAAGACGCGCATCTGCCACACAGACTTTGAGCGTGCCAGATGTGCTGGATCGGCCGCGCGACAAGACACGCGGCGCGGAAGTGAGTCATAGTGCACTGCAATTCTTGTTTGCCGAGATGGTCATATATGCGCAGGGTCGTGTGTCTGGAATAAGTGAGTTTGAGCAATTACTAGGCTCGATGGGCCGGCAGGTGGGACTTCGGGCTTTGGCCATGCAAACACAGCGAGCGCAGTCGGCGTCGAATCCAAAAAGGCCACAGCGCGAGACGCGCCTTTTGAAAACGCTGTTATGGGTGCATTCGACACTATGGAAGGCCGTGTTCGGTGTACAGGCCGATAATTTAGAGCGCAGTACGGAGAGTGATCGTTCAGATGAATGTACGTATTCCATAAGCAGATGGAAGGAGTGCGTGAGCGAGTGAGCGAAAGAAAGAGGCTACAAAACGGAGGAGATGATTTGTGCTTGCTCGAAACATGTACTAATGCATTAGATATGATTACGACCAATGTGCCACTATTTTCACGAGGGATCTCTGTACCAAAAGAAATGACGCAACTCAGTGTCGAGGCGTATGCGGCAGGGATCGTGGAAGGAGCATTGGATGGACTAGGCTTTGTAAGTATGGATGGATAAATACACGGCGGCGAGGACTGCAGCAGCATGCTTTAGACAAGCTGGAATCCTCTGTATGGACGATTCGCTAACTGAGCAGCCAGCACGTGTGACAGCACATTCTGTGCCGACAGATGCGTATCCGGATCGAACAACGATCCTCATCAAGCTGGACCGCACAGTCATAGAGCGAGAGACGGCAATGGGTGGGCCTTAGATGGCTACGATGTATCTTCTGATTCATAGTACGACGCAAATATTGGTTCGGACCGCAACTGCGGCAAACGCTCAACGACATGATACACGTGGAGAAACAGCGCCGGAAAGCGGCGCGTGAAATATGACAAGAAACCTTCAGGCATCGGACTAAGCTGTTTTTTGAGCGCGAGCGGCATGTCCTGGAAATGGTGCTTTTTGTTTCGCAATACGCGTAAGAGGTCCTGGACGCTCGCCGAGTTGTACGTGCGGAATTTGCCAAGGTCGTCCAAGAAGGTGCGGTCAAAGCGACGACGCCAATCAGTGCCAACGACTGACGAAGCATTCTGCTCAAGTAGTTCCAGCGCAAAAGCGGGTGGATTGCGCTCGAGTGTCTCGAAGCGGTCACTCACGTCTTGAAGAAAAGCTACGCGTTTGGCGGCGTTCCAAAAGAAGGGATGCCGTGCAACGTCCGACGCCGTCGGCCGCTTCGTCGCATCCGTGTCAATCATGCGCATGATCAGAGCTTCAGCCTCGACGATGTCATCGCCTGATGCAGTAAGCGCATGTAAATCGACTTTGTTTTGGAGAATATGCATTTCCCGCTCATACATCTCACCAAATGGATGTGCACCACGCGTGAGCATGTAATAAGCGACACAGCCAAGCGAAAATATGTCTACAGCCCGGGTGAGACGCTCCCTGCCGCAAATGGGTCCGGACGCCGTATCGTGGCCACGCAGGAGCTCAGGAGCGCGCCACCCAATAGTGCCGCCAGCGTGGGCAGATTGTGTCTGTGCACTGAAAGACAAGCCATCAATTTTTTTCGAGAGCCCGAAATCAGACAGAAGAACGCGCAATTTCTGTTGAGATGTGAGTGACACGAGAATGTTGCCAGGCTTAATGTCGCGATGCACAATCGACAAGGAATGTAGATGCACTAGGCCAGCGGTGATTTGCTTGAATGCCTGCCGAGGCTCAAGCAAGGAGGCCAGCTCGGTATGGTCAAGGGGACGTTCAATCAAGTCAGCCAGGCTGGCAGGACACTCTTCGAGTGCGATGTACAGAAAGTTGGGCGTCAGTTCCTGGCAATAGTATCGTATAACATTGGGGTGGTTGTCGGCCGACTGAAGTAACGAGACTTCTTTCGATGCAAGATGCACAAAGTCACGCAGGAGGCGCTTCACCGCAACAGCGCGGCCTTGAAACGTGCCACGGAACACAACGGTGCCTGACGAACCATAGCCAAGCACTTCATCCGAGATTTGCAGTGATGTCGATGGCAGCTCGACTAATGATGCTGGGGTATCATGAGATGCATCACTTGGCACCAACGCGGACGACGCCGACTCCGGCGCCAAGGCGTGGATGGACGAGTTTGCCGCGGGTTCTGCATTGAGAGACGTCGGGGCCGTGGCTAAGGCTTTGGAAGAGTCGACTGCTGATCGCAGCGGAGAGGCGGGTTCAACAGACCCCTCGCGACGCGCCTGACGTGCAAGAACAGCAGCTCCTGCGCGCTTGCCACGCCGACGGCGCCGGCGCTTAGGATCCGCCTCGCACTCTTGTGGAGTCTGAGGATCGGGTATCGGTGGCGATGCATGAGTGCTAGATTCCTCCTCCACTTGCTCGGAAGACGACGATCGCACGATTGTGGTGCTACCGGCCAAAGTAGGAGTTGGGGGTGATGTCGTGGCTGGAGTCGCTGCTAGAGTCGTCGCTGCGCTGACACCGACCGTGTTGTCTTTCATGGGTGGTGAACTCGGTGAAACTCGAGTGTCTGGGAATGCCAATGATGAAATGTCCAAGTACTTCGGCTGGGAGTCGCGCCATATGAAATAACAACCGCGGTAGATAATAAGCAGAATCAACATGAGACCGGCGAGTTGAGCTATGCGCCACTTGGTAAACCATGGCGCGTGGGACACTGGTGCTTGGACAGGTGCTTCCAGCTGTAAAATCGGCTGCGACGCAGCGCCAAGCATTGGCAAGGCATGCTGGGGTGATAGAACGGGGGAGCGAACTCGGTAACCCCCGATCCAAGGACGCAAAACTTTTTGGTCTACGCGTGAGGAATCCATGGCTGGATCACGAGCATCGCTACTGCCACGCAGTATAGCCGCATGCTCCGACAGACCTGCAAGGGGGTATCTTGCACTGCTCAATGCAAACAGACTGCCATCAGAAGCCGAACCGATAAAGGCATTCAGCTGGTATTCATCCGTCGATGATGACGATGACGATGACGACGAAGTTGGCATATCCTGCTGATCTGGCTGGTCTCGCGGGTCTCGCCGTAGCTGCTGCTCAACAATGGTGCTTAGTATGCCGGGACTGTGCGGAACGAGTGCTGGACGCAGCAGTGGTGCATCCATAGCCGATGGTGCAAACACCACATCGTATATATCCACAGGCAACTCTCCGAGACGTACTGACCAGAGAACAGGCGGCATTGGCTGCGTGCTGTGCCTCTGAGGATTGCGAGCAAGTCGCAAATCGAAGCAGATGAGCGTGGCATTCTCGGGTGACGATAGAATGGCCCGGTGATCGGCCGGTTGATTCATCTGGTGCCATAGCTGCACGACATCGCGGTCGGCCATATTCGGTGTGTACACATGGTAGTGAACTGATTGTTCGGCCTGTGGCACATGGCGTACATGCACCTTGAGCGTGTAATCTGTGCGGCCCACATATACCCACGGCGACTCTATAGCATCATCGTCTTCATCAATAACGTCGTAGGTGTCATCATCAGTATCCAAGGGAGCATGGGTGTCTTGTTCACGAAACACTCGCGGTCTCGCTGGCAGCGGCTTGCCCACCAGGTCCGCCGCCTCATGGCTACTGCCGCTGTACACGGCACGTACAGTGCCGGTAAATACATTCAGCTCCATCAAAGACGTGCGTTTCTCAGCAACGAAAATGCGAGGGTCGTCCGAGTGCAGAGAGAAGGGACTCATTGACACGAGCTCAGGCAACGAGAACGGCAACTTGTCCAAGATGGGCTTCGTTGCACCCACTGGTATATGCAGCAGGTACAAGTGACCGGCCTGCGACGGCTCAACGACGTAGAAGCCTCCGCCCTGTAATGCGCGAAGCAGTGTCGAGTCGCCATGGTCACGCGCATCTTTTGCCAACTGCTCCATCGTCCGATGCTGATACGTGGACGCAACAAGCGGCGACGTGTGCAGCGAGTCCTCATTCGCCTGAAATGACCATAGCACATGCCCAGAAGTACGATCAATTCCATGTAGGCGCCCATCAAGGGTCGTCACAACAAGCACATTCGAGAGCTCCAGGTCATGGACGGTGAGTGGGTCCGTCGGCAATGTCGCATAAGGCAAGTGCGCATCCACATCCATCCGTTGCAGTGCTTGGTTTGCTGCATGCACAAGCACGCAGACCGTGGATACGACGAGTGTGAGCCACATGCATAGTCGCATTGTGCTCCCCTCGCGCAATGGCGCAATCGGGTCGTGCAGGAACCGCCTACTGTCACTACGGATTCGTGGGGAGTCAGGGGTACGAGTGCCAAGTGATGATTCATAAGCCACGTGAGCAACGCACAAAAAAGGGGGGTGAGTGGGTGGCGGCGGCGCCGGCAGGTCTAGGCACAGTCTTAGTAGCCACACAGGCTCGATATGACAACTGGCGAGTCTATGAAATAATTCAATGGTTCTCCCGGCGTGGCGAGGGCACGTAATATCTCCCAAAGGTACGCATCAAAAGTATAAAGGAAGAAAGGTATGGAAGAGGATGGATCGTGCACTATCAAGACACTCAATGAACGAGGAAAAGTGGCTCTCTCGTAGGCATGCAGAAATGTGGACCTGACAAGCGGAGACTAGGCATTGCGATGTAGATTGGCCTTAACCAATGGGCTGAGACGTGAAATATGAATACGAGAGACGTAAAAGAAACAGGGGATCACGCGGGCAACCAACGTACGCCTAACCGACGCACCAGCTAAAGAAAAGAACACCACTCTCACTACTCTGGACCTCATGCTCATACTGATAGGCCACGTGACACGTTGGCGGCTCGTTCCACGTAAGCCGGGCACACGACCGTGTCAGTGTTGGCCTGGGTGTAAGAGAAACGATATCGACGACGACGAGGATGGCGACGACGACGACAGTTGACGATGCTCAGCCCCCGACGCTGCAAAACATCCTAGACCAGAAATCCCTCAAGTGGATTTTCTGCGGTGGCAAGGGTGGTGTCGGTAAGACGACGACTTCCTGCTCGCTTGCAATCCAGCTTGCGAAAGTGCGGGAGAGCGTGCTGTTGATCTCGACGGATCCCGCACACAATCTTTCAGATGCATTCGGCCAAAAGTTTGGGCGCGAGGCTGTGAAAGTGAATGGCTTCAGCAATCTGAGTGCCATGGAAATCGACCCTACAAGCAGCATGCAAGAAATGATCGAGCAGTGTAAGTGAGCCAGCCTTTTCTATAGGGGTCACCCAGCCTGTACTGACCCATGCGTGCAGCGGAGCAGCGAGGTGGTGCACTCGCGCCATTTATGCAGGACCTCGCTTTTGCAATTCCCGGTGTTGACGAAGCAATGGGCTTTGCAGAAATCATGAAGCTTGTCAAGTCGATGGAATACAGCGTGGTCGTGTTTGACACGGCGCCCACTGGTCATACTTTGCGCTTCCTCAGTTTTCCAAGTGTCCTAGAGAAGGCACTGACAAAATTCAGCTCGTTTGGAAAGAGCCTCGGCCCCATGTTCCAGCAGTTCCAGAGCATGATGGGCGGTGGTGCCAATGCTCAAGAAGACATGTTTGCCAAGCTTGAGGGCATGCGCCAGGTCATTACGGAAGTGAACTCGCAGTTTAAGGACGAAACAAAGACCACATTTGTGTGTGTGTGTATTGCTGAGTTCTTGTCACTCTATGAAACGGAGCGCCTGATCCAAGAACTCACGCAGTATGGTATCGATACGCACGCTATCGTATGCAACCAGCTGTTGTACCCTCCACCAGGCTCCCAGTGTGAGCACTGCCGTGTGCGAAAAGCCATGCAAGATAAATATGTGCATGAAATGATGGATTTGTATGCGGAGGACTTTAATGTCGTCAAGATTCCGCTGCTGACAGAAGAAGTGCGTGGTCCTGAGAAGCTCTCATCGCTCTCGGAATATCTCATGCATCCATATCAACCTCCTCAGTAAAGACATATTCGGAATATCTTGTCCCCGCTCCCTGCATCGCTTGGCAGCAGCGGCTGCAGCTTTGGGACCTACAGCGGTTCGCAGTGTGAGTAGCATGATATTAGATCCCTTTGTGTATGAATGGCTCGAAGATCGTTGCGCTGCGATGTCAGTATTAGCTGCCTGTAGAAAAAAAAAAAGAACATGAAAATCACGTACTGCGGTGGCACGATCACATTGTGCCCATTGCTGCGGATCGTTTCCCGCTTGACATCGCGCGCCAGTGGACGTCGCATGTCTTGCAAGCTGTTAGTAACGTGCACTTTCGTAGCGGTCACCTAGCCAGCTGCTACTTTTCGTACGTACCATATCCGTCTTCTGGCTCGTTAGGAGGCATGCCTTGGTAATACGCATGCACGCGGCGGTACACAGAGTACCCGCGCTTTTCGTACATGTCGACGGCCTTTTTGTTGGATGGACGCACAAATAAGTCTACAAAGTATCCGCGGTACACATGCTCGGAGCAGTACTCGAAAAAGTCCATGAGCATGTGTGCGACACCCAGCCGCCGGTACTCGGGCGCAACAGTGACAGCCGTGATATGCCCATGCAAAGTGGGCTCCTGTTGCTTTCGCCTCTTTGGATCTGTGCGAGGTTCTTTCCCTTCCGCCTTTCCAAGCACATACCCCATCAAGTTGCCCGTATGGGCCGCACATGCCGTGAGTGTCATGTCTGGCCATTGAGCAAGGTAGCTCAAGTAGAACCCATTGCTGTATGTTTCAGTCCAATGGTCCATGTTTACATTGTTGAATGCAAACAAGTCCCGTGCGCAGAAAGGACGCACGGTCGTCATCACGTCTATCAGACGACTTGGCTGGGGTGAATAGCAAGTGGCTGCCGCGAATAGACTGGACGATGGAGGGTGTTCCCAGCGTGCCTGGAAAATGGGCGCATTTTGGGCAAGACGCGACGCGCCAACTCCACAGCGTGGTTATGTGCTCAAAACCTCCACGAACGCGTGCGACACTTTCAGTCCAAGTTACGCTCACCCGAGTGTGCGACTGTGCGCTGCTGATCGACATCGAGGCATGGATGCAGCGTATGCCACTCACCGATGTATAGGAGCTCTGCATGCCATTCACGCGCGGCATGTTTGTTGCGTAGATGCACAGCCATGCTTTGTTGCTCTTCGGCGGCAGCACGAAATACCGTTCTATGTCACATCCATTGTGCCGGGACCTCATGCCATGTGGGGTGAGTGCACAGGTGCGCCGATTCATGCAGAGTTCGATTTTGCTCCTTGGATGCGTAAAGATGGTGGTCTTGCCGCTCGTGTTGTGCTTGTATCGCTCTGGGTGCAAATATGTGGTGAATGGCACTGCCATTGGGAACGGGTACTGAATCTCTTGGACACCATGCCAGTCGGCGCCGACATGGCCGCACTGTCTTCTTGCCCACCTAATCAACCAAGCGTCTATGTGTGCTTACGCCGAAATGATACCCAGTATGAATACTTTGCCGTGGAACATAAGAATACCAATTCTCCTGTCCCCTTGAAAACTCATACACTCACGACACATGCGCCCGCTCGCTCATGTACATGGTCTGATTTAGAGCATCTTGTGCACGATTGTTCTGAGATTTCACGTTTGTGCGAAGCAAACGACTTGCTAGAAATGCGCTGTGCTCCAGCACTCATAGATATGTCGACACTCGCACGGAAGGTACGTCCTTGATCATGCAATGCACCGGCACTAACCACAACGTTGCGTACCATATCTCCCTTTACAACCACAGCGCTACCAGTACGAACTGCACGATACGCTTGATCAACTTCGACACACATCGGAAGAGCGCAAACATGATCTGAGGAGATGTACGTATTGCAGTGAGCTATTTGCTCGCGTGCGCATTCGCTTACGTCGGTCAGTGCGCCGCGATTTGGAGGAGCGCCAGTATGCGCTTCAAGAGCGACGAGACAGGCTGCAGCAAGGCCGAATGAAGCTCGAGAGCATAAACAATACATGCACCCAATTGTGCACTGAGAGCAACCATGTAAGCACAGAGCTCCGTGCTGTGCAAGTGCGACTATCAAATGAACGCGCGCGACTTTTACGTGAGCTGGATCTCATCTATCCTATCGATCTCGTGAATGCACGCGACTTACTGTACTCGTTGGTTGGCATGCCCCTTCCAAATGGCATTGCCACGACGAAAGCAAACGCAAGCGCTCTCGTGCATAAGACGGACATGGTGGAGGCATCCACAGTACTTTCGTATGTGGCACAGATTGCTCTTCTGCTCAGCAAATATCTTCACACACCATTGCCCTACCCACTCACATCAGTAGGCAGTCGTGCCACTATACAAGATCGTATCAGTGTGATGAGTGGACCTCGCTCGTACGTGCACCCATCCTTTCCCTCTCCATGACATACAGCTTTACTCACACGTGTTTGCATTTGCAGGTTCCTTCTTTCTGGTCAATATAACGAGCTGTATCGCTACGAGTATGCTGTTTTCCTGCTCAACAAGGACTTGGAGCACCTTATGAACAAATATGGCGTTCCTGTGCTAGATCTTCGCAACACTTTACCGAATCTCAAGAACCTGCTCGTGACTTTGTCAGCAGCACCAGCATGATCATATAGACAGCCTCGTAGATCAGGCCTGCAAGCCACTCCCTGCACACCATCTACCTTGACCTTGTTTGCATCTAGTGGAGGCAAGAGTGGGTGGAGAAAGCAGCCTTAATTCTTCACGCGACGCGTGATGCGCGCGTGCATAGAACGTTCAGCACATTACGTGCGTGTCGCCGTGTTGGCAGAGACGTACGCGATCTGACTCATTGAGGTGAGCTTCGCTCGACACTATTCGTATCGTGGTCCGTCGTCTTGGCTTTCTGCGCTGCACAGTCGATGATCGTGCATTGGCCGCGCGAGACGGGCGATGATGCTCGATTGGGCGTGCGGGAATCACTCGACTATGCTCAAGCGTACAAACACATCTGCTCTATGGCTCGGCGGCGAGTATTGGGCGGCAGCAACGATCCCGACACCGGTACCCCCCCTGCTATAGGTGGAGCAACTGTGCTCATTGTAACGACGCCTCATGTCGATTCACTGGCGGCCACGCGCATTCTGACTCAGCTCTTGGTGCATGACGAGGTGCCATTTCGTCTAGTGCCTGTCAATGGCTACAGAGCCCTGCGACGGATTCTTGCTCAGGACGTGCATGAACACCACGAACTGCACACACTTATATTTGTGAATCTCGGATCACTACTTTCCTTGCCCCAAATGATGCCCCTCCCGCCGCACTGTACATTGCATGTGATTGACTCCCACCGGCCGTGGAACCTAACCAACCTATTTGCGACGTCGCGGCTCAATGACCAAATATGGATCTGGGACGACGGAGAAATTGCGCAGCGCCTCGGAAAAGAACGCGAAGCCTTTGAAATGCTCGAGTTTGATTATGAGTCTGACTCAGAGTCAGAGTCTGGATTGGAGCAGGAGCTGGAACCCGAGCTGGAATTCGATTCAGAAGCGGAGTCAAGGCCAGACTCTCGAGGCCATCACCCTGACACAAACCCAGAGCCTAGCACCAGCGAGGACCATACCATTCTTATGGAAGCGTCGAGAAAACGCTCCCATTCTCCCAGTCGTAAGGAGCGCAGCTCGAAACGCACCCGTCTCGATGCGTCGCAGCGCCAAATATACCGCGCCATACTCGCAAAATATTACGCGCGAGGAAGCTCGATAGGCATGAGTACAGCACAGATGATGTACATGCTCGCCGTGTCGCTTGGTCGCAGCGATCGCGATAGCCTATGGTATGCAATCCTGGGCTTGACTTCCCAATACACGTCGAATGCGATTCATGCGACTGCATACGATGGATACGCAGCCGCCCTTGCTTCCGACGTTGTTGCCATGAATGCTGTGAGTGATCAAGATACCCCATCGACCCTTCCAGGCGTCAATGTACATGGCGCAGATGATTCGTCCATCCGTGTTCTCCCTGAAGAGCTACGGTTCACGCTTTACCGGCATTGGAGTCTGGAAATGAGCATGTACCATACCAGCTATGTGGCTGCAAAACTCGGGATCTGGCGCGAAAAGGGGATCCACAAACTGCGTGGACTTCTCGCCAAAATGGGCCTCTCACTGGCAAACTGCCGACAGACATACGAGCACATGGAACTCGATCTACGTGAATCGCTCGTGCAGCGGATGGAGTCAATTGCGCCTGAGTATGGGCTTGTTGACTTGACGTTTCGCTCGTTCTTGCGGGCGTATGGATTTCGATCTATGCCCATTAGCGCATGCGATGCCGTCGAAGGCATCGCTGCGTTGCTCCAAGCAGCACATGGTGTCCGCATCGAAATCGACGGCGTCCACATCGTTCGGTCCGAATCGACCGTACACGGAGGCACTCTACCGATGGACCGTGCCGTGTCCTCTTATGGTGGACGAACGCTCTGGGTACTCAATGATGACGAAGGCCTGCATATACCTGCGCTTTCCCGAGGCAACAGCCAAACGCCGGGATATTTGGACTCCAGCACAAGTGGGCTGCAACCAATCCATGCAAACGAGCCTCAAGCTATGGCTCACGCACCGTCCAGCTCATTCGCATATGAGAATAAAGAAATCGACAGTGATACGTCGGCTGTTTGGGTGAAAAACTTTTTCGAAGCGTACCGTGCCATGGACGCATACAGGCCACAGAATGTGGCGCTTCTTCAAGCATCCTTGCAGCTAGCCAAGTCTCTGCACCAGGCCATCGTTGCGCAAGGTGTCAGTATTATTGTAAAGCAGTCCATCAAGACACTTCGCTCATTCCGACTGACAATCCTTCAAGAAGGTCCCTCGTTGCATCTGTTTGTGCAACCAGACACTCTCACGCGACTTGGCTACTGGCTCATTGACGCATTGCGCGATATTGTGAGCGAACAGCACGCAAAACGAATGGAAGCGAGACGCGAACGGAGACGTAGCAAGGGCTCCAGTGGGGATGACACCCTGGACAGTCTATCATCGGCTCTTACCACACTGCCCTTTGTCCTAGCGGCTCTAGATGCATCGCGTGACGTGTTCGTCGTTGTAGGCATTGTCGGCGCAGCTGAATATGGCGATGTTGCAAAAAATCAATTCGGCTTAGCGTTTCAAGATGCTGCGGAACTCAGTGGTGCTCGGATGCGGAATGATCTCTTTGAATCGAGTGTCTTGGAGGTTCGTCGCGCCGATCTCATGCCGTTCGTCGAGGCACTTCATCTCAAAGCGTGACTGCAAAATGTTTAACGTGCCAAAGCACTCAGCAGCATTACACTTTAGTGTACGCGTCCCTCTTCACGACTTTACCATGGTGAATCTAATCACTTTCTCGCACGTCCCAACCGTGTTAGTTGAAAATCGGTCTCGCGCTTGATTGTTTGGCCAGGCCCGATTTCATCACTTGTCACGCCATCATCAATGACTCCCCTCCCACAGCCACAAATGGTTTTGTCCACTGAGCCTGAGCTCGCAGGGCACGTGACGTAGACATATGGCGGCTTAGCCCCACGCGCGTTGATAGAATAGACTTTGATTGGCCTATGTTTCGGCCGGGCATGTCTTTTTCCAGTGTCCCCCCAGGACAAAGTAGGACCTCGGCACACCCATTTCTTATCGCACGCCGGTGGTAGTAATACGCGTTCGGAGCGTGCGCGCGACGAGCTTTTTTCAGTGTGTTGGAGCGCGTGCATCACGCGTCCTTAGCGACACGTTGCTATACTATACCCTGCGTTTCCTCTTCGACGAATAGTCTCAATACAACCAAGAGCGCGACCACGCGAAGCCCTCACTGCGCAACCGCTTTAGCACTCCCACTTAGTTCCGTGGGACGGATCCATCTGGGTTTCTTACACGATCTGTCCCCTCAGCGACAAGATGGTGGAGGCTTCTGCACCCTCCGCTTCAACGACCGCGCCTGGTTCCGGTGTCTCGCCTACACCTACACCCTTGTTCGGTCATGCTACGCAGCCACCAGCTCCTGATCCTGCACCAGCGACGCCAAATGCCATTCTAGCGCAGCTGCCACCTCATGTGCAACAGCAACTTGCAGGCATGACGAAGGAGCGTTTGCAATACATTGTTTCGGTTCGTGTTTTGTAACGTGCACCTTTCCATACTAACCTAGTACAGCGCATGCAGCAGCTCCGCTCTAGTGGCCAAAACGAGCAATCAAGTCCAGAATTTGCCTCACTTGTCCAGACACTCAAGACGTTCCAATACCTCCAGCATTTGCGCATGCAGCAACTTGCAGCAGCTTCTCAAATGCGTCCACCACCCACAAGTGTGCCGACCGATAAGCCTCTGCCACATGCGCCTATGCCTCCCTTGAATAACATGGCAAACGGGACCGCAGCTGCTGTCGGCTCTTCTTCGTCTGGTCCCATCCCACCGCCCATGTCAGTGCCCCCTTCAGATCCTATGCCGGCACCCGTCCCTATGCCGGTTTCTGGCCCATCTCTTCCAGCTAGCGTTGCACCCGGCCTCGAGCCTGCGCCTGGACCCGTGCCTCCCTTTGCTACACCTGCGCCTCAAGTACCTGCTGCGTCGCAAGTCCAACCCTCACTTACGCATGATCAGATCCAGGGTCTTCGGGCGCAAGTGTCAGCCTACAAGCATCTTTCTCGGAATGAACCAATGGCGACTCAACTTCAGCAACATGCCAAGGATCTTTCGAATCCCTCAGATGCATCAGTCGCTTCTTCAATTGCAACTAAAGTAGCTGATGCAGCTGCTGACTCACACGCTGCGCTTACCGCGGCACATGGTCACAACTCGATGAAGCCACTTACATCGGGTCCGGAGGCCTCTGCTTCGACTAGCTCGGCGGCATCCCACGTCACGAAGCGTCTGGACTTACCGCACGATGATCCATCGAGCCGTGTGTATCCATACAATGCCTATCTTCATCCTTTTACGTCGCTTGCGAAGCCTAGCTTCAAGGACGGCAACGACCTTGCTTCTTTGCAGCAGCGATTGCTTGTACCGAGTTTGCTTCCTGCTGGAATTGATTTACACCTTCTTCTAGAAGAGCGTGAGCGCTTTATTCAGACACGAATTCAACAACGGATTCGAGAACTTGAGTCATTCCCTGCAACGCTTCCGCAGGTCCCATCCAACTCAATGTCCCAGTCATTTTCGCGCTTATCGTCAGCCTCCTCCTCATCGTCGTCCTCATCGCCGGCGGAATCACCATCTTCTACGTCTTCACCGGCGCCGTCGCATACAAAACAAGCGCAACATGATGTGCGCGCGAGTGATTCTGCTAGTTTTCAGATACCCCAGCACCCCAACTCCAAGCTTAAAGCACTCATTGAACTCAAGTCTCTCCACTTGCTCGAACGCCAAAAGCAGATGCGGGAGAAGATCTTGGTGAGTATGAACCTGGCCACATCACTGGGTCTTGATCGCTCTGCGTTCCGCCGGGTGCGCAAGCAAGCGCTCCGCGACGCTCGTGTCACCGAGCAACTAGAGCGGAAGCAGCGCACAGAACGTGAGCGTAAGGTGAAGCAGCGCCACACAGATTACCTCACGATGATTTGCGCGCACGGCAAGGATTTACTGTCGGCTCACAGCAAATCGTCAGATCATTGGAGAAAGATCGGCCGAATGGTGCTCAAGTTTCATGCCGACACGGAGCGGGAGGAACAGAAACGCATCGAACGCGTTGCAAAGGAGCGTCTCAACGCTTTGAAAGCTGATGATGAGGAAGCTTATTTGAAGCTGATTGACACTGCTAAGGACACGCGCATCACACACCTCCTTCAACAGACAGACGCATACCTGGACAATCTTGCACAGGCTGTGCGTGCTCAGCAAGACGACGATTCTCATATTGATTGGGCCACTACCGATGGCACGGATGGTGCAGCTGTTGATGAGACGACATTCGGTGCTTCTCGTCAAGATGATCCCACCGATGATGCTGGCCGTGCCGACTATTACTCGGTAGCTCATCGCATCACTGAAAAAATCACTGAACAGCCCTCGATCTTGGTTGGTGGCAAATTGAAAGAGTATCAAATGAAGGGATTGCAATGGATGGTCTCATTGTACAACAACCGACTGAATGGGATTTTGGCGGACGAAATGGGTTTGGGCAAAACCATTCAGACTATCTCGCTCATCACTTTTCTGATCGAGAACAAAAAGCAGAACGGACCATACCTTGTCATTGTACCTCTCTCGACGCTGACCAACTGGGTAAATGAATTTCACAAATGGGCCCCGTCTGTATCAACTCTTGTGTACAAAGGCACGCCAAATGTACGAAAGCAACTTGCCGGTCAGCTGAAGATGGGCACGTTCCAGGTCCTGCTGACGACGTACGAATACATTATCAAGGAAAAGAGTTTGCTAGGCAAGATTAAATGGACGCACATGATCATCGACGAAGGTCATCGCATGAAGAACACACAGAGCAAACTCACTGTGACTCTGACCCAGTCCTACTCAAGTCGCTACCGTCTGCTTCTTACCGGCACGCCGTTGCAAAACAATTTACCAGAGCTGTGGGCGCTTCTCAACTTTGTCTTACCAAAAATTTTCAATTCTATAAAGAGTTTTGACGAATGGTTCAATACACCGTTTGTGAACACAGGAACGGGCGATAACAGTATGCAGCTTAATGAAGAAGAGGCTCTTCTTATCATCAAGCGTCTTCACAAGGTCTTGCGTCCCTTCTTGCTTCGTCGATTGAAGAAAGATGTCGAGTCTGAACTTCCTGACAAGGTCGAGAAGGTCATTACGTGTCGCATGAGCGCTTTGCAACTTAAGCTTTACCAACAGATGAAGCGACACAAAATTATTCTTGGTGATGCCGGCGCTGGTAGCGGCGCGGCGAATGGCAAAGGTCCCCAAACCGATGGGAATCCGCGGTTTGCAAAATGCTATTATGCAACTACGCAAGATTTGCAACCATCCCTATGCATTTGAACAAGTGGAAGCAACGATCAACCCTTCGAAAGAGAATGGTCCTGATTTGTATCGAGTCGCTGGCAAATTTGAGCTACTTGACCGCATTCTACCGAAGTTATTCGCAACGGGTCATCGGGTCTTGATCTTTTTCCAAATGACTGCCATTATGGACATCATGGAAGACTTTCTACGATTCCGTGGAATCAAGTACCTGCGTCTTGATGGATCGACAAAGCCGGACGATCGATCTGTCCTTCTCAGGCAGTTCAACGATCCGAACTCCGAGTATGACGTCTTCATCCGGTCGACACGTGCTGGTGGCTTGGGCTTGAACTTGCAGTCTGCTGATACAGTCATTATTTACGACTCCGATTGGAATCCACACCAAGACTTACAGGCCCAAGATCGCGCGCACCGTATCGGTCAGAAAGTAGAAGTGCGGATTTTGCGACTCGTAACTGAGAAGTCGGTGGAGAAAACTATTCTTGCTCGTGCTCAATCGAAGCTGGAAATCAACGGGAAAGTCATCCAAGCCGGCAAATTTGATAACCAGGCGACTGCAGATGAGCGAGAATTGCTTCTTCGTGCTATGCTGGAGGCAGACAATGAGGAGGAGGAAGAAGAACAAGGCGAACTCAACGATGACGAGCTCAATGAACTACTCGCGCGCAGCGATGAAGAAGTGGCCAAATTCCAACAGGTTGATCGTGAGCGCATAGCCGACGAAGAGACGGAATGGCGAGCTCTTGGCCATACAGGTCCTATGCCTGATCGTCTTATCCAAGAACATGAGTTGCCAGCAATCTACCAACGCGACTTCGATACTGATGTCATCGACGGCATCGAAGAAGAGCAGCCGTTGACCCGTCGACGGAATGTAGTGCGTTATGATGATGGCCTCACCGAGGAGCAGTTTCTTCGTGCTCTTGAAGATGAGGAAGACTTGAACGAGGTTGTCGAACGAAAACGGGAACGTGCCGAAAAACGTCGTCTCAAGCACTCGGGCCAAGACCCGGAGGCAAAACTTTCTAAGGATGCGCGTTCTGAATCTCCTGCAGATGCTGCAACTAATGATAAGAAGCGCAAGGTCCTGGAAGATGGAGAACAAGCTGTCATGGCGGAAGCGATGCCCGATTCTGCAGATGCTGCTGCCATCTCTAAGCGGCGCAAAATTAGTCCTGACTTTGAACGACTGAAAGCCGCAATGTTGAAATGTTATCATGCTGTTGAGCAGTGTGAAGAGCCGGATACTGGTCGTTTGCGCAGTACACTTTTCATGGAGATTCCTAAGAAGAACGAGTACCCTGATTATCATGTTTTGATTGCACGACCTGTTTGTTTGAAGCAGATCAAGCGCCGTATCGAGACCCGTGTGTACAAGACCTTTGAAGCATGTCGAGACGACTTCTTGCTCATGTTTCACAATGCTCGCACCTACAACCAGGAAGGATCTATTGTTTGGCTTGATTCTCTGGAAATGGAGCACGTCTTTAATGATGTTTATGCACAAACACAAGCTGAGCTCGCCAGCTCATCGACATCGACATCGACTTCAGAGACAACTGGCATGCCCGCATTGTCTGACTCGCCGAGCACAGACACTCCTGTATCATCTATTGAAGACTCGTCTCATGCACAATCGACGGCAGATGCTAACGAAGAGATGCCATCGTCCGAATCGTCTCAGCGCCGCAAATCGGGCATGAAAATCAAGCTTTCCATGTCAGGCCGAAGGAAGCGAACATAAATTTGTAGTTGTTGCCATGAAGGCCGTTTAGGTAGGCCTTCTATATACTTTTAGAATACCTTTTGCTAGCTGATAATTGCCACCATTGGTTTGCTCAGTGAACCATCTTGGCTCTTGTGAGCGCTGCATTGCTTTAGGTCTTAATCATGCAATCAAATTCCGTGACCGCGGGACATGCGCTTTCACGTGGTTGATATCCATAAACAGCACTTTCCATAGTGCATACGCACAAAGATCAGCATTTAGTCAGCAATACAGACAGTGTTTTTCCACCTTGCTTCAAGCATCCGACAGACAGGCCAACCAGATTATGTTTCACGCAGTGGCACATCATTGGCATCATTTGCAAATCAAACTCAGGCAGTTCTAACTCAAAGGGCGTTTTGTGCGCTTTCGTCCCGTTTGACTTTACTTCACCATAATGACTGGCTCACAAGACTTTTTCGGCATTGACCACCAGACTTCTGGCAATGGTTCTATCACGCCCGGTGCACCAGTGCACAACATTGCCCAGACTCCTATCATGGAGTCCGGAAACCCTTTCGACAAGCTGACGATCCCATCGGAAGCTCGTAACCAGCAGATTGTTGGTCACCCGGGTGAATCTGTACCTGACTCCCGGTTCAAGATTCTTCTAGCCCTCGATGGCACTGAGGCAGGTGATCTTGCATTTAACTACATTATGGGCAAGCATGGATTTAGTCCTAGGGATTGCCACATTTTCCTTAGCACAGTTCTTCCTGCGAACGTCCTGGGTGGTCCATGGATTTCTGGTCCTCTGACGATTGACAGCAAGAAGCAGAACGAACTGCTCAAGCAGTTGCGCCATCAGGCTGTTGAGCGCATGAACCCCTACCGCAAGAAGCTGCAGGAGCGTGGCTATGAAGTGACAATGCACGTTCTTCACGGTGAAGCTCGTGCTTCGCTTCTTAAGGTCATCAGCTACCACAAGTGTGACCTTTGCGTCATCGGTAAGCGTAACCGTGGCTGGAAGAAGGGTTTGAGCAGCGGTACCGTTACATCGTATCTGGTGAGCCACTCTCCTGTCCCAGTCCTTGTTGTCAAGTAAAATGATTCCATCCACAACTCATAATTGATAGCCTAATTTATTTCCATTTTGTTTGGTTGCGTTAGCTACATGTAGTGTAGTCATCAGCGGATCAATTCATTCTTGCTTGTGTTCATGCACTGGGGTGTGAAGTATGGTATTGAAGTGCTTATGGATTCGTTTGTATTTGGTACACATTTATCAAGCAAGCTGGCAACCTTTAAACTTTCTACCGATTTAGGAGAGATCGTACGCCCAAGCTTTTATTTCCACGCGACGTTACATGACTTTCATCGACATAACTCATGTGATTTAGCTGCCGTACTCCCCCACATGCAATCAAGCGTGTCAGATTTTGAGGTGCAGAAACCACCTATCTACACCAAGCAAAGTACGAAAGAGAATATCGAATATCTAAAGGGCGAAAAGTTGTGCGATTTTACTAGGCACATTGCTTCCGCTTAGTAGTACACCGCCGGAGGCTTCTTAGGGCCTTCGAACGCGTCACGCTCAGCACCAGTCTGGTAGTTGCCGTGGCCGAACTTAGACGAAGTGTCGATAAACTTGAGAGTGACCTTCTCGACGTCTTCACGCGAGGTGTGGATCTTTTGCGACTTACGGATCGTCAACACACGCTTCTTAACACCAGGGCAGCTACCCTTGATCATCAAGAAGTCGTTCTTCACAATACCGTAGTGAGGGAAACCACCCATTGGCGTGATCGACTTTTGAGTAGTGTCGAACTCTGTCGCACCGGACGCCTTGTCAGCACCGTTGCCGATACGGTAAATCTTCTTGTTTAGTTCCGTGCGGTGGTGGTAACCGTCCTGACCAGAGCGAGCCACCGTGAACATGACGTTAGCAGGGTGCCAGGCACCAATACAGGCGACCTTACGCAGACCCTTGTGGGTCTTGCGAGGAAGCTTGGTAATACCCCAACGAGCAGTAACACCCTCGTAACCCTTACCCTTAGTCACACCAATCACGTCAACAAGCTCATCCTGCGTGAACAGGCTGTTCACATCTACCGTCTTCTCGAAGAGGTTGTTTGCAAAGTCAACCTTCTCAGAGACTGAACCACCATTCACCTGAATCTCCATCAGATGGGCCTTCTTCTGCTTCAAGCTTGTGTTGCGAAGCTGGGTATGCGCGAGCACACGCACAACCGAACAGTACTTGCGAATGCGCTCGAGTTCGCGGGCAATCGACTGGCCATTGTTCTCCGAGTGCTTCTTGGCGTACTTGGTGAAGGCCTTCTTCTTGCTGCGGTACCAGTTCTTGTAGAAGCGGCGCTTCACCTCGTCTGAGAGGTGCTCAGCCCAGACAGTTGTGAGTGAACGGAGACCACGAGGCGTCTCTACGTAGCCAACCATACCCACAACAACCATAGGGGGGGTTTCGATAACCGTCGTAGCTTCCACGATCTCGCGCTTGTGGTACTTCGAGCCTGGGCGGTCCAAGTCACGCACAATGTGTGTCATACCAGCCTTGTAGCCCATGAAAGCTGTCAGGTGAACTGGCTTCTTAGGGTCGTCCTTAGGGAAGGACTTGACCTTGCCGCGATGGCTCGCGGCGCGCTTGCGAGGAAGGAAACCAAGCGAGCCGTGACGAGGGTGCTCGTACTATTATTGTTAGTCGTGATATTCCTCATCCTGTCATTGTCTCCGCCACATACCTTGCAATGAGACATGGCTGATGCCGTCGAGGTAACGAGTCGAAGAAAAGGCCTCGTGATGGGCGACAATGTCACTCTCCGCGCCAGCCGATCTGCCGCTCAATAGATGCACGTGATAAAATATATCATACACGTGATACACTATGCTCGTAATGAACTTGTGGAGCGATGTGTTGTCATGGCTGCACAGATAAAATTTATTCTGCAATTGTTAAGAATTTTAATGTTGTCGCGACGTTACATTACAACCTTCAAGTAGCTATGGTTTAGAATGTCGGAGTTTTCCCTGATTTTTCTTAGTTCGAGTTAAGAGCTTAACTATTGATTCGTACTCAAGATTCTTATAGCACAAACGCTGTCTTTCCAATCATTCTGCTATTTGTATCAGACAGCTTCGTTTTCCAAAACGACAGGACGGCACATAGTGCAACACACATTATCCGTGCTAGGAATAGACCACCAGAGTGGAGACCAGTCAGTATGACAGTTTGCACAGGATACTGACTTGTCATCTGATGGTAAAGTTGTATTGTCACTAGGAGCGTCCGTCTCCATCTCATCTTTGAGTGTGTGATCTTCCCTGTGCATAGGAACAAGGTTTCCATTCTTCACGTATCCGCCGGCTCCGCCACAAACTTGTTGGATAATGTCGAGTTTTTTCGCACGGCGCAAAAGTGCATGTGTAGATTCGACGAGGGCCATGTTTCGGTGAGAGCCCGTGACAACTTGTTTGTGTGTCTTGACATACGCCTGCATTGCGGTCAACTTGAGCTTAGGATCAATTTCATGATATTCGTAGGTCTTCTTTGACTTCGCCGCAGCCAAATGATCTTTACACCAGATTTGTGCACACATGTGTCCTGATTCTGACTTGAACGTGAGGGTATGGACGGACTCACGCCTGGATGTCTTGACGGGAAAAATTTCAAAGGCCATCATGCAAGATGGCTGCGCCAAGTATGCGCAGGACACATGAAAATGCGTACGACACGTCGGCTCCGCGCATTTGACACATGCTCCTTTCACTTGATCGCATAGCGAACATCTCATATCATATCTCCATGCGGGTAGCGCACCTGCTCCTTCCACAGGTTGCATGGTCGTAGTGTTCGCGAATAGAACTTCCGGGATCCACAAAGCACAGAGTAAGTGGGACCAATGATTGCACTCTGTCGGTTTGTACACATCCAAGGCTGTATCTCCTTTTCCATCAGACTCATTGAAGTACGGTTTGCGCGTGCGAATCGATGTAGACAAAGTCCGTGATGATGGCGTTTCTCCGCATAGTACGCAAAAAGGCAGGATGGACGACATTGGATCTCTGTCGTTCTCGCACAGATCACAGAGCCATTCATTCTTTTCAATATCAGCATCTTCGAAACCAATGCATCCCTGATGACCTGCCAAACCACACTGCGCACAACTTAGTAAAAGCCTTTTCGGTTCTAGACGGCGACAAATAACACACTTGCTCGTTTCCACTGGTCTTGATGGCAACGATGCAGCAGGCATGACCTTAGGTACGGTCTGCGTGACTTTCGGCACTATTACACCTAAACCAGCTTCTTCCGATCCATGTTCGAGAGCCGCTTGCCGCTTTTTCTCAGTTATATATACATTAGCCGTTTCAGCAGCATACTTGCGCCAATATTGGCCACAATAAACACATAGTCCTTGTCCCGAGGTGTAAATAGGACTCTTATACCAAATTGCACTTGCGGAAATTGAGCAAAATGCACACATTATGCGAGTAGGTGCTTTGGGCTCTTGCGCGTCCTCGAATGAAAGGACAGAGAGTGCAGGAGACGATTCACGCTGAGCTGGGTCTGTATGAGGTTGCGCGCCGCGAAGCGTGATTTTCATGCGTTCTTTCCCTTCCCATCGGTCTTTTAGACGCTGTAGTTTCCACGAGTAGACGCCTTGTACAATTTCCGACGGCGTCCGTCCTGGCAGTGCACGTTTCAAATGAATCAAGTCCCCTGAATTTTCAATGATCGTTTTTTGCAAAATTTGCACTTCTTTACTTGTCAATGGGTATACACCAAAGTCACTGTCTCGACTTTGCGCGAACTGGTGCTTAGCTTTTTCAAAATCAAACTGGTTCGCATACAGAAGTGCCAATGCTCGATCAATAAATACGTGTGATTCTCTCATGACATGAGATCGAGGTGACGACACATTCGCCAAGTAGTGATCCACTTTGAGTTAGATGAACTTTTTGACATACCTTTTTGCCAATCATGATCTGGAGGGGGTATAGAAATTACTTGTATACTTTGATCAGATCCACGCTGCATACAAGCATCATTTGTAGTCTCATAAAAAGTACCGACCTGATCAACATCCATTGCATGTGTTTCCGTAGAGCGCACATGCTTTGACTTAGAGCGACTTTTTCCTCTCATCGTAGCGGCTTTTTCAGAATTATTTGTTCGCGTGTTTGACAAATCCATTGCTGATGTTTGACGTCCCTGGTTTTGGTGCTGTTGTGATTCCCAAGACGGGACAACTGCTTGAAACTTTGGTCCTTGCCGCGTTACTGCGCGAGGATAAATGGAATCGTGGGAATCAAGCACGTCCATTGCAGATGTGTGTTCGCCGAAATAGCGGTAAGGCCACCCCTGAAAGCATCGAAGCCCATCGCGATCGATAGGATTTGATAAAACCATTTCGCTTACAGGTTCATACACGTCCCCCAAAATATGGGACCGATTTCGTTTGCGCCTTGTAGGCTGTGTTGATCGGGGCCCTAGTGAATCCATATTGGACCCAGGCGCATCTAAACCACCGCCACCCACGCCCTCTTCTTCAACCATTTCATCGTGCTGCTTAGCGCAGGGAGCACAATTCCAACTGTAACCTTTCGCAGGTTTTGATGCAAGAGGAGGAGAAAGACAGCGCATATGGAAGAACTTGCGACAAGTGTCGCAGCGAACTGATTCGGCTGTCGGAGCCCATTCATGACAAACAGAGCATCCTCTTAGCGCATCGCAAAGCTCAGTCGCAATGGTCATTTCGGCGACAATAAAGGAGTATCTTTCTCGAAGTACGCGTAGGACTTGGTCAGGCGCATTCTTCAACTTCCATGTTGGAACGACCTCATAGAAGCGATGAATATACCTGTCAAAGAGTTGATGATAATAAAAATGGTCTTCACGGCGTTTCCATGCAGCTATTTCTGGAGGCGAGCCATTACTTATTAGGTCTCGGTGCTTGACACGACATTTACCTCGTATTGTCGACACAGGAAATACATCGGCATGCATTGTAGCAACAAGCATCCTTGGATCATTGTTCGGTCGATGTGTGAGATCTCTCATTCGGAGAAAAAGATTAACGCGCACATGCTTCGTTGGGCATCTCTCCTCGTCCTCTTTCTGGATAAAGTTCATTACACGAGCGATGAGATACGGCTCACCTGAGCCAATGGCCCAAGGTGGCGATATATAAATAAAATCTTTATTGTTAGCCATGCCTCATATCTTAAAAGCATACCGTTGATTCGGACTTGCATTCCCCCCATTATGGTGAGGCGACTTGAACTCGCCATATTCTTGTGCGTCGTCATCGTTCATGTCTGTGTCCAAAGCCTCCACACTGCTCATGACGTTGTTGATCAGCCACGTGCTGGACCAATACCAGATGCCGTAAGTAGTGTCTTCTACCAAGCCTCTAAACCCCTATGCTGCTAACCGCTTTTAGCAGCGCACCTTGCTTCCGTTCTGTCGACGGTGCAGGCATTTCCTTCATGCGTTAAAGAAGTTACGCACCTCATCGATTCTAGTAGTCTGTATAAATTGCTTAACTATGCGTCTGTATTTACATGTTTAACAGCTCCTGATCGTACAGAAGCAACAAAAGTTCGTCATACGCGTGAATAAAATACCATCTGGAGAAGTGACGGAATAGACGAAAAAAAAACAAAAAAAAACATGAAATCTGATTATTTTGAGTGGCTGTTTCGTTGTGTCTGAGTCAGGTCTTTCCCACTGTCGAGAGATCATACCCTCGATCAGAATATGATGTTAACGGCCACTGAAGTGATGAGGGCATCACTTGGTTTATATCTGAAGTCATGTGAGCGGGAACTTGAAGACCGTGAGGTATCATATGTCCTAGATTGACAAACGATGGATTTGAGGGCAAAGGAAGGTGTGTATTTAATACTTGAGAGCTTGTGGGGGGCACGGTCATTATGGCTGGAATTCCATACGAATACCCTGCTGCAACCTGGTAATACTCTAAATGGAGAGGTGACGATGATAAACCATGATTTCCACAAGGAGGCGACCAAGAACTCATTGGCCAACAGAGTTCAGATTCCCGCAGCGGAAAGTTGTAAACGTTCCCGTACACGTTGCTTCTAACATTCATTATTGGCATCGATTCGTTGGGATGCATTGATCCCAATGCGCTGTGACATTGTACAGGGCCGTAATTCATAGATGGTTTGAGAAGAGTTGTTGGCGATGCACTTTGTCGTTTCATTATGTCGCCTTCAAATGTTCCTGTATTCGATTCGGCTTGACTAAAGCCCTGCCATGGAAAGGCATTAGTTATCGGCGATGAAAAAGCCACCGTTGGCTGACCAACGCACTGAGAAGTCGCGTATGGGGATGGATGCAGGTATGTGCGCGCATTAGGACAGTAGCGGGTACGACCAACTTCATCCAAGTCAGAGGGATCAGTAGGCAAGCTTCGTTTCCGATTATTTGAGCATTGTAATTCCGAGGGCATCTGCAATTTTGGAAGATGCGGATGTCTAAAAGACACATTTTGTGGGGTAAGGAGCGGAGTCGTGGCAGGTGACGAACTTGCAGAACATGTCATACTTATTGGAGAAGAGGGATATGCTGATGGCGCACATTCCTGCCATTTGAGCCATTGCGCGTCAATGTCACGTTTTTGCTTTAACATGTCCAACGTGCAACACCACCAATTGTAAGTGGCTAGACTGACGCTTGCATTATTGTCAATGCCCAAAAAAAGCTGCGCCTCCATTTTTGTGATTTCGTGCAAAGATATATTGGAGATCTCGGCCCAGGTCTTATTGGTAAATGTATAGTCGTCGAGAAACTTATTAGCCATGATCAAAGAAGTAAGAAAAAGGCGGTATTCACTCCCCGTTTTGCCTTGAAGACCGTTGTGTCGAACTTTGAGCCGGTAGATGTAGTATAAACACAGCTTAATGACGGAGTCCGAGACTTGTGTTGTGGTCAAAACCCTGGTGACAAAGGAAATAAACTTGTCGGTGGGACATAACTGGACACGACTAGGATTGATGAAGTCGTGGACACCCGCTTGCCCACTAGAGGCAGTCGAGCGATGCATACCTCGTCTTCCTTTCGTAACAGCGGAATCATGGTTGCTGACAGAGTCATGCACCCGAAAATCGTTTTCATAGTCTCTTTGTAGCGCAAAGGATTCGGCGAACCATATATAGCATACCATAATAGCACACACGTCGGCCCCCATCTCGCCAGATAGAAAAGACGATGGTTTCGGCTTGTATGAAGTGTTAATATGAGTTGTGTTTGAACTGCTGTAGCGTTTCGTGTTTGGAGACGGCGAGGCGATTTGAAAGTTTACCTGCAATCCAGATGCCATCTTCGTACCTGAACCAGCCAAGCGTAAAATGTAACCATCGCCTGTTTGAGACAAGAAGGCGGTCCTATGGGTGAAGAGACAAGCCCGCAATCAGCTAGCTTTCTTTGATATGAGACACCCGTAGTGTTTGGCTAAGTGCTACAATCGGTGGCATAATTTAGACCGCAGTTTGTATGTACTTAAGCCACACCCTTAGAGTGGCAAACTCTTACTGACCCCAAAGCGTTCGCACGGACTAGTCACTGGTGCATACCTGAGTGGAGGATTCAACGCACTATGCGCAAACGCAGCGCCGATCGACTGTGCCACAATAACATGCAGCGAACCGGATGACAGATTGTTCTTAGATTGGAAGCAATTGTGACGATATAGATTCTAATTTGCTAACCTTGTGTCACACCGAGTCAGCATTATGCATGGTATATTCATGTATTTCTGATGGAATGACATAAGCGGAAATCTGAGGGCAAACAGGGCGCGGGCGTGGGTCAAATTTCGGACAAAAGCTTACGTGCACACGCATTTCCGTGGGTTCTTGGCTTGTTTACACGCTCACATTTCTTGTATTTTTAGAATCATAGGCAATACTAATTTTATCCGCCTGCCATTTATGCTGCATATGTTAATCGAGGGCTAGAAAAAAATCCTTTAATAGCCAATCATGTCAATTGCAGATTGACATGTATGCATATATGTGATCATCTAACGGAAGATCCCTGGTGTTCAGCAGCCCGCAGCGGGCTTTAGTGGTGTGTCATTACGTACTTCCTTCCAATCAGCGTGCTTGAATTGACGATAGGAACGTTAGCCCCTCTTATCAGCTTGACGCGGGGAAATTCGCCTCTAATTGACTTTTTGCGGCCAGGCACAACTACAGGGTGAGCAAGGAGGACTGTATTTCAAACCTCCTCATTGTTCCTGATTATTTGACGGGAAGCAACACCTGTATCCGCACTGTAGTCCATGATACCATGGGGAGGACAAAAGGCTCAGGCTCACAAATGGCTGTCGGTTCCCGCACCAACAAAGGAGGAACGAACGGCTCAGCCATGTTCCAATGTCAAGGTTTTGGCGACTGTCGCATGGTTTTCACTAGGAGTGAGCACCTAGCTCGTCATATTAGGAAGCACACAGGAGAGCGTCCTTTTCAGTGTCATTGTCTCAAGTCTTTCTCTCGGCTTGATAACCTCCGACAGCATTGCCAGACAGTTCATGAGGACAAGCCCGAACAGAATGAGCAGCTTTTGGCAAAGTTGGCCGAATTGCATGCGAACATGTCATCGTCATCATCCAGGTCTCATAAGCTGGTAACTGAGCATGACATTTCAAGTGATAGCAATAAGAAGCGTAAAGGTGCACTGGGTCATGAAATGGAGGAAGCTGCTAAGCCCAAGCGTCGCATCTATGGGCCCGATTTTCCTGTTCATGAGTCTTACATGCCCAAGAGCCCAACGCTGGGCGCACACCGTCATTCAGATCATGTCACCTTAGCATCCTCAACTACAAACGGGTCCAACGTGTCTAACATGAATCGTACACGTCTATCACATCCTGTCCAGTCTTACGGCTATCCGTCGTTAACCGGACGAGTTTCTCCGCCCTACATTTTTGCTGGAGGGTATGGGAGGTCCGGTCATACCAACTTGGATTCATTTCTCGGGTCGGGTCTAATTCCTCCTCTGATGACTCCACTCAAGAATTCGTTTTCTTCAATGGAGCGGCACCGTGGTCGGCCATACCTTAAGCCCTTGCCAAGTCTATCACCAGAACCTGCTTTTTACCCGTCGTCAACGGCTTCGAAGGCTCCGCACAATTCTACCGATTTACCTTTCCATCATTCCAAAATTGGCAAGGATTCAAACCCACTTCGCTACTCTGCGTTTCTCTCAACAGTTGACTCTGAAAAGGGTCTATTGCTTCCAAGTATGTTGGATCGTAGTCGTGAGAGTCTTTCGAATCTTCCAGTTCGCTCTCTGGATCCTCACTCTACTAGCCATTCGGACTGGTCTCCCTTATCTGCTGAACAAAGGTACAACGACCGTCCTTATGTTTCGCCGTCTCTCGATTTTCGAGAACGCAATACAGACTTTGGTCACACTAAGCCACTCTCAGCAGGTACCTTAGATGCGGCTGCTCTAAAACCTGAAGTCAGGAAGCCAACGTTTCTCCCGCATCTGGCCACGCGCTACGATCGAGATGACCTTGATGTGAAATATAATCGTTCATCGAACATTGAAAGTTATCATTCTTTTCAATCTCGTCCACTATCCTATGAAGCTCGGCGTCTAGCTAGCGAACGACTACCGGAGGAACGAAAGTCGGTTCATTCTTCTTCAAATGGTGGGCGTCTTCTGACACATCCTACTTCAACAAGACCCATCTCCCGGGACCTGGTGTATCGTGAAGGTATTGATGGATTCTTGGGCCGACGCGATCTCCGAAAGGTCCCATCGTTGAAACCTTTCAAATCCCTTGAGTCTCAATCTTCACCTCATGCGGTGCCCTCATTCAATCAAGATGGTTCAGGGTACTCAAGCATATGTCCTGGAGCTCATCGGCGTTATGCTTTAATAAATTGAGTAATCTGTATGTTATTCTTTTCGATATGGGCGCACATGTTATTATTATTATTTATTTGTTTTTTTATTATTGCAAGCGGGAGTTCTAAATAGACAATAGATTAGGTGATGGTAAGCAAATATTCTGCACTTCGCTTTCTCTTAAGCGTGCTTGAAGCTATTCAGGTTAGCCGATAAATGGTGGTTGGTACAAACACATCAGCGTGCATTCTGTAGCTGATTTAAATTACGCTATTTTATGCTGGCTCGCCTGTTTCAATAGGTACTTCATCACCAGTGCGGAGTTCACTTTGATCCGGGGTTAAAAATTCATCATTTTCCGGTTTAGTATGTTCAATATCATGCTTGGCATCGCTGCGAGTTGTACATCCAGCGGGCACCCACTTGTGCGAGTTCCATGGCTTGACAGACGGGTCGCCGAACATGTCTTGAATTGCTTCCAAATCAAGGTTCGATGTTTCGTACACAAAGAAGTAGACCACCAAGAACGATGCCGCACAACATCCAACGAAAACGTAGCCGTAAGCATAATGGATATCATCAGTGATGGGAGAGGTAAAAAAGGCAAGGTTGAAGTTCCATATCCAGTTACTCATTGTAGCCAAGGCCATCTGTCTAGCACGTAAGGTGGGCACGGCTGATTCTGCGATCGAAGACCATACACCTGGGCCCCACGTACTTGCAAAACCTAGAATGAAGAAACACGCTGAGCAAATCATAAGAATAGAAGTCGACTTATGCTTAATTTCGTCGCCATTACTGTCCGCCACACCAGTCGTCGCGAAGACAATGAGCCAAATTGTCATCCAAGCTGCTCCGGTCATCAAACACGTTCGACGACCCAATTTGTCGAGTGCATACAGTCCAGGAAATGTTGTAACAAAATTGACAGCACCCAAAATAATTTGAGAGATGTACGAATTGTCTGTCTCGGTATCCATCAGATCGACTTTACGGAAAATTGTTGCACCATAGTAGAAAAAGTAATTCGCACCTGTGAGTTGTTGCCCCATTTGCAGATACATTCCGAGAAAGGTGCGGTATAGTGCTTTCTGTTTGAAGCTGAAACAGTCGAGCCAAGTGCCGCTCTCCTCTAGCTCAGCCTCCTTGATTACTTCCTGCTTGATTTCTTCGAATTCATTATTCAGATACGCGTCGTTTTCATCCACGCCTCGCATGAGTGCTAGCACACGTTTGGTTTTATCAAATTGGCCTCTTTTACCTAACCATCGCGGACTTTCAGGACATAGAAGAATACAAGATCCCAATAACAAGCCCCATGCAAAGCCGATCCCCATAGGCACGCGCCACTGTCCGGAATCACTGTAACTGTGTGTACCGTAACATGCACAGTACGACATAAGAATACCAAGCGTAATGAACAGCTGATACGTTCCCACGACAGCGCCACGCACTTGGCGAGGCACTATCTCTGATTGGTACAAAGGAATAGCTGAGCTGAGCCATCCAATCGCAAGGCCATCGAAAATTCGTCCAACAGCCATCTGCGGCCAGCCATGATCAGAAGAGATTTGAATAATCAGTCCAACCATGTAAAGAATACATCCTAATGTGACCGAGAGTCTTCGACCTAATTTGTCAGAAATAGGAGCACCTACGAGGGCACCGAAGACGGCACCAGCACTCAACAGACTGACCAGTAGACCTCGAATCCATGTGTTCCACTCTTTAGGTTGACCAGGTACGTCATGCTGCGCAAATCGGTTGCGATAGTCATCCATGATTAGAAGATCGGCAATTTGACCAGTATCCCAACCGAATAGGAATCCACCCATAGAGGCTAGACCACCTATTGCATAGGTGGTATAACCCACAGGTGCTCCATGTACAATATGATTGAGGCGCATCGTTGTGGCCTTGTAAGGCACAGACAAGGCGTGCCTTGAGTATCGAATGTGAAAGAGCAGTGCTCTGAATCTGCGATAGTCTACGTTTTATTGCACATGTACCTGTTTGGTACCGTGTCCTTCGCGCTGGCGTTCGCCTCAATTGGATTGCAAAATCCCCCAAAACCGGAACTTACGCCAATTATAAGTCAGGAATACTTACATGCGTGTACTTTGCGTGCTTTTAACATTTCTTATTCCCTCAATTAAGGGGTTATCATGAAAATAAATAGAGGCAATGAGTTACGAGGTATTTAAACGTCAAGAAACGAAACTTTCGTTAGCTGGAAATTACGAAACTGGCTGGAATGGGGTGCTACTTGTGCCTCGTACCGAGAGTTTTCGCTCAAAACAAATGCGGAGACAAGTGCACATAACGGAAAAGAACATCCAATGAGAAGTCGCTATACAAACAGCCGTTAGAAATACAGTAAATTATGGTAGGCAACTTCATAGCGCTTACTAACGATCTGCTTCGAATGTTAGATTTTACTCCGACGCGTAAATCCAGTTCATGGTCCTATTAGAGAATGCCCTTCCTAGCTCAGCGATGAAGATAATTGTTTGGCTGTACTTCGATGGTCAATCAGCAATGGATTTGCAGTTTGGGGCGACACTATTCCACATCATAGCAAGAAAGACTCCTTTCATAGTTGCGCTTCATAAAGCCTAAACAGGACCATGCACTGGACTTTTTTTTTTTTTGCAACATACCTGACTTATTTTCTCACAATAAGCAATGAAAAATTTCGGTGCAGTGCCCTAGCTCGCACTCTTTCAAGGCGAGGCGACCGAAGCCAGCATTGGACAAGCGACCCAGTCTTCCTCAAAACCTTAGGCCCTCAACTCGTACCGTCGCTCATCCTAAAAGGAGAGCGGCAGGCACGAGGAAGCCCTAGGGTATTGAAAACGACTGCCCGTCCTAGAAGGACAAGGTTTTGACTATCGAAGACGGGAACGCGAGACCACGGTACGGTGTGCAATCCGGGCTCGAACTTTTATGTCTGAGAATAAGTCTCAGGTTGCTCGGGTTGAATTGGACATACCTTCTTGGATATTGTTCAAGGAGAAGAAAAAATGTAAAATGATGACGAAGGAAGTAGAGAGAAAATCAATTTTAGTCAGCAAAGATCCACATGGGAAGGCCCAGTTTTGGAACTATCTGAACAATGGTAGGGGCAGCACACCATGTCGCGGAACTTGGAGCGAAACCAAGAAGCCACCTGCTACGTTGGCAATTTAGACGAACGTGTGACGGATGAGATTATTTGGGAGCTCATGCTTCAAGTAGGTCCTGTGGCGCATATTTATCTTCCGAAAGATCGCATATCTCAGATGCATCAAGGGTATGCATTTGCGGAATATTGCACAGAATCTGATGCTGAGTATGCCTGTCGAATCATGAATGGTATTAAGCTGTATGGTAAACCCATTCGCGTAAATATGTCTTCAAATGAAAAACAGGTGGTAGATATTGGCGCAAATCTGTTTGTGGGCAACCTCGATTCTGGCGTGGATGAACGACTCCTGTACGATACGTTCGCTACGTTTGGTGGTATTCTCGGAGCACCGAGAATAGCTCGTGATCCAACAACAAACGAATCAAAAAATTACGGATTTGTGTCTTTTGATTCGTTTGAATCAGCGGATGGCGCTATAGAGTCGCTAAACAACCAGTTCCTACTGAACAGGCCTATGACCGTCATGTACGCTCTTCGTAAAGATGCGAAGAATGGCGAACGCCACGGGACCCAGGCTGAGCGTCTCGTTGCTGCACAGGCGCGAAAGAATCACGTGCTTCCTACCGCGCAGGACCCATATGGCATGCCAGCTATGTCGTGGTCCTCTGCGGGCAGCAAACCCTCACTATGAAGGAGCTCGTTATGAAACGAGCTTGTCTCAATAGCACACAAGACTGTGTCTTTTGAGTCCTTTCGCTGATACCCTATTATGTAGTTACGTAATGGATATATGTACGCACGATAAATCTCGATTTCTTGCCTGCGTAGCATCTCTGATAGTCAGACAGCTCACCACGAAGTCTGACAGACCAAAACTAGTTGGCATTGCTGTGTCTTCAGCCCAAGCGTCGCCCGATACTCTCACAGATAGAAGCCCTAGCCCGATTATCGTAGATTTTATTATGAAATTCGATGCCATTCGAAGCATTTGTGGCAAGGCACCATTGAGAAACCTGAACATATTTATGCCTTATTAGGTGATCTTACATTCACGCGCACACATTTGACGTCTTGGTGGTCCATACAGTCTACTGAGACAAATTGGGCTCCACAAGTGCGTATATTCAAGGCCTCAAGCGGGAGAGATACAGACGTGCCCACAAGGCAAGAACAATCGTAACGCATCTGCACTTTCCTATGATATGATACTGATGCGCTGGTACGTGCAGTACTTGTTGGTTTTTGCCATGCTTTCGACGCTAGGTGTCCGCGCGTCGATTGGAGACAAGTCGAACAAGTTCTTCAGATGTGTGTTGTCATGCGAACAAGACACATGTCGCAATCATCGACCTGTTTCTGTGAATGATGACACGATTGTTCAACCGGATCCTTTGCCATGGTATCTTGTGATGTTGGGCTGGAACTGTGAGTCGAATTGTGAATATCATTGCACGCATCGCATCACGAATGAAGCACAAAAGCGCGTGTCCAAAATTCACCAGCAGATCACAGAAGAGGCGATGAGAGATCGTACACATGCGATTTTATTGAATGAACATTGGCAGCTTCAGGTCCAGGCGGACCAGAGTCCTGATGCTCGACTGGCGGACGTGTGTGGGAATGACAAGTTTCTTAGTGCCACGGGCGAGTGCCTGCCGCGTCTGGCAATGCCACCGCCCGTACCCATGACTGATCTAGAGTTTCGTCGCTCTATTGAGGCAAAAATTGCGCTGGAAGTTGAGCGCCTTCCGATTATCGACAAGCGAACTGTCCAGTTCTTTGGAAAATGGCCACAACTGCGAGTCCTTGGCATGCAGGAGCCGATGTCTGTGTTGTTTTCGATCGCGAACTTGCTGGTACAAGTGTATGCAATCAGCCGCATGTTTCCTGAAAAGCTCCCAACGACGTTTCCATTGAAGCGCGTGTACGTCGCAAATGCGACTGTGGCTTCTGTGGCTTGGATTGCCAGCACTGTGTTTCATGCGCGTGATCTTTGGTGGACAGAGCGATGGGATTACTTTTCTGCTGCAGCTATGCTCATGTCTGGACTGTTTCTAGCGATCTGTCGCATATTTCGAATTCAGCCCGGCTCGCTGGTTTTCCGCCGTCTCTTGATGGGATGCGTAGGAACTTGGGTTGTCCATGTGCTGTATCTTTTGTCACACCGCCGGCTCGATTATACATACAACATGGCGGCTTGCTTATTTGTGGGATTTGTACACAATATTCTTTGGATCGTGTACGCACACGCGCCGCAACTTATATTGCGCCTACGTGAGTATGTGAGACTTTCGTTCGACCAGGGACGACAAGCTCCCGTGAAGCCCGAGACAGCCTCGGATTCGAAGCAGACGCAGTTCGCACTCCCTCTATCTGCGCGTCGACAACTCGAGCTACTTGTCATTCTTACGTTCGCTGCGCCTGCGCTGGAGCTCTTCGACTTTCCACCTCTTTTCCGACTCTTGGATGCGCACGCGTTGTGGCATCTTGCCACAGTGCCATTGACACTGTGCTGGTACAGATGGCTCCTAGAAGATGCAAGACAATGTGTCATGATGCATGCTTGGTACCTGGATCACCATGGCATGGATGTGACGGACATTGACGAATTGCAAGACACGCGCCCCCATGGCGAGCTGCCAGCGTCTGCTCTTGCTTTGCCCGTGTCAATGCCCCACGTGCTGGCAGCCGACTCGATGCTTAGTACTCCTCAGATGTCTTCGGCACTATCGGCGCAAATTTCTAGCATGCACAACCTTCTTATCTCGCTCAAATTGTGGGGATGGAACATGCTTCGCTCTCTGCGGGACATGTTTATTAGCTCTTAATGCTGTTTGTACTCTAGTAACACGTTCTTATCTCCTCGCCATTCCACAAAGTAGATAGCCGAACTTCTACATAAAGTCAAGGTCATCATCGAGTGCTTCATCGCCGTATGCTTTAAGGTCGAAACTGGTAGCGTGTTAGTAAGTTGCATTTGCTATCGCTCGTGATGACGTACGTATTTTTCGCGCTGCTTGTGCCAACCTGTTTTGGCTTGGCATTTTGCAGGTTGCGCAGGTTACCGCCAGTCCTTTTCATGTCTTTATCGGCCTTGACCTTTGCCTCAGCGAGCTCACGCAGCTTGGTTGAACCTTTGCGCATGTCAACGTCACGCAGACCATTCGTCGTCAGGAGTGTGATCATCTTGGGGAAAAAGTGCTTGTCAAAGCCAGGGCGACTTGCTTTGGGAAGAATAAGTTTATCATAAAGAGACTTGGCGAACGCTTCCCAGTCCTCTTTGCTGCTGGGCTTGGCATCAGAGAGGGACACAGTCTGGGAGTCTACTGCAAGATTGTCCTTTTTCGCGTCAAGCGAGGTGCTGCCAAGGAGGGTTGCAGCATTGTCCAGATCAGAGCGTATTTGTGCTTCTTTTTCGCGTCTTCGACGCTCGTCTTCATTTTCTTGGGGCTGTTCTAGCTCCCAATCATCAAAGTCATTTCCCTGTTACTTGTTAATAGCCACTTGAGCATTTGAACTTACTGTGTTATTCTGCTTCATGGCCTCCTTCTCTGCAATCTTTTGCTTCACAGAAAGTCGCTTCTTTGGCTCAGGAGCAGGAGCGGGAGCAGGCTTGGGCTCTTCGTCTTCCTCTTCCCAATCATCTTTCACGTCGTCGTCTTCCAAGTCTTCATCTTCGAAGCGGCGACGAGGGACAAAAGCAGGCGCTTGGGGCTGAACATTATCATCGTTTTCTTTGTGAGTCATAAATACGTACCCCAATCACTCATAGTGTCGAGCGCTATGCAACCTTTCTTTCTCAAGCGGGTGCTGGTGTTTTCGGTTTTCTCTTACTCGAGTGTGTGATGGATGGGCGAGTCGATGTGGCCACGAGTGCCGATCTTGCCTCCACATTTCGCGAATGTCCTAATTTCGCTAGGAGGTGGACGTGCAATGAAGGCGGCGGGTGTTGACAACGGAAGCGCCCAACAATGGCAGGAGGGGAGAAGGGCTCGTTGCCTTTCTTGATTTGCTGACAAACTTTGGTGCCTGACTCGTGTGAAGCTCCTGTACTTGTGCATCATCCCTTATTGTACGTCGCCTGTCGTTGGATGCGGCTGAACAAGAGTGGACGTAGCCTGTCGACTTCTTGGCTCTGGCGCACACAATGCTCACCTGCTCGCAAGCAGCTGGCGCATCTACATGCAGGATGCATTGTTTGTGCAAAAAAGCGCAGGGGTGGTAATAAGAACAAAGATGCAAATCCGTACCAGGACACACTGCGTCTTCCTCAGACGTCGTTTGGATTGCGCGCATTTGCCAAAGACCGGGAGCCTCTTTTTCGTTTGGCCACAACGACCAATTTGTATCGGTGGCAGCGGGAACACTTGCGTCCGCAGGCTGATGAACGTGATTTTGTCCTGCATGACGGCCCTCCGTATGCGAATGGCCACTTACATATGGGTATGTCGTGCGGCACCAGCATGCAGCTTACACAGCAGGACACGCACTCAACAAAATCATCAAAGATATAATCTTACGCTTCCAGGTCTTGCAAGGTCGACGCGTGCACTATATGCCCGGCTGGGATTGCCACGGTCTTCCTATAGAGATCAAGGCGGTGGCTGAACAGGGTGGCACCCCCGCATCGGAGTTGAAAGCAACCGATATTCGGAATGCAGCGCGGCGCGTGGCTCTGCGCGAAATTGACCAGCAACGTGTCGAATTCCAGCAGTTTGGCATCATGACTGACTGGAGTGATGAAAATACCTATCGCACCCTGCACTTTTCCTATGAACTGGAGCAATTGCGCCTCTTTGCACAGTGTGTGGGACGTGGTCTTATCTACGAACAGTTCAGGCCCGTGTACTGGTCGCCATCTACCCACACGGCACTGGCTGAGGCAGAAATCGAGTACGATGACAAACATGTGAGCCGGAGCACATACCTTCGCTTTCGGCTACATCCTAGTACAGCATTGGCACCTGTCCTTTCTGGTGTGCAAGAGCCGATGTACTTGGCGGTGTGGACAACTACGCCTTGGTCTCTGTTGGGCAACATGGCTTTAGCGGTGAACGCCAATGCCATGTACTCGATTGTAAGACGCAAGGAGTCCGGCGAGCTGCTTGTCGTTGCATCTGATTTGGTTGCTTCACTTGCGACTGTGCCACTAAGCGGCGGCGCTATCGGTGAGCAACGCCATGGTTCTGCTGGGACGCTCGGTCCTTTTGAACATGTAACTGTCGTCCGTGGCTCACAGTTGGTCGGCTCGATGTATGAGTGTGCCTGGATGATGCCTGGTGAACAGCGGTTCGTGATGGATGCGCCATTTGTCACCACGGACGCTGGTACAGGTATTGTGCACATGGCTCCGGCGCATGGCCAAGAAGACTATGAGCTATGGCGCGACGCAGGCCGGCTGCGTACTCATGGCATCATGTCGCCTGTGGACGACTACGGTCGGTTCGTCGTGAACAACGCGTGGGGTTTGTCAGATATCATTCGGACGGACTTGAAGCAGCTGCACGGGCTCGACGCCTTGTCTTGTGGCACACAGCGTATTCTAGAGTTCCTGTCGAGACACCATGTTCTTCTGAGTGAGCAGCCGTATACGCACAGCTATCCCATCGACTGGCGCACGAAACAACCGATCCTCACACGAGCAACGGCGCAGTGGTTTGCAGATCTGCGACAGAGTCAAGCTGCTGCTCTTGCTGCCTTGCAGTCTGTCCACTTTACACCTGCCTCTGGGCGTCAGCGGCTCACGAGTCTCGTGTCGCGTCGGTCGGAATGGTGCATATCGAGACAGCGAGCATGGGGTGTACCGATTCCCGTCGTGTATGATGCAGACACGCACGAGCCGTTGATCAATGCGACCAATGTTGAGCACATCCTGCGCATCATGGCAGAGCATGGCACGACCGACGTATGGTGGACACTTGACGCCGACACGTTTGTCGCGCCTGCATTCCGCGAGCCAGGGAAGTCGTTCTACATCAAAGGCGATACCCTTGACGTATGGTTCGACAGTGGCTGTTCATGGGCGATTCTGCAGCGAGCACTGCAAGAGCCACTGTGTGCTTCGCATGCATGTGCTGATGTGTATGTGGAAGGTTCAGATCAGCATCGCGGCTGGTTCCAGTCGTCGTTGCTCACTCGCATGTCGACATGTGGCGCAGGCGCCGCAGCGCCGTTTGCCAATCTAGTGACGCATGGCTTCGTCGTTGATGAGGCGGGGCGCAAAATGTCCAAGTCACTGGGTAATGTGATTGCCCCAGCAGCCTTTGTGCAGGGCGACCCTGCTGCACCGACGGACTTTCCTCCCCTGGGTGCAGACGTGCTCCGATGGTGGGCAGCAAAAACAGACTACACGAAGGACACGCCGATCAGTGTGTTGATAATGAAACATGTGACTGACGAGGTGCGGAAGCTCCGCAGCACCGCGCGATTCATACTCGCCAACCTGTCGGGATATGCACCTGGCTCACTTCCACCGTTTGACACATCCAACGTAGCGGCCGGCAAGGGTCATTTGCGCCTGAGTCTGCTCGACCGATACGTGATGCATGAGCTACATCGCTTGGAGACGACATGCCGTGCTGCGTATGATCGGTATGACTTTGCGTTTGTGACTCGCAGCCTGATTGAATTCGCCACAAAGACGCTCTCATCGCTGTATTTCGACGCTGTCAAAGACACCATGTATGCTGGTGCACGTGACGATCAGCTGCCGATCCTGGCTGTCATGGACCAAGTCTTGCAAACCATATCAAGCATTCTTGCACCTATTTTGCCGCATCTAGCAGAAGATATTCACTGGTACCGTGGTGGTGCTACGTCCGATCCGACGCCAGAGCAAGCTGCGTGCATGCCATCCTTCTTCCAGCTGGGCTGGCACACCATCGAAGAGCACTGGTGTGATCCTGCGCTTGAACAGCGCATGCAGCGGGTCCTACGAATCCGCTCCGAGGTATTTGCACTTGTCACGCGTTGCAAAGATGAGCACCTCGTCAAAGGCCCTGCTGAGACAGTCGTGGCCTTATATGTACTTGAGGACTCACTGGGTGCTCTGCTGCACAAGCACAGATCAGAGCTTGCAGATCTAATGCACGTCGCTCACGTGGATGTATATACGGAGGAAGTCGCCTGGCAACGTTCTGCGCCTGCGCCAAGTGCGTGGCATCGTACTTGCCGCGTGCCTGATCTACAAGTGGATGTGCGCGTAGAAGCATCGCAACAGGCCAAGTGTCCTCGGTGTTGGAAATATCAGAGCCAGACCCCCGACACTTTGTGCGAGCGATGCATGGATATCATTGGATGAAGACTGAGAATGGCGAAGCCGTGTTCGGTATCCGGTTTATGTGCAGTTGGTGGAGTTCTTCATGAGGACAGCGCTGTTGCTGGCACAATCTCTTCAGAGTTCGTGCTCGTCTTTGCCATCATGCTCGTTCTGCAATTCACCGAACTCCTCTGGCCCAGATGTGCTGCGCTCTTCCACCTCCACAGGCATGTTGGCATCATCAACGATCTTTTCAAAGGCAAACCCAACATACAGCGCTGTCGAACTTGGTCAGTTCATTGCACCACAGACGCTCGTTCATACATACTGCAAACATCCCACAGACTCGTCGGCATAGCAGGAGCAACATAGCCGGCAGCGGCCATATTCGGGTCCAGGACGTTCATGCGGTTCAGCAACTCGCGCAGTGATCGTGTCTGGTAGCCGTCACTAAGAATCTGATCGAATCGAGCCTTGTACACGAGGTGTAATCCTACCTCTTTAGCAATCCTAAGCATCCATGTTAGTTGCCTGTACTTTATTTTTTCGCTGCCAAACGCACGTTTCAAGGGTGGCCCAATCCACCACGTATTCCGGCACATTATCCACCGCGTCGTTGAGCCAGAAATAGTACTTGTTGCCAAACGGCTTTGCCCCTGGTTCAAGCCTTTCGTCAAACTCTACACTGTAGTTCTCGTTCCCGAACTTGAGCGCGGCTGGGTCTTCCAGCGCGTGCAAACGGCCAAAAAGGGTATCGTCATCGGGTATGGTTCCAATGAAGCTGCCGCCAGGCCGTAACCATCGCGCCACGTTCGACAACATCGTTCGTGCACTGGCCTCGGAGTCCCAGCCGTAATGCAGGCAGAACTGCATCGATACCACGTCGAACATGGGGCTTAGCACGCCGGCAGGCACGACCTGATCAAGCGGTGTGCGGAATGCATCGCACGTATAAAAGTGAGCAGGCCATGCGTATCGCCCTTCTTTGTATCGCATGGATGCCTGTTGGACCGACACTTCCGCAATGTCAATCATGACCATGTCGGATATGCGGTGCTGTGACCACTTGCGCAAGTCGCCGCCTTTCCCGCAGCCCAAGTCCAACACGCGAATTCCTTGACGCCCTGGTCCAGCCTTTACTCGTGGTGTGTGTAGTGAAATGATCGACGACTTGATCCAGTTGTTGAATCGTTTCAAAGCAATGATCGGTGAGAGCTCTCTTGCTTTCAGCCCGACATCTTGCCGCTTGTTATAGTGAGTCGCAACGCCCGCTGCTTCGTCTGATGTGCGACTGTCCGAATGCCTTGGCCGTCGGCACGGTACATGCTGATTCGTCCTCGCATCTTCTTGCTCTAGGCGCAAAGGATTGTGAGTACCAAGTTTCCATGCATGCATGTCCTTTTGGCTGAGAGGCTTGGTCACACACCCAGGTGGTGACACACGCCATTGGGGTGCATATGGTCTTCGTCCGCCCTTGTTTGTGATGGTACTAGGCGAAGCAAGCTCATGAATTTCGTTGTCAACGTGCTTCGCAGACCGTGCAGATGGCGGTGCCATAGGACCACTCTTGCTGCGATCCATCGAAACTGACGCGTCGGTGGCCATAAAGCGGAGCAGGCACACGAAAGTAGAGCCAAGGTGGCGTGTGTACTTTACTTGCTAAGCACACAGCTCAAGCGTGCTTAGTGTGGGAGCCGCCACAGCGTCCGATCGGGTCCACTCATCGATCGACTTGGGCTGTCCACGTGGTCTCGTTTTCATTGACGCATAATGACACGCATGAATTCTCGAGATCCGGGCGTGGTGATTTGGCACCGGCCGCACAAGACAAGGCAGCTTTCCCACCTCCCCCCCAGACGGGGTTGACAGAGTGCACAGTGGGACGACGCAGTGCCTCATGCAGGGAGGAAGAGCGGCGTTGCCTGACGGCTGGACCGATCAGACGCAAGCCTTTTGGCTTTCATGCCAAGGTATGTCATGAAGCTGCGTTCGCTCGCTCGCTCGCTCGCTTGCTCACGCCTACACACAAGCACTCGGACCTGGTTCATTCGTCCATGTCGATGAATACTCACTCGCGACGTTGATGAATGCCATGGAGGTCATGGACCCAGTTATGGACGCTGGGATGGCGTACCCGCAAGAGATGATTCCTGAAAAGGAGCGTATTGAGCCACTTCCTACAGATGCAGCCGGTGCATCGCACTTCGCAGAGCTTACGTGGCGCGATGTATGCTGGGTCATGGACCGTCTCTTGGCCTGTGAACTTGAGTGGTTGCGTGGCACAAGTCTCGTGCAGACGGTGTATACATGTACGTTTTTTCACAAACACGTATTGGCGGGCACTTCAGCTTATGTTCACTGGAGCCACTCCGTTTTGTCTGCGTACGTGTTAGCCGTCGTCAAGACCTGCGCACTTCAGTGGTACGAGCTAGCCCGGCACCACGTGCTGGACCAGGAGGACTACTGCAGCGAGACAGGCGGAACCCCTTTTCCTGATGCGGTCGAACCTCGCACCATCGCAGCTCAGCTCAGTGAGGCTGATGAATGCGTGCGACGTGTGTACTCGCATGTCGGGGAGCCAACGGCTGCCGAGTGCATTAGTCTTCGTCTCCTCTTTCGCCAGCACTGGCTCTTGTGTGTGGAATCATTGACGTCGGATGAACCGAGCGGTCTCGATGCCAGCATGCACTTGGATGAGTGCTTACGAATATGGCATGCGATTGCGCAATCCCAGTGCCCGATTTTAGACACCGCTATGCGGACTGCACCGCGCCACCTGCATTCATACTTTGATGTGACGCTCAGCCGTGCCTTGTCTTCCCATTTTCCTCTAAGGCCTGTGGCATTGCCAGATGTCGCGCACGTGTGTGCAGGTTGGCACAATCTCATGACCAAGCACATGTCGATTCCCCTGCGTCTTCTTGCATCGGATGACGTGCTAGCATGGCAGTCGCTGCTTGTGTGTATGAGTTTGTCCTTTCAGCAGGACCACGGCGCGCCTGAGCCATTGATTCGCTCGCTTATACCTACCCTTCTAGCGAATGGATCGACGGCTATGGGGGGTACACGCGACCTCGAACACCTCGCTGCGTGTCTCATTGAGGCATGGCATCCTATCTCTGTCCAGGATCTCCAGGTTCGTCTTGAATGGCATCAGGCACCCTCATCATCGTCGTCGCTGTCGAGCGTCGGTGCTTCTGCAGGGTTGGGCACAGTGTCGTCGATGCTGGGCAGCTTCCTTGGGCGCCTCGCTTCTTGCGTGGCCCAATCTCTTGCGATATTTGTACAGAACCGTTCACGTCAGAAACGGTCATTTGGCAAAGCATACACAGTGTGGATGAGTCTACTTGATAGTGCCACATCGCTGAACCCACGTGTGTGTGCTGTGCTTCCCGCCGTTCCTCCTGACGCACTGGTTGCACCTGTCCAGTACATGCTCCTCGTACACATGGAACAAGTGATCGGGAGTGGCTTTGATCTCGAACTATATGATGTGAGGGAACGAGCCTGCATGTACTGGGTCCTGGCACATCTATTTGAGGAGGCTTCTGCGCTCGGGGCGGTTCACAACGAGTGGAAAGGCAGTGCCAGCCCCGGCAGCACATGGCAGTGCTACGCACACTCAGCCCGAGCACAGCGGGACTTGTGCTATGCACATGCCATACTGTATGCCCGCACATTTGGCCCGGATTTGTCGCGTGCGCAAGCCGCATTCTCGCGCCGACTCAAGTGGCTGAGACGCCCTGCATGGTGCTCCCAAGCCCGCCTTCATCTGGTGACGTCTTCTGAACCATTTGACTTGAACTTGTTCTGGGCATCTTATGCTCGCTGGCATTCCGATACGCTTTCAGAAAGCCAATGGATCGAGCCACTACTTGAGCTCCTAGAGACGTCCTCGCACCATGCAAAACAGACGTTAGAGCTCCGAGCGTCAGATCCATCGGCACTTCTATGCCGCCGTGAAAGACGCACGCTAGATCAACACGTGCTGGACACAAGTACAGCCCTAGAGACTTGGGTACGTACACATCGATGTGCGCCGACGCCCGACACCTGGATACCATCAATGCATCCTTGGTATGCGACGCTACGGTCCCTATCGCAGCAGAACGAGCCGCTGAGTCGTGGACCCATGTAGCTGCTGCTCATGAGCGTGCTTGCTCGTAGAATCCGACGTTGACGACGACGGCACCTCTGAGCGGCGTGTATATTCCCAGTGCTCGCGACCCCAGGCCCAGGCGCCGTCGAGAACAACACTCGCGATACCCAATGCATGTACGAGGTTGATTGCATAGTAAAAATTGGCATTTGCTGATCCAGTGTATGTCCACAGGTAGTAAAAGGCAGGGAAAAAGAGGGTCGAGTATGCAAAGAGCATGAACGAGACCATGGGGTATCGAAGGTAGTCAGCAAGGCGACCGTATGAGAGACTCCAGACGGCGAGAAACACGGCTGTGTCGCCCAAGCATGCATATGCCTGGAAAATGCTCACGATGCCGAGAAGAACTGTTGCTGCAAAGATTAGATCACTCCGATACTTCAGCGTCACGGGCACCATGAACATCCACATGTAGATTTGGACGACCATGAGGAAAAAGTCGAAGAAGTGTGAGAACATCTCGACGAAAAAGTACCAGTACAAGCCAACCGTCGGTGCAAGATTATCGCCAAAAATCCGGCTTCCATACACGCTGCGTAGGAAAGTGCCGCTAGCATCGCCGGAGAGATGATACGACATAAGCAAAAAAATGCACGCGGCTCCCACAGTGCGCCGTACAAATACACGTAGAAACTGCCACCAAGCGTCAACTCGTCGCATGCCAAACGAAGAGCGCCAAGCGCCAAAGGCCGCATAGGTATCTGAGCCAAGTAACGCTAGCACAGGCGTCAGTATCAGCGGCGTCATGAACAGCACACTGTTCAGAGCATGCGTAAGAGATAGCGTCCATACACGGCCTTGGACAGCCCCCAGTAAGCTTAGGACGGTCAAACAGGCCCGAAGCTGACTCATGGACTTGGCAGCACAGGATGCCACTGCGTATGGGTTCATGAGGAAGCTAGACGAGAGTTAGTCCCGACGAATCGATTCAAGCCGCTTGTATGGGGCTGGTGCACATTACCTTGCAGCAACGAGGGTCGGTGTGAGCGAGACGCTCAGAATTGACTTGTCCTTTATGCGCGATCGAAGTACACTTGCAATGCGTGCGAGACATGCGGCTGTAACCACATCCAACAAGATCCAGAGAGTTGCAGACCGGACTGGATCCATTAGCCAGGCTTGCGGAAGAAGCAGGAGCAATGGTGAATGGTGCACACTCAAAGACGCCCACACGTCACGCGGATTCGCGCGCACAGAGTGCCGAAGTGTCTGCAGCTCACGAAGCAAATCAAGTCGGTCCATAACGGTGGCCAGTTCCACTCGGTCCACGAGCAACTCGCCCCAGCTGCTCATCCACGACGCAAAGATACGGAACACAACACCAGCTGTAAACACAGCGACGCATGCTATGCTCAAGCGCGGCATGCCAGAGGAAGAAGGCCACAGAGACGATTTGCACAAGCCTCACAAGCTTCGAGAAAGATCTACTTCCACAGGCAACTGAGAAACAATGCACGCGCGCCCAAAGCCACCCAGGCAGCTAACCTCCTTCAAGATGTTGGATCCCACGCTCTCGCTCTCTCGCCTATCTGACTCTCAGCCTCTTATTGCACACGAGCACCAAGTCAAAGTGGCACGTCCGAGCCACGTGCGGTTTGTGGAGGAACGTCCATGGCTCTCGAACAATGCATGAAGGAAGGAACATCAGCTCACAACGCGAACGCCCATCGTTGTGTGTTGTTGCCTTCCCAAGCACTTAGCCCTTGGGGCGCGACGTCCCGATGAACTTCCTCATGAAAGGTAGGCAGCAGCGCACGCCCGCAGAACTCGTGCGTGCGCTGTGTGATACGTGCAATCGAATGGGCGTGTGTTTGATGCCCGACGCGTTGTGGCACTTGATGGATGTTTCGGCCAGCAGCGATAGTCGACGCAAGGTATGCTTGCATCCAAGTCTCGGCAGATAGGCTGCTCTATCTGCTGAATTCTGAAACCACAAACGGCTGACATTTGCACAGATCTACGATGAGCTCTCTTCGCAGCTGCAGCAGGCCAAACTCGTCTTGTACGGAGAGGGCGAGAGTGAACCTGTGCCTGAACAAGTAGCACAATTCGCACAAGAAGCATACCAGCTACACATGATGGAATGTCTGTTGACTGTCATGCCTCGTTTGGAATTCGAAGCGCGCAAAGACATTGTTCAAATTTTCGTGGCTCTCTTGCAGCGGAGCATTGGATCGAGGAGACCGACTGTCGAGTATGTATGGACCCATCCAGCGATCTTGCGCATGGCCATTCGTGGTTACGATGTGCCTGACATCGCACTCAACACGGGCATTATTTTGCACGAAATGCTACAGTACGAGCTTTTAGCGAAGCTGTTCTTGTACTCGGACGACCTGTACAGATTTCCCCAGTACATCGAAACGACGTCCTTCAGCATATCTTGTGATGCCTTCAAGAACTTGCGCGATGCACTTCTATGTCACCGGAGCATCGCTGCTGAATTCCTGAACATGCACTACGACCGCTTCTTTCATATGTACACCCAACTCTTGGATTCACAAAACTATGTGACACGACGGCAATCGCTTAAGCTCTTAGGCGAGCTGCTTGTCGACCGTGCGCACTATGCAACAATGATCCGTTACGTGTCAGATGAGGAGAATCTGAAGAGGATCATGAATGCGCTGCGTGACCGCAGCAAGCATATTCAGCTGGAAGCGTTCCATGTGTTCAAAGTTTTTGTCGCAAATCCCAAAAAAACGCCGGCTGTCGAATCGATCCTCCGCCGCAACCGGTCCCGCTTACTCACGTTTCTGCAAGGATTTCTTCCCGATCGCACAGGTATGCTAGCCATGGCCCACCCCCCTTTACCCCCCATTACAGCCATACTCACACACGTGCTTGCATTCTCATTGGCGCTGCCTTCTCTCTCTGTTGTACTCATTCTTTCGCATATTTTTTTTCTCGCAGACGAATCATTCATTGACGAGCGCCAGTATATCATCCACATCATTAGGTACGTGCACTATGCCTGACGGGACTCGAGCTAACGCACTCGTACATAGTGCTATGCCAAGCACATCATGAACTACGGTTGCGTCCAGTCCAACTGGTCACGCACTTCTTCACCACGCACTCGATAGATCAATCGAATTCGCAGTCGCACCTTCCCACTCATGACACCTGCAATGTCCATGTCTTGCATAGCCTGCTCGCCCGCATACAGCGTTGACTTCGATAGTGCATGCATCTGAAGATGCTGTGTCTTTGGCACAGCAGCCTGCAACATGATGCTCTCGACTGCGCCACTCGTGCACAAGAAGCGTGCTTGGACCAAGACATCCTTGCCCTCTTGTCTGGTGACGACCAAGGCAAGATTCAGCCCGTTCTTCGAGTATACCGGTGGATCTTCAGGTAGTGGCGTTGGTGCCTTGGACATTGACGACGTGTCGTCTCCACTGCTACCGAGCAGATCCATCTCCCCAAACGCCGACGTCGTCTGTGCGACGTCTGAAGCAGTAGTATGCTCTGAGGCTGCGGGAGAATCGAACAGACCCAAAATATCTTGTTGCGCAGACGACGGCTTTTTTGTTACTGTGCTTGCTGTTGACGAAGCCGACGACGTATTTTCCGACGCCGACTCGTTTCCTGAACCGAATATATCAGCCAACAGATCATGTGCATTTTGCTTGGGTGCCGGCGTTGTCGATGCACCACCCGTGCTAGAAGCGCCGGCATCCGTGTCTAGGAGCAAGGAATCCGACGTAGCAGCTGACGAAGCCGCAGCGGCAGCACCCAAGGATGACTGGGCCTCACTCGCTGAGCCGGTCGTCAGCGGGCGCTGCAGTGGAAGCGGCATGACCTCCATGACGGCATCTCGAATGGAAGCACGCTTCAGCAATGCACCATACTCAAGTGCACGCTTCTGCGTCTCCAGATCGATGCTCTCGTCATACTGTGCGAGGATCGATTGAATGCGTTTCTGCTGCGTTACATCTTGCATGCGCGTGTACAGCTTGGGCAGAGCCGTCAGAGTGTACTCACGCACCGGCTCTGTGGCGTACACGGAGTCCAGGAGCATTGCCAAAACATCAATCACGGACTTCGGATCTAGTTTGTAGACGGAACCGTCGATCTCGACACTTCCACGCTCAAAGAGCAGATCGCCGTACTCGCCAATCACCCACACAGCTGCAAGTGTCTGGTACAGCTGCGACATGTCTGAGTGGAGAGCCACATACAGCTGCTCCACGGCATACGCATGCAGCTCGGGCGTATGGCACACAAGACGAAGAAACGAAGCCAGCACTTCCTCACGCACATATTGACCAGCGACACGCAGGACGTGGAGCATGGTGTCCACGTGCCAGCGGACATTGGGTGCGAACCGCTCAGCTGCCATGCCAATACGCGTGGTGAGACCAAGCTTGAACTCGGTGTCAGCCACCTCGAGGAATTGCAGGAGCTCATGCATGACGGACAGTACGGTATTTTCATTGATGAGTGTGTACGCAAGTTCTAATGCACGCCGGCGAATTGAGATGTCAACGTCACGCAAGCACGCAAGAATAGTCGCTCGATGTCTCTGCACGGCGTTGGTATCGATCGAAACGACCTTAATGAGCGTATTGAGGGCGACGTAGCGGATGTTGTTGTCGTGATTTCCAAGGAACTTGCCGAGAATATTGATTGCCATCACACGTAGACCAGAATCAGCCTTGATGTCCAGAATCGTCAATACGCACTCGTAAAGAATGCTGTTGCCTACGATCTTGCTTCCATCTGTGTTCGTCGCGACCTGTGCGAGGATGTCATTGATCATGTCCGATACTTCGGCACTGTCGCGGCCTAGCACACGCATAAAGCGCAAGATCTTGGCCTGCAAAAACGGATCCGTCACACCCGCAACGTCATGCTCCGGCGAAAAGCTTGTCGACAGCAAATTGCGCAGCATGGCAACGAGAGACGACGTCGCTCGGCGGAACAGTGCCACAGAGGATGGATCCGTCTCGCAGATCTGGATCGCAAGACTGATGGTACAGAGCAAGACGCCATGGCTCTTGTCACTCAACAGTTGCAATGTCCGGTGTCGAAAGTGGTCGACAAGATCGGGCACCTTTCGGATGATGCGCTTGGCACACAGTACAGCCTTTTTCCTGATGTATGAGTTTGCACTTGACATGAGCTTTTCGATCTCATTGCACAAATCGCGTGACATCTCCTCCGACGCAATGTTCGCAAACGTGCACAGCGCAAGACCCACAATGTACATATTCGAGTGGTTCATATCGCTAAAGCCCGTGAGGCGTGGTTAGTTTTCTTGGCCCAACGCGGTAACATGCACAAATGCACATGCAATGACACGTACTTTTTTAGCCCATTCGTTACGAGCATTAGCACTTGTGCATTCTCATCCAGTAATACCATTATACCCAGATATCCAAGACGCTTGTCCGCAAAGCGTGGCGATGCCACGAGCTTGAGACATTCCATCTGCCCAAAATGCGCCGGGTAACCAAGCATATGAATATACAACAATTTCGATAGGTTATTGTATCGCATATACGCATCGTCGTCCTTGAATGATGTACGTATTGCAGCAGACTCCTTCTGTAAGAGCGCTCGCTCATCAGCCAGTGTCTTGCACGCTCTTACACCCTTGATCAATGCGCGCAGATTGTACAGACCCGCACTTGCCATCAGACTACCGAGGCGTGGGTCCAAAGCAGCAACCTGCTGCTGCGTTTGAAAAAACGACGACATGACCGCGTCTAGATGGCAAGGTTTATCGTCGACAGTGTTGTCTGAGCGCTCTTTTTTTCTGGTTGCTCGGTAATATCCGTCACCTTGGTTGTCTTTTTTTTGCTTGCCACTTCGCCCGGCGCGCCAGACAAGACCCCAGTCGCCCAAGTCAGCCTCACTGCCTCCGCAACTCGGGGCCAGGAGGCTCAAGTCAGCCAAACGCCCGCGCGACGGACTTCGTAACTCTCCACAGCACAGGTCCATCACGCACGCGTATCACGTGATACACACACCCGCAAGGTATGTGCGATGTTCATCCTGGGGGCCATGTGGCCAAGGAGGGCAGGGCTTGCGGTGGGTGCGGGTGGGGGTGGGGTTAGGAAGGACAGTTGAGGCGCAAAGGGCCACGACACCGTTGAAACATCATTCTGAAGCAACTCCATGACTGATGACAGTGATAGTAGCTCACTTTTGATGAACAGAAGGTTGAGGGAGTGAGGCAGGAGAAGTTGCTGATATATTATGGTCTATTTCTACGCAATGGAGCATGCGGTCGTGGTGCAAGCCCTTCAAGCGTATCACTCGAGCTAAGACGCACAAAGTACAGGAGAGATAGCGTCAAGAGCTGAAGCGCACCAACTAAATAAAACACCAACGAGGGTGTAGTTGAAGCACTGCGACTGAACACCATAGAGAACATAAAAGGGCCGACAATCGCGCTAGACAAAGTACTGAGAATAGCCCATGCACCAAACAAACGACCCGCACCGTCCGCACGCGGTATCACAGCCATCCCTAAGGAGCTCACAGCCGATCCTATTCCTGCACCCAGTGATACGGCGAATGTCCCAAACATGAACAGACCAGATGTCCGCGAGTGCGCCATGATGATCGAGGCAATCACTGTTATAAACGCAGAGACCACAGCAATATACATGTCCATGTGGCTGTCGTGAATGAGCTGAAGCTGCTTGGCTCGTGCCATCCATCGCTTTTCCAGCTGCTGCTCAGCTTGTGTCCATAAAGCAGGCGGGGACGCATACAGGAGGCGACCATGCTCGTCCAAGACCTCATAGGCATCAGATGCCGACACAAAAGCGGCATCTTGAGGCAGCACAATAGACTTCGGCATACGGTGAAGGAGCTTGACCAAAAGAGGTACCAAGACTGTAAGTGTGAGCATGCGCGAGACAGCTGCAAAGCTGACGAACAATCCGACAGCGCTAGAGCTCCAGCCGAATACGAGTTGGACATACTGAATTTTGACCGGCACAATTGCAATGCATGTCATTTCTACCGCATATGCCGCAGAGAGAAGAAGCAGATTCGTGTCCCACTCGCTCGATGTCACACGCTGCTCGGTAGAAGAAAGCGTAGGGAACGACTCGTTCGGCACAAGAGCATAGCTTGATTTACGCCGTGGTAGCAAGAAGCTGAGACTTTCTAGGGGAGTCATGATGGCTTTTTTCACCCCCGCCCAAAAGGCAACCATTTGACCGTGGCGATCTCGCTCGAAACGAAGCATTGAATCATGCTCTTGGGTAGCATTTTCTCGCACCGCTGGGCTCAAGCTTTCGGGTATCATAGGAGAAATGGCAAAAATGGAAAGTCGGACAAGGCTTGCGAGGAGAATCGTCAGACTCAAACTACCCGTATACTTGGTGACAAAGCCGCCGATGGTCGGGCCGATAGCGACACCAGCAAAAAGCACCCCTGTCATCAGTGCATACAAACGCGATCGAGTACCGCTAGATGTAACATCAGTGAGATATGATTGTGCCATTGCCGTAACGGTGCCAGACGCACCAAGTACGCCCTCCATTACGCTGCCCCAAACGAGGATCCACCATCCCAATGGAATGTTGGACAAAGACACAAGCGATACACACAATGACACAGCATCATTGCATAAGGATCCAGAGAGTGCAATGGCAAGTACGCGCGTTCGTCCTTTGCGATCAGATAGCTGAGACCAAAAGCTCGTCGTCAGCATTGAAAAGACACCAACAATCACGACGAGCTCTAGCTGGATAATCGACAGGCGACTCTGCGCTTGAACTGACCTGCGGCAGACGGCAGATGGAGCATGTACAGGGTGAATGAAGGATGGCAAGGATGCGAGCGAGAGAGACGATGACTCGTGCAGTTCTATGTCATCGACGTGCATCGCCTTGCATATTAAAGCGAGAAAGAGCTCGAGGCGAGATGCAAGCATCATACCGGCAGATAATGCAAATAAAAATAAAACAGGAAGAAGCCAAAGTGGCCGAGGCTTATGCCACCAAGGTAGACGACGAAGCCAAGCGAGTTCATCCTCATCATGCGCGTGGAGAACGGGGTCCTCTTCAAGCGCTTGTTCCTCTTCTTCTGTCACCTCCGGCAACACATAGTCAGGACCAGGAATCGATGTGTTCATATGCGGAATATGTGGCACATCTTGCATCTGACGCAGCCGTGCCACATGGACGTCCTCGCCCATAAAGAGACAGCAATGGCTGATGGGGACGAGTTCAGCATTGAATGCTTAAATCGTTTCTCCACACACGTGATGCAGGAAGATAAATTGGCGTAGACACTGCGAGCAGCCCACACCCTGTGGGCTGTGGCCGAGTGTGGCGACTTGAGCAAAGAATTCGTGTGCAAACTCGTTCAGTTTCTGCTCGCAAATCGAGATTCTCACTTCCGATTTACACAACCACATTCGCCGCACCCTTTACTCATTGCAAGGATGGCTCGAGGCTCTTCTAAGTCTGGCCATCCATCTGTGCAAAAGCTAACAGAAGATGTAAGGAATCTGCAGATACAAAATGAGCCAGACGTTGGAAACACCGAAAAGGGTAACATGAAAGGGAAAAAGAACAAGCCAAAGAACAAGACAAAGGCTAAAGTTGAGCATAAAGATGATGAAAACAATTTGGTCCACCCACAAGAACAAGAGCCATTATATGAATACGATCAAGAAGAACGTGAAGAGGACAAGGAAGCGCCGACGGAGCCTGAGGAAATTCTTCCAGAGCACGCTTGTGCCTACTGCGGGCTCGCCGATGTGGACTGCGTGATCAAGTGTACAGTGTGTAATAAATGGTGTGTATTTGTTCGCGATCTTATGTATTCTTCTAATACTTCAGGTTCTGCAACGGGAGTGGGAAAACGACGTCATCTCATATTGTGACGCACCTCGTTCGTGCGCGACACAAGGCCGTTATGCTGCATCCTATGTCACCACTAGGTGATACAGTGCCGGAATGCTATACATGTGGTTCAAAAAATCCATTTGTTCTTGGATTTTTGCCAGCGAAGGGTGAAGCTGTTGTCATGCTGCTTTGTCGTACGCCTTGCAATTTTGCGGCCAATACGAAGGATATGGACTGGGACGCATCACAGTGGTCGCCACTCATTGAGAATCGCGCATTTTTGTCGTGGTTTGTCAAGATTCCGTCTTTGAAGCAGCAAAAGAGTGCGCGCCAGATTACATCAGACCAGATCCGCAAACTCGAGGATCTCTGGCGCGAAAATGAGCTCGCGACACTCCGGGACGTCGAGAATCCGGAACAGGAACGGAAACTTCCTGAGACCATGATAAAATACGACTCACTTGCACAATACTATGAAATATTCCGAGTTTTGCTTTCTGTCGAGGAAGCATACGACAAAAAGATCAAAGAAAATCTCGCTCAGCATGACATTACCGTGCGGTGGGAAGAGACTAAAAACATGTTGCTAGTTTGGTTGCGTCTTCCGCAGCTTGAAAGTGGTGAAATTCGCTTAAGTATGGGCGATGAGTTGCTGCTTCGTTACACAGGTAGCATGGCACCTGCGTGGGAATCAACGGTGACAGTGGTTCGCTTCTCACCCACATCGTCGATGGAAGTGGCTTGCGAAGTGCCAAAGCATCTATCGCCGCCACTCGAGTGCACGACAAACTACATGCTCGAGTTTGTATGGATTGGCATCACTTATTCGCGCATGAAAAATGCGCTCTCTCGATTTTCACGCGGTCGTCCTTGTATGTCGACGTACCTCCAAAAAGTCCTGCTGGGAATTCCAAGCAAAGCCATTCCACTACAGGTGCAAATGCCTCGGCGACTTCATGTCTCTGGCTTGCCGGAGCTTAATTACAGTCAACTCACTGCGCTAAAAACGGTACTCACGTCCCCCTTGAGTTTGATCCAAGGTCCTCCTGGTACAGGCAAGACTGTAACGAGTGCTTCTTTGATCTATCACCTCGTGCAGATGAAGCGGGGCAAGATTCTGGTGTGTGCTCCTTCGAATGTGGCTGTTGATCAGCTCACAGAAAAGCTTCATCGCACAGGTCTCAAAGTCGTACGTCTCGTCTCACGCATGCGCGAAACCATCAGTAGTCAAGTTCGTTTCCTGGCTCTACATGAGCAGGTAGCGCAGGTGGAAGAAAACACAGAATTGTCGCATTTGATCGAACAAAAGCGGAACAATGGAGAGCTCAGCACAATGGAAGAGCGCAGATACAGGAGTCAAGTGTTCCAGCGCGAGCGGGAGATTCTCGATGCTGCAGATGTTATTTGCACGACGTGCTCGAGCTCAGCAGACAGACGGCTCCATTCATACGAGTTCCAGACTGTGCTCATTGACGAAGCGACTCAAGCAGTCGAGCCAGAGTGTCTAATCCCAATTGTTCGTGGTTGCCGTCAGCTTGTACTCGTTGGTGATCATAAGCAGCTAGGTCCTGTCGTGCTGAACCGCAAAGTGGCTGATGCTGGTATGAACTTGAGCTTATTCGAACGGCTGGTTCTTCTTGGTGTGAAGCCACGGCGTCTTGAAGTGCAATACCGTATGCATCCAGCATTGTCGGAGTTCCCAAGCAACATGTTTTACGACGGCATGTTGCAGAACGGCGTAAGTGCGCATGAGCGGTTGCGAAGAAATGTTGCAATCCCTTGGCCAGTGCCTAACATGCCTATGATGTTCTATCAAAACCTGGGACAGGAAGAAATCTCCGCCAGTGGAACGTCGTATTTGAACCGGACCGAAGCATCGAGCGTAGAGAAGCTCGTTACTACACTGCTAAAAGCAGGCGTTGCTGCCGAACATATTGGTGTGGTTACACCCTATGAAGGTCAAAGAAACTTTGTCATCAACTATATGCAGCTGCACGGCAGCATGATGAAAGACGCATACCGCAATGTAGAAGTGGCAAGCGTCGATGCGTTCCAGGGCCGTGAAAAGGACTATATCATCGTCAGTTGCGTCCGAAGCAACAGCAGCTTGGGCATAGGATTCTTGAGCGATCCCCGTCGCCTGAATGTGGCGCTCACACGTGCTCGATTCGGTCTGATTTTGATTGGAAACCCACGCATCTTATGCAAGAATCCTCTCTGGTACCACCTACTCGTTCATTTCAAAGACCGGAATCTGCTTGTCGAGGGTGCCCTGTCGAACTTGCAGCCATCGATGGTTCGATTTGGCCCGCCACCTGTCGAGCGCAGGGTTATGTCTCGGTTTGAACGTGCAGCTTCGGAGGCAAACTCTGTGAATGACTCGCTTGCGATGGACCCAGTTCGCGCTCCTTTCCGTGGCTCGATGGCTTCGGTTGACCTACTTCGTGAGGGAATGTGGGGCACGCTTTCGTTGGACGCGAGGTCGCTCTCCATGACTCAGAGCGACCTTATTACGCAAAGCCTCAAGCAGAAAGAGACTGATCTCGACAGCCTTGATGGCTTCCGAAGCCAGGCCTCTGTCGCAGATTCCCTTGAGGACGAGACAAACGAAGATCCTATGGCTACTATGGGTATCGACTCGGCCGCACCTGGGAGCGGTGGTCTGCCAGCGAAACCCTCGGTAACTCAATTCTTCTAACATGATTATGTAACTGTCACGTGCGGTTCTCTGCGCTGTACCTTTGGGGAACGGCGGCATTTTTGAGAAGGGACTCCCATTCTCCCCACATTTTCCTTCATTCCTTTCTCACTCTCCCTACGGTTGTGCAACATGGCCCAGATTTTGAAGTCGGAGTTTCCCACGCCTCCGACCAAATATCCATCAGACGGAAAGTTGGTATTCTAGGAGTTATTGGTTCTTTCTGACATCGCAGCCTATTTAGCTGGATCGTCTCAAACCCGGGGCATCTGTCTGACAAAGATGTGGCGTACTACCGTCTCGACGGAAAGACGCTCAATCGTTACGATGTGATTCAGTTGGCTAAACAAACTGCACATTTCTTGCGGGAAACTCTTAAGCTCAACAAGGGTGATCGCATTGGCATCATTTCACCGAACTCGACCTTGTACGCACCAGTGGTTCTTGGTATATTAAAGGCTGGCTGCATATGTGTGACATTAAATCCTATCTATTCTGCCGCTGAAATGGAGCATCCGGTTGCTGACTCCGATTTAAAGATGATCTTTGCGCATCCTATGACACTCAAGAGCTTGCGTGAGGCACTATCCAAGCTTGGCCGATCATTCAAACTTCCTAATGGCCAGCCATCAGTCTGGATTATCAACGATGCTGACGCTGTGCAAGCAGCCACCACCGGAGAGCTCGACTTTCGTGAGGCTCTTCAGGATAAAGATTGGCCCACAGAGCGCGTCAACTCGACTGAAGATGTTTCGTTCATCGTATATTCCAGTGGCACTAGCGGCAAACCTAAAGGAGTCATGCTAACTCATGACAACCTTATTTCGAATACTGAGACTTTCAATCTCGTCTCGCGTCGAGAGGGCGGCCCATACCAAACAGCCATTGGTGTGCTACCTTTCTTCCATATTTTCGGCCTGAATATTCTCGTGCTGTCTTCCTTCCTCCACGGTTTTCGTGTCGTCGTTGTACCAAGGTTCGACATTAACGTCTTTTGTGCGGCTGTCCAGAGATTCCATGCCAACATGTCTGTGGTCGTACCGCCGATTTTGCTTGCTCTTGCGCGCCACCCGGACGTTGACAAGTACGATATGTCCTCTTTGACTGCGGTGATATCAGGTGCCGCTCCGCTGGGTCGCGAATTGTGCGAAGAAGTGCAGCACCGTCTTCCCAAACTTGGACTTGCTCAAGGATATGGCTTGAGCGAAACTGCGCCTGTTCTCTTGCGTTGTATCGTTGATAGGCACCGTCAACATCTAGGCTCGGCAGGCCAGATTGTGCCCTTTAATGAGATTCGTCTCGTGAACTACGATGGCAAGGACGTGGCTTATGAACAAGGGTCCTCGGGTAACCCGGGTGAGCTTTGGGTGCGCGGTCGAAGCGTGATGAAAGGCTATCTGAACAACCCAGATGCCACAAACGAGTGTATGACACCTGATGGCTGGTTCAAGACAGGTGACATCGCGATTGTGAAAGATGGTTTCTTTTACATTGTTGACCGCATGAAAGAACTTATTAAGTACAAAGGCTTCCAGGTTCCACCGGCAGAACTTGAGGACATGCTTCTTGCGCACCCGAATATTGCTGACTGTGCCGTCATTGGTTTGTATAAGGAAGATATTGCGACGGAACTGCCTATGGCGTTTGTGGTCCCTAAGAAGGGTGTCATTGATCTTGTGAACAGCTCACAGTCTGAGAAAGATGCATGTGGTAATGAAATTGCCAATTGGCTCGATAGCAAAGTTGCAAATCACAAGAAGCTTCGCGGTGGCGTGGTGTTTATCGACGAAATTCCCAAGAGCCAATCAGGTAAAATTCTTCGTCGCGTACTTCGTGAGAAGGCGAATAATAAGTAGAGGTTTATATTCGAGATATGTGGTGGCATGACTGTTTATCCCCAGATGCTTAGGATTTCTTCAATAAGAATCTTGCGCTACATATTACTCGTACAGTTTTACAAACAGATATTTTATTGCATGAGGACTAGCAAATGTTTGGGGCCTATCTTCGGTGATTTGGTATACGCTAGTAACTCTGTGTGCTTCTTGTTGCGTGCAAATACACCTGGGTTACTTCCATGTGACGTCTTTCGTCTCTGATAATGTTGTCAAGAACCAAATAAGCATTGATTTCAGTTTTTTGCACCGGAAATAACAATGATATGACCAATACTGCGTTTAAAAGTATAAATAATGTATATGATTTATTGCAAAAGGGATTGTTTGGGCACAAGAGAACTGCTTCTTATTCACCGTCGATATGACAAGGCCGATTTACAAATCGAGTAATGTGAATGACAGATTCCACTGATGATAGAGTAAAGAAAAAGTTTGATCTCACCGGACAGACTTTAGACAGAGAATAGATGGTTTACGCAGCCTCTGTTGATTTAAACGACCGTAACTATATGTATTGTCTCAAGGAATCAAGATACATTACAAGCGAACTAGTCGGAATAAAATGGCAGAAGGTACATTTCATTAATTTTATTCAGCGTGAGGTCACAGTGACGCATTTTAAAACTGGACCCCTGATGCGATTCTTCGTTCCTGAATCAAATCAGGATCGGGAAATTATTTTTGCACTATGATTCACCACATGCCGTCGGTGTAGCACTTCCCAGACGTTCCAAAAGTCGATAAATGTCATGAAGAAAGCTCTATTCTATGTGCCTATAACACTGAAAAAAAAAAACGAAGCATGCAAAGGACTTCTCTTGAAGATTGGCGCGATTATGATGTTGAAATTCTCGATGTGAATACTCTTTTCCTTCGAGCTTCGCTCCTCGAATGAAAGCACGTATATGCAAAATACCCATGCCTTATTTTTCTTACCGTAAAGCTATGTATTTGACAAAATAATGTGGATTATAAAACATGATTGAAGATAATCGAGTCCAATTTATCGTACCGACTCAGGAGAGACAAGCTGTAGCATGTCCGGGCCAAAAAAAACAACAGTTTTCGGCTCAAGTTCATTTGTGGAACTGAAAATGCTAGATAATGTTCAACATGACAAATCATTAGAAATCGCTTCAAAGTGGTATGTGCGCATGTGTTGTAGTTCAGTTCCATGTCTATACTTTGGACATGTCCTATCAAGGACCTATAAGCTGCAAAATGAGTCAGATGAGATACCATTGACCATCTATGGTGCAAATCTTAACTATAAAGCTAAAGCCATGCAGAGAGTTGCATTTCAAATGATGGTTTTGATTGAATTGCTAGATCTAGGGAGGTTTTTTGAAAGCCACTTGAGCATAATTGTATTTGTAAAGCAACTCTTTTGGGATAGAAAATTCGACACGCGATTCAGATATTTGGTTTAAATCCTAAGTAAGAATTGATCGTAGTGTGAAATTTGCCTTTTACCCTTTCGTGAAACAGTCGCTCAACCTTCATTGGCTGATCTCGTATACAATAAGCAACACACACACTTTAAGATCACCAAATGTAGAAGTAATCTAGACAATGTGACGAGACTGATTCGAATTTGTATCGTATAGCCTTGTATAGGAAGGAAATTTGGATATGTAATCAACAATCAAAATTTTGTCGAAGCAGAAGATAATCTCAATATGACTGCATTACGGATAGAACTCTAGAAGACATCGTACTGAAAGGTAGTCTTTCTTCCTTATTATACGAAGAGATATTTTATACCTTTAAATGGCGAGATGCGACTGGCACGACAGCGATTTCATTTTTCCCTTCTATCCGTACGGCGGCGAACAAATAATACGAGTCGATATCTGACCCAAAATCCGGATTTCAAAAGTTCTTGGATTTTCGTCAACAATCTGTTTTATTCCATTGATCATAGTTTTACCATTTTCTGGGGCTCCAAGGCTATACCGTTCGTTTGACAAAGTTGGGCACGAAATGGATGTTGAGAACAATGTTTCCGACACGAAGAATGGTTCATGTTATTGAGATGGTCTGTGCATTTGAAAGCAGTCATGAGTCGGCCGAGAAGCTATCAAATCTTGATAGGATCCATGTGCGACTTGGCTTAAATCCAGCTGCCATATCGAGACGAGCGGATATATATATACCTGAGCCTCAACACATACGTATGAGTTCCGTGCTTGGTCGAGGACTTCGGACGTGTGTTCAAATTCCAATACTATCGTACTCAAAGGCGCCTAAACTTCGAACTTTGACGCAAAAAATGTCATCAGCATCAAGCTCTGCTTCCGTTATGTCTTCTCTACCTTCCTTTTATGAGCGAACTCCTATCCCAAATGATCCAACTCGTCCGTTCGTGCGTTCAGCCGCATGCTTGATCATCGGTGATGAAGTGCTCAATGGTAAGACCCATGATACAAACAGTAATAAGATGGCAAAAATGTGTTTTGAGATGGGTATCGAGTTGAAGCGCGTAGAAGTAATCGCAGACGATGAGAAGGAGATTGTCGAGGCCGTTCAAAGGATGGTACGATACTAATACTTACTGTTGGCTCACTAACACTGATTAATAGTCGCGGAACTACGACTGGGTAGTTACAAGTGGTGGTATTGGACCTACGCCAGATGATATCACGTACGAATCGATTGCGAAGGCATTTGGTAAGGAGCCACTTGAGTACAACGATGAGACTCTGCGTCGGATGGAAATTGCGATTCGACATCGATACAAAGACATACCAGACACGGATGACGTGCGAGAAGCCCAAAAGCGTATGGCTCTCTTTCCTCGTGAGTCAGAAGTGATATTTCCTACGGAACAACTTTGGGTACCGGTCGTTCGTGTGAATGGCAATGTGTGCATATTGCCAGGTATTCCTAGTTTGTTCGAGGCATTGCTCCATGCGATGCAGCCATATCTGCACCTGGATCCAAACATGCCGCGACCTATTCGATGCCTTATTCAGACAAGTCTACCTGAAAGCGTGATCAGCCCTGTACGTTCGTGGAAAACTGTCTTTCTGCTAATACATGTCACAGCTATTGAAGCGACTGACCCTGTCCGGTAAGAAAGATGGAATTCGTGTGGGGTCATACCCTAAGGTGTGTCATATTTGAAAGTTGACGAGCTTACGTGTAGTGGGATAAGGGAGTCCACATATCGCTAATTGGTTTCGACCAAGCGCTCATTGACCAATATGCACAGCAAGTTATGCAGGAGACTGGTGGCCAGCTTGCTAGTATCTAGAGTGGCTCAGTGTAGTTTGATGGGAACCTGTTTGAATGTTAGTCATTGATGCTATATTGAAATGGACGTACTCGCCAGATTCCGGTGGTCCCTCGCGGTAGTTGGCTACAAGCTCTCCCATCCACCAGTCATCAAGTTTATCAGTGCGGCGCGTTACGCGAATCAAATCGCCACGTTGGAAAGACAGATCCGAGTCACGTTGTGCCTTATAGTCATGGGTAGCGACAACAAGATCACCGTCGAGAAGAGAAGGATCCACAAGATCGATAGGATGTGTTTGTACTGGATCAGGGTCACGTAGACAACTAGCGGGGGTCGGCATTTGCGTTGAATCAACATCCAGCAATGCATAATTGTCAGAGGGCAATTCAATTGAGTGTGATTGGAAATGTAATTGCGAATATCTCTGCGTGTGCGGAATATCATCGTCTAATACAGCGTTCATATCACTGAAAGGATTTTCTGCAGCGTGAGCTAATGAATCTTGCGTTCGTGTCCGAGAATGGCTGGATGAGCCGCGTCCGAACGAATCCACACGGTATTTAGACGATGTCGAAAACGTCGGTGCATCATAAGTGGAAGGGCCACGTGCTGTGCACGGGTCGGATCTGTGATGCACACCGGGTGGTCGCCAGCGCGATGGAGGGGGTGGACTTGGACTGCGACCACTTAAACTCGCAGACTGGAGCTGCTCATCAAGATCATCCATGGGTGAACCTGACAGCCGTTGCCGGTATGAAACAGGCGATGGCGCATTAGGGGCTGTGCGACGACGAATACTTTGCGGAGGAGCATACAAGTCGTCGAAGTGAGCGTCGTACCCAAGGTCATTGTAGTCTTCATTTCCGATGACGGATGAATCCTCATCGGCGAATGGAACCTTGCCTGTGGCCTCTTCGATGCGAGTTATCAACGGTATAGCAAACTGGGGCATTTCGACTTGACCGCTCAAGATCTGCATGGGCGTAACAGAACCCCCGTACACTTTTTCATTTGTATCTTTCCGTTCAATCAAAACAGTGCCCTCGATGGTAATACCACCATACAGACCCCGGCTGACACTGTAGCTGTACATAGCCGAAAATTGCATATCGGCATTCATCGCCGCGCTCGCCTCACCTGTGCGACCAAGTGGGCCTACAGCCAGACTCAAGTTTCCACCTAGTTGAAGAGAACCGGCTGTCATGAATGAGCGCACAGCTGCACGGGAATTCAACACAACCAGAAAGTCGACCATTTCAGCTCCAGCATTGAAGCCACCGCCGAGGCCTCCAATTCCAATAGATGCAGGCGGTGACCACTCGCCACTTGGGAGTTTCGCGACAACCACTCCCATACCGACGCGAGCGCTCATAAGGAAGCCTACGCGGAAAATCGTGAAGATAGCGAACCCCTTCGCCTTACGAAGTACGCTGCGAGGAATTACTTTGTCTAGTCCATGCTGTGTGCCGACCGGACAGAATGTATTCAGGATCTACAGTTTATCAGCTGCAACTGCACTAATATGTGCGTACCTTTTTTGCTCGGCGGCAGTCTCCTTCCATGGCCTCGCCAACTTCCAAGAAGATCTGCTTTTCAATGACAATACAGATCGATCAGGAAGGTAGTCGTTAAGGGAGGATACCCAATTTAGAACATGGGAAGGCTGCCAAAAATTAGGTGGAGTGAGAGTGTCGCGATGTGGAACCGACGCACCGGTGCACGTGGTTGGCGACACAAAGACATTCACAAAGTGGTTGGGGTACGGATTGACATTACGACGAAAACGCTGGGTGGGGGTGTCAATCGTCACGGGCGGATCTCTCTGGCCAACCGGAGGCATCTTTTTTTTCCTAATCACTTCATTATAATTCGTGTTGCTCAACTGTTTTGTGCGATAGCAGCTCCTCGTCTCACGCGCATTCTGCTTGTGGATTGACTCGATTGTATGAGCATCGCGAGCCTCCATCGCGGTCTCAAACATAGCTGACGAATGACGTCGCAAGCATCGAATGTGCTTAACGATGAGCTACAAGAGCGCCGGCGCATAGAGCTTGAAGTGATAAAAAGCATTATGTTGGACGACTTTTGTGTCCATACGCCCTCTGCGTGGCACAGCGCGCCATCCACACAAGTGCAAACGTATGAGGCTGTATTGCGGCCGGAAATAGACGCACAGAAGAAACATGTATCTGTTGTGGTGCGATTTGTTCTCACCCGACTCTATCCCAACACACAGGCTACATGCTACGTTCAGGTGAACGACAAGCGTACACGAGGCGTGCCCCTGTACAATCTTAAAGAACTGGAAGAGCGGATGAATGACATGGCTCGTTCACTGAGAGGCACAGAAATGATCTGGGAATTAATTAACATGTCTCAAGAATATATCAGTGCTCACAATACGGCGCCTCCCGAGGGTACGCGTGCGAATCTGAGCCTCGAGGAGCTTATGCGGCATCGTGCGCTTGCCGCAGAGGAGAAAGCCAAATTACGTACACAAGAAGAAGAGCAGCAGCGTAATGACGAGGAACAGAAGCGTTCTAATGAACTTGCCCAGAGAATCGAGCATGAAACGCGCCGGCAAAAGCAAGTCATCAAGACAGAAATCAAGCGGCTTCGTGACACGCCTCATTTTTCCCTCCCGCCAACAACTGAGCCTGGTACGGGCGAGCCTCTTCGTAAGAATGACGATGCTGCATTTCGTATAAACACACTCCTGCTCCATGAACCCGTTCACATTGATGGAATGGACATAGAGCGCGTGCGGCGTGGTCCCTGTGTTGCACATGTACCACTGGCGCGTACGTTCCTCTGCACGCCATTTGTGTCTGAAGACACTCTACCTAGTGACGTTTTGTGGACGCTGGAGATTGTGCCTATCTCATCTACATATTACATGACTCACGCAGGTCAGCGCAAACTGAGTGAGTTTGAGTATGAGCTAACGCGGTTGCGTGGCGTACACGCACCAGCGCTCGTGCCCCTGCTAGGCTGGAACCGCCGGACCGGGCAACGTGACGATGCACCTTCGTCCACTTCCTCGTGCCCTTTATCCTTATGCTTAGTGCATGATTATGGTGGGTCGATGCAGCTTCGCACGATGCTTCAACAATACGGTACCCTGCCCTGTCGACGTGTTCGGCAGATTCTTACATCCTTGTTGCAGGCATTGGACGCTCTGCACAAGCACAAACTCACACACCAAAGTATCTCGTTAGATGCATTTTTATTTCAAGATGGGCAAGTGCGTCTTCATGGCACGTTATACCGCCAGCGGCTTCGTGATATGCACCGTTCAAACCCTTTGAATACACTCGATGGAATGGAGACTGATGAGCGCGCGTCGATGATGGATGGATGGCGTGCGCCGGAAAGTCTTCGAAACCCACTGATTTATTCGGCTGCTCGCGACGTGTGGGATCTTGGAAGATGCGCATGCCAGATGCTGTATGGAGAGCATGTGACGCAGCAGTTTGTCTCGCCTGAAGCGCTCTTTGAGACGCGTGTATTGAATTCTGATTCTTCGCCGTTTCTGGCTCTGCTCCAAGCCATGATGCGTCGCTCTGAACCGGCAACGGGTTTACGACATCGCAACTGCTGGAGAAACTTGATCAGCTTTCGACGAGCGCGCCTGTAAAGACGAACACCGATGCCGAGCACACAACCCCATACGTCTCGCCGAATAGTGGACTAGCAAGTTCGCTTATCCTTCCCCGCGACCGGCATGTACCTACACATGCAACACCACATAAGGAAATGGAGGCAAAGAATTCCCGAGTTGGCTCCTTCTGGCAGCTCAGGAATTTGGCGCTGCCGACATTTCAGCCGGTCTCGCGGTACTTGAATGACTTCGAGGAAGTAGAATTCCTCGGAAAAGGCGCGTTCGGCGTGGTGGTAAAAGCGAGAAACAAGCTTGATGAGCGATTTTACGCGATCAAAAAGATTCAGCTGAGTAGTTCAGCAGCAGAAGAAGAGCGCACAATGCGGGAGATCATGGCACTTTCGCGCTTGGATCACCCACACATTGTGCGATATGTGACCTGCTGGATCGAGCGGACAGAGATGGCGACAATGGCCCCTAGCACAGACGTATCGCAGGACAACCATGTGTTGGAAAGCAGTGCCATGACAACGAGCCAACATATCGACACGAGTGCATTGCGTTCACTTCATTATCTTAGGCTTGGAAAAGTTGATGATTTCTTATCTGAAGACAAAGAATTGAGCTCCAATGATGAAGGTGACTTTATTCAGTTTGGCGACGATGACTCGTGTAGCGAGAATGACGAGTCTTCGGACCAAAGTGAGACCCGTGATGATGGTGACGAGGAACACAGTAGTGATTCCCAGCTATTTTCGATGACACATGACCGGTCGGGCGATCAAAAGATGCGTGTCTTGTACATTCAAATGGAATATGTCGAGAACCAGACACTTGGTGATGCAATTGAACATGGCCTAAGTGTAGATCAAGCCTGGCATATCTTCCGGCAAATGCTCGAAGCGCTTGCGCACATCGCATCACTGGGTATCATTCATCGAGATTTAAAGCCGAGCAATGTGCTGATGGATGCGCATGGTGATATCAAAATCGGTGATTTTGGCCTGGCCACCACCAATTTCCATACGATGGAGCCTGGCCAGCGTGAATCCATTCTGCAAGGTGACTCGAAAGAGCTCACTTCAGGTCTCGGCACGTTCCTGTACATTGCACCTGAAGTCCTCGCGAAAAGGAGCATCGGCGCGCGCTATAATCAAAAGGTCGACATGTTTTCTCTTGGCATCATCTTTTTCGAAATGCTAGCATCACAGCGCTGCTACAAAACCACCATGGAGCGGTACCAGCTGCTCGGAGACCTACGCCGGCCGTCGATTCAGTTTCCCTTGTCTTGGGACAAAACTCGCTTCTCTGCACAGACAGACATCATTCGTATGCTCCTTGACCATGATCCAGCGCAGCGCCCAACGCCCATGGCCATGCTTCGGTCTCCGCTCCTACCACCCAAGATGGAGAATGAATTTGTCCAGGAATTGGTTCGCTTAGCGGCGAATCCAACGAGTGTGCACCGGCACGAGCTGATCCATGCACTTTTCTCACGCCCACAAAATGACGTGCTACGTGACTACACGTTCGACACAGGTGCACAGGGCGATGAAGATGATGTGCTTGTTGGTGTGGTGTGTCGCACCCTGCGTGAAATATTCCAATGCCGTGGCGCTGTGCCTGTGCATCCACCACTTCTGTTTCCACCTAGTGATGTGTACAGTACAGAGCCAAACATGGTAAGTCTGCTTGACAAGACAGGGAATGTCGTTTTTCTTCCATTCGACCTTACTGTGCCTTTTGCACGCATCTGTGCCCGAAGCGGACACACGCGATTTAAACGCTTCGATATTTCTGATGTGTACCGTGAAAACTTGTTGGCCGGCGGGCAGCCACGAGCCGTGCTTGCCGCTAGCTACGATATTATCTCACAGGAGGCAGACCCGGCTTCGGAAGCCGAGATCCTGGCACTCATGGATGAGCTGCTGTCAATTCCTGGTCTCGCTGGCGAGACTTGGACAGTGGAGCTTAGTCATGAGATGATCTTGCGTACGTTTTTGGAGCGCTTTCCATCACGCTTCCATGCTGTGCTGTTGGAAGCGCTTCCAAGCTACCTTGCTCGTGGCTCCGATGTGCGTGTGCGTCAGCAGCTTAGTTCGGCGGGACTGCCAGCCACACTTTTGGATGAGATCGATGCGTGGAATCTTCGTGGCGATTTCGATCCTACCGTTCATCAGCTTATGAGCCTTTTGACGCCTGTAGAACGTGCAAGACTCGCTGAGCCACTGGCGTATCTCTCGCAAGTGACGCGACTTGCGCGGCAGTTTGGCATGCATCATCCATTATGTCTCGTGCCTCTATTTTCTCATACCCACAAGCATTACCGAAACGGCACAATGATGGCTGTGACAAAAATGATGAATGGCGGCAAGCACCGCGATATTCTTGCTGTTGGCGGGAGATACGACGAACTCCTCCGCTGCTTTGCCTATCCACAAACAACGCATACACCTGAGGAGCAACATGCAGTTGGTTTGCAGATTGCGGTGGGGAAAATGGTGAAAGCAGTCGCTCGATATCAGAAAGTTTATGTGCCGCGTTTTCTGGGTCGTCCCGAGCAGGAGCGGACGCTTGGTCCGTGGACGCCTCGGCGGTGTGAATGTTACATTGCGTCGAGTCAGCCTGGGCTTTTAGATGCGAAGATCCAGGTGTGCACAACGTTGTGGGCAAGTGGGATCAGTGCGGATTTGCAATATGAATGCGGGGCAGGTGAATCGCCTGAGATTACAGCGTCAACATGCCGTGCAGAGGGAATCTTGTTTCTTGTCCTTGTCCGGATGCACACGTCCGTCCTTAAAGTAAAAGAGGTCATCACGCGCACAGAACACGAGGTGGCCCGAGATGAACTCACCGTGTTTCTGCACGACCGCATCGCCCGTCAACGGCGCATTGATCAGACATCTGTCGGCCCTCGACCTCGAGAGACAGACACAACTAAGCCAAGCTCATCAACGAAAGGTCCTGCATCACTTGCACCCGCGTCGTGCCATGTACCTCGACCGAATGTACACGTGATGCTGCCTGGGCGCATAGATCGCCCTCGACGTTCTGAACGTCGAGTCAAACCGACGAAGCGGCATTCAATTGCAGAGAAAGCGACGAACGATGCATTGCATCTCGCAGAAATGATACAGAATGGCATTGTGCCAGTTATTGTCGTCGAAATGGCTCCGGGTCTTCTTCATCGTTTTGCGTCAGTGGCCCTTGCAACAGATGACATGTTCAAGACATTTTTGAATGAAGAAAAGCTTAACTCGGACGAGCGCGAATATGTCAAAAAGCTTCGTCTCTGCATCCAAGACGCGCTCGAAGTCGATACTCCGCCACTTGCAGCGAGCACTGCGCCGTCTTCATTTAGCATCTCGCCTAATACAACTTCGTCATTTGCAGCCAGTGCCACGACTGCCCCAGTGGCCTCATCAAGAGTCATTTTGTACTCAATGAAGGACCGGAAATTCATTCTATGTAGTTAGACTAATGGGCTGTGCTTGGTCCATCAAGATGTTGTACACCCAGGAGTCTTCACCCTCATATAAAAACGCATCATACAGAAACACTCCCAGTAGTCCACCAGCAATGGTCGATACCCATCCGGCAAAGAACCAATACGCACCATCATGCGTCCAAACCTCTGAGCCATAACCCAGTAGCGTCAACACGATACGAGGACCCGTGTCGCGCGCGGGATTCAATGCGTACCCAGTATTGGAGCCAAGCGACGAGCCAATTGCAAGAATCGCAAAAAACAGGCCGACTGGCATCGTGCCCCTTGGTACCGACCAGTTGCCATGGTCGCTCATTGCTAGCACCAAAAATAACAATGCTGCTGTCGCAATCAGCTCGGTCATGTATGCTCTCATAAGCGAAATGATCGGAATTGGCCGAGTGATAAATAAGCCCGCTGTCGAATGCGACTCTGATACAGCGTGTGGTAAGCCGCCTTCATAGACTAGAATACTGTCGCGATATAGCATATACACAACGAACGCGCCAAACGCACACCCAAGCGTTTGTGCGACGATGTATTTGCATCCTTTCCGCCATGAAAAGCCACGGAATATACACATAGGTATTGTTACTGCCGGATTTATATGTCCACCAGAGATCCCGCCACATGCCCATGCACCTAGCGCTACACCACATGCCCATGCCAGACGGCATGACAGGTACGTGCCTGATAATGCGTGAGAAGGTTTATTTTCCACAAACGCTCATTGCTAAAATAACACGTACCGAAAGCACCCGCCACCTGGTGATCGTCATAGTGGAGTCGCACTTGGCACTCGACACCTGCACCAAATAGCAAGATAAAGAACGAGCCCCAAAATTCACTACAGTGTCAGCGCGTTCACACTCACGCAATAGTCTCGTGCCACTCGTTTCGAAAAACAGGCCACCTTCGTTGAATCGGTGCGCGGAAGCGAGTAGTCCCACTGCCAACGCCCGTGTTAGAGGATTCCGACATCGTGTCTGGATAGAAAACCGAGCAAGCGAATGGAACGCTCAGACCATTGCGACCACGTGCATCGGCTCAGATCCCATTCTCACACCGAGGCTATCACTCTCCACATTAGTCAACAAGCTGCATACGAGACACTGGCAGGTAATAATCGTCCAATGTCCAGTATTTGCGTTTGACACCCTTCCAGGTGTTCTCTTCCACTTGCATACGAAGCGTTTGCCACTCTGTCGTGAGCCCAATCTCATGCAAATCTAGTTCTGCTACGCGCGTATACACGCTGTAGAAGAAGGGGTTCGTAGCCGCTAGACCATGAACTGTGTTGTGTTAGCGATTTATTTGCGCACACGTACAGAAAGAGAAACGCGAATCAGGGCCATTCATCACATTTGGAAGGCACTCAAAAAAGTTTCGAAGATCTGAGAAATAGATGAGCCTTTCTCGTTTGTGTATGCATACCTTGGTAATCTTGTGAGTACGTATCAAAATAGACAGCATCGAACGTTCCCAGCTTCATGGCAATGCTGCCGTCTTCATCATTCTCCGGTAGCAAAAACTGCTCCCATGTTCCCTCGAATATTTCAACGCCCTCGCGCTGGTCCCAGCCGCGTTCGCGCATGAAAGCGAGCGCATCTGGATGAGGCTCAATAATAACATGACGCCCGGGGCGATACGATTGGATAGCTTCATCAATAATGCCAAGGCCAAATCCCACATTCAAAATAGAAAATTTGTCGGGTTGGCCCTCACAGAGAACCTTAGCCGATGCGTGCATGATGTCATTCTCCCACTCAGCCATGACCAAATTTTCATCCTTGTCTAGACAGCGCCACTGGCCCTGCTCGTCTTGCATGAACGACAAATGGCTTTGAAGGAATGCTGCATTAGAATACGTCACTTCGCCTTGTGTCCCTGTCGCAAGAGTTACCTGCGTCATGTCGTCCGTGTCTCTCCATTCCACCCTATCAGCTTCGTCCGAGTTCTTTGTCTCTGTTTCCGAGACGGTGACAGGCATGTCAACCTCTGCGTGTCGCGCGATCACAGGGACCAAGAAAGACTGACGCACACCCTCTTCGAACAGAACGTCATAGCACCTAGTGTGGTTGCGCGACCAAGCAATATCGGCAGCAGTGAATCCCAAATCGTCGACGGCATTCCATAAAGCACCATTTTTGAGCAGTACACGTATAACATCGATGTGTCCAGCATCTGCAGCATAATGTAGTGCATCCCATCCTAACATGTCTTCATCAGCAAACCATGCATCAGCAGAACCGTCCCAGTCTGCCCCCGGCTGCGTGATCGATAGCAATGTTTTACATGCTACGATATCTCCTTCTTCTGCTGCTCGATGCAACGCGAGATTGCGCTCAATGCGTTCAGGAGCCAGCATTGTGTCGCAAGTTCTCGTGCCTCAGGATTGGAATCCACCACCCAACGCGAAATGTGAGGGCAGTAGCGGCCTTCACTTGCCACGTGGAAAGCACTTGTGGCCGACGTGCGAACCACGCGTTTCCACCTCCATCCATGTCGCTTTTTGGTGGTGGTGCGTCGTCAACGCCGAACCCAGGACAAACTGGTGGATTCAACGCAGGTGCTCGATCTATGTCATTCTCGGCAGGCACGAGTGGTTCTGGATTCTCATTTGGCGCACCCAACAATGCGGCACCACAGTCTCAAGCTGGCAGTTTGTTTGGCTCAGCGCCGTCCAGCAATCCCAGCACGAATTCGTTCGCTAATCCATCATCGAACAACAACACAGCTCTGAAGCCTGGAGGTCTTTTCGGCCAGAGTGCACCTACAAGTACGGCAGGTAGTGGGTTGTTTGGTCAAAGTACCACACAAGCAAGCAAACCTGGTGGCGGACTTTTTGGTCAAGGCACGCAGGCGAACAACACTGGTTCTGGGGGTGGTTTGTTTGGTCAAACCAATATACAGACAAATAACACTAGTGGGGGTCTCTTTGGTCAAAGCTCGACGCAGCCAACTACCGCTAGCGGTGGGCTTTTTGGACAAAATATGCAGGCCCCCAACACTGGAGGGAATCTTTTTGGTCAAAGTACAAAGTCGAATAATACTGGCGGGGGTCTTTTTGGTCAAAATACTCAACCTAGCAGTACAGGTACTGGTCTCTTTGGACAAAGCACCATGGCCAACAGCACTGGAACCGGTCTCTTTGGCCAAAGTACGACACAGCCGAACACTTCCGCTGGCGGTCTCTTCGGCGGTCAGCTTAATACACAATCAAGCAACGCGGGTGGTAGTCTCTTTGGGCAGAGTACCAAGCAGCCAGGCACGACCGGTGGCGTTTCTTTTGGTCAAAACATGACGAGTAATACTGCAAATGTCGGTTCTGGCTCAGGTCTGTTTGGTTCGAAGCCGGCTGCCCCTACTCTTGGAATATCCTTATCCGCCCCATTGCAGAATACATCACCCCTAATGCAGTATGCTTATTACCAACGAGAGCGATACAATGAGCTCCCAGATGCTCAGCGGGCACTTCTTGATTCTATGGAAAAGTTTATTACATCTCAGGTGCAAATCAAGCATGAATTGCGCGCGCGCAATTCGAGTGAAAGTGTGCGCCAATTGTTATCGAGTGTGCAAGAGCTCATGTCGGAGCAACAAGCACTGGCAGCGGTGCTTGAAGCAGACTCTATCCGTCTGCAATCTATGTTGACTAAGGTTGAGCAGGATCGCAATGACAATGCTGTGTTACATCAAGTGGCAATGCATGCGAGAGACAAGCTTAGTGATGGAAGCAGTTTTGTCGATTGGCTGCGTCGTTTTTACGAGCGCGTGTCAAACGAATATGTGGCTCGAATTCAACGTTACCGATTAACAATGGAGCAGTTGGAGCGTCATCTTTTATCGGCTGACCAACGAGAACAATTTGCACCCCAGGTTATCTCTGACATTATTCATGAACAAAATGTGCTTTTCATGGCTCTCGCAGAGCAAGTAGCAACGCTGCATGCTGAAATCGACATGCTCAAGAAAGATTACGTCAAGTGGTATCAAACTCGTTTTCACTCTGTACGTGACCCATTTGCCCCCGTGGCTGCCGCTGCTACTGCTACTGCTACAGATCGTCCCTAGCTATATATTATTACAACTGTGCTTCCACAAGCTCGAAGTAACGTCCGTGCTGTGCGACCAGAGACTCATGCGTACCGCGCTCCACAATAACGCCATCTTCAACTACACAGATTAAATCAGCTCGGCGAATTGTTGAGAGGCGATGTGCAATGGTCACAGTAGTACAGTTTGCAGCAGCATTGTCCAGAGCGCGTTGGACCAAGACCTCGGACTCAGCGTCAAGGGCAGATGTGGCTTCATCGAGGAGCAAGATCTTGGGACGCCGCAGCAATGCGCGCGCGATACATACACGCTGACACTGGCCACCACTTAGTGATGATCCCTTATGGCCGATCATGGTATCGAGACCATCAGGCAGAGCCATTGCAAAGTCCCAGACACATGCCTGCCGACAGGCTTCTTCAATGTCGTCGTCCGTAATTATAGATGGGTCTACAGCACCGAGCAGCAAGTTCCATCGAAGAGTGCCTTCGTACAGCACTGGGTCCTGCGACACAAAAGCCATTTCTGCGCGCCATTTATGAATAGGAATGGAGCGGAGATCAATACCTCCATATGTGATCGTGCCTCGTGCTGGGTCATAAAAGCGCTGCAGAAGACTTAATGTTGAGCTCTTACCACTTCCTGATGTGCCGCAGAAAGCGACAGTCGTGTTCTCGGGAATGGTTAGATTCAAGTCACGGATGGCAGCGTGAGTTGGGCGCTGAGGATACCGAAGTTCCACGTCACGGAACACAATATCACGTGGGCCTTTTGGTGGCCATTCGGTCGTTTCAGAGATTGATGCATACTGTGGCTCGCGCGAAAGCCAATTTCGTACAGATTTGAGACCGAGGCGTGCGCGAGCAACGTCGGGCATGAAGGACGTGAGTCGTACAGCCGCAAAGAAAGCGACAAACTCGCCCTCAAACACAGCAAACACATGGAATGCTGTTGACCGGTTTTCCTTCATGAGCGTGACGCCCCAATACATCAGCAACGCTGCGATACCATATAGAGAGAATTGGGTGTAGGCATAGAATAATGTGCCAGATATGAGCTTCCACATGTATGGCCGACCGCGCTCACTTTCGCGAGAAAAGTGGCGCAAAACGTCAGCCTCACGGCCCAAGGACGCGACAGTGCCAATGGCGTCGATGACTTCCGCGATATACGATGAGGATCGCTCGATCGGCTCTTGAACTGCAAGCTCAAATTTCTCCATTAGGTACACATTCAAGTAGCTAGCACCTAGAAGTGACAGCATAACTGGAAATGTGGAGATGGCCAGGAGCCATTGCATAGCAAATGCGAGAATTTGGGCACCAAGCAAATTGCCGAATGAGATCAAAACCTGGCACAAAACGACTCCCATAGCCGAGCCAATATTTGCAGCGTGGTTAAATATGGCTGATCCCAGAGCACCGCTGCTGTGCTCCTTCTGGTCAAAGAAAGGAATGTCTTGACGCATGATAGCATGAAGTGACTTGATTTTTATCGTGTCTGAGAGACGCTCTGACGCTGTTTCTAGCATGTACGAGGCGCCAAAAGAAACAAACAGATCAATGATGGATACAATAAAGAACCACAGTGTCCATCGATTCATGGTCATGGCGCATTTGGCGCAAGTTAGGGTTGCCCAACCCCTCCAATACATATCCCGAGAGCCATGCGACAATTGGAAAGGACGCAGCAACGCAAAGAGCAAAAATGATGCCAGGTAGCAACAACCAATACTGGCCAATTAGGAGCTCGTAAAGATGGATCTGCTTGGACTTTGCGGGTGGACGAAATGGTGGGGACTCAGGGTCCTTGGCATTAGCACTCAGCTCACATGATTGGTTCACATCCTCTGAAAATTCATGTATAATCTCTTGGCGTCGTTCACTCGCATCCCACGTCGAAGACATGGCACCTGTGCCTGAACGCGACACAACCTCTGGCACCATAATATTCGCATGAGAATGATGCAAGATAGGTTCGTGCATTTCTGGATGAACGTATCGCTCCTTGCGTGTTTGCATAGGGCGCCAAGAACTTCCGTGCTCGGAAACTTGATCATCCTCGTCAACATCTGGTTCGCCAGAGGCGATTCGATTGTGCATAACCATCTTGTGATACAGACCACCCTTAAGCTGCAGGAGCTCATCATGTGTACCGCGCTCCACGACACGCCCGTCTTTCATGGCCACGATCTGATCTGCATGCTGGATAGTCGATAAACGATGAGCGACAATGATGGTAGTCATGCCGCGCTCCGTCTGTTCCTTAGCTAGCGAGCGCTTGATACATTCTTCTGTCGAAGTATCAAGTGCAGATGTTGCCTCATCCAAGCACAGTACTTGGGGCTCACGTACCAGGGCACGAGCAATAGCAATGCGTTGACGCTGGCCACCACTCAAGTGCACATTTCGACCGCCTGATAAATGGGTATCCATGCCATTGGGAAGCTTGTCAACAAACCCCATGGCCTCTGCTTTCACAAGAGCCGCTTTGACTTTTGCGCGTACGATAGGGTCATCAGCAGATACATCTGACAAGATACCAGCTGAGAGACCCATTGCCACATTCTCGGCAATGGTACCCGTGAAGAGCTGTGGATTTTGACGCACGACGGCAATCTGAGATCGCATCCAGCGCACATTCAAAGTGCGCACGTCTACACCACCAAATAGAACACGACCAGTGCCTTTAACAGGCTGAAGTTGTTTCTCGTCTTCATCTTGAGGTTGTTGTGAGGCTCTTTGCTTTTTAGAGGATGAGGAATTGAATTGACAGTTGCACATAGCCTCCTCAGCAGAGTCTGGATCATACTCGCGACTAAGAAGAGACGTGATTGTGGACTTACCACTACCGGAAGGTCCAACTAAAGCAGTGACCGTGCCCGGACGGAATTCAATGCTCACATCTTCCAGACTCGCAGAGTAAGGACGACCAGGGTATGCAAATGTGACGTGCTCGAGCGAAAAAGACGGGACGTACGTACGCTCTTCCGTACGCGTCTCTTTCGAAGCAGGTATGCCCAAGATATGACCAGACGTTTTACGAACGTCAATGCGCGGCTCTCTCTCGATTGTAGCACGCATATTGGCAACCATAGCCATCGACTCTACCACACTCTGAAAATGCGTTACGACCATGGCCATACTGAAAAGAGTGTTGAGATAGTTGAAGAAGCTGGATACTACGCCATTCATAGATTCGCGCCCATTAGCAACTTGCATGGATGCCCACCAGAATCCGAGTGGATACAGCACAGTCACGGTAAAGTACATGGCACTCATATCTCCACCACGCACGATCGAGCGGAAATTGACGGCTCTGGTGAGTGGATATATATACAAGTTTTTCATGCGATCCACGAGGGTTTGCACGAGTTCAAAGCTGTGCACTACGCGCACAGACGCAATGACCTGTTCAATATACGTCGACAGGCGACCATCTACTTCCATGACTTTGGCAGTGGTCTTTTCGGCAAGCGACCCTAGGGTGAAAAGCGCGATCAACGAAAATGCGAGCAACGACAAAAGTACCCCTGCATGTGTTGGCGCGCGTGAGAAAGCCATCACAATGCATGCAATAACAGTGCCTACAGCATTCAATAGAAAGCCAAGCTTTTCACCCAGGGCCGAGCGAATCTGGGAAACGTCTCGATTTGCAAATGTAGTTATGGCGCCTGGGCCATGGCTGTCATAAAACGTGGGATCTTGAATGATTGTAGCAGCAAAGTATTCACGCCGCAAACCTGCGCATAATTTGTGGGCCGCATATGACAGTAAAACAGGAAAAGTCCAGTTGGTCACGAAAGCAAACGCACCAATGACGGCTGTGACCCAAGCTAACATGTTATTATACCCCATCGCTGGTGCCAAATTATCAACATTAGACGTGGCATTTTGTGTCCAGTACCCATATAAAATATCAATCGCAGCAATACCTCCTCCCGAAGCCAAAGCAAGTGCTATTCCAAATGCATAGCAAGTATAAGGGTGTGTGAGACAGCCCCATAGGTCGCGATAAGGCGCTTTAAAAGGCTCACTAAAAGATAAAATGTACAACACATTTGGCAGCTTAGAACGATGCGGCAGAATCAATGGACTCCGGAAAGGTGCATTCCATTCATCTGCCCCCGTTTGCCCCTCCGTGGACACCATGTCATACGAGTTTCACTCGTACTCTAAACACTGAAACACGCCGCGCGGAATAGTGCACAATGGTGGCAATGGAACAGAATTTACTACAAGCGAGTAAGTGGAGATATGAAATTGCGATTGCATAAGACTGACTGCCTTTGGTACCACATCCCGGGGCCATCGTATAATTATACATGCAAATGGGCCGAATTTTGGGCTCAATCGGTGTGCTTTCATAATATTGCTTGTTGTGGAGGGAGCTGGGCCCCGCCGTGAAACAGAAACTGCAAGTCCAAAGGATCCAGCTTGCTCCATTCTGTTTGGTTAGTTGTTCAGCCAACATACGTTGAGGAAGTCTATGATGTGAGTCCACGCGCATACGTACGAATGTCCATCCAAGGCGGCCTTCGCAAGCTGGCGCTTTTTGTCCTGCATGTGTGTCAAAGAAGGACTTGGCTTGTGCACGTACCTGAAGAGCAAGAATCCGTTGTTCCACCGTTCCGTCAATTGATAGCTTGTAAATATACACGCTTTTTGTTTGACCGAGTCTATGCGCGCGATCAAAGGCCTGCTCTTCAATTTGTGGATTCCACCACAAATCACAAAGAATCACACGGTTACAGCATGTCAGATTCAGTCCTGTGCTGCCAGCTTTAAATGAAATCAAAATTACTCGCACACCATCATCAGTTCGTATCCTTTGCAGCGCTTCTTCTCTTGCATTTCGACGCATTGAACCATCATATCGAGTGAAATTGTATCCGCGCGCACGAAGTGCGTCTTCCACCAAGTCCAAAAAAGAAGTGAATTGGCTAAAAACGATTGTCTTGTCGCCTTTGCTCTGATTATCGAAGTCGTCGAGGAGTCTAAGCATCATGTCCAACTTTGTTGACATAGTGCCGGGCATTCCCCATATGATTCCGTGCTTTTCTTCATGCTCAGACTGAGATGCGCACCCCGTACAGAGTCTTTTTTTCTGTTTTGCATCAAGTGGCACCTGGCATCTATCACAATTGCGTGTTTTTACCGAGAGTCCGGAAAGTAAGGCAGCGAGTTCTTCGTCTTCATCTTGTCCATCTTCTTCAGCGACCGGTTCGGATGCGTCCTCTGCCGGAAGCCTGCTCCGTCCCGTCACCAAGGCAGGGTGGTTGCATGCCTGACGAAGGCGTAAGAGCATGACCAAGGCGCCCATGTAGTTGAGTTGCGGCGATTTGTTTGCATCCAAGTGTGATTGGATCCGGTCTTCGAGCTCATGGTAAAAGTCTCGTTCACTAGTAGTCATAAAGTCTCTTGACACAACTTTAACAATCCTAGGGGGAAGATCAAGAATGCGACGCCCTTCATAATGAGCATCCTTGGTGCGACGCAGCATGATGGATTTGAGAATGATTCCCAATCGTTGAAGGCCAAGCTCAACTTGTGACTGATTGCCGCTTTTGAGTGGTTCGTGAATTTGCTCCTCAAAATGTCGCATATCGTTGAACGGCGATATCCGCAGAAAGTGGATGAGACTAAAAATTTCTAGTGCGTTATTTTGCACAGGCGTACCGGAAATGCACCATCGCGCAGCAGCACGAGCTGAGAGCTGGTAGCATGCTTGCGAACACTTGGCCCGATGATTCTTGATGTTCTGCGCTTCGTCCAAAACGACACGCAGCCAATTCATTTCAAACAATGGGTATCGAGTTTGGTCTCTGTTGGCTCGTTTTGCGGTGGAACCAGAAGCAAGCATGAGACCGTTTTCGTCATCGCAATCGTGGTCGCTATTCAGCATACCCCAATCTGGATCCTCCGAGTCTGAGCCGCTGTTTTCATCCGTATCACGACTCAAGTGCGATTGTTTCCGAGTAGTAGGCGGTTTCACTTTCGTTTTAGTGGCCTTTAAAAACTGATCATACTCATTTGCTGCAGTCGAGTAGGAAGTGATCACAATATGTACTTTTTTCATAGCATCAACATGTGTTGTGCGTCGCGGTCCATGATGAATATAAACAGAAAGTTTATGCCCAGATTTTTCTTCTGCCTCACGCTGCCATTGTTCCATGACCGCCACAGGTGCAATAATCAGAGTGGTTTTTGTCCCAGAATTCATGACCATCTTGCTTGTGAGCCCAACAAGATTCCCATGATTTCCATCGCTTTCTGAATCTGTGTCACTGTCGTCTTTAGTAGCACTTTGAGCTCGAAGTTTCTCCAATGAACCGTGCAGTGTGATCAATGCGAGCATTTGAATCGTTTTCCCTAGCCCCATATCATCGGCAAGAATTCCGCCTCTGGCTTTCCCTTTTTCACGTCGACACATCCAGTCAACTCCCTGCACTTGGTGTGGTAGCAATGTACATTGCATGCCAGGCACGCGCGAGTGACTCATGTCGACTTTTTCCATCACAGTCACGACACCGGACAACATGGAGCGCAATTGTTTTTCACGTTCAGCACTGGAAACATGTTTGGATGATGGCGAGATTCCAACTTGCGGGCTTTGCATGGAATTTTCAGCGGTTTTACTAGGAGTAGATGGCCAGCCTGGAGAAGCCGGGAAACCTCGGCGTAGCAACGCTGCCTTTGTCGGTGTGCTGGATGCTGCTCCCACTGCAAATTTGGAGGTTTCAGGAGAAATAAAAGGCGCACTTGTCTGTGTAGACAATGGCATCATCTTCACTTTCGGCTCAGATCGCCATGATTGAATAGACGGCCCGCTTTTGTTTGAGGCCTTGGGCGTGGATGGCTCCTTTGATTCGGCCTGCTTATTTTGAGATGTAGGGCTCTGTAATCCGAGCTGCTGCGCCAGAAGACGCTGTCTCATAGCCTCCATGACGTACGAAGCTGTCGAAACAGCTTTAAGGACACCAATGCACCGTCACACTCTAAACAATGATCAAGTTTCGATGCGAATAACTCATAACAACACTATGTGACGCGTCAGTGTGACGCGTGGAGAAGTATTATCAATCACGTGTGATTCACTCCACAGGCGAATTTTTTTTGGGTGGCGCGTTTCTTTATGGCAGTTGACCTCCACTCCTGTCACGCAGCGAGAGTATCCTCGGGAGAGACAGAACGAGAGCGTTTTACTCCTGCCACTTTCGCTGCTGCTTGGTTGGAAGAGTATTCCACATTAGGATCATACTTTTGAAATGAGCGCAGGTCTGCGTAAAAAAGAATCTAGCAAGTTAGGTAACAGGTAGAAAAAGAAATATGACGTACAGTATGGGCCCAACCGGCACGTTCGCCCCACAGAGCCCTAAACTTCTCTGCAATATCTTCGTAGCGCTTTGAGCGAACATGATACCAGCGCTCAGCAAATTGAAACACATGACGATCCACAGGTATGCTTGCATTTTGGTCAAGAGACATCAGTAAAACACAACTGAGTGTGAGCCAGCAAGCACTGCGCAACATAATACACATACTCCGCGACTTTTGGGCCTATTCCTGGTAATTCCATGAGTTTTGCACGAGCTTCTCCGTATGTACAGTTGCGTAGAGATAGAAGATGTGTATAGACAGCATGGTCGACGTCGCTCGGCTTCATGTCCTTGCCACAGCTTACGCGTTCACAGAGCACTTGCGCCGTGCGAGCAAGAAACTTGGCTCGATATCCAAACCCTAATGAACGCAGCTTTGACTCCACGTCTGGCTGTGCAAGACGCATAGGCGAAGGAAATGGATAATATGTGATAGAAAGTGAATCGTTTGACGATTCGTTTGTGAAGTTTAATTCATTCACGTCAAGAATGCTCTTGCAAACCCGTGCACCTTTCGGATAAGTATGCGTAAATAGGGGATCTGTGAAGTGCTCGCACAGCTTGTGGACCATTTGGCTGATACGGGGAATGTTGTTGTTGGAACTGCAAATAAATCTGATCGGTCAGTTTATCGCAGCAAGTACATACGCGCACAGGCACTCCCAAGGGTCTTGTCGTAAGATTGTGACGCCGTGAAACTTTCGAGCATGTTTGGCAAAAACAGGGTCGCGTGCGCACCATTCTTTATACCACTCTTCTGTTTGTGCAGACAAATTTAAATATTCGTAGAGCCATGTCTTCGAGTCTGGTTGTACTTTTTCTTGTGATGGTGGTACGGTGCGATAGTACAAATAGCCATCCACGGGGTCATGCCGCACAAATATGACACGGTTCGAAAGACACAACGACCATTCCACTTCGACTTGGTTCTTCGTTGGATCATGCCAAGCGACTTGGCGCCATCGGAATGCTTGTCCACATTGATAAGCAATTGTAAGTGGTAGGGATATTTGTCTTGCGTGGGAGAGACGGATGCATTCATATCCTACAGGTGCTGGACCCATAGAAACTGCAAGCGCCCCTTTCTAGCAAGTCGAAGGCTGCTGCTCAGTGACTAGCACTAGACCTAAGAGGTTAAGAATGGAAAATTCATCTGGGCTACTTGATGCTATTGAACCGTTGGATGGCCAACCCCACAAGAGAAAAAAATCCGACTAGTCATGTAAATTTGGGTTTAATATTAAACCCGTTTGGCAGGCGATGAAACAAAGCACCAACACACACTTCCACAAATTATCGCACGCGAACGAGACCTCCACGCTGGCTAGCCGTTGTATCTTACAAGCTATGGCGACAGGCGGTGTGGTACCACAATTGCGAGTGTCGCACGTAGTGCGTCCGAGACCATCAGGACGCTATGTATATGAGTCATCCTCTGAGGAAGAAGAAGATGTATTGTTACAGCATTCCATGCGTCTCGATGCACAAGAATCTGATGACGACGATTCCGATGAGGAATGGGATCCGTCCGATCGAGTCAGCCAGCGAGATATAGCTCGCATAAGACTGGCGAATGAGCTAGACCCATGGGAACGTTGGGAAAATGCATGTCATTCACGAGCCTGGAGGCCTGTTCATCGGGCTCGGTCGGTTCTTCCTTCGTCAGCCTCAGCCTCGAGTACACCCAAACCATCATCGCACAATAATGATCCCAGCATTGACGAAGTCGAGAACATCCTTGCACAGTTCCAAATTCAGCAAAGTGAAGTTGAAAAGAAGGAAAGAGAAGGATTCCAAAAACGAAATACAAGCTTGTGGGAGGGGATTGAGGCGGCCATCCGACAGGCCGAGCAACGGACCGCAGATGAGGCCCAACGCCTTGTCGAAGCGCGAAGAAAACAAGAGGAAGCTGAGGCCAAGGCGAGACGCGCCCGTGAAGAAGAACTGAAGCGAATAGATGCTGAAAAGCAGGCAGCTCGGGCGAAGCAACTCGAGGAAGAAGCAAAGGCGCGCGAACGGGCACAACAAGATGAAAATGAACGCCGAGCGAATGTGTTCCGAGGTGGTTCTCACATGTGGCCGGGTGCAAAGACTGAATATGCTCACTGGCAGGAGCGCATGAAGTACGTTAAAGAAGATGTACTCCCAAGCATTGCGCAGCGTGCCGATTGGCGGAAACAATGCTTTACAGCGAAGCGCGCTATCACACCCAAAGTTGGGCAGCTCACAAATTCACAAACTGAAATCATGCGCATCACAGTAGCTATTTCTGATATTTTGCAGCAGGCGCGTGATGTTCCAGACCACGATGCTGCGACTCGTTTGTATTACTGGATGCTGAATCATCTATCCAAATGCCTCATTCGACAGGCTGAACAAGAGGTCGCGGCTCGGCAGGAAACAGCTTTTCCACTTGCACGTCTAATTATGGGTCTTTTGCTACGAGGTCACGCGGCCTTGGGTGATGTGTTCATGGCTCGTCTCGTGAAAAAGTGTCCGTGGGTTTTAGCGTATATACCCGAGCGTGCATCTCAGGACGAGGCGGTGTACCGAAGGCGCATAGGCTTCAAGACCCCTGATGAGACTAGCCAAGCGTACGCGTCGCGTATTGCTGGAATTATGGCTTTGTATTTTGCATGTATCCAAACTTCGCTGGAATCGGTAATGGCTAGTGCAGCTCTGCCCACCAGCACACAGCTAAGTGATGCTGCGAAGCATATACCAGTGGAGTTACGACCTGGTCGTCTCTGGACGTGGCAATCGCGTTCTCTGACACCGCCATTGGTCGAGCAAGGACTCATAGTGTCTTTATGGTGCACATTCTTGGAGATTGCAGGCCCTGTCAGCTTGCAGCGCTACAAACGACAAGGAACTAAGATTCTGTCGTTATTACTGGAGCATGGCATTTATAAAAAACGTTTAGGATCCAAGGAGGACAACGAGGTACAACATGCAGCCTTTATTCGCCTTACACTTATTCTCGAAACATGGAAAATGAAGCAAACGCTTGTTGAACATGTGTCACCAGGTCGTGATATGGATCCTTGAATACAGAGGAAGATCTCAACGATTTCTGCATATCCCTCTCACGAAGCAAGCATGGATGCAGAGCCACTGACTTTTCTGGGAGAGGTATTCTTCTACCTAACGGATGTGCCTTACCATGCCATGTCTTTATCTTTCTACTATAATTAATACATACAAATCAACCATTAGCAAATTATTAGAAAATTCATGTGCTGCTTGGCGAGGCAGCAGGTAAGATAGTCAACAATATACGCGCAGCCAGTAAGGGTACACTAGACTCCGGCAATTCATGTCGCGGGACACCACTTTCTTGCAGTATCTGTCGGCCATTGCTCAATTGGATATGAATAGGAAGCTGAATAGGCAGTCGCTGTTTTTCTGGCCATTGTTCGGGAACTGTCCCTGCCAACTCTTGCGCATCATCATTCCATGCCAGCCACGCCAGCCATTCAGGCCATGTCCCATGCAAGTCAGGCCGCGATGGAGCAAACAACTGAGGGATATATCTTGCTGGCGAACTGGCCTTTTGAATAGCTTCAGCCAAATTTTGTGGGACGGATGCATCTGATGTCATAAGAGGAAGCGCAATAAATTGTCCCGGACGGCAGCTAGCAAGTTGTAAGCGTGGTGGCTTTGCTGGAGTAAATGTGACGGAACGAGTCTGAGCCATTTGAATTGACGCCATGGTGCCGGAACGCGGTGGTTGGGTCGGTGCTGCAGTAGCATTGTTCCTAGCATCAGGCTGACTCTGATCACTGCCGTCATCATGCTCAATGATGGAGTACATGCCGCCCTCTGTTGTGAGATAATCATTTAAATGCCCTGAGGACGTTACATCAGTAGTGTGATCATCATTTGATGCAGCTTGCTGCTCTTGATACAAGACTGTGCCATCGGGGTATTGTTCATCAGCAAACGGGTCAAGCACATACTCATCCGCGTCATCAAATACGCCAGCAGAGTCAAGTTGCTCCGCATTCAGTGACTGGCTCCGTCGGTCCAACGGTCCACTCTCAAGCTTTGGCGTGTACGACGCGACGTGGCGGGTCTTCTCGATATCCATAGGCTGTGTAGCTGGCGCAACAAATGCATCTAGCGGCGACCTTTTGTTATTTTCTAAGGGCAGCACAACCTGGGGCGGGTCGTCTAGATCGGGCATGATGGGTGAGCGTACGACGGACGAGGCAATTGGCGCCAGTTGTGGCACGCCTTCAAACGAGGATTGATCAATTGGCGGCGATAGATTGGAAGATGTATGCCGACTTGATGTTTCGACAGGTTTAATCGTTGTCGCAGCCTGACTCCTAGTTGACGCTGCCGCAAGATCCATTTGGATAGGAGACAGACGGTTGCGAAGGGGAGTTTCGAGTCTGGGCGGTTTGTCAACCACAGGCTTAGATCGAGAGGGTTGGGTGTCAAGCGCTGTTGCAGATGGAAGGGTGACAGGCGAACTGATTCGACGTTGCTGCATTTGAGACATACGCTTTGGTGCTGGTGGCATTTCGTACCAAAGGTTTTCTTCCCAGCTCTCCTGAGATTGTTTACTGATGGACGCGGGTATGTGTCTGGGAGTGTTCTTCTGAGACAAACTGGGCTCCTCCTCCGGATGTGAAGGCTTTGATCCATCTTTCTGTCCCCGCGGCTCAAAGTCAGCTAGAAATGATGCTCGCTGTGGTAAATTTGACTCTGACGACTTGATCTCGTTTGGCTGGTCTGATAGAGAATTGGTATTTTCCGCCATGAAACCCATATGGTTCTTCGTGGTCAAATCGTTCTTTTCGCTTCCGGTCGTATCTGGTTCTGGTGATGATGGGCGATACGTGATTTGTGCAGGGACTCTTGCCGAACGCCGGTGCCTGTCGCTAACTCCTGCTGGCAAGCTGGTATCATCCGAGACATGATCTCCATTATTGAAGTTCTTTGGGGACTTTCCAGTGTGGGAAGACTCGGGCACTTCTGGTGACGAGGCCATCGTCTTAGTCCTGGATTCTGCACGATCAGGACCTTTTGTATAGGCTTTAAACCCAGTCTCGTATGGTTTGCTGCCCCACATTTGTGTAAATAATGGTGGCTGCCAGGACGATTGGGCAAGAAAAGGCGTAATAATGATTTGATCATCATCGCGTTGCCACTCGGGCTCATTGTATGGAAGATCTTGTGTAACGCCAGGGAAAAATTCATGCTGCCGCGGATGCTGCTGCTCGTAGTTTCGATCGGATCGTGTCGAGTTCCCAGCTGAACCAGGCGGTGTCACGTACGGCTCATCTGTGGGAGACACTCGCGTTGCGCTTTGAGTTCCCAAAGACAAGTCCCCAGTCGACTTGTCTGTTGCCTTGTTCTTCCCTGAAGCAGCAGCGGCGGTGGCAGTAGCAGTGGCGGTGCCGCCCGCGGCAGCCGCACCTGCAGTACTTGCTGGGCTGCTCGGATGGAGGGAATCACGGATCTCAGATGTATCTGCCAAATCCGAGCTGGTTCCAGGGCCGAGGTCCGTGTAGTTCGCATTTCTTATAGAAGACGGCCCTGAAGTGATGCCTTCCTTCAATGACTCTGATGTGGCATCCACCGATGGGTCCATAGCGTCTGAACCATTCTTCCCGCGTTTCCAAGCCCACCAAGAGGCAAATGCGACAAGCGCTAGCAAAGCGGCGCCCAAAATGGAGCCAGCGATCGCGCCTTTCTCTCCTGAAGTAAGACCTGAATGGGGATGAATCGGCTCAGTGTGGTTCACCCTCGTTGAATTGTGCACAAGAAGCTGAAATGATTGGCTTGCAGGGGGGATGGGTGAATTTGGCACAGGGTTGTCTGCACTCATATGCACTGTGACTCTTTGCTCCGAGTCAGGTGCCTGGCCGACTAGTGAATGTGTTTCATCGTCGTAATGCACCCAGCTTGGAGCGTTACGTCGAACCCAGCGATGCGTTGGCCGAGAATCTCGATAGCGCATAGAGCGACGGCGCATCATGGAGTCAAACGATACATTCATGTTGACATTTGCATCCCGCAAGTAATCTTCCAAGGAGACACGAAAGTCCCTGCCTGTCTGCACAGTAACGTTGGGCAGCATGGGTCGCTTGAACGGGGAGGGAAAAATATCAAGTGTTACATTCATGACAGTGTCGAAAGCATTAGGATGTGACACATGCAACTTGAAGGTGTCATGATGTAGTTGGGTATTATTTCCATCGAAAGGGACTTTGCCGGTAAGATTTTGGGAGGCGGCGTCGTAATGAATCCAATCCGGTGCGTCTGAATCCAGCTTAAATGTGAATTCATTCGGGCTTTGGGAGAAACCATCCAGTAAGAAAAGATCTTGAGAGATGTGGTATTCCAGAGTATCGCCCTCCGTCACATTACCTACTGGTAATGCCGCCGCGGAGTTATTCAGCGTCACGAATCCTTCGCCAAGCAGGAGGGTAAAGGCACTCGACGGTCCGCCTGTATTTGGTCGATTCGACCCTATCAGCTCGATGTCGTAAGAAGTGCCTCTTTTTCCTGCGCTCGTAGGCGCAATACCGGAGTACGTGATGTCGTCCGGATTGAAATTAAGCCAGCTGGGAAGAGGCCTGCCTCCCACAAGACGCGACGAATAATAAACGCGGTCGTTCTCTGGCAGCACGAATGTACCACCCAAAAAGCCAATACTGAATGACCATCCCAGAGGCATGTGAAGAACTTTGTCGGCCAACATATTTCCTTCGCCCATCGACGCAGCCTTGGGAAGCTGGTCCTGGACGGAAATATTCAGTTTGGGTGGGGGAGCCGAAATCGTCACAAGTTGGAACGACGATGTCGCTTGCGAGTTGCCATCCTCGGCTATAACTTTCACATTGTTTATTTCATCCTGTTTCCCCTTTTTTGAAGCCTGGCCTGTTATGCGCAGCTCAGACGCATGGAAGTGGGCCCAAGCTGGAAGACCTTCGATGGAATACGATAGTGGGGCATCTGAATCCACTGTGAATGTTTCCGGAGAAAATTGCCAGTTGTACGAGTAGTCTTTATGTGCTAGGGGTGGAAGTTGTTCAGCGAGCTCCAGACCCACCTTGACATCCGCAAGCACTTGAACGAGATGGGTCCATGAAAAACAAAGCACGAGCGATATCGTGAGCACCTTGGACCTCCAAGGTGGCACTCGGTGCTTCATCGATGTATGCAAGAAGATATCCCCTTCCCTTGTCCAAAAATTGCGTTAACGGATGCTCGGAGCACTGTGTCGTGTCCTAAGCAGATCAACTACACGCGGGGGTTTGAGTTTCACAGTGAGCTAGAGGAGGAATGGTAACGACAAGCCTCGTTTCGCCTCGTTTCGCTCACAACGTACGGAAGTAGGATACTTGACCACGAAGTTCATGACTTCTGATCATCGAAGTTGCCGTAGAGTCTTATCCCACTCCTTCTTGCAGTTCATTCTCCATCATGACACACGATCGGCGAATGATTAGCGAGTTGCAAGTTGTCTGAAAGTCCACGTTTGAAGAATAAATTACGATATGCAAACTCCACACTCTACCCTTAGCCCGATGCGTCTGTCGCACGTTCTCACGAGACTTAGTCTGTCACGATGGCGCACCAAATGCCGTGCATTTTTACTTTTGTATGAATAGCATGTTCTAGATTCATTGAGCTTAGTGACATGCAGATATCATAACGCCTCTGTGGAGAAGATGGCATGTAGTAATGAAGCTTGAGAAGTCTTGATCTTATGGAATACGCGCTAGACAATATGCAACTTTTTAAACGTAACTAAGTTATTTCAGTTTCATACGAGAAGATACACAATCTATTTACTATCATGATGGCATGTTTTCTCTGTTACACTTGGTCCGATACGCACTCCTAACTTGAGTTGGATTGAGCAGCATCACAACATCTTAACAGTAAGAGCAAAGCTACTCTGCACCCACTTACGTGTGGAGAATTCCCCTTTGGGGTTCTTTCTCCGCTGGGTCGAAATTGGACCTGTTCGTATCCGAGCTGCCGTTGGCACGCGTAGCATTTACTAGACCATTCCCGAGCCTGACGTGAACGAATTGAATTCATCATGCGGCAGTACAAGTCAGTAGGTGAGGAGCTATGGCGCCAGAATCCAAATAAAGTCGTACGTACCATGATGCTAAAACACCGCCGCAGAATAGCGAGCTGTTCTCCCTCACATACGGAGCTTTGGTCGTCCAGCTCATTAAAGACTTCGAAGATTATGAGCAAGTAAATATTCAGCTAGAAAAAATGTATGTGCGTACGGCATCACTAAAACAAGGGGATACAATATTGGGACTCGAATTATCGAAGATTTTTTGGCACGTACTAATCTGCCGCGCTGTACAGACATCCGCGAGATGGCCGAGGTTGTGAGCAAGGTACGTGAACTTATGCCCATCGAAATCTAGCTCATACTTCAGGTGGGCTTCAAAATGTTTCTTAACATCACTCCGGCCGTCTCGTTTCTAGCTCCGAGCGCTTCCACACCATCTGCAAGTGCTGACGGTGCGTCAATGCTAAAGACAGCTTCTTCAGACACTGCATCAGCTGAGGGAAAGTCAACCTCGCAAGAATTCGTACTTCAATTAGCTGAGAACCCCTTGGCAGAATTTGTGGAACTGCCAGAAGAAGCACTGCACGGTGGTCTTTGGTATTCAAATGTGTTAACCGGCGTTCTTCGTGGTGCCTTGGAAATGGTTCAGATCCAAACCGAGTGCAACTTTGTAACAGACGTACTCCGAGGAGACGAAACAACTGAAATTCGTGTCAAATTTCTACGATTCCTTGATGAGGAGGCACCTCCTGCTGACGACTAAGCGACATAATGTTGAATTTCGCACGATATGATAATCTCGATGACTATAAAGTTCTTTGGAGTCTCCATCCTTACATGTTCGATGGGTAAAGATGAGTAGCAGGATCGAGCATAGATTCCTTGATCGTACGTGGAGACACAAAGCGGAAGAAGATGTTCATACTGCCAGCCTTGTCGTTGGTCCCAGAGGCTCGAGCACCACCGAATGGCTGCTGACCAACAACAGCACCTGTGCACTTGTCGTTATAGTACATCATACCAGATGCGTTGCGAAGAAGGTTACTTATGTGGACAAGCGCAAGGCGATCAGACGCGAAAATAGACCCTGTCAAAGCGTACTCAGTTGTTGTATCGACAAGAGCACACGCGCCCTCAATATCATCATCAGGGTAAGCGAACACCGTGATGACAGGGCCAAAGATCTCCTTCACCATGGTGACCGAGCGTGGATCTTGAGTCTCGATGATAGTGGGTTCAACGTAGTATCCCTTAGAGTCATCGCCGTGACCACCCACAAGCACTTTTCCTCCTTCCTTCTTAGCATCTTCAATGAGTCCCATGATCTTGTCGAAAGAGTGCTTCGCGATCACAGGACCCATGAAGTTCTTAAAGTCCTGGACGGGGCCCATGCTAAGTGATGAGGTGCGCTCAATAAGCTTTTCTTTCAAGCCGCCTTCCCACATGGACTTGGGTACATAAAGGCGTGAAAGAGCACTACACTTTTGGCCCTGATACTCGTAGGCTGCACGAATGGCTTGCGTCACAACCACATCCACGTTCGCCGACTTGTGCACGAAATGAAAGTTTTTGCCACCCGTCTCGCCAACAATGCGCGGATAACTGCGGTAAGTGTCGAGATTCGATGAAATTTGCTTCCAGAGCGACTTAAATACAAAAGTTGATCCCGTAAAGTGTAGGCTCGAAAATTCACGATGGGTAATAGCAGCTGTAGCCACTTCCTGCGCAGGACCCGGTACAAATTGGATAACACCTGGTGGAACGCCTGCCTCTTCAAGAATCTTGTACACCAAGTAGTTGGAGTAGATTGCCATGGGTGACGGCTTCCACACAACAACGTTGCCAACGAGGGCTGGTGTCATGACCAAATTGCCAGCGATGGCCGTGAAGTTGAACGGTGAGATAGCGAGAACAAACCCTTCAATAGGGCGGTATTCCGTCCTATTCCAAACACCCGGCGAATTGCGAGGAGGTTGAATTTGGTACATGTCATCGACGTACTTGACACCAAAGCGCAAGAAATCACAAATTTCAGCGCCGGCATCAATTTCAGCTTGCCAAACATTCTTACCTTGGCCAACCATCGTTGCTGCTAGAAGCTTGTAGCGATACTTATTGGCGATCAAGTCTGCGGCCTTCATACTGATGGCGGCACGTTCACTCCATGGCAGGTTCGCCCACATTTCTTTGGACTTCATCGCGCCCTCAATCGCGACGCGAACCATGCGCTCATCAGCTTCATGGTAATGACATAAGATTTGTGAGTGGTTTCCAGGATTTACCTGCTTTGAAAGCTTGCCACTCTTGAACTCTTGACCATCAATAATGATCGGCACCTCGAAAGGCTCGCTTGCGAGTAGTTCGTCCACGGTCTTCTGGAGCTCAGCACGGTCTTTAGAGTTGGATTCATAATTTCGCTACTATTAGCTAGCATTGATCACATACCATCGGCTCATTATCTATGTTTGGAAGCTTATAATCACCAAATGTTGGCACGGTCAACATGTTCGGCTGAGGGGAAAATGAGGTAAATGTGCGTGCGTGATTTGAAACTTGCGGTTCTTTCGACCTCTTTCAAACTTGCACTCAGGGCACGTTGGCTTTGGTTGGTTGCCAGCAATCATTGATTGGAGTATGAAGCTATTTACTAAATAGGCATTAAGCCATAGGCCGAAAGAACGAGGTAATACCGAGTCACGCAACTTACTAAATCGATTAGGCTACTGTGAATGCCATTCTATCAATTCACGTTCTTTGTCACGCTAGTATACGAACCCATCATATACCTTCTTGGATGTTTGAGGACGATATACAGAGCTCAATGAATAGAAATGAAAACCGCAGATTCGATAATATGAAAATAAGGAGAAATAACTAGGCAAAATCGTTGAAATTCAAAAAAAAATCATTCAAATGATCTCTGGTATGCACAATGCATTCGTTATCAACGCAAATTGGCAAATTGAGACATATCACTGTTGCTATCATGCAGGGGCGGAGTCTGGCAATTAGAAACAGCGTATTCAGAGGGGGGTTTTTGGCCACTAAGACTCGAAATTACTGTGGGTGATTGCGATGCAATTGGCAGATTCTTTGATGAAGAGCTTGAAGGAAGTGACGCCGTTCCGGAAGATAAAGAATATTTACTCAACGAATGAGAGCTGTCTGAGGTTGGCATATCGAGTGAGAGAAGCGATGGTGAGCTGCCGCTCTTGCGGAATTGAGGTAATTCGAGACGTCGAGCGGAGTAATCAGAAGATGGACCAAATGTGTGTGACTTCGAAGACCGATAAGGATCAGGGTACATTGGGTATAGAGGCTTCGTTTGTCGCCCAGACAGTTGGGATGCAGGAGTAGCAGTGTACTTGGGTTCGTTGAAATGATGTAGATCGCTCGCAAGATCGTGCATGCCTAAGTCCGAAACTCCAAACCTCATTCTAATGTGATCAATAGGCGGGACATCTCGCTCAAAGTTCCTACGCCTGGTGTGAGTCACGTCAGATGTTCTTTCATGTGTAGATCTCGTGCGGGCAAACTCGCTTAAAGAGACAGAGGGTTTGACGAGTGAGTAACTCCTTGACTCTCCCAACGAGCCCCGGCCTGGAGGTCGTAGCTTTGAGGGCAGGTCATCAAATAGCTGGAAGGAGCGCGAGCGTCGCAGTATGTCAGAACCGTTAAGTACGTCCGAGTGGACACCAGGTACTGTGGAATTACTGTCGCACTCCCTGTTTTCGGGGAGAGGCCAATCAGCAGCGTCCGTTCTTATTCGAGAAAATGTGTCCACATTAGTGGAGATTTGAGGCGGACTCTCGGGAATCGTTTCTTCAACAAGACTGGAGGTGTCCTGGTTCCTTAGCCGCGCAGCCCTGGGATCGTGTAAAGTAAGCGGCTTTTGCGCAGCTAATGTCTTTCCATCCTCGTAGGGATTTAGACAAGAAATATCCTTAGGTTTGCCGTGACTTTTTTTAGACCCCTTTGATGAGAAAAAATGTGTACGATAGTGTTGCAAACTATTATCATACCTTGAAAAATGAGCATTACAACCGGGAAAAGAACACTTGTATGGCTTTTCACCTGTGTGAATGCGACTGTGTCTTGATGAATGACCACTGGTGGAGAATGTTTTGTCGCAGCCGGGAAACGGGCAGGGGTATCGCCGTTTACCGTCCACGTTGATACTGTGTCTAGGTTCTTTAGTCGTGTATTTTCGACGTTTCAATGAACCTTTATTCTGAAACGAATCATCAGATTGCTTGCCCGCACCAGAGTTATGCAGACGCGCTGAACCCGAGTATCCTGCTTTACCAGACTTCGACTCATCTTCAGCGCCAGCTAGATTGCTGGAGTCGGTCTGACTTATTGACACAATCTTCTCTGGAGCGGGATCAAATTTAGACATGTCTTTGAGCGACAAGGATCAAATAGACTGTATGCGTGTACTTCCACAACAGGTCGAGAGCAAGGGAAAGTACCTTACGAGTTGTCTTGGACACCGCAAACAAGCAATCGGGCAAGTGTATGGCCACTAATGTTTAGCAAGTCAAGACAAAAGGTAATTTCACCCCACGATTTCTGCGCTCGAGGCGGACTGGAGCGGACAATCTAAAAAATACAAGTTTAACGATCTGGCTGCGTCGAAGTCGTGAGTACGGCTTTAGAGGCCACATATAGGGAAAACAAAACACCCCTCCACAAGTCTAACGACCGTTTTGCCCAGGTTTCACATCTCTATGTCCCTCCGTACAACGTCATAGTGCTTTTTTTGAAATTACGACGCACGAATACGCGTTAGTTGAGGGCTGCAGCAAATTAATTTGCGTGTCTCGCGCGGATAATTGGGGTTAATGCAGTCACGCCTTGGAAAAGAGATGAATAAAAATTTGGTGAAGCAATAACCATCATCGGAAAGCGTCATAAAACAGGATTATCGAATTATATACTACCGTTCAACGCATCGGGGAATCTTGGAATACTAGCTCATGATTGGCAGACAGTGCCAAGCGCACAATTTATCATCGGAGTCGGGTATCCCCGCTTACGTCCCACATCGTTGCGTGCATGCTATGGACACCTACACATAATATATTGATTTTCACGGCTATGGTGCACATAAGCTCTTCAGTCCTTACGGAATATCATTGGATATGCAACGAAGTGTCTATCTAAGCACAATGTTCATAGAGACACGATGACTGAGCATTAACAATGAAAGAGTTGTTGTAAGGTCTACAAACAAAACGCGTGTTGTCTCCTCTCTACTGTCGACGTACGACTTCCTGGCGTGCTAGACGGTCGCGTTTCTCATGCTTTGCCACTTTGCGTATATGTGCCTTGTTTAGTGGAGAGTGATCCGAAGGAGCGGCATCGCCTATAGCCAAGAGTGGACTCGTAAGGCTGTTAATTCCATTCAGATCAGACTTTTGCTGCCGGTGCTTCACAGGACGCAGCACTGGTGAAACGACGAAATTCCCACCAATCACCGCGTGCTCGCCTAGTTTTCTTCCTAAACGATGTTGCCGGTACTTCTCTTTCCGACTCTGTTCGCTTTTGCTTGTGAGATCAGACATGGCAGCATCTGCTAATGTGCGATGGAGAGGCGAGACCGGGTTCCGCGGATTTTGTAATGTAGTAACAGACCATCGAAATGGAGTATGTGTTTGGTGCGGCGTGCCATATGTAGATGTGTGAGAACGATCTAATGCTTGTCGGGGGTTGCGCATAGCTTGGGTAATCAAGAAGGAGCTACTTGGTCGCTGATGGGTCCAGTAGGCATCAGACATGGTTGAAGGATTAGTTGACACTCCGTATTGCTGCGCACTTCGAAAAGCTCCCATGGGAATCCGAGTCCAACGCGCAATAGCACGATCGCACGTCTTGTCCGGCATAGGGGCGTTCTGCGATCGAGGCTTACTCTGTCGAAAATCACTTACTGCATCATCATGGATAGAATCACCATCGCTAGAACCCTGCCACAACAAACCTTCATCTAGAACATCACTGAGATCCATGGGACCGGCGGGGTCTTGCTCCAATGGTTCAGGCAAGGATTCCGGCGAGCCGTTTGAGTCAGTCGGACGAGCAGGGACGCAATTATGTTGAAGTGTGTTGAATGCGTCGGAGTTTCTCCGTTTTCGCGACGATGGATAACCGCTCACAACTTGATCAAACGAATCTTCATCTGGTTGAAAACGGGATCGCTTGCGACGAGTACCGCGTTGCATATGGTGTGATGTACTAAACGGTGAGGGCGCGCGATTTGATCCATCAATCACGGCCCGGTGAACAGATTTTGAACATGTGGGCATGAACTGTCCCATAGGGGGTTTCAGATGTTCAGGTGACATGTTGTATAGGTCCTGAGTGATTTGCGGCCGTTTCAGATGAGCCTCTTTTCCATGTGCATTTTGGTCATCTACTGCCTGAACAGACTCAGAGCTCGAATTATCATTGTCGTGATCATTGACAGACAAAACGTTTGATAGAGTGCTCGGCGCTTTCCGAGCTGACAAACCTATCGTCACTGGACTGGGAGCCCGGGAAGATACGCGTGGTGAGTTGTTCCGTGAACGGGCAGCAATTTCACGTGCACGTCGTGCATTTCGTCCGCCATGAGGAGCAATTGAACCAACGAGTAGCCTGGGATAGGGCATGTCATTATCGGGCAATTCATCTGTCGTTTCTCCATCATCAATATCAGGAACATCATAATCAGATACATGAGAATCCTCAGGATGAGGATGAGGAGTAGACTCCTTGCTGGGACTTTGAAGAGGAATCTCGTCGTCTGAGCTTTCTTCATCGCTTTCTCCTTCGAATTCAAACTCCCCATCTGATCCGAACACAGCTTCACCATCACCAGCCCGTGCATAAACGAGGCGTCCATCTAGATCTTCAATAACAAGCAACGGCATAGCGTTTTTCAACGCTTGTTCTCCTGCTTCACCATCATCGTCGCCAGACTCCCGGTCAGCGTCATCGACATCAACGCCTTGGGTAGCCCCAACATGAGCGATGAGTGGCATAGACATGGGTTCCATATCGCTAATAGAAGCATCATTGTCCGACGAAGTCTCATCATCATCTGACGAGGGTGATGAACCAAAAATATGGATGCCATCTCCATGGTTGTCGTTCTTCTCATTTTCCAAGTCTGAAGATCCATCCTGGTCAGAGTCAATTGAAGAGCCATAAAAATCTGAGAAAAGTGGCTCAGGCGATGAAGCAAAACCACGTTGTGGCTTGAAAAGTTCATTGGCGATAACGTCATCATCCTCTGCTGACCCGTTAGCAGGTGAAAAAGAGTCCCAGTAATCGTAGTCATCGCCGAAGACATTTTGTTGCACGTTTGAAGCTTGCTGATGTTTACTGCCGTCGTGTTCGTTTGGATTCGCTCGATGTAGCTCTTCCTCGATCATGTACTGTTCTTCATTAGCGAGATGCTCATCATCACTGCTGTTATCTGAGCCGATGAGTGATTCGACCTCACCAGCTGCTTCGATTTCTCTCGCCATGTCCGAATCGTCAGAATCGTTGCCGCTTAACGTAGGAGCGTCGCTCTGTTGAGGGCTGTTCTGCCCATTGCCCGTCACAAGCTCACCCAGGTCACTGTCATCCTCATTATTTTCGTTATAAACTGATCCATATGCTGGCGGAGAGGTTCGTGTCGAGAATCGTTCATTTTGGTACGGTAAAATGTTTGAGTTGGGCGGCGAGCCCCCCAATGCAGACACACCGGATTCGACTTGCAAGTCCATATGTGCCATAGGAGCAGACTGGGATTAGGTTAGTCTGACATGCCAAAAGAAGAAAAAATACGTACGATAAGTTACCCCCACAAATAAGACTCAAGAAATGTATGCGGCGTTAAAGTGTTAACAAAGGGTGCTCCAGCTCAGAGACTCGGAATGAATTCAGGTTAAAAAAATTTGTAAGAGAAGGCGCCGATAATGTATGCGCAGCGTGAAACGGATTCAAGACAATTGATATTTTCAGGAGGTGAGAATACCTATTCGGCATGATATCGAGAATCAAGACGTCCAAAATGGAATGCACCAGATATGACTTGGGCACCTAAAGCGACGATCCAATCCAAACCAGGCAACTTCCTAAGACGATATGAATAAGCGCAGTTTCCACGGGGCCAAAGAGAAGAAGACGTTCCTATCTTTGAGCAAACCCTTGTCTTACTGCAGTACGTAGAGAAGACTACAATTCACGTCAGTAATACACGATATATCGTTGCTCGGACCGTTTGAGGATGCCGACGGGGTCTTGTCTTTCTTGCGTGCCTTGAAATCCACTACACTGACCACCCGCATAGATACTGCACAGAACCAATCAGTGCGAGCATTGCAGAAAAAAATTTCTGGCAGCAAACCCATAGGCTCGTCATTTTGGGACATGAGAAAGACAGATTAAATAATCAACCGTGAAATTTTTTTGTCGTTAGCATTGTACTCAACCTACTATTGTCGGCGTCGTATCACCATGTCGACGTCGTTGAAGGCGTCTATTGCCCCTGTACCTTCTGCAAATGATTTCTTAGACATTGTTTTGTCTAAGACTCAGAGAAAAACACCGACTGTGATTCATCCGGGGTACAAAATTACAAGAATCCGCTCGTTTTACATGCGGAAAGTTATGTTCACGAAGGATGCATTCACGGAAAAGCTTCAAGCCATTCTTTCAGAATTCCCAGTTTTGGAGGTATGTTTTTTTGCATTGCTTAGTCTAACAATCACACAGAATTTGCACCCTTTCACGTCGTCGCTTTTGAAGTATGTTGATTGTGTTGCCATCTAACCTTGCAGTGTTTTGTATGACAAGAACCATTACAAGCTAGCCTTAGGTCAAATCAATACAGCTCGACATCTTATTGAGCAAGTGGCTAAAGATTACGTTAGGTTGATCAAGTTCGGTGATAGCTTGTTCCGCTGCAAGCAACTAAAGCGCGCTGCGCTCGGTCGAATGGCCACAATCATGCGCAGAAACAAAGATCCCCTGGCGTACCTTGAGCAAGTTCGGCAGCATATTTCTCGTTTGCCCGCTATTGACCCAAATACGCGAACTCTTGTGATATGCGGCTATCCGAACGTTGGGAAGTCAAGTTTTCTCAATAAGGTGACCCGTGCAGACGTTGACGTTCAGCCTTACGCCTTCACCACCAAGTCACTATTTGTCGGGCACATGGATTACAAGTATTTGCGCTGGCAAGTCATTGACACGCCTGGTATTCTCGATCACCCTCTAGAAGAAATGAACACCATTGAAATGCAGGCAATCACTGCACTAGCGCACCTGCGCTCAGCTGTGCTATATTTTATGGATTTATCAGAGCAATGCGGCTACTCCATCGAAGCTCAGGTTCAGTTGTTCAACAGTATCAAGCCTCTCTTTACAAACAAACCGACATTTCTGGTCATCAACAAAATCGATGCGGCAAGATTGGAGGATCTAGACGAGAGCAGATCCTCTCTCGTGCACAGCATCGTTGAAGAGTCGAATGGAAAGATTCAAATCGCTGAAATCAGCACGTTTACGGACCTTGGAATCATGGAATTAAAACAGAAGGCATGTGATACTCTGTTATCGTCGCGTGTGGAAACGAAGGCTCGTGGATCTAAAGGTGACTCTATCTTGAATCGCTTGCATGTAGCCACCCCGATTAAACGTGATGACGTTGAACGAGTTCCATTTATTCCAGAGTCAATCCGCAATGGAACAAGAAAGAAGTTTGACCCAGAAGATCCGAACCGCCGCATAACGGAACGGGACATCCAGGAACAACATGGCGGTGCAGGTGTACACAATATTGACATGAAGAAGAACTACATCCTAGCAGATGACGAATGGAAGTACGATAAGATTCCTGAGATTTATGAGGGTAAGAATGTAGCCGACTTCATTGATCCGGACATTCTTACGTCTCTTGAAAACCTTGAACGTGAAGAGGAAAAGCTTGAAGCAGATGGATTCTACGACGAAAGTGATGAAGAAATTGATGATGAGCAAGAAGAACTCAAACAGGTTGCTCAAGCTATCAAACAGCGCAAAGATAAAGCCAAGTCGATGTCTCAGACTAAGAAGGCGCTTCAGATCAGGCCTCAGATACCTCGTAAGCTGCAACACCGCAAACTCTCTCAAATGACGGACAATATGCGTGCTGCCGGTATTGATCCGAGCAACTTAGAAATGCGTGCCGAGCTCCTTGCCAAAGCCAAGGGTCTCACAGGTAAGCGCAAAAACCGCGACCTGGAAAGCACCTTGGATTCAAATATGGACGAGGAGGATGATCATGATGCCTCAGCGGATGTGGATGACAACATGTCGGTTGATGATGCTGAAGAGCCAACCCCAGCTCGCAAGAAAGTTCGTGCAGGTGCTGCCAAGGATGCCGCCGGCTTCACTCGTGGTAAGAGTTCAACCACTGCAACCACGAACAGGGCAGGGGGTTCTATCTCGTCGCGAGCTGGTGCAGCGCGTATTCCTGCGCGTAATCGCCAATCTGAAGGTTTGCGTAGCAAGGATCAAGAAAAGAAAGCACGTGAGCTGCATAGCATGGCCATCCGTGATCGAAACCGCGAGGCTCGTGCAGGAGAGTCAGATCGTCGTATCCAAGAAAGCAAGCCGAAGTGGCTCTATGCTGGCAAGCGTGGCCTCGGCACAACTCGTAGTCGTTGATTCAATTTTTTATTTATTTCCTCCTTTGTTAGGTGATCTTGCTTTCCGTAGTAATGGCGCGGTACCGTCTCCAAGTCTTCGGCTGCTATTCGGCTGCAAATGCCACAACATATTGTGAAATACATCGCTTTGTTGCATGAATTTTACTACAAGATATGACAAACAAATCCTCTATCGTTATGCGAAACCGCAATACGTGTATATCCGAGTAAATGTTTGTTGTACCGTATGCTCAAGATTTGCTTAGACTACTCTAGGCTGGATCAAACAGCTTCTTAAAACAAAGCTAGTGGCAATAGAAAGCGAGAATAGCTCGCCGCTCAAAATTCGCACTCACTAGTTTTTATCTTATCAAATGTTAAGAGCTTCTCTTGAAATGATGATCTACTTTAGGGCAATCTTAGCTTAGAGCGCTGGTCAAAAGTGCTTCATGCGCATAATTACTCTGAAGCATGCCCTGCTTAATCTGGGACTCACTAGAAGCGCGACGCGACACTAAAACTAGATTTTACGGAATCAGCACAAGTATTTTGATCATTCTGCCAAGCCGTTTGTTTTGGTACTACCAAACACTGAGTTCTATCACAGCACAGGGCACATTCCTAATGTACGGCACTAGACGCTCTATCATTAAAACACTACCTACCCCCTTGGAAGGCCCGGAACAAATCATAATCAGCAGATCATAGACATAACCAGCTATATGCGCACATCGACCAATCCCAAACGCATAACTTCGTCATTACGTAACATCCCGCATGAAAGGTCATGTCGCGGTACGCGATGGCCATGCGTTTAGACTCGATTAAATCCTCGCTAGAGCGAAACTTGTTTGGCGAAGGAAAGTGATTCTACTCTCTTACACGTCGAAGCAGCCCGGGTAACAAGGTAATACGTTAGAATGGCAAGAGGCCCAGCCCTGAGGAGCGTTGTAGTCCTCCAAGCATGTATTTGTCTTTTGTGCATGGCTTTGGCAGTGCAAGCGGGTAGGTTCAACCTGCAAAGGCGAAGCTATTCCAGACGACATGATTTGTACGAACGTCAATACCAGAGCACGGAGCAAAAGAATCAGTCGCAAGTCATGGATCAATATGCCGATCAATCGAAGCAAGCGTCTCTGAACCACGATCCAGAGGCACTTTTAAGTGTCATTAATAGCGTTCTTGGGACCCCAAATATAAACGATACCAATGCAGGAACCTGGGCCCAAGAAAGTTTGGGTATGCTTAATCCAAACGCGGATGATGGTTCTCTTACACAAGTTCCCTGGTTCAATAACAGAGACTTTCCTCTCAATCCAACACCGAATGTAAACTCAGAGCAAGTCGATGGACAACCAGCATGGACAGGTTTGCCACCGGAGCTGAATGTCGAAATTGATAACGGTCTTCAACCAAAAGGGACGCATATTTTTACTTTAGATACCAGTATGAATGTGACGGATAAGAGGACGGCAGACAACCAACCCATCGTGCAACCGTTTTATGTTTCACATCCCGATATGTACGATAAAGACAAAGTGGACCGGGTGATTATTACATTGCCAGGAAAGCCTCGAGACTCTTGGAAGTACATCAACATCCACTATAATGTTTTGATGTGGTATTGTAATCAAAACAAAGTTCGTTGGAATCAAACCGTACTTGCATCACCGGCGTTCTTGAACCAAGATGATGTCCAGGCTGGTGGCGCTCAAAGTAATTGGCTTGCATACAAAAAATCAGGCTGGGCTTTGGGTGGCACCTCGCATCATCCTACAATGCAACATGGTGTTTCTTCGTTCCGGGTTCTTGATCTGATGACAGAGCACTTTATTGATATGTTCCCGAGTCTCAAGAACATTGTATTTACAGGTCACTCTATGGGAGCCCAAACTGTGATTCGATATGCTGTCGCAAAAAATAAGAAATGGTATGATTCACACGTAAGTTACTGGGTTGGAAATCCTGGTTCTTATGCATGGGTTGTGAAGGACCGACCGATTCATGATCCTACGAACCTAAATGGTGAATCGTGTGAAGACACAATTAGTAATTGGCCATACGGCTTGGATGGCAAGCTTCCGGCTTATATGCATGAGAAAGATAAAAATAATACCGCCGGCGTAGTGGATCGTTTTCGCTCAAGACGAGTGCGCCTTGCCCTTGGTTTGCTCGACAATGGTGCGGGAAGCACACAATGCCCTGCCCAGTACCAAGGTTACAACCATCTCGAAAGAGGGTCACTATTTTCTAAAGCGCTGATTCAAATGCCAGATGGCTATCCCCAGAATCACTCTCTTACCTACATTTCTGGTGTTTCGCATCAAGACTACGAAATGATCGCTGCTGATCAGTCTGGTGATTTTATTTTCGCTGATCCGTTTGATGGACGGCTTGTAAGTTCGTCACGTCCCGTTCATCACCGTCGGCCACCTCACCATGGACCTCGTACTAGCTCTAAGCGTGATTGGGATGGCTCGACGTACCGTATCATTGCGTGGATCATTCTTGCAGCTTTCTTTGTTGCAATCGTTGCTGGCCTTACTTGTTTCAATATGTTATTCAAAGCCAACGCCAACGACTGGGATCGTGACTATTGGGAGTATGACAGCAAACGTCGGCTATTGTAGAGCCTACCGTGCTATTGTGAAAATGCAAAACGCTTCAACATCAATCTAGGTTCAATGCGCCCATCCACCATCTGGTTCCTATCCTCCCGGGGATTGGGGGTCGGCTTTTCAATACTACTCTGATGTACATAAGTCCAACCAAATACTATACTAAGGGCTCCAGACAATCACTGTAATTGTAGACGCATTCCTAACGCGTTTTCGCCATCTGCATAATATTTGGGCTCTATGCCGTGCACTTTAAAGCCAAGCATGTCGGTGTACAATGAAATTGCTGCACGGTTGGACTCGCGCACATGAAGCGAAACATATTGAGCTCCGAACACATCCCGCATGGCAGTTTCTAGAAGTTAATACGTGGTCTGACGTACGACTTAGTTTCATGAGCTTGTTTGCGAGTCCCAAGCGACGGTGCGAACGCAGAACAGAGATACTTGTGACGTGTCCATTTGGGATTCCATCCTGTGGTTCTTCATCCCTATAAAGTCAGTAGCATGTATTTGGAACGCACATTTTTCCAAGAATGTATCCAACTATTTTCCCTTTCTCGTCTTCGGCCACATATGAAAGCTGGGGCCACGTTAATGCATGGTAAAAGTCTGGAGTGTGAGTCATCACAGATATTATGAACTTACAGTAGCGCATGGTATAGTTCTCAGGAAGATTGTGCAAGTTGCATTCCTGCATCCCCATCATGTCATCGGCCTTTTCATTAGCACTCAGTGGCTGATAATTACTCACCGTAGCCTGCCGTATATTCATCGTGTCGATCAATGTATTGAAAGAGGCTGAGATCCTTCGGACGACCGCGGTGATATATCACGTGATACATAATGGTGTTGACACCAGTGCGTGTTTAATACGTGTCGAAAACGAGTAACGCTCCCGTTCGCCTCACTGTGGAACTCGTGGCGCACTAACGCTGACTTGGTCACAATATCCTCCTGAGGTACGACTAAAAGCTAGAGCTGGTTCTAGCTTTCTTGTTGCGCCGTATAGTGTGAGTAAGTTGGCTCTTGTTCCCACTTACCGTGCTAAAAAGCACGAGCAGTTCTATGTTTCGTCATAAAAGACAGACAAATCGGATCCACGACATGAGCCAGCCGACAATCGCGCACCCTCAAGTGCTATCTGGACATCCAGGAAATCTCGATCCCGGACAAAGTCACAAGGTCCTCAAGTTGCGTGACGAGGTAAGAGAAAAATTAGGGCAAGAATGGTTCCTGACCGTGCACAGTTGAAGGAGGCCGGGTACTTTGCTCCGGAACGACATGACGAAGCCTACTGTACGTGCGCAACAATCGCTAATGGTTTCAGTGTGCCGTTTCCTTCGTGCGCGAAAATGGGATTTTGAGGCTGCCAAAGAAATGTTGTTTGAGGCAGAGGCATGGCGGCGCCAAAACAAAGTGGACGAGTTATATGAAAACTTTTCTTTTCCTGAGAAAGAAGCGGTGAATGAGCTGTATCCGCAGTTTTACCACAAGACGGATAAGGACGGTCGCCCAGTTTATATTGAGCAGCTAGGAAACCTTGATCTGAACAAGTTGTTCAAGGTGACCACGCCAGAGCGACTTATCCAGCAGCTTATTTACGAATACGAGAAGTGTCTCAATGAGCGTATGCCGGTTTGCTCTGAGCTGCATCACAAGCTGGTTGAGACTAGTTGTACAATTATGGATTTGAAGAATGTGGGTATTGGCCAGTTTTGGAAGGTGTCGACCTACGTACAACAAGCAAGCAAGATTGGACAATATTATTATCCAGAAACTATGGGTCGCTTTTACATTATAAACTCGCCCTATATTTTTACGACGGTGTGGGCGGTGATCAAGAATTGGCTTGACCCGGTTACTCGTGACAAGATCCAGATTTTGGGTTCCAACTACATTGGTGAACTGGCTAAACAGATCCCATTGGAGGAGATCCCGTCTATCGTTGGTGGGAAGTGTCAATGCCCGGGAGGCTGTCTGATGTCGGATGCTGGCCCTTGGAACACGCCTGAGGGCAAGGAAATTGTCCGTCGTTATCAAACAGAGAAGCGCCGACTAAAATCAGAATACTATGGCACAAACGAAGAGCCTCAGCCATGCTCGCCTGCCAAGCCAACACCCCATGCATTGGGCACGGAGACACCGCAGGCTCAGGTGTCGCAGAACGCTACTGCGGAGCAGAATATGATGGTGTCAGCCCCGGCGATGTTGTCTAGGTCAAAGACTGTGGACGAGCCAACAGACGAGCAGATGCATCAACAACAGCCATCGTCATCTCCTGTCGTCGCGGACGCGACAAGTTATCCACAGGCTAAGACCCACGATGCATCACAGTCGTTTGAAGTGCATCCATCTGTTATTACAGGCATGGATTCGGTTTCGAGTGCCGCCTTAACTGAATCAGTAACCGAACATGTGAGCGGCAACACAGGTGGTATCCCGTCGCCAGCACCTTCTTTAAGCGTCCAGGGAACCGATGGACTTGCACCTCCCATTACTTCTAATGCTCTGGCGCCTCCGAAACAGTAGACATGTAGTTTCTTTAGTCATAACCAGAGCTTGCTGATTCGCCGTAAAACATTATGTGCCATACTGTGTACCACGATATTAGAGAAGGGGGAGTGGTTTGGTCACATTGATGAAAGCTCAGGTTCGCCCGATGATAATGATCGGGAAATTTAATCAGTAACACACTTGCGCCTGAATCTGACCGGTATTTCTCTCGCGCTCGAAACAGTTGGAGAGCACTTGTTCCCGAAAGGAGGCTGTGTGGTGGCATGGTACGAATTCTGCCTCGGACAAATTGTTGGAGAAGTCCATTACCGGCGTTGTTGTTGTTTCTGGCTTGGGGTGCATTTTTGTGCTGCGACGCCCGAGAGGAACATGCTGGTGTAGACATGTTTGCATATACGTCATTCACGTCCGATGACTGGATGACCTCGGCCTTAGGATCGCACGAGCTACCAGATGACATGCAACGGAAAGCTGCATGGCCTGGAAATAAAATTCTTGTCCCGAGTGCTGATGTTTCTTACCGCACGAAGCCTGCAGGATTCGGCCCAGACCGTGTGGATGAAGATGGCCTTTGGGGCACGCTCATTCCTATTCAGATCTACCTGGACTCTAGCGAAAATACTGGATGTGTAGAAGAATGGACTAGCGGGACACTGAGAGAGGAAGGGTACATAAAAGATTCGCTGCTTCAAACTGTGATGCAAAAACGAACCAAGAAGCAGCCGCCTTCCGATTGGATTGCGTTGGTCGAGCGTGGACAGTGTACATTTGAACAAAAAGTTCGAACAGCACAGCTTATGGGAGCGAAAGCTGTGGTTGTGGGTGATTTTCAGTCTCGCGGCTATGAGAACGAGCCACTGACGTTGCGTGAACCGGAAGACGTCACAGAGCAAGATGCACATATGCCATTGATTATGGCTCCTGATGGAGATGCAAGTGATATAGAGATTCCTTCGTGCTTCGTTGTTCGGACCACTTATATGGAACTCATGAACTTTGTGCGTCAAACGGATTCACAGCTTCGGGTGGGACTTTATCTTGATGCAAGCTTGGAAGATTCGCCACTGCAAGATATAGGGCTGTTCATTTTCATTTTACCTGCTCTATTTGCCCTTTCAGCCGTGCTTCTCCAGCATGTACGCTTGTGGATTAAGCGATTCAGAGAACGTGCATCGGTCTATGTAGTTCGTTCGCTGCCCTGCTACACCTGGCGGCCTGGTGGGGCGTGGGAACGGCTTTCGCCTGACGACATCCCGGAAAAACACACCCAAGATAAGGTTCTATGGTTCATGCAAAAGGTGGACGCTACATGGGAGAGCATGAAAAATGCGTTTTCTCGACGTGATCCTGAGCAAGAGGCTCTGGTTCGTGAATCGGAGCAGTTGCACCATGACTCCACGACACTCGATCAACGTCCTGGGAGGACGGCCGTAACACAGTCGGGTCGTTTATTTATGCAGGACGAGTGCCCGATCTGTTTAGCGGAGTTTGATGATGGGTACGTTGTTACAAACCCATGCTAACATGATTGTAGCGACCGCGTACGTGTTTTGCCGTGCGGACACGTCTTTCACCAGGATGAAATGTACGTCGGAAGTTTCACTTACCATTTTCAGTGATGACTGGCTCACGGCTGCGCGTCGTTTGTGCCCTACATGCAAACAAGATATTTCTCACTTGTAACATTTACCTCCCAACACCTCATAATGAGTCTCTTTAACTGTGGGGTTTATTTAGAACAGTGTGTGATGCTCGACTAGTTGACGGATAACCCCCCCCCCGCCCGAATTTGAACCTGACCCGAACTGCGTTGATGCCCGATTGGCCCGTGCGCTAGAAGTGGCGTCCATCGGGCTCGCTAGCACGTAAACCGAGGCTGGATTGATGTCGCAGCTTTTGACGTCCCAACATGATGCTAGTACACCATGGAATACGCGCGCCAATTCGGCATCGCACATTTTGCACCACTATTCGGGCACAAAGAAACTTTCCTAATATGCCGCGAGGTGTAGCTAAGGGAGGCCATGGCACTGTGCAGGTGTGTGAACGAATTCAATCCCGGTGAAGAGCTGACTTACACAGATACAGCTCACGAATCCAGCGCTGTTTCATGAGAAATCATACATCAATGGTGCTTGGGTACATGCGATTAGTGGAAAAACCCAAAAAGTTTACAGTACGTGACTGTGAGTGAAGCGAGCTGACTAGTGTAGACAAAGCCACAAACGAAGTACTCGCTGAGGTGGTGGACCAGTCCCGCCAAGACACAGAGGAGGCTATTCTTGCTGCTAACGAAGCATTCAAGACATGGTCAAAGACGACAGCTCATTATCGCCATGATCTGCTTCTCTCGCTCTTTTATAAGATCCGTGACAACAGCGAGGATCTTGCCAGGCTGATTGTTGCAGAGAATGGCAAAGCATTGTCGGATGCCCGCGGCGAAGTTAACTATGCCAACTCGTATATCCAATGGTTTGCAGAGCAGACGCTGCGGATTCAAGGCTATACGACGCCATCGGCCCAACCAGGTGTGCGCACGACGGTGATCCGCCAGCCTGTGGGAGTGGCCGGTTTGCTTGCGCCATGGAACTTTCCACTCGCCATGATTACGCGGAAAGTGGCGCCTGCACTAGGTGCGGGCTGCACGACAGTGGTGAAGGCACCGCATGAAGCACCGCTCAGTGCGCTGGCGATGGCCCATCTAGCGGAGGAAGCGGGTATTCCGAAAGGCGTTATCAATGTGCTTGTCTCGTCTCGAGGCACGAACGAGTCCGAGATGGGTCTAGCGCTGTGTGAAAGTTCAATGGTTGACAAAATCTCGTTCACGGGATCGACGCGTGTGGGCAAGATTCTAATGCGTCAATCAGCTAGCACACTCAAGAAACTTTCAATGGAGCTGGGTGGAAACGCGCCTTTCATTGTGTTTGACGACGCTGACGTAGATGCAGCCGTCAGCAATGCTTTGGCGTGCAAGTTCCGCTGCGGTGGACAAACTTGCATTTCGTTGAACCGTTTATTTGTGCATGCGGATGTGTATGATGAATTTGTGCAGAAGTTCAAGGATCAAGTACAACAGCTGCGTGTCGGATACGGATTGGATGAGAACATCAACATTGGTCCGCTTGTGAGTGAAGCAAGTCAGACCAAAGCTGAATCACACGTCCGCGCCATGCAGGATGCGGGTTCTGATGTGCTTGTCGGCGGTGATAAAGGTGAAGGTCTGTTCTTTGAGCCCACCGTTGTGCTTGCAAAACAAGGCGTACGCATGCCTACGGATGAAGAAGAGACTTTTGGGCCAGTGGCTGTAATCTACAAGTTTGAATCAGAGGAAGAAGTGATTCGACTTGCGAACGACGTACGCGTTGGCTTGGCAGGCTACTTCTTCAGCCAAAACGTGCATCGATGCTTCCGTGTTGCCGAGGCATTGCATGTGGGTATGATTGGTATCAACACAGGCATGATCTCTTCGAGCGCCATGCCGTTCGGTGGTGTGTTGGAAAGTGGGTTCGGCCGCGAAGGAGGACCTACAGGTATGAACGAGTACTTGTATGAGAAAGCACTTTGCTTCGGTGGCGTGTAAGTTCCCTTTTCTCTACGACAAAGATCATCCTGCTGGATTCGCTAGGCAAGAGCGTCTTACCTGTTGGGAAGTTCGAATGACAGCCATAGGCTACGGTCTTGTAAGAAATGCATTGAATGACACAGGCGCCGGCAACCGGTGTCGCAGTCCGTGTTAAGACCCCACCCATTTTTTTTGGACGTCCGCGCTCATTAATCCGGCCGTGCCCAAACAACGCGTGCGCGTGGAGGCAGTGAGACGCGCGATCCAAATTGCAACTTTGTCCACAACCGCCAGCGGATCACGTGAACGACCAGGCGAGAAGGAGGTTACGTTTGAGCATAGGCACGCCACGTAGAATTGCGCGGATCAGAAGGGTGGTCGACCGTGTATGGAAGGGGCGAGGCGCGAGCAGCTTGCTTGGCGTCGTCACATACACTTTGCACCCGACACGAAGGAGTCTACATGTGATCAGGGATCGGGACATACCACAGACCAAGCTCCTGCACGCGATCTGCGCCCTCACCTCCAAACACGTCATTCTGCGCCGAGTCTGCGCGCGGAGTATACGTATGGAGACGATGATGAAGAGGAGCGGATGTACCGCACGAATCCACCGAACTTTTCTGGAAGTCCGCATCTGTTGCGTGCAGCGCACACGTTTTGACGCATTGGCAAGCCGCCCGCCAGCGCGTCCAGCCCCCCGCGATTCAGCGCATCGAACCGCTACAGACGTGTCAGCCACCTCAGGTCAGACAGAAACGACCCGCGCTGCCACCACGGCGAGCATCGAGTGACTCGGATGATATTCTTGTCGAGCCGTCGCTCGTATCGTGTGGTGAATCAGCGGAAGAATTTCAACTCACAGAACTCCAGGAGGCTGTGTACAAGCAATTTGCCGGCCAGCATTTGTCAGACCATGTATGCATGCGACCTGTACAGCCCATTTTTGTCGGTGCAGACATGGATGCGACCGGTACATCTGTGGCGTATGCTACATACACGGGGCCAAATGAAGCGTGGAACAGCGCGCAGCTAACAAGCGACACAGATCGTTGGCCTATTCATATGGCTCGTCGTGCACCTCTCGGACCGGCGGCACTGCGTCGTCGTGCTGAGTTGCGTGGCACGATTACTGCGCTTCAATGGCTTGCACAAGCACCGCTTCAGCCAGCATGTGCTCATGTGTGTGTGAGTAGCGCGTATGTGGCCAAGGCGTGGGGTTCTTGGATCCCTCAATGGGATGCGCATGGCTGGCCTGGCGAAGATTCGGATGCTCGTTTGCGAACGATGCGTCGCGGGCTGATGGTCGATGACAATGCAGCAATGCAGCGCAGTGGCCTCCCGCACACACCATTGCGCCAACAAAAGCATCTTTTGAGTATGGAGTCTCCGACCGCTAAAGGAGCTGACCCCGATGGACATGGAGCTGGTCCATCTGGCGCGCTGCGGCGCTCTAACCGGCGTCTCGTAGATGAGGATCTTTTGCGAGAACTGGCCGCTCTACGCACGCGTTTGGCTGAGATCGATGCGCAGGGCGGTGTGCGTGTGTATTTGTACCAAATTGAAGCTCAGCACAATCCAGCCGAATCATTGGCCATTCGTTGTGTCATGATCGATGCACCTGAAATGGAGCCGTCCTTGTCGGCTTGCCAGGACGATGTTCCGATCACACCTCAAGCGTACGAGCCTATGCGAGTGGTCTCACCCCCGCGTCTTAGAGTTCAAGATTCACGCAAAGCCATTCCATCGCCCGTGCCGGATGATGTATTTTTACGTTCACCATCTCCGCACGCATTTCAGAAACGTTCGCCCTTACTTACGACACCTAGTAAGTTGACAACGCCGCATCCTTATACAACGCCATCCTCGCCAGCGACTCACAGCCCATCTATGCTGATGTATTCGTCGCCGACTTTTTCTGCTTCACGATCGAACTTGTTTCCAACTCCGCCCACGACGCAATCGAGTCTTCCTCACGTATCGCCCCTGCCACATATGACCCGTTCGAACTTGCTGTCTGCCGCTTCGCCCTCTTCACCACGAAAGAATATTCCTTCACCAACTCAACCATGGCTACAAGGGCAGTCGCCGCAAATCCATCCACAGCAAATTTATTTGCAAGAGCCACTGCCAAGTCAGAGGCCTCCGTCGTCAATGTCCCCGGCTGCACACAGGACTCAGCTGCCATCAGAGAAGCCGGCTGACGTTTCTGATGAGGCGATACGTGCCGCTAGTCCTGCGCCATCGAGAGAGGAGGCATTGACAAAACCGCTTACGGCCGAGGCACTTCGTGAGCATAATCGTAAAACAGGAAGTGGCAGGTTTTTTCGTCGCCAGGCCCGCAGTACACGTTCAAGTGTTAAATCTGACGGTGCTCAATCATTTATCCATCGTTGGGCATTAAAGTTTCTTCGAAAGTCCCGAAGTCAACGAAACCTCCGGACAGAAGAGCGGCACGCTGCATCGCCCAGACTTGGCTCAGGGGTTGAGCCGAGCACAAACCTAGCCGCAACCGGTACCACAGATGCTCCTACGCCCCCCACACAAGCCCGTGCCATGACGACAGGTGCACCTGCACCTGCACCCGCACCCGCACCTGCGCTTGGCGTCGCATCTAGTTCTACGGCCGCATCTTCGCCGGCGATGGGATCTGCACCTGCACCCCGGCTACGAGCCTCGGCGTCGCAACCTGCGATGGGTCGTCGGAGCCAACAAGGGCCTAGAGACAACGGGCTCAGTACCACGACACCGGACACCTCTAAGCCACGCGTGCTTGTACAGCCCCCACAGGATAATGAATTACAGAGACAAAAAGATTTGCTCGCGCAGCGCGATGCTGAGCTTGCTCGTCGCGAAGATGCACTTGCACGCAAAGAAGTCGACATGGCGCGCCTGCGTTTCGAGTGGGAGAACAGGCGCCCGTTCATCACGCCAAGCAAGGGCCATTCCGTGCATGTATCTGATGATGATGACGACGAGGATGAGCCTGTGCCAGATGACAACGAATGGTTGTGGCAAAGCAACCTCAACCGTACTCCGCGGCTTATGTCCGCAGACCTCGATGACGAGACTGATTCTTTCAATCTGCAGTCGTACCAGCGTTCGATGAACACAGAAGCTTCGCGCCTGAAAGAGGCTACGTCCATGCCGCAACCTGATTTGTTTGCTTCAAGAGAACTTGCTACTGCAGAAGATTCTCCCCAACTCCTCACACGTGGATCGCAGTGGGTTTTGTATGAAGAGAGCCAAAATCAACGACTCCAGCAGCGACGTGCTCCTCCAAAAATTCAAACACCTCCACGCCAACCTGCTGAGGATTGTCTGGGATTGTATGTCGACGGCGACGGTTTTGGCAGCTCAACCTCCTTGCGTAAGTCGTCTCCATATGCTCGTCACATCATGCAGAAGCGGTCACAAGGGCATTATCCCTCCTCCGAGTCTGATGATAGCTCCTTTTTGTAGTATCTTTGTTATACCCAACATTGGACCTCTTAGAAGATTCATTGGCAGCGATATCCGCGGCAACTGCTGCAGGATAGACCTCATGCTCCTGAGGGTTGCCACAAACGCTGGAGGCACCGAGAAATAGGACTCTTGGAATTTTTCTCCACTCATCCATCCACTCACCCACCTATCCTGCATTCCCCCGTGGCTACGCCGATTACGAGGCGCTTGACGTTGGTTGTGCTTTCTAGAGAAATCGGACACCATGGTGCGTTCCAGGTGGTGTTGTGTCTTACATACATACAGCGAGATGACGAAATTACGATCATACTCAAGTTTCGGACCACGTCCTTGTTTCTTCAGGTGATTCCTGCAGAAACAAGCGTGCGAGACCTCAAAGTATCCATGCTTCGTGCGTTGGTGGACTCGAAGCAGCCTTCCGACGAAAATCTAACCCGTCCCTTTACAGACATGGGTCCTGAAGACGTTGAACTCTTCCGAAAAGAAAATAATGCATATGTGATTCTAGCCGTGTCCAGCACGTCGGCACACCGCGCGCCGGATGGAACGCCTCTGTGCTCAACATGTCAGTTAGCAGACAATAGTGTGATCTATGTGGGATTTCGTGAACCAGGTGAAGGTACGTGCTATGTTTGACTGACAAAAGACACTCCAAGTGAGCCCGTCGTGCGGGAACCGTCGTGGGAAGATATCGATGGCGAGGAGGCAGTCGGCGTCGATCATTCATGAGCATATATGTGGTGGAGAATGTAGACGTTGGGACTACCCTGAACCTACTTCTGCAGCCGCGTGACAACAGGGTTGGTCTTCTCATGAATCTGGGGCTGGCCCTCAGGAGAGCCTGGGATCTTCTTAATGAGGTTCTGGACTGTTAGGCACGCTCGAATGTAGAAAATAGAACACGTACAAGTTGCTCAAGCACACACTTGTTGAGCGGGCGCTCGAATGAACGACAAGGCATATATTCCTAGCGATTGTGTAAGAAAGAGCGAGAGTGTGGGTGTTTGGGTGTGTTTGTGAGCGTGCATACGTACTTGATTGTTCTTTTCCAGGCATTGCCAGTGCGCGTCCCACTCGTTACCGCATTTCTCGCCGATTTTCTGGATGCTGCCTGTTAGCTTATACGTATATACATACAGATCCTGTGCACAGCGAGTGACTCTTCGGCCTTCCTTAAGGCAGTGCTCTGGGTCCCGGTTTTCATTTTTGCACAGCATAAAGTCTTCCGCGTACGGTTGACAGAACTGACCAAAAAAGAACGCAATCGACTTCAAGGGTGCAGATGTGGCACCCACTTCATCCACCTTGGGCACATCCTTTGGCCATGGCATAGGCTCGACGTATGAGAACGTCGGGTTGTTTGCTTCGCGATGTGTCGCCATAGCGTCTAGTCAATTGGATGAGGGAGAAGCCGATCTGCAAGCCAACAGACATTTGAGGACGGGGCCGTTCGTCCATTGTATTAGTCATCACGTGCGATAGGCTTTTTCACTCACACATTGTTTGGATTGGACAGGACATGTACCTTGAGTCACAGTGCCAACGCGCGTTGCCTATACTTGATGCACAGCGCTTGGCCGCCAGCATGGTATGGGACAGGTTCGATGTTCATCCGTCGCGCATTTGTCGCCACATATGCTACAGCACGGATACCCAAACACCATGATGCGCCGCCTCAGAGTGTGGTCAATTTCCGCAATATGCAGCGTCGACGCGGTGGTGCATTTCATAAAAACGTGCGTGTTGATCGCCAATCGAGACACAGTCCTGCAGACCGGCTGCGACATCATATGTTCGAGACATCGCACAAAATCACCGACATTGTGCACGAAAAGAGAGATGCGATGATGACGTACAAAAGGGCTGAATCGATTTTACATGAACGAATGCAAGAATGGCGCGGCTTGGTGCGGACAATGCGAGCGAAACGCATCCTAGACAAACACCTAGCGACGCCGCAGGTTGGTGCACCTGCCTGGAATCAGGTGATCATACTCGCCATTCGTGCAGCCAGTCCCACCGCAGCGTGGCATCTCTATTGCGACATGAAACGTGAGGGGATTCGACCCACGGCTCGCACCTTTGCAGGAATTTTCCATGCGCTCACACAAATGGTACGCGCGCGGAAAATTGACGTGCTTCAATCAGAGACGTGGCGCGATCGGTTAGGCAAACTGTATGACAGTCTTGGGGCTCTCCACGCGCAACTTACGAATGACGCTATGTCGGACACCGACGATACGCCGCCTACTTATTCTCCATCGGCTCAAGACATCACATCTATTGCTACAGCATACCGCTCATATCTTTCGCTTCTTTGTGCACTTGGACGATGTAATGACGCAATGCGCGTGTTCAATGACGTGTGTCCGGATCCCTATCCAGGTGTGACACTGCTGAACGAACACGATCGACTTCTTCGTTCGTATTTTGCCACAGCAGAAATGTATACTGGCTTCGTCCGTAACTTGGCTATGTGTCCTATATCGCTGGAAAAGCGTCAAAGTTTCGTTCGTCAGATTTGGAGTCGTTGGCAAGATGACATGTTACTATCCGGTCGGTCTCACTCCCATCATGCACTGCTTGATGCTACTGCCGTCAAAACGTTGGTATGGGCACTTAGCCTGGGAAAACCAAATTCACACGTACGCGACATTTGTGCCTTATTGGGCACCTACATGGGCATCGCCCTCCCAACCGCGCGTGGTATGACGGACTTCGTTCCCGTGCCTAAGTCGAGTCAAGTGCGCTTCACAGATGCACAATTGTTGATTGATGTCCTTGTGTTCTTTGCTGATCGTAAGATGTATCGTCATGTCGTATGCTGCTTTGATTTTGCGCTGCAGCACAAGACGAAAACGGTTGACCCTACAAAGGTTAGCGAGGCCGTTTCCCTCGTCAACCTTGCACGTTCGCATTTGATCGTCTGATTCAATCCGCACAAGCAATGTAATACCCACATTCTACTTCTTCTTGCCTCCTGACCGTTTTGTGGATGGCGCTGCTGCCAAGGCATGGTTTTTCTCGCGAACATGCACAAACAACTTGGAGCGTGAGGAAAACGTTGCTTGGCACACGTTGCACACCTCCGTACCAGGTGGTTGTGCCTTGTCCTTCGCCTTGCGGTCGGGATTTTGGCTTAGTCTCAGGCCCATTTTGATCAGCAGCTTTGGCTTGAAGCGCGCGAACTTTTTCCTCCAAAGCAAACAAATGATGGTCGGAACTTTGTGGTGTCAGAATGCGCACGGCGTCGGCAAGCCGAAGCAGATACTCATCGTTCCTTCCACTTGGTCCCTCACTAGTATATATACGTTGCGCAAGCTCATCAAGTGGCTGCGGACCAACGAAAGCGGGGTTATCGGGGAGACCCACATACACCAAAGCCTCAGGTATAAGAATGTGTGGCTCACTTGCATCGCGATTGCCGTCGTGGTAGCCGTAAATTGGCTCCCACAAGGGTGTGTAACCATTCTTTTCTCGATGGTCGAGATACGCACGAACTTCTTCAGCATAGGCAGGGTCAATTGTATAGCTAATGCCCCACACGATATCGCCCTCAGGTGCTTCGTCTGCTTGCGCGAGACTGTGCCAAAGCTCGGCGGACACAAGCGTGACTACACGACCAGGACGCTCAGGCGTGCCGCGGTGGTCTTCAGAATGCTGTGCGAAACGCCTGACATATCCCTGTATATAGCCAGGCGTATAGGAGATAGCATGCGGCGGCGGCTTGAAGATCAGTGAGCCATATCCAAAAATATCAAAAGAGCCTGCTGGACGATCTTTATATACAGGCAGCTCGGCAAGATGTGGTAGCATAGTCTGGAACATAGTTTGGCGTTCATGGTCGTTAGGATTCTCTTCCGCAGAGCCGGTTCCTTCATGCCTTGGTTGGGCAAAAGAATCAGGGGTGATGGCAGCCTCCATTTTCATCTGCTGCTTTCGTCGCTTTTTGTCTTTCTTACGCGACGCAGGCGCGAACTCATTTGCGCTTTCGTCTAGAGTCAAATCAGAGGTCTTGGCATTGATGTCATGCATTTCGTCGGTGTCATGCATAGTCTCGATGAGTTCTTCGTCTTCTTCGAGCATCTCCCGCTTAAGCCGCTCGACTTCCTTTCTGTGTTTCTTGCTTCGCTCATGGTTCGACCATGCAGCCTGGGACTGGAATCGCTTGTTGCATGCCACGCAGTCCCACATTGAATCGTCGCCGGATGCTTCGTCTAGCGATGCACCGTCACTAAAATCGTCCACAAACTCGCTGTCATTTTCCGGATCAGACGTCATCTGCCAGCTTTGAGCCTCGAATGCGTCCGCTTGTGCCCGTTTTTCATTCTGTCTCCTGATCGCCTCTGCTCGGCGCCACATTTGATCAGCTTCATTTGATGCCTTGTTTTGCTGCTGAGCGTGATGTGCCTTGACGCGTGGATCGCGACGTCGAATAAAAGTCACAAGTCCGTGAATGGCCTCATTGTACTCTCGGCGTGCAGCATCGCGAGAACGCTTGTTCTCTTTTTCAAGAAGGCGCTTGATTCTCCGGTCTTTGGCCTGTCGCGTTTCATGTACATCCTTCCACGCAAAGCATTTTCGGCTCGAAAACGAGCTCCAAAATTGGTAAAAGGCACGCACACATGCTAGCTCATCCGCTTCATTAGCACAAACATATGGGGTATCTGGGTGGCCAAATGAAGGGTACATGCTGACGTTGTCTCGCCAAGATTCAGCTGCATCGCCGGTATGTTCCTCACCCGGGTAAGGCGATGCGACACAGTCTTCCTCCGCTATACGTTCGAATAAGCGCCTGAAAGTGCCAAAAAATGAAGTTGCAGAATCGCTCGTGTCTTTGGCAAGAGAAGGCGCATGGAAGCGAAGCAGGTGCGGCACACCGATGCCAGCAGACATAGATGTCGCTTTGGGTGCCTCTCCGCCAGACTTGAAGTACTGGCACTTTGCATCTACATCTTCCTCGCCTTCGTCTTCGTCCACTCCATTCACAAGCCTCTCTCGGTTCTTATCGTACCATGCACGCTCTTGTTCATCCATCAGTACATCATAAGCCTCTTGGAGCCGAACAAACTTTTTCTTGGCCTCTTCCTCCTCACCAGGATTCTTATCAGGGTGAAGACGCAAAGCAAGACGCCTGTATGACTTGCGGATCACATCCATCGAATCATCTTGTTCAACTTCCAGGAGCTCATAGTAATCCACGAATCTGTCATCGTCAACCACTTCCGACGAAGGACGTGCGCCCATGTAAGATACGTTGGGACGAGGGCAAGGAGGAATTATTCATCATGCTGGTCCTTTGTGCGTTGTACTCCACTCACCAATCCAACATACATTTACTATTGGCATGGCGTCGAATACTGTCGCACATTCAGCTCAGGTGCAACTGTACATTCAATATAATGCGCGACTTCCACCAAGATCTCCTGCATTTCAATGGCCTTCGGGACCGGTGCTTTTAGTTGCTCAACTTGGTCTAGACGCGATTCTTTTCGGTCAGAATAGTACACCAGGATCCACGATTGAGTATGACCGTGCCTTTCTCAAGCATTTGGTAAAGCATATTGATGAAGCAATTGAAGAATGTTCAGAAGAACAAGCAGCATCCTTGGATACCACTAAAGAAGACTTAACTGTTGATGATGCCTTGTTGGAACGATACATGACATTGGTGTCGTTGCCTGAGACAGCAAGTTCAGTTCACGGGACTCATATCCCGTGTGCTTTACATGTAATTCATTTTTTCCCTACAGACGATGCATTGACGCTTCATCCGGTGCTTGGTCGGTGTGAATCGGTTGTGCTTCGCCAAGAGGGTGCTGCCATATCCCAAGGGACCACAGGTCTGACCACGTGGGAAGCAAGTCTTCGACTAGCCGCTCATTTGACTGCTCAATCCCCTCAAATCTGGCACCCCCAGGCTCGAATCCTCGAATTGGGAAGTGGCACAGGGTTTCTAGGCCTTGTGTGTTCTCGACTTTTTCGCTTTTGTTCTGACCCGCGCACAGATTTTTCGCTCGTCTTGACAGACGTTGAGGGTCAAGTCCTCAATCGTTTGCAAGAGACAGTCAACCTTAGTATGTTAACTACGGTTTTACTAACCCAACAGACAATGCGCAAAACGTTGAAATTGAGCCACTAAACTGGGTTGAGGTAAGTGCAGGAGAACCAGAGGCGCTCGAGCAAATCCGACGCATTCGGCCCACATGCATATTGGCTGCGGATGTCGTATATGATCCAGGATTAGTGCCTTGCTTGACAGATACGCTTCTTGTGACACTACAAAACGGCACAACTAGAGACGGTCAACGTCCATACGCATTAGTCGCAAGCACAATCCGGAACCCTGACACATACGAACAGTTCTTGCAATCACTGCGTGAGCGGCATATGCGCTGGACTATCGTGGAAGCAGCACAACCCACATGGCCCAATTTGGATACCCTTCGCTTGTTCCCTTCAGTACATAACCCCGAAACTGAAGGGCAAGTGTGCATATTGCACATCGAGCAGTCATAGTGTCTTCCGGAAACCTATACATACCCAGTACTGTTCACGGCTTTCGGACCGACTCGCCCTCATCTTTTCTGAACGAACATAATGGAAGTGACGCTCTAACACATGGCGTCGAAAATCATCGGCTTCTGCACTCATAAAATATTTGCACACAAAGGAGGGCATCCTTCGAGCATCGATTGATTGCCCGGACGAGCCTGACTTGGAGTCTTTAAGCATGTGAAGGCAAAATTCCTGTGTCAACGAATCGTGGCAACACTCACAAATGCTGCCATGCATAAATCAAGTGATGCCTGAGTATCGCGTATGGAATTACCGGAGGTATTTGCTGCGTAAGTTAGTAAACACACGCACCCATCATGTCGCTCAGTACGACATCCACATCTTGCCCAATGAGTGAGGAAAGACTTGTGCGAACTTGCGTGTCCCGAAAATCACCACGCATAAATGTGAGATTAGGTAGAGACGTTTGCAAAGGAAGAAGATCCAACGCATATACACGGGCTTTAGGACACTGCTGGAGCACGGCCTGACTCCATCCTCCGGGTGCGGCACCCAAGTCCACGACAACCCGGCCAGGCTGAAAGAATGGATACTTGGTACTCAACTGGACAAGTTTATACGCAGAACGCGATACATATCCAGTTCCATCTGCTTTACGATCGCGCACAAACTGGGGTGAGTGCTAGTGATTTCGTACTTGATCATGTCTCTGCCTTGAAAGATCTTATAATTAGTTAGCAAATTACGCGCACATTTCGATGATGATCCGGAACGCGAGGATGCATGGCGGACCAACCCATGATTTAGGGGCTTGACAAACCACTTGGGTATATTCATGGTTGTATTGGTTCTTGATACGTTAGTTGTGATGACGAATATCGATGCACGCACGACATGTAAAGAATATGTCCAAAAGTGTATGGCGTTAGGCGAAATGACTTGGGCCAACATGCATTCACGCGTAGCCTGTGCCCAGTTGAAGCAAAGACACGAGGAAACTCGCCAATAAATTAGCCCAATGACATGCTAAAATGAAACACGCGCGACAAATGCAATATGCAGTATTGGGCTTGAACCAATGATGAGTGCGTATCTCCCAATTTCATGCGCATCCGTCTTGTTGCGGGGTGAGTGCCAATGTGATGCAGGTCTACTGGCGTGTTGGTATTTTTCTAGAATATAAGGAATATTGCGCTCCTAAGCAAGCTCCCACTTTGCTGCTCTCTCACGAGCATATCATCATGATGGACGATACCCTTCATGAAAAAACGGTTGATCGCGCAGACTTGGACATGGATCAAAATACATTAACGAAAAAGAAAAATAATGAAATTCTCTTCAACACTCGCGAAGCCGTACTTGAAGACGCTGGTGAGGATGACGCAACGCCGGAAATGTCGGTGGAAGTTCGATTAAACAACCCATTGTTGGGTCTCTCTAGCGAGCAGATCGAGTCTAATGTACAAGAGTTTGTCTCGACAAAGGGATTAGAGAATTATCATAGCGAATTTCTTAAAGGTGCGCTTGTTGCACAGGCTCAAGCAACAGGTGACTACAGCTCTATTCCAATTCTCACGCAAGAAGATCATGAAATTCTCACTAAAGAAAAAGAGCATAAATGGCACCAACCTTTTCTCTTGTATTGGCTCGCGATTTGTTGCAGTGTCGCTGCTGCTATTCAAGGTGCGGATGAGTCGGTAATCAATGGTGCGATTCTGTTTTTTCCTGATCAATTTGGACTTCATACAGACCGATGCGCATATTACGAAAATGGAATTGATGATTGCACTGGGCCTCTTAAGCCTGAGTACCAGGCGAAAGGTTGGACTGACAGCAAAGTGGCGTCAGAAATCAGCAAAAACAATTGGCTCATTGGCCTTGTATCTTCTGCGCCTTATATTTGCTGTGCCTTTCTTGGTTGCTGGCTCACTGAGCCATTGAATGCAGTTTTAGGTCGTCGTGGTACTATATTTGTGGCATCGTTCGTTAGCTTTGCCACCTGTGTATGGCAGGGCGTGACAAATACATGGTGGCACATGTTCATCGCTCGATTTATTCTGGGTATCGGCATTGGTCCAAAGTCTGCAACTGTGCCTGTATATGCTGCAGAATGTTCACCTCCGCTCATCCGTGGTGCGCTTGTCATGCAATGGCAGACTTGGACTGCTTTTGGTATCATGCTAGGTAATGCGGCAAGCTTGGTGCTCTTCAAGGTATCTGACCCGCCACACATCACTGGTTTGAACTGGCGGCTCATGATGGGCAGTGCATGTATCCCAGCGCTTTTCGTTATGTTCCAAGTGTATCTCTGCCCAGAGTCTCCTCGGTGGCTTATGAAAAAGGGTAAATATCATCAAGCCATGCAATCATTCTTAAAAATGCGAAGCGCACCCCTGCTTGCGGCTCGTGACATGTACCTTGCCCACTGTCTAATTGAAGCAGAGAAGAAGCACGTTGAACTTCATGGCCGTGCTAACCTTTCGCATCTGTTCACCGTTCCCCGCAACCTTCGAGCCTTGATACCCACGTTGATTCTCATGTTTGGTCAACAATTCTGCGGTATCAATGTCATTGCTTATTACTCGAGTTCGATCATTAAGGAAGTGGGTAATGCTTCTGATTTAGATTCTTTGCTTGGCAGCTGGGGATTCGGTATGCTGAACTTTTTGTTTGCTATTCCGGCCTGGTATACCATCGACACTTTTGGTCGGAGAAATTTGCTTCTTTCAACTCTCCCCTTTATGGCCATTTTCCTTTTAATAACTGGGTTTGCTTTTTGGATTGACAAGTCCAATCAAGATGCTCGCTTGGGCGTTGTGCTAATGGGGATCTACGTTTATGGCATCTTTTATTCCCCTGGATTCGGACCTGTACCACTCACCTACGGCGCAGAGGCTTTTCCCATTCGCGTGCGTGAACTTGGTATGGCTCTTTCCACGGCAGTTTTGTGGTTTTTTAACGCTTTACTTTCAATTACTTGGTTCCGTATGAAGGAGGCGTTCAAACCACAGGGTGCTTTTGGCTGGTATGCAGCTTGGTGTGCTATTCTTTGGGTCCTTATATTTTTCCTTTTACCAGAAACCAAAGCGCTTTCCCTGGAAGAACTCGACATTGTGTTCAACATTCCAACAACCAAGTTCGCCTCGTACCAAGTCCGCCAAATTCCTTACTTCATTAATCGCTATTTGCTTCGCCGCAAAGTTCACAAGCATCCGCTGCATGCTATTGATGACAGCATGGGCGTAGCGTGATTTGATGCGTCTTGAAAAATTTTGTACCAACTCTCACTATCATATTGCTTGTTTTTTTATTGTTATGTTCTCATTGTTCAGCCGGATCCATATTGATCATGTAGAGTGGGTGGTCCCTTGGTCACCTCAGTTTGTGCTATGTTTCACGTCCCCCGGTTCACGATCCTCCACCTCCCTACTATTAGTGTCCATCAATGTTCTGGCTCCTGTTCGCGTTCGTATGTGTGGGAGGTTCGCATGCGGACTAAACTGGGACCAGCTTTCAGAGGCAATTGACGAGCTTCTTCCTCCAAACGTTACGCGACTAAATCCCGCATCCATCCCTCAGTATCAGCCTAGTTATAATGTTGCACCTGGCGCGCGATTCCCTGTGATTCGCATGGAAAGCGGAGAGAGATCGTCTGTGCTCACGGAAACCATGCAATGGGGCATTAAGTCGGACGTGTTAATTCCGTGTTCTTCCTTGTCCGACAGATCTAATCGTCTTTTAATCAATGCTCGTGATGACACTATATTGAAATCGCAATCTATTTGGAGGGGTCTAGTGACTAGACAACGTTGCGTAGTGTTTTGTCAAGGATTCTTTGAATGGCAAAAAGTAAGAGAGCCTTCAGTCCAACGGCCCAAGCGCGTAGCTCATTTTATTGGTATGAGTCACGAGGGAAAAGGCAGGGAGGCTTTGGATGGATCATCGCGACAACTTATGCCTATGGCTGCATTTTGGAGCTCAACCGAGAACAAACATGACTGTGCCTTTACGATTGTAACCACTGCAAATAATAAACAACTTGATTTCTTACACGATCGTATGCCCCTCATTTTACCAGATATCAAGGCGCTTGCATCGTGGTTAGGTTGTTTTTCTGATGAGCAAGATGTGTTGAAGCTTATGCAACCATTTGATGGACCTTTAGAGTGTTACCAAGTGCCACCTGATGTAGGGACGGTGGGAACTTCCAAAAAAAGTTACATCTATCCACTATGGTCCCGTAAAGACAGTGTAATGGCTGCATTCCAGAATGCAAAGGGGTATTCACACGAATCGAAAGTAAATACAAATTCTACGTGTGATTATGTTTTGCCAGAGGTAAGGGGACCAAAAACCGAACATGCCTTCGGACAAGATCCTAAAACCAAAGCCAGCACGTCAATGAGGCAAGATGACCAAAAGTACAGCCCGCGCAAACGTGTAAAACGCACATGCACTTTGGAATCCTTATGGAAGAAAAACAAGCAAGGGTCTTGAAAGGCAAATATCAACAAGTAAATGAAAACACGGATTTTAGTACATAGACATTAGAAAAGAGGCGGCGGTGCCTTCATGCTGTATAGCTTAGCACGTCCATGTCCTGGAGCCTTTTCGACATGCAAAGTAAAGATGAGTTCATTGGTGTTTTCATCATAGTCCACGGCACACCAATTGCGTGCGCCAATGATACTGATATGGTCAGCATGATGTCGATGCACGTACTATTTGTTCTTGGTATTCTTATCCTCCAAATCAAGCTCAAAAAGAGGCAACATGGTCTCTCGCGTATTGGCATATTCCAAGCTTTTATGGTGCTTCGTAGCAAGCTTGTTGACAATGTTAATGACAGCGGGGGGCGGGGGTGCATTCACAATCGCACTGGTTATAACAGCCAAGCTGTACCTTGGGTCACGACTAGGCTCCATCTGTTGCTCTGAATAAAATACACCGCAACCGGCAGCATGGACATCACCACTGATAAACGAAATTCTCATCTTTCGCGTCTTAGCCAGAGCCTGGGTGCGCTCGATGAGTTGGTTGCGTTCCTTTTTATGATGGGCTGCACACCAATGGTCGTTGAGGTCATCCAATAGCTCAACTTGTCCGTTGAAGTTGTTGGTAAATGCAGGCATGAACATCTTAGCCATGGATACGACAGGGTTGAAGCGGTTCGTAAGCATGTTCTCAAGGAACACCATGCGAGGATAAGAGATGGGTACGCCAAGTTGGATGATTAGGTGCCGCACAGTGTCTGGCAACATTTCGATTGCTTCTTGCGCGCGCTCGTACGTCTCAGGTGCACAAACCTGATTCAGCGTGCGCTGTGCACGGCAATCCAAAAGAAGCATTGCCTGTTTAGGACCAAGCCAGGTCAGGAACGAGTGAGTGGGGAAAGGAATGTAAGTGCCGGGACCACCGATTATAAGTGACTTGATTTCTGATGGATTAGGGTTCTTTGTGTTTTCGTTGATAATTCCATCCACTTCATCTTGCATAAATTGCTGGAAAAGCAGATAGAAAAAGTAGCCCCGCGATCCGATCAGGTTAAATACTGGCGAGCGCATCAAATTCTCAGGATACGTGCCAAACCCGTCTATAATGTCATGATCATCAAGCATGTTCACCATGGGGATCCGCGCCATAGCCCTTGCCATTGCGCCAGTGCCAAAACACTTTGAAACGTTAGAAAACTGAAAGACGCACCTGAACATAGTTGTTAAAGAAGAATCGGTCGATTGCGATCGCAATCTCAGGCGCTACGGGCCTTTCCTCTTGCTCGGTATTTAGATCAATGGGCGCAATGTTCGATCCCACTACTTTTTCCTCAGTGATCTTGTCATTGTAGATCTGGTCACCACCACCGATCATTACATGGAATGGATTGTTAGCATGTTCAGTTAGCATGTCATTCCACATGGGATCGAAACCACCGAATTCTTCTTGATTCACACTTGAGCTAAACCCACTGCATGAATACGTTGACCATCGGAAGTTTTGGTGAAATGCAGGCACATGAAAGTCAAGCAGATCGCTAGCACCTGGAATAATGTACACAATCTGCTGGGGAACCCTCATCATTTTTATTTCGAACTTGAAGCGCCAGAATACATGCGACTTCCTTTGCTCGTCATTGTACACCCATAACTGCAGACCCTTGGTTTGCATTGGAGGGCCAGTAGGCTGCTGATTGGCTGTCGCAACATACTGCAGAATCGGTGGCGCAGGAAGAGTTACTCCATTGACATGTTCCGTTACAATAAGAGCGAATGCATGGTAGATACCCTGACTGTCGACTGTATCGTAGCGCAGGAGTGGACCGGCATTAACTTTCCATGTAGCCATGGCGGACGGTGTTTCTGGAGAGAAATCTGACTGCACTCTATAATCCCACAGGTGTGTGTGTTTAGTCGGCACGCGGGCTCATGCACTACCATGTGACTACGAAAGACGGCCCTCCACACTACTACCATCATGGTCGATTGGCTCGAGCGAGTCAAAGTTTCAGGGCAGGTGCGTACTGTAGACGGCTACCACCAAGGCACCTTTTCAACCCTGTACATATGTTGTGTACCGAAATGTTCGTGAATTCGGAGCAAAGGGTGACGGTGTGTCAGATGACACGAACGCCATTAATATGGCGATTTCTTATGGAGATCGTTGTGGGAGTCAAGCTGACAGCACCACCACTACACCGGCTTTGGTATATTTTCCTCGTACGTTGAGTAGCGCTGATTCAAAGCGGGAACGTACAGAGTATCAAGACCTATTGTATCGTACTACCTGACTCACTTGATGGGAAATGCATCCACTCGACCATGCATCAAGCCACTCCCGCACTTTCAGGGGATGTAAGTATCTATCCACTGACAACAGCGCTGTCATTGATGAGAATCCATATGAAGAGAGTGGAAAAAACTGGTATATTCCACAGAACAACTTTTTCCGCTCAGTTTCGCATATGATCATCGACCTTACTGACATGCCAACTGAGCAAGGCACTGGCATGTAAGTTTATCGTACTAACACAGACATCATCAAGTCAGCCAGGCTACTGGACTAAGCAATGTTCATTTTGAAATGAGATTAGAAGCCATGACGAAGCAGCAAGGCGTGCGTATGACCGCCCAAGTCTTACATACAGATCTTTATGGAGAATGCCAGTGGTGGATTCATGTCGGACCTAACATTTCATGGAGGCAGGTTCGGCGCTTGGATGGGTAACCAACAATTTACCGTTCGAAATGTTTATTTTTCTGAATGCAAGACAGCTATATGTATGCATTGGAATTGGGCATGGACGTTCATCGATGTGCACGTTCATAACTGCGAAATTGGATTGGAATTGCTCGGCATGTTTCCGGACAAACAAGGAGTGGGGTCTTTGATATTATCTGATTGGGATGTGTCTGACTCATCGGTAGTCGTTCAGCTTGAAAAAGAAGGAACTGGACGTTTGATTCTCGACAATATGCACATTCGAGATGTCCAAAGCATAGTAAAAGGACCCAGCGGTCCGCTTCTTCTACCGAAATGTACTCAAGATACAGTCAAATTTTGGCTTAAAGCACCTGCTTCACTTCCGTCAGCACCCTCAGAGCTACAGTTGCGTCATACTCCAGACGGTCCGATTTACATGGGCCATATTTCGCCTCCCGTTCGTCCTCAATGCCTAACGAATAAGAAGGGGCATTGGTTTGGTCGAGAAAAACCCTCTTATGAAACTTGGCACAATTTGGTCAACGTTCAAAAGTATGGGGCAAAAGGCGATGGTGTGAGCGATGATACAAAGGCTATACAGGTTGTGTTGGATGAAGCTATTGGTCAGGTCATATTTGTGCCCTACGGTGTGTATGTTCTGCACGACACGCTGCACATTCCTACAGGAACATTAATGGTTGGTGAAGCCCAACCCATATTTGTTGGTACCGGTCCAAAATTTCAAGACGCATAAAATCCATGTCCCGTGATTCGTGTTGGCTATGCTGGCGTAGCGTGGAGAACTCTTGATTGCTGACATGGTATTTAGCACACGTGGAAATGCAGCTGGAGCTATTGTGATGGAATGGAATGTCCACGAACGACAACAAGGATCTGTGGCTATGTTTGATGCACATATACGGATTGGTGGATTCCGAGGAAGCGAACAGGAACTGACAGAGTGTCCTAAACATGCCAAATTAACTGAATTGCCACGAGCTGCTTTCTTAAGCTTACATGTAACTAAGCAAGCAAGTGGATACTTTCAAAACGTTTGGATATGGACCGCTGATCACGAGCTCGATAAGGGTGCACCGGAACAATTGAATGTACTGACTGATCGCGGTGTTTTAATTGAATCAAAAGGTCCAACTTGGATGTATGGAACGGCCAGTGAACACGCTTTACTATATCAATACTCCTTGAAAAACGCATCAAATGTATTGCTTGCCATGATTCAAACGGAGTCGCCTTACTTCCAAGGACATGAGTTTGAGCCAGCATCGCAGAGTGCACTTACTCATCCAGCTTATCCTGATCCAGACTGCTCTCGAATATTTGCCCAAGGAACAAATGCACTGTCATGTGCTTATGAACGTTATTCAGAAGACCGCGCTCTGGGTTTACATTTGGCGGGTTGCTCTGATGTGTTCGTTCTAGGGTCTGGCCAATATTCATTCTTTAACTCGTACAAGCAAACGGCACTCGCCGGTCATGCATGTCAGCGTCGTCTGTGCACGATTGATCACAGCGATGGTAATGTCTGGCTTCTGAACACAGCAACAGTGGGTACACAAACGCTCATAAGCATCGATGGATACGATTATCTTTCGGAACAACCTCACAGGGAGGGATTCTGTAGCACATTGACCCTGTATGCTATCAGGAGGAAAGGCCAGTCATACATTGTCTAAATATAACTTCTGTCAATTATTTGCTACTCTCGAAGCGGGCCATGACTGCCTTGCTTGAGGGCAGGTTGCGCAGTCTGTCAATGTACTTGGCTAATGTCTCGTACTCGGCGAGATCAATATCGATCTTACTTGCATAGTCAGGCAGCATCACAAACCATCCGAGGGCACTAAAGTCGGCAATGGTTGGACGATCAAGCGCGAGGAAAGCTCTGTCTTCGCCGTACATTGAGGCTTGATGCTTAAGACGACGTTCATAGACGCGGAAAACGCGATCAAGCTCAGTCCTGAAACGCTTTATAACATTCTCAGGAGCATTTTCATTGAATGTACTCGGCCAAAACATCTTGCTAAAGAACAGATTTCCCTGTACAGGACTGTGGCCTGAGACTTGGAAGAAGAGCCATTGCATAACAAGTGCCCTTTCCTCGGGTGTCTTGCCATGGAACTTGTGCTCTGTGTCATACACCGTTGCAACGTAGTCCAAGATAGCACCAGACTCCCAAACAGTAAAATCATTCCGCTTGTGGTCAATCAAGGTAGGCGTGCGGCCATTCTCACACACGTTGAGATAATCTTCACCTTTTACACCAGTGGCCTTGTCCGAGGAGCCCAACTCAACAAACTTCATATCATATTCAAGGCCAAGAGCCTCAAGAAAGGCACCGACCTTGATGGGGTTTGTTCCCCACATTCCCTTTAGTGCGTACAGAGTAAAGTGTGCCATAGTGCAAGACGTCAAAGGTGTGGTACGAGCTCATCAGCTTTGGGGGTGGCGTTTTATAATGTCCGGAGTCCCACTATTGTTTTTGTGATTGGTCTGATCGTAATGACGCGTACCTGGGGCTATCCCATAAAAATAACTTGTGTCGAAACGATGATTGGCCAACAAACGCCCACGCGAAATTTCTATTTTCTAGATGCTCAAAGCGCACAGATGTAACTAAGCGTAAGTGCACTAACACCTTTCAGGCTTATTCCCGAACATAAATTCCAACCATAGCGGAATCAATGATAGCATCGACATTAACCCAAGGATGTGTTGCGACTGTGTAAGTACATTTGAGTGCGTACAGAAAAGTCGAGTTCCATCGCGTCCCGCAATTCGCATGAGCTCGTTAACACCACCCGGGTGAAATTTCAAATATGGCGTGATATTATATACTTTGCCATGGATCGCAGTCCATGCATCGTCTGGAGAACTGTGTAGCTTTAGCTCCGATGGAGTTATTCGAAGAATCGTTGTAACCCCTCCCTGTCATGTGAGCATAAACGCGCAAGAACCTACCCGAAGGTCTGTCGTAGATTTTAGGCGAGCCCAGTCCAAAGGGCTACAGCCTGGTTCTAAAGCCACTTTTTTGCGAGCCACTGGTATGTCAAGCCGAGACGGACCTGGCGCGGCAGGCACTCGTAACCCGCTTAAACCAGACTGCGCAGAGCGGCCTTTCGGAGTATGAGACTGTACATGGCGCTGCGCACTGTTTAATGACGGGAACATGGGCACCTGGTTGTCCACATCATCATCGTCTGTTGCTGCAATTGAGGGCACGGGTGGTGCCATGCTTTTAGTCCTATGATTGTGTGTTCTTTGACCTCTGTCGACACTACGGTTGGACTTGGTTGTCAAAGTCCGCATGCTGAGTAAAACGATCGGCAACGTGCATTTTTGCCTCCCTACCACCCGCTTTCAACTTGCCGTTCAACAACACTTTGCATATCATGAGTTTTCACTCACAAATTCTAAAGTCACCCTCTACCGTTATGATTCCTGTTCCTTTCAGCGGTGGCCAGCCGCGCAAGGGTGTGGAACATGGTCCAGAGGCTCTCATGAAGGCTGGTCTACAAAATCAGCTCGAGACACTTGGGTGGAAGTTTGAACAGGAGCAGGCTATCCCCTGGGACCAAATCAACTCAATGGATGAAAAAAATGATGGCGCAAAAATCATGAATGCGCATTCTGTGTCTAAAGCTAGTCAGCATGTTGCTGATGCTGTCGAGAAGCATGCTAAGGCTGGCAAGCTTCCGCTGACAGTGGGTGGAGACCACAGTCTTGGCACCGGCACGATGATCGGTACAGCACGAGTATACCCCGACGTTGCCTGTATTTGGGTGGACGCCCATGCCGACATCAACACAGCACAGACAACCCCCTCAGGAAACCTGCATGGGTGTCCAGTTTCATTCGCGCTTGGTCTGGATGGCTCTTACATCGAGCCTTTTAAACAATGGATTCCTGAGCCGACCAAGAACGTCCATAACCGAATTGTGTACATTGGGCTGCGCGACATCGATGAGGGAGAGCGTAAAATTTTGAAAGAGCATAAGATTAAGGCTTTTACTATGCACCACGTTGACAAGTTTGGCATCGGTAAGGTTGTAGAGATGGCTTTGGATCACATCAATGGTGACACTTCTCGTCGCGATCGTCCAATTCATCTATCTTTTGATGTCGATGCCATGGACCCAAGTGTGGCTCCTAGCACTGGCACGCCTGTTCGAGGGGGTTTGACTTTCCGTGAAGGTCATTATATTTGTGAAGCCATTGCTGAGACTGGCTCGTTGGTCGCTATGGATATGGTTGAGGTGAACCCGCACCTTGAGAAGCATGCCGCCGAGCAGACAATCGCTGTGGGATGCTCGCTCATTCGAACTGCGCTTGGTGAGACGCTCCTGTAGAGGTGTCGTCTGGCCTTAATCCGTAGCCGTGCATTGAAACACCAGGCGCTGTTGTTACAAAATAAAGTCGGCTTAGATACGTACGATAAATTTCTGTCTTTAAAACCCGGCGAGCTTTGGCTTTGGGTTTGGGAGCTGAGTTAGTGCTTAGCAGCATACCTTTGGTATTTTCTGTCATGTAAAATTGACGCAATATCATTATTGCATCTTCTCGAAGGTATCCACCAATTGATTCATAAGTGGGTGAAAATGGAAGCGCAGTGCTTGCATTAATTGGATGCAACGTACCTTGAGTGAATTGGCAGTACTGTACCATTACCGCCAAAACGTTCATTTCCTGCGCCAAATACTACGCGCTGAATGCCAATTTGACGTAGTGCAGATGCACACATCAGACATGGCTCGATGGTCACATACAATGTTGTTGTGAGCATAGGATTGTCACCTGGTGGACCTGCGTGAGGCTCTAGTCCAAACTTTCGGCTTTTTGGTGGCATCTTTTTTAGTATTTCATCAATAGCTTCAAGCTCAGCATGCCGCGTGGCCTTGGTGTCAAATATACTCGACGTACATTGGCAAGCTCGTTCGTTCGATTCCTTGCTTGGGCTATGATCTGTCCATCGCGCACGAAAACGCAGCCTACTGGCACTTCGGCATGATCCATCGCTTCTTTAGCCATCTTCAGAGCTTGTTTCATCCAGTGTAAGTCTTCTTCTGTTTGCTCTTCTTTTGGCACATATATGGCATTCCCTACCATGCCTAATGGACTGAGACGCACATAAAATCAACGACGCGTGTGTGCACGTCTGCAAGATCCCCGACAAGGGGTTTTGAAAAATTTGCAAAATAATGGCCTTTTTCTCCACGCGGTGTTCATCGTCCCTTGAAGCGACGGCATGAATGCTGCTATCACTGGTGCATGGAGCAAACAGCGCACGCGCATATCTCTGAATGGCACTCCTCCCACTGGAAGTGCAGCAGCGGCAGCTGCACAATCTCGTGCAGAATGTAAACAGGAGGGGCTTGAAAACACGCCTGGCGAAGTTGCACCCTCGGATAAGAAAGACAAAAGCATGAAACGGAAAGCTCGATCGTCACGGGAACAGGTATCTAAGCGAGGAAAAATGAAATCTTTGTCTGCAGACGACAAGTACGCGGCTCCCCCGACACGTTTGCGCGACATTGGTGGCATGGCTGCAGCTATTGAGAAAGCTTTGGAGCTAGTGGCTATGCCTCTTTGCCATCCAGAAATTTACCTTCACACAGGTGTCACGCCGCCGCGTGGCGTCTTGTTTCATGGACCACCGGGGTGTGGTAAAACTATGATGGCGGGGGCTTTGGCAGGTGAATTGGGTGTACCCTTCCTATCGGTTAGTGCTCCATCAATTGTGTCTGGTACTTCTGGAGAGTCAGAAAAAGCTTTGCGGGATACCTTTGACGAAGCCAAGAGCATTGCTCCATGTATTCTATTTGTGGATGAAATTGATGCTATTACACCAAAACGTGAAACAGCGCAGCGTGAAATGGAACGCCGCATTGTTGCTCAGCTCTTAACATGTCTCGACGAACTTGCTTGGGAGAGAGAAGAGGGACAACCCGTTATGGTACTTGGTGCCACGAATAGACCTGATGCGATTGATCCTGCGCTCCGTCGTGCGGGCCGTTTTGACCATGAAATCTCACTCGGTGTTCCTGATGAACATGGGCGTGAACAGTACGTTTTTTTCTCACTCACTTTCACGAAGACTTACATTTAGAATTCTTCAAGTTCTTTGTGCCAAACTTCGTTTGGCGGGTGATTTCAATGTCAAGTATCTTGCGAAGCGTACACCTGGTTATGTTGGAGCTGACTTGACTTCGCTGACTGCTGCTGCAGGGATCATTGCCGTAAAGCGTATATTTCAGTATTTACATGACACGCAAGAATCAATGCAGTGTGATGATGAAGCCCCAATCGAGTATAAACAAGTTGCTACTAAGACACAAGTTTCAAACGAGGATCAAGAATCAGAAGTTGAAAGGAAGCTCATCAAAGAAGAGGAAGGCCGAATTTTGGCAGGACCAGGGTTCTTGGAAGGTCTTCCTGATTCAGTGCAATCTTCATCCATTGCCATGTTCTTGAAGCGCTTCGTGAATCCTTTATCGAATGAGCAGCTTGAGCACTTGGCCATTACCAATGATGACTTTCTGGAAGCTCTGAAAGTTGTACAGCCTTCCTCGAAACGTGAAGGCTTTGCAACTGTTCCAGACGTGACTTGGGACGACATAGGAGCCTTGCACCAGATCCGGGAGGAGCTTAGCATGGCTGTTGTGCAACCAATAAGACGCCCTGAATTGTTCCGCTCCCTAGGCATTAGTGCAAGCTGTGGCGTGTTGTTATGGGGTCCCCCTGGATGCGGTAAAACACTGTTAGCCAAAGCTGTTGCTAATGAAAGTCGCGCCAATTTTATCAGTGTCAAAGGCCCTGAACTACTGAACAAATATGTTGGCGAAAGTGAAAAAGCGGTCCGACAAGTATTTGCTCGAGCGCGAGCATCATCTCCGTGTGTCATTTTCTTTGATGAGCTTGATGCGCTTGTGCCGCGTCGCGATGATACTTTGGTACGTATATGAGCCCGAGCGCAAATACACTAACATTTTTTTTAGTCCGAAGCATCAGCACGAGTTGTCAACACGCTTCTTACAGAATTAGATGGGCTTGAATCTCGTGTTCAAACGTATGTTATTGCAGCAACAAATCGCCCGGATATGATCGACCCAGCTATGTGTCGTCCTGGCCGACTAGATCGACTCTTGTATGTCGACTTGCCGTCGCCTGATGAACGCCTAGATATCCTACAAGCACTTACGAAAATGTCACCTTTGGCCACAAGTACTGATCCACAAGATCTCGAGCACCAACCAGTGCGACTTGAACTGATTGCACATGATCACAGAGCAGATGGATATAGTGGAGCTGACTTGGCTTCATTGGTAAGGGAAGCTGCCGTGACAGCGCTGCGCGAGAAAATTGTATCGCCACTCCAGTACACTGATGACTCAGAACCTGTAGAGCGTGTACTTGTGTATCAAAACCACTTCGTACACGCCTTCGACAGAGTTCAGCCCAGTGTGACGCCCGAGCAGCGTCTAAAGTATGAAGCGTTGCGTAGTCGAATCGCCTCAGGCTCTACACGAAGTGGCCAAGCACTCAAGTAGCTAGCTCCACCATACCTAGTAGGTACGACATAACACGTCTTTCCCAACGTTCCCCAGCTTTTGTTTGTCCGGCCGCTGAGACGATACGTTTATCCATTTACGTACGCAGGGACCACGGCTATGCCAGCATATCATTCTTCGTACAATGACGAACTGAACGTCCGGCAGGTGGCTGGTGCCGCCATTCTCCCGCTGAATTCAAAAATCCGTGGTCCTGCTCCCTTACCAGGTGTGTTTGAAAGACTTTGGCGCGTTAACATTCAGCGGACCCATCGCGGCCTGACATTGTGGACGAGGCTATCGACTTGTTCCGCGCAAACTCACTGTTTCGTAACTTTGAGATCAAAGGGGCCGCAGATCGTACTTTGATCTATCTAATTCTGTTCATTTCTGACTGCCTTTCGCGCATAGCAGCAGCGCCAACGACGTGGACGAAAAATGAAGCATACAAGCACTTGTCGTCGTATGCCGTGGACGCATTCGCGCTCCCGGGAGATGCGCAGTTCCCACTGAGCACACTTTATTCGCTCCCAAATAGTCGTGCAGATGCAGGTATGTATTGTTGATTTATTCATGCCAGACGCCCTTCGTCAATACCTCACTCAAGCTCGTCAGGAGACGGTATCTCGTTTGCTCGACAAAATCTACGTCGACGACGTTCCCAGTCGATGGTGGCTCGCATTTAGCAAGCGGAAATTGTAAGTGGCAAAGCATGTTAACACGGTATAGCATGGGCAAGAGCCTCTCGTAGTTTCTATGCCAAGTACATATCTAGATATTCTTCTCTCACTTTCAGATTTTGTGCTTGAGTCTAAGCAGTGGCAGGCGCATCGTTAGACTCTGCTGAGGACGTTGCAACAGACGTGGTTTGATGTTCAGACATTAAGGCTTGAGGTGCCTGCGTACGAGCATTTTGCATAGTCCTGAGAAGCGTTTGGATGCTGTGCTGCCATTGTGACAAACGTTGTTCCAGCGACTCCCATTGTGACTTTTCAAACGTCCGATACGTTGAGCGATAAACCCGGAAAGAGCGTTTCACTTGAGAAAGCTTGCCAGAAACAAGGCCAGCGCGAATAACATCAATGACCCAGGCTTCCACTTCGTCTACACTGACACCAAGCGTCTGGGCCATATCTTGATACGACACTTCCGACGACACACTGCGTGCGCATAGGGACGCCAAATCAAGGAGACGCATTTTATGTGTCAGTTCAGATGCATCAAGCGAAAGACGCTCAAGTGCACCCTTTCCATCAGAAGATTGCGCCCATTGTTCAAAGTCCGCACGAGTACCGCTGACGATCAGTCTTAGCAAAGAGAGCATTGGCGAGGTTCCTAAATTCAGTGTATCTGCGACGCGCAAGACTTCTTCCATTTCAAAGAGCTTCGGAAGGCGTAAAATATTGGCAATAGCATTTTCGGCCGCAGAAAAGCGCACTTCGTTCGATAGTGATTGTTCGCCAGAAATGAAGCGCAGATGAATGAGCTCAAACTCGTAAGCACGATCCATGTAGGCTGGTCCACAATCTGGCAATTGGAGTGCGTCAGCTACGTGGCAAAGACACTCATGTTTTTCCTCAGAGGAGATGTTCCATTGAGCAAGCCAAATAGGAACAGATTGAAGAGCCATGTCCAAGAAGTCCATGTCTCCATTCATGGATACCAACGTTAAAAGTGCTTTAAAAACACGAAGGCGCAGAGGAGAGGCCGTTGGTAAGAGATTAAAAATGTTGGAAAGAATCCGATATTTGATGATACTCCGTTCCATAGCCGCAGACGATTGAGTGTCGCTCACGACATTTACCAAGTGCATGACCAAATTACAGAACGATTCTTCTTCAGTTTCATAGTACTTGATAAGAAGAGCCATAACTAGATTGTACAATCCTTCAAGTTCGCGATCCGTGCATTCAATCAACCCTGGTATCGACTGCGTCAATTTGGCTACCACTTCACGCGCTTTAGCCTTTGCTGTTGAATCATCAGACGATTCATCGGCCAGCGAGGCCTCTTTCGTCAACGCATCGCTCCACTCCGCTCTTTTCTCTTCAGGAAAAACGCGAGAAATCAGGATGCAACATTCATCCGCGTGCTCACGTAGCGTGGTGTCGCTCAGCACGGCCACCAGATCAGCTCGCATTGTGAGTCCTAGCATTGATGGATCAGTCGTTCTGCCAAAAAAAGGCCGTCGACAACGATTGGATCACGTGATCTAAACACGTGAGGCACACTGATACGCCCCAGGCCTGGCTCAGACGTTTAGGGATGCATACGTGGCGACGGGGCCTTTGCGTGTGTGGGGAAGAACGGTTCGATTTGTGACGTTGATCCTCGATCGGAGTATGTCATCCTTGTGGATCATCAACAAAGCTGGTGGTCTTGTTTTCCAGTCTGAACACTTCGATTACCCGCATAAGCGAAACCAAGAACCTGAGTTGACGTCCAACGATTACCTTATATTGGCAGGCACATTACACGGTATCCATGCCATCACCTCCCGAATCATTCCTACGCCAGATAAATCGAGTCAAGGCTTCGAAGTTTTAGAGGCTGATGGTCTAATTATATATGTGAAAATGACGGAAACTGGCACTAAGCTTGTGTTACTCACATATCCTGCACAGACCAATGCCGCAGGTATTTTGCAGCGAGCGAATGAACTGTATGTGGATCATGTCATGAAAAATCCGTTCTATATTGCTGAGATGCCAATTCGTATCGAGTCTTTTGACCGAGAGATCCATCAGCTTCTTCATCAGCAGTAGCCTATACCTAAATCCAATTTAGCTGCGTAGCAATGTACATTTTTTCAATATGTCTGTCAAGACCTTTTATTTGATGTGAGAAATTCTCAGACCACGTACCGTTGGTTTTCTGTTTGGTGCGATGGCAAGGCAGGTGGGGATATTTTCTGGCTGTTCTATCCAGAGATAATGAGGAGGCATACTCGTGTCTGATTCAGCCGATAATTGGGAGGCAAGCTCTTTCAGCGGGACATTTTTGGGAGTTTGAAGAATAATTTTGTGCATGTGTGGTAGGTTATTGTGGCTTATATAGTCTTTGGTATCTTGACGGTGGTGCGTCTCAACAAGAACCTGTGTTATTTTAGTGGTATCGTGCTGTGTCACATACAGCCGTCGATGCATGCGCCGCCTGAGCCATCATTGGCCCCATAGTCCAACCCGACTTTTACCATAAGAGTATCATTCACTATGGAACGTACCTTTATCAGCTCACGATCAACGATGAGCTGCATAACGAGAGGCGGTAAGGTCGAGGCAGGTGCGCTCATAATGACGGCGTGATTGATATTATGAAACAGGGTGTGGAGAATTTGGTTCTCATTATGAACGAGATTTGGAGGCTTGTGCACGAGCACGTTGTGAACGAGTGCGGATGCCGGGCGAAGTGTCAGGAGGTCGGGCGTGTGTTGATTTGGAGGTGACGGAGGTTTGTTGGGTTTTGTTTTGCTGAGACGGTGCTTTGCGACGTTTGGGAGCACGATCTTGAGCAGCAAGAGAGTCTGGTGAAGTTCGTTTAGGCTGTTTGATTAACGAGGGAATTCTGCTAGGTTTCGTAGATGCCCTAGTGCGATAAGCTGATTCAGATCGGCGAGAAGATTGTGCAGGTTGAGCTCGAGACGAACGCAGGGCTTTGTGTTTTGTAGCATCGGCGTCGGATGTGGGTAATGAGTTTCCTGAAGAACGCGGCTCGGAAGGTAATGGCTTGAACGATGATGTAGAAAGCTTGTTTTTGACTTCGTGTGAAGATGGAGCGGGAGTAGGAGAATGACTTCTACGTTTCTTTGAAAGCAACGTTACTGGAGAAGACCGAGTGGAACGTGGTCGAGACAATGATGGCAAATTCTGCAGTGTTTCATGCGCATAGCGCTTTTGCGAGGAGAGCTTAGGAGATGGCGGAGAGGAAGACTCAGCAGATCTCAGTTGCGTCGAGGACACTCGGAAGGCAACAGGTCGTGAAGCTGAAGGAGCTGTCGTTGAGACTTTTCTTGGAGTGATGATGTCGACGGGGGTGACTTGGTCTTTCCGCTCATCTGGCTGGATGCACAAACTCACGTCCACCTCCAGTGCCTCTTGACTATCGCCCTCATTGCGACGTGTAAGGTCATAGCCGTTGAAAAGCCGCCGGTACTGGTTGGAAATGAAAATCCATGCGCCCAATGCCCATAGTGAGATCTCATCGATCCATGCCTCGTTCCTGTGAATCCAAGGCAAGATACTTGCATATATAACATAGGAGGCCATCGGTGGGTGCAACATCATCCACAAAAGCCACAGTAATTGAGCTGTAGCCATGAACGGCAAAATCCACACGAGCGGATAGACCAACACAGGCCGCACACATTGGTATGCAGACTCATGAATTAGAAAAGCTTAATCAACGTACCCAAACTGCCACAACACGAAGGGCTTCAGCGATGGCAGCTCGTCGACGAACAGAACCTACCCGCCGACTTGAACCTAACTCATGGTCAATATAGGCCTCACCCCACGCATGATGAGAACGGGTATGTGGCGTAGGCACAGCAGCCAGTGCACGATAGGCATGAACCAGCACGATAACGGTGCTTCATAAGTGGCTAGGTCACGTACACAACTAGTTCCAGCGCCTTGTCCAACATGCATGTACGCGCGTACAATTAGAGCACACACGGACCGCCGAACGTGGAGGAAGCGAAGTTTGCCCTCAACCCACTATGGTCTTGACATTGCGAACGGCCCGACGCTCGCTGGTCTCGTGCCTCAAGTATGCGCGTGCATCCTACTCGACAAGACCTCAGGTGTTGCTAATGGATGAAGTACAATTGGCAAAGAAGGATTTGGAGCGTCTCACAGCACACACGGAGTTGCTGGTATGTGACGAAACTCAACAGGCATTGTGATCTGACGCGCAGTACAATCACACGAAATCGCGTGAAGAGCTCATACAAGCATTTGCTCCGGGAGGTCCATTCGCAAATGTGCGTGGCATGTATCGACATTTTGGTGGCGCAAGATCAATTCGTATTTCTGGTCGCTTTGACCCTGAGCTTGTCAGAGCGCTGCCTGATTCGTTGAAGTTCATTGTGCACAATGGATCAGGCTACGATCAGCGTACGTTTGAAGCATGTTTCTAACGTTCAGTTGATATTCCTGCACTTACCGAACGTGGGATTCAAGTGGCCAACGTGCCGACCGTGGTCAATGAGGCCACCGCAGACACGGCGCTCTTTTTGCTCCTTGGAGCCCTGCGCCAGTTTCCACGAGCTATTGGGCAAATGCAGGCGGGAAAATTTAATTCACAGTTTTCGTTCCGAGACGCCAGTGATCCAGAAGGACTAACGCTTGGTATTGTTGGTGCGGGCGGAATTGGGCGTACTCTTGCACGTAAGGCTGCGCATGCCTTAGGTATGCATATTGTGTATCACAACCGGACACGGCTAAGTGAGGAGCTTGAAATGCAAGGTATGCCAGAGGGGAAACGCATGGAGTATGCGCTCTCGCTCGATTCGCTTTTGGGCCAAAGCGATGTGGTCAGTCTGCATTGCCCACTTACCCCACAAACACACCATCTTATTGGTGCCGCGCAGTTGGCGCGTATGCCATCGCATGCTATTTTGATTAACACGGCACGCGGCCCTATTGTAGACGAAGCCGCGCTTGTCGATGCTCTTGATCGGGGCGTAATTGCCGGAGCAGGACTCGATGTGTACGAAAAAGAGCCGGAAATTCACCCTGGACTCATGCGTCTATCTACAAGTAAAGCTTTGCTTTTGCCACATGTCGGAACGCTTACATTGCAAACACAAACGGATATGGAAGCTGTGTGTCTACGAAACCTGGAACATGGTTTGCAGACAGGACGTCTTTTGTATACGGTCAAGGAACAAGAGGGACTTGGCTTGTGTGCACAGATCTAATTTACAGGAAGTCCGAAAAAGTGACGCAAACGCTGAACAAAAGTCGGGGCGACTGATTGTCCGCGCGATACACGGTTCATGGCCTCAACGAGTTGTGTATAGTGTGACGGGGACGAGGCCGGCTGCAAGATGTTTCGTGGTGTAGGGTACTTTTTCTCAGTTAGATGCTCGAGTATACATACCTCACGCAAGCTTTCACTGCTGCGAATTCTCTCCAGTGCGGCGAGAGATTTGCGCGATTCGGCGAGATGGCGCTTGGCTTCCGGGCCAGAGAGTTCAGCTTCAGTTGCGCGTCGAATAGCCTCGCCAAAGTCCATGTTAGGACGGAGGGGATCTTTTGGCCATGATTGGGCAAGCTTGAGCAAGCACCTTCTTACTTCCTGGACCGCTCCGGACATTGGCTGCTAGTGCTGGGCTTTGCAGCAAAAGATCAGGACACGACTATGGTAAGTTCGATCAGACACAGCAAACAGGTCTGGCAGCGACGAACCTGCAAATTTCTGATTAGTCATCTACTTGTCTGCATACTACCGCGTTCTCGAGTATTTTTGGACTGGCATAAGCTAAGGTGTCATCGTTTACGGCGTTGCCGGTTGTTCACCTGGAGGTGGCTGGTGATGCTCCGGCGGCGGAGGAGCGCCCGAGAAAATCCGTGTGACACCCTCCCAAGCATTCATTTTCATTTCACGCAACTGCTTCTCTTGTTCCTCCTGCATCTGCTTCCGCAACTTCTCCCCATTTTCAAGCCAGAACTTTTGGTCCTCCAAATAGCCCTGCAAGAAACGCTTACGCTCCTGTTCTAAGAATGTTTTGGGAGGTTCATTCATAGACTGACCGCTAGTGACGCTGCCAAAGAGGCTCGAAAGACCGCCCATACGTTCTTTCTTAGCGTGCCATTCGTCTTCATAGCGTTTCTTGAGAAGAGCTTCGCTCTCAGCATACGCGGTGGGAATGTGCCTTCCTTGGTATGCCTGGAGAGTCTTGCGAACATCATCAACGCCGTAAATTCCAATAGCATCGAGGAAAGGAATCAGACCAAGCAAATCACGGTCATGCTTATCGCCCTTCCAAGGGCTCTAGCACAATCGCATTTTCAGGCTGCAATGAGACATGTTCAGGATTGATGTCCAACATAATGACCTTCTTCGGATCGCGATTCAAGTGGCGGATATCCTTGACCAGCTTGCCGTCGGACTGGCGGCAGCTTTCGCGGAAAAGCTGGTATGCGATATAGCGGCGGTCAGGGTCAAGTTTCTCAATAATCTTTTCGACAACATAGAAGGGCTGTGTGGTGAAAAGAACAATTTCATACCACTGCGAAAGGTAGCCCAAGAAGTAATCAAGTCCGGGGCGTTTCGCTGTGCGCCAACCGTGTGAGGTACTCCAGGACGAAGCAACAAGAAGTTGATCGAGATCCAACACAAGCGTGTATGGGCGTGAGTATGGATACGGAAGAGGATCGGGCAAGAGATGGTCCCATACGGGCTTATTCACACCCTCTCGCATGACATCGTACCGGAGTTTAAGGCGGCCGAAGAATGAGTTTACACCCTCCTTATCATGGAAGACTTCATGCTCACGTTCATCAAGATCACGGCCTAACATCCATACACCATATCCAGCGAGAAGAATACAACCAATAATGGCACCCTGTGTCATGATGCGTTGGCCAAAGTCCGACTGGTTTGAATTTGAGTCAGATCGCGCTTTCGCATTGGTGCGCTGCGTGCTAGAGCCATCTTGACCATCTTCGCCGGACGGGGCTGATATAGACTGAGCATCTACGAGAGAAGATGCATCAATGTCGAGTTGAATCCCCTTCTTGAAAGGAGCATCCGACTTTTTTGCATCCAGATCTGAAGGCGAACCCGAGTTGGGCGAATCATTCTGGGGTGGCGGAGGTGGTGGGTTGGTAGCATTTGAGCGTGCAGGATGCGACCGAGAAACGAACGGGGCTCTCTGTGAGCGGATCAGCAACATGCGCGGCCGAGATAGGGCCAGTTGCACTGGTAAGCGGAATGATCTAGTGACCATCATCACGCCAGACAGACAAAGGGAGAGATGCGATTATGCCAGTCGCCAAGTCTACCCACAGGCCGTCTGTCTGTCTGTCAACTTTTAGTCATGAGGCCTTATTTTCACAATTATGCATTTTCTGGATCCCAAACGCAGGCCTTGTGTGCTGACGGAAGGAAGAATGGTTGATGTAGACGATGATAAGAGGACATCTTGCAACAGAAATGAATTCCATCCATCGTTTGGATATCCTGGATCTCGTTTTGTATTTTACCCGAAGTGCTTGAATTTGATGAAGGGCAACACAGAGTCACCCCCTGCTATCCCTATCATGGTGCCTGACACCAACATTTACATGTTGTTTGCGCATAGACAGTGGCGAGCGGGCATGTTACTTGCAGACGCTATCTATACAAAATGCGTGGATCTTTCAGACAAGTGTGTGTTGGAGCTCGGGGCCGGGACAGGACTTCCAAGCTTAACGGCAGCATTAAGCTCAGCGCCACTAAAAGTCGTTGTCACAGACTATGATGATGATGCGATTGTAGGTGCACTACGTTCAAATGTCAAATTTACTAGAGATGCCAATCCCAACAGGAGAATGGCGCCTATTGTTGCAGCGGGTCACTCTTGGGGCCATGCCATGGATGATGTATTAGACTTGTTACCACCAAACCATACGCACTTTGATGTGATCTTACTCGCTGACTGTGTTTGGGAGCGCTTTTCACATGACATTTTGTTACGCTCTATCAAGAATCTGCTTTCGAAGTCACAGGACGCGCGGATCTATATGGTAGCGGGACTCCATACTGGACGGCGCGTGCTTATTCAATTCTTCCGGCTTGCTATCGCCGCAGGATTCGTTCTAGTGCCTCTACCTAACCAAGACATGTGGCCAAGTTGCACGAACGAAAAACAAAGCACATCACTGGAAGGTAGTGAACACGTCCTGGAACTCGAAGTAGGTGGGACGTGGGACGAGAACCAATCACCAAGTCTCACAGGTGGTCGGCGACCGTTTTTGCTCCATCGGGGTAATGAGGGAGAAGATGATGAGCCGATATATGAGCGTAATCATTGGCTGACGGTGTCATGCCTAGCATGGTCTCGCTAGGCTACGGAAGCCACTCTTTAGGAAAATCGCTCTTGGATGGTCGAGGTGTGCGGCCGCCCCGAGCATTGGAAGCGATGTAAGGACGGACATCAAGTGGCACGTCTGAATAGGTAGGTTTAGCCTGTAATTGTAAGAATACGCGTATACAAAAGAGATTTTACACGTACATTCGCTTCAGATACCATGCGGTCCAACACATCACTACACCATTTCATGTTCTGAGACTCGTGCGGCATGGAATTTGATGCAATCTTCACAGAACCTAGATCATCTTCCTTTTGACAAATATCGCTGAGGAAGTTTTCGCCTTTTGATAAAGCTGTGTTCCAGCGCTCAACAAAGGAAGCATTTGGAGGTTGCCAACGTGGCCCAGCCAGAAGTAAGAACTTGTGTTTGGACAACGGCGTAGAGAGCACCTCCCCATTAAATAAATCCTTGATATGAAATGTGAGTACAACCTTTCGAGTGTCGGGGTGTGCTTCACCCTGGTAGTGAGTGAATTTCATGGTAAGGAAAGAAGATGGTGATGGTGGGATAAAGGGCTCATGTAATTCTTATATGTAAGTCAAACCAATACACACCTTTGAGCTTTGGAAACTCGTTTGCCATCACTCGATAATATTTAAGCATTTGCCGCTCTTTCTGTAGTCGCAAATGACCGATGGTTGAAATGTCATCAAAGCGGTATTCTGGCAATTGAGAGAGCGGCATCGTATCTTGCGTCAGTACGTAGTCCATATCTTTCGATATATCTTCCGTAAAACATGTTGCGCTCGTGTGCAAGGAGCGCGTACGCAGCCTGCCGACTGTGCGAACGAGCGCTGTACGTGTCCACATGGTGATGCTTGGGCGGAAAGATGTTAATCATGGCATGTCTTGGACGTAGGTAATAATTTAATGCGAGTGTGTATCATTGCTGAGTTAGTTGCCGCCTCAAAAAATTTTTTCTCTAGTGCGTCACGATCTTTGACCCAGGCTTTTTTCGTCGGGCGGATCTAGGCTGCATCGTCATGCAGGAAATGAGCGGGTTCACAGCGCTTCCCGTGTCGTATGAAAATGATACTGTTCACTACATGTATATCAAAATTCATGCAAGTTCGAATGATGATGCGACGTACCCTATCAATCGCACACTGTTTGTTGTAAATGTGCCGCCAGATACGACGAGCAAAACGTTGCGCGACCTGTTTCGCAAAGCAGGGTCTGTAGAATCTATTTATTTGCACAATGTTCTCGATTCAAAAGGAGAAGACGCTACAGTGCCCGCCCCCAGACCTAAGCAGGGTACGGGACCACCTGACGTGGAACCTTTGCCGTCACTGGAACCCACTGATCGCTTGCTGGGATCGAGTTCGAGTGCACATGTCGTGTTTCTTGATACGACGTCACTCGAACGTGCGATTCGGTTACCGAAACGTTTTGAAAACAAGCCTCATGTATGGAAGCTGTCTCGCGGCAAAGATGAGCGTCTTATTGGGGTTTCTTATCTGATTGAACGATTCCGTCGACATCGTCCACCACACGAAGCAATTAAGAAACATGCAGATTCTGCTATTGCCCGGTACTCATGGATCCGTTCACATCCTCAATGGCTTATGGAGCAGCGCGCACGCGGTGATACCACAACAAGTTTAGGTGTCGGCATCAAAGCAGCGAGCATGGGCGAAAATGGCGAACTACTTGATGAAGACGGTTTTGTGATTGTTCAAAGAGGAAACAAGTATGGTCGTTCAGGCGGCGAAGACAATACATTTGCCGCGATTACCCCAGAATTTGAAGAAGAGCTGCGCCAACACCCGGAAAAGAAAAAGTCAAAGGAGCTTACAGATTTTTATCGGTTCCAGTTCCGCGAGAAGAAGAGACAGCGTACGTCCGGATGGATTTTGACTGACCAGATTATAGAATTTGCGTCGCTACGAGCGCAGTTCGAGGCCGACAAGAAAAAGATTGCCCAACGCAAAGCTTCATTCAGATTCAAGCCGTACGTATTGGGTATCAGTTGGGCTTACTCAGTTATTGAACTGCGCGTATGCAGGCTCTATTGCTATGTTGCATCGTCGTAGGAAGGTGGCGGTAGCAAATGCCCCTCGTTCACCTCTTCCTGGTTTTGCACGTTGTTGATGATACCCTGCTCTTCATATCGAGCTGCACGATGATGAGACCATAGAAGTACGTACGTAAATAGTCACTAGATTGTCTCTCGACGAACCGAGCGTCTTGGGCACGCCGGATTGTTTGTTGAAAAGATGCGCCGCTCCCTTCCAAGAAATGTATAGTGATTTGCCCGTGATCACGCGAACCATCAGTAAAGTGAGCAATAGTGGCTTGCCAGTAAGGCGCCCAAAGTATAGGTACGACATATTTTCCTGTACTAAGCTTTTCAAGAGGCACGCTCAGAGAATCAAGTTCATTATGGAGCGTATGGCTCACGAAAACAAGCTAGCGTGTTAGTACAATGTGCTTACACGACGTGAAGAAATAACACATGTTCCTCGGCTCTCCAGTATTCGCTGGGCAGGAAAAAATTCTAGCCGAACGTTGCAATCTTTGAAGGACGTCGCTATGCGTTCATTTGGCAAGGTCCTGACTGTGCAGGCTATGCTGCCGCGAGTGTCACTACGATTAACGGTGGCCATGGAGGAAAGATGACTAATAAGTACACACATGCCCCACCATCTACTGAAGACTATCAACATCCACCTGTGGATGCACCATAAGCACTTGCTCTGGCCCGCCAAGCACGCGCTCAGCATCATCAACAGGAAGGCTCACTAAATATCCATCTTTGACTAGTTTGGAGATCACGCGCGAGATCAGATCTGACTCTTCGTGGAGTTGCTGCACGGATTCAATTTCGTTCTCATGGGCCTCGAGGTACCATTGTGCCAGGGCTTCCCGAGATATGCCCTGTGACGTATCGCGTTCCACCGTATTAACTTTGAGGACAAGCTGGTTGACGAGTTCCATGTATCTGTCATACGTGATGCTTCGTCTAGTGGGTGCTGCTTGACCATTGTCCACACCTGCTGGAGTCATGGGACGAGCCGCTGGCGTTGTTGCATCAGCCGCTGCGGGCTCTTCGTCGACAGCATCGATGGCAATGTCGTCCTTCTCGACATGAATAATGGATTGCCTCAACAAAGAATAGGCTTCGCGTACGAAAGCAGGCGTAATATCAGACCGGCAATTTGCACGAGCGATGGCTTCTGACAATCGAATAATACTTTCCAATTGACGAACAGTGACGCGGTATGAATTACGACCCACAGAACCACCAGAGTCATCTTGACGCAAGTGCAGATACTTTTCCACCAACACATCACTTGCTTCTGGAGTCAATTTCGGCTGGAATGTGCGAGCGTACCGGATGTAACGCTGCAGAGCTTCAGTTGAAAATTCCGGGGCAATAGCAGCATCGCGGAAACGATGAATATTCACGATGTGTTGTGCTATGTTCCAGTCAACAGCTTCGTTGCATTCGTCAAGTACAACAAAAAATAAGTCGAATCGGGACATGATGGGGGCACTCATAGCAACATTGGCACGCAATGTTTGTTTCCGGTTGTATCGACCACCCATCGGGTTGGCTGCTGCAAGAATAGACGTGCGTGCATTTAAAGTGGCTTGAATGCCAGCTTTGGCGATAGAGATGGTTTGTTGCTCCATGGCTTCGTGAATGGCCACTTGATCAGACAGGTCCATCTTGTCAAACTCATCGATTGCACAAATGCCATTGTCTGCAAGCATCAAAGCACCAGCCTCGATTGTGAATTCGCCCGTCTCTTCATCTCGAACCACCGCTGCCGTCAAACCAGCTGCAGACGAGGCCTTGCCAGACGTATAGACGGCGCGCGGTAAAAATCCAACGACATACTTTAGTGAACTGGGACTTGCTTGTACTGGGATCGCCTACGATACATATATTGATATCGCCGCGAAGATTTATCCCATCTTTTGTCTGTTTGTGCACACCTCCCATTAACTGCAATAGAATACCTTTTTTTATAATTTCGTGTCCATACATGGTGGGCGCCATGCTGCGAACAAGTCGTGGATAAATGTCCGTGCTGACGACCATAGCTTCCAATTCCTCACGCTCCTGTTCTGTAAGACCACTGAGCACAGTTTGGGCATCCTCTTGCTCTTCCATAATACTGGCACTCTGGTCAGAGCGACCATCACCACTTTGCACCATACAAGCCAAAAAGGCAGTACGATAAGTCAAATCGCGAACCCCCAATGACTTGAGACCCGTGACACCCTGATTCGCGATACCCTCTACAGCACTGCCAGGCTGAGTTTGACGTTGAATTTGCGCATTTACACCAGGAACGCCCATCTGGGACACATCTGGCAATACGATACAAGTGCCGGTAAAAATGCAGCGGTCCCCGGCTTTGGCGCGCTCGACAATTTCTGAGCGCAAAATCACGTCAATGCTGCGAGGCATGCTACCAGTGGGGATTTCATTTGCATTTTCTTGGATGCGTACTTTTTGCCAGTCACAAAAGCGACTTTTTTCCACATCCAATTCCCATTGTGTCCGGTTTTGACACATGGGATTCCGGCACATGATGGGCTCAGTGTATCGGAATTGTTGTTCGACATCGGGTATACTCGTCTTGCATTCGACGCATGTAAATGTCCCAACAATGAGTTCAGGGCGTACTTCGGAGGTACGTGTGACCGTCCCACTTACAGCAAGCAGACGGCCAACCTTATCCGTATGTAAGGACCGAATGCCTGATACAATGGGAAGGTTGTGGAATGAGAGTGAGAAATCGCGAGTGACGAGGCCTGAGGAGGCCGTTGAAGCCATGTGCGCATTTAAGTAAAGGTAGCCCGGGATGTATACACTCACACACTCAATTAGCGCGCGCCGGAGATAAGGCAAAAATCTGTAATATTGTTCGCTTATGGCACGTGCAAGGACTTCATCGTAATCGAGAATATGTCGAAAATCGACGTACAGCGTTGTACGACCATAATCTCGCATGGCAAAGAGTTGTTCAACATAGATGGATTCTGACTGAGAAGGCCGATCTGCCATGTATCTGGTGATAAGCGGCAAGCGTGCGTGAGCAACCTTGATTTACGAACCTTTCCAAAAATGCGCCAAAGCTCTCACGAACTCGCTCACCGGTCTCATCAGTCACTAGGGGTATCTCTTCCATTTTAGGCACAGCTGGAGGTCGTGGCCTTCCGGACAAAGCAGTCTTACGCAAGTTCACGTCGTCATGAGTGTCCCCGATAGTATCGCGGCTTGTGTGGCCGTTCTGGGGAAAGTCGCCAGCAGACTCCGGATCCGTTCGCGAAGTCCAGCCATCTGAACCAGCGCCTAAACTTGACTGCCCCTCATCCATACTTACCCGCTTCTACTAGTAGGCGCGGACGTGTGAAAACCAGAATGAAAGCGGCGATAACCACAGCTATATTTGATATGTTGTGAAGTAGGCGCAACAAGTGACTTGTTACAATCACAAAATTACCGATCGACCAAGATACAATGTCCCCTTTGCTGCTAATTTCAACAAGTGTGGTGCGTGCGACCACGTGACAACAGATTATTAAAAACGTCTATTGAATTAGTGCGAATAACGCTTTGCGTCATTCAGGTCGTCAATGTTAAGCCAGTCTGAGCCCTGTTGAATCAACATGTTGAAGTCTTCAATCCTGGACGGTAGATCGAGAATGCCATAAAAGCGTGTTGTTGCACCGTGGTGGTGAGAAGTCTCGATGACCTTGTGGAATTGGGTGATGGCTGACTTACGGGGAGGAAGAATGCCATGATTAGCATGCTTGACGTCAGAATAGCCTGACGACGCCAGTGGGCAAAGCGTCGAGTTGTACGTGTATGTGTGACCCCAAATGTAGTGTGTTCCATCAATACCGTTTGCCGGACAATCGAGGAAAAGGTCACGATTAGAGCTAGTAGCAATTTGGTCGAATGGCGTGCCGCCTGTGCCGACTACAATCACTGGACCATAGTGGATCTTCCCGTCCTTGTACTTAGTGAGCCAGCCGCGCTCACGAAGCGGCTCTAACTGTTTCGCCAATTTCAAGACGGAAAGTTCTGCATCGTCAGACTTGATTTCCAGAAGGAGCTGCAGAGGACGAACGCCGCCGAAACCTTCAGAGTAGTACTTGTACCAGTCTGGATGAGAAGTAGGTTTATTGTCGGGGTCATCCAAGAATTTTTGAGGATTAGACGATGGGTAGTCATCCGAATATTTGCCTTCCAGAATCTTCATAACCTTGTCGAGTGTAACTGTCTTAAATGTCTTGGCGTGGTTAATGCCGAGAGCAGTATGAGCGACGTAAAAGTCCTTAGTATGTCCATCGTACCAAACATCCGACTCATAGCTGTAGACACCATGGTCAAAAGCATCGTACACTGGACGATCGTGCTTATAGTCATTATGCGCTTCGCGGTCAGCTAGATAGTGGTAACATACAATGGAAGAGGATCGTCCGGTTGGACTTGATCGGTTGGGTAGCCTGCACAATACCCGCAAGGAGAGCAACAAGGGCGATCGAGCGCGCAACAAAAACCATGCTTGGGTACTCGCTGATCTATCCAGTGTATCGGAGACCGCCTTATATCTTGCTCAGCTGGGCAACTCGAGATAGCACGTGCTCATGGGGGATGTCTTACCAAAATACGAAAAGGTGAAGATCACAGTTGCACTTGCATGCATATCACTCGCATTTGGTTATTTACTCCTTGTTCTCCGTAAATTGCTCATTTTCGCGACATATGATTGGACAGATCTCTAGGGACCTTCCCGTAAATCATTTAGAGGGCAGCAGGGTAGTGTGTGGAAAACATCCATTGGTGTTAAAATGTATGCGCCAAAAAGATCAAGCTTAATCAGGATTGTATAGACACGTCTCAAGTTGCTCAGACAAATCACCCATCCAAATCACGTGAAATTGCCCTTTATATCATGTAGATCCTACAAAAGTCATGGGATAATCTAGTGTGTTTGTTACCAATATGTAGAACTAGAAATTGACGTTGTCACCCAAGTGCACTAGTAGAGCGCGCGCGAAAATCGAGTGTAGCAACAATAAAATGCAATGAAGTTGTGCAGAGTCTGAGTGCGTAAGGCCACTATGCATAGGTGATTGACATGATCGCTCGCTCGCGCGCCTGCCAAATCATAATTGATGTAAAGTTTAAGAACCTTGAGTTAAATGTCATCAACAGTTCAATTCACCGTATATACATCTAATTTGGATAACTAATGTACAGAAGATATTTGATGGTGCGATATATAGTCATTGAAGACATGCTAAACGTATTAAAGAGTGTTGTGTGGAAGGAATGATTCAGATCACGTTGTTTGACAAGATGAGGTGCCACCTTTACTGTGAAGCAAATCCAAGACGTGCGTTATCAAAATCAAACACAACGGATGCCATTTCCATGAAAGGGGTTCCAAAAATCCAATCGGAAAAGCCATCCATTCCATTCATCGGAAGGCGGCATTCGTTACCACTTTGCTGATACTTCATGATCGCTTCCGGCATCGTGAATTGCTTGCCTGCCACACTGAATTTGATTTCGGGAGGGCTGTTGCAATTGAACCAGCCCTGGTAATTTCCATCATCGTCCTGTTTGACAGTCACACCGTCAAGCTTACTGAGAAGATTCTTCAACTTGTCATTGCCAGCAACAATAATGGTTGTGCCTGTGTCGATAATACCGGAGCAGTCATTGCCATTGATACCAATATCTGTGCTCCAATAACCATCGCTAGGACTTACATTGACCCAGCCGAGGCTTCCCGAAAACTTTGACGTGTCAATTTGTCCGACGTCAAGATACGAGGTGGAGTCTGCCTTCAACGTAAATTGATACACGTTACTTTTGAGAAGTTTCTGTCGCTGGAATGCCTCGTAGAAAGTTGGCTCAGACGAGTTGTAAGAGCTTAACAAAGGCCATGAGAGACCCACGATACCGGCGTCCTTATTCATTGTAAGGAAGTCATCATTAGACACACTAATTGTAACGTCCTTCGCCTGAATGCCTGCCATTGCGATGACGTCTTTGTAAACTTTCCCCCCAGCATTGGCACTAACATAATTAGCATTGAACGTTGTGTGCTGGTCTTCAGAAGTAGAGGAAGATGAGGGATCGTAACCCCGGCCGTCCATCACCACATCAGACGAACCCGTGTCGAATTTGACGTAAAGTTTCTGCCTGTTCGATCCAAATTCAAGCTCGACATTCCAATTCCATCTGAGCATATCAAGTGAAGCCGTGTTCCCGGAACGCTTCATCAATTTCGAAGCATTCACAGATCGTGCATGTTTGCCTGTATTCCGATGATAGTTCATCGCATTCTTAGTATACTTGGCCACAATGCTATCCATCAATGCTTTATGATTGTCTGGATTGTGCTTCATAGATCCTGAATCACGCTTCAGTTCAAGTGTATATCCAGCATACACTGATGCGAATGCATGGCTGAAAGCAATCGCGAGAAGAGCCACAACCTTGAAAGAACGAAACATGAGAGGGTGCCTTAATTGAACTGAGCCAGTGATTTGCAAAGCGAGGCAGCTGCGTTCCTAGATTCCCTGAGCGCATCGGTTTATATGTGATCAAGGGGAGAGAAAAAAGATTGTACGGAAATTTCGCCGGCCAACGCCATGAGAAGAGGCATTTGTTGTATTTCCGAAGATGCGAATCGGAATTTTGACAACGTTGGATGGCGTTGCAAGTTGCTCGACTGACAGCTACGACGTCCGTGTACGTAAGCGGGCGTTCAAAACTCAGACCCCGATAATATATGTTTGACTCATTCTGGTTGGGCTGAGTAAATGTCTAAATGCATGGGTAACGCCGACGATCTGAATCTGAGACCTGTTTCTCCATACCTTCAAAAGCGGTGAATCAATCTTGGGGTCGCGACTTTTACGCAACTTAAAACAGGTGAAAAGGTTTATATGCATCGGGCCAACGCCTCGGTGCAAGGTACATTTCAGGCAGTGCTTCATACAAACTGAATGGCTGAATCAAGCACAATCTCGGTGCATATCATGTAATGCGAGCGGGTTGACTTCGCACGTACGATTTTAGCATATTCTTCGTCTAAAGAAATAGTCTAAATGTAGGAACGCTGCCGCACGCACATATTTTTAGTGCATCCTATTTTGTAAATAAGCCAGCAGCATAGTGTTGCGCATGATCTAGACTCCAACTATGGAAAAATTCACTATGAATTCAAGACTCTATCACAAAGCACAGGAAAGTATTGTATCGTATGAGAGGAGTAGATGCACTACGAAGATCGAAATCACGATTTCGTCTGAAAATCATCTTGCAGCGCGTTTGATGGCATATTAACGAGAATAACCACGTGCCTAAGCTTCACACAAAGAAACGTGCACCGACCAATATCCAGACATGCACTTCCTCTGACAAGACTCTTTCACACACGCCATCTCCTCGTCTGTCAGCTTTACTCTTGCCCGCATCAACGGCCACGTCGATGTGGGCTCGTCTCACTTAAACAAATAATAGGCCTCGAATACTTTAGGCTTAGCAGACATGCGATCGAGGCCTGTGTCATGGTGATATCCCCTTTTAGGCGATAGCTTTTACCCGGTGGACATTACTTTTGACCGCTCCCTCACCCTAACCTAGATCCATTCCATGAACCGTGGCATGCGCAGAGCGCTCGGTGCTCGGTCCATTCCACAGCCGCGCAAGTCTTCTGAATGCCAAGCACACTAAAGGGACATGTCGACGCCATTGTTCTGGTGGTGGGAAATCATCTCACGTTCTTTCTTCCGATTCAACAAGTTGCAGCAGGTTTGAATCGCTACAAACTTATGCCAACTTTGGTTCTCGCATATGTTCTGAAGCTGCTCGATCACTCGTCTGGTCATCGACCTTGCGCCAATGAAATATACTAAGCCTCGCTCAATCATGTCGTTCTGCACTTGCATAATCTCTTCTTTCAGCGTCGTGGTACTGATCTTATAAATCAGATGGGCATCTGTGTACGTATAATGTTGAATCAGGCTCGAATCTACCTCGTCCAGAATGTGCTAACGAAATTTCCATTCAGTCCGCAAACTCGCCCTCATTTGTGCGGCCTATAAATGCTACAACTGTTCCCTTTCGTCGGCTAAGAAGCCTAAGAGCCTTGCCAGCAATTTTCTTCCGACTTCCCGTTGCTGTAAACTTTAGTCGTATCACGGGTATGGAATCATGTTTGGTATGCATAGTAGAGCATCTACAACAACTCGCGCTCCTTAAATTCCTACTAGGCCCCCAAATTTTCGACAAGCGACGTTCATTTCAAACTGAACTTCGATACGTTGCGGTCTGCTAGCCCAACATGGATGTGCTGTGTCGTTGATATTGGGTAGAGTGGGCAAGGCGACACCTCGACGACGCATGCATATATCAAATACACCATCTCACTTAAGCAACTAATTCGAAAATTCAACACTCGAGTCTATGGCGCCGAGTGATCGTACTCGGAAGGATTGGCTGCTGTGACAATACCTAAAATGCCATTGTCGATGATTGACAATTGCTTTTCTCGAGGACCTCAGAGCTTAACTCCGTCCTAGGGAGCGAATAACTCACGCAATACTGCTGAACATCATTCGACAAAATGTGGAGAGCGTTATAAGGTATAGGACAAGTATTGGTTAGTTAAAATCAATGAAATTAAGTCTTGCTACGCACCATGTTGGTCTGACTTGACGAAAGCAGAGCAAATATTAGTTGATACGCATTCATTAACAAGTCGACATAACGTTAGAGGCAGTGATGCAAAAGGCTGTATATTCTTTGCCAACACTCGAGTCGGTAAACGCAAATATTGCTGTTGCACCAGTTGAACTAAGAAGCATTGAATTTACTTGCCTATCGCCACAGCATGGGACTAGCTAGTAAGTTTCGTCATCTCACTCTGAAGACGGATCCATTGATAGGCTTTAAAATTGATTGAACTCGATACAATCGTAGTGTTCCGCTACTTGAGAATTACCATAAATGCCTTAGGGCGATGAGAGTATTGAATGAGAAATCAAATTAGACAAGCTTTCATACGACCAGCGATGTAGTACTTTCATGCTTATTCCGTCCCTTTAGTGAGTAAACATCGTAAGTGTGTTTCGTTTCCTACATAGACACAGTCATAAACGAGATGAAAAGTGAATCAAGACTCGCCGGTACGTTACCCTTGTACCCCCAATTTGGCATCTCTTAAATGCATGAACCAGTGCATGATACGAAACATGACTAAATGTCAGCCCACATCGATGCAATAGGAAATCCTTGGGTGCACGTTCTGCAACGTGTCAGTAACAAAAATACGAAAAGTAGTGGAGGGTGTGTTGATGATACTTGCCACGAAACCAAAACAACCTCATCATGTGGACGGCGTCTGGAATGGTGGCGTTGTTAGCCACAACGGCCCTTGGTGCCGAAGTCGCCAAGCAATGGAGCGTTGGCTGGGTCAATGATGTGAACCCAGATGGAAGGTTCCCTCGCCGTGCGATTGGCATCAATGGCAAGTTCCCCGCCGATCCCCTCACTGTCAACTCGGACGACTTTGTCCACATCAACTTTACCAACAAGTTTGGCGATGGACGCC